ATGAATAGGCAGACGCTGGCGCTATACCAGACGGTGCTTGGGTGTGAGCATCCAGATACGCTAGCGAGCATGAGTAACTTGGCGGGAGTGCTAAGTCGCCAAGGCAAGTATGAGGAGGCGGAAGTGATGAATAGGCAGACGCTGGCGCTGAAAGAGACGGTGCTTGGGTGTAAGCATCCAGAGACGTTGACGACCATGAGTAACTTGGCGCTTGTAGTGGGTCAGCAAGGCAAGTACGAGGAGGCGGAAGCGATGAATAGGCAGACGCTGGCGCTGAAAGAGATGGTGCTTGGGCGTAAGCATCCAGACACGCTGGCGAGCATATACTGCCTCGCTTATCTTCTTACAAAGTTGTGTTGCTACCACGAGTCTCTTGCCCTGTACGAAAGAGCATGCGCTGGGTATCACATTGTCTTTGGGGAGGATCACCCAACCACTCGTACGTGTCGCCAACATTATGCTACGGCTAGAATGGATGCAACAAAAAACCAGTGTACACCCACACTCGCTCCAGCAACACCAGATAGCAATGTAGGTGTAGATATAAGGAAGGTGTCAAAGCTCTCACGTGGGCTGGCGAAACTTGGTATAAGAAGTTCAAAGACATCCTTAAAATAAGAGGCTTTTATCTAGATTGATATGCTGAAGAGCAGAGCACGACTACTCTACTTATACGCATGTCTTACACTATAGTCTTATTGCCTATGTTGCAACGAGCAAGTCTTCTAGCGCGAGCAAGTGATGCTTAACACAAACTTTTGCTTAGCAGCTTAAGCTAGCTTAAGGCTTGTGGTGTGAGATTCTGACTCTCGCATGGCTTATTTACCGCTATTTCGCTCCTAGAGTCTGAGAAGAGGTGAGTATGAGTAGTGGAGCGCTGGCGTAGGTATCCTTTGATGGAGGAGATTACCGACTTGCCTGGCTACCAGATTATGATATGTTCCGTGAATCTCTAGACGGGACGGCGCGCCCAGCCATAAGTCTATCAGCCCTACCAAGTAAATTTCCCCGTAACGATTACGTGGGCTGTGATAGGGTATTCTGCAATAGCCGAGGTCTCGATTAGCGGGGGTGACTGTTAGGATCCAGACCAGACGGTCGCCTAAGTCCACATGTATTTAGCACTTCGGCCAGGAGTCGCACTGCGACACCAGTCACGTGACTTGATCAGCTGGTCGCATATTGATCACTGAGCACGAGCTGATCACCTTGATCAGTCGGATCAGAGAGCTGATCAGACTCAGTACTTGAGTATGAACTCTCATACTCGTGTTCAACCTGTTTCTCAATCTATCGTTTGGATTCACTCAGGCCTCATTGTTGACTCGTTACACTTCGCAAGATACTACCGTATCAGCAAGACCCCTTCCCTCCCCTCCGTTGTCTTGCCCGAGAACCAACCTTGACCCTTTAGGATTAGCTACCCGACCAGGGATTTAACAGTGACCTTGCATAATTTGGGTGCTACAACAGACAGAAGGCATACTATAACTTACTAGATGATCAGCAGGTACTCAAGATGGCATACGACTGCTGGATAAGATCGGTCAGCAATAACAAGTCTATAGTGGTGCTGCACTGACAAGACACTTTTATGTCCAAAATGAAGGCTTGCTGTAACATACGCATGAAGGCGACATGGAGCACGTAATTTTAGGTAGGATGAGTCTAAGATGTTTATTAAAAGCTATAACTTATATGCAACAAAGACCACCATAAATGTGTATCTAAATATTGAGTTGCTTAAAGCGAAAGTACCCCACATCTGTCCCAGCACGGCGGGTGTCCCAGCACGCAGGGAGGGACGTTACTCCGCTCAGCCACTTCTAGCAGAGTCCTTCGATGGAGATTGTCCCGTGACGCAGCTGTAGACTCTCCAAACTACTCAAGGCCGTCTAACCATGCGCGTAACTCGTCCTTGTGGTGCCGTATGTAGCGTATCCGGTCGCGCGCCGTTTTGTACATGGCGCACTCGGTCTTCGCACTGAGCAGGCTTGCAGTCTCGAGGCATACACCTGTTCAGCTGGAATGAGCCCCACGGTGAAAAATCATTTCTAGTCCATGCAGCGGAAATAGCATATAAGTGCGGTTCAATGGTCGTGTACGTCACCTCGTATACTAGCAGAGCCTTCCACGCGAACATATCCTCAGCAAAACCACGATCTTTGTTCCCACTTCAAACTAATCTTTCAATATATACGAAATCATTACCAGGAATGCACATCAGACAGACTCTCAAGGCAAAGCTATCATCCCGTCCGGCCTCGAGCCGGGTGACGTCACTTGAGCCGCCACTTCTTGCCCACAATAGCACCGTACGTCCAAACATCTTTTCCAACAGCAAGACAAGTAGAATACTAACGCGTTGACAGAGCGATATATCACAAACAAAACGTGCCGCTGGCCGGCGCAGAAGCGGAGAAAACAGCGATTCGGATGAAGACAGCCCGCGCAATGTGTACGAGATGCACGCGAAGCAGGGCTCGACGTACCGACTAAGAATGTCCATGGTTGGGAACGAGTGTGTGTACGAAGGATCGAACGCCAGTTGCAACAAGATTGACGTGCGGTGGTGGAACGAGGCAGCGTTTGGGGCGCGAGAGCATCGAGCGGAGTAACTCCAACATCCAGACTCAGTGTCTGGGTTAGAGCTAGGTAGATGGTAGATCTGTATGCGGCAGCATGAAGCTGGCGGTAGCTAACAATGGACTGAGGCCAGTATGTTGGTTAAGTTAGTTTGCGCATGCGTCCGCGTTGTCGAATGCTGCCGAAGGAGGTATACGGCGCTATGCCTTCACTGGCTTTCGACAACGCGAAGATGCCCTCGCAATCCAACCTAGTCAACATACTAACGTCCTGTCCCGTTGTGTTAGCAGGTGGCGGTTCAAATTTTTTTACTGCCGGTGAGACGCATCCGTGTTAACGATATGAAAAATTGAGATTTCCTTTCGATTGTTGACGGCAAGTAGTTTACCGCAATATCATAGACAAGAATCCAGACAGCCAATGCCACCCAGCAATGACGAAAGGAGGCTTTGAGAATGGGGTCTGAACCTCTCTGTAGCAATCAAAGCTCAAATGCGATGTAAGCTTCGGCGGGGCACATCTCACGTGACTGCGCATCCACGCGACGCGTTTGCATCTCGCGTCGCACTTTCGATCAACCCTCCCCACACCACCCCAATACCACCTCAACGCCACATCCAACCCAAATCACAAACCCTCCTTTCTCTGATATACCGCCCGTCTCTCCCACGCCTCCACATTCAATCAGCAATCATGGACCACCCCCAAACCCCGCGAGTCCTCGCCCCGCACCTCTCCAACTTCCAGCACAAGCTCGTCCGCATCCTAGGCAAAGTCGTGCAGCTGCGCGGCGAAACCGCGGTGATCGATGCCGGCGGCAACATAGATGTGATACTCAACAGGGTACGTTCCTTCTCCAGTTGTATGCTCCGTTTTATCCAGTGCATCCGCGCGCAACGACGGCAGCTCCAAGAGCCTAGGCAAACGAACAAGACGAGGAAGAGCTGGGGAGACAAAGCTGAGCTGACGTGCAACAGGACTGCCATCTCGCCGTCGGCCACGCGGTCGAGGTCATCGGCAAGGTGGACGGGAACTTGCACGTCAAGGTGCAGGCGGCGACGGATTTTGGGACGAGCCTCGGTGCGTTTTGTTCCCCTTGCTCTTCCCTTGCTTTTTTTGTGTTGGAAGGTTAACGGGAAAAAGATTTCAACGCGGTACAAGCCGTCGTCGAGGCGACGCATCGGCATCGGGAGATATTCTATGACGCGGATTAAGTGGTGGAACAGCTTGATTGAGTGTGCAGGGATTTGGGAGCTGGTATGGCCAGCGAAACGAGGCGTGGGATAGTAATCACAGTTCGGCCACGAATGAGACGATTGTAGAAGGAAGTGAATAGCTTATGACAGCTTGCATGCATATAATCCAAAGTCTACAAAGGTATCGCGCGATGTGCCATAAGCGCCTGTCCACGCACTCACAAACCAAAAAGGCAAAGCTGTCGCTGACACGCTTGCCTATACCCAAACTCCACCATACGATGCGTAATATCTACAAAACACCCTGCCAGCTCTCTTAAATGGTCACTTTGGTCAAAGCTTACTCCGCACGCCCTCCAGCCGAAACTTCACGTCCTTTAGCCTCTTATCCGTCGGCTTCCACTCCTCGAACATATTCAACAGTCCATCGACCTCCTTGCCCAGCTCCTTCTTCACGAGCTCTTCCTCGAGCAGACCCCTCATGGCCCATGGCAGAAAATACGGGTTCTCCCCCGCCGCACTTCCGCTGCTCTTGTACTCCTTGACCCTCAACTTGTATGTGTCCTTCGCGTTATATTTTGCTCCAGGCACAGGTATGTTGATCCCGCCGAACGTGGCGGCGACGTTGGCCTTGACCTGCTGGGGCGACACTGGTAGAGACGTGGTCTCGAGGGAGTGCTGGATGGCGAGGGTGTAGACGCGCGGGTCCTCATAGACGCGGGAGTGGCCTTCGCCGCCATAGACGGAACCTGCAAGGTGCGGTGAGAGTTCGCGAATGAGGCCGTGGTCAGGCAGGCCGAGGTTGCGGAGCTTCAGGACGAAGCCAACGAGGTGGGTGAGAAAGGAGGGGGCGTGGTTGCGGCCGTCGACGAAGACGGCGCGGTAAATGTAGGGGTGGGAGACAACCGAGAAAATCGATGACTGTAACATGTGTTAGTGACTCGTCGTAGTAGGTGAGTGGGTAACGTACTTCTAGTGAGACGAGCTGGTCGTCGATGCTGCCTACGTAGGTCACCCTTACGCCGAACCGCAACACCTCGTCTAGGGCCGCCAGATACATTTGACTAGCCAAGCTCTTCGGATCCCCAAAACTGAAAAGCTCCGATGCTATGGAACCGAAAATACCCGCTTTGCTCTTGAAGTCGACGAAAGGACCCATGTTAACGCCGGCCATGGCGCATATGCCGATTCGAGCAGAGTTGATGAAACCGGACTGTATGAGCTTCGCTACGAGCATGACTGCTACTGGTACGCCTTGAGAATGGCATGCAACCAAGATAAAGTCCGCCTTTCTGATAACATCGACGCTGTTGAGCAAAAGTGTCCAAAGCGTCCTGACTCTGTCAGCGATAAAACCTTCGCCTTCGAGCGCGATGTGGTCGATTTCGGGCTCGTAGCCTCGCTCTTCGCACCAGCCCTTGATGGATGCGGCGGCGGCAGTTGCAAAGCGAATAGAGGTACCCTTGGGCTCGCCGATTACCTTTCGGACGTACGAGTTTGGGAAGAAGCCATGCACGCCAATGGCCACTGCTTTCTTGATGCGCGGAGGAGCAGGGTTGATGTGGAGATGCGGCTGCGGTGCCTCGTTGCCCAAGAAGTATTGGGTCACTTTCTGCCAGAATGACGGCTGCTGCACCATTCGATAGGTAGTGTGGAATTCGGGTAGCAGGATGTTCGGCGGCTCTTCTTTTGCTTTCGGGGCCTCCTTAGCTGCGGGTTCTGCGGCCGGGGCAGTACCGGGGCGGGTAGGCGATGGGTCGGGGGATGTTTTTGAGGGTGTGACAGTCTTGCTAGAGCTCGGTGTGTCTGTAGAAATCTCCTTTGGTACAGTCTTTGCCCGCGAACGACCACGCAACGACAAGAAGGACCGGCCGGATGAGGTGGGCGATTTGGCTTTCGGTTCTTCTGCTGGCTTCGAATCGTCAGGCTTAGGCTGTTCCAACTCGTTGAACTGAGCCGGCTCAGGATGGGATTGCGAAGGCGTATCGGACACTGCCACCTCTCCTACCAGCTTGTGGGCTACGGCTCCGTCACTGTTGACCTCGGCCTTGGATTGTGACTTGAACCAGAACGCCCAGCCTTGAGAATTGGACCGCCCTTTCTTATCCGCGTCAGGAGCTGCCTCGCTGGCCACTGCGTCGCCTGCCGTCTCTTCGACCTGAGAAGTAGGTTCGGTTTGCGGTGCCTCGGCGGCCTGCGGAAGTAGAATCTCCTCGTTGGAAGCATCAGGAACGTACTCAGGAGGAGCCGTCGTTGTAGCAGGAGGATCCGCTGGCACACTTTCTTTACTACTCCAGGACCAGAACCACGAGTTCCTTGGGGCTGGAGCACTCGTGGTGCTTGTATCCCTGTCCTTCATCTCCGTATCTTGCGGTTCATGAACGTCCTCAGCCGGTACATCCTTCATCTCCACATCCTGCTCCTTGGACGGTTGTTCATGCGCGGTGACACTGCCCAGTTGCTTTGCAGCAGCAGTAGGCTCCTCGGATGGCGTGACACCGGGCAGCGGAGTACCCTGGGCATCTTCGATGGCGGGCGTTTTGGATGCCTCCGAGTATCCATCTGGCCTAGACCACCAGGATGTCCAGCCCCAGGTGCCCGCCTGCTGAGCTGCATCGATCTTAGGCGGATCCGGAGGCAACGGCGGCTCGTTAACGGTAGGTGGCTCCTTGGGGGTTTCTTCTGGGGTTGGTTCCTTTGGCTCGTTCACAGAGCCGTCGGACGAGACGTTGAGTGTGGTCAGGGACGCAGGTATGGTGTCGGCCTTGCTCGACTTGCGCTTCATCAGGAACTTGGCGGGCGACTGGTCCTTGGACGTCTTCGGCTCTTCGGCTGGAATATCCGAGGGCGCACCGCCGCTGACACTGACGCCGATGCTCTGGCTCGCCGTCTTGACCGTTGCAGAAGCCTTTGAGCGCCAGCTGCCCCCGCTGAGCCACCTCTTGCTCGGCTTCGTGTTGAGCTGGGGCTCTGCCGGCGTCGAGGGTGTAGCAGCGCCATTGGACGAGTCCAGAGATCCTTGCATGGCCGAGCTTGCGGGGGCATTCTCGAGGGTTGTGCTTCCGCTCGGTGTGGTTGCGGCGGGCGTGGCGGCGGGCGCGGTGCTGTCAGGCGGGACTGGGGACGCGCTGGCACCGGCGTGCTCGGCCAGCGGGTTCGGCTTCGATTTCTTGCGCGGACTCATTCCCGGGAGCGAGGCCAGCGCCTCGAGTCAAGCGTAGCGTCTCTGCGAGAGTGGTGTCGGTGGATGCAGGGGGGTGGGCGCATTGCTGTTTACCTCGAGCGCAGCGGGCGGCTGGGCTGGTCTCTGGGCCATGACGCAGTCCTGTGCAGAGCGTGACCATCCCTGCTGCCAGGGCCCGCTGCCGTGCTTGTCGGCGCCGCTCCAGCCACGCCCGCCGCGCCACACCCACGTTCTGCCCGCCGTCACCGCCTCCGCGGCCAAATGCGCCTAATTTTTTCTGTGAAGGTGAAGCAACGCTCCCCGCAACTGCAGCTGCATCCGCTCCGCGCGCCGCAGCACCATGGCGATCCAGAAGAAGCACGGCAAAGGCCGTCTCGACAAGTGGTACAAGCTCGCCAAAGAAAAGGGCTACCGCGCCCGTGCCGCCTTCAAGCTGATCCAGCTGAACAAAAAGTACAATTTCCTCGAGAAGAGCAAGGTCCTCATCGATCTGTGCGCCGCCCCCGGATCATGGTGTCAGGTCGCCGCCGAGGTCATGCCCGCGAATGCCCTCATCATCGGTGTCGATCTGGCCCCAATCAAGGCCATCCCGCGCTGCATCACCTTCCAGAGCGACATCACCACCGACAAGTGCCGCGCGACCATCCGACAGCACCTCAAGACGTGGAAGGCCGACACGGTCCTGCACGACGGAGCGCCCAACGTCGGTACTGCGTGGGTGCAGGATGCCTTCTCGCAGGCCGAGCTCGTGCTCCAGTCCATGAAGCTCGCGACTGAGTTCTTGGTCGAGGGCGGAACTTTCGTCACAAAGGTCTTCCGCTCCAAGGACTACAACTCGCTGCTGTGGGTCTTCAACCAGCTGTTCACCAAAGTCGAAGCCACCAAGCCGCCCTCGTCGCGTAACGTCTCCGCCGAAATTTTCGTCGTCTGCCGCGGCTTCAAAGCCCCAAAGCACATCGATCCTCGCTTCCTTGACGCGAAGAGCGTCTTCGCAGAGTTGGCCGACCCGACCCCCAACAACGAAGCCAAGGTCTTCAAGCCCGAAATAAAGAAGAGGAAGCGTGAGGGTTATGAAGAGGGCGACTGGACACAATTCAAGGAGGCGCCTGTGAGCGAGTTCATCAACACCACCGACCCCATTGCCATGCTCGGAAGCCTGAACAAACTGAGCTTTGCGCAGCCGCCCAACGGAGACGTCGCCATCGCCACCATTGACAAGCTGCCCGAGACTACAATTGAAGTCAGGAATTGCTGTGCGGATCTGAAGGTGCTGGGTCGCGCCGACTTCAAGAGGCTGCTCAGATGGCGGTTGAAGGTCCGCGACATCTTTGGTTTTTCTAAAAAGAAGCAAGAGGAGGCCGAGGAGGTGGCCGAGGTCGAGCCCATGGACGAGGAAATGCAGATCATGGAGGATATGCAGCGCCTTGAGGACCAGGACTCCAAGAAGAAGAAGAAGGCCCGGCGGCAGGAGAACGAGCGCAAGCAAAAGGAGGTCGTGCGAATGCAGATGAACATGACTACGCCCTTTGAGATCGGTATGGAGCAGTCTGGCCCTCAAGGCGACGATTCCATGTTCGGTCTCAAGTCCATCGACAAGGCCGGAGCACTCGCCAAGGTCGCGCGCGGCAAGATGGCAACAGTCGTCGAGCGTCAAAAAGACGACGAGTCCGAGGAGGAGGTCATCACCGACGACGAAGGCGATCAGCTTGATGCCGAGCTGGACAACATGTACAGCGAGTACGTCGAGCAAAGATCTGCGCGAGATGCAAAGTACCGTGCGAAGCGAGCCCGGAAAGAGGACGAAGATGGCGAATGGAACGGTTTCTCGGATGAAGATAAAGAGGAGAGCAGTGACGAAGAGTTGGTCCAGGATCAAGACAGCGACTGGAGCGACGATGAAGACGAAGCGCCGCGACCCTTGATAACCGACCTCGACAAGGACGGTAGTGGCAAGGGTGGTCTTACAAAGCGTGCATCGAGGTTCTTCGACCAGGACATCTTCAAAGGCATTCCCGGCTTGGAAGAATTAGAGGAGGCGGAGGAAGACGGCGAAGACAGCGGCATCGACGTCGACGGCGAGAGCGAAGACGACGCCACCGCCGCAGCACCAGAGAAGGCCGTCGTCAAGAAGGTGCAGATCAAGGCGCCGGCACAAGATGACGACGCAGACTCATCCGAAGACGAAGACAAGATAGAAGAAGTTGCCCGCGACGAATCACAATGGGAGCAAGACAACACGCCCATGCGCAACGGGCGCCCCGATATCGACATCATCACCGCCGAAGCCATGACCATGGCGCACCAGCTTGCGACAGGCAAAAAAACCAAAGCGGACCTTCTCGACGACTCCTTCAACCGCTACTCCCTCCGCGACGTAGACGGCCTCCCCGACTGGTTCCTCGACGACGAAAACAAACACTCGAAGCTCCAGCGCCCCAAAACCGCCGCCGCAGCCGCCGCCATCAAAGAAAAACTCCGCGCTCTCAACGCACGCCCCATCAAGAAGGTGCGCGAGGCCAAGGCGCGCAAAAAGTTCAAGGCCGCGCAGAAGCTCGAGAAGCTCAAGAAGAAGAGCGCGATGCTGGCGGACGAGGAGGGCCTGACCGAGAAGGAGAAGGCGCAGAGTATTTCGCGTTTGATGAGCCGCGCGGCGAAGAAGAAGCCCAAGCAAAAGGTCACGGTTGTTGTGGCGAGGGGCACGAACAAGGGGCAAGGTAGACCCGGAGGTACCAAGGGCAAGTATAAGATGGTGGATGCGCGGTTGAAGAAGGATGTTAGGGCGGAGAAGAGGATCGCAAAGAAGAGGAAATAGAGGAGTAGTTGTGCGTAGTGGAATTTGTATATACCTCCCGGCGGCGCTGGGCGAGGGTTTCCTTGCGACGGCCATGTGTCCGAATGTTACGTGATGTCTGCTGGGGTGTGGGAATGCTTGTGTGAACTGTCCCGTCTGCACTGTTTCCACGTGCAATCCGCGCCTGCGATCGCAGTGTTTTCGCCTTCGCCAAGCGCTGCTCGCCGTGCTTGCGCTGTGCTGTATCCAGCCTCGAACGTGCGAAGCCACCGCTGCCGGCGGCCCATGTTCCAAGCAAAACATTGCTTGGAAGAATTTCACAACATTGTTGTCGAACTTGATCGAATGAACAAGATATCAGTGGCTCGTCGTGTAGATGTGCTTTTGCTTGGCCATTTCTTTCGTAGCCGTAGGTGTCTCAATGCATCCGGGTGCGGAAATACATGTGCACAAGTTCGAGAACAGAAGATTTCCATGGTAGCAGTCGTGACCCAACATGATATGTACAGAAGCCACACGTACAGAAGCCAAACCCTCCAAGTACAGAAGCCAAATCCTCCAAGTACAGAAGCCAAATCCTCCAAGTACAGAAGCCAAACCCTCAAAGTACAGAAAGCCAAAGACATAAACTAAATTGCGGAACCCCAAAGAGATGCCACCAACGACAATGCACCTCGCGCTGTCGACGCACCGAAACAGAAACAGAAAATCGGGAAACCGTGATATCAAAACTTTTAGTGTGCCCCAACCAGCGCCTTGGTCCCCTCCACATAGATGTCTCTTTCACTTGTTGCAGACCTGTCTTTAGTCCGTTCCGCGCGACAAAAACCGGAAGGAAACAAGGGAACAGCGCACCCAACTGGACCGGCCACGCTACGACAGGTGACTTGTCGTCCTTTTCGTCCATTCCGCGAGACAAAAACCGGAAGGCAAGAAAAGAACAGCCCGCCAACTTTGCCTGGCCACGTACACCTCTCATCCTCATACTCCAGATGTCCGTTCCGCGCGATAAAAACCGGATCGGAAACGCAACACGCGCTTGAATCTTCACCTTCCGCCTTCTGGTATTGTGGCCACCATCTTATTCCGTTCCGCGAGATGAAATCCGGAAGGAAAGAAGGAACCCACTCAACTTGACTGGCCCCGCGGATTCCCAGATACGAATGCCGCTGCGTATATCGGGGTCTTACAACGTACTGGTCCTGGTGAGGCGAGGCGAAGGAGGGTGGGTCTGGTGTGGGCGATGGTGCGGTGTCGGATGTTCTAGCATGGTATTGCAGACGTGAAGAAGCTGGCGAACTGGTGGAGGCGTTGGAGCTGGCGGGTTAGAGCGGTGTCGAATCTGATCAGCATTTCGCGTCGGGAATGTGAGCTGGCGCAGCTGCTGAAGCCACCGCAGCCATAATCCTGAAGACGTCGCTCGGGTACAGTAGTGATATCTTTCGCCGCTACCTTATGTGCCGCTCGTCATATAGTCACACGCCCCTGCAGTCGCAGATCCAACCGTTCTGCGACGACACGTCTATCGTGCAGATCGGCCCGGCGCTGCGGCAGCTCGACCATAGTGTCGCTGGGCACTTCTGAGCTGGGCGTCCCCGAGTCACAAGTGCGCAGCGAAGCTAGGGCAAAGCGGGTTGTGTGTGTATGTTTGTTATGCTGTGGCCATGACTGGGTTTGAGTTTTTCTCGGCGGTTCGAAGGGCGGGACGGGTATGGAGGGCGCGTGGCTGCGGCTTCGCTTGAGACGGTATGTCTGTGTCGACCGAGCCGATTTGGAGGTATCATTCGCGTATTGATAGAGATATGACAGTCGGCGGCTGCTTGACTGTGGTGGTGAATTGGGGCTCTAGGAAAGTGAAGTCAGTGAATCAGAGGTATATGCACCTGTGCAGGCGAACTGCGCGGATCGAGGCCATGGGCGTGGGTGTGGATGGTGGCTTGCCATATTGGATCCGGGAGTCTTGACCGCAGTGGCAGACTTGCTGCTACTAGTTGCATACCAGGTCTTGTCGTCTTGCTGGCCTAAAGATGCGCCTTCACCAAGGCTCTGCACCAAGAGAATGCAGCCGTGCACTTCGTGCCGAGCTTCTTCAGGACAGTGTAGGTACTTGAGACGCATGGTCGGAATGCCTGGTATGAGTCGCTGATGCCCTTGGCATTGGTGCAGATGAAGCTGCACCAATCGTGGAACATGGCACGCATGTCTTTCCATATTGAGGGCTCGGTATCGGCAAAGCATGGTTCTCCACGGTCGTGGCGATGGTACTGGCAAGGATCTGACCACTGGGGTTTGATGCTCTTGCCCTTCCGCATAAACAAGCCGGCGGTGAACTGAGGTACCATGGGTAGGGCTTCCAGTCTGGTCATGCACTCGGCGTCTGGAAGGGTGGAGAAAATGCGACTGTAGACCGTATCGATGAGCAGGTTTCGAATTGGAGATGTCCGCGCGGTCCTGGTAAAGACATTCTCGACGCACGCGAGAATATCTTTGACAGACTGGTCTGAGGCTGTGCTAGATTTCTTTGCTAGCACATCTACCATTACGTTACAATAACTGTAGTCTTGTAGACGTTCGCCGAGCACGTACGCCTGGCAGATATGACCCCATTCATTCTCGCATCTACTCTCGATGAAGTCTGCTTGACGGTGAGGGCTAGCGCGGCGAGTGTGCAGCCAGTCTTTGTAGCTCCGAAAATCTTGGGGGTCAAATCTGGGACGGAGGGCTTGATCAGTTGAACTACTCGCGAAAAGATTACTAGGGATGAAGGCAGCTAAAGACTTACGTTGGCAATTTGATTAAACGCTTCTGTTCGTGGAACTTGGCAGCAAAAAAAGGCGAGGCGGCCCGCAGGAGCGTCTCAAGGTCCTTATCTACGGAAAAGCACTCGCTGAAGGCTTTGCCGACGTAGATAGTGTAGAGTCTGTAGCGCGTGAGTATATGTGACATGTACCGCGTGAATGAAGCACTTACTGTTCGCCGTTAACGGCAATGGTTTGCTTGGAATTGGATTTTGACATTGAGTATGTGTGGTTGTGTGAGTGAATTTGTGTGTAATGGAGCGCGGGCTCAGGGTCTGGGGAGCGCGGGCTTTTTATGTGGTGGCGGGCTGGGCGCAGTGAACACACGTGATGACGGAAGCTGGGTCCAATGCCCAGGCAGACCAAAGCTTTGAAATGGGAAACAGAAAACAGAAGCTTCAACCGGCTTCAGTGAAAGTTGAGGTGCGAGCCAACGCTAGCAAGCGTGAGTTTGAAGGAAATGATCGTACCGCGGAGTGGCAGCTGCGCTGCACATGCCAATCAAGCACCATACCCGCACTCCCAGCGCAGCACTTCGCAAGACTAAATAAACCGAACCGTACTGGAAAGTCTTTCATACCCGCAGCAATGGTTCTCGACGAAAGGTAGCTAAGTTGTGGTTGTGCCAGCTACACCTAGACTGTTCGATGTAAACTTCATTCATGTCAAAAGGCTCAGCCGATCAGCGCAACCAACAGCTCCTTGCTCGTCGAGTCGATCATGGGCGAAAAGTTCCCTTAGGCGCACTGGCATCAGCCAAAGTAGCCGATATCCGTTCCACTACTAAGGACAAAGGAACAAAGCAGACATTCATTGTGATTAAATGAAACATGACTTCTTACAAGGGTATCACAATCTACCACCTGGCCACACAGCTTCAGCTTCCGACGCATTACTACGGCTGACGCCTTCCGTTAGCCCCTATCTTATCTGATGCTCCTTACCAGCTCTCTCAAGTCGCCGCCCTCCACCCATTTCTCCTCACCACCTCCTCCCACACCGAGCCCACCCCCTGCACCGCCGCCGCTCACACCCCAACCCTCGCCTACTTCGCCGACGATTCTAGCAGGCCGACCGCCTACGACAGATCCCGGCGCAATGACCATTGCGCTGGGAACGACTGTGTTAGGGAGAACCTTGACATTTTCTTTGATAACAGCGAAGGGATGAATAGTAACATTTGCGCCAATATGAACGTGTGAAGATATTGCGATAGCTGAGATCACGCAGTTGGGACCTGCTACCCGTCAGGCGCATTCCAACGAATGCAGTTGAAACAAAGCAGCAGAGGCATACCTATGAATACGTTGTCGCCAATTTTCATCGGGTAGAAGTTCGGCGCGCCCCGACTCATTCTACAAGGCGGTTTGAGCACGGTACCAGTCGACACTACTGTACACTTTCCGATGCTGATACTAGTGGGCGTTCCTTCTTTGCCTGAGCTGGAGGCAGTGGGACGTGTGGAGTGAAGGTCGCCGCGGAGGACGACGTCGGCCATGATGACGGTGCGGCCGCCGAGGGTGATGTTGGCAGTTCCGGTGATGGCGCTCCGGCGCGATACTTTGTTGCCAGAGTCCTTGTAGGAGGTCAACGGCGCACTAGAGGGGAGGGTTGCAACTAGTGTGATAGAAGGGAACAGTAGCTGAAGCTATTTCTGGAAATGCGACCGCGAGGCAAAGACCTAATCTAAGATGCGTCGATAGAAAACAACGCGGGATACCTCATGAGGAACACTTACCGTCTCAATGTACTCGCCTTTTGCTGCGGCTTTCTTGGCAACAGGACGCGACATGACTGCACAGAATAAGAAATAGGCACTTTAAGGTGATGCAATGATTGATCGGAGACTCCTCGTGCCGCGGTGGATATCGTTGCGGAGCAAGCGTGACTAGCTGGGAGACTTGAAGGTCGCGGTCGACGGGGGTCGCTAACCAAGTTGGGTGATTAGTCATCAACCCTACTCGAAGTCACTGTCTGCTCGTGAGAACTACAGCGAAGACATATGTCATGAGGGAAATTCAATCTATTCGTCACTAATTTAAGTAGAGAATGCAGATCCCCTAATATTCCCACGTAGCTGATACTCAGGCATATGCCTAGGGACAGTCAAAATCGCAAAGCATTGTCTAATATATCGGCTATGAGCCTCCGTCATGTCCTCAAATATGCACACAAAACATTGCAATCTCTTGTCGGGCCGTTTTCAATCATCACTAAATGTACTACAATATCCTGTATGGTTAGTTTTAGATAGATACACTCTGATGCGGGTAGAATTACAGTGGCACGTGGCTCAGGCTAGATACTGTCGCGATTGACATTATCTACGCTAGGCTAACGATCAGTTGAACTTGGCGCTCACGGTGTGTTTCGATGAATGTGCGTACATAAGGAAGAGCGCGAGTAGGTATGGGGAACAGCATAAGACCCGGGGCTACTAGATCTGCCGGAGACACCAAGATAGTTTTCAAATTCACCGCACGCTCGGCCCTGAGCCAAGGCCTCTTATGGACATTACCTCAGCCCAATCGCACTAGATCAAGGAGGGCAATACATCGATGGCTATTGCCGACGGCTTCATGAGGGCTTTGATGACGACAAATTGACCCTTGAGGAAAAGGAAAACCTCTTAAGGACGAGAAAGCCCTACTTCAGCTCAATAGGACGTCTCTATGGCATCGAAAAGAGACTCGCAAAGAGGAGAAGGCGCCCTTGAAGGAAGAGATAGATCAGACCGCCAGCCACTTCGTCTGGTGCGAAAACAGACTGAAGTATAGTCTTCTCGTTCTCACCGGCCGCATCACGACTCTCAATTGCCAGATTGCCACTCTCAAGGACCAAGTGGCCACCCAGTCAGCGGAGGCAGTGGAGGCCCTCGTACGCGAGGCACACTATAAGCACAAGTTCAACGTCCTCCAGCGCAACCCAAAAGTCGCCGAGTGCCTTCAACATAAGCGGCGGCTTGCAACAAGGTCCATGAAACTGTCAATACAAAGGAGGGGTGAGATGAGGCAAAGTTGCAGATGCAAGCCATTGATTTAGAGATGGAAGAGTTCAAGCAAAAGATGTTCCATTCCCGCGATATCGACTATAAGGGTAAATACGGCTGAACTTACGGACACGCGCAAGCGGCTGTCTGCCTACCAGGACTAGGGCGCTGCCGTTCCCGGGAACGGTCAGGCGCATCGTGGCATCGACGAGACCGCTACCAACTCGCAGCACACCAGCGCTGGCACAGCGACGCGCGACACTACTCTGGACACATCAGCCGTAGCGGGGCCACCGCTGGTACCCTCAACACGAACCAGACGCCGAGTAATGAGCTGTCGATGGCCGATGCTGTGAAGGGCTTTCTTCAACAGATCGCCTCCAAGCAGGGTGTTGCGAACGTGGCCGCCGACGAATTGCCAGGTGTGGTTGATCCCTTCCACGCGGTGCAGTTAGATACCGCTCGCGACCAGGGTATCGCTCGGGAACTTTTAGCCAATAAGACTACCACCGACAATTCGCAGAGCGCTGTCACAGGCGAGAACACTTCGAGAAGACTTCAAACGGCTCGACTAAGCGAAGCACATCGCCCCATAACGGTGGAGGCGGCAAGCGGCCTAAGCACACCAAGGACTCAGCAGGGCCGAAAGGGTCTCACTGCAGCAGGCACAAGTACTTGCGCAGATGAACATCTGCTTGTCACACCATGTCAGTACCTGTACCTCAGGTGACTGCTCCTTCTTTCATATCGACAAGCGAGTGGTGGAGGCGCTGGTTGACGCAAAGACCATACTTGCTAGGCAGGTATGCGGTGAAATGACGCTGGTATGAAAAGACAACATGGTGTGACCTAGACCTTCGAAACGACATGGAAGGTTCTTCGAGCATATTGGCTCCGATTCTGCATGAAATTTCAAGATTGGGTAATGGAATTATGATCAGGTCGTTTATAGGGTGGACGGAACGGTACAGGTAGTCGTGTTCAGGTTGTCAACTGGGTATACTTGCAGGGCGCATTGAAATTCTCAAAGCTCGTCCTTCCATGGGTTATCGTTGGAAGGTCTCCTCACGTCTTCAAACTCCTCTTCCTGCGGTCTGTCCACCAACACCTCTTCTTCCTCAATACTGACACCTTCTGTGGCTCCATCGCTGTCCTCATACCATTCATTCGTTGCCCAATCAATGATGTGCTCTTTCGCATGCTCGCTCATGATGTAGTACCCGGGATTTTGCTTTGGGTCAAACATTGACATGTGCGCCCAGGTTTCCGCCGTGCTTTTGTCGTTGACAGCCGGAATGAAATACTGCCGCAAATCGCCCTTCGGGAGATTGCAAAAGGTTCGGTCTCGGCCCATCACCTTGCCTGTCCACGAAGACTTTTCTTGTGAGTCAACGGCGTGGCCAAGGGTAGTATAGATGTTGGCGAAGCCGAGGTCATGGGTCTGTGAAAGCTTGGTAATGCTAGCGAGCCGCTTCTTCATCTCTTCGGGCCTGGCGAGCGAACCTACGAATTCCAAGTGAGACGTCGCCCAGCCGAGGCCTTCCGATATTTGTTCTCGCTTCATATATGCAGCAGCACCACCGGCTGCGACTGCTCCTGCAGCGCCAGCAAACAAAGCGACTCGGCCATATTTCTGCCAGAGAGGTACCGATGCGGCGTCTGCATTTGTGTCGCTCACTGCCTGTGCCGATCTCTGCGCCCCTTCCAGCATTCTACTCGAGCTCATCGCCGTCTGGGCGCCGGTTTCTGTGCTCTTTCCCCACCCAAACGCGCCGGCAACGTTTGAATAAGCCGAATATGCAGAGTTTGCTGTGTTCCAATGCTTCTCTGCGCCGTGGGCTACGACGCCAGGTGCAATCCCAAGATACGGAGTGTCGAAAGCGAGAATCGCTTGGATGTAGGGAAACATGAGAGTCGAAGAGTCTCGCAATGATGATGCCGAATTTGAGGCGGAGTTGTGTGAGGGAATGGGTTGCTCATCGATGATGGACAGAAGCGTTTCCGCAGCCACAATCCCGCCCATCGAATGACCTATGAGAATAGTGTGGACGGAGGGATCGACGGTGGGCGATGGTGTACCATTTGCGACTTCAAGGTCGATGACCTTATCCTGCAGCCTTAATGCTTGTTAGATTGTGCTGATTCATGCCCGATCGCTCTGTGTCTGTATGCGCGCCAGCGCGCGCCTCATGCGCATTCTGGACTCACCACTCCTTGAATCTCCCAACACATTCGCGCAAGTCTCCCCTGGTCTCATACTGCGGGTACGTAATCGCCAGGACTGTGACCTTTGGTAAGGCATGCTGGAGTAGAGCCTTTAGATGCGAGGGAAACGTCCTGAAGGTACCGTCGCTGCCCTGGATGCGAGTTAGGATACGTCATCGCCATCGCTGGCCGTATCTGTGCACTGCGCTTGTTGCGCAACTTACCTTGAAGCCATGTATGAAGCATAGTAGCAACGTCTTCTTCATTCTGGGCTTTGCGTGTGCTCCTACATGGCCGTGCGAGAACCCCAGAAGACTTGGATAAGAGTGATGTTGGATTCCGCTTCGCCACACTAACGTGTGATTGGTGCGGGGTGAAAGAGGGCTATCGATAACGCCGCGTGAATGCGCGATCGCGCGGGCGCGCTAGTGACGCTCGAATCCTTCCGTTTCCTGTTGCGCGAGCTCTTCAAGAAGTGTTGGCGGTTCGGCTCGATTTATCTCTGTATGCTTGTCTCCCGCTTTCTTGGACCTATGGACCTTGCCGCAGCACAAGCCAAGGTGAAAGATGTGACAGATGCCTTGCTTGAGCTTGGCCTGGATCTCCCTACCTGGCACTTTGCTTAGAACCCTCACAACGAATTGTGATTCCAGAATCATATCAATCTCATTCTTAGGAAAATGTTCACTTTGGCAACATTCGCCCTTCTCATAATCCACGCAGATGCCACGGCCCCGCAGTATTTCGGGGCGCGTTAGCATGGATCGCTTCGGCGTGTGCGATTCAAGTTGAGCGTCACCACTGCTAGTCCGCTTGTGTGCGCTGGTGGATACAACGGCAGAAGGGGTCGTCAGAGTCCAGGAATCAAACTTCGTCAGAGGGTGCGGAAATCTTGTCTACCCCACCCTTGCTAACAGAGTTGGACTGCTTGCTAGCAGGATGACCTTGGCCGACAGAGTGGGTCTCAGAGACGTCTTGACGCTCCGCCTCGACTATAGATAGCTGTAGCATCTGACTCGGAGTAGGGCGCTTGATTTTGGGCGCGTGACCTTGACTAGTGAGCAGCTTGCGATGCTCCCCCTCCCTGTCATCCGACAATGACTGCGTCTCTCAACTGTTTCCAGAGCCGGAAACTTTTTTTCACGGTGGCGACAGAGTTACGTGGGTTATAGGTATTGCTTCCGATCATATTGGGTCGATGCACCGGGCCATCGGAGGGTACTGAGCAAGGTTCGGGCTTTGTGTGCGAGTGTCCCATCGGAACCGTCAATGCGAGATCTTGGGTGCGTCCGTGGTACTATTGATGGGCAGTATTGTTCTCGGAAGCAATGGCCTCGTAATTTCCGGTGATGATATCCATACACCATACATCATCATCCGCTAGCATGTAGTTAGTCTTCATGCACACACGTAGACCAATATTACAGCGAGACTTACCAGATGCAACTGCGTTGGATGAACTAAAATACGATAGTATAACAGGTATGTCCTCTATGAACAAAGAGTGTATCGTCCAAAATTACAACGAGAGAGATAGAGTCAGTATTGTCTAGGTCGCTCTAGAGAAGTGGCGCTTCAACCCGTCGCCATCTCATGTGTAACTGCTTTTAGCGATGTATAGAGACGAAAGTCAAGTATAGATACTACGAGCATGTATCATGCGTTTTCAATGAGATCATGTGCTCCTTCACGAGACGTCAGCCTTCCAGGCAGCACACCAAAACGACACCACATAACTGAGGAAACCTCCTTCATTCAGATTATCACGCACAGGATGCACTCCAGCGCAACTCGAGACATCCAAAATAGTCCTTCTCATTCGATAATCGTACAAAGTCTTCAACGCGCCCATGCATGCAATAAATCCAATGTCCTGTCTTCACCAACCATCATCGCATCTAAGCACCCCGCCCACCCCTCTCATCTTGCATCCCAATAAGATCCGGTGCCTCGGGGAAATCATTTCTCGCCTTTGCCTGGCTTCCCGTCGTATCCTTGCGCTCCGTCGCGGTACCTCCGCTGCTGCCCGAGCCGCTGGTATTCGCACTACTACACGTGAACAGATTAATGCTGGACCAACCACATCCCACGGGTACCACCTACTCCATACCATCCTTCGCATTGCTAGACTGAACATCGTACGTATCGCCCTTCGCGCTGTGTGCTTTGTTCACGCTGTGCTCGGTATCCTCACGCTTGTCCGTCTTGGCCTTCCGGTCGGCATCGACTCCACCTTTGCGGCGTGCTGCTGAAATGGCAAAGCTGCGGGTGGCAGGTCGTTGAACGGAGCGCAGCATCCGCGGTGTCGACATAGTCGCACGGCGGTAGAAGGTGAGGAACTCTGATGGGGAGGACATGGCTGTTACTGTATATTTTGAAGACGTGGGTGTTCAATTAAGAAATTGGAAGATTGGCTATGAGAAAATGAAACTTCTTATGGCGAGTATATAAGATGATGGGAGTCTGCAAGAAAAACAGCAGCAGCACATGAAGCCATCATTTCGCTTGGCAAGCACAACGATGATGAATGCATGATGACGGCCTGCGATCGTCGCCAGGCCCACACTCGCACCTAGCCCGAAACAGCACAGATTGCGGGGGCGGGGAATTTTACGCATTTGCGCCGACATGCAACATCACTCGTCTTTACATGTCAAATCCGCGTAAACGCCCGCACGCTGCGCCGCATCCACCAAGGAAGGCTTTGAACATGGCAAAAGACAGCGCACCGCAGGAGTTTCCCTGCACACTGTGTGTTCCCCAAACCTTCCATCATCCCTTGATAAGCCAGACTAAGCCGCCCCAGCACCCTCTCCATCCCCTTCCCAACCGCGCACCTCGCCCGCACCGCCTCACAGGCCCTCGCCGTCGACGCCGAACTCTCGCCCCTCGTGCGACGCTCTTTCTCCACCACATCCTCCGAATCCTCCTCCACGGAAGAAAGAATACTAAAAGTAGACTACGCCGCGACAACGAACCGCATGCTCCGCGTAGCAGTAAACGGGTTTTTCGAGAGCCTGGGCGTCGTGCTAGGGGTTATGCGGGAGTTGGATGTGGATGTTGTGCAGGGGGAGGTGGAGGGGGATTTGAAAGGGGTACAGGGCTTAGAGGTTGGGGTGTGAGCGGGCGCTGAGATCCGAAAGCAGGGATTATACTATGGATTGATGGGATGGAAGGATTGGAAATTCAGAAGGCACTGTGGAAGAGGATGTGGAGCGAGCGCCCACAGGACGGATGTCAAAAACCGCGGTAGCAGTCGCTCCGCGTGAAGATGGTACGCTGGAAGATGCCAATTTCAAGAGCAGTGAAGATACCCTAGCTGAGCCCGAAGATACCATGAGGCAGCGAGACAGGGAAGACCTGAGTAACAGATACTCGGTCTAATAAGACTACAATCTAAACCGAACTCGATAACGCCCCCATGCCGGGTCTCTCCGACCGATGCTCTACCGCTGTCATACTCCTCTTGTCAAACATCGCCTTTCAAGAGGTCCTCCCAATCCTCCTCCGTAATCTTGACGCTCAACTGCATCTCGAGACAGCTCCTGATATCATTGAATTTGGCTGGCGTCGATTTGACAAGCTCGATGACCTCTCCATCCTCAGATCCTGCTCTCGTGAGAGGCAGTGCGCTTGACAGGTGTTTGCTGCGTGACAGGCGGTGGAGCTTTGGCGGGCAGGGTCCAGTCCTCGTCAGCACTTGGTGTTTTCGGCGGAGAGTATGCTGAAGCGGGAGGGTAGTGTATCGCGGAGTCGATGTTTTCGTTGACATATTTCGGAAGTACTGTCGGATATCGCGGGAGCTTGAGTTGATCTGGGAGGCTGTCTGCCTTGGCCGTTCGGACGACTGCCTCCGCCTTAACGGGACGACATAATGATAGGCAATGTAAGGTAATGATTGGTTGTGGTGAATGATAAACGATAAATGTGGTGAGTGACTACGGATCGTGACGAATGCGAGAAGACGAATGTGGTGGGTAGGGGAAGACGAGTATGAGGGAACGGTTCTTGCCAACTCAGTGTTAACTCTAATAGTGTTCGAAAGTCCTCTGGCAGCCGCAACTATACACGGAAAGCGCGCTGTCGGTCGGCACATCATGAGCCAAATCAGATAGGAGAATAATGTTCGAAAGCCTCAAATAGAGTACTCAAGACAGTCGCCGCGACAATAGGATTGGTTGTGCCTGTAATAACGCAGTGCGAAAAAGAAAAGCTCTCACTTCTGGCCCGGTTTAAGTTTGGACTACAAATTGCAAGAGACACCGATCGGTGCACGTAGGGTCCCATGATGAAGATGAAAGATCAAATCGACGCCGGGCTATTATATGAAAGCGGAACCTGGCGCAATTGCAATTGATAAAGCCCCCATGGTAGTTTGGAGAGCAAAGTGTGGGATGGAAGGAGACAGGCTTCAACAGACACAAGAAGCTCAGGTCAGATAGCCGATATCCTGGTCATGTACAGGCGCTGTGGTTTAGAGATGGATGGATCAGCTCAAGATTGCGACGGTGGGGTCTGACAAACGCGCTAAACCCCGCGCAACACGCGTATCCCTGTCACGTCAAGAACATGTAACGTCACGTCACGTCTGGAGTGCAGGCCACCCACCCGCTATCATGTCGAGTCACAAGACGATTGTCGAGCAAAAGCAGCAGTTCCTGCAGTCTAAGAAGCAGTACCTGTCCCGCGGCATCGCGCCTTCGGAGAAGCTCAAGCAGATCGCGCTAGATGGCGGCGTTGAGCTGAGCGTCTTGAAGGGCGCCGTAGACAAAGGTGTGTACTCACGAGCAGCGGCCATGGGGACTGCCTGACGTATCATAGTGAACCGCGAGCTAAAGCAGCACTCACGGCGCGTCTACAGCCGGCAAATGAGCGAACACGTGGTCGAGCAGATCGACACCTTCTACTGGGAGTCGGGCTCCCGCGACGTCGACGACGAGGCAATCGATACGACGACAGACATGACCGACGATGAACACGCGATATATCAAGGTGAGGACCTCACCCAAGACGCGGTCATCGCGAAACTCCCGACGCGCTGGGACACCTCGTCCGATCCCACACCGTCCTCGGCCGAAGAACACGTTGACCAAGACGATTATTTGTCCGCCATCACACGCCTGCAAAGCCTCTCTGCGCACCGCCTTACCCTCCAGCAGAAGCTCAACACATACCGTACGCTATTGGCCCTCCTGGAACCGTATCGCAACCCGAAGAACAATGTGCAGCCGAACCTGGTGTGGAAGGATAGCCCGCTTGCAACGGAGCTAGGAAAGACGAGAACGTTGGCCATTAGGGTCGCAGGAAGACTCGGTGAAAAGTTTGGTGACGTACAGGTCCCGGCTACGGATGAGGGTCGAGACATTGACATGAGCGAGGATGCAAACGACAAAGTGAACAGGGTTCTCGCGGGCTGGTAGGGCTTCTATTATGGCGTTCAGGTTCAGTTTAGGATACCCAGGGGTGCTATGGTGCTTCGATCGATATTGATCTCGGAATAAAAGCCGGATGGATGAAGTCATGCGCGAAACCTTGTGGAAGTAACAAGGTGTGATACCGCGTGGACCCGTTCTCGAGTCTTATTCTGCATGGATGACTTCGTATACAGCGACAGTATTGCAAAAGACACTACCCACGATTGCCCAGTGCGGATGTACCGCAGTAGGTGGCACACAAAATTCTACTTCCAGAGCATACCTCATCCTATATAAACTTACTATACAATACAGTTGTGAACTACTATACAATAGTCTATACTGAAACCTTGCAGCTACAAAAGTCTATTTTATACCCGTCAGCTACTGTGTACCTCCCTTCTGTAACAGGAAGAAGGTGCGCTAAGAACGACTTCCTCAGCTATGGCCGAAGTCGCCGCACATATTCATTGCGTACTCGGCTTCTCCTAATAGCAACCCACTACACATTCGCCTAGGCATTCTTTGCATTGTTTCACACCGACATTGTTAGTCACTCGCTACGACGCGCAACCGGACGACCCACTATCATGCGCGTTCCACGGCATGACTCGCCGTGCAGCGCTGCCCTCGTGCGCGTGGCACATCAGTGCAACGTTCGCATCTTCCAAGGTACTTTACATGACAGTTTGCAGGGACATGAACACTGAACGTTGGAAAGGCATGGTGCACCAGTACAAGCTTGCGAATGCCACGAGCGAGGAGATATGTCTCTTCTCCCTGGCTTGTTCCAAGAGACGCTGACGATGACTGTACAGATTACAGTGACACTGAAAAAACTCTTGCTCCCAGTAGCCCGAACCCAGGTCTGGCAAGCCAAGGAACTCGGCCTGTCTAACAAGATAGTATACGCCTACTACGCGAACGTCGGTGCTGCAGTCACTGTTGAATGGAACCGAAAATGGCGGCACCCCCTTTGGTTCTGGACTTCGCAGGCTGTGATGTCCATTGTTACGCATCTTGTCGATCTCTACGATACCGAGGTCATTGAGGAAGATGGCGAAATGAAACCAGCAATTGTTGTCAAGGCCTTGGCAATTGCTTTGAAGGAGCTTTAGGGAGGCATGAACTATGCTCAATTGGAGACCGAATATGAGGCAAAGATTGAAGATTACGACACAGGATGCAGTACAGAAGCAAGTATACCCGGGCTACCAAGGAAGAAGGTTGGAATGACTGTTCAGGCAATGCGTACTGTGCTTGGGGAGGAGCTACTCGAGACTATGCCAAAAAGTTCGTCAGGCGAATTGCTCGTTTGTGCTTCGACTCCAACACCCAAGTGTGGTAACACCGATCCGCCGTCACGTTCAACCCAACCGAATCGCCCTTCGACAACAACACTCAAGTCTTTCCCGACACTTCCAAGCCAACGGAAGCAGGCCGCAGAATCTCCATATTTCCAATCCATTAGCCTCTACCATGGGGACGGATATGAACCTACTGCGCTCGAAGGTAGAAAGAAACTAAACCGAGATGTACTCCAAGCTGTGAGAAGGCTTGCGCCGCGAAATTTCGACATTTTTGCTCAGAGGCTATCCCATAAAACGTTTGCGAACAGGGAAATGCAGATGCAAGCAAAGGAGCGTTGGGATCGGGCAGCGAACCCTACAGATCCTATCAACGGCGCTGGTGAGTGATGCTCGAAAAATTGATTGGACTGTTTGCTGCATAGATCACGGCTGCTGAGCTGTTATCTTGGGCGTTTACGAGCGTCCCCCACTTATTCTTCAACAAATTAAGAGTTCCCACCAGGGCTGTTTTGTCCTCAATAAAGGCACAGGCTCATCGTCTGACAGGTCCAGCTCAGCCAGCGGCTCCTCGACCACTGCCGACACAGGACAAGGCACGGCTTGAGATTCTTCGACTGATGCACCAGAAAATGTCCGCAGGCTCATCTCAAGCATCTGGACCCTCCACAAGCGACAACGCGCCACGGCCAATCCCGGGTATCTCACAAGGTGGTCCTGATCAGCAAGTTTCCAACCTCACTAAACTGATTGAAAAGCTTCAACGTAAACTAGAGGCCGCGACCCCCTCTGATGAATTCATCCTCTTCCCGACCTCAGCTCGGCCATCATTCACCCCAAGCTTCATTGTCACCGCACCGGCCGATCCGTCCCCTCCCCCGTCCCCTCCCTCGTTTGCGCACTCCCTTGAAGACATGGATCCAATCGACCCGTCATTGGCACTTCAACCGGACAATAAGTCATCGACGACAGCAGAGAGTAAGAGTGGGGGAGGCGTCGCGCTGATGCAAGAAGACAATGCCAGGACTACTTCGCCTTCGTCGGTGCGTTCAGATGAAACGATTATCTATAGAGGTCCAACCACGGTCCCCCCGGCACGTATCAACACACCATCCATTGAGATTGAGGCGAGCGTAATCAAGAGCTGCGTCAGTAACAAGTCTAGTGAGTAGACGACCGAGTACAAAGTGGATGTGTCTTTCTTGCAGAAGGAAAGACTTCTAAGACATGTACTATCATCCTGTCTTAACTCATACTGACTTTTTATCCGTAACTTAGGTGATAGCTCCAGTCATAGTCCTGGTGACAAGGACCCTCCAGGTGGATTCCCCTCACCTGACACCGGCGTACCGTCCCCCCCAAGAAGGATAGTGTCGAGACCGAGTCCAACGAGGAGCCCGCCAGTTTTCGAGATTTCGACGAAACATTCGTACCGTATCGGCATGAAGACGCATATCATCACGACCGATTGGTATTCAGGCGGTGGGTCGACGTTCTTGACTGGTGGGCTGATTAAGATGTCCTTGACGTTCGTAGATAGATCTGCTTGAACAAAGACATTTCGAAACCGCGCGGAATTCCTCCACGTTACGTGAGAGCACACTGCAGGCTTCAATTTGGCAATGTAAAGCATTCGTGATATTAATAATGTGACCAGGTCCTGGTTAAGAATGCAAGAAAATGCAAGACCCGGATGTATACGCAGGGCTGGGGTATCGTCTCGTGCACGTCCATGACTTCCTTTCCTGAACAAGCAGGCATGCCATGCCTCGCTATGCCATGATGCGCTCGCTATGCACGCTATGCACGCTCAAACCCACATACAGACTGACTGACTGACTGACTGAAGCATCCACGCGTTTCGTGATTGACGAGGAAAAAAAAAGCAAGAATAGGAAATTCGTAAGGAAATAGAAAACACAAATCAAAACTCTCCCAACCTTCCGTACCATATCATGCACCTCGCCCCACGCCACCACCTCACACCTCAATATTCTCAAATGGATCCCGATCCGGCGGCAACCCCCTGTACAGCACATGCCCACTCGCATCGAGTCTCGCATTCACGCTCGTGATCCAGATCTTCCCGCTAAACGCGCCCGTGCGGCCAATCTCGTCGGCCGCGACGCCCAGCTCGTCGTGCGGGATCCACACCGCGGGCTGAATCGCGCGCGTGGCGGGGTGCTGGAAGCTGCGCTTAATCAGCTTCTGGCGGGCCTCGGGCTCGATGTCTTCGAGCTGGTCGTCGATATCGTCGAAGAGGTTGGCGGTGGGGAGGGTTTGGGCTTCTATGTCGCGGATGGGGCGGCCGAGGTCGTCGACGCCGGCGCGAAGGGCGGAGGTGACGAGGTCGAGGGGGTTGTGGAGGGGCTTTTTCTTGTCTTTCTTTTCCTTCTTGGGAGTGGAGGGCGCGAAATCGTGCGACGAGTGCGAGTGCGAGTTGGGGTTGTCGCCTTTGTGGTGGGAGTGCGAGCGGGAACGGTCGCGCGAGCGATCGGCCCAGTTGGGGCGGCGTATGCGCTCGGGGGACTCGGTGATGTGGGGGGTGTTCTTGCCGTTGGGTTCGAATTGCTTAAGTTCGATGGCGCCGTCGTGCATGGCTCGGGAGCGGCGGCGGTCTTCGTCCTCGAGGCGCTGGGACTCGCGGCGTTCGGCCTTTTCGCGGGCAGAGAGCTCGCTGTTGAGGGAGGTGTGTTCGTCGGCGTCGCCGCCCTCGCCATCGCCTTTCGATTGCCAGCGGGTCTCTTGTGCACGCTGGAACTCTCGGTCGCGCTCTACAGCCTCGTCTTCGAAAGTGATCGGGAGGTATTTGAAGAGAGGACCGAAGGCGCGATTGAGGAGAAGTTGGAAGAGGATCGTGAAGGCTAGCGTGACAACCATGATGATTGCTTGCGGGAAGCAGGAGAGGTCGCCTCCAGGTCCTCTCTGCAGGAAGAAAAGACCAATCAAGGTGATCTCGAGGAAGTACAGACCAGTGAAGAGCTGGTTGATCGCCTTCGGGAAGATCAAGCCATTGGTTTCGGCTTTGGCGTACGAGACGTATATCATCTGGTATCTGTATGTGAACCAGAAGAGGCTGAACGTGATCAACAACACGATCATCAACAGCGGCGCAATGACGGCGTAGATGAGCCCGATAGCGCCGAAGTTTGTATATACGGGAATCATGTTTCCCCAGGTAATACCGGGCCGGCTGAGCACCCGAGATACTTTCTGCCGCGGAGTCGTATCCAAGAATCTACTAAACAAAAGAAGCGCTACCGCGGCGATTTGCAACAGAGTTCCCGAACTGATACTAAAAGCCTGCAGAATCAGATACGAGAAGAAGTAGTTAGCCGCTTTTGGTAGTTGTTCAGCGAGCGTCTGGGGAATGTTGACGATGGTGTTGCCTGCCTGAGATGGGTCGCCGCGGATTTCATCGATAAACCCAGTGATGCCCGACGAGATGGACACCACTAGGAACAACTGGACGAACACGAACGCAAAGTAAAAGTTCTGCACAAGCAGCTCTCTCTCGCCCATCGTAGTTGTACCAGTTAGCTCAGCCATGAGACGCAGGATGATCGGCAGAACTGCAAAAAGGATAGCCAGGATAAGAGGAGGCAGCACACCCTGGATGAAACTGATGAGCCACACCGGCAGCTTCTCGATCCATGCGAGCCATGGTACACTATCCGTCAAAGTCGAGATTTTCGAGAGGCCTCCAGTGAAGGCGACCAGAGGTGACCACAATATAATCAAGGTCACGATGGTTGCGACAATGACGGTCATTCGGACGTATCGTGACCACCAAGGCATCGTAAGGTTGTCCCAGATGACATCGTTGGGGTTGACTTCGACGGTGCGGGGATTCATCTGCTGGGGTATGTGATGACTGAGCGACTGACACGCCATGTGTGCAGCGACCTGGTGATTGAACTGAATGAAGGCAGAGTTCATCAGCGGGAACTGTTCCAGATTGGCCTGGTCCAACCCAATTTCGTGGTTCAATCGGGCCAATTCCTTTCGACAATAGTAAATCGTGTCCACCTTCTTGCCGATCAATGGGAGTGACGGCCACCATGACTTGTTGAATATAGGCACACGCATCGTTTCGCGGTCCTTGGGCTTGATGTACTTTCTCCAGACAGCGTCCTCGCCATCTTCAACAAACGATGAATCGTAGACGCCAGCGAAGTCATAGTGATTGTCTTCGGGCTTCTTGATCTCCAACGGAAATTCTTCTCCCTCGGCACGGAACGGCTGGGGACTAGCAAAGTCGCTCAATCGCCGGACTGGGTTCAGCCGTGACTTCTTAATAGTATTCATCGCCTTGAGCGGACCCAATGTCGACTCGGCGGTGTGCGGGCGCTTCTTCTCTGCCGCAGAGTCGGGAGAGTTGGGTTCAGTCGCAGTCCCGTCCGAATCAAATTTCACCATTGCTGGGTCGTTCAACCGGGTGTAGGTGTCGGAGCTGGTGCCCCTCCCACCAAACTCAGCGGTGTCAGGCGAAGCCGGACTTTCAGATGCAAGCGTCTCCGGGTGTGATGTGTCACGGTTGTGGCCTTGCTGTTTGCCGAATGCACCTTTGATCCCACCAGCGAAACCGCCAACCACTTTGCCGCCAAATTTTCCGACGTCGCGAAAGCCGTCTCCAACAGCATGGATGCCTTCGCCCAGGATAGGGATGGGAAGTATTTTGCGCTTGCGTTCGGGCGAAGACGATCGCGACGAGGATGAAGAGGATGAAGAGCTTGACGAGTCCTCTTTCAAGACGTCCTGGAGGGTCTGCTCGATTTGATGTGGGTTATTAACGCTCACTCCGTATTCCTGAGTTTCGTGGTGGATGGCGTTGTTCTGCGTCTCCTCTTCAGCTTTCTTTTCCTTCTTGCTCTTTTTCTTGCCCTCGTGCTTTGCCCTCTTCTCTTCCATCTTCTTGTGTTTCTTGGTGCATTCGATGATGAGGTTCACTTCGGCGTTTTCGAGTGCACGCGCAATGTTGGTCCTCTTCTTGACTTTCTCAGACAGCTCGTCGTAGTCGCGATTGATCCAGATTTCCTTGATACCGCCTGGAAACACATCGTACAGGGCGTCGAGCGCAGCCACGGTAAGCCATTTTCGAGGAATGCTCTGTACTAGAATTGTCGTGGCAGAAGCGCGAATGCGATGCTCGGGCAGGGTAAGGATGGTCTGTCGCAGACGCACGAACTTCCTCAGAGCCCTGTAAAAGTTGTAGCACACCCAGATAACCACGCAGACGGCCAGGACGGCGTGGGCCCAGAGTCGCCGACGCTTTGATTGTACCCCAACATTGGGCCAGGCGAAAGAGTCCAGACCCGACACGCCAGGTACGTCTCCTATGCGGTTTATCGGCAGGAGAATGGGCAGGATCACGATGGCCATGGGTATGAAGATGCGAAGCAGCAGCTGGAGGTACTGCAAGAAGAGGTAAGCGTCGACACCTGCGACGCGGATGACCTCGCGGTCGCTGATGGTGAAGACATTTTTGAACGATTCGATAGCAGTCGTGGGCGCTGCAATACGTCTGCGCTTGGAGACAAAGGCGGTTTTGTAGTAACTAATACAGTCAGTGCAAGCTCGGCGGCTCATCACTCAAGACAACAACGCACTAGATCTTGTGGAACAGGCTCTGCCGCGCAGCAGCCTTCTCCGTTGTCTCCTTTGACCGTCTGATCTTCCAGTTGCCGCTCAGGATCAAGAAAGCGAGGATCTGCACGCCAAAGACGACGGCGGCCGTGGAGAGCGAGGCGGCGAATGTCTTGATGCTCTGGTTCTGCGATTCCTGCGCGACTCCAGTGTTGTTGCTGTCTGCCCGCGGGGCCAGGGTCACCGGGCTTACGGCTGACATGGTGCTCGGGCACGCTGCGGTGGCACTGGGCGGTGTCCCCGGATTTTGTCAATGTCTTGGTACAGCCGCAGTACGGGGGGTTAGGCGGCCTGCGCCAGGGCCATGGGAGTGCGTGTCGCGAGCGGCGGGCGGTATTCGTGGCAGGCGTGAACGCAGCAAAGTCAAATTGCAAAGTATCGAACGTCGTAAGGACGGTGGTCTGTAGGTACAAAAGGTTGAAAGGGAGCCCAGTGTTTCAGAGATGCTGTGCCCACGTCCAGCGCGTCGTTGGGCCCTTTTGGGCTAGTGGGCGCGTGCAGACGGATTGCTGGGCGCCATCTGCGTCATTCAGCGGCAAGCGAGCCGCGCCGTGAGCCTGCAGCCAAACAATCGTCACCGGCAGACCCTCCTCAAACACACCCGCAGCGAAGCCACCTGGTCCCTGGCAACGTTCCTGGGCTAACAGTGTTTCGCACCGCTGTTCCCACGGGCAGTGGCTCTCTTTCCGCCGTGTTTGCAAGGCTGCGCAAGGCTGCAGTGAATGGCTGTATCTCACCTGTTGAGTGTGTGCATTCATGATCCAGGGGTTGTACAATGATCTGCCGCTAGAGCCAAGGGTGACGCTATCCCGCATCGCCCAGCCTTGCTCTCAGCGACAAGAACAAGGAACCGCCTGCATTCCATCTTCCCCTCATTGTACAGCCTCATCCTCCGTCTCCTTGATTGGCGGCAATACTTCCATAACCAGGCCGGAATGACAATACGTCGTTCCCTCGCCTCCTTGCACCCGCATCCCTCTAAGATAGAGACTCAGCGATGCTGACCATCAAAGACAAAACCGCCAGGCCGGATCTCGAGATCTGATATGCGCAAGGTTCTGGGATCCTATGTGCATCGGGTAGATCGGCTGACACTCGGCTCCACGGCACTGGGGATACCTGAGATGCAGTATGCACCAGCTGCATGCATCGCCCAGCAAGTACGCGTTTACTGGCGTCGCAACAGCTCAAAGTTGCCTCCTGTCAAGAAAGACAAAGGTAGGCTCGCGTTATGTATAGCATCGAATACAAGTTGTTGCAACCGCTGCCAAAGTCCGCTCCAAGCTACATGTGTAGGGGAGAAGCACCTATGGCTGCAGACCAGAAACAGTTGAATATCCGCGCACCCTATCCCGTATCAACTCACTGTACTATCCATTCGTAGACGTGTAGTGTAATGAATCAGCGTGGAAGTCCATAGCAGGGTCCGCCTCAAACATTGTTATTGTCGGCCAGTGTGAACTCTGCGGCCTTCAATACACGACCATGCCTCTCTGCAAAACCCCACGCTCAGCCCCATTCAGTATTCCGTTGCACCCACCATCGCGGAGATCTACCCTCGCTCTACCTCATCCTGATTGACCGGGAATAACCAGCCTAGCCTACACTCACTACCACGCGCTGCGCTCCGCTCCGCTCCGGCACGTGACCCGTTGGGGCAGTGCATAGAACTCCAAAGCGAGGAGTGCGAGGTCCGCCCCGCCAGGCACACTCACCTTAGCAACACCAAAACTTCATGATCGACCGCTAAAACGTGGTCCCAGGGCCTGATTGGACGGCGGTCAGTGTTTCGCATGGCTTCGGTGGTGGCAGTATCGCGCTGGACGTGAAGAGAAGAGGTGTATAAGTAGATGTAAATGCAGCTCCTTTGCAACTGATGGTATAGTATGCTACAAGTCTTCCATACAGTTTTTCTTGCAGTCGAAACTGTTGCATCCCACCATGTCCACCGCCATCGCCCTGACCGACATGCACGCATCCACCCCAACCCTCCACCACCGCAACTCTTCCAAACCCTCTACCACGCCGAACTCCGAAACTGAACATCATGACCCATGGCTCGACACCCTCCAGGCCACCTCGCCCCTCCCATCCCACCCTTTCAGCCCAACCCACACCTACTGGATAACCCCCCACGGCCTCCTCACAAAAAACATCACCATCCTCGACCTCACCCACGACATCTCCACGCCCTACACCGGCCTGACACCCGAATACAAGACCGCCGTGCAAGCCGCGCTCAAAGACCACTCCTTCACGCCCACCTGGACATGCCAGCGCATCAACTGGCTGGGTCTGCGGCACAAAATCATCGACACACAGGGACGACTGGTGGCCGAGTGGACGCACCCCTGGACTTCCGTTGGCGCCGCAACGCTGGCCTTCACGTCACAAGCTGCGCCGGAGGGCATGCACGCGCTCACGCTCAAGCCGCGGAGGTGGGGTTTGCGCACCGAGGCCTTTGTACTCAACTCGGTCCAGTATATCTGGGAGATGGACTCGACGTGGCACAGCACGCACATGACGCTGTACAGGGTGTTTGGGGAGGGGGAGACGGCAAGGAGGGAGACTGTGGCGAAATACGCTGAGAAGTGGTGGGGTGGGATCGTTACCGGGGGGGCGCTGGTCGTCGATGGGCGGGACGACGGGATGGCTATGGTGGCGTGTTTGAGTGCGGTCGTGGTGTTGAAGAAGAAGAGGCAGAGAGCTGCTGAGAGGAGGAGCGGCGGCGAGTAGGCTCTAACACGCTGAGGAAGTCCGAGCTGGCGTGGCTCTCATGATAACACAAAGGCTGGATCTCAGCTAATATCTGTAACAGTAGAGAATTGGTAGAGCCTTGTTCTTATTTGAGCTACTTTGCTTTTCTATATTCTTCAGCTGATATTGTATCGCCGGTGTTCACGTTGCCGCGAGAGCGCGGTTAGAATTTTAACTGAATTTTGTGGTACCTATCCTCGTACAACAACTCGTGCTGGAAGTTCCACCCTAAGGCTCCGTTGGCTGGACCACGGCGTCGGGTTTCACACGAGGTATTCATGTCTGGGACAAATCGACATCGCAGCAGATCATTACGCACCCGCTCCGCCAGCCCTCTTCCACGAAGGCCTGCATAAATTCTGGGCGCCCCAAGGCATCATAACTACCCACCAAAAACTCTACGGGGCGGCGAATGATACAACGATCCTTAGCCAGAGCTGTTTCGTGATGGTCGTCGATTTTCCGAAATATGGATCTGTACCAGTTCAGCGGCGCGTCGGAACGATGTTGCGGGAAGGCGATGCTGAGGGAATGCTGGATTGCCATGTCCGACTGGGGGTCAAAAGCTTTCGCAGTACTATATCGGCCATGTGCAATCCATTGCTGCAGCCCTCTGCGGGGTAGAAGACACGCGTTACACAGACTTGAACCTTTTGCATAGATGATTGACAGGAATGACGGGATCTTCGCTAGCTGTGTTGGCTAAACCTCGCGGTAAGCAATGGGGAATCATACGTTAGAGTTAAGCAATTGGGGTGCTTCCTCAGATGCAATAAATTTCCAGTAGCCTCCGATATGCGAAGGATCTTGTCTCAACTGGGAGACTCTGTTGGCCATCATGTCCACGTGCAATGGTGTAGGAAGTATATAACTGGCACCCATAAACGCAAGCCCAGCAAGGTACTGAGGGTGATACCACCACAATCTCGCCAATAGATGTGCGCCCCTGTAAGTTTCTGCGTTAGTCTCATGGCTATCGGACGCACTCCTCGGGTCTGAAAGGGGATCTTGACACGGCCCGTAGCGCGGTGAGAGTGGTAGGATGAGCTCACACGCCGTGACCAACACCAATCACATAATCCAATTGGTGATGTACGAGTACTTCAACCATGTCGAGGCACATTCTTCGGATCGAATAGTCATGTACGTCTGTGGGTTTTGATGTCTTGCCGAAACCGAGAAGAGCCGGCCTGATGATGCTAAAGCCGAGACCCAAAAGACGTTCGACGACTTTGCTCCAGATCACGGATGTGCTAGGGAAATCATGGAGAAAGAGAAATGCCGGGAGTCCTTGGGAAGCAGGCCTGTACCCGTAGAAGTAAATGTGTGGTGTTGAGAGAGCTAGAAATTTCCCCTCCTCTTTCTGAGACATGGTGCAACAAGGGCCTGTGCAACAGACGCTCAAGTATACTCAGAGGGTGTGTTTTCAGCTGTGAAAGAATGCGCGACGCTTTTGGACTTTGAGATAATGTATGCTGTATGCCGTATCCTGGTGTCAAGGTGGAGGGTTGAGGTCGGGACACAGGCCTCACTTAAATTATCATTCGAGTAAAAAGAGGAAGCCATGGCCGGAAGTACGGCTTCCAAAATATAATGGGAAAAGAAACGTCGACCGACAGCTGCAGGATGGCTTGAGGGCAGGAGCATGCGTAGTTCCAGGGGAGAGCATATCACCGCGACTCGTCCATGGTGCTGGGCTGACATTACAAGGATACAAACATTCCATAATTCAGCCATTTCAGTGTTTATTGCCGTTCAGGGTGACTACGTTGATTGTCGATGGTACGGGTCCAGGACACTCACGTGATCAGACGCGCCTAGCCCCTATCCAACCTAGCGCACTCGGCACAACCTCGGCGATGCTGCGACACGGCGCATTCACCACAGTGCTCTCGCTGCAAGTGCAAGCTTACGCTTTGCTACCAAGTCGATAACGCGCGCAGCTTGCGATATTTGAGGCGCTGCTATACCGCATTCTGCGCACCCTGCGCCTCCATTGCTCGAGCGTTGTCATCGAGACACAAAACACCGGCTGCATCTAAAACAACAACCACCCCTCCGTGCCTCGGGCACCCTTAGCTCCGGCATCCTTCACGCCGACCCTCATATTCGCATCATGAACAATTTCTCCTTCTTGGACTCCGGCCCGCAACCCCCACTCCCCCGCGCCGCACCCTCGCCTTCGCCCTCGCCCACGTCCACACAAGCAAACGGCATGCCTGGTCCGGGGCCCCAGCAGAATGGCATCCCCATGGTCAATGGCCTGCCGAGTGGTGGCCAGCAAACGGACATGAACCACCTGTGGAGCGTGGTGCAGCAGCTGAGCCAGATGCTCGAGGAGAACAGGGCGCAGACGGCGGGCATTGTGAACGGTGTGCAGGCCATACAAGCGAGAGCGTCAGAAGAAGGTGGCGTGGGTGGTCTGGCAATTCGCGAAGTGAATGGAGAAATCAATGGTATGTACAAGCCGCAGTGCATCCGCATCACACGTAAGAGTTTGGGCTGACATACTTCCAGCCGCAACCCGCGCCGCAGAAGTCACGCAACTCCAAAGCTCTCTCCACAACGCTCAGTCTCGGATAAGCACCCTAACATCCCAGAACTCAACACTCGCAACCCTGTTGACCGACTACGAGAACGCGCTCACGCTGCTGCTCGATAAGCTTCGTCCCTACGCTTACACTCAAACGCAAGCCATTCTTTCGCTGCACAAGCACTACCAGGGACTCCTTGAGCAGGAACGTGCTACGAGCATGCAGTTGCGGCTAGAACACTCAGAATGGCAAGCCGGATTGGGCCGGGTCGCGGAATATGCGCGGGGTTCGCTGAAAGCCCAAGGGGAGAGCGAGAGGGGTCTTCGGAGCGAGATCAAAGGGCTGAAGGAAGAGAATCGGGTGCTCAGACGGTTGGCGGGATGGGAGGAGAAACCAGACGACAGCAGTGATGAGGAAGAGCTGGAGAGGTCTTGAACCATCATTCTGTGTATACTACGTTAAAGATGGGTGCTTTTCTGCACATGGCATAGCGACGGCGTTTGGTAGGATATCCCTGACTTGTCGCATTACATTGCGGGTCGTTCATGAGGAACGAGATATTTCATTCAATACTGTTAAAACCATCGCACCACGGTGACGCTGCCTTCTAGGCAGTCCTTTGCTCAATATGCATATAAGGCCGAGACGTGGAACCGAACTGGCGTAACCCTTCCCATCTCGACCAGTGCGGTGTTCTTTCTGGGAAACACTCAAGCGTGAATAAAACTCAATTAGCCTTATCCTATGCAAGGCAAGTCTATGGAAGACAATAGTATGAGAAAACCACAGAGCTGATGAGAGTATACGCAAAGCCGTGAAAGCACATTGATCAGCCCACTAACATCCTCCTTGAAAAAAGTGACTTGAGTAGACAGAAAAAAAAAGTCGTCTTTCTTTCCATACCTCTCATCGTGTTGGACACCAAAACCAGAACGCCAAAGCAAAACCCCGCCATGGCACCGTGATCTCAAATTCTTTCATCCACCACCATCTCCGCATCTCCTCCTCGTGCCACCTTACATCCAAAACATCGTCTTGCTGATGTTCGAATGCCAAGGATTGCCGCCTTTGTTGTACCTCTTAAATTCATCCCTCGCCTTCTTCATGATGTATTCGTCACATACTTTTTGTACTTTCTTCCTGTCCACCTCCTCCCTTGCAACGAGGTCCTTATCCTTGGACTGCCTTGCCTTGAGCTTTCTCTTGGATATAGCTGGCGGTGGGAAGTCTTTCTCGCGCGCCGCCTTGAGCTTCCTCTCATGGTCACGCTTGAATTCGTCAAAGTCATCACGAATTGGCGTCTGCTTGGGTGCTACAAAGTAGCTACGAAGGTAGCAGCGGCCTCGCTCGCAGAGTCTGTCAGCGTAGTATGCTGGAGATGCATACGAGACACCGACCGGAGCACGGACGTAAGTGTAGCACAATTCGTGTGTCTGCAGGTGAAGGGTGAGCTTTAGTGCGTGGAGATCTGTGCTCAATCTTGAAACTTACAAATTGGCTAAGTTGGGAAACAGGTATGTTGCCGTCATTCTTGACCACAAAGTAGTGTGCGGGTCTGGCCGTTCCTTTGATAGCTGCATGAGACTGCAGATAGAAGTCCTGGTAGTGAGGAGATGTGACAACATCGTCGACGGTGGTACCTGGATGACAATTGGAGAATTGGTCGGCCTCAGTGGAATTCGGCGGGTAGAATCGAACGTGATGACGCTTTCCGCAAATGATAGCAGTGATTTGCGGGATGTAGCCGTCAACATTGACCCTCTTCTTCTTGTAAAATTCACTAACTACTTGAGAGAAAGCTGCGTCGAAAGTAGCCACTTCCTCAGATAAGACCTGATCATACTGGCTCTCGCTCACCCCATCACGATAGTATATGATCCTCTTCGGCAGAGAAACGTATTGCTGTTCAGATGGAGTCATCTCATCAATCCAGTCTCTGACACGCTCGCGGAACATTTCGGCCACGTCATCAATGATCTAGACATATGAGTTAGTACATCCCTAGCAATAACCATTCGGGTACGAACCTCTTTCCGAGATTCCCTTTGCAGACGCATAGAACCGAGAAAACGTCCCGCATATTGATCCACCGACCCCACAATGGCGGCGATGGAGGGGCAGCCAGGGACTGAACCAGGACCCGGGTGCGTAACATCCGCACCCAACACCAGCGTATCCCTCATCAATGCCGATATCATCCCTTTTTCTATTGTGTGGTTGATACCCGCGGCTTTCAGGTTCATCTTCAAGGTGATGTTGCCCCATCGATCGCCGTCCCTGCCGTTCCGACCAGGACTAGTGACACATATGGCATGCAGACCAAACTTCCGATCGCAAAGGTCCTTGAAAGCTGAATATCCAGGAATACTTTTCCCTCTGAGCACCAAAAGAGCCATATCGGGCTTGTTTTTGCCCAGTTTTTCCTGAATGCCATTGTCAATTGCGGTGTGGCTCAGATTGGTGAGCTGGACCTCTGCTGCTTTGTTCACAGCAGCAACCTGGTATTGTGTTGCTGTCCAGTCCGCCAGATTGGCGTAGATATCAGTTGCCAACCCATCGCTAAGATTTGTCTCGCTGAGAACCAGAGCACTGAATGACCTTTGGGCATTGCACGTGTGGAGGTCTAAGCCAGCAAACTTCCAGCGCCCGTGGTGCGGTAGTCTTGCTGTTCTGTTCGTGCCATACTTGACTGTGGGATAATCAAGTTTCCCGCCGTCGACTCGCAACAGTGCCGGGCGAAGATAGAACATGGGGTAGCCTGGCTATACTTCTGTAAGCAATGACATGCTCTTACGTCCGATCAGGAGTGCAACTTACCAATACAAAATTCGGAATTTGTTTCCCGGCCTGGTTGCCAACTTCGTTCGAAGTCTGATTGGCAACCTGAGTGCCAGCCTGATTCCCGTCTTGGTTGTCAGTCCAGCCAAGAGTCTTCAGCCCTTCTATAGCCACCAGGGCTTTTGCCTCGGGCGGCCTCTGGCAAGCTATTCTCTGCATGGCATTCGTCAAATTGCTTGGAACCAGGCCTTTGTACTTCTGGTACGCCAGGATGCGAAGCTTCTCAGCCGGATACCACTTCGGCTCGTCTCTCGTCCCCAGGTTGACAAGCTGGAGGGTTGGGTGCTGTATAAAATTGGGTCCATACGCTAGGCATGTCAGTATCTCGGATCCTGAAATATTCGCAAGCTGACTTACTTTTGTTGTAATGATCCAAAACAGTCGTTGGTGTACCTCCTTCTGGTGTGAATATTTCATAGGCTGGTTGTAGTCCGAGTCCTGTAATGGTTTTGACTCGTCCTTCTTCGCTGTTCAACCGTTTGTGTGCGTCTGGATCTTTTTTGTCTCCACGTTCGTATGTAATGTACACTCGAAGGCCGTATATCACACCCTCGAAAATATTCCAATCCATCCTTCCGAATGTTACATCGTCAGTCAACACGTGGTGAAATAGGATCGGACGCCAGAAGGCACTCGTGATTGAGTTCACATTCAGAAGAACAACCCCAACGCCAGATTTGACTGCATATGAGTACCCGCGGTGTGTACATAACGACCCACCACTGCCGAGCGCAGCGTGAGCCTCCTTGAGGTAGAATTTGTTGGCGCCACCGGGAACGGTTGCAACAGCTGACTCCTCAGCACACTTGGAAATGATAATGTTCAACAAACTGATCATTTCTTTGATATCAAAAGTGGCGGGAAGGTTTGGGTCCATCCTGGCATAGGCGAAAAGTTCACCTACGTTCACTGTTCGTTCGTATCGCAACGTAGTCGGACCATCCGGAAATGTCAACAGATCATACTGCGCAGGAGAACCTTGTGGAGCGGTATTGGCGTAATTGGCGTTGTTCATGTAAGTACGGAGGTCTACCCATGAGACAATGGTTGTGAAGTAGTCCATGGCGAACAGAGTGGGATTGTTGCGCAGAACGGGAAAGTTTGCAACGATGCTCTTCATAATAGCACGTGCCTTGCGTTTGCCTTTTCCTTCTATCTCGGGAACCTTGAATTCGTAAAGCTCGATTGGTTTCATGCACATGAGTTGAAAGTGATTTGTCAGTACGGTCTTTCTGGACTTGTACTGGGCAAATTCAGTCCTCGCAGGATAAGCGAGTTGCTGACCGTGTAGCATTTTCAGATCCTTATCAGAAGGTCCTCTAGCTAAGCTCTCAAAGGTTGACAAAAGCTCCGCGGCTGCGGGTGCTCTTCGCGATGCAATTTCAGATCGATCGTGATCGAAGTTGTAAGATGCCACTAGCTTCATGCTGCCACTTGCGTTCTGAGATCCTGAAGTTCCGCCTTCGATAGACTGATTTGGGGGAGGTGTGCTCAACTCTTGCATGTTTTCGGTTGGTTTGGCAGTAGATCCTTTCTGGCTCGAGTTGTTGCCACCCTGTTGTTCCTGAACCTTCTCCTTGACCACGTTCTTGCCATCTTGCTTTGGTTTTTCTAGAGCTTCCTTTCGTTGCTCATCTCGGTTCTTAATTGCCCGATCGAACATCAAACCCGTCTTGTTGGCAGCATACCTCTTCTTGAGCTCATCAATCCACTTGTCAGCGCCTAGCTTCTTGCTGGGACTGAGTGAGCCGTAAGGCCCGGTCTTGTAATCTGTAGCGGTGTTCGAACAATCGAGACAAGAGTGTGAGATATCAGCGCAATGTACGCACGGGATAGTGAGGAATTCATCCCTGATTGCATCTTGTTCCCTTTTGTTGAGCTCTTGGAGGTCTGGTCTGTTCGATCGTTGACTGTTCGCGGGCGTTTGGAAGCCGTGGCCATGCTTTTTGGACGGCATGGCGTAGACTTGAATTGTACGCTCACTGATGAACAAGGAACGGGGTTTATCAGGTATGAATAAATGATGAAGGCAGTGATGCGTGATTCAATGGTAGAGAGATATTAAAACTGTGTAGTTGAGAGGGAAGTTCAATGCTGTGATGTTCTGACAAGTCGACCATTCATGTCCTTCATATATGCTGTCTGCGTTAGAAGTTTGAAATAACGAGAGCCTCTGTAGCAAGCAGCCGTCTTGAGATAATTCTGGCAATCGAAAGACAAGCAACCTGCAAGACACTAAGCCGTTGCAGAACTGACGATTCGTACTTTCATAGGAACGAAACATAGTTTTGGCCCGGTTCTGATACGCTCGCAAACTGAGAAAGACCACCTGCGGATTGGAGTCGCAACTGAGCGCACCTCTTGCCAAGCACAAAACGTTGGTCCGAGCCCTCTTGACACTGCTGGAACATTAAGCAAACGACTGATGCAGATAGGTAGCATCTGCTTGGGAAGTTGCCGATGTCTGTAACCCGAGTCAATGTTCGACCCAGGCGGAAAAAACATTGCCAACCCATCCAAGACTCCCATCATCACCTGAAACGACAACTCGGTTGAGCTTCATACCTGCTCATCAAGTACTTGCCTTCACCGAAACCCATTGCTTCGATTGCAAGTTCTTGCATGAATGATCCCTCGCTGCCAAATCTTTGTGGGCGGGCAATCAGCCGGCAAGAGAGGATGAAGAATTCGACGCAAGAAACAAGCGAAAAAACAAGGACAAACGATGTAGTAGTTGAGAACACGGCGTTGGCTGAGAAGTTTTTGACCGTACGATGAGCCCCCCATTCACACGCAAATTTGGCGGGAGGCTGGGCTTGGAGGGCAGATATTTTGGAGTACTTTCTCTGACAGTGCCCTGAAATAGTCAGTATCTAGAACTTAATGTGAGGTGTCATAGTACGTCGGATTATGACTTGGCGTGGGAAATTTACTGCTGAATGTGATGCGGTTTGGGGGAGAAAAGGCAACAACTTGCTGCATTTGCGACGAGTAAAAAGAGCCATGACGGACGATAACGGTCGTATGAGGACCTTTTGATGTAACAGTCGATAAGTGGGGTATTGTAACTCGCAGTCCGCTATGCCAAAATGGAACATCGCAACTTGCATGATGCTTCGTATCCTCCTTCTACTCCGGTAATGCGCGCATGACCGACTCGAAAGCGACCAGCGCCATCGCATTCGCCGGGAACGCTCGCAAGAAGCATGGCACGAAGCCTCTCCAGTATCCCTTCCAACCTTGCTCTCTGTACACCGCCTTCGCCGCGTCTCGCCATCTCGGGAATTTGCGCTCGGGACCAAGAGGGTCGGTCATGACTCGCTGCTTGATCACATCGCTCGGGTACGAGGTGAGCCAGAATATCTGTGCGGACATACCGCCGGCCCAGAAGTTGACTGCCGGGGCGGAGAGATTCGTATTTGTATTCAGTGCCTGTGTGAACACTTCGTAGGAGCCCCACCAGAAGCAGAAGAATGTACGAAAGAGGAGGGTAGCGCTGAGGCCGTGCCATACACCACGGATGCCGTGACCGTTGAAGGTCTTCTTCAGGCAGTCGATGGGCCCGCTGTATTGTCTCTTGCTTTTTTCCGCCGCATACTGCACTTGAAGACGCGCCTTTATGTGCTCTACCGGCCCCGCGATGAAGGACACAGTCCAGCCAGCCATTACTCCGGCCATTGCATGCCCAACTACCGGAAGCTTCTTCTGCTGCTCGCCTGGGTATCTTGCGGGATGGAATATGTTGTCGTTCAAGACTCTTCGGTAGACGTTCAGGGAGCCCAGCATACTGCCCATCTGGTCAGCACACGTTTCCAAGCCTTGCTGTGTTCAGTGCATACAGCGAGTCCATGAACATCCACCCGATCAGCGGCGGTGTTGCGCCCTTGTATAATCCCTTGACGCCCTCGTTTCTGATCGTCTGCATCAAGCAGTCCACCGGTCCTCGAAAATGCGACTTGTCGGTTGTTTGCATTCGCACTTTGATAGTGTCGAACGGATGCCCCACTGCAGAGTATCAGCTTCCGGTCTCAAAACTGGAGGCCACGCAACGTACCTGACAGCTTCGCAATGCCCGAGAAGACGCCCCCCACGAACCCCCGATAGTTCTTGGGCGACTTGCTCTGCTCGGGCGCGTCGACGAGCTCTGACGGCACCTTGCTCTGGTTCTTCAGCGCGGCAGACATGGTTTGTGTTTTTGATGTGTGTGTAACCGTGGAATCATGCCGGCATCAGCGGTAAAGCTTCACGTCACGCACAAGAGTAGACGGCCGAAGGAACAGCGGAGGAAATGTTCATCCCATTGCTGACTAGGCGACGCGCAGAGGGTCCATCGGAGAAGCGCAAGGCTCCGCGACGCGATATGATGACGAGCTTGACATGGTTCCGAGATCGGCACGCTCCGGTTACTAATGTACCAGGATCCCGCGAGCATCGTGATTGAGCTAGTGGACGCGAGAGCCCCTCCATCGAGGAGCCCCTCCAAGCCCAGGCGCTGGAATGTGTCGCATAACTGATGAGGCGCCGTGATTGCGTGGTTAATATGCAGCACTGACTGCCAGCATACAGATAAAGAGCTGTGACAGCCGCTGTTTAATTGAGCGCACCACCAACAGACAGAATGGCATCATCCACCACTCCCACCACCGACACGCCGGCGGGCGGCTCCAAGAAAGGTAGGCGCATGCATGCTGAAGGAGGTTTCCGGACTGACCATATCAGTGTGGACGACTCTGATCACGAACACGGCGTACCTCAGCGGCCTTCTCGCGCTTGACTACAGCTTGAAGAAGCACGGCACCAAGTACCCCCTCGTCGCGCTCTACACGGACACATTTCCACAGGAGGGCCACGAGGCGCTCGACAGGCGCGGCATACCTAAAAAGTATGTGCCCTACCTGCTGCCAAAGATGGGCAAGGACTACACAAATGATCCACGCTTCTACGACTGCTGGAGCAAGCTCACGCCCTTCTCATTGACCGAATACGACCGAGTGGTGCAGCTGGACTCGGATATGCTGGCGCTCAAGAACATGGATGAGCTCATGGAGATGGAGTTGGATCCCCCGAGCGCAGCGGGAAAGGGACAAAAGGTGTTTGCGGCGAGCCACGCATGCGTGTGCAACCCCCTCAAGAAGCCGCACTACCCTAAGAACTGGTGCGTCCACGCCGACAGCCTTGACACCTGAAAAATTGGACTGACGCATCGTAGGATACCCGAGAATTGCGCATTTACCTCGCAGCACGCCAAACCCGACGAAGCGCAAAAGCAAGGCGCGGCGCCCGACTTTGGTCTCGGCATGCCCAACGGCGGGCTCCAAGTTGTGAACCCTTCCGACGACGTCTACCAGCTCATCGTCGATCAGCTCTCCAAAGAAACAACCATGGACTATGACTTTGCGGACCAGTCGCTGCTCGGCGATGTCTTTCACGGTCGCTGGGTCGCGCTGCCCTATATCTACAACGCGCTGAAGACGCTAAGACATAAGGGTGTGCACGACAAAATCTGGCGGGACGAGGAGGTGAAGAACATCCACTACATCCTCAGTCCCAAGCCGTGGGACGAGAAGCCTGGGGAGGAGAAAGAGGAGAGTCACAAGTGGTGGCACGCGGTGAACCAGGAGAGGCTGGCCGAGGAGAAAAAGAGGAACATCGATGATGGTTTCTGATTCCAAGTACAGCACCCGGGAGTTCGGCATGTGCAGTCGTAATGATGTGTTGTAGTAGGCTTTCGGCACACGATCCGGGCCATATGTAGAGTAGAATAAGGACAGAATGGCACGTCCGCCAATTGACGACTGGTCGACGAGTTCGCGTTTCGAGGCATGCTCGCGTGTTTGCAAACAATCTGCATCTCATCTCTACCTGAGACGGAGGCTTCGGTTCCCGTGCCGAACCAGTGCATCGGGCACATTCCGATAATGATCCGATATATGTCGCGCGAACTGCTGCGTGCTGCAACTCGGGGATGCATGCAGCTGCAACTAGCAGTGTGCTCAGGACACAGGTCGCGCGTACCTGCATGTTTAGATTGCAGGCGGTGGCAACGGACGCCAAAAGCGGTACACTAGGCAACGGAGCTCGCAGAACTTATCAAACACACCGCAAAGAGCGCAAAGTATAGCGGAACGTAGTAAAGAAGCCGGTATTGCCCCTATTCAGAATGGACAAGGGGACAAGGGACTGCGGGAGTGACGAAATGCACGAGCGGACCCCCTGGTGTTCCTGGGCGCGTGTCCTCGGTTGGCTGGTGTCGGGCCTATCTTCCAACGCGCCTGCCGTGTTTCACCCTGAAGCTGCCCCCATCCTCCCACGTCTGCCCTCGCACTCCTCAGACAAGCGCCCCTCCCACGCGACCGTTGCACGCAAATCCCCTTCTTGAGCTCTCGGCAACGCCTTAATTACACACCCACACACCTCAATTGCACCCGCGCGCCTCCTCGAACCTCGCCATATCTCTGCATTTTCGCGCCAGCCTAGCACGCCTGATTTCCCCAGACTCTACATCTCGCATCTCGAGCTGGGCTCGTAACACCCATTCACAGAGCGGATCGCGGTACACACAAGCACAATGGGTGCTTCTATTTCCAAAATGATGAACAAGATCTTCGGATCCAAGGAGATGCGCCTGCTCATGCTGGGGCTCGACGCGGCCGGAAAGACCAGTATGTCTGCACGATCGCCCTCGATATGGGACTGCATATGCTAACGAGACTCTCGCAGCAATCCTGTACAAGCTCAAGCTCGACCAGGACGTCACCACCATCCCTACTGTCGGCTTCAACGTCGAGACCGTCACGTACAAGAACACCAAGTTCAACGTCTGGGACGTCGGAGGTCAAGACAAGATTAGGCCGCTGTGGAGACACTACTTCTCGGGTATGTTGGGCCGCGACTCTGTTCCGGGTAGGCAAGTGCGAGTGCAGCCTTCTGCACACGGACAAGCCTCATCCTTATCTTGCGTCAGCATGCACACACGGAGAACACGGATTGATATTTTATTTGTACAGGAACCCAAGGTCTCATCTTCGTTATCGACTCCAACGACCGCGACCGTATCGAGGAGGCCCGAACCGAGCTTGCGCGCATTATCCAGGACCGAGAAATGCGGGATGCACTGCTGCTGGTGTTTGCGAACAAGCAGGATCTACAGGGAGGTGCGTACAACACAGTCTGAATAAGAAGGCTTTCGGGCTAACGTGAGACAGCGATGCGGCCGAAGGAGGTGTCGGATAAGCTGCAGCTTGAAAAGATCGCAAAGGACCACGTGTGGAAGGTCGAGCCCAGCTGCGCAACGACCGGTGAGGGTATCTTTGAGGGCTTGGTATGTTCAACGTATCTTCGCATCCTCTCTATCTGCTAACACCTGCCAGGCATGGCTCTCGAACAACGTCAAACTCCCCCCGAAATAAGCGCCGTCCTCCCCGACCCCCTCCACTGTACGACTGTATGCGCACCCGCCTTATTCGTCCTTCTGCATATACCCGGTCCTCGGTCTCGATTTTTGACATGTCTACTCTCGCTTCAACGATACTTGTTTTCTAATAATGCGTCTGTCCCCGCTATTAGGCGGGGCTACTACCCCTTCTCTTCGACACACTTCGCTCAGCGGCGGCTCGGCTGGTGATACCCCAGATTGTATTGAGTTGGTTGACCTGAATGGAAGGGACTGCGGATGTAACTTGCATGATATGCTCTTTGTTTGTAGATTTAATGTTCGCTGTTAGTGTGGATAACTTATGTGTGATAGACGAGCTTATGGATATCTATACGAAAGCCACACTTGTTCGGTATATCTGCGCTGCGGTAAACGAAAGACTAAATGAGAGCGACGCGGATCGTTGCAAGCCTTACATACACCCCTAGATCCCACCATGTTACACCATAGATGTCGCCCAACCCATTTCCCAAGTCATGCGACTGACTCTACGCCTTGTCAGGCAACACGTACCTCCTCTCCACACTATTCACCATATCCACCTCATCTTCCCCCTCAAACCGTAACGTCACATACGCCTCTTTTCCAGGCTTCTCCTCCGCACCCCCTTCCTTCTTAATCCCGTCCTTTCCCCCTCCATTCCCGCCAGGCAAACTCTTCCACCCATCTACAACCTCCGCCTTATAAAACGTCGTCGTCCCGGGGTACAACGCTAGCACATTCTTCTTCGCCTCGAGGCTGGGCAGCGAGAGGTTCGACGCCGCGGGCGGGATGGGCACGATGGTGGCGACGGAGGCGCGGAAGGGGATGGACGGGGTCAACGGGTCCGGGTCCGAGTCGATGATTTCGTAGCGGCGTTGTTTGCCCTCGCCGATTACGCTGGTTATGCGGTGCAGGGTGCCTTCGCCTTCTTGTTGGATGGGGCCGGAGCGGGAGCGGGGCGCGCGGTAGAGGACTTCGGTGTGGACTGTGAGGCGTTGTTTGGTTTCTGGGGGTGAGATTAGTGCGTGGGTTGGATGGATGGTGGAACGGTGTGGTGGAAGGGTAAGAAGTGAAGCGGCAGACAGAGGAAGGAACGAAGACAGATGGGTGAGCGAGGACAAGGAGAGAAGTGAAGTGAACCGAGTACATTGAGGCGCACAAACAGGAGTATCGAGAGTAGAGTAGACCAGACGAGAGAAGAAAGTTTACATATCGTAGTCAGTAGTCTATCAGCGACCCGACAATAGCCAGCCGCTCATAGGGTATCGTCGACGCAAATGGTAAAGGAGACAAGGAAAAGCACACGCTGCCCCGCCAAGCACGAAGCCCGCTCAGCGCAGAGAGCCACCGCCCTTCTTGGAGTACGTGACCGTAGAAGAACGTTTCTTCTTACCCTTGACATCGTCCTTCTCATCCTCCACCTTCACGCTGCTCTCGCGCCCCGCGGGCACGCTGCCGGCCCTGCTACTTCCGCTCTTTGGCAGCAGCCTGTCCCTGTCCTTGCCGAGCACGACTTTAGGGCTCGGCACAGCGGGGCTGTCGGCGGCGATGCTGTCGCGGTCGTCGGCCGCGTCGGTAAGTTTGCGCTTGTTTTGGCCGCGGTCTCGTGACTTGCCGGGGTTGGTGGCGCGCGAGGTGGAGCTGTCGGTGTCGGCGGAGCGGAGGGCGGAGAGCACGGTGAGCTGCTCGCAAATGTCGTTGCCTTGGTCGGATTTTATTAGGGTGAGCATCTCTTCGCTGAGTTTGATGTTCTCGCGGAGGGCAGCATCGAGTTCGTTGTCGATGCGAGAGGAGGGCGCATCGCCGCGTGCTGGGATGGTCAGGTCTTGTCATGGCAGTTATGGAAACAATAGTGTGTACATTTACGGGCTTCTTGTTGGCCTGCTAGCTCGAGTATCTTCTCCTGTAAAGTGTCGGATTGTGCCTGAATGATTGTCAGAACATGTAATGAGTGAAAGACATGAAATGAGGAAAATTCGTCTGGAAGTTGAAATACATTGCCCATGTGAATTGTCGGGCGATTTGAGCAGGCCGCGGTCGTGCTGTTATGTCGTTCTGACGATGGGACAGCGGCGATCGGTATACAGCCAACCTGGTATATTCATGGATAGAAATTGGTGCTTATGCCAGCTTGGAACGAAGGCAATGCCAAACTCGAATGGCACACACGTGGGCTGAGTCTCGCAAGGTCGGCTTCCACACGTGGTTTCATGCTTGAAGGAAAGCAGGCACATCGGATTTAGAGCTGATTATCCGAAAATGCTCCAGGTCTAGCTCCATTGCGAATAGTTCCAGCTCTTCGATACAGTGCTCCATTAACGGGCGGTTCGTGTTGCGAGTTCGAAAGGCGTTTGTGCTGAGTCCACGTGCCTTCGAACAGCAATTTTGGAAACTTCGAGGTAGAAACAAGTAGAAACACTTACCATGAGCTGGTCAAACCTTCGTCCATCGGCCCGGATCGTGTTCCACAGGTGGCGCTCCTCGTCGATCTCGTCTTTCATCTGCCCGCCACGGGGCCTGCTACGTGCTGCCATGTTGATAGAGCTAGCCGCACTTCCCCGGCGGCACGCTATGAACGATGCAATGTGATCGGGGTCATCGGCGAACAGAGTCGAGTGCGCAAGAAGGTGGTCCACGAGCAGGCCGTTGAGAGGTGATGGTACCGCGGTAGGAAGGTCGCGTTTAGCGAAGACGCTATAGGCCTTAAGGCCTAGCGGTAGTGGGTAGTTGCAGCTTAATTCGACCCACTCATGGTGCCACGAACAAACGCGGGGTCTGGGCCACACAAGTAGCGGGAAACTGGCGGTGACAACAACACCAGCTTCTTCGACACCTTGAGAACGTTATTCAAGATGGTTCAAGTACCTTTGGTTCGACTACAATGCGGTAAAGCAGATGCCTTGCATTTCATGTGCGCAATGGCTGACCAATGCAGGCTGCAATAGCTACGACTGGGGTACGTCAGATGCCCCGCTGAGAAACTATTACACGAGCTGGATGCTGAATATCTCAAGGCAAGGTTGGAAAGACGTCTGCAGCGGCCAAGTACGCCGCTGCGACACCTTCTGATGGATTTTCTATCCAGGAAGAAAAGCCTTACGCTGAGGTATGCATTCGCCTCTCGATATGTTAAACCAACTAGCGGCTAAAAATCCAAGCTATGGATGGGAACCCACCCCTCGCTTCCTTCCAAAGATCTTGAGACGCAGCGATCGCTGCTAGAACTTGTCCAAGATAACCAGCAGCTGCTTGGTTCAACTGTCGCGCAGAAGTTTGGAGACAAGCTCCCCTTCCTGTTCAAGGTCCTTTCTATTGGCAAGGCTTTGAGCATTCAGGCGCATCCCAACAAGAAGCTTGCAGAGCAATTGCACGCAAAAGACCCCAAGAACTACCCAGGTGAGGCTCCCGTTTTACTTGATCGTTCTTTTACTGATGTACTCCAGATGACAACCACAAGCCTGAGATGACCATTGCCGTTACTCCCTTCGACGGTCTCTGTGGTTTCCGACCTCTTGCTGAAATCTCGCATTTCCTCCAGAACGTTCCTGCGTTCCGCAAGCTTGTCGGCGAGGATGAGGCCAAGAATTTTGAGAGCACTGTCAAGGGCAAAGAGACCTCCGAGAACGATGCAGATGTGCAGGCTAACAAGAAGGCTCTGCAGGCTGCGTTCACTAAGCTGATGAACACTGACAAAGCAGCGCTCGAGTCGGCTACCGAAGAGCTCCTGAAGGCGGCCTCGTCAGAGGGCGCCAGTTTTGCTGGGGAGGGAGGTCCTTCGAACGATGGTCAGGAGCTCGCCGACCTCGTTGTACGACTCAACGATCAATTCCCCAAGGATATTGGCCTGTTCGTACAATTCTTCCTCAACTACGTCAAGCTCGAAGTTGGTGAGGCTATGTTCCTCCGAGCAGATGACATCCACGCATACCTCTCTGGTGACATCATTGAGTGCATGGCTTCTTCCGACAACGTCGTCCGTGCAGGATTCACCCCCAAATTCAAGGACGTGGACACATTGACCTCTATGCTTACTTACTCATACGCCCCCATCGACAAGCAAAAGATGGAGCGACCAGACTACTCCGGCGTCAAGTTCAACGCTACCGCATACAGCTCGAACTCATCGGCCATCGAGTACAACCCTAAGGAGATTGACGAGTTTGCTGTTGTTCGTGCTGCGCTCAACAAGTCGGGTGCCAAAGCCACCTTCAACGACATCGATGGACCCAGCATTGTGCTTGCAACCAAGGGCAAGGGAACCATCTCTGTGGGTAACAAGTCCGAGAAGATTGAGGAAGGCTACGTCTTCTTCGTAGGCTCCACCGCGACACTGGTCATTGAGAGCGAGACGGACGCAGAAGATGGGGGCGAGGGCCTCGTGGTCTTCAAGGCTTACTGCGATCCTGAAGATTGGAACAGCAATGGCGGGCAGAAGTTGTAAGGCTGGGGATAACACGTGGCCAAAAATGTTTCAACGGCATCAGTAACGACACATGGAGCATAGACAGAAACGCACTGAAGCTTAGATGGTACAGTCTTCACGTAGGTATATCATTACACTCTCTAGACGCTCCCATAATCTCATTGTGCCATGACCACTTCCATGAACCCTACTGCATTCTATTGCTGGCTCCCTACACGGTGCAGACCAAGGGGTAAGTACGATTCTGTGGAACCTCTCCCTCTCGAAGAAATAATAAACTGACAGAGATCTTTCGTTATCGCATTCTGCTTAGCAGCTTGAGAGTGAGACAACCGATGACAAGCGCAGATAGAGTCATTTGAGTCACAGTAACACTTACAGCGGATTTCGTACATCAATCTCGAAAAAGAAAAAGGTTAAGTCCGCACAGTGCACAATCCATCTCTCCGTGGTAACCTTGAATCAAAATGACAACCTGCAACAAACCAAGGTGAGCTCTGCATATTGAAGTTATTGCTAAGAAATTATAATTATTTTCCAAGATGCACATCAAGGTGCAAATAGTATTCACGACAACCTTCGCCGTGATAATATGGAAACACATACAATTATGTCAACATCAGATGTTGCCATCCAAACCCTGAAATTTTCGATTTCGGTCGCTGCTACCTCGTTTTCCTGCAAAAGCCCGCGGACACGCCTGCTAGTGTATAGTATGCTGCTACAATCTGCAAGTGTTTGAGCTTAGGTGTTTCTCAGGGTCTATTGCAGTGAGTGTTCTACGTCAGCTTTGAACATCAACTCCCAAATCAACTTTTCGCAGCCGCTGCATTGATCTCGGCCTACACTGTTAAATTTTTCTTGACTCGATCCCTACTCACTCCCATCGTTATCTTACCCACCGTCAACATGCCTCTGAAAGAATCCTTCAAGAGGAAGGTCAAGGACACTATAGCCAAGAACAAGTTTCCTATGACCCTGAAATGTCTTGGCTGCAACGACCTTGGGCACAAACCTGTCGAGTGCAAGGCCTTCTTCGAAGTCTGCTAGCACAAAGGATGGTTCGGATTTTAGGTTGACGGTGATTCTGAGAAGAATAGGCAAGAGGCAGAGAATTTGTGGAATGATTTAGTAAAGGTTAATTTAGGTGAGGTTGCCTCGAAGGATGCAAACAGAGCTGACAAAAAGGAATCGGCCTCTACTGCGGCATCTACTGCGGCGCTAACGACGCAAGATCACATAAATACGGGAATTAATGACAAGGTCCAAGACGGATTAAGTCATAGTGGCGAGGACGGTGGTCTTCTGCAAGACTTTGACAGTGATCATTCTGAGGCACTATCGACGAACACGCAAAAATATTCGTCGACGGGCCTACTGAGTCGGGACGTTGAGAGCGGAAAATCCATGGCACCCGGCCCTCAAGATTGGCATATTCTGACTGTAGATCTCGACACACAACTCCTACTCACACCCTCTCTTTGCACGGCCATAATTGGCTTCAGGACCTGATCACACTCCCTACTGCTGTATTTGCTTTAAGAACACCAATTCTCAAATTTCATGACATCTAGACCAGGACTCTGGCGCCTGAACACAGCCACTACGGCACTCAGCCGATCAGTGCACTATAGCTGTTGTCCCCTCCATTGCTCTCTCCTATGTTTTTCTCAATTTCGGGGTGGTGCTTGTCGTTGTTGGAATTGCGATAGACTGTATTGTTTTGTATGATTGCGACAGACTACGTTTACTTTTCTTCAACATCTGCGATGGGTCGTTTCTCAGCTCAGCGTTCGCGATGTTGTAGCATGCGATAGACCTATTCTCCATTATCTCCATCCAACAAATCTTTTTAGTGATTGTGAGCTTGACATATCGAACTTATTGTGCTAACGTTATGCCTCGGGGGTTTGGAAGCTTTCGTGTTTAGTCAATTTGTATGTTTCACGCAGATTGATGGATTTTACGTTGGATGATAAGTAGGGAGACTACATTGAACGCAAGAGTTGATTGATTAAGAGTAGATGTATGAAAATGGTATCATGTTAGGATTCCAGCCAAAAATAATCTCCACGCGAACCCAAATCTCTGTCGCCAGAATCGCCAACATCCTTGGTTGTGAAAACAGTGGAAGGCCGCTCAAAGTGCACTGAAGCAGTTAGGACCAACGAGCAACGTAGAATATCGTGCTCGAAAGAGAGGCGTCGAATATTGAAGTTCGAAATTAGAGGATATGCTGAAGAAATGTCGAAGCAAGATGGGCAACCACTCCAGTGTGATGGAAAAGACCGTGTTGTTGCGGCCAATTCAAGGTCCGAGCGAGATCAGACCGTACGAACAATATCGCTAGGCTGTCCGCCCTCGGCAGCCTCGACATGCCACTCCTTCTGCATATAAATGCCGTTGTCGACGGAATCCTTGGTCTGATGGTAGTGGTGGCCACGGGGATTCTCAGGCTCCTTGCCGCTGCCGAAGGTGTTGCCGGTCAGATGGCTCCTGTCGCCGTAGGTAGTGGACGACGATCGGGCAAACTCGTTCTTAAAGAGGCGTTGGTGGGAGTCGGGGCCACTACTACCAACACTTGAGTCGCTGGCCACGAGGCCTGCCCAAATGGCAGAGAGAGGCAGGAAAATACAGATGACGGTAATGCTCTGGGAAGCAAGCTCAGGAACTGCGTCGTAGAAATTGAGGCAGGTGAAGATAGCTGGAAGGGATTAGCGCATGACCAGAGTAACATACGAGAGAAGTTTACCTGGAATAACCATCGTCTGGCAACCCATGATAAAGATGATCTGCATCGGACCAAATTGCGTCATCCGAAGCCTCTTGCGCTCTAGCAAGGCATGTCCGAGCTTGAACGTGAAGACTGCGCAGTAGGCCCAGACAGCGACAGCGAATGTGATGTACATATCATTCACCAGTCCGTCGTAGGCTTCCATACTTTCATCCTTCATGGTCTGCTTATTGCTAATACTCATTACAGCGAAGCGGTAACCGATGGCCACAATTGCGGTAAGTGACGTGCCGCCCATGATGATCCACTTTTGCAGCGGTTTCGCGGTGATGCAGACGACCCATACCTGAAGACTCAGAGAGACCAGGATGCTCACAACGAGTATGAGCGTGATGGTGTTGGATACAACGGAGATAGCGCGGTGTGCAGGAGTGACGCGGGTGTAGTCGTTGGCGATCACGGCGTAGGGGTGGAAGTAGGGCGTTGTAAGGTAGACGCACTGGAGGATCGAGCGGATAGCGTTGAGAACCAGGCAAAGCGCGTTCATGATGAAGATCGAGGATTTCCGCTTGTCGCGCCGGGTCAAGAGGAGGAGCACCAGAAGCAGGGTGACAGACGCGCCAATCTGCGTGGCCCAATTGATGGCGATTCGGACCCCAAAGTGTCGTAGCCAATCGATCTCGACCATGGAAATGGTAAATTGCGAGCCATCGGGCGCATACAGGACAAACTCCTGCGAGTAGACATCCTCAGGACGCGGAAGTGGGTTCGACATGGCGTGTAGAGGATTGCAGTTTCCGTGGAAGTTTTCGAGAGATAAGATAGAATTCGAACGAGGTAGAGATGTACGTGTATGGAGTACGCCGCCGGAGTTCGAGATAAAGAAGACGAAGTGTGGTAGGCTATTTATCCGTTGCAGGGTTCGGGACCAGAGCTGTGGGAGATCGGAAGACTTGAAAGACAGAAGATGAAAGTAGAGGAGAGCTGACGAAGAAAAGGAGAAGGAGTGATGGTTGAAAAGATAGAACTTATGTTATAGCAAGGCGCCGCGAATAATATCAAATCGTACAATTGTTCTCCTGGAGTTGGAGTACTCTACCAATATTGTTACACAAAGTGGACCGGTGCGAGAGCAAACAATATTAGCGAAGGACTGCCAATGGCTTCACTATGTCTGAAGCTTCACAGCTCTGCTGTGAACAATACTTGCCCATCGTCAAGCGCTGTGATGCTTTTTCGCGGCAGGCCACTTTCAGTGTCGCAGGCACAATACTAAGAGCCTCGCTGTGATTCAAGCCAGCTCCATTTCTTCTGTGATATTCACTCCTGTCTTACAATAATCTCAAAGAACCGTAAACCTTCGACGTAATCGCAATTCGAGCTTGTCCACTTTCGGTCTATCAAGCCATGGTTGGGGCCAAGGACGGCACTTAGTATTGTTCTCTGGACGCCGTGGCCCAAGCGTTGGAACCGCTAGACGAGCTAAGCGACGCCTGTGGTATAGCCGCGCGGTGACAGGGAAGGTGAACGTGTTTTGCTTGGATGTCGACGTATTTTGGAGCGCGAGCCCATGGAATGATATGCGGGGCAGAGGCAGACGTGCACAAGCGCGCTGAGTTCAAATAGAGTTAGCGGGTTTGGTCGACAGACACTAGCCCCGGAGAGGCGATTCTTGTTCAGGTGACACCGCGTGCGCGCGTCAAACGACTCTCTACTCTCACGCGTTTCAACAATGCCTTGGGCCGTCACCGTCAGCTCCCCCGATGGCCAGCAGAGCTATCCCGCTCCTGCAGGCGAGACGCTGTATATTGTGGTAGGGGATGCTGGGCTGTCGGCTGTGCGCACCACACCCGACGACCCAGCTCTCGTTCTGGGCACACTCGGTACGCATGATCATGAGCAAACCAGCTACGAACTATCAATTGACATGACACAGCTGTGAAGTCATACGGTGCAAAGCTGGAGGCTGGCCATAGAGACCTGAAAATATTGCCAACCGGACGAGCCAGGCTCCACAAGAACAGCAGCGGCAATGCGCCGATTGAAGGATTTGTGCTCCAGGCAAAGACCCACAACCGTATAGAGACAACCGTTATTCGGAATGAAGACAAAATTACTTCGACAAATGTCGCGGGATTCCTTACGTTCATCTGGACTCCGCCACAGATCCAAGTGCAATCTTCAGAGAAGAAAGACACCCAAGCTGAAATTGGTGAAGCGGTTGAGGCACATGATGAGACCGAAGACGATTATGATGATCTCGGTAATACCGTTGTCCCCAGAAATGGCAAATCCCAGGTTCTGCGCTCGACGCCACATATGTCCGCATCACGCTCCGAGATCATACAGGAAACGCCCACGATTGATCGCGTCACTGATGCTGTCGGACTACCTTCTCGGCCAGGACAACCCGAAATGAAAGAAGACGATTCTATAGTCACTGCTGCTGTTTACTTTACAGCTCCTCAAGACAATGGTGTCGCTGATGGCCTGACTAAAGTCGAGGAGCCGAACGACGTGGAGATGGAAGATGATGGCGGCAAGTCTGAGGCTCTTGCTCCAGCAACCGAGCTCCGAAAATCGTCGCGCCATCTCAAAGTCCAGATTTCTAAGCGACCAAGCCCGGCTTTGGAAGAGGGAGCTAACAGCCCATCTGCCCGTACTCTCAAGCGCAGGAAGATTGACCAAGATGCCGACAGTGACACGAAGACGACTCCCGTGCAGACTGCTCGCAAAACGGCTACAAAGGGCAGGAGGCGAGAGTCTGCCATCAAGGCGGATTCCATCAAGGCTCATTCGACGCCGCCTCGAAGCCAACATAGCACGCAGAGCTCGATTGCAGGATCACCCGTCAATGTGGACGGCGACTACGAGGGCCCCAAACCTCGCGTTGCGCTCAGCAACTCCACTATCCAACCAAATGGTGCAATTGCCAGATTCCTGAAGAAAAGTGGCGGGAACCTTGTCGACTCTGTGGAAGGCGACTGCAACGTCCTTTGGTAAGTCACTCCCCGCTCACACCCGAGGCTATCTCGGCCTCGTGTCCTCGCGGCTAGACATTCTTCCTGCCACTGCACCACAAGCCTGCTAACATATCCCCCAGCATCAAAGTAGGCCCGATCCTCAAGACCCCAAAGCTCCTCCAAGCCGTCGCCCGCGGCACTCCCATCGTAACCGACAAATGGCTCACAGACTCCGCACTCACCGGCCGCTTCCTCCCCCTCGAGCTCTACATACCCCCGGACCTCTCACCCGTCTGGACGATCCCGCAATCCCGCCTCCTCGAAAGCTACACCATCTTCTTCACACCCGCGCTAAAAGCGAATTACAAGACCGCTTTCGCCTCCATAGAGAAGCTGTGCAAAGCCGTCGGCGCCCGCCGCGTGGTGAGCAAGAAGCCCGGCGGGAAAGATCTGTACGAGCAGGATGCTATATTCTTGGCGGAGGCCGAGGGCGACAAGGATGTGCCGGCGTTGCTGGAGGCGGGGCATATGTGCTACACGAAGGATTTCTTGACGCATAGTATTGTGGTGGGCGAGGTGGATCTCGCCAACGAGGAGTTTAGGGTGCAGATCGAGGAGGCGAAGCCTGCGAAGCCTGCGAAGAAGGGGCGGGGTCGAAATAGCTGAGGGGCTTCGGTGTATGTCGGGAATAGGTCGACTTGATACTGGTGGACGACGGGCACGTACTGTACATTGGAGCGTTCGGTTGTGCACCGCGTTTCGACGGCGATATGATTGGGATGACCAGGGCATTTTAACGAGCGACACGATATATGGGTGCATTTCAGAGCATGGCGTTGTTTCATGTAGTGCATCCTTCCCAATGTGCGAAGTAGCGTACCTAGATAGCTTTCAGTGTTTGCACACAGAATATCGAGCATACTCAGCAGCTGTCTCAGAATCACTTGTGAAAGATAGAACATGTATTGACACAGCGAGCAAAGATCAGAACCTATATACTCCATGCACAGCCATGCCCAAACGCCACAAATGCTCCCAAAACATCTTGCCAAAGCATTGCTTTACCGAATGGTATCGCGGCCATCACAAGTACCCATACAACGCCTCGTCTACTTGCAATTCCTCATAGCCTCTAGTCAAATGCCATCTTCTCCTTCCTGTCGCTGAATGTCCTCAGCATACCCATGCTCTCGCCGCGACTCCTCTGCTTGCGTCCATAGATCTCCATGCCCCAGTCAAACATCTGCCAGGCCCATCCACCGGCGACCATAACGCCACTAATGACATTGACGAGTCTAACAATCAGGCGGAAAAAACCGCCCCACTCCTCGGCGACGGTCAGGGTGATGGGCTCGATGTCGAACTTGACGAAGATGCCTGGGATGTAGTTCTCGGCAACCTTGTGCGATTGCGAGGTCGCGGCGTACTGGTTGGTCTTGACGGCGTGGGACGAGTGGAAGACGTGTTTGGCTGGGTGGTCCGTGTCGCGGTTCACGGCTTCGAGGAGCGGGAGGAGGGATGCGTCGTCGGTGTAGATGGTGGGTACGATGGAGAGGTAGTACTGGAATTTGTAGAAGTGGTCTTCGGTTGTGGCGACGGTGTTGTCGAGGGGATTGACAAGGGAGGGGTAGTACGGGCCGAAGGACAATTCCTGGATGTGGTGGGAGAAGTTGAAGCCTGTCATCCCTTGTTAGCTTTGCCTAATCTCACTTTTGGAAGCACGAGTGAACGTACGTCCGTGGTCCAGATGTTCGCCAAACTCGCGGTATCCGTGGCCTCGCGCGGTGATGTGGAAGTCGCCCTGCACTTTGTTGCCATCCAAGCTGCCGAAGATGCGGCACGAGTCGCCCTCGCCCCTCATGCGCGGGGTCTTGGGGAACTTCTTTCGCTTCTTTGCCGCTCCCAGCTGATCATGCACATCCCACATGTCCTCCCACCCGGGCAGAGCATCCGGGCCTTGACCAAGAGCATGCGCTCCCTTTCCATACTGGGTGAAGTAGGTGGGGTCTTTCCGGAGCAAGTCTCCTGCCAATGTCCGGTCGCCTGCCGCATCCTGCATGTTGACATGTAGGTCCGCACACTTCATTGCGACGACTATGTCAATGTTTATTTGCATGTCGTGAGCGACGCCCTTCTCAACGGAGAAGGTCTGCGTGGTTTGGCCGGCCCACCAACGTGATATTTCGGACCAGGAGAGGTAGATACATGTGCAGAGGAGGAGGACGGTCCACGACGAGGAGTCGCGGCCGCGAGTGAGGTAGGTCTTCTTGGTTTTGGCTACGAAGCATTGTCAGTACCTATCGCATCTTGGGTGTGGACGCAAGCTCCGATCGCTAAGAAAGTAGTTGCGTTCCACAATCATTTGCGAGAGCCAGCGACCACAATCAAATCATAGAGTACTCACGGAAAGCATCGAAGCTTGCTATCCCACCCTTGGAAGCTCCAAACGAGTCCTCGTCGAGGCCGTGCTCTGTGAAGCCGTTCATGGTGCCTTCAATTGGCGCGTCGCGCAGAGAGGGCGCAGCAGGCCCAGTGCGACAAGAAAGTACAAGAATAAAGAACGTGTGGTGGAGGCAGGCAGGCAAGGGCGCGACGACTTCGGGTGTCGTGTTCGCATCACTTTGATCTAAAGGACACGGGTAGTTTCAGCCCTACCGAGCGACTGGCCCGTGCACGCGGAGGTGCTCAAGCTCCGCCGCCTTCAAGTTCACTCTAGTACCATTGGTACAATCATTAATGGCCATGGGCATTATGCGTTCATGAAAATTCGACCCGGATTGAGCGACTGAACATGCCTTCTCCATCTAGGAACTACCTGCCATACAGAATGTATCATGGCACCTGCCACGATCAATATGGAAGTGACAGCCAGCACAGCATTCCAACAGAGACAAAACTGACTCACCCATGAATCCTCGGCTTCATCAGAACGTCTTTATCCTAAATCGTTTACTGGTATCATTCGCATCATTTCTTGATCATCCAAATTAGAGCTTTACACCAACGAGCATCTGGTACCCTCCTAGCACCCTAGATAGCTCTTCTCTAGATCTGCCCAGGAACAACCCACTTCAACACCGGCCACGCTGTCTGCAAAACCCTTAGTGGTAGCGGTGGCCCACTCCCAGGTGGCCCCATCATCATCATGGGATTGCCTTCTCCAACCGGCGACGGCGAATGTCTCTGTGTGAGATGCGGGATCGTAGGCGAATAGTACATCGTCACATACAACCCCGACTTTTCCTTCGCCGCGAAAGAAAGATATTGGTGTGTTCCCGCAGAGTGCGGCATATCGGGCTCCATGCTGCGAAGGAGGAAAGTTAGCCGCTCTTCTCCCAAATCGCGACGAAAATCGCGGCGTGAATCGACGACTTACAATATCTCGTCGATATCCCTCTTATACTCCCCCGCCAACTTTCCCCACCCCTGCTTTTCATAGAACCTAGCCAGCGCCTCTGAAATCTGCACGTCGTTCTTCGCATAGTGCCACATTGGAAAGTAAATCTTCGTGCTCGGCCACGCCTGGCCGGACTTGAACTCGAACCCAAACACGAAGCAGCTACGATGGTGCATCACATTTGGCAGTTCGACATCCTCCCATCCCTCCTCTGGCATCTCGTACAGCAGCTTCCATAACTCCTCCAGTGGCTTCAAGCAATCCAGTATAGCAGGATCGCGCAGGAGCCCGCCCATCGTGTAGATGTGCTTGACCTTGCTGAACGAGTTGTTGAAGCTGTTGACGTAGATCTTCGCGCGGGCTTTGGTCGGTTCGACACAGTCTATCGCCAACATTTCGACGTTGCGATGGGACACCGGTCCTTCGCTGGTCAGATACTCCTCAAACTGTGCAAGGGCGGCAGACATATCAACACCACCGCCCAAGCCTCTCACAGTATCGATAACGAGCGCGCCCTGCGTGACGCCCAAGTTCCATGCGCGGATGTGCGGGAAGAAGTACGCCTTCGTCTCGATCCTCCTCTCATCGAGGTCGAATGCAACAAAGCACGTCGGCGGCTTAGGTCCCTTTGGCGGCCCTTGCACCGCAAGCATGATGTTGATGAGGTCCTTCGGGACGTACAATTCTCTTGCGCAGTGGTAGAACCATTCGTCTTTTAATCCCGGCACCACTCCTTTCAGACTCTTCATGAGCTCAAAGGCTGCGAGTTGGTTGAAGGGATCCTGCCGCGTGCCTATAGTTGCGGGTACAAAGTTAGTTGAGTCGCAGAGGGGGTTCAAGCACAAAGCGTCCATGCCTCAGACATATCAACTTTGTACCGGGATGTATCGTACCTGCCGCATGGCCGATCGGCTCGATAGTGAAGCGCACTGTACTCTTGTTGTTCTGAAGATTCCAGCTGGGCTGGAAAGGGGAGGCGTTCGGCGTGCATTGCGCGCGCCATGTTCGCTCGCATCCTTCTTGGGGCCGAGGACCGTAAGAGGAGAGGATGTAGCGGTGGTACCAGCTTAGATATGCATATTGCTGGTCGAGGGTGTACTTGGCTTTGTGCAGGAATTTGCTGAGAATTGGTGCGGTTGTGTTCCACCAGAAGGTCTCGTCCTCATTTGGGAAGCCGAGGACGGCGGCTAGGGAGTCCCATGGTGTTGGGGTAGGGGCTGTGGGTGTGCTGTTCATCTTGATGTGAATCGGAAAGCAAGTGTTATCCTGCCTGGAGAATTATTGGTATGAGTTCTTTGAGCATCAGAGTGCAAGTCACTTCTTCCACTGCGTGGATGCGATTATCGTAAATATATCACATCATGCAGACGTACTATCCCTAGCTCTTACACCTCATCGACAACCTCGCTCGGATTCACCAATCTACCACTCAATACCGCCGTCGTTGCAGTAAATATTGACAGCTGGGCAAGATACAAGCTCGCTATATCTTACACATCCAGGTGAGCAGACAAGCGTCCTGATTTCACAGTGTCAGGGTTGCAACTGAATCCAAGAGGTCAATAACCTGACTTGGCATGGTAGAGTTTAGTCTATCAGCTGTGTTTCATCTTCGTGGCTGCGTCTATAAGTTTTAGCTCGAAACATTCTCGTATTTGGTGGCTGTATACCAAGGATTACTCTGCAACAACTCGGTGTCTAATTTAGGTGTCGTCGGGTCGGAGCTCGCTCCGACATGGATGCCACAATTTGAGCGGCGTAGGTAAGAGCCAACTTTCCGTTTTGCGCATGCGAGCGCTCGCAACAACGATAATCTAGGGAGACGGTCGCAGCGTTTACACCTGCCAACAAAGAGGAGTCGCAGTGCAAAAGGTCGCCAGATGGCGAGTCAGGATGCTCTGTTTTTAGCGCAGCCAAGAACGTCCCAGGTGCAGACTTTCGCAAAAGGAAGTAATGGTCGTTACAGAATCGTCCTATCTCCTTTCTTGGGACCTCAAACACGCGTCGACTCGACAGTCTGGAGAAAGGTCCGATAGGTGTCTGAACCCTCGCGCCCCATAGGACTGCAACCTCAGCCATATCTATGCACAGCTCTTCCTCGCTTTCATTAGTCCGCATTCAGACCTGTTCCTCCCTCCGGCCCACTTTGTCTTCACCTTCATCCTCATCACCGTCTTCTTCCTCCGCCCCCGCGCCTTCCCTTTCATATAGTCACACCTTCTTCCCCCAATTCCTCCACCCTACAATCCCCGCCGTAACCCCCGCATACGCGCCAAGCAAACCCCCCCAACTGCCCCCCTGCCCAACCGCCAACGCGACGAGATCATATACCTAACAAAGTCAGCCGAGTCAGTACCAGGATCAATGCATTCTACCAAGCACCCCCCAAAAATCCAATCACTCGCGCTCGCCGCCGCCGCGAACCCCAGGCCCGTAGCAACCTTGACCAGATCGCTCGGCGGCACGCCCCTGTAGTACGCGGCGGACGTGTTGTGCAAGAGGTCGAGTACGCCGATCCCAGCGAACGTCTTGGCGACGATGTGCGTGAGGAGCGAGGGCGTGGACTTTGGGCGGAGGGGCGGCAGCGCCGTCATCATGTATGCGAGCTGCGTGAGGGTGTTGATGGTGACGAAGATGTTCGAGGTGGCGAGGTCGTTTGCGTTCCAGAAGAACATCCACGTCCCAATGCACACGTTCCCGACCACGTACGGCCACACCAGGCCCTCCATCTCGCGCCGCTCCTTCGCGTCGCCCTCCCCGCGACACAACTTCCACAGCCACGCGAGCTGGAACAGCTGCTGCGGGAAGAAGAAGCCGCCGATGAAGTAGGGCTGCGGGGAGAAGGCCGCCGGGTTGGCGTTGTGCACGTCGAGCATGTTGGGCGAGCTGAACATGCCGTATTGCTGGGCCGCGAAGTCGTAGGCGAAGGACAGGGGCGCGAGGACGCGCAAGGTGGAGGGAGAGGCGCCCATTGTTGTCGTTGTGGTGTGAATGTGGTCTCACGATATCAAGTGGTGTAAGCAAATAGGGTCGACCCCTCGATAGATTCCGGAGCAAGGGAATAGCGACTATGTATGCTGAAAGCGCAAGCTGGGAGTAACAAAGGGGAAGTCGTCCTGAATATGACATTCATTCTGAGCTTTGTACCACCACAGCCGCCGCGTCGCGTGCGCGGCGTCTAGACGTCATCATATATCATCCCGGCATCCGGGGTCCATAAGGTACCGGCCCATTGTGCTGGTAACGATGATGCATCGGGGATAATCCTCTCAGCCCGAGCGTCAAGAACATCGAACCGTGTGCGTTGCATATGCAGTTCAATAATACACTGTATTGATGCCACTCTATGCTCTCCGGATACACAAAATGGACTCTATAACACCCAGACCTCAACTCCAAGCTCGAAACAAAAAGAGCCCACACGCAGATAGACCCGCCATTCTGATATTACACTGTTACAACAGGACAGGTGATCTAGCCAAAGATGGACGGAGGTGGTATATGTAGGAGAATGTGACAAAGAGACCTTGCGAAGGACTTTTGATGGCGCTCGATAACCCGAACAAATGGAACAAATCAACGCCCGACTCGATGCATGCGCTGGATGTGGTATGGAAAGCTTAGACGCGCGAGACGTCGCGGCCAAAGACCTTGGACTTGACCCAGTCAACGCACACGAGAATGCGGTTGCGGGTGCTGAAGCACATGCTGATGTAGGCACTGCGCCAGAAGAGGTAGGTCAAAGTACCACCGCTGGCAATGTTGCCAGACCACCATGCGATGTCGGCAACAGCCTTCTCGGAACCAATGTAGGCGAGGGAACCCTGGTGGGTGTACTCAAAAGGACCGATCTGCTTGACTCTCCGGAGACGCTTCTGGAGATCCTTGATGTCGGCGAAAACAGCATCGCGGACTTCCTTGCCAGGGGCCTTCTCCTGCTTTACGGAGAGCTCAGCGAGTTCGGCCTCGATCTCGTGGGTCTTGGCCATCTGGTTGAACATGCGGGCGAGCCAAGCACCTTCCTGGGAAGCGACCTGAGCGGTAGGAGCATAGTTGGCGACAGCGCAGTCACCGACAGCCCACACGTTCTCGCATCCCTTGACAACGAGGTATTCGTTGACAGCAAGGCCACGGCGAGAGTCCTTCTGGGCGGGGATCTGGCTGATGAAGTCCTTTACAATCGGGCGAAGGGCGTTACCGGTGGCCCACACGAGCAGACCGTAGGGGATCTGCTCCACGATCTTCTTGCCATCGGGTCCAGCGGACTCGGCTTCGATGTACTTATCCGTCACCTTCTTGACCATGGTCTTGGTGCGGATGGTGATGGTCTCCTCCTTGAAGGTCTTCTCGGTGTAGTCGATGAGCTGCTTGGAGAACATGGGCAAGACGTTGGGCAGGGCCTCCACGAGAGTGACCTTGAAGGTATCCTTGATCTCTGGCAGCCACTTCTTCAGATCAGAGTTGAAGAAGTCCTGGAGCTCACCAGCGAACTCCACACCAGTCGGTCCACCGCCCACCACCACCATGTGCAGGAGACGCTTGATCTCCTCGGGGCTCTGGTCCTTGAAGGTGGCGGTTTCGCAGCAATCCATAATGCGGTTGCGGATACGCTGGGCGTCGCCGACCTCCTTAAGGAAGAGGCCGTGCTCAGTGACACCGGGAATGCCTGCCGCCGTTAGCAAGCGTATGGTCAGGAGAACGGAATGACTCACCGAAAGTAGCGTTCTCGGCACCGACACCAATGACCAGCATGTCAAAGGGCACCTCGGTTGCAGAGACGTCGCCCTTGATCTCCGAGTCATCGTTGATGTAGACGATGCGCTTCTCGTAGTCGATCTTGGTGGCCTCGGCCTCGTAGTACTTGACGGCGGCCTTCTTGTGACGCAGGAAGTTGCGGATGGGCTCCATGATGGAGCGGTGCTCGATGGTGCCGACGGTGCATGACGGGAGCAGCGGTGTGAAGAGGAAGTAGTTGCGCGGCGACACGACGACGACGTTGTAGTTCTCCGTGTCAAGCTTCTTCAGCAGGGAGACGGAGCCCCAGCCAGTGCCTAGGTTGGTCAGTCAGAAGCAGCGTGGAAGGCGCGGACGAGGGTCAGCTCACCGAGCACGACGAGCGTCTTCTTGCTCGGGTCGGGCTGGGCCTGGTCTTCGGGGTGACGCATGTCCCAGATGCCATAGCCCACCCATGCGACGCCGGCGATGGCGGAGAGGTAGGTTGCGCGCCAGGTCCAGCGCAGGAAGCGGAAGCCCTTCTTCTTGGTCTTGACGTCGGGCTTGGGCACCTCGGTCGACTGCTGGCGGATGGTCTGGCGCAGGGCGATCTGGTGCGAGACAGGCCGCGAGGTCCATTGTGCGCGGTTGGCGATGGCCAACGGCCGCGTGGTTGCATAGGAGCGGGTTCCAGCCCGCTGCAGCTGCGCGAACACGCTGCGGGCAGCGAAGGTCCGCATGTTGGGAGCCATTGAATCAATTGGAGCTCACGCAGGGCACCACGAGATGGAGATGGGTGAGGTTGGAGGCGGTGGCCGAGATAAGCTGATCGGAGCTGATGGGGGCAAGCTATCTGTTTTTTTCTGCGAGCCGATGCCGTCAGAGCAGCCAAGGCAAGTCGCAGGGATTGGCGCGTCTGCCACTCGCTTTGCTTTGTTGAGCGATAAGCTTAGCCTGCGGCTGCGATCCGGTGCCGCTGCGCGCCTTCGCCTGGACGCATCCCACGCGGTATTTTTTGACCTTGGCCTCCACGCCAGAGTGCAGCCCGTCACACAGTCACTCGCAATCCAAAGTGCAATCGACTCCTCTCCCCGCGCTCTGGCGGTCTACGCGCCTCGTCTCGGGGCCGCACGCAATACCCTCGCGAATACTTCGGTCGCCTCTTGGCAGATCCAGGAGACAGTGGACCTGTTGCGAGCTGCCAGGGAGCCAATCCACGGCCCCTATTAGCGTCCTTTTGTGCTGAACTCTCGCAGTGGACCAACGGGTCCCTGCTGCGGTGGATCAGTGGATCCATTCTCCCGCCGAACCGGGCGTCCGTTGGCGAAATTTCTTTGGAGGATCAGAGTCACAACTGCTCGCTTTTACGGAAGTCTACAAGGTTCGCCGGTTTCTGGAGGCTAGACGCGTGCGTGTGCAGTCGGAGAAGCCCCCAAAGTCGCGTTCGTCCGAGCATCATCTCTCACCAGCGCGGCTCCGGATCCGAGCTTCATCATTTTACAATTGCATCTGCTTTCGCTATGCTTGCCGTCCACGGCCTCCAATCGCGCTAGTTCTCGGGGCGCACGTGGACGAGGCTGGACGTGCAATGCGGACTCCTGAACCAAACCGTACTAGATTCAGGAGCGTGTAGCTTGGGGTCACGATAGATTGTAGAACTCTGACTTGGCATTGTAGGATTAGTAGTTTTATGTATGCTACACGCTTCAGAAGTCGTGAGGAGCAGCTCCGTCCAATGAGGAGCGGCAGAGGCCTATTAACGCCTACATGAACGCATTGGCGCCGATTTGTGGTCAGTCTCCCTCGCGCAACGGTAAGTACTTCAATACAAGATGTAGCATCTATTCTGGTGGTGAAAGCCAACGTTCCTCAGGGTCCCATTGAGTAATCAACCACGTACATAAGCATGATGACACCATACCTCCCCGCACTTGCAACCTCTCCAACACCACCCCTCATCTCTGATATTGCCCAAGGTGAATTGACTTCGCTATACCACACACCATCTCAACCCAAGCACGCACCCATCCACCCACAATGCCGCGCGCCACTGCCACCGTAAACGGCATCGAAGTTGCTAGCACCGACACCTGGGAGGTCGTCGACGGCAACATCTACTTCCCACCCTCGTCTATCACGAAATCTGCCTTCACGCCCACCGCTACTTCCACGCACTGCCCCTACAAGGGCGACGCATCGTACTACAGCATCACGACCAACAAGACAGAAGTCAAGGACGCTGCATGGTACTATCCCAATCCACTGCCCGAGTACCAGAAGATCAAGGACCATGTCGCCTTCTACAAGGGGAAGGCGGACGTGAAGGAAGAGTAGAGTAGGGGAAAACCGAGGGTATATTTGGAAGAGGTTCTACGAAGTGCCGTTTGCGCCAGATGTAATGCATGCGTCAGTCGTTTGAATGCGAATCAATCCTAGGAAACTTTTTACGTCGGCATCAACCGATCACCATCGTGTCGTCGCCGTCCATGCCCACGGGCTGCGGCTCCACCACAGTCCCGCGGCCTCTGCCTTGCAGCAGTTCTCGCCGGACCTCTGGGCTGATGGTGTGGTGGCCTCTTGTGAGCAGCAGGTCGAGAAGTGCCTCTCGCTGATCCTCTGTGATGTCGTTCCTGTAGCGCTGCGCAAATGCCAACATACACTGATGCCAGATGACGGGAAGTTTCCCGACTCCGCCGAGATCGCCGCCCTCGGTGTCCATGGCATCTGCGCTGCTTGCGCCTGCAGCTCGGAAGCGGATGAAGTGGAAAACCAGCGAGTCGATGACCTTGTAAGGCAGGGCATACTTCTTTTCCAGAAGGGTTCGGATGAAGATGTTTGCTGGGCCGGCTGCTTCCGGGTCTGAGGACATCTGAGAAGCTGAGATTTCGCAGATGCGATGGATAGCCGCGGCGGAGTGGAGGACTGGTACCGAGACTTTTGCGACCACGGATGCGATGATTGTCGCCTCGCGTTGCGTACATCCGTCGACAAGCATGGGGAAGACGATGCCCTTGAAGAATGCCGAGGGCTTGTAGAGAGCCTTCTTGAGCGCATTGTATAGATGGACGTTAAGTTTCTGGAGAGCACGTTAGTGTAGAACACGGCCAGCTATGTACCGATATCAACATACATGTGTCTCAAATATGTTGTTCTGTACTGCAGGAAGAAGAACCTGGTTCAAGAAGGCTTGTGCCACATAAGGCTTCGAGGACACGAACTGGGATTGATGTTAGAATAAGGCAAGTGTGTACAGTGGCTTCTAAGATACTTACCAGGCGGGTCCCAGCATAAACAGCATTGGGGGTCCATTGATCAGGTCTTGTTACAGCGACCAATGTTTCCCAAGCTCCAATCGTAGGCAGGATCTGATATATGCGTCAGAGCCTAAATTGATACAGCATGCCCTTGAACATAGCTCACCTTGAACGGTTTTGGAAGCTTTCCGGACTTGTATCGGGATAGGATCAGGCCAACTTTGGAATAGACTTCCACAACTCTGATGGGTGATTAGTGCCTTGGTAGAGATATTCACGGTGAAGTGATTACTTTGCAGGAAGCTCAACTGCGTCTTCGGGATCTCCTCCGCCGTAGATCTGTGGCGCCTGTGGGTCTGCAGACTCCTTCTCTGCGATTCTTTGTAGAATCAACGCCGCAAGATCGGTTCCGCCTCCCGAGGGTTGCGCTTCTGAGCCCGGCCAGCTGATGGGGTTGTCGTCGGTTTGCATAAACTTGTTGAAGGTCTCCAAGTCTTCAGGATCGATCTCGACCTCTTCCACAATCTCTTCCTCCTCATCCCCCCAGGCGTCATCATCATTATCGTACTGGGCCGCCTCTTCTATGCCATCGTCGAGACGGGTGTCAAAGTCAAACGCAGGGTTTGCCTTGGCCGGTCTTTGTGGTCTGCTCTCGCTATCTGCCTCATCTGCAAGCTCTTGTCCCAGTTCCAAAATCTTCCTCGAGCTCTTTGAGTCTACATAGGCGTCGCCTGCGTTTTCGTCTAAGCGTTTTCGAGTTTTCGCGGGTTTCTGCTTTAGCGACACACTCGTCGGGGCATATTCTTCCGCAAGAGGGTTGTGGCGCTGCGATTCGCGCACGGCGGGCGACTTGGGCGTCTTCGGCATGTTGGGCAAGGTTGGTCCTCGATGAGCTAGCCTATGGCGTTTCCAACTTCGAAGCTCGAGTATTCCTGGTCCGCCGACTGTTCTGAATATTGGTGGACCGTTGTTGAGCGGTACAGTTTTTTTAATCGTCTTGCGGACTTGCGGGGAATTTCAGCCCACCAACTTTTTGCGCAGGGTCCAGAGGTGCGTCCGTGCGTAGACTGTGCGGAAGCTACGACCGCAATCAGCGCAGCTTCGCGTTCCTGCATCGCGCCTTGAGCTACTGCTGGGTAGAGCTCTCGACGGCCAGACCAAGCAAGCTTTGCCAACTCCTGCGCGCAGCCGTCTGCGGCAGAGTCTCAAATTCAGCCCGTTCGCCAATCATCTGGCGCGGTCATGGCAGAATCGCAGACAAACTCACGCGCCAACACGCCAGGCGCATCGTTGCCGGTGAAGCGCACCCTAGAAGAAGACCATGCGCCCGCCATATCCTCGCCGCTCAACCCCAATCCAGATGCCGCGTCGCGCGCGCGCCCACGAGCTCCGCCGCGCGAGCAGCGAGAGAAGCGCGAAACGATGAAGAAGCGTGAAGCCTCGTCCAATACGCGCGGTAGCACGCCGAATCCGACATCCAAAGCGAAGAAAGAGCGACCGTCGACCGACTCCCCTATGCGATACTCGATCCCAGAGCCCAAGCTTTCAGACTACCAGCAACCAAGGGAGGGCCAATTCTCTTGGGATCCTCCGCTCATGGCGCCAGACGGCACACAGCTGCTGCGGCCATTGGACCATGCCTGGAACAAGAAGGGCTACCGATACACACACGCTGTGGCAGATCCGCAATTTCGGCACAAGCAGTTCTACCGCCAGAGCGACCCAAAGCCGTACGGCCCGCGAATGAGCCACGAGGATACCGACCGATGGTTCTCATTCGACAAGGACACTGCGACTATTGTGACGCAGGAGAAGGGCTGGCGTATGGGCAGGGGAAATGTCGTGGCGCGAGAAGGCAGGATGTACTTTGAAGTCAAGATTCTGAAGGGCATACCTGCAGAGGGTCCTCAGGATCCCATTGATCCCAAAACGGGAGAAACCAAACCAGGGCCCCACATCCGAGTTGGATGGGCAAGGCGAGAGGCACCGCTAGACGGTCCGGTTGGGTTTGACGGCTACAGTTACGGCATCACAGACGCTCGCTTCGAGGTCATGCATCGCTCGCGGATATCCAAGGTCTTCAAGCCATTACCAAAGAACGCCAAAAGCAGACACATGAAGCCCCGCCCGCCTCATAACAAGCCGATGCCAGTCGAGTACGTCAGTGATGAGCATTTCGGAGAAGGCGATGTCATTGGTCTCGAGATCCAATTGCCCTCTTTGACGCTGCATCGCAAGGTCGTCGAGGGCATCTACAATCCTGCTGTCGATGTCGGGGATGGTTTCGATATCAAAGAAACCTTCGACCCAACCGAGAAGCCACTTGACATCATTCGCGACCGCATCCCCGTAGGATACAAAGGCAACTTTCTGTTCGAACAGCTCGACTATTCCACCTGCAAAGCGGTAGAGCTGTATCACGACCGAGGACCCGTACCCAAGATTAACCCATCACCGAACCACGAGGAGGTGAGCGTTCGATCGTTACCTCAATCGCACATCAAGGTATACAAGAATGGAAAGGAAATGGGCATTGCATACGAGGGCTTGCTCGCTTTCTTACCACCAGCAAGCATTCCATCGGCGGAAGCTTTGAAGGCTGGCGCGAGGGTGGGATTCGACGACGGCATGGTGGGCTACTTCCCTACCGTCGCCGTCTTCAACAAAGGCGTCGCGCAGGTCAATTTTGGGCCCGACTTCTGGTGTCCACCGGAAGAGATATTGAAGCAGCGTGAGAAGGATACGGAGATGCAGGGGAGTGACACAAGCGAGAAGCGGATACCCGAAGGAAGGAAGTTGCGAGCGATTGGCGAAAGGTACAAGGAACAGATTGCGGAGGATGTGGTCTGGGATATCATCGACGAAGTCGATTTCTTCGTGCAGGACGGCGGATGGAACTACACCGGAGAGACGCCTCAGGATGTGGCAGGCAAGTCGACGCCAAAGGCTAGGGGCTTTGCGAACCCGGATGAAAATGTGGGCGTGGAAGTTGGAAGGCGATATTGATCTAACGGGCGCCAGTACTCGACTCTTTCAAGTATATCAATGCGAATACCATGAATTAGTTTCGACCACGTTGTGAATCGTAGGATTCGCCGTTAGCATGATGCTCGGTCGTGGCCGCGAGCAGTGACATGCCCTCTCGCTATTGTTGACAACACCGTCAGTGCAGAAACTCCATAAAGACCAATTTCCACTTTGTATATATCTTTTGACATATTTCACGCCCTATGGCGCGGCACCTAGGAATTTGTCCTCCGTTCCGACCAACCACTAACCGTGAACGGAAAGAGCGCGGAATAAAAGCGCCCACTACCGACTTCGAGGCAACCCGCCTACTCGTGGAAAACAAGCAAGTTTTACTTGTACACGTATACGGCCTTCCTGCAACAAACCAATCGACATTTCTCTATCTTGAATCTATCATTTCTCATCGGTTGGGAGTGAGTCAATTGGTCCGGGATTCGCCACGCACATCATGGACTCATCACAATTTCGGGAAGCAGCTCACAGCGCCATTGACGAGAGTATGGAGGTTCACAATCACGTTTGCTTACACTCTGCTAACGAATATCCTCAGTCATTCGATACTACGACACTGTTGCTGAGAGACCTGTCCTCCCAAACGTCTCCCCCGGATATCTTCGACCCCTCCTTCCCGCAGGCCCACCGGAGGAAGGCGAGCCATGGAGCGCCATCCAGGCCGATATCGACAAAATAATCATGCCGGGGCTTACTCACTGGCAATCGCCTAAATTCATGGCCTTCTTCCCGTGCAATTCTTCTTACCCCGGCATGCTGGGTGAAATGTACTCGAGCGCGTTCAATGCCGCAGCCTTCAACTGGATCTGCTCACCAGCGGTCACAGAATTAGAGACAGTGGTAATGGACTGGATCGCCAAGTTGCTCGCTCTCCCTGACTGTTACCAAAGTGCTGGTGAGGGTGGTGGTATCATCCAGGGCACAGCGAGCGAAGTAGTGCTCACATCGGTAGTGGCAGCAAGAGAAAGATTGATCAGGAGGAAGCTGGGCGACATGCCCGAAGGCGACGAGAGGATGGACAAGGCCGCAGATCTCAGAGGGAAAATGGTAGCACTAGGCTCGGAACACGCCCACTCCTCCACACAGAAAGCCGCAGTCATCGCGGGCACCCGCTTCCGCACCGTCCCCGCGCCACGCTCCACAAACTTCAGCGTTACAGGGAAAGCCCTCAGGGCAACCATCGAAGAACTCAAAGCAAAGGGCCTCGACCCATTCTACTTCACCGCGACCATCGGCAGCACGGGCACCTGCGCCGTCGACGACCTCGAAGGCATCGCCGCCGTCGCCCGCGACTACCCCGATCTCTGGATCCACGTTGACGCCGCCTACGCCGGCTCTGCCCTCATCTGCCCCGAGTACCAGCACCTCTGCCCACACCTCGCGCACTTCGACTCGTTCAACTTCAACCTGCACAAGTGGCTGCTGACCAACTTCGACTGCAGCGCCTTCTTCGTCAAGCGCCGCAAGGACCTCATCGATACGTACAGCATCACGCCGTCGTACCTGCGCAACGAGTTCACCGAGAGCGGCCTCGTGACCGACTACCGCGACTGGCAGATCCCGCTGGGAAGGCGCTTCCGCAGCTTGAAGGTGTGGTTCGTGCTGCGGACGTATGGCGTCACCGGCCTGCGCGCGTTCATCCGCGGGCATGTGAAGCTGGGGGAGTACTTCAACGCGCTGTTGGAAGAGCGCAGAGATGTCTTCTCCGTTGTCACGCCCGCTAGCTTCGGGCTTACCACGTTCCAGGTTAACCCGCCTAAGGCGAATGCGCCGAGTTCTCCAGCGACCCAGGCTAATCCTGCGCACGAGGCGTATTTGAATGACTTTACGAATGACGCCGAGGGCCAGTACAGAGAAGAGGTGAACCGCGTTACGAAGGAGGTGTACGAGAAGGTGAATGCCGGGGGAGAGTTCTTTCTGACCAGCACTGTGGTGTGTGGCTTGTATGTCATCCGTGTGGTTAGTGCGGTGGAGAGATCGGAGGAGAAGTACCTGAAGCGGGTCTTTGACCTGCTACTCGAGACTGCCAATGAGGTAGTCAACGGCAAGGGCAAGGCGTGAAGAGGCATGTTCCTGTACTGCTACTAGTCGGATGGCAGGCTTCCATAATGCCGCATGTTCGAATGTGATTGTTCCTCGCGGATAGCTAGATATGCAACACATCCATCACTTTCAACACAGCAACACTCGTATGAGACCGCCGTTAAATGCCATTGCTTTGCCAGCTCGTCATCAGCTATACGCGTGCCAACCCCATCCACCATACGCCCTCCCACTCACCGCCGCCGCCTTCCCAATCTTCGCCGCCTCGCTATTCCACCTCTCGCTCGCCATAGCCCTCGTCCGCGGCCTCTGCTTATACCCCCCATTCCGATAGCTCCCATCCCCTGCATACTCAAACTCAATTTCCTTCCCCCGCTTATCCGGATCATCGAACCTATCCAGCCACCTATTCAAATGCGCACGGGTGTCCCGTGCGCCCGCCGTGTACGACAAAATGATCCTAATCTGGCGCTTCGGCTTCGCACTGTAGTCTTCTTTTTCGCCCCAGCCGGGCCGCGTGCTGAGCCGCGCGAGCTGCGCAGAGGATAGGCGGTTGAGGAAGGTGACTACATGCGCGAAGTTGTGGTTGCGCACGGTGGTGGTGATGACGGGGGCGTGGAAGAGGACGGCGTCGAGGAATTCCTCGCAGAGCTGGGCGTTTACGCCGACAAGGCCGCAGCGGGTGGCGAGATTGCTGGAGCCGGATTTCAGGGTTGTGGAGCTGTCAGCTGAAAGGATGTGTTTGTAGACTTCGTCGCGGAGTTCTCTGGGGAGTGCGAGGAAGGGTGGTAGGGGGTGGTTTTGTGGGGATGGCCGTGTTAGGGAGGGTTCTGTGGCAGAAGGGATGGGCGATGCAGTTCCCTTGCTCTTGGATATCGAGGGTTGTCCTTCATTGGATTCAACTTTGATGGTGACGGCTTTGCGCGCACGCTTCCTTGGGGTTGGAGCATCGTTGTTGGTGCTATCTGGGGTAGCCGAGGTGGCTTTCTCGACTGGCGTCGAAGAGGGTTGGTTACGCTTTGAACGTCTGAGTTCTGGAGCCATTTTGAAGTTGCGTAACGATAGTGTCTTGCTGTTTTCGATTGTGGTGAAGATATACTCATCTGACGCCAAGAAGGCCAGGGCACGAAGAACGATCCTTCAGGCAGCAATCAGGCGACCGTGGCGCTAGGATCTATAGAGACTACTGCCTGGACACTGCTACAAGGCTGCAAGTGGACAGTGGACACTGAGGCTACACACGACTGAGCACGCATTCTTGATGTGGCTTGGTTTCATACCATGAGAATGGAGATCAGCTCACTCAGAAGCCGCGGGTAGTAAGAAGAAGCAAGACGCTGTACTGGGCGTCTCGAGCGAGCGCAAAATAGGACACAGGATCAGATTCCGGGTGCATGTTGAACAGTCAAAAGCAAACCGGAAAAGTAATCCATGTGCGGTTGTCTTTCCAAGTGTTCGAACGTGCCGTTTCGGCAGATGATGTCATCCGCGCTAACCTGATTGTCTCGGCGGGGACTGTGAACGCCTGGAGACGCCACGGCAGAGTCACGATATATCATACGAACATTACAAGCTATCCCTCTCAGCCACTATGTCGAAATCAAAACCCTTTCCCGCCATTCACGGTGGTTGTTTCTGCGGCTCCACGCGATACCGTCTAGAAACCGCGCCCTTATTCAACCATGCGTGTCACTGCCAGGACTGCAACAAGCATACAGGCTCCGTCTTCGCGTGCTTCACGACCATAGAAACGGAGTTCATCACGTCCTTCGGAAAGACGCCTCCGAAGATCACCACTACTGTAAGACCAAATGGCCTCGTCCGGCATCTCGCTACTTGCGGCACGTGCGGCACGCGACTCTGGGCATCAGGCGACAGGTCCACGGTCATCGCGGACATAAACACGGGCACGCTGGATCTGCCCGAACTCATGGAGCCCGATGTGCATGAATACATCGAGAGCAAGATTTCATGGGTTCTCCTCCCCGAGGGCACGAAAACGTGCAAAGGCCCGTTTGATTACACGAAGTGGTGGCCGAAGAGCAGTCTGAAGAGGCTGGAGGCCGCGATTCAGAGGGCGCAGGAGAGAAAGAAATTACAGGTGAAGGTTGCACAGGCGGAGAGTTTGGACGTTGAAGATGAGAAGGAGGCCGATAAGACGCCTACTGCGCAGACGCCGGATGAGAAGGATGAGGTAGCCGAAGATGACGAGGAGTTTGAGAGGAGGTACCTTGAGACCGAGAAAGCGCTTCAGGAGAGGCTGGAGCAATTGAGTCTGAGGCTGAAGGTCCATGAGAAGGTACAAGGGGATGACTTACGCCCCGGCGTTGTTCAGGCTGCAAAAGAGCCGGCGAGTGAATCACCGTCAGCGGAACCGAAAGAAGTGCCTGCGGCGACGGTCTCCGAGAAATGATGTACTTTGGGTTGCTACTAGACATGATTTCGTCAAGGAGGAGTTTGGTAGCGGGTCGGTGTTGACGTGTCTAAGGTATGGGAGTTGTGATACGATACCACTGCAAATTTACAATGTCATGAACGTCTTTTTGCGTGCAGCTGAGCTATCAGATCACAACCTAGCTTGTGCAACCTCAAAGTCTTTGCGTTTCATATCTTAACATGATGAGAGTGATGAACTAAAAGTATCGTATATTTTACATGCTCCTCCTGCCATGCTCCCAGTCGCATCCCGGAGTCTAAAAGTTCATCCCATTGAACGGTACATCGCTATACATGGTTCCGCCTTGGGGCATCCATCCCCCATAGTTATCGTTAATGTCATCCCACAAGTACAGATCACCGTTCTGGAAGGCCGCCGAGAAGTCGGTCATATCCGGACCTGTGTACATCTGATCGTTGAGCCCTGGTGTCTGGGTTCCACTCGTGGTGGGAAATCTAAATGCGGGAGGTTGCCAAGTTCCCACAGGAAGCTGCGTGCCGCCGAGAACGAAATCGAGCCCTTGGCTCCGAGGAATTTGGGGCTGTTCTGTGAGCGAGGGTGAGGTGGTTAGGGGGCTTGGTGTCGGCAGCTGTTGTGCTTGAGATGTGTATGGTGGCAAGACATCAGTAGTTACGCTAGAAGTGTTTGCGTCGATCATGGCTTGGGCTTTCTTGCTGCGTTTCAGGTGCCCGCCGTTGCGTCTCCATTCTTGATGCTCATCGTGCCATGTCTTGAGCTTCTCCTTCAAGACAAACCGCCAGTGTCCTGGGATTCTGCACTTCTGCGGCCCTTCAGCTTCTGTTGTGATCCTGATCACTGAATCAAGGTAGAAATCTATCTTGAGGCTTTTGGAGTCGATGACTTCACCCATGCCTTCCGCGTCTGTTCCAACAGCGTAATCCACCTTTAGTAGTGCAACAAGAGCGAAACAGGCGCGAACGAAGTTGATACCTGCGGCCCTTTGCAGCTTCGATATCGACATTTGGAGGAAGCAGTCAAGGATGGAATGCGCAGAACTGATGCACATAATAGTTGCATTGATCTGGAGCGAGGAGCGGGAGAGAAGGCTCTCCGGTTGAATGCATGCGTCATCGTCCAAAGCTGGAAGTGTCATGTGCCGATTTCGAAATTCTGGCGCGTCATATTCTGTCTGGAGTCAGACTTGTGCGAGCAGAAAGTCGTTGGAAGAGTGCGATACTTACTGCCTCCATCCATGGCAAACTCCCACATGGACATCATATTCTGATGAAATTCCATCGAAAGAGTCACTGAAGGGTGGTTAGATTGCTCGGTAGCGCAGGATGGCGGGTACTTACTCGTCATGACTTCGTCCGGCACAGCCTTCTTCCACTCTTGCATCCTCCGCTCGAAGATCTTTAAGATCGCTTGCAAGCGCAGTTCTGATAGGGTGAAGCTGGTAGAGGCATCGTCAAAACCAAAGGCTGTGTAGGCTTCGTCGGCAATGCGCTGTAATCTCAGCCACGCGATCAAGGTCTTGTCCTGGGTTTTCGGACTTTTGAGAAGCAGAGCTTCACATTCGCCCATCCAAGAGTTGAATAGCAGAATGTTTGGTCTTCGAAACCGCATCGAGAGACTACGTAAAGATTAGATGCTCGTAAATGAGTCTGTGCGTAGATATGACGACTAACCCGGCTATAATTGTATACAACGAGAGAATAGTTCGACAATGTTCCAGAAGCTCATCGGCAGAAGAGATACGCTGTAGTGATCTGATTGCTCGTTTCGGTAGCTGCTCGTGCGTCCTTGGTTTGGAAGCCAATCCCAGCTCCAGCGCCATACTGGCCGCTAGATTCGTGTATTGGTAGATTTGCATCTGCCCAGGGTTATTGGGGGGCGTATAGTAAGCAACTGATATGAAGAGCGCTTGGACATGTTGTAATGATTTTTCTCCATTGACGAACAGTGACCTTGCGTAGAAGTAGACCAGTTCTTCATGTAGCTTGTTAGATAAAGCAGATCCCAGACCCTGACTCGCTGCAGCCATGACTGCGTGAAAAAGGGCTGGCTTCTTGGACCTTAGCTCATTTGCTGTTACTTCTTTTGGAATTGTGATCCCCGGGTAGTCCACAAAGAGCTCTTCCCGGTAAAGTTTGAGAAGGCTCTCCGCCAATTCTATGGTAATCACACCACGGTCAATAATGTCATTGTCGGTCGTCAACAAATCGTGCCTCGTATCGTTCCTAGAAATGTTCTGTCTTGGTGGCCATGGGTCGTTAGATCTTAATGGTTCTTTGGCGATGGAACTGTCTTGACTCTGTGAATAACCTGAGGACTTTCTTTCTGGAGACTCTGTAGGCTCTAGCTCGTCATCATCCATGGACTCGTCATGGTCATCTTCTTCGATCGGTGGAATTGTTGAGTTTGGTTTCAGCAGAGCAGTGACTAATAACGAAGTCAAAGAAGTTTCCTACAATGTGAAGATGCATCGGGCGCCAAACCACTTACGATGCTTTAGTTCCTTCTCGAGCTCCGCTACGCGAACATCGGTTCTCTTCCGTTGCCTTCGTTTCGCTGGAGGCGCGAAAACACACTGACGTCCCGCTTTCGCGCATCGCTCACATTGTGATGATGATGAGTTTTGGTTGACTAAGCACCGCACCTTCGAAACTCGACAAGCTTCGCATGCTCGGTTAAGTTGTACTTCGCCGCTTTTCTTCACTCCTGCATCCATTGGTGATGGCGACATTTCTTTGATGGATACGGCACTCTCGCCGATCAAGCAGGTGCGTAGGGACGCTGACGGTAGATTACAAAGTGTGCGACCAGCTACACGCCTACATGAATGCGAACAGCTGGTCGACACTGGGAGCGATAGCGGGTCGCACTTGGCACTCTCCGGTATGGGCGCTTTACCGTGACGTATGGGCGATGATGCTTCTGGTGGCAGACGCAATCAAAACTTTTCCTGAGCGGTTGGTCGTGTGAAGCTACGAAGAGTGGGGTCTTTAGGACAATTCGGCGTCGTACGCAAGCGAGCAAGGGTTCTCCAAGTCGTAGTAGATTGATAGTAGTTGTTATTCAGGCCACGATGAGGCTATCTGGGCGCGCTGGGCTGGGTGTCCGTTAATTGTTGCTGCCTTCGAGATCAAGTGCTGACTCCACACTGATGATGTTTCCGGGGCTTACACTATACCTATAAAGCTTAGCGTTGCGTAGCGTCGCGCTGACAAAGATGAACACTGCGTACTGTGTTGTTAACGCCGGGGCCTTCAACTCCGAACTCCGGCTGTCTTTATTGTCTTCTATTACCTCCTGTAAATGTGCTCAAGTTCACGCAGCATGCACTGCGTCCTAGGAATCGCCAAAAGAAAAACCCGTCTCCTGGCTGCGGTGCCAAGCTCGCTATATAGCCAATACGCGAGTTCCTAATGGGCCGCAAAAGCGCGCACAAATCGAGGCGGTTCGATTCGGGTTTTGCGGCTTGTGGTATGAGATGCAAATTTCCGTGGGATTCGTTGAGAACTTGTTGTTTTGTCATTGAAAATGACATCATGAGTCGACGCTCTTTGAAAGGGAGCTGAAAGATTAGGTCTCGGGTCCGAAATACACATGGCTTACTTTCCAGGACGCATTCGCTATTGCAAGTACACACACAGTACGGGCAGCGCAGCTCACAATCAGCAAAAGCAAGACTCGCCCGCGACATTGCTCTAGAATGCGATGCGATGGTGCGAAGGAAACAATCGTCCGTATCGACATAGACGTCAGATGCAAGCCAGAACCTTGCCAGTATGATTCACGATTGTGTACCTTGATCGGTCACTCCTATGTATATACCCCACGGCGCCTGCCCAGGAAGAGTACCGCCACGCTTCGGCATCGCCAACGTCTAACTACATGCCCAAGCATGCGCCCACCTCTCATCGTCCCTTCCCCTTCCCAGCCTCCAGCCCAGCACACCAATAATCTGCCACACAATTCCCCCTCGCACCATCCTCCCTAATTCTGACCGCTGTCTCTCCATCCTTGAAACACACATAATCCTCATCCCCCAATTTCGCATCCCCTGCCAACGATCCCTTCGCCCCAGTCGCTGCATCCGCCGCGATTGATGCCGAAAACACCTTGTCGTTCCACACCTTGACCTTCCACCTGACGCCTTCCCACGGCTCCGGCGGCTGCGCTACGAGCGCAGCTTTGTCGGGCTTAGGAGCCTTCGTGTCGGGGTCGACATTCGTCACATTGAGCGGCTGGCGGAAGTAGGCTATGGCGGTGAAGTTTGCGGAAGGCGTGGGATTGTCGTCATCATTTCTATTTTTTGGGACGCAGGTTACGAGGTAAATGTTGTGGGCTTTTGCGGCTGCCAGGTCGGTGGTTGGAGGAAGAGCCGGGTGTGCGAGGGCAAAGTAGGGCTGTGCACCCAGGAGGAGCGCAGCCAGCATGGACTGAAGCCGCATGGTTACAGTGATGGTTTGGCTAGATGGGCTGTAATGCTCAATGGTACGTGATGGAACACGATCGACATTTTTCCTTCCATTTATACTTCGCCTAGGGCGATGGTATCAGGTACGTGGAGCTGCGACTACCGGGTCGGCATCTATTCGATTATAATTGATCATTTAGCCCAATAAGACGAGCTGACCGTTCTATAGTTTTTTTGTTGGCTCGCGTAATGTCAGATCAATCGCTTGAGAATGGGTAATCTATTCCACGTGTACTGCAGAATCAATATGGAAGTCTAGGCACGGCTTCTAATATGCGAGCACTGTCAATGGTGACGCAAAAGGCACGAGTACGAGGTCAACATCTGATATTGTATGAATGGTGCAGGGGCACGCGAAGAGGAAGGAATACTAGAAGGGGCTTTTGGTAAGACGTATCCTTTCTGCCGGATGTTCACCCAGCAGGCATGATTCGTGTGCGGATGAATATGCGCGCCGCAGCAACTTTGCCAACGAAACTACCGACCTGAAGAGCTCAGCATGCGACGACTTGAATACACAGTCCAATCACCCTTGTGTACCCCCAGGATCGCTTAATCAGCTCATGGCCCGCAAATACGCTGAGCGTTTACGCTGCTAGTGGAGAGTCAACTCAAACATCTCCCTTCGCAGCATCATTCGAGTTTTCATCCCAAACAGCAGTGTACCAGTCCATGTCTGCCTCTCCTAAATGGCCATCACCATTACCGTCAGAGCCTTCTGGATCCGCCACAGGGCTCGTCACAGACTCACCGACACCAACACTCTCCAGTCGCTCTAGACTTTGATCTTGCCCATCCATCCTCCCATACACCAACGCCTCAGGATATCTCTCCCGGATATGCTCCAAGTACCTCGCCACCTCTGGCGAAGCGCGGTAAGGTCGAGCATCTGACGTGGTATTGCGCTGCAAGTAGTCGACCATGCGCAGGGACTCCAACAAGATTCCATTGACTAAGTCAGGGTTCTGGGACATGTTCTGCGGCGGCTGAAGATACGCTGAGTTATTCTCGGATGCGATGAACGGGTCTGGCGTATCCGCGGTGCAGTTTTCTAAGTAACGTGCTGTGTGGGCGGCGTTGCGGAGGGTGTCTTGGACTACAGTCTGGTCCTCGTGCAGGCTAGAGATTACGAGACCGCTGTTGCGCCCAGCAGAAAGTGAATGACCTGCGGTCATGCGCTCCACTGGCGTACGAGCCTTGGGGGAGTAGTGGTCATTCTTTACGGTACGCTGAGTTCTAGCCGCGTCCTTCATGTGCTGGTATCGCTGTCCAATGTCCCCTCTAGTCTCTCGCTCACAATCCCTTGAGCGCACACCTCGTTGTAGGGGAGAAGCGGAGCGGGCACCGTCTTGCCTGCGGTCAGGGCCCGAAGTGCGACGAGCATTGTTGGAGCCAGAGGTAAGAGGTGGAGCGTTGCGAAGGCTGCGCTTGCGAGGAGCGCTGTTCCGGTTATCCACCATTGTTGTTGGCGGGTAATATCTGAGAGAAGATCGAGGTGAGGTGGAAGCGAGACGAAATGAGCACCAAGTGTTTGCGTGCGCGTTGTTTGGGCAGAGTGCAAACGGACGCGTAGAGCTAGCACTGGCCAACCTTCATACAGTACTAGGATAAGAAAAATTAGTACAGTATGCTACCCCAGGATAGCCAATTCGTAGACCGACTGCATCCAAAGTCTTGTCCTGGTGCTGTAGCACTTTATGGATCGTGGGCAGGCATCGGTGAGCTATGGCTTTCGTAGGGAAGCTGAACTATCAAGGTGGTTTCATTAGAAGAAAACATGGATGATATTATACATTGTAGGAAAAGAATTCGCTATGATGAGCTAGAATCAAGGGTTCGCTATGTCTCAACGCCAATGCACCGCAAAGTCCCAGCTATTCTCGTCTAGATAACCTGCTAGGCTGAAGGTTGCTCGCTGACTACGCAGGGCCGCGAGAGCAACGAGGTAGGCACCTACTTCTCCATGGCACGAATCACACGGTTCCCCACCGTCCACCCGCCTTGCAGCTCAGCACAAGCGTCCTGCTTCTCCTGCAAGCCTCTAGTACCAGCATCCTTGAGGTTCACCGTACAAACAACGCCTGCTCTCGTGTCAGCTCAAACATGCCCTCCTTGTGTCCATCCAAGCACATGCCCGCCCAATCACCTTGGAGAACACCGCACAGCTCACCCGGCGAACCCACACCTTCCAGCACACCAAGGATTCCCGCATCTACGCCCGAAAAGTCGACCGCGCACTTGTCTGTATCCAACACCTTGCCAGGGAGCAACTCGCACATCTCGGACGCGGTGTACACGGTGCGGAGGTCGGACCAGGTGTGTGCAAGCCTTTAGCTCTCGTCACTATCGTTTGCGAGCGCAGTGAGAAGTGCTTACGTGGTGGTACTTATGGGAGGGACGCCCTTGAAGAAGTCAGGGTCACCGTGGAAGGGTGACTCCGGGCACTTCTTGATGCAGATGTACAACGTCACCTACACACGCGGGTAGGAAGTCAGTGTAAGCCATAGAAGGGTGGCATTGGTCATGTGGTCGTTTCTCAGACACGGCGATGTCGAAGCGGTGCGTTACGTACCGGCATCAGGCAGCTCATAAGACAGCCCATGGTGTGCTGCTTGGTAGGGTGGGGTGTGTTGTCAGGACCTGTAAAGGGCGGAAGTGGGTGGTTGAAGGAGCTCTCGGTGACAACGATGTGTAATTTGCTTGACGTCGTTACTCGATAGAAGGTTGGGAATAGAGCATTATGTAGATGCAGGTACATCAAATGCATGTCTTGATCATGCATGCCCTGTCGAATCAACCGTGGCCGTAGTGGGAAATGACGAACGACAGTGAACTATTGGGAATCGCACCCATAAACCATTGGCCGCTGTTTGCATTCCCGACTTTATGTGAATATTTGGAGCGTTCAAGGGACCATGCAAGTCTCCCGCACCAAAGCTACAGGACATCGTCGTTGAATTATTTCGTATATTACCCTACACGGCAATACCGCCTGTATAAATCCCACCATGCAGTCCACGCGCTATGCAAAAATCCACAGCTATCCACCCAACTTTTGAACCCAGCACCTCAAGCGCGATATACCCTCAGCGCCTCTTCCCCAACATCTCCTTCCCCAGTCCATCTCTGCCCTCCTCTCTTGTAATCTGCTCCGTCGCCTTGACAAGATCATACGTAATCTCATCGCCGACCACACTATCCTTCTCGTACTTCGGATGTGTCTGCACAAAATGCCGTATCCACTTCGCTGCAGTCCAGTACGTTCCATCCGCACGCTTGCGGATCAGATCCAGATAACGTGCGAGATCGCAGCGCGTCTCGACATCGACATTCATGCTGTCGAGGTAACTTTCCACCAAAGGGATCAGTCCGGGGAAGCAGTCTTTGCCCTCGGCGGACTGCTGTCCATTGATGACCTCGTTGATGGTCATCAGTTCGTATTCGTCTTCGACGGGGCCGACGGGCGTGGGCGGCCTGCTACCTTCGGCGGGAGTGGACGTGCCGGTAGAGTGCGAGTGCGAACCGAAGGGGTTCTTGCGGAACCAGAACTTGTCTGCTGACAGTGCATCACGCTTGTGGGCGGTTTCCATGTTCTCAGAAACCCGCTGGATCGGCAGGTAGAAGTTTAGGTTGAAGCTTAGAATTGCTCGCGTGATGAGAACGATGAAGATGCTGAATGCGGCATTTTCGAAGTCGGTTATTTGGATCTCCATCGGGCGGAATTCGACGCGCCATCCCATGTCGGTGTTTGGTGGCGGAGGCTTGAACCGCATGTGCTGCCAGTTGGTGGACTGGAGGTTCTCGAAATGATCAGCCTTGGAGAGGTCCAGAGTCTCGAGATCTTCGGCGAAGACCACGATTGGATCACGGATGAACAGGTGCGCAAAGTGAGTGGCAAGAAGATCGTCCATGCCACCTTCTACTAGGCGCTGCTTGATATCTTCGTCAACTACAAGGTCAGGGTCAAGGTATTCGCGCCGTAGACGTGGGTCCTGTGATATGTATGTTGAGTTGGAGGCGTAGCGAGACTTGGGTAGACGCCATCTGTCATTCTGGAGAGGCTATCATATAGTCAGAGTGGCGCTCGATACGATGCGTTACTTGTGTTTACCTTCTCTCCAAGTTCTTCTGGGGTTCGATCATCCACTGCTCTGCTAATCTGGTTCCATCGAACATCAGTGTCAGCCAGGAACCCTTTGTAGATTGGTGTCGCCGCTGTCAACGCGAGTAAAATAGGGCCAAGAGGACTGAGCTGATCGTACATCGTACGTCCCTCCTGAATGTTTTTGGCCTGGAATGTGATTTGCAAGCAACAACTTCCCATTCCAAAAGCCATGGCATCCATATAGATGTGGTTGTCTTTGGCAGCACCGTTGCGAACATCGTCATCTTCAGGCCATCGGTGGAGATCATAATTCACAGTAGGGTCCTTGAATGGCCACTGTGTCTTTTCGTCTCTGAAGACTGGCACATTGATCTCGACTTTCCTGCCTCTTCGCCAGCGGATGTTGGCTGCCAAGGTCGGAAAGCGGATATGCGGGTTAGCGATCTCATCGGGCACATACTGAGATCGAAGCTTCGGGCCGGAAGCAGGGTATGCCGGCACGATGCAGTCAGGCGAGCCAAGCCGGGGAAAGGTGGTTAGTGTGATCGGATACTCAGTCGCTTCCATGTGGTCCTTGGCTATCATTCGTCTGCAGCGGATCAGTGCTGTTTAGAGGCACGATAAGCGGGTGAGAAAGTTACCTCCACTTCATGTTAGGCTCAACGTCTAAAAGATCTTTGAACCCGATACCCCATGGCTTTCCAGGGGTAGCTTCCAACATGAAGCGTCCAAACTCGGGATGGAAGACAGGGGCGGTCTCGCCCTCCCTTACGATGTCAATGATCTGAGTGACATTCGCGGCAGATGATTCTCACTTTGCTGAGCCTCTCTGTACTTCAGGGACGCCGCCGCCTTCTTGCAGTAGCTTTTCGTCGTTTGCTAGCGCCGCTAGAATGTCAGCCTGTCGCAGCGACAGGCGGACCTTGCGGTTCTGCTCATCGTAACACACGACGAGATATTCGATCTGGTGATTCCATCAGTCACAGCTCGTGCTACTGGACGAACAGACCGCACCTCGTCACCCCAGAGCAGTGCTGCCCTCTCTTTGCCCTTGGCGTTTCCCCAAATAGCTAGGAGTTGCTGGACACGTCAGTGTATTGCTCCACTACCGCCACTTGCAGCGGACGTACTTCGATGCCCCAGGAGCGGACTTTGCTGGCGACCTTTTTGGCCTCTGGCCATTCCAGCGGGGTTCCCAAAGCGCTTGCCTGCCGTTAGCTGGCATAATCAATACGGTGGTGCACGGTCTCACAGCAGCCCCATTCTTAAACAGCGTTTGTGAAGGCCGGGTTCTCGTCCAGTCCAGGATGGGCGTTACGAGCGCCCGCCGCCGATCTGATCTGTGAGTGGCGGGCTGTTCCCTAGGATCTGGAGGAAAACTCGGGGAGTACAGCAGAAATCTAACTTTAGCGGGGTACCTGGACGCGCGAGGCTGCAAGAGCGGAACTCCAGAAGCACCGCGGAGGAGCGATCAGATGCAGCGCCGTGGCGATCGGTGTGATGGGGAAATGCAAAAGCGCAGTTACTGTAGGAGCAGATGCCGACATAGGAATAATGATGAACAGAGGGTCTGGATTAGTAATGGATGGTGAGGATCCACCAGTTGCCGGCGGAACGACTAACCCCTCCGAGGCAGGCCGCTCCCGTTCGCGCTTTCCGCGTTCGCTGCATGTAAACGAGCGCGCCCGCGGTGTCGGAAGCCCGACCAACGTCCTCTCATCTCCTCCAGACGACGCCGGTGACAGCACCTCGGGCATCACAGCAGCAATGCATGACTGTACAGCGGACTCGCTTGAGCCTGTCCCGTGTCACGGTCGCTTCCCCACGTGCGCTCCTCTCCGACTAAAAATGTATACGAGCCTCGCTGCGAATGGCAAAAGAAGCGCCCGTCCCGCTGGCTGCTGCATGCCCGTCATTCCAGCGCTTTCTGGTTGGGCTCGCGGATGATGCCTACGTGCCGCAAGCGATGACAGCTGCAGGGCCATGGGGCCTCGAAAAAAACGACATCTCGCTGCGGGGTTGGGCATCATGTGTTGGACGCCGACGCTCACATGTTGCCTTCGAGTCGCACAGTGCACTTGTGGAGCGCCCGCGCTCGCCACGGTTAGTGCTATCGCGCGCTGGTACGCGTGGATCGCACCGCTGCCTATCTGTGATTTATCGATCTGGGGTGCTACGTTGCGCCATCATCCAAGGAGCAGTGCAACAATATTCTCTAGTATCGCAAGCATCATGTAGAGAGCGTTGACGGCATCTGACCGAAACGCATCAACACTACGGATGGGCAAGTGAGCGCTGTATCACGAAGACCCACGTGAGCATCTGGTCCCTTCCAACATGTCTCAGAAGCGTCTCAAAAGAAGGTAATCGAATGTACACCCTCAATGACCGCTACGTACTCTAGTGCTTCCTAGTACATGGAAAACTAGATCCAACTATCTGGTTCTCGGGACTGCGAAAACAACGATACCAAGTTGAGCCCAAGTGCCCTTTGATCAATTCAACAATCAACCCTCATTTGCATTCTATCACATACGAAAGGACAGTCACGCACCTGCTCTGTACCACGTCCGTGGTCTCACACCCAGCAACGACGCCCTCGGTACTCCCTGCAATCCCTAGCGTACCTATCGTATCCTGAGAAAAAAAAACCGCCCCATATAAACTTTCTTTTGCGGAGGGCACTTTCCACGTCGCCTGTGTACAAGCTGCTTTTTCCGGGCCGCTCCCGCTACAGGAGTGTGCTGAAGAAGCGAGTACGGAGTGTCGATGCAGGGCAGAGGACAAACCCTTTCTTCTCTCTGGGCAAAGAAAAAAGCCATTAGCGGACTAACTTCCGTGATAGGACCATGAGGAGTGAGACTCACGCGTGCGAGCCTCATCAGCGACGGCATCATACAACAGACTTGTAGTGCTTACGTAGATATTCTCCCCTCGAGGAGTTGTGGGGACGCGGGTGCGCTTTGTGAACGTCCACGACGTGCTTTTCGATAGATCGTCGCGCACAGAGGAGGAAGGCATCTGCCCAGGCCCGCGGTATGTCGATGGACTGTGGTGGTGCAGTGTGATCTGCACTCCTCACGAGCGATGAAAACATGTGCACCACGTGCCTCTTGCCCTACCTCCCTCCCTCCCTACCCACCGTTCTTTCATCCCAGCATATCAGCACCCTCACCTACCACAGTTTCTGTATCCCAGCCTTCCCGTTCCACAGCTTTCCTCTCACTATACACCCCTAGCTCCAAACCTCCCCACTACAGAGTGCACCGGCCATCTCTGCGCAACCCCGCCGATCTGCCTGCGCTGCCGTGCACCGCTCCACAGCACAGCACAGCGCGCCGCCGCACAACGCACACGCGGCGCTGCGCAAATGCGGAAAGCAGAAGCGAGCGCTGTGCTACGAGAAAACCCGGGGGAGTGGCCGGGTCGCCGTCTACCAGCTTGCTGTCCTCTGGTCGGGGCGGAGAGGAGTCAGTGAGGCGGAGCAGAAGTAAGAAAGGCAAGGGAGGACTCTTGTCGGCAGCTTGGGATATTTGGAGTTCCCTGCGACTAGCGGAGGGGGATGCGTGCGTGTCGCGCTATCATAACAATCTCCATCACAGGTGCTTGCTTTGGGCATCGCTATCCTGCCCGGCGCAGCCAGCCTCAGCGCCACGCGCAAGCCCGTCCTCGGATCATTGGCTCAGCGAATCAAACGGGCGCTAGGCGCGACGTCTTGCGACAACTCTCCGGCTTCTGAGGCGCGCTGGAAGCGGAAGAATCTGCGAGCTCGCTCAAGGGAAGACCGAGGGCGGAAAAGCAATGCAAGGCGGATGTCGTGGCATGGTTGTTTGTGCTGGGAGAGAACGCGCAAGGGCATGCCGTGGGAGGTGAAGGTGCTGCTGTGTAGCGTAGGATGGGGCGGGTGATGAAAGCAATTCGCACGTTGCAGATCGTGAGGATCCAGCTAGCACGTGAATTTGTTCGACGAGAGCCTGTAGAGTCAATTCGTGACATTGGTAGAAGGAAGGGACAGCAATGTAGTTCAACAGCGGTAGCTCTTTCCATTTGTCTACCTCCTCTCGCCTCACCTCGCTTCTCCCTGCTAATAATTTTCTTCCTCGTCTTCTTCTTCCTCCGCCGCTGTCCTCACATCGCTACCCTTGTCCCATATGCTTCTAACAAAGCGTGGACCGCACTCTTCGTTGCACCTACAGAGCGATGAAATATAAGCAAACGCCGTGAACCAGGGGGCTAGCCTAAGAGCCGGCCGGTATCTGAGATCCAAAATGCTGGTATAATAACACCCACAAGACAACACCAGAGAATCTCCAAATGACGATTAAATGTACAGAGCGTTCCGCGTCTCCAATAAGGCCGACGGTGCGATGATGACGCAGTAGAATGAGGTACAGTCCGTAAATGCAAGCATGCTTTGCGCGACGCCAGGGCTCCTTTCCGGTGAATAACTCAACAAGAGACGATGCGGGAGATGGAATGTGTAACGCCAGAATCCGGTGGTAGTAGTATATATAGCCTAGCCAATGCTAGGGCGACGCTGGTAAAGACGACTTTTTGCTGTGTGCTAGGCGGTGGCCGCGGCCAGGATGCCGCGTCGAGAATAGGTGGTGTGCCGAATCGGCCAGTGCGTAGGCTCGGGGACTCGTAAGTGACGCCGGTAGATTCTATCCAGTGGGCGATCCTTGGTCAAGCGATTTGGGTCGCAGGTTTGAGCTCGTCATGGCCTGCTTGCCGCCCATTTTGCGTGTCAGCTTCGCGTAGTCTGCATCGGATTAGTTTCGCAGGAACAATCTTGTCTTTGAAGACTTACGAAGACCGCATGCATTGCACAAAGTTCTGGCTCCGTCGGGTCCGCGTCGCCATTCTGGAGTCTCGGCACGGTTACAGCTATGACACCTGCCTGGAGGCGCCGCTCGCTGCGTTGGCTTGTTAGGCATGAGTCCGAGCTTACTTGTAGTAAGGGGAAGGAAACTTACCCCTCGACGTTTCTTTGGGTCTGGGCCGGCGAAACCGCCAACTCCTTTGGGGTCATCGCCATAGTTGCTCTGAGCGTCGTGCTCGTAGCCGTTCATCCGTCCGTAACGCGGATCCTGTGGCGGTTCGACAAGGCTTGCTTGGTGGTTGAACACGACTTCTCGCATCCGTTGCAGGGAAATTTGCACTCTTTCGCTGTGCTTTATCATGTCATCCACTTCATCGAGCCTCGGCATCGATTGCGGAGTCATGCCAATCCGCTGAGTCTCGTGAGCTCGTTGCCTGTAGATTTTACTAAAATCCGTGATTCGGCCCGCACCTTCGGCCATCTGAAACGAATTAGCGTAAAATCTGTAAATCAGACCGTCATACATACTTCGTTGAGAGATGCTTCAAGGTCAAAACTTTCCAAATGTCTCTTTACGGATTCTCCATATGGCGCGAGGCTGGCTGGATTGAGCTTCTTCTCCTCGAGACGACTGTCCCATTGTCCAGCGAATGGCCGCGGAGGTGCGGAATATGTTGTTGCAGACGGTGGATACGCCGCATTTGGCGCGCCTGGGGCAGGCGCAGACAAGGGGTAACTTGATGGATACTGCTGCTGGTAACCATAGTTGGGATTCATTGGTCCAGCAGAATGAGGCGCCGCGGGCTCGTACGTGGCAGATGACTGGGGCGGGTAGTTGTTATAAGAGTAGCTAGGTCGCACAGGGCCCGGAGGTGGTGACCGGTCTGTGCGGATGGGATGAAGGGCGGGAAGTTTGGAATTCTGCTGAGGAGCGGAATACGAGGGACGAGGTTCGGAGAAGGACGGGCGAGGTTCTGAAAAAGAAGGACGAGGCAGCGAATCCAAAGGTGCTGCAGGCGGTGGCGGAGGAGGACCAGTCGTTGACGACGTTCCCATAAACGGACTTCGTGTGTGGGCGAAGGGATTGGAAGGGCCCTGATTGCCGTGAATGTCGGTCGAAAAGGCTCTGGTCCTCTGGTCGGTTGGCGACGTTGTCGACGGAGGGAAGTATGACTGAGGCGCTGAAGTAGGCGCAGGCGGAGGGCCGGGGGCAGATACTGGGAAAGCGTGCGGTGGTTCGGGGCCGCCGAGGGCTTCCTGTATGGACGGCAGCGAATGTCGTGCGGGCTGCCGTTGCGCGTCGTCTTCGCCAGAGGTTCTGCGCGACTCCGGGGGGGATAGCAACCCTCCCAGCGCACCTGGCAGTGTGCTGGCGGCAGACGATTGGTGGCCGTGGTGGGCAAGCGGGTGCAACGAGCCCATGGGGGCAGCGGAAGCCGAGTGTTTTCGCTGGTAGTCCATCTCTTCCCGCTTAACTTGGTCCAGATTGCTTATTGACGGGAGACCGATGCTACAGTACAGGTTAGCGAGAGTAGCCAAAGAGCGCGAGGGCAAACACGGACCTATGCCTGGAATCGAGAGCTTCCATGGCAGGCGGCCGGGGCGAGGGTGACGAGCCGCGAGCCGCGAGCTGCTGCGCTGCTGGCAGAGCAGAGCCGCGAACGGCTGCGGGGGCGCGCTGTATGTATCCGCACAACGACGCAAGACGGCGAGCCGTGCTGCGAACTGCGGATGGCGGCCAAGGGTCCCCAGACTCAGCGCCTGGTTTTGCTGCAAGAACCCACGCGCGCAGCGGGCATCCGACCAGATGCGATGGGCAGGCGGCACAGGATGACGGCGTGTCGCTGGTCGTCGAGGGCGCACGGCGGTGCTGCAACGGGATGCGGCGGGCAGCACAATGGGCCGTGGAGGGGCTGCAACCACTTCCTCCTCTTCAGACACAGAGCGTACGGACTGGGCGCTTAAAGAGGGCGCGAGCAAGATTCGTCCGGAGGATGCTCGGATGGCAGGGTGGGCGTGGAGGTCGTGATGATAGGGTCCCGTGATGTCAGAAGTCGAGGTGAAGGGCAGGTTGGCGGCTGGGAGGGACTGGGACTACGAGCACGACTACGCTACCTGGGGCGGGATGGAGGGAGCAGTGCTAGGCGGCGCTGCAGTTCCTTCGCAACGATCGGAGATGGGCCGATGCAGCGGGCATGGATGGGTGTGACGAGCGGGCTGCACGATGGTGGAGGAGCCAGCAGTATACAGTAGTATAGGTGCCGGGGTGCTACTCAGTATTGGGATGATGGCATGCCGCGTGAACAGGCCTGTCGTCTTCTTTTGCACTCGAGCGGCTAAGCGAACGAGAAGCCGTCGGCAGGGAACGCCCGCGCAGGCCAGACAGGCAAGATCGGCAGCGAGCTGGCACCAGACTGCACCGGATGGGCGCCTTCGGATTTCGCTGCTCCCTGCCTGCCGCGCCCAAACCCATGCCGCCCATCGCATCGCATCCCATGCCTGGCCCCATGTCGCTGCTGTCGGCGTGGGCGGCGCGCCCTCGCAGCTCGAGAGCCAGCACCCCGGCGCCGTGTGCCTCTTTGGGCGGCGCGGCCAGTCGATCGATGAGAGCCCCCGGCCGTCATGCACTGCACTGCGCCCTGCAGCCCCGGCGCCGGCCCACGCCCACGCTCCCCCCCGGCCACCCCCAGCAATGCTGCCCGCCAGCGCCGTGCCATTGCGCAGGCTGTGTCGACAGTCGGCGGCCAGACGTGCTCCCTTCGCGCCCTGTGTCTGCTTGCCAACCATCCACGTCCGGTCCACGTCCCGTGCAGGCAGGCAGGCGTGCTGCGGCGTCGTGCTGCTGTCCCGGGGAATCGCGCTGTGAATCGGCGCTACCAGTCGGATCGCGGGCTAACGTCCGGCCAATCTCACCCAAAGCCCTCTCCACCACGAGCGAGCCGTTCAGAAGCCTTGCCGAATGTTCGCGCCTACGGCAGAGATCAGATCGCGAGCAGCGCCCCAGGCCCATGCATCGGCTCATCCTACCCTGCCGGGCGCCGTGGCGAATAAAAGTGGCCTGACGCGCTCGCAGCCTCTGATTCCGCCAGCACGGCGCCCATCGCCCGGCTTGCCCAAACCCCTCTATTGCATCGCCCAGCATGTGCTGCGTCTCTGGTACGCTCCCGCCACGGCCGTTGGCTCAGCTGCTCTCCACACGTGCCGGTGCAACGCCCTGGCACGGCGGCCTCGTCGCTGCAGCGCTGTGATGCGCCCGTGCTGCGCTGCCACCATGTGCGGCGCCGCTGTCAGAAGAGGCGTGAACTGCGGGCCTGTCCAGGATCAGCCCACGCCTCCACGCAGCATCGCCATCGACGCGCTTCGAATCGAGATCCAGCCCATCTGCCGCCGTCGCTTCTTGGCGCGCAGGCCCCCGTTGTTTCTCGTCGAGTGCAGACAAGACGTTGCGACGCACCCGTCACCCTGCCGTCGATCCAGCACACGAGTCCATGAGCAAGCTTCGCCTCTGACCTGCGAGGAGCCATCCACATCTGCCCAGTTGCGCGCACCCTGTGTCCCGCGACTCGTGTTGCCGGATCCGCGGAATGACGTTGGCTATCTTGGGCCTGCCATGTCGTAGCGTCATCACGAAACGGAGCAGGCATCATCCCGTGTGTCGCTGCGACCTGCGAACCAAACCTCACCACCGCTGCCGCGTGCCACAATTTGGCGACGTGCGCGAGTCCACGCAGCGCTCACCCAGATCTGTGGCTGACAACGTTGAGCGAGCGGAGATATCGCTAGCACGAGATCGAAAAGTGGGCAGCTGCAGCCGCATCAGCTGATCCAGTACCCGTTGCCTCTTGAATCCGTCAATAGTCACTGCTGCACCAGGTTGCAAGTGCGCATGGCGCCTGGGGTTAAGGAACCACTAGAACCGCATCGAACCCCGCAGCTACGGGTCCGCATGAAATTATTCTCAACGTCCGGTCACGGCCATCTTGCAAAGTGGCATTCGCTCGAACTACTGCATCTCCGGACTTTGAGCTGCCGGCACGCATGTCGGGATGCAGCCGCAACCTGTCGTCGCAAGACAAGCCAGTAATATCCCAGCCTCCCGTTCGACATCCATGACTCTTCCCAGCCGCGCTGACGAATCTTTGAAGCAACGGAGCTGGCATCCCACTCCATGCGTCAAGCTACCAAGCATCCACAGGTCGGTGCGGCGCCTGATTATCTACTGAAATCATCCAGCTATACCAATAAGATACGCGAGGCGGGGTATATTGGCCGTCTTATCACCCCGGTATCTTACGCATGCTCTGCATGTCTGAGATGCCACACGTCGAGCATCGCAGAGCTGTGGAAACCAAAACAAGATCTGACAAGGTTGCTAGGCGTCCGTCCAGGTACAACTGCGCAGCGGCTAAATGCGACTTTCCAGGACCATTGTTTGCTCACACCCGCCAACAAATTCAGATGCAAGCAACCTAGGCTGTTGGAGATAGGCGAAGAAAAAGCCCCACAGTGGTATCATCGCCCTGGATTATTGCCCTTGGCCCATGTCCACGTTTCAAGAGTCAAGACTGATCCGCCTGCGAACTCTAAATCCTGCCAGGCAAGGGTTCCTGTTTCCACACTGATTCGGCATCGCCACCAACCCTCATTTCGAAGTGGCCCATGGCGCTGCGGCTTTCGTCCTCTGTGTCCGTTCACATGTCAGGCATCGATTCCATGAGTTGTTTCGTAACTCCCTGTGCCTGCTGTTCGCCTTCAGAATTTGCAAGGCTTTGAGACTCACCGACTTTATTTGCCCTGGGTTCGATCTTACTAGCGCCATCCATATTAGAAATGCCCTGGCGAGAGCATACGCTCTTTCTTTCAGAGATGATTCAAGAACGAATTCGACCGAAACGATCAATATGTAGCTTCGCTTATGCCGACAGGCGTACCACAACCGCCTATGGTGGTACACCAGCAACAGCCGACTAGTGCAGCCGAGGGTACCTGCGCGCTGTCAAAATCTCAGATACGGGGGCTCGCGAATCTCCTCTCTCACTCACTCGCTTCGAATTCGTCTCGTGTTCCTACAGACGCGAGGGTCATCCAATTCTGCCGGCTGCTATTTCGAGACTGTCCCATCCATAACTGGCCTGGACCATGTGATACTGCAGCTCCGACTCTTAATCCCGCCATGTATTCAACACCATGCCGGAGTGATGCCCCGTGCCCCACGCCCCACACTTTCAGTGACTGGGCAGTTTTCTACATGGTCATGCCCCACAATGGCTATCATCCCCTTGGATGATACCACAGCTCGATTCATGGTTTGTGTTCATAAGGTTCATGGACTGTCTTGGGACGCTGCAGGCGAAGCTCCCGATGCCGGCTTTGCACTGGGCCGTAGCTTCGTTGTTCGCCGTTGATGCTTCGAGAAGAATCGAAATTTACTGTTTGTATGCGCCTCGTTCAACGTGCGTGGACTTTGCAGGCTTTACGAGGCTCGCAAACTCTCCAAAAACACACTTGTGTCATGGATTCCGACCAACCTAGCGCGCTATAGCTATATTACGGTGGCGCCACCGTTCACCAAGTGAGAACCTCCGCCGACGCCCGGAACCTAGAATAACTACAACGGCAGGACAGGCGAGGTGGACTTTTCGTAAACCCCAAGCCCACGTGTGGCCGCGCGGCTGGACCAGTCTGTGACAACTCACATCCTGTGTCGCTGTGCAAGCCAGCTAGACCAGTCTTGCACCATCTATCTACGGGAAAAGGCGCAGATATCTCGATCCGATCCTGGCCATGCATGCGTCTCGCCAATCATTACTCCCTCTGTCCGCTGTGTCACGCGATGATCAACACAGCACATCCACTCTGCACAGGTCGCACCGAACCCATAATCACATACTACAGCCAGACGTCTCGTCTAGGCACTGCGTCCACTACCGACCGCCGACTGTACCATTGCCGTCCCGCAGCCGTTGCGCGCACGAAAAGGAATACCAGGCGCCGCGACGCAATGTGGCGTCTGCTTCCTGTGTGTTTCACGCCTTCCCCATCCCGCACGCATCATGTTATCGAAAAGAAGACGTGCCAATGCCAAGACGGTATAACCAGTGACGATCGCCCGCGCAAATGCCACAGCTAATCTCCCATCCTGCATATCCGTCGCGGTTAGCGGTGTGGCTACCGCAGCCCAGCTTCTCAACGGCGTTCCATCCGAGAAATCGCGACGGCGCAGCTGGCAGGGGCAACGAATATTCAGAGCAGCGAGCGAATTGCACCGGATATTACGCGATGGGACTGTGCGGCGCCACACTGCGCAGCGTTGCCCCAGGCGGTGCTCCCGCATCGCATGCAGGGCAGGCATCGCTCGCTCGCTGCGGCCATGTCACGATCTACTTTGGGCCTGCTGCAGCTTCACACCATATGGAGCCAGGCGCGGATCAGGAGCACCTCGTTTTGGGTCCTGCTGATCGCGCCCGCGCCGCGAGGAAAGTGGTCTAGTCGATCCTTCCTCCTCGGAGACGTGTCAACTGCTTCGGCGACCAAGAGGCGCGCGGATCGCCCAAAGGAGCGGCGGTGCGCACTGCTGGGAACGTGATGTTGCTTTTTGCTTTCTTCTTTCGGCAATGGAGACGTGTGATTGGCTCGTCGGAGGGGCGCTCCGGCTGATCAGGGAGGAGTCTGGGGTGCGTCGTATGGGATGACTTAAGGGAAATCAGCATTGCCTGTGTGGAGTCGTCGCAATCGTGATGTATGGCTAGAATTGCCCCTGGCAGGACTAGAGCATCTTTTCCTGATGGAGTGGGGCGAGATGCGGGCGGGCCGAGGGGATTGGCATGTGGGAGGCAGCATATTTGGGGTGTAGTAGCGTTGGAAAAGGATGATTTATGGTTTAGGAGTTGTCGAAGTCAGGCAGTCGGTGGCTCGATTTAGTGCCGATTGCCACGAGGAGAGTCCGCTCAATGCGACGAGGCGCAAGAGCGCAGATCTAGGCGAACCTCGATCTATCTTCCTTGGGAAGTGTAAGAGCGTCCTCCGCCTGCTTCCGCTAGCCGAGGTCGCCTTATCAAAGGAGGTCAAAAACACATGATAAAGAATTCAGGCAAGTCACCAAGGCACACTCCCACCCTATCCGATGAGCGCCGCATGCAAAACCCTATTGTGGCTCTTCGTTCTCAGCATCTGTGTACTCTACACCAGTGGCCTCGTGCAGACCAAGAAAAGATCTCCGTCGCCTCATTCCCCGCACATGGTCGACGTCTTTTGAAAGCTTGCTATCATACTGCCGGTGTTGACGGGGCGGGTCGCGTTAGGTCTTTGCCAGACATCCTGTCTGCGGATCGACGCGCACCGCGTTGATATGTAGAGATCAACACGTAGGACGGGCAGAGTGATTGACTGGTCACTATCCCCGCGTAGCGATGGGGAATAGAAGGCACGAACTAGGTTGGATGCAGGAAGGAAAAAGGGCATGATGAAAGTGCGGATGGGATGGGCTCGAGTGGCAGCGGAGAACCGCCTGGATGATAAAGCGCGGCGTGAGTTGTGTTGGAGCTTCGGCTGGTTGTTGTATGGAAATGGGTAGGATGTGGTGGCATGGAAAGTTGTGGGATTGGTTCGTTGAGCGTTTGTATGGGATTAATGGGTAGTGGTGCGTGTGTGGAATGCATGTAAGAGTGGGCTATGGTGCATTTGGGAGTGTCGTGAGGTCAGACCGGTCTTCACGGGAGAGGGAGGAGAATAGCGGGTGGTAGGTATAATAATGACATCTAAATGCTAGGTCATGTTTATCTCAGTATGACAGTGACAGGATTTCTCTGCTCTTGATTCGTTGATGGAGATTATCCTTTGTTCAGCTATAGGAAAATTGGGGATAAGCTGGCCAAATTGCTCGGGTTGCGTGTTGTGACGAGGCTCTGGTGGTCTGTGGAAGTACGGCTGCTGCGGGATGAGGTTCTTTGTAACGGCGAGCAAAGCAGATGTGATTGCTCTCGCGAGCAGGGGAAGTAAGGTTTTAGGGTGTCCGCGTTCCGGTTCTGGGATGGCGCCAATGTTTTCGAGAGCTTGAGGTTTGAAGAGGAGAGTGCGACGCTGCATCTGGATTTCGAATGCACATTTTTGTACATTGGTGTTTCCATAGAGTTGTGGTTCCGTATCACTGTCGTAGACTGGGAAATCTTTACTATCCACAATCTTGAAATCCACGTCGTTCTCCGCAATTCTTGCTTATAGCCTCAAAAACATAAAAGTTGAGAACCTCCCCCCTTCTATTGCGGCCTGCGAACGATACATCGAACGGTCTTGAGCTTAGTAAAAGCATCGATGTCTTCCTGAAGTCCGTTCAGTAACAAGAATGCTTCAAGAGTTTCCCTGGGCAGTGCACGCAATATACAGTATTTACGCTGGTGACGATACTGAGGACTCTCAGTGACGTGGAAAGGGTTTGGCCCACACGGCGCATTGTCAAATCATACATTCCAATTTCTTCAATAGGCAGCGCCCACTTCGAGAAAAAATAGCTTGTAGAACGAGACTGCGGAAATTGGAGAAGTCATGCAGTGATCCGAACGGCATAGCTTTGCGTTCTGTAGGCCCTCGGAGATAAGTCACTATGCAAATCACCGTCAAATTCTCTAGCGTTTTTAGCTGGTTTGAAGGGCCTGGAATATAGTGGAGGGGTTGGTCATGTTAGGTTCAACCGATAACGCGGCTTGTTGTAAATCAGTGTTCTTCAGATGCGTATGAACTTAGACTGAGAAACACCACCACTGTAGAGGGGCGCCTCCCGGATCAGGGACATGAAAGTGGCTCAGCTCGAGTAATCTTCCATCGTTACGTCCGCCGTAAGTGAAAGTAGCTGGCCAAGACCAGTACACTCGAGGAGAAGTAACTCTGCAGCCGTTCGAGTTGAGATGGTCAACCAGGCTTTTCCCTAATGGCTGCTTTAGGTTCAGACTTCATGCCAAGCGCGTGAGCCAGCTGCAAATGTCCCCCCCTCTTTTGGCTGACCCCACGTAATATTGCATACTGGATGCTTTATGTTTGGTGCGGGGAACAGCAATAATGCCAGTTGGGCCAGTCCGCGCTGTTCAGCTGTATATTGATGTACGAATACCGACATTGCAGATCTGCAGAGAGGTTGTCCCGCTCCAGAGATTAGCGTTGAAAAGTTGCCTGGAGTGCAATCACCCACCATACCTCGTAGTCTGTCCGAACGGCGGCTTCCAGCACTCATGGTACCCGACCCCCAGTGGTACAGCTTATATTTTTCCTTAAAGCGAAATAAGAGTGGGCGGAATCCTAGGTAACGCACATTGTTAGCCAGCCGAGGATCATGTATGAGGGTCAATAAAGGGCGATCTGCTGATATCTCGGAGTTCGGGTCGAGATTGAGTTCCGCGTAGAAATGGTGCTCAGCGATACATTTGAGCCGTCTGGATGTCCAGCAAAGCAACGAAAATGTTGCTTTCCGGGGTTAATCCCCTGCCAGAAATGGCTCAGGTTCCTCTTGCTTGCTCAATGACGAATCGCTCGAAGACAAGTGGCGATTTCGTCCAGTACTCATCGGGCAAGTCGTAAACGTGCACCTGCTGTCGAACGATGTTTGATGTGGCTCCTTGAAATCGGGTCCGCCGACGCCTAGCTCGAGATGACATGAAGTAGTTACCAGGTAGACGTTTCATCCTTTGTGCCAGGTACTATAGGCAGCAATTCCTGTAAACGAAAAAATGATTCGATTAGCGGTTGTTACTAAGGATAAGGCGTCTATATTTGTTTAGAGCGATACAAAAGAAGCATTGTGGATGCTCCCGACTAGGTCTGAAGCTCATGAGATCGAGTTGGCAAGTAAGAGTTAGATGTAGAAAGGGAAGAATAAAAGAGAGGACGGAGGTTGAGCAGGCCGATACCCAAAGCAGTTAGAGCCATGCATCATCCCACCTTCGCCCGTCACACAGACGCGACATCTCAACCACTTACCGCCAACCGGATGTGACAGCCGCAGCTGATAGTAGCATGCGACTAATCGATGTCGACACACTCGAGATTAAGGCCTTCAGCGAGCAAGATGTCCCGGACTACGCGATCCTATCGCACACGTGGGGGGCAGATGAGGTTACGTTCCAAGAAATGTCCCTAATAACGCGTATGAACTCCGTGTCACAAGCGTTCAGCAGTCAACGCTCGGACGACTCTCGAGAAGGAAATGCGGGTAGAGTCTACGAATCTGGAGCTGTAATGGTAGCCATGGAAATGCTGGTGCATGGCGGCTGGGGTGCTGGGACGAATGTTCCAAATACGAGCGAAGAGGCATTGATGAGAAGAGAGGGCTATTGCAAGATCATTCAATCAGCTAAAGAAGCCAAGAGTCTGGGTTACCAATGGGTTTGGATAGATGTTTGTCTTCCGCTGCTCAAGAAGCAACATTTGTGCCAAAGCTAACCTTGTGTGAACGTCTACAGACATGTTGCATCGACAAAACCTCAAGTGCAGAGCTCCAGGAGTCGATCAACTCTATGTACAAGTGGTATAAAGAGTCATCGATCTGTTTGGTATATCTGAACGACGTTGCGCCTAGCATCGCAGCGACCATAGATACACAAGCCACATTCGAGGCGGCAAGCAATGCGTTCACAAACTCTCGCTGGATCAGTAGAGGCTGGACTCTCCAAGAGCTTGTCGCTCCGACAGCACTGCGGTTCTATTACCAGGATTGGACCCTCATGGGGGACAAGCGCGAATTCCTTGAAGAGCTCTCCAATGCGACCGGTATACCCATCTTCGTGCTGGACAATGGCGAGCTAAGTGAGCTTTCTATCGCTGAAAGGATGTCGTGGGCTTCTTACAGGCAGACAACACGGATCGAAGACATGGCGTACTGTCTCCTAGGCATTTTCGACATCCAGATGCCGCTTCTTTATGGAGAAGGCGAAAAGGCCTTCATCCGCCTCCAGGAGGAGATCCTCAAAACGACCGACGACTACTCGCTCTTCGCCTGGCGAGTCGTGACCTCAGATTCTGGCTCAGCTTCGAAGTCGGTTTACAGAGGTCTACTTGCACGCTCACCTCTCGAGTTCCGCCATTGTAGTTCTGTAGAACGCGAGAATACAACATGTACCTTGCCCATGAGCGCGACCGCCATAGGACTACACCTCGAACTGGAATTCCTCAACGACCCCAAAGATAGAACACGCTTCTTGGTTTTGATCCGCTGCAACAACTCCTTAAACCAGCGGCTTGCGATTTACCTCAAATGCATCGACGGCGCTCACCAGTACGCTCGCGTCGAAGCGGGCTCCCTGATACCCATCGACAACTGGCCGACAGGCCAACCCCGTTCAATATACATAAGACAGAAGCTAAATATCCCGCGCGACTTCTTCGCTATCGAGATGCGTTGCATCCGGATCCAACGCCGCTTCGAGCATCACTCCGTGTCTCCAACAGTAAAGATATCCTCTGTCTTCCCGCCCTTAGCCTGGAACCCGCGGATACACGAACTTTCAATTCCCTCGACCACCCTCGAGTTCTTCGCAGTCCTGTTCCTACGTGCACAATCGTCGCCGTATGGAGCATCTACGCACTTTCAAATCGTCGTCGGGTTCAATCGGAGGAACAAACATTACTGGTGCAAAGCCATGCAGAGGAGATGGCCAGATGTGAATGTGGATCCTTTGCGTTGGCATGCAGCGATCAGGAAGGCGTTACCAGTGGAAATCAACGATCCAATGCTGAAAAACGACGTCAGGCACGATATCTTCGTTGTGGGAGAGAGTGGGATGGGAATCAATGTTGAAGTGAGAGCGGGTTTGAGTGGGGACCATATAGGATTGCATCTTCTTGTCGACGGGTTTGTGAAGGGACCTTGAAGTGGAAGATCTAAAATACCAAGGCAACTATGTAAGTAGTGCAAGACTTCTGCTGCTTGCTTGATAGTTGCGCACTTGATAGTCCTATACAGGACTAAGTCACCCATGGCTATGCAAGCATGCGCGGAGGTTAACAAATTTGCGAAGCTCCCTTGCAGGCGTCCAGCTTCTTCTATTGCACGCGAATGTTGAATCAATACTATGCTTTGTCGCAATCACGAGATTTTTCGGCACGATACCCCCAACAAACGCATGTAGCATTTCATGGGCCTCACTATCATATTATGAATGAACCGTGACACATTTGAGAAGTAATGAAGCCATTGTTTTCCTCAATAAAGAGTTGAAGACTACAAATGCTCGAAGAGGTGGCCTGAATAAGGAGCCCTTGAAATAGCGTAACCGCGCCAGTGTCGTCCCACTTTCCTCCTACCTAGCATGGCTACTCAATTGGAACCACAGAATCCGCATCTCGTCGTGGAATTATGGGAGAATCGCACCCACCTATTTGAGGGACCTCTGGCCATGTACACCTTCACCGACAATCGGAAGACACCTGCAGTGTCCAGGCCACTCTTTGCGGTGGATTGTACAGCTATCCGAGCCAGACAGATCTTAGACGGCCTAGCGGATCAGTTCATAAACTCAACGGTAGGTCGCTGGACTTCGCAAGATGCCGCCAACAACCACCAACATACATGCATGGATATCGAGTTCCGGCAAGAGAACTCTATGTTCAAGCCAGGTCTTGTCGAAGATGCAGTGGTTTTCCGAATGCAGGGAGACAGATGTGCTAGGTTGGGACTGCTCAACATACGATGTTTCAGTCAATGATAAACAACGAATGCGGTTACACTTTGGATTATGAGTGTTTATGGAGTGTTTTGAGGATATACGGTTGCGGCGGACGTCAGTGCTTGTAATTCACAATAAATGAAGACTGAGAAAGTGAAACAAGAGACTGACCAAATGGTAATAGGGTTTTTCTTACTAAATCCTTGTCCCTGTACATACTCATGCGCAACGCTCGCGAGAATCTTAGATCATTGCAGAATATGGAAGGTAGGACGGTATATTCATACATCATCATGCATCCTTGACTAACAGCGATGCTGGACTAACCTTGAGTAGGTGATTGCTCACCGCGAGCTTGGCTTGAGAACCAAAGCGCAGTATGCGTGAACTGATTCATATTACGCGTAAACGGTGCCACTGACATTGCGATAGGTAGGCTCTACGAACGCCAAGAACATCTAAGCTCCCAAGTCTCAACGGAAAGGAATGACTTAGGCAAAAAGCTGAACGCGGGTTAAGGGTATACGAGCGCCAAGTCATACATCCTTATGGCACGTCGTCACATCTTTTTTTACGAACCAGTGAAACCAAACGTTACATGGACATAAGATTTCCACGCCGCTGATCTTCATATATTATATACAGTGGTTGGTTGAGAGGTGTCCCGTCTGCTCCAGCCCCCACGATTAGTTTTGGGGACCTTGTGTGAGCACAAGGCTGCCAAGCTGCTGACCGGTTTAGATCTGGTATTTTCAAGCAAATAAATTCCAGCAGTCACGAGCGAGGCAAATGCATCTGCCTCTTTCACGAAAGTTGATGTCTGCCAACGTGACCGCTAACAAATGCCTCATTACGTTACTGATTGGAACATGGGCTGGTGATCATTGGCGATCAACAGAAGAAAAGGCATGAAAGCGAGACTCGGCAATCCTTCAACTCTTGGAAGTCCTTCAAGGTGCAAGGTTGAGTCTTACAAGATGGCAAACGCACATCAAGTCCTGGAATAGGAAACCAAGCGAACATTTCCTGAAATTGAGCAGATGCACTTGGATATATAAACCCTCCTCCAACCACCCTACCACATTATCAATCCAACAATTATCAATTCTTTCTACCCACTTCGATAACACATTCTATCCTCCGATCCATTCATCCGTGCATTATGCGCCTCTTCCTTACCACCATCCTCTCCCTCACCGCTGCCTCCTCAGCCTTCATGTTCGACGGCTTTTCCGAGGAAAACTGCGGCGGCACGATGCAAGGCGGAATCAACGTGTATGATGGCAGCTGCGCGGAATGGATCGCGCCGCTCAAGTCGTTCCGCTTCACCGTGCATGGTGGGAACCACCAGGCCGCGTACTTCTTCCGCGACAACCACTGCGGGAATCTGAACAACGTCGCGATTAAGAACTGGGTTGATGGGGGTACCAGCTGGCAGATTGGGGCGTGCTACAATGTTGGAGGGACGGCGGATGCGGTGGCTAGTTACAATGGGTAGAGAGAGGTAAGTGCGGGTGAGGAGTTTTATGGTACTGTGCTGATGTGTGCTAGACCGAGGACGGATGTCTCCTGGCAGTTTGGTTGTCAGGGGCAAGTTCTTGAGAAGGGAGTGGAGTAGAGTGGAGGATATGAGTGGTATGGTGGACTTTGGCTGCACGTTGTTTACTCTCATTAATTGATCTACTTGCGTTACAAGGGGCGTGATAGCTTTATGCCGTGATATGACAATCAAGACGCCTTCTTAGACCAAACAACGTTATATTACGTGCTTTTACTATACTACTCAATGCCTGTGATCCGAAAATTCCACCCAAGTCTTGCCCAAGCCAGGATTAATGTGACTGGTACGGAGGTACTGATGATATCTCTTCCTACGCTCATTTGGAAACACGCCCTGCAGCTCTTCTATACGCAGTCTCTCCCTCTCATTCAATCTACAAAACATGGTAAAAGTTAAGTCTTCCCTCAGTGTTCCACCAGTCAGGATGGGATGATCCTTTCCCATACCAGCCAGAAAAGTCTTAAAAGCACAACTGAGGTATGCGCAGGGGCTCCAGTGTTGCGTGGTGCAAGTTTGGGGGTGGCCAGTGGGATGGTGTTCTGTTGTTATAGTTGTGAACCACGCCTCTGTATTCGTCCATCCTGTCGTATAAGGCTGGGGGCCAACCGGTTTTCCCCACACATTCACAGTCCAAGTCTATGGGTGCCGCTGATCCAGTAGAGATGGCGATCATCTCAATTCTGTCGCCGAATTACTCAATTCGAGTACTCGGGTGTCCATTCGCCGAAGGAAGCCTACTTTCTTACGTTCCGAGCTGTTCAGCCAGAAAACGTCACATTTATTCTTTTCCATCTTAAGTTGATCGATTATTGAAACCTTCATCCTAGGCGCACGATACTGCCGCTCCGCCAGGAAAAGACATTGTAAGCATCCGTCTAATCTCTTATAAAGAAGAAGGTAACTTCTCACCAACGTAAGGTAGTCTGAATTAGAAGAAAGTCCTGGTCGTTAAGAACTTCAAAAATCGCCTGGTAGTCTCCATTAGCCCGTCTGGCGTGCTAACTGTCCCTATAACCCTTAAAAAACACTTGTGAGCGATAACGTTACTATGAAGCTATAAGCTTTTTGTGGTCTCTATATTTAAGATGTCCTATCCTAGAGTGGAGGCTATAAGGATCAATTGCGCACTGCCAACTAAAATAAGACTAAGATAGGAGATGTTATGGAGAGCCATCGCCACCAGTTTTGCTATTCGGCGGGCGGCTAAGCTAAGCGGTCACATAGTAACGCTATATTAAGCATCATAGGAGGCAATCCTGCAATAAAGTCACGTATTAAGCCACTAGAGAGGGCTGTGATGATCCCCAAGAAGGTGGTGGGAGCGTCCTACTAGTACGTGAAATCTCTATTATTGTAAAAACAAATTAAATCGAGTCACACCAGGAAACCTGACCTAGAAACGTCCACTTCTCGCACGAGCAGACAATCAGGTGGAGCTTTGCTGTCATTCTCGTCCTCTGGTGTGGTCCTGACGTTCGGTGTGGAGGGATCTGTTCCTGGAACGTCCACCCTCTTGTAGCCTATTCTGACTGTTGGGCTCTACTATAGAAATCGGCGAGAGTCTGGATTCGCTCTCGAAAAGGTTCAGATCAGTTGGTCTGATCAGTCTTCAGCATTGCTTCCAGCAATGTTGAGGATACTGCCACTATAAGTGCAAAGTAACCACCTATATAGACTTCGTCCATTTCTTTATCCTTCTTACGTATGTCATGCCCATCTAGAAAATACATGGGCAAACAATCCACAGGTATCTCGTTTTATGCACTCACACTCACTAAACTGCGACCTTAATAATACGAGGTAGACGGGACCCTATAGATTTATAAGTTGACCCAGGGATCTAGAAGTCGCTCAAGGGTTTTATTTTTCAAAAGTATTAGATAAGATGGCCTAGGTATATCTATATAAGCATACTACGTATCTTCCATATCAATTTACCAAACATAGCTCAAAGCTACATATTAGTAGGTGGGCTTCCCACGTACGACGTAAGCATCTGTAACGTCAATGACCCAGTTGGGCAGTGAGAACCCAGAGCTATAGAGCTGGCGTTCCTTATTTTAAGAGTCGCGAGAGTTGAGCCAATGATAGATGTGTATGCAAGCGGCCTGATAGTCGTTTTTATTAGAAGTACATCCACGCCTTGTTCCATATTTCCAGAGCAAGGAGTTGTTTACATGTGCTGCTATATAAGTGTAACAAAGACAATATATAGAAAGACTACGGTGTTTGTAAGAAGGAGTACCTGGTTACTTTGTACAGGCTTCGGCTCTTATGAGCAAGTCAGGGCCCCAATTGCTAATACAAGGCAGCTGCCTGACCTTTAGAGTCCGATGCGGACCATTGCTTACTCTGCAGATCTCACACCACAAGATAGATGATCTCCAACTATCTTCGACAGCTTGCCATTCCTACTCCGATGCAGATCTACTTGCTTTCCTGCGTGGGACAATTGTGCTTGTAGATCGTTTGGGCCTACAAAAACAAAACTCGCAACCGCAGTCGTTGGCTTATCGTCTAACCAGCCCCCGAACGTATCTAGTAAGCCACACTCCAGCGAGTATACTGGTACCCAGGCTCTTCTTAGTCTGTCTTAAGTCGGTGTTTCTTTTACATCTGCATGGTAGTGGAAGGTGTGACGAACGCTGAATGCGCGCTGAATGCGCGATGATAAGCGTTCGCGTTCAGGGGGAGGAGGGAGGGTGAGGATCACAGCTGCGCGCCCTGAGCATCATTTCAGACATATACCTAGACGACTCGACGAAAGACGATGTTGCGTGGACGAGGGACGCGTAGACAGCCTATGCCTCAGATTCGTGGTCTAGCGCAGTACCAAACCACACGGTTCCGCACTTGAAAATTTGCACCGCCTAACCACAAGAGGACACCACCTCCTACGACCTTTTTGCACAATGCTCCACTGCAATCAAGACGTCCTCAATATCCTGTTCTCTATGTCTGAACACTGCAGGAGAGAAACGTATCTGGGAATATATATCTTCTTTGTTTCAAGATTATCATGTGACATTACGGGCTTGTGGTTTAGTGGTATAATTTTCCCTTAGCATTTGTATCTCGTCCCTAGACGCGTTTCGAAAGCGTGGGAAAGGTCCTGGGTTCGATTCCCAGCAAGTCCATTTCCTTTTTGCCGTTGCTTCGCAGCCCAAGAGTGTGCGAAAGGCAATTTTGGTCGGTGTAGGGAGATTACGGCACGTAGACAGCGACAGTCTTCCGCAATACGATATCATTATGATCACAGAGGTCATGATTTTTGGAAAGATAATTCTTGAGAGACAGGGTCTGAATCTTGCTGTGCGGGAAACCGATTCTGGAGACAGCCACATCTCTCTTATGGGTGCCCACGACGCGACACGATATTGCTAGCATTCCAGCAAGTAATAACTCATCCAGACAAGAAACGGTATGATGTCTTGCTCCCGCATCGCTTCCTTTCTAGGACCGACACCCTCTCCGCATTATTAATACACGACACAATTATATCAATATCAAGCATCGCTTCTGTTCGATTCATTCATTACATTTTTCTAATCCAGCAGCCATCGTGGCCGAGTCAATACACGCTCAGATAGCCTCCCTTGGTATGTTTTCGGTTTGTGGTACACCATTTCCCTTTCTATGTGAAAACGCCGTTGAACACCTGGAATGTAGGGCGACGTTCTCTTCTCCCCCTTCTGCCTTTATTTCTACACCGCGGAGCTACCTGCGGCCCAGAGGAACTATGTTCTCAGACTCTTGCGTAGCTGGCGTGGACTCCATGGACGTGTTGACGAGTCCTCCGTCGGTAGAAGATATTGCTCTTGTCCCGCGCCGTATTTGGGTAGTAAAGCTCCATGAAAAGACAGACATGATCGGGAACTCCCTCTCCCCAATGATACAACCGTCCCCATCCCCACGCCCTTAACTCTCATCTTCGCACTTCTGGAATCGGAGTTCCAGCTCTTCATCCGTACTGATACCCTGTCGGTCCCGCATTCATAGGTCCCATATCCACCGATTGCTGTAATGGCTGCGGCATCTGCGGGATGTGCTGCATCTGGCTCGGGTCCTGCGAAAAGTCAAAGCTAGCCGCCCAGTCGTAATCCGGGAACTGGTCCAGCATCGGCGGAAACATGTACGCCTCTCCATCCCATCCGCCATCGAAACTCATCGGCGCCGACTGCGTGCCCATTGACTGCGGCGGCAGGCCATGTGTATCCATTTTTATGGGTTGTGGAGGGGCTGTTACTGTGTGTGCCTGCGACATCCCTGGAGCTGTTGTCTGAGTCATTTCCCTTTCGTAGTCTTGCACGCCCGGATGCGTCAGCATAGTGTTGACTGTGGGTGGAGTGGGGGTCGATGGCTTACCAGGGGTCGTGGGCCGCGAACGGGCATTTGCAGGGAGGCCTTCCTCGCCGTTGTAGGGGTTGTACATCTGGCCAAACTCTTCCCGCCAGTACCAGAACATGTCGAATGAAACGCTCATGCTTAAGCGCGTTCGTAATCGTATGCCCAGACTTTCAATGCTTCCGTCTCTTCGCCTGAACACTCTGTTGCTTTGCCAGAGATCCTTTAGAATCTGACAGCATCGCTCGCCAAGGTCGCCGTTTTGCAGAGAAGTGGCCTTGCTGAACTGCGCGGCATTGTAGTATGCCTGCTCGCCCGCAGCAAGGTCAAAGTGTTGGTGGATATGAGAGCGGGTGAGTTTGAGGATGACGAAGCCTGCAAGTGTAACGGTTCGGTCGATGAAGGATTGTGAGATAAAAGCAAAATTTGCTTGTTGGGTCATTGCGTGCGCGGTCTGTAAGGTGGATATGCATAGAGAATAAAGGCGGCTGAGCGACTCCGCGTCCGGTCCAGGGTTGACTGGGTGTGCAAAGAAATGGAAAGCCAGCACATGAATACGCGCGCAATTCAATTGGAAGGAATCTGATCAATTAGCGAAACGTTTTGAGGCCAGAAAATGCGAATCACTTACCCAATTCGCTTGGCGATGAAGCCGCCAGGCTCAAAAGTTGCGAGTCGAATATGGTGATCAGTGACCGTAAGTTTCTAGCATCGCAGTTGACTGTTTTTATATCTGTTCTCGCCATGGCCGCCATAGCTTTGTGTAGGATGATGTGCAGTTGGTGATTGAACTGCAGATCCGGGGGCAGATAACCGAGTAGATCCTCTCGCTCCTTTTCGTCTCCGTCGTAGAACGACTCTGCTATTACAAGTGGTGGGATTCCTTCCGCACAGCTTGTTCGTATCGACACAATGACACACTGCATCCATAGCTTCGCCCTTAGGATTTTCTGTTCCTGGTCTGTTTTTAATGGCGTCCGAGCAAAATCTTGGCCCACGCCCGTCACGTGCAGGCCAATCTGCGTGGCTAGATGCACTGCGGCGCCACATAAAACATGGGTCATGTCCTTGTACATGGAGTTTGTGGGTAACCGCCACGTGCATAGGATGAGCAGGCCTTGTATGACCGAGATTGGTGCGGCGCGAAGAGCCATTGAAGAAAACGCTAGCGGCGTTATGAGCTGGCTCACTTTGTTGAGGATGCTTCGATCTTCGAGGTAATGCCGTGCTCCCGTGACAACTATACACCAAAAAAGGAGAGGAGATAGTTCGTAGTAGCCGTTTGCGCTGTTCGGGCTAAGTGATGATTCCAAAATTGGGAGGAGCGGGTGATATTGCGTGAAAAATAACGCAAAGCAGTCATCGATCTTTCGTGCATCGACCACAAAGCCGTCTAGCGATCGTGAGATCGTGGGTCCCGCTGCGATCGGTTTTGCATCTTTCGCAGCATTGGGCCCGTTTTCCAATGCTGGGCTCATACTTGCGTCGGTCCTAGGAGCACTGGGATTTGAAAAGCTTCCGTTTGCTGGATCGTGAGGGCTTCTGAACGAGCTTGCGTCGCCCAGGCTTCCCGGAGTAGATAGAGGGTCGCCGCCGCCTTGCCGCATGTTCCATCTCAGCTCTTCAAGTTCGCGGCGCATTTCTGCCTTGGTCTGCCGCAAGTTGCGAGTTGACGTAGGCAGAATGCGGCACTCCAAGTTCATCTTCTTACAGCGGCTACATGGCTCATGTGGAGTCTTGTGTTGCTCGACATCGCAGCGGATCTGGAGGGGATCAACATTACAATGCTCGCAGCACGCTTGGTGCTACTGACCTTCTGCTGGCGGCACTCCACGCAAGCCTTACGTCTCGGCTGCGTCGTCATGGTGAAGAGTGCCCAGACCTACGCGTACCAGCCCCCATGCGCGTTGCTGCCCAGACGAGGAAATACACAAGATGCGATCGCAACTCTTCGTGGCTATACGTGAGGTTATGATGCGCGGGGCAAGAAAGAAATGGCCGTAAGTGCAGTTTTCCAGTGCTTTACGCCATCATTCGGTCTTGGACCGGTGGTGCTCGGATAGCGGGGGGAGGCGCCCGAGGAAGGACCGAGGGGGTGCGGGGCGTGACGGGTTCCCACGTGGTGAAAATCCTCACGTCGTGCTGGGCCGCTGCCGTCTTTATGAGAAAATTAGAGCGGTGCGCCTGTGTCATAGGGCTGTTCGTTTTCGGATCATGGTGAGGCGTGGTGCCGCGCGAGGACAGGCGTATCCCGGAGATCTGCACCGTCATTTTGATGGGGCTAGGCTGGGCGCGGCATAGCTTGCTTTGATGTCTTCGACAACGCAGGGTTGAGCTCGGAATACCTGCTGCCAGCACTGCTGTGTAAAGCCTCGCGCCGGTAAGCTGCTCAGGCGTTCACTGTCCAAGCCCAGGCGTCGCGGCGTGGTTGGTGGCTCATCGCAGCGCACAACTTTGCACAGTGCTGTCGCTTGATGGACGACCTCCTATCTGATGTGAATCGATCTACAGCGCGTCTCTGGTCCAGGACCTAGTGATGGATAGGTAAACAAGCCTCGGCAGATGCGAAAGATGGACCGCTCGTACGAGCTTACACATCCTGTATATACCGTTGAGCGACTTTCCGTGGAACAAAGACAAAGGCTCAAAGATTTTGCAGATTCTCCGCCTTGCCGTCACCAGGACTGAGCTAGTTCCACCTGATCGTGTAGGAGGTGGCACGACCTTAATAGGCGGTGCATGCGTGCGCGAGTCCTTATTCTATTATGAAGAATGTGTCCTGTAGCTACGCGACCCACGATGGCGTCGTCGATATGCCGCGCTACTGCCAAGCATGAGCTTGAGCTTGAGGCAGGGATCGCTCCACGTACAAATAGAAGCAAAGAAAAATTCTGCCGTGTCCTCCTCTCGATGCACTCCTAGTCTATTGATCAAACTTGGCTGCTTTAAATCTTGGCATGGTAGAAAGTTAAAGGGAGATGCAACGGGCGCAAGGATGGGGCACACTAATTCGACATTGACTCGTTAGGGATCGGACCGCAGGCGGTAGCCGCTCCAGCGTCTGACCTTCCACTAATTTCTCTCATCTACCTCAGTTCTAATATGCGACGCATCTACTAGGATATCATAAGTTCAAGCGCTCGCTGAAATGTCCAATATTCACATCCAGATCTCGACCCGAGACATCCTTCCATCCGGGGCAACAACATCCACACAACACCTCTACCTTATCAAGAGGGGAGGCAAATAAATATAATGACAGACGAAGAAGGGTGCACGAAAAGAATCACCGAAACCACTGGGACCTGCCCAAGCAGCAGTAGCAAGAGGAGTCCCAGAAGCGCCAACGCCGAGAAATCCCCTTGCTAACCCCACTTCTACAAGAAAGGCAGCACCATACCCTTCCTGATTGGGCTTGCTCTGCCACCAGACTGCGACCCCTCAGCCGAGTACCCAGAGTCCTGATCGGCGTCGTCGTTGTCAAAGTCAATGTCGAAGCCATTGTCTTGCTCCTCACCGTCCTTTTCTTCCGCATCGCCGTCCCACGCCTTTTGCTGAGCGCCACGGTTGTTCCATCGCAGCGTACGTGAGATGGAATCGAACCATTCGGTGGGCTGCGACAGGACCGTGGGGAAGGGATACTGTGAGGCGGCGATGGTGACATGGTCACCCTGTCGGAGCTCCACACGACCCTTGCCGTCGAAAGCGCAGTAGGCGGTAGCGCGGGAGTTTCGGGGCACTGCAATGCGCAAAAGCATGCTGTCATTCAACAGCATAGGCCTGAAGCTCAGAGTATGCGGGCAGATAGGCGTAAGCAGTATAGCGGGTATGTCGGGGTGCACAAGCGAGCCTCCCGCGGACAATGAGTAGGCAGTGGATCCGGTAGGTGTTGAGAAAATGCAACCGTCGGCTTGCACGACAGTCAACAGGTTATTGTCCCCAAACAGTTCCAGTTGAGAGACGTAGGGCGATGGGCCACGGTCGATGACAAGCTCATTCAGCACCTCAAATTGCTCAGCTTCGATATGCTGTGGTGCATCTGGCGCAGCGTTCTTCTGGTAGCGGTAAACGGTGCAAGTGAAGCGCATGCGGAGGTTCACGCGCATTCCAGTATCACCCAGAATCTTGCCGAGAGCCTCCTTGTATTGGTCGAATTCGAAGTTGGTGAGGAATCCAAGACTCCCAAGAGAGAAGGAGAGAATCGGTGGCACGATACGCTGAAAGAGCCAGGATGTGAAAAGAACAGTGCCATCTCCGCCGAGGGTCAACACGAGGTCGAACTTCTCGGGGGATTCCCAACAAAGGTCAGGCGTCCAGAACCGGAGCATGTTCTCGAAGCGAGCGTCTTTCGCTAAAAGCGAGGGCATGTCGAAGCGCTTCGACTTGCGGAGCTTCTGGTCCACATATACATTCACTCCGACATCTGAGCCGTGGCGCGGAGTGCACAAGAGCCACTCAGCTAGCTCGCGCGTGAGGTGGACAAGTTGATTGTCGCGCGCCTTGGTGACAATCATGACATTGCGGATGGTCATCTTGATCGGGCGGCGCTGGAGCTGCTTGGAGACCTCGCGCACACTTGTCGCAGTCTGCATCAGACGAGAGTGCGAGATGCCTTCGTCGTCGGCCATCTCATCGAGCACCTTGTCGAGGTTGACTGCCTTGTCGAACTTCTTGTGGAAAAAGCACGGCGAGGCCAGAGCCGCCATCTTGCTCGAGAGTTCAGCAGAATGCAGATCGAGCTCCGAGAGGGCCTCAGCAAGGCGATGTTGGGCCATCTCGGAAGGATGCGTCTTGAGCGGCTCGATCGTCTTGCCGCTCATCATGAGCGCATCCATGGAGGCTGCGTCGGGATCCTGTGACATAGATGGGCGATGCGACTGGAGCGCCTTAAGTATGGTCTGGCGCGGGATTGAGTCGATGGAGTAGGCGTTCTTGCGGTGCTTGATTTTGCGCTGTTCGCGATGCTCCCGGAACGACTTCTTGGGAAGTGTGGTGAGATTCTCGATCGAAGATGCGGTGCTTATGGAAGCCTGCGAATCGGTCCGCGTCGGCTCGTCCGTGGTGCCAACAGGATCGCGCAATGAGGTGGGGGCAGGCGCGGTGCCGCTTGAATCCACGGGGGTTACCGAGGGTGCATTATCAGTGTTCAGTTGGTTCGCGTGGCTGACCGGAGTCGGAGAGTGTGGAGGCAGCGGAGAATGGGGGAGCGGCACGTTTAATGCTGCGTCGACGGAATTAAGGCCGGAGAAGGTAGTGCGTTGTGGGGACAGCAGCGGGTGTATCTTTGACGGAGAAAACGGCTCCCCGAGGCTTGGGTGCGGCATGATGCTGGCGGCTGGTTATTATTTCTGACTTCGCGCTAAACGCCGGGAAATCGGTCAACAAAGGCGGTAATCCCACGGGTCGAGCCGGAGATGCCGGGGGCTGGTCAGAGAGTGTGAGGTATTAGAACGGCAGATGTCGCAGGTATGGTATGTGCAATAGCCGCACCAACGTAACCAGACGTCGCGCCGAAGATATTAAATGCACCGGGCAATTGAAGTATTGAAAGTCGACTGAAAGAAAGCGTTGGCAGTGGCTACTGCATTGATGGAATGTGACGTTGTTCGATGAAAGGAGGGCGCTGCCGAGGGTGTAACAATCGCGCTGGTGGCTCTGGTAAACCGTGGGTGACAGGGCGTGTAAGTACCACAAACGAAGAGCCCGGCTCAACCTATCGCAACAACGGGAAAGAAGACAAGAACGAAGAGCAGAATGCAACGGAAATGGACACGACCGCAGGTCGCGCCAAAAAACAAGAGGCGGAGAACGTTGACAGGTGTGGCTCTCGAAGGATGGCACTAGGCACGAGGCAGCTCCCTATATTCACTTTTGACAGCTCCCGACATAAACTTCATCGGAGCCACAGAGGGTCTACGCGCCAGCCTCAAACCAGTCCACCGAAACCCCGTGGCGGCTAGCCAGCTGCGAATAGTTGATACACTTGGGGTATCACGGTCGTGGGCCTCTTCCCGATACGCCTCAACCGCCAGACCCAAGCATCGCACCCACTGACAAGCTTCTACACCGACCTCGCAGCGCACAACGCACAAGGCGAAGATGGCCTGTTTCTTGAGGCACTGATTACCACGTGCCCCAGGCTTCTCACCGCTGCTCCCCTGGAGCATCGGACTTTTGTTGTTGACCATCGCTCACATTCTCCGGAACGCCAAAAACCTCCACGCTTTTTGTCTCTAGTAGAGTAGACGCCGTCAGAACAACACCCTGACTTGCAAATGCATTCGAATTGAGCCTCAGTCACTGTAGCGCGCTTCTTCGACTTGCATGTGCGGCTCGCCGGCTGCATTTGCAGCACAAGGCGAATAGGAGGACCATCCAGACGAAACGGGCTAGGGAAGCCCTGTCTGTTTGAGGTTGTCTCGTCACCCACTCATCTGCCCCAGAGCTTCCATCACCCGCACAGCAAGCGAGCACTTGCAACAGCCGCCCTCCCTGCCGTTCTGCATTCCGCAACAAAGCCGTCAGCGGACACCATGCTACATTTGGGGGCTGCCGTTTGATCCAGATCCCACGAAAATCACACACCTCAGAAACAAGTGGCACAGAACTAGGTGCCAAAGCAAACAGGTGCGGCAATGCACGTGCAACGACTCGTATGCAGAGGAGCGTCTGCTTGCGTGGTCCCTGCCATGGAATGCTTATATGCGGGTGTCGGTGAAGATGTCGTACCATTCACACCGCTGGGATATCGCCAAGTCGGCTCGACGCCACAGTACGAACCTCAGGTTCACTCTATTAATGGCGCATCTGAGGTATATCCGATTTTCCATTCCCGGTGAATTATCGCGGTTGTCAAGATCGTGATTTGAGACAAACTGCCCCAATCATTCACCCTCCGCGGAAGCCGACGCGGGCGCTTGCGTCCGAAGATGACATTTGCCTCTGAACGCTAGTCATATCAGTGTCTCATCGTTTGCATGTGCGAGCTCCGCTAGAATCTTTGTGATGCAGCTCGCATAAACCGCGTTTGCTCAAATTCCGCTACTGTCATTGACGCGTACCCATGTGTATCGGGAAGGTCGGAAGTTCCGCCAAAGCCATCGCACTGCGATTCTGCATGGGTGAAGAGATAAGGAAAACATGTCATTCAAGGAGCTGAAAGGATCAGAGAGGTACACGTTTTTGATTCGTTGAATACATGAAGCATCGTAATAACTTCGGCCGCTACGGAGACGCGGTAATGACTGCCAGGAGCCAGCTCTCCTATAATTCGTTTACTTTTGAATCGTATGCCCGTGAAGTTCCTGGTATCTATTTTGTGAAGTTGTGAAGAGAGAATCGCGAGACAGGAAGCGCGTGGGCGTCCTACCGGAGGGCCTTGCGAGCGAAGGTGGGCAGGACGAATGCTGCCTCGTGGATCTCTTTGCTGTAGTACTTGCAGAGCTTCTCCTCCTCCTCGGTAGACCAGCTGCGGAGCGGCTTCTTGAGGTTGAGGCTGGCGTCCTTGGAGCAGACCATGAAGCCGATCTGGCCAGACGGGTAGGTGGGGATGGTGGTGTAGCCGTACTCGACGTTGGGGAAGACCTCCTTGCAGCCCTTCTTGAGGTTGACGATGAGAGGCATGTGGAGCCACTGGTTCTCGGCTGTGTGAGAGACACATGGTCAGCTAACTATCCGCATTCGAGGGGAGTGCACTGCGACGATTGTCGCCGTGCTTGGGGAGGAGGGGGCTCACAACCTTGAGTGGTGATGACACCACCTTCCCGAAGTGCGCCATTGAGCAGCTCAAAGTACGGCTTCTGGAAGAGGGCCTCGGCAGGACCTTCGGGGTCGCTGGAGTCGGTGATGATGACGTCAAACTCGCCCTTCTTGTCCTCAAGGTACTTGAAGCCATCGCCGACGATGGCCTCAACCTTGGGGTGCTCGAAACCAACAGACATGCCAGGGAGGTACTTCTTGGAAAGGCGGATGACGGCCTCGTCGATGTCGCAAAGCACAGCCTTCTCAACGCAGTCGTGCTTGACAACCTCGCGAAGGACACCGCCGTCTCCACCACCAATGACGAGAACGCGCTTGGGGTTGGGGTGCGAGTTCATGGCAAGGTGGGTGATCATTTCCTGGTACCTGTCGCAATCAGTCTCTGACCGGACTTCCCAATTGTAGACCAACGTACGAGAACTCGTCGCGCTCGGTGCACTGGATGACATTGTCAAGGACCAGGACGGTGCCGTAGTCGGTCGATTCGAAGATGAGGACATCCTGGTACTTGCTCTTCTCGTGGTGGAGCACCTCCTTGACCTTGAGGGTCATGGCCTGGCCGGGCCACATGTCGGAGATCTCACGGAACCAGCCATCTGCGCGATTGAGTCAGCATAAGATTGGCACAGTGTTAAGAGGATGCGAGTCGTCTAGAGGGGTGTGGATTTATCTCTTACCCTTGATAGTGGGGTGCACGATTTCAGACATCTTGAAGTTTGCGGAAGTGTGGAAGGCTTTGTGGTAAGGACTCAAATTAGAACGAGATTGGCGGCTGTGGATACCAGATACTAGGGCGCGTCTGGGTTTTATAGCAAACTTGGGCGCGGTGTGGACTGAGAGCTGTCGGATTGCTTGGGCTGCCATCCCAATTTTTTCTCGCGCCCGCATTACGTCTGCCCGCGCCCCGCCATTGAGCTGTGAGAACAAACACGGCTAGTCCACTTCCGGCAAAGCAACAAAAGCTGGGCACGCTCGTCCGGCCCGCACCGCAAGCTCTGCTACACTTTTGTGAACATCTTCATTGGGGGTTTCCGAAGACCAAAATGGAGAGCATGATTAGACATGTGTGCTCGGCGTCGGGGTTTTCGGTGCCTCGTGTATCTTACTTCAATACCAGTCATCAAGCGACGCTCCAATCGCAACCCGAGGATGGAAACTAGCGCGGATGCCTGGCACCTCGACCATCAACGCGGGTATCAATTCTCACTCCATTACCTGTGAGATACCGTGTGACTGGTTCTGACATACGTATATAAGAGAGAGAGATTCCCTCGAAACGCAGCATGACCCCCGAGCCTTGACTTGTGTACTCATCTGCAAACCAACAACATTCTGATACTCGGATCTACAGAACCCAACATCCACGATGTCACTGAACAAGACTCCCGATCTGTCGGTCGCTGCCAACCTTCTCAAGGGCTCACCTTGGGAGAATCTCCCGCTGGAGTATGTGACATTTATCCCCTTTGCATATAGTTGATAACAATATCCGTCCAGTAAACTGCCTTGGTACTCGCCTGAGATTGAAGAGATCACGCCTCAGGCCCAGGAGTTGTTCGAGAAGTACTCCAACGTAGAACCCGAGAAAGTGAAGGCACACATCAAGGAGCTGGTGAGACTTCAACTGGATCGACACATTGTAGTCAGGCTAATCAGTACCAGAGAGACAAAGCATACGTCGTGGTACGCAGAACAGAAGCGCTAGTAAGCTGCTTTTGCTTAGAGGCTGACACGAATAGTTTCCATATCCGTGCCTTGCGCGCTGGGCCTTTCTCGAACTCAGCGTCAGTCTGTCTCGCCAATACCCAGAGGTTCTCGAGCGTGTCAGGAATGGCGACAAATGCACGTTCATAAATCCACCTTTTACGTTTTAAAACCCTTATTGACGACAAATTAGATCTCGATCTCGGTTGCTGCGTCGGCCAGGACATCCGCAAGCTAGTCTTCGATGGAGCCCCGTCAGAAAACACATTTGGCTCGGACTTGGAGAAGAACTTCATGGACATCGGCTATGACCTATTCCTTGACAAGCAGACTTTGAAGACCACCTTCATCGCCGCAGATATCTTCGACGAGGATTCCGACATGAAGCAAATCGCCGGCGATATCGATATCATCCACGCGGCGTCCTTCCTACACCTCTTCGACGAGGAGGGTCAACATAAAGCCTGCGAGAACATTGTCAAGCTACTGAAGAGCAAGCCTGGGTCTCTTTTCATCGGGCGACAAATTGGAAATTCTGAGTCTGGAGTACATGTTGGCTTGATCGACTCGAGCAAGAAACGGTACAGGCACAACGCAGAGTCTTTCGAACAGATGTGGAAGAGTGTTGGGGAGAAGACTGGTACAAAGTGGAAGGTTGAGGCGCGCCTTGAGGACCGGGATCTTCATGCTGTAGCGGAGAAGATGGGTTTGGAGTCCGCAACCATTCCACCAGGCTCGAAATGGCTGAGCTTCGCAGTCCGCAGGGGAGAGTAGATATACTCTTCATGCGAGTATGTGGAACGGCCTGAGCGTGGAAAATTGTAGAGCCCAAGGGCTTACTCCACTATACGGCAAATTGAATGGGCGGATGTTCGTTGTACAGTTCGTAGTCTCTGTACTCTGGCGATCCAGCTCTTACAGTGTAATGTTCTCCAGGGCAGAATTGGGTGGGCTGGCCTGTAATGATACAACTGGTCAAAGTGGCGTTTAGCTACTCATAGCTAACTGGTAAATTGCATTCCAGCCACAATCAGGATTGCAATTTAGCGACAATGCATCGCTGTGTTGCTTAAGAGACGATTGGGACGATGCCGTAGCAGCTGCACGAAGCGACTGAGCGTCTTGGAACTAAAGTTCCATAGCTGTCCAATCAGATGCGATACCGGCCGATCGCACTTGCCAAGACTACTTCGTGGCTTCAACACCACAAGAGACCAATACACACCGACATCCCTCTGATTGTGACCCTTATACAGTCTTACCTCTCGCATACTTCTTAGTCGCCCACCATGGATCCATACTCGCACGAAGGAGGTAAACTGTGGCCAAGCACTGCAGAGCATGCATCCCACTAATACGCTCCAGAACTCTTGAACATCCACACAGCATTCCATGCGGGAGCCCACCAACAAGTTCTCGACTTCGACACATCGGGCTTCTCCTCGGAGAACGCTCTTCCCGTCCGTGTCCTACAGCTTCGCTCACAGATCGCGCTTGGCCAAGCCAAAGAAGTCGCTTCCTCCCTTGCGAAAGAGTCCACACCAGACCTTGTAGCTATACGGTTACTCGCTGAGTATGAGAGCGGAAAGGATATACTTGCAGAAGTCAAGGGGCTGGTCGAGAAGCAGGGGCTGGAGAATCTGACGGTGCAGTTGGTGGCAGGCATAATTCTCGAGAGGGCTGGAGAGACAGAAGAGGCGCTGAGTGTGCTGAGCAAGCACCAAGGAAGCTTGGACGCGTACGTTGAGAAGATTGCCGAAGCTTTGGACTGTAGACTGACAAATTGTGGGTTACAGCGTTGCATTGACTGTGCAGATACACCTGCAGCAGAACCGCGCCGACCTGGCCTTGAAGGAAGCACAGCGCGCCCGAAAATGGGCACAAGATAGTCTTCTAGTCAATCTTGCCGAGTCATGGGTCGGAATGCGCGAGGTACGTCTCTACTAAACACCTACCTTTCATCACTGACACTTTGTCCAGGGCGGTGAGAAGTACCAATCGGCATTCTACGTCTTCGAAGAGCTAGCACAAACATCACAATCGCAATCGCCGCACTCCCTCGTCGCACAAGCAGTCTCGGAACTACACCTCGGCCGTCTGCCGGAAGCTGAAGCTGCACTACAACAAGCAGTGCAGCTTGATGCCAACAACGCAGATACGCTCGCGAACTTAATCGTACTGAACACGCTTTTGGGCAAGAAGGATGAGGTTGTACAGCTGAAGGATCAGCTGGCGGGCGTGGACAGCGAGCACCAAGTCTTGACAGACTGGGCAGAGAAGAAGCAGGCTTTTGATCAGGCGAAGGCGAAGTATACCCCAAAGTTTGAGGTGGCAGCTTAGAGCGTGGGCGAGTGCGATATGTAAGTGCCGTTGCATGGACAATCAAGACAGCATGAGATGGTAACCGATCGGTTGATCCAGAGAGAGTAGCAATGGAACTTTCCATCTGCGTAGTGCAAGCCACGGAAACCCTTATGCACAATATTTAATCTGCCAAAGACTACGGCTTGGCGGTCTTCTCCAGATCGGAAGTAAGCACCATGATCAAGACATGCTCGTGTACGGATTTTACTCGACAATTTCTGATATTACATCCTTAGGCTGTAAATAGCCGTTCTTTTGGAAGCTCTCCTTCTATAAGTCAGGTATACCAGCAGCTTACACTGCGCGGTCATCACATTCCTCTTGGCTCTACGCTCGTGTACACATTCGGACAAAAAAGGACCCAAGTTTACACCTGCAGCTACTCGATGAGCTGACATGCATTTCATTCCTGCTTTTTCCGTTCGGCTCTTGTGCGTTCCGGCGCCAACTCACCATCTAATTTGTTCTTCGTCGATCTTGTCACGTCTCAATTCTCGCTACCAAGGACGCTAACAAGAGCCATCCTCATAACAGGCCCTTTGCGCGAGTAAGCACAGCAAGGTTGGGCCTGATTGATCTGTTCACCTCCAAAGCTCCGCCAAGCGAATGGTGGAGCAGCTAGTCGATGATCTCCCGCTGTACGCGATTTTTCGGAGTTAACCACGAGCTCTACCTGGGCGGTACACTTTTGGTTCGCCGCTGCGCGCTCTCGTAAGCATCAGCACCCGCTCACAATACTCCTTACAGCGTTCTTTTCATCGTCAGCGGCGGCCGCCCGAGACACGGCACCGCATAAAGCAGCGCTCCTTGCGACGTTTGCTGCATGGCGTCGGATATGACACGTTCCGAACGCACACCAAGCACTCTTGGAACAAGCTTAAATCCAGAAGTTGGCCAATGCGGGATCCCCCTTCGCTCGTTGCAGCACGGCATCGCCGCGCTATGCCTCTCCTGCACAGCGGCTCGATGCTTTGGGAAACAGGACCCCGCGGTGGTGGGCGCGTGGGTGCAGCCGGGCGCCCTGCACGAGACCGCCATGTGGTGTCGAACTCGGCCGGCGGCTCGCTGGCTCTGTATGACTGGCAGCGGATGGCCCGCAGTGGGATCTGACTTTGCTCAAGCGGCATGGGCAGCTTTACTACAGATAGATGGGGGTAGGTCGGGCGGACCCAGTGGCTTGGTCGCTCGCGAGCCTTCTGTCTGTGCCATCCATCTTTGCTCTGCGGATTTTTCGTGCGGCCCACTGCGGACGCCTTTTCACGCTCGTTTGGTTGCTTCCGAATCAGACGACCGGTCGGTCGGTGAGCGGCAAATCGGGCTACATATACATGCGTGCTTGCCGTCCGGTGAACCAATATCTGTATATGTGTGAATGACCTTGAGAGTTAGTCAGTCACATGGTCGGTACATGCGGTATATTGCGAGCCCACCCACCAACCGCGTCTGCAAGGTTCTCCACATTTGCACTTCCTTTTCCGAGGCAATAACTACACCGCTAGCGCGAAGGCGTCATGGCTGTCATCATGAAGGAACGCGTTCGGGCGCAGACACAGACGCTGGACCAGTGTCCTGACAGCCCCGTTGAAGAGGCTCAGACACCGCTCCTAGAAAACATGGTTATTGGTGTTCCACCGGTTTTTGAAGGCTTGACGAGGGAGCTTGGGCAGCTGGTTGAGCAGCCGCTGTTGGGTCCTAAGTCGGAGTTCCCTTCACGTAAGTTGTGTGTAGTTGCTATGGAGTATGAGAAATCTAATGATTTGAACAGCATTCTTTGCGTTTGCAAAGAAAGATGTGTCTGGAAACCGGAAACCACAGGCTATTGCCCACCGAGGGTATAAGGCCAAGTTCCCAGAGAACACAATGGGTGCATTCAGGGGAGCAGTGGAAGTCGGTGCAGAGGGGCTGGAGACGGATATACATCTGTCGAAAGATGGCGTAGTCATGTTGTCCCATGTGAGTTGAGCAGATGTACTTGGTTTACATGACCAGCATGCTGATACTAAACAGGACAAAGACCTGAAAAGATGCTTTGGGCGCGACGAGAAATTGCTTGATTGCAACTACGAGTTTCTGAGCAAACTCAAGACGCTGAAAGAGCCGCACCAGTCTATGCCGCGGCTGATAGATTTACTCGAGTATCTTGCTCAGCCCGGGCTGGAAGAGATTTGGGTGCTTCTAGACATCAAAGTACGCTTACCTTCACGTTCCCTATGTGTAGGTAGAAAACAAGGGTGTTCTAATTCTGCCACAGCTTGACAATGACCAAGAAGACGTAATGCGAGCAATCGCAGATGCTATCGGCAGCGTCAAGCCCTCTCCCACTCGCCCCTGGCAAAGCCGTATCGTTCTCGGCATTTGGGCCGCGAAGTTCCTGCCCCTCTGCTCTCGCTACCTTCCCAACTTTTCAGTTTCGCACATCGGCTTCTCCATTGCCTACGCCTCGCACTTCCTCGCCGTCCCCAACGTGTCTTTCAACATGTACCAAGCGGCACTCATGCTCCCCTGGGGCCGCGCCTTTATCCGCAAAGCGCAGCGTGACAGGCGGCCAGTATACGCATGGACGGTCAACGAGGAGCGGCGCATGCGGTGGGATATTCGGCACGGAATCGATGGGGTCATCACGGACGATCCGAAGCTGTTTCTGGAGGTGCGGCGCGGTTGGCACGAGGGTATGAAAGATAACTTCGGGCTGCTGATATGGCTGGATGTGCTCCGGGCGAATTTCTTCGTGATGATCTTTGCGGTTTTCCTCCGGATGAAGCATGGGAGTCCGAAGAAGCCGTTGGTGAGGGCAAAGGTGGAGAGCAGGGGCGGATAGGGTAACGACGCATGGCAGCTCCCTTCGCGGTTACAGTAGCATACTTTTGCAAAGAATCGATCGCTGTGATGCGAATTCAGATTGGGCGTGGCCACTGGGCGTGCGCCGGGTCATAAGATGGCGTCGTGTGAACGAAGACGGTTTGTTCGGTGAGGCGTGTTCGGACTCTCGATGGTAGAGCCCGTATTGTACTGGGCTACTACGTCCGCCTACAGTTTGGACCCGGTACGGTACCTTCGATCTTCAACTTCAGATGAGGGTCGCTCGTCGCCTGGGACAAAGTGAGAACAAGTTCGCGGGTGGCCCGAGCACATCCGCCGACGCGTTCAAGCTCCCCGCACGCGTCCCAGCCTGCGCAACTGCACTCAACATGCCGCGGTAAGACCCACGCAATCCTCATACTAGAATCATTGCTGACAGTGCGATAGCGAGATCATAACTCTTCAGGCCGGCCAGTGCGGCAATAGCGGTACGTCTAAATCCACCTGCATCTTCTCGAGCCCCGCATTCGTACCATCCGAATGGTACACATTCGGCCGTCTCAGCAGCGACAGGCCCGCATGATCCTGCAGCTTTGCTGACATGTGGCAAATAGTCGGCCAGCAGTTCTGGCAGCAGTTGTGCCAAGAACATGGCATCAACAAGGACGGCAACCTCGAAGATTTTGCGACTGAAGGCGGTGACCGCAAGGATGTCTTCTTCTACCAGTCCGACGATACGCGCTATATTCCACGAGCCATTCTGCTAGATCTAGAACCCAGAGTACGTTCGAATGCTCGTCGGCGATAAGATCTACTTGCTGACTTGCGCAGGTACTCAATTCGATCCAATCCAGCGCCTACAAGAACATCTACAACCCCGAAAACTTCTACATACACAAGGAGGGAACCGGTGCAGGAAACAATTGGGGCGCCGGTTACAGCATGGGAGAGCAGGTGCAAGAGGAGATTCTGGACATGATCGACCGCGAGGCCGACGGCTCAGATTCACTCGAAGGCTTCATGCTCTTGCACTCAATTGCAGGCGGCACAGGATCCGGCCTCGGATCATTTCTGCTCGAACGGCTGAATGACAGATTTCCGAAGAAGCTCATCCAGACATACAGTGTGTTCCCGAACACACAGGAAGGAGACGTCGTGGTGCAGCCATACAACAGCATGCTTAGCATGCGACGCCTCACGCAAAATGCTGACTCCGTGGTAAGTCTTCGTTGGGCTTGTGGTTTCATATTTGCTGACAGTCAAGGTGGTGCTCGACAACGGTGCTCTGTCTAAGATCGCGGCCGACAGGCTACACGTGCAGGCCCCGTCCTTCCAGCAAACGAACCAGCTCGTCTCTACGGTCATGTCCGCCAGTACTACGACGCTTCGGTACCCAGGTTATATGCACAATGACCTTGTCGGCATAGTAGCATCGCTCATCCCAACTCCTCGCTGTCACTTCTTGATGACTTCCTACACACCCTTCTCCGGCGAGAACGTAGAGCAAGCCAAGACTGTACGAAAGACCACCGTTTTGGACGTTATGAGGCGCCTTCTACAACCGAAGAGCAGGATGGTGTCTACAACCCCGACTAAGAAAAGCTGCTACATGTCGATTCTGAACATCATTCAGGGCGAGGCGGATCCAACAGATGTAAGCTAATTGTTCTCTTTTATCGAGTCGATTGCTAAGATACACAGGTTCACAAATCACTTCTGCGAATCCGAGAACGCCGTTTGGCTACCTTCATTCCATGGGGACCGGCATCAATCCAAGTTGCCCTGACCCGAAAGTCCCCTTACGTGCAATCATCACATCGTGTGTCAGGCCTAATGTTGGCGAACCACACCGGTATTGCGACTCTCTTCAAGCGTATGGTCATGCAATACAACACCCTCCGAAAACGCAACGCTTTCCTTGAGCCCTACAAGCGAGAAGCTCCCTTCCGGGACGGCCTAGGCGAGTTCGACGAGGCGAAAGAGGTCGTCCAGAGCCTCATCGACGAATACGAAGACGCTGAGAATCCAGACTACTTGACCAAAGAGGATCCGCCCAACGACGAGGGCGACGACAAGCGTGTTGCGTAGGACACATGTGGGGTTTTACTTGACGATTTGGAACCGCATCCGGTGCGGCCTGCGTGCTTTTTCCGATCGTGATGGCGTATGTGGCATGGAAATGGGCCGTGCTGTATGTTTTATGATACCATTTTCGAATGCGAGATTGTCTTTGCCATGCTTTCGCCCTCTGTGTCTCTCTTCATGCTGGATCGCAAACTGGGCTAGCGTCCTCGCTTAGCCCGCGTTGACCCGCTGAAAATGTGTGGCAGCAGTGCGCCCGCCCGTGATGCATGGTTTCCACGGCTTTGACAAACAAAACTCTTGACCTCTGCGCAGTTGGCCTTCTTCACTATCCCTCCCACCATGACCGAGCAACCTGAGCAAACGGGAGAAGCATCATCCTCCAGCACACCCGCCGCCCCATCACTAGCCTGTGCTCAATGCGCATCGACCCCGGACTCGTTGAAGCAGTGTCTCAAATGCCACAGCGTGCACTACTGCAATCGAGACTGCCAGAAGGCGCATTTCAAGACGCACAAGAAGGAGTGCGCGGGGCTGGCGCAGGAGTATGTGAAGACGCATGAGCCGAAGATGGCGAGTCGGGCACCGCCGAGGGAGACCGGGAAGGGGAAGGGGATTGGGAAGTGGGAGGTGAGCTACCTTTCTTGTTTTTGTTTTTGTTTGGTACGGTGAAAGAAGAGATACGCTAACCGTGTGTGTGTAGTATGATACTTGAAGTGGTGAGGTCTGATCGTTGTGGACGGGTAAGAGAGGATAAGGAGCCAGGGACCAGTGAAAGGAAGGAAGGGAGGGCCTGAAATAGGGTACGCGCGGAGATTCAAAAGGCGAATACCCTCGAATGCATTTGGCGCGGTGTGCCGCAATCAGGGAGGTGAAGAGAGGTAGCTAGGGGATTGCGAAGGTATATGCAAAAAGTAAGCTGCAAGCGGAAGAGGAGGTGATCTGGAGAGTCAAGAAAGTTCTCAGTCATTGGAATAGCTTGAGAGATCTGTATATATGGAGCAATCGATGGTTGATACCCAATCTCAAGTAAGATGAACAGAGCTACCATGGTCAGTTGAACAAGGCGAGTTCATCTGCTATGATAAGGTCTCGCTCTTGGAGCGCAGGGAAACCGTTGCTCCATTGTCGTACAGCAATACGCGTATCCACAGTACAGACAAGTCTAGTAGTTCAACATTACCTATGGGATACCAATGGTACTTGTACCACATTATGAACGGCCCCTTCACTTTTCTTCGCATGGACTCTGCCATGTGATTCTTATAGTTCCAAACCTCTGGATGCATTTCTGCATTAGTCGCTACACGGTCGTGTTGTGCCTTCTTTTGTGTGCGTGCGGTGTCCAATGAGCATCTAGATTCTGATAAGGTTAGCATATCTCCGTTGTCATGGGAAGACTCCACGCCTCACTGTTTTCTGCGCAGTACCTCCTCTCGATACCAACAAATCACTCCGTTCCATCTTTGCGTTGCGCTATAGGAAGATTCCATACTCTACCCTTCCAAGGCCACGCCGCTAGGCTGGGTCAATAACGCGCGCGTCCACACGACCACGTAGAACACGAGGTACGTTTCCACGGGTTTAAGCGTATGACCACCGACTGCCGTTCTATTGGACCGCCTCATCTTCAACATCCCTTGAATGTAAATCGTTCTACCATTTTCGGTCAATCTATGATTATCTAGCGATGTGGCTTTATCTGTCCACTCAGGCCCTTACCCTTGGCCTCGTGCCACAAAGGGCGCGGCGCACCAAAACTGTCCTGGCTTGCCTCGGGCCTGGTTATTTCATCTGCTACACAGCGCTACGCCTACAGCTTCTATCTGTTGCTACATACATTGTTCACAACGTCTCAATTACACACGCCGAGCAAGCGGTCTACCCCTCCTACACCAGCTTACACCAAGCCACCTCATCATGACTGATTTTCGGACATTTATCCCCAACAACAGACCTAACTCTGACCCAGATATTTTGACACGCATGCAAAAAGACCTTTCAAGTTCGTCGCATTCCGAGGGGTCTTTGGAATCGAACGGGCACGATATGGCGGTACGGAGAGCTGGAGGAAAGGTTCCACATGTCGGTATTGTGGGCGCTGGAGTTGCCGGACTTCGCTGCGCCGATATTTTATTGCAGCATGGCGTCAAAGTCACGATACTAGAAGGGAGAAATCGCGTTGGTGGTAGAGTAAGCACTCAACAACTACCCCGCCCAGTCAGAACACGTGACTGATGTTTCCAGCTCTGCCAAAGCGACGCTCTCGGTCACAAAGTCGATCTGTAGGTGTGCCTTGCCATTTTCGTACCAATGATGCCTGGCATGATTAATTTTCTTTTAACACGTCGCAAGTGGCCCGAACTGGATACATGGGACGGACAACAACCCTATACTAGACTTGGCGAATGAGACGAGTACACTATCAATTAACTGGGATGGACGACAATCGGTCTTCGACGAATCGGGTAGGCAGATGCCTGCAAAAGAGGCAGCCGAGATTTCAGAGCTCGTGTGGGAAGTCATCGAACAAGCTATGAAATACTCTGAAGACGATTCTTCTTCTATATCACCCAAGGAAAGCCTCTACGACTTCTTCAAGAAAAAGGTACCAGAATTGATACCTCAGGAGATGGACGGTGATGATTCGGTGGGAAAAAAAAGGCAAACCGTTCTAGACATGTCGGAGATGTGGGGAGCTTTTGTAGGCAGCCCGATCGAGAAGCAAAGTCTGAAGTTCTTTTGGCTGGAGGAATGCATCGACGGAGAGAATCTGTTTGTTGCGGAAACATACCATAAGGTCCTGGACCGCATAGCAGAACCTGCATTTAAGAGAGCGGATGTCAAATTTGGGCACAAGGTGCAGAAAATTGTGTCATCAGGAACAGAAGAAGAGCCGAGTGTTGAAGTTTTGATCGATGGGAAAGAAAGCTTAGGTTTCGATGAGGTCGTCACGACCACTCCGCTCGGATGGTTGAAGACACACGAAAGTGCTTTCGAGCCTGAGCTTCCTGATGGGCTCAAGAAAGCAATAAACTCAATTGGCTATGGACATTTGGACAAAGTATGTCACTCGAGGTTTCCCTGTAACAGCGACCTGACACTTTGTAGGTATATATCACTTTCCCGACCGCTTTCTGGAACGAATCAACATCCAATGACCTCACAACGTCCAAATCCCACGACCATTCAATACCAAATGTGACCGCTACGACAGCCCCAGTTCATCAATCCACTAATGCAAAGGATCCAACTATCAATCCAGCCCACTACCCAGGCTTCACCCACTGGACGAAACCTACCTACGCCAACCCTACAAATCCGTCCCAATGGGCCCAAGAAGCGATGAACCTCGCCGCACTACCCTCTTCCACCGCGCATCCCACTCTCCTTTTCTACACGTACGGACCCACATCTCTTCACCTCGCATCACTCCTGAAAGATCACACGCCTCCCATTGTGGATCCCGACGAGGCCACCCGGACGCTCCTTACCGAATTCTTCCATCCTTACTTCTCACGCCTACCAAACTACTCCCCGACCGACCCATCTCACCAACCGACCCGTATACTTGCTACCACCTGGGCAAATGACGAGCTCGCTGGGTATGGTAGCTACTGTAATTTCCAGGTCGGGTTGGAAGCTGGTGATCGTGATATTGAAACTATGCGGAGAGGCCTGCCTGGAAGAGGGCTCTGGTTTGCGGGTGAGCACACGGCGCCTTTCGTGGCATTGGGAACGGTGACGGGGGCATATTGGGCGGGGGAGGGGGTTGCAAGGAGGATCGTTAGGGCTTGGGGGCTGGATGGGAGGGGTGGGCTGGGGAATGGCCATGCGAACGCGACTGCCTGAAATGTGCCATGTAGATGCGAGAGTTGCGTATATTGTGCTCCACGTTATAATTCCGAAAGCAGGCTTAGGTTACGTTTGCTGTGGAGAACAAATTGCGAGGATTGTCCGCCAACATGAGACCTCACCGGCTTCTCTAGTCTTCCCCAATTATACTTCATTTCCGATGGCCTCACAATCGAGACGCTCAAAGAAACAGCAGACTTCTCGAGTATATTTGATACAGAAAGCGAACTGTTATTTCTGTAGCCGTACGATCCAATACAATTCCGTTTGTGGACTGAAGATGATAGACACCCCCTGCACACTGTCTCCAGGAACCCCAGCGATCGAATAGTCGTACTATTCGGTTGTAATCACATTCTAGTACTTAGGCCAATCGAGGCGCACTTTGCCCTTGTGGAGTCTTGGCTTGGCCATTTCTGGGATCTCCTCACTTCATGGCAACATCTACCCGACAAGGGCGACACGGTAGTTGGAGACAAGATCAAGGATTACATGAAGAATCTACCAACAGCGACGTTTGCCATTGCGTAAACGGACGTGGTGCGAAATAAAAGTCTGCGGAGTCGACGTGTGCAAGCTACGCAAGAAGAGCATTCCAATCTATCAATGTCATAAACCTGTACAGATGGTTCTTCCGCAGTGAGTGATAGTGCCTGTAGTGCCTTCTTTCAATTGATGCACCTTGATGAACCCCTAGAATCGACTGACAGCTTCACACAAAAGGTCGTGTTCGAGCTTACAGAAAGCAGATGAGCCCAGAAACTACGATGACACATTTTCAGTCGCCAAACCAGAACCTCCGCGCACCGCTCGAAGCATTTCCATAAGACCCTATCAACGTCTACGCCGACCAACACCACCGCCCGTCGTCACACCTCATCACTCAGTCCACTCTCTTGTTCAAATCGAAGTCCAAGTCGCGCATACTACCGTCGAACTCATTGCATATAACATCAATCTATTCTACATACATGAAGCCTGCGGCAGTCTTGCTGCCCAGCATAAATAAAATGTGGTATCTTGCATACGCCATTCCGCGCAATTTCCAGATGAACATACCCCATAATCAGGAGATGCCGCGAACTAGTCATATCCAAGCCTTGCACTCATAACATCATATACAGCAAACAGTATCCAAACGTTATTCAAGTAGGGCGAGCCTGCTTCACTTACACCGCATCCCTGCCCTCCTTCAAACACTTCCCTTCTCTTCCTACATGCTCGCGGAGAAATTCGAGGCGCTCTGTATCACCGTTCTTAAAGGCAAAAGCTCCACTCCAAAACCCGCAGCCGATATTTGTAGTCTCATTGCGCAATATCGTCTGCGCCTGACCCGCCCAATCAACTGGCGACAATCCTTGTCCGATATCCTCCCCATGTTCTTTCCCAATCTTCGCGATCTCGCTTTCGCCCGGGACATGGTGGAAGAGTTCGGAGTTGAGCGTCCAGCAGCGCAGACCGCGGTCGGGATGGGAAGCTGGGTTCGCCCAGCGCGTTGTGATGGAATTCGTCTCTCGCGCGCCTTTCAAGCAGGCGTGGAGGAGCGCGACGTCGAATGCGCGGGGGCCCCCTGGTTTAAGCTTCGGGGGTGCGAGGGCAGTGAGGAGGAGTTCGGCAGCGGGACGGGTGACTGCGTAGGCGAATGAGCAGAGGGGAAACTTCGAGCGGTGGAAGGTGCGGCCATGCTCGGGGATGTTTAGAATGCTGAACAGGTGCTGGGTAAGGGGGTGCAGCTCCGATCGCGGGGGCATGGTCGGGTCGTGGTACGTGAGGTGCGGCACATCGTTCAAGGTGAAGGGTTTGCTGTCGAAAACTAGGCCGTCGTATGTGACTCTGTTGAAGTAATCTCCGCAGTGACCGAGGTACAAGAGATCCCAAGCACCATGATCGCCCCAGTACTGTGTGCGGTTTTGCGGTAGTCTGGTGGGAGGCCTCAGAGATCGCTTCGGGGGCATGAGAGTACGCGCGGCATTTGCGGCAAGCGGGATCTGGATGTTACGAAGGCGTATGTCCCAGTCGAGATCGTCTTCGAGTACTAGTGCGGTCTCAAGGCCAGAATCGAGGAACCTGTTGGCAGCGTTTCATCAGCCCAAATTATCATCACAACACAGATTATATAGGACGGAGCTTACCACTGTAGGACGTTGAGGTGTCCCATCCAAGCCAGGATTGAGCCGTGCTGCACATCGTCTTCTTGGCTATTGCGAAACTTTTGCACGTCGCTCTCTGTCCACTGCGGCTGCTTTGGGATGGTAACGTCGAATTCGGTGACGTTAGCTTGTTGCACAAAGGCATGCCGTCGGTTGGAGCCTTCTTTCGATACGACGACCGCACCGCCAAAACCCAGCGTGCGGTTGGCGGGAAGCTTGGTTTGTTGTGTCTCAGTCGACGGTGTCCATTGGATGTAGATACGGTCCGTATTTCTGTACTGAAAACAAAACGACAACGTAAGTACAAGTCCGACCAGCAGAGGCAATAGCCTCTTCCTGTTGGGCGCGAGCATCGCGGCCGTACACACGGGAAACGAGTGGGATGTTTTGATTCAGTAAGGTGTTGTGGTTTGCAGGATGACGGGGGGCGGCCCTGGGTATATCTACAGAAGCTAGGAAAGCGAGAGATGCACCAAGACGTTGGCAGCTCCACGGGGAAGGAGCGTTTGTACCGCTATGGGCAGGCAGTGACGCTGATAGACCATACAAGGCCACGTAGTTATGGCCGCGTGTGACAAAAGCCTATCTATGGAAAGGATGCCACCGTGAATAGTACGCTAGTTTGCCGCCTGGAGACTCTGTTTCCTGTCATGATGAACGCCCTACTGCGACAGACTCGGGGCGATCCGTTTAGCTGCCGCAAAGCCTTGTTTCGCTCTTGGGTGATTGCGTGTCGTGCTCAATCGGAACGAAACTTGCAACATTGCGAACGTAGTACTCGATACTGGCTGCTACCGTCGATGGTAATTGAATGGGCAGAAGGGGAGCCAAGCGACACTGGTGGTACCTGTGGTAGAGTCCATGGGTACAAAAACTGCAGGTGAACATTGGATGCACTATCGGCCCAACAGCTATCGGCTTCGGCCGACCCGGGCTGCTCGCCATTGTTTCGTGAGATGACTACTGAGAGTCGCCAGCCGCGCGGAGCTGCTGTCTTGCGAATGGGTTGCTCCCACGCAAAGCGGGAGAGTCCGGGGTCACGTGCTGCTCTAGCGCCCGCGGGCGAACCCTGGTCCAGATTGCTGGGTCGCGGTGTCTGGCTGGATCCTGGAGGCAGTCAGCCCGCGCCTCAGAACGAAAACGCAACGGCGAGGACAGGGTGACCTCTCCTACTTGGCTTGCCCTCCAACCTGTCCTAGTTACACCCCAGATCGTGTCGTTGTTTGTCTTCTAAGCCCACCGCGCCGCGCCGACCCGCTAGCATAGCTTCTGCCGGCGGTGCTGCAGTTGTCCCTGAAACCTCGCCGAAACTCGTCCGCCTCGCCCTCTTCGCTGCCTCCGCGTCGAACGCGCGCATACCTTATGGATCAACGCCACCTTGCTTCGTTGCTCTAGACGACTATTCTTCGCTCCTCCAGCCTCATCGCATGCATTGAGCCGTGTGCTGCGGAAGGATGGCAACGTTGGGATCGCCTTCGCCGCCCTCATCACCATCGCGAAACATGCGCCGCCGTGCGTGGGCCAGGAAGGTGGAACGCTTTTGCTGTAGCACAATAACCTACTTTCCGCTGGTGTTTGTGTATGGTTTGACGTCATGGGCCGCCTGGGTCCAAGTGGGCATAGGCTTCAACACGTCCAAGAATCGTTGGACAGGTAGGCTACGCTCTATTTTCCGGGCATTGGCTAGATGTACAGATTGCATGGGCAGATCTCGTGGTCTCTGTACATGGTAGACCAAAGACCCGTAGAGCCTGGGAAGCAATGTCAGCCCACTAACACAACGCACAGGCAAGTCTTCGTCCGCGCTCGGCTTCTTCCTGTACATGATGCTTAACTGGAGCTACACGACCGCCGTATTCACAGACCCCGGCTCGCCGCTCAACGTCACAAACGGTTATAGTCAACTGCCCACGCAGGAAGGAGGAGGCATGCAGTATACGTCTTTCACGGTCAAGGCATCTACGGGCGACATACGATTCTGCAAAAAGTGCCAAGCACAGAAACCCGACCGCGCCCACCATTGCTCAACCTGCAAGCGATGTGTGCTCAAGATGGACCACCACTGCCCGTGGCTGGCGGCGTGCGTCGGACTTCACAACTACAAGGCCTTCCTCCTTTTCTTGATCTATTTGACATTCTTCTGTTGGGTAGCTTTTGCGACATCAGCGACTTGGGTGTGGACCGAGATTTTGAACGACGGGAACTACTCCGAGTCATTTATGCCGGTGAACTATGTCCTGCTTGCTGTTCTTTCTGGCATCATTGGAGTGGTGATAACTGGGTTCACTGCTTGGCATTGCTATCTGACGATTCGAGGGCAAACAACAATCGAGAGCTTGGAAAAGACGCGCTATCTGTCGCCACTGCGGAATAGCATGAAAGCTCAGCTCTCAGACCGCAACTACCTGGACGCCCAGGCCAACGGACGGCTAAGCATTAGCGACCAACTCCGCGAGATCCACGCAAATGCTCTACCAGGGATTACTCGACCTGAAGAAGGGGTCTCATCACCCTCTCAGCGTTGTGCTCGCTCGCCCGCCCCTACGAGCAACGGCTATTCACACCCGAACCAGCAGTCCTACGAGTACCGCGAGCGGCAACAACGCTACGAGTCCTACGAGTCCTATCTAGACGAACGGGACAACGAACAATTACCCAACGCATTCGATTTGGGGTGGAAACGGAACGTAGGACATGTATTCGGGCCTTCCGCGCTTCTGTGGTTTGTGCCCATATGCAACACAACCGGCGATGGGTGGTCATGGGAAGCAAGCCCGAAGTGGCTAGCGGCACGTGAACGCATCAAGAACGAGCGAGAGGCAGAAGAGCGAATCCAAAAGCAGCGTGAGCGCGACGCTGGCTGGGGCGTTGATTCTCCTACTGAAGCCGAGTTTAGGCGCGACACACGGGCCCCCGAACCCTGGCAGATCAACCGCTTCGCTCCACCCCAGCGAGCACCTCGAAGGCCCGAGTGGCAGGAGTCCCGTCGACGCGGACAGGACGCCCGATACTTGACCACTTCGAATGGTATAGTGTCAACACCAACCGAAGGCCGCCGCAGCCCCAGCAAAGCTGATCAAATTCTCGGAAGGGAGAACGGCATGTATGCGGATGGAGATGTCCAGCTGCAGTCCATTGACCGGCGGAAGTTCGATCGATACAATTACATATCCGACGACGACGAAGGCGACGATTACGAGATGTCAAGCGACGAAGCGAGCGCAGCACAGCGGAAAACGCCCAAGCCTGTACCGCTCCCGAAAAACACAAGGGATTGGAACGATATCCCTGACGACTTTCTGAGTGCGCCGCCCAAAGGAAGACGTAGGAGTCCCGGGACGAGTCGCGAGAGGACTCCCAACAAGGCCGGGAGGCGGGATGATTGGGGCAAGGACGATTAATGGTCATGTGCTTGGATGGCACTATGGTACGTGTGAATGTATAACATATATAGAAGAAAGGCTGCTGCGATTTGGCATGGGAAGGCGTTGTAGGCGAATGGATACATAGCTCAGCCTGGAGAACTCACGGCAAGGTGTTTGGACTAGTGCTTGTGCAAGGTAATCAAGATGATTCTTCTCAGCCCGTATCCAGAAGACATGGCGAACTTGCGATACGTATCCTGCTGAAACCTATCTGGTCACAGCAGGCCAGTGCCCGTGGGCAGCTCCAGGCGTTCTTACACGGGCACCAGGAACCCCGAGTTGATTCAACGCGGCTGTGCCTTCGGATCCTGCATCAAGCATTTGCCAAGAAAGCTTGTTTTGATTAAGCATCTGGCCGTTACGACCCACGTGTTGCGACTGGACGGCCTAGACCCCGAGCTCCTTCCCAAAAAGCTTAATCAATAATCATAAACCACGCAGCCACAGTAGTTTGGTTTCAACTCGGCTCTATTATACGCATCATCCAACCACAGGCCACTGCTCGTCTCCTTTCTCCGCAATCCACTGAGACCCTGAAGCGCGTCATGTGGCTGAGCGGCGAGGCTGATTATTGCGTAAGTTCAATTTCCTTTGTGGAAGCCGTCGCAAAGTCGAGCTTGATTGCCGGGCGTCAACCGCTGTTCGAGCGCACCTGCCCCGGCAACAGGTGCGCGACAATGTGCCTCTGGGCAACAGCCATATCAATGAACATACCAAGGGCTGCAGTTTCCGCACAGAGTATGTTTCTCCTCCCTGTAGCGCAGTGTTTGAAAACTTGAGATCCATAGCGCTTCACTCTCACATCGCGTGCCTCCGCCTCCGCGTCTGACGGGCCCAGGCTCCGACACGGCGACGCCGGTCCTCGCACCTGCCGCGATCCAAATGTGTCACCAAAAAAGGGCGTCACAATATCAGGCTGTACAATCCCGGCCGTTTGTCCCTCATTACAGCGCGCCTCTGCTCAATTTCCCGCATTGCCAGACACTCTCTGCTTCTCACATTCCTTTGACACATCGGTTTCCCTCTACTTTACGGGTGTAAAATGGAGTTTGCATTGGGACATCATGGAGACCTCGCGTCCGAGAGGGGCAACTGGACATGCGAGGCGCCGCCCGGATTGGCATTCGCGTGCTTGAGGCCAATGGCGATGTCGGAGATGTTTCCATTCTCTGTTGTTTTTGTCGCTGCTGTAAGTGATTTTTGGTTTTTCAGCCTCTCCCAAACACGCTCGCTCGGTACCAGTCAAGTGTACGACACCGTACCACGACCTGTAATTGCACAGAAACTATCTCACAGCGTGCTTCGAACAGACTCTATGGAATCGACCGCTCGCTCTTGTCCGTATTTTTCTTATGTCACACTGACATCGAGCTTCGCGCACAGGTTCTCATCGTCTTCGCGTTGCTGAAACAATTCGTGCTCGAGAACTATATGATGCACAAAGACAGCCTCCATGGGAGAGCTTATGCACGGCTAAAGCCCCGAGATCAACGAACGCTGGTGAACCACCACCTAAGCTTGGTCATGAAAGTCTGCCTCTTCATCATCGGTACAGGTCCCTGCTTTTCTTGCCTGCACCAAACCCAAGTCTTCTGCTGCTCGAGAGGAAACCAAATTAGTTCCTGACGCTGCTCATCAGGCATATACCCCTTCTGCGCCCTTGTGTCAGGCCACAACTTCAACACCCGCTTCGTCGCACGCCTCACAATCGGCGACGTGTTGTTCCTTTGTAGCCACACATACACCGCCATCTACCTGTTCGAGCTTTGCTACCGCCAGGGCATAAGCTATATAACCTGGGTGCAGTGCGTGTACTCTACCATTGTGTGAGACTACGACCGCTAACAAACCACGCAGCCACTCCTGCACGATACTAATCGCGCAGCTAGCTCTCGCCTTCACGGCCACACACAGAGCGCAGGATACCACCATCGAGATGGTACTCTGCTTGGTCTGGGGTACGGCTCCCTTACTCTATTCTGCCTTTGCTCTACAAACACACGCTAGTATCCTATCTCCACCCGCCCACGCACTAACCAACCATAGGCGTCTTCGACATCCTCTCGGAAGCCATAACCCACCTCACCATGGTTCTCTATCGCCTCTACCCCACACGTCACGCCTTCCTCTACCGTGCGCTGCGCACCGCATTCGTTGTCTCCGTCCTCAGCACCACCATCGAAACCGCCGTCGTAGGCTGGTTTTACGGCGCGCTGTTTCGTCGCTGGAGCACGCTGAACAAGGCGCTCACGCCAATGCTGTTCGTCGCGTTTGTCGCCGCGCAGATTTGGAGCGCGATCTGTCTTTGGCGGATTGGGAGTGCGAAGGGTGTCTTGATGAGGGGTGGGGGCGGAGAGCTAGAGGTTGGCAGCGGAGAGGCGGCTGGAGAGGAGGGGAAGGAGGGGTCGAAGTGAGAACGGGAATTGGACCCGGCGAATTGAGTCTGAGGGAGGTGTGCAGGATGAATACGGGATTGATAACGTCTTGACTAAGACTACGGCGGGATGGATCTGACAGGTGCTTTCTTGTGCATGTTACGGAAGGCTTGGAATATTTTGGCCAAGCAACGTGAGCAGAATGGCTTCGGTGAGGGAGCGTGAGGCCCCTCATGTACGAATCAGCCGGCGCCATTGGTTTCTGTCCAGGAGTACGGACTCTCTTGTTGCGCTTTAGCTACATCGAGTACCAACATACTCTTAGGCGCTTTTATATAGCATTGTGTATGAATGTTGATTGCGAAGAAGAAAAAAAGATACACCGTGCCTGGTAACGAGAGGTGCGAATTCATGCTGAAAGAGGCTAGAGGAGACCATTGCCTTACTTTGGCCAACGCGTCTCACATTAGGAGTAACGTGAAAGTGCATATCGTATCACTTTTTGCGAGCGGGATTCGCTAACGAATAAGTGATGGCGGTGGTGGTCGGACGAATACCTCCGACTTAGTATTGTGCGGCTATTGGATGGGCCGTCTATTCAGGCAATCCATGAACTAGTCAGCCAAGGGACTCATGAATCACTTAACGTGCATATGTGCGTATTCCATCTGACCCACTGTGCTTGTTGAGCTAGGTCTCGCGAGGTCCCCGCGCGCAGGTGCAATTCAGCGTGTCTAGCTTCTGTTCGCAGAGTACAGATCTGTACCAAGCCCAAAATGAACGTGCTGTAGTCATCAATCTTTAGCCAGCACAATTAAGCTACACAGCTGGCTAGAAAAATCTTTGGTACGGCAGAGGGTTGAAATCTGATGTGGAAAACCTCCGCAGTTGAGACACGGCGCTGTAGAACATTCTACTGTCGCCAAGGTGTCTATCCAATAGTGGCACATCAATCTTGATCCATGGCAGTTTTGTACTTAGCAGCGATCGATCCAGATATTGGCGTCGTGGACAGTCCTCGGAGTACAACGCGTCGAACAATTCTAAGCCTCGCATTGCTATTCCCGGGGGTCATCACTTCCGAAGGCTATCGTTCAGCACTTGGCGACACACCTAGTTCCTCAGTATATATTTGTGTTCTACGCTTGCGGCGCAGCGAATCGGAAGTTGCCCGCGACACGCCACAAGTGTGAGAATGTGGCTTGCCGTTGCGACGTACCGACTCATGTCGGCGACCAGCCAGATGCCGGGAGCCGAAATAAACGGGGAATTTGTGGATGACCCGATTTCAAGGTTCCGTAAGCGTTCGTTACTGGCATCTTGAACCAGAGAAGTAAATGGACATAAAGGGTATATGTGATTTGCAGCGTGTAGCTCGGTCACTTGGTGTGGGCTGACCCGCTGGGAACCATATGGGTCAGGAACCACTCAATCCGATGAACGAAAACCGCAGACAGGGTACATGGTTCTTCCTGTCGGTAGAATCGGGGACCTTGGTTTCGTTCACGCGTGGGGTCTGACCCCTGAAGTGTCAGGGCCCAGACCGAGGGACAACTGGGCGGGGCTGTGTATGAGCGCGAAAATGAACACCGATGCTTCTGATTGCTTTGGGAGCAAGAGTAAGCATCCACGGATGGTGAGGACCAAGACAGCGATGGCAGGGTTCAGGATGATGAGAACCCATCGTACACCTTGGAGGTACTTTGCGCGCCTGAATTTGTAGGCTGATATCAATTGATAGGCGGCAAATCCGAGCCTCAGAGCGCTTGTTCAATATCGCTCCTCGAACTCTCAGCCCTGCTCTTCCTGTCGTCCTCATACATCGTTTCTATCGTAGTGTCCACCCTGATTTTCTCTCTGCCATCAAGACCAACGCTCAAACCGGCCTTGACCAGGGAGTCCTCAGAACCATTTGGGTTGTGGTGTGACTTGTTTGTGCGAGAGCCCGAAGCAGCAGAGATAACTCCGCCGCTAGCTCCCAGGCGATTGGGGTCCATCGTCTTGCGGCGAGTAGAGCTGAGCTCGTAATGCTTGCCATAGCTGCTCGGACCGTTCGTGCTACCGCCGATGATCATGGTACGGAGTGCAGGCAGACAGGCGGCTATGATAGCGATGGCCGTCTCGACCATGGATACCGTACAGGTGAGCATTGTCTCATTTTTATGGGAATAGTATGCTCGAATTACTATTATGAAGTCAGTGAATGCGTGGAAATTGCATGCAGGAGATGTACGCACTGCTCGAGATGATGACGAAGAATCCAAGCGCGAAGACACCTGCTACACCGAGCTTCTGCTTCAGCTTCATCTGCAGCCTCGACACCATTGTGATCGGCAACGCAATGATAATGGCGTCCGAGAAGATGTTGAAGAAGATCGTGATCCAGTAGTTAATCTGAGCAGCTCTGGGGTCACATTGATCTGCGTGCGATGGTTAGACGGATCCTTCAAGGTATTTCTGGTAGACTTACAATTTGGGTCGCTCGACCAGCGCTTGTCATACGGATAACATTGGAACAAAATATCGAAGAAAATGACAAGGAACGTCACGGCCAGTCCACCAAGTGCGATGTTGTAGATCAAGATAAGCCTCGATCCCGGTACGGCGAGGCGTTTGTAGAAAAATAGAAGGGCGAATTTTACTGCCCAAAGCGAGGAGACGTAAAGGATGGATCCAGGTACAATCATTTGCATGATTCCCTTGAAGTTTTCAGGCGTCACGGTCGACATGTCGCCCAAGCCCAAGTTCCACATGTGCTGCTGGATGCCAAGGTCGCCGATGAGGCAGCACATAGCAAGGATGATGAGGAAGTCCTCGATAGCCAGTCTACCCATACGAGTCCATCGCGAGTACATGCGCAATGCCACAAAGGGTACGACAGCTATAGTGCAGATGTACCAGGAGACCTGTAGTTGCTGATCAGCATTGAGCAAACCTGCGGGGAACATCAAAGCACTTACTACCTGACCCAGCCCATTGTCACCCATCGTGGTTTACGGGTACTTGCGCGAGACCCTGACAAGAGGAGGTCTCTTAGAAGAAGGGATCTTCAATCGTATCGACGACGAAGTGGAGGAGCACGTCTGTGGGCCTTGTGGGATCATATGTGTGTAATGGAGCTACCAAGGGGAGACGATGGCATTCAAACACCTGTCTGGAACACTTCATGTGCAAAGCTAACCTCGTGTTCTCGCTTGCTCTATACGTGATCGACATCGAAATTTCCAGTTGGAAGTTCGGCTACTTCGCCTCATCCGGAAAAAGCCTCAATTAGATATTAAGTAATATGATGCTAGGAGCAAACGACATGCGGTTGTTCAACAGTTCCCCTGCATGCTGGCCGCATCGGCCGTAGTTTGCTGTAGTGCGCGGCGAGGAACTTTCCCAGCCAATCAACGTGAGGAGGTGCCTAAGTCTCAGGAGACATCTATGACCTCGGTATCAAGCCCAATTAGAATCATTGCAAACATGTGGAGAGTCGAAGAAGGTTTCAGCAACGGTGGCGGGCGAACTGCGGAATGGAGTCGCTTGGTCCGATGAAGACCCTTCATGCGAGTCAGAAAGGGCCGAATTGACGCGCATGGAAGCGGGCCGCCACAACCATCATCAGACTAGCATTGCTGGCCACCCATGAGTTTTCATATTTGGTGGGCTAGGCAATCAACAGCTTTGACCAGACAATAGTCCACAGCGGTCGAACATCGGCAGATCTTCTTCATTTCAGGTCAAGACTGCGATTACTTCCATGCCCCTTCCTTCCAGCGACCAGGTTCAAATACCCACTTGATGCCCGATTGACGATCTCCTCGTGTCTTCAGATTTCCTCAGTATCTCAACATCCTGAAACTTACACCATGAAGGTTTCGGGCATAGTCGCAGCCGCTTGCGCTACCGCAGCGGCGGGAAATCCGTTGCCGCGACCAAGTGAAGGTTTGCCGGACTCATCTGCGCCAGTTGTCACACTTGCACAAGGCGCTGTGAGAGGCTTTACCGATGCTGGCAACACAGTCTTTCTCGGCATCCCTTTTGCTGATACAACGGGAGGATCAAACCGGTATGGCGTAATCCTATTGGATCTCACTGGGTTAACTAACTTTACGCTAGATGGCAGCCACCGCGGGACGTGCCTAAAGCAAAGCCGGGGGCCGTCTTTAACGCGTCAAAATATGGTCCGACATGCCCCCAAGCCATATCGGGAACGTCGTACTCACAACAGGGTGAGGACTGCCTGAATCTTAACATTTGGGTACCCTCTTCAGCCTCGAGCAAGCGTCGTGCCGCTTCCCCTCCCCCTCCCCCAGCCCGGGGTAGTTGCCATGGTCCTAAGCCTCCAGCTGGTTGCGATACAACCCCTAGGAATGAGGATGGCCTGCCCGTCTTCGTCTGGATGTATGGAGGTGCCATGGTGACTGGCTCAAGCAGCAACCCTGCCTACCAGGGTGCCAACTTTGCGCGCAAAGGTGTCATCTATGTCAGCTTCAACACCCGTGAAAGCATCTGGGCGTACCCCAACTCAGCTGAGCTCGCGGGCAAGCCGGGTTCCCAGAATTTTGGTATTTTGGACGTAGATAAGGCCTTGCAATGGGTTCGTGACAACATTGCTGGTAGGTCGCCCCCTTGATTGTTGGAATAGACGTTAACCTCTTCAGCTTTCGGTGGCAACCCTGACCACATTGTCTTTGGTGGCCACTCTTCCGGCTCAGTTCAGGTTGACCACTACCTTTGGAATCACCCTGACACCTTCTTGGTCGGTGCCGTCCAGATGGCCGCCAACGCAAAGTCTGGGCCTGCCGTCGCTCCTGTCAACCAGGCACTCGACATTGTTGCTGCGGAAGTCGGCTGCGCGAGTGGGAAGGGTCAGCTCGACTGCCTTCGCAAGGTTGACGTGTATGCCTTCCAGACCGCGAACTTCAACGCAACGTACAACACTTGGTTCACTCCCGTCGTGGACGAGAAGACCCGCTACCAGGACTACGAGGCTCGTTTCAAGGCCGGCAAGTACGCCTCCCATGTGCCTTTGATCACCGGTAACTCCAACTACGAGGGCGCTCTCTTTGGCCTGGTGTATGGAGGCGAGAACACCAACTTCACCAAGTGGATTAACACCTTTGATGCCGATGTTGCTGAGATACCGAAGCAGCTGCTTTTAAACTCTTATAACCAGGCTGATTACGCTACCGTTTCTGAGATGAGCGGTGCCCAGTACGGCGATGCTCGTTTCTTCTGCCCTGTAGACTACCTGCTCGATGTGCGTAGCACTGAACAGGACACTTGGATCTACCGCTTCTTCGCAAACTACTCGCAGGGTCTCCCAGTCCAGTCGCCAACGCACGGTGCTGAGATCGCCTACTTCTTCGGTGGAAACGAGGTATTCGCTGGACAGACCGTCACAGCGGAGCAGCAGGCGTTGGCTGACTACCAGAACGACTGGTTTGTCTCGTGGATCAAGAATCCCTCTGCCGGTCCTGGATGGAACAAAGCCAGCCCCAAGGCGGGCGCTCTTGCGAAGTTGGGCGTCGACAACGCCGCGACCATTGAGCTGGCTTCCACATCTGACTACAATGCCAGGTGCCAGTCGGTCTACAACCCATACCTCCCTAAATACCCAGTCATTCAGAGCGTTTATGTTTCCTAAGCGTACATCCACGAACCTCACGAATCTATCTTAGTTGCGCAGAGCCACGATCATAGAATACTTATTAATAGACTATACTTTGAGATACATCTTGATTTGCAAACTGTATCTTCGTTGAAAAGTAGCGATAAAAGAGCAAGTGCATGTCACTCCGTGAATGCCTGGTAACTGAAAGGCATGATCGTACAGCGAGACAGTGACATGCTGAGAGTGCCTATTGAGATCCGAGTTGACGCTCTTTGTTCACCCTGTTTCAATGAATCTAATGATGCTACAATTAGATATTCTAGGTTTTGTTCATATTGAAGGTTGATGAAGTGGTTCGCCGAGGCAAGGCGAAGGATCATTACCAGCGAGCATCGCTGAGGAAACGGTATTCCTAGCTGCGAATTGGAACACGCTCTAGGCATATACAAGTCTATGTTGCGAAAGTTTCCTACTTCGTAGTATGTCATTTATCCTCCTCTCGCAGCGAAGGTAACTAGGTGGTATCAGAGGTCCGGCCGATTGCGTGAGATCTCCCCAGAGCTGATCGTACGTTGGGTGCTGGACATTATGCTCAAAGCGGAGGTATTGCCAATGTAGTGCACGCCTATGCCTTTAACATTCAACACCGAGCGAGAAATGCTCCAAGTGCCAATCTTCCGAGTATCATGTTCCAAGGAGAGAAAAAACACCGAGTCCACGGGTGATAGCGGTTCGAGACTGGTGATCTAAAGAGGGTCAAAAGAAAAGACCAAGTGATGGCCACGATATCAGAGCATTGGATGCACTTCAGATCTGCTCTGTCCGTTTGTTGAGATAGTTCTTCTGGCGAAGTAATTTGACGAGGAGGGTCATGAGTGTGCACGACCAACCATAGGGATAGCACGCGTGGGTCGAAACTCATTGCAAGCATTACCACGGGTTGGAAACCCGATTCATGCAATGCGCATCGCTTAAACCAGTACACACAAAGACGATAATCATTCGACATTGTAAATGAGAAAGGAAACAATGCTGACATTACGGTAATGCATGCGATGCCAACTAGGTCTAGTGCAAACGGCGAGTATTGACGCAGAGCACGAGGAAGGCTTAATGTAGGCATACAAAAGGCCAAGTCTTCAGAAAGAGGCGAAGCGATGCTGTGAGGGATGTGATTGGACAACGCGGCTGCCCAAGTGCGAATGTGACTGATCCTCCAATGTGCCGTGCCGGCGCCTACCGACCCGTTGGGACCAGAATCAGACTGACACAACGATTGTCCTCTAATCAATGCTCTCTGAGAGCAATACTACCAGCCACGTGTGTAAAGAGAGAAGACCTTGCTCAAACCTTGAAACCAGCTACAGAAACGACCATAAATACACGAACACAAACAAGACATCGGGCGCGTTCATTACTCCAATTGATACGATGGTTATATCGAATCCGGCAGAAAGAGGTTTCGGCGACCTAATGCGATAGCCCGTTGCCTGCACGTTGCCAGGTGCCAAACTTGCTGCGTTCCTAGTACCGGCCCCAACCAGTTGGCTATCGAGGTTGCACGGACATCACTAGCCAATCACCCTGCGCAAATCCCATTAATCCTTCTAGATATATTGCTATCGCGGGCTTTCCTTGTGGCTATGTACTCCTGTGAATGGTGGCCCCTATGCTCAAACCCCGAGAGTGCATAGGGTGGGGCCAGAAAAGAAAACAAGTACAAAGACGCAACATCCCCTTGCGTTTGACGGCGCGGCTTTTACACAGGCAACAACTCGAGGTGCACGCTCCGATTATTCAGTATGGCAACCTGCTACGGACGCGACGGCAGACCCGACCCCAAATTCCTACCCTGCAACCAAACCGCCATCCTCGAGCAGAAACACACATCTTGTTGCAAGGAAGACGAGAGATGCTTCACAAACGGGCTGTGTCGGCATAAAGCCCTGGGAACGGACACGAATTACTACTGGCTAGAGGCCTGCACAGATCCCACATTCAAAGACCCAGCGTGCCCACCATGGGATCCTTGTCGTCACGGTATGAATACCAAGTGCATCCTGATAGGGTTGTCTGACGATATAAATAGCGGACAATCTGTATTGGAAATGTCTCGACTCAAAAGCATGGTGCTGCAACAACGGAGGCCCATCTGAAGTCCAAATGAGAACTGGACACATCAACACGACATGCTGCAACATGACCGAATTCATGTTTCAAGCTGCAGATCCAGTTGTATATGCAACCGCTGTGCAGATGAGACTTCCAATAAGTACACTCCTATCGAGCTCCGAGACCGCGTTAGATCAGTCGTCGATTTCAACATCAACATCAGCCCCCGCCACGAGTGTACAGCCGACAACTTCGACACCTTCCATAACGACTCCGATAATTGATGGATCTTCTCAGCAAAATTTAACCTCGTCTTCATCAGGTTCTTCCAATAATATTAAAGTTGGTGTTGGGGTAGGCGTTGGCCTCGGAGTTTGCGTTGTCGCCTTGTCTGCGGTTCTGTTTGTTATGCTAAAGAGAAAGAGACCCCAAAGGAATGAGTTGAAAGGTCACAAAATCGCCGAGATGCACTCGCAGAGTGCAATGTATGAGCTACATGGTAACGAGGTCACCGCCGAAGTGATGTCGGAGAAGACGAGATACGAGATGAGAGCTTGAATGTGCGTACGCTGTTTGGACTTGCACTGATACCGATACATCAAATACTACCAGCATGAGAGTGAGCGTACTACCGCTGGTTCTGTGCTGCCTCAAGACCTTCCAACGGCCAAGTTTCGAACCGTGCACTCTGTACCATTTCGAAACAATGGCCGAGTTGAAGTGAATAGCTATTATGCGAGGCTCTTCAATTTTGCGTTGCAGCGCTGATGGACCATAATAGTTCTATATCTCCTCGGCCAGTCGCCGGTTGCCGGCTTTTGTAACCATCACATCTCGTCAGCGGACTGGCACGAACTCCGGGTACGCTCAGGGTCCTACTTTCAAGTGCATGCCCGATTGTTGCGGTAGCTGAGGTAGAGAGCAATAATGCAAAGCATGTGTGCAACATTCGAGAGGACGAAGAAGGCACGTCGTGTGATGGAATAGCGTGGAGAGTTGAGAAAGTCGTCAAGACTAAAAGACGCGGATACTTCGAATATTTCCGCATCCTGTTGAGGCTTTAACAGACTCTCGCGTTTGTGCATGACTTCTTCCAGGAGACTGTTTCGATTATTCTTTCGAGGTGAAATTTGAATATACAATGAAGGGGAGAGTCTGCGACATATTTGTGTCAATCTGCTGCCTAGACATTGCACACTTTTGTCCCTTTTCGTCCAAGGCTGGCTTATCGAGCATATGACTCGGGTCCCTGGTGCACATGAACAACAACTTCGTCACTGATTGTCTAAGGAGTTGCGGTCTCCAATGGGAGAATTTGAATTCCTTTACGTTTATTATACCAATGATAACCTCTAATACGCAAATATGTGGCTTTTACAGAGGTTGCTCTCGCTCTCGTCAGCCTGCCATTATCACGTGTCGCCTAGTTCTATTTGGGCCTTCACCGCACATACTGAATGAAACGAAAGGAATAAGGAAATTTAAGCAGAACTTGGAGACATAGTCACTGTATTATTTGCAGAATTTTTTGGCCTCTCGATGTCGAGGATTGGAGTAGCGCAGAAAAACAGCTTTACCCCTTCAAGACATGTCCGGTCAAGTCCCTCAAATGGTTGAGATATCTAACAGCAGAAAACCCTAACACGGGGGATCACGGCGATTCCGGCGATGCCGCAGGCGTCATGTGCGGTGTACTTTCCGGCAACTCCATATCTCCAGCAGAGTATTCCCCTATTCCATCTGCTAAATGTCGAGATTGGCTGACCTTTCTTTGCTTTTAAAAGAACGGACATACTCGCTCTGTTCATGCCTAGCTCTTTGAAGCCTGTGGCTGCACTCCTCTTGAACGCGCCGAGGCTGCCTCTCGGAGTCCTGGAGGGGATGGCTAGTTGGGACAGGTGCAGGCTCTTTCTGCTCTCCTGGACTCGCCGGGCGACAGTCTTGCATTATGGGTTCTGCTCCTGCCTGGCGGCCCGGATGAGCATTTTTTTCTGCTTTTCAAGGGCGAAGAGCTCATTCTGATAGGCTTGGATGGCGTGATTGCCCAGAGGAAGTCGCGCCTTCCCCTTCCTTTCTCCTCCAGTTTTTTCTGTCACTCGTTGCTCTTCAACATGTAGCGCCCCCAGAGCACCCTCGAGTCTCGCCGCTTCTTTCTTCTTCTCCTATGCCTGCCTATCTACTAGGGGACGCTCTCTGTTACGCTGTTCAACTAAGGACGGTTGCACCCGCCGTTTCCGTTCGTCTCCGCCTGTGTTCATCGTGTGTGACTTCTCAGGAAGAAACGCCTCCAAATAGGAATCGAATTTGGCTGCTTAATGCTTTTCCTCTTGCACGCGTCTCGCTGCCAACATGCGCTTGTTCTCGTCCTGCTTAAGACACGCAAGGTCTTCCCCAGAACGCGTCGGTTTTAAGAGACGGACCGTCGGAGTGGTTCCCAAACGGCCTATCGCACGGTACGTCGTATGATTCACCAGAGACAGTAGGGCGTCAATGTTGTGCACAAACAGTGGGTACAGATGCTTGGTCATTCTGTGCTGATTTGCAAGTTTAGGTGCACGTTCGTAGGGGATCCCGCACGTGTAAGTGCAACGAAGAACGAACCACGTCAATTGTTCGTGAATACATACCACACTCTTAGTAAATGCGTCGGTCCAGTATCCGCAATGTGTCTAGTCCTCTCCACCGCTATTATGGCATCTTCTCCCTCACGAGATCGACCCGCCACGTTCACAAACCTGGTGCCATTTATCATGTGGTTGGCTTCTCTTCTGGACAACCCACACCTTCCCAATCAACATGGAACACAAGAGTGCTCTCGTATTCCCAAAATGTGGCAGTGACAGATGCGGGTCTACTAGGAGGACAGAGCTGCCCAGTATGATCGAACGCGCGCCGAGTGGGGTTGACTCTGCCTAAGTAGTGTTTTGACGCCAGGGCAGGTGATAAAACAGACTGTTTAAGAGCTTCAGAGTCGATGACAGCTTCGTCTAAGCCACCTGCGATGTATTGGTCTTGCAGGCCGCGATTGATACAGCGTCTACACGGCTGTTGGCTCTCTGTTTCCGTCAATACGAAATCTTAAGGCCATCAAGTCGTCCGCTTACCGCAGGTCAGATGAGCTCATTCGCACGGACGACAGCCCTGACGCCTTTTAAAGGGTTCTTGGGATTCCATAGTTTCAGCTTCCAGTAGTGTCACACTGACGCAGTGTACGATGCTTCTGTCGTGGACGTTTTCGAAGAGAGGCCGCCTGCCTGTGCTAGCAACGATCGCGAAAAAACAACTACGGCCGATTTTCACATCTAGTCACTGTGGACCCAACCTGGCGGTTGCTCCGCGAGGTTGGGTTAAAATTCTAGATCGTAAGTATTAATAGGTGACACACTAAGCCGGTAGACCATGCCATTCGCCGTTAGACGCGTGCTCCTCCCAGGAACCGGGCTTTGACGTCATGAACTCTTTACCTCAAAAGAAAATCGACGCGCCTCTCAACATTGAGTTATCCATCCGATGATCGTTTCCCTTCCATTCGCATCGCTGCACGCCCTTCTGTTGGCACCCACAGTCTTGGCTGTGGCTATCCCAGCCTTCTCTGGCAGTCAACAAGCCCAGGTCCCGATCCAGCCTCAAGATCATTCCCAGGGCTATCAGTTCGACCCATTGCTGCATCTCCCTGGTATCTCGCCCTACTTTGATGCCGTAGGCTTCGGTCTCGAGCACAAGGCTCCGGATGGCTGCAATGTCACCGCTGCATCGTATCTAGTAAGGCATGGAGCAATATACGCCAATGACAAGGAGTATGAGGAATTCATCAAACCATTTCTATGGAAGCTAGAGAAACACCGCGAGGGGTGGTCCGGCCCTCTCGCGTTCATGTCGGAGTGGCAGTCGCCTGTTGAGGAAGACAAGTTGGAAGAATTGACGCCTTCGGGTGCTGTCGATGCGGCCAAGGTCGGCAAGCATCTGCTAGAACGATACGAGGATTTGGTACCTAACACAAAGCGCATCCTCGCCGACAAAAAGTCCCGGACTTACGACACTGCCAAGAACCTCATCACAGCATGGGCACACAACGACACCGTCGAGATTGTCCGCGTGACAAAGAACAAGAACGGCGCCATGGAGGAACTAATTCCGCACAAATCGTGCGATGCCTTTTCAAAAGAGCCTGGCGCAGAGGAACAAGAGACCTTTATCAACATGTACGGCGCGAGCGTTTCAACACGTCTGGCTCCGCACATGCCCTTCAAGCTGACGCCGAAGGACGTTGTCGGCCTTCAGCAACTTTGCGGCTACGAGAGCGCTATCAAAGGAAAGCGTTCCGAGATCTGCGCAGTCTTCACCGATGCCGAATGGATGGCATATGAATATGCATGGGACCTGAGGTACGCCTACATGGTCGGACCCATGAACCCTCTTTCTCCGTACCTTGGCTTCCCGTGGTTGCATGCCCAGTCCAAGATCTTCCAGTCCATCGATGAGAACGGAAAGCCCGGTGGCAGCTGGCCAGACGAGCAGAGATTCTTCCTATCCTTCACGCATCGCGAGGTTCCTCCGTTCGTCGCGACTGCGCTGGGATTGTTCAATTCATCGTCCAACTCCAGGGAGCAGTTTCCGGCTGACCACATCAACGTACGTACACGATTTTGGCATCCAACCCTCTAGCTAACAGCCATGCAGTGGACACGCGCATGGCGCATGGCCGACCTGATCCCCTTTCTCGGCCACGTAGGCATGGAAAAGATGACCTGCGAGCGTGGCGCCGTCTCTGGCGATGGACCCGGCGAGTTCATCCGCTTCATCGCGAACACTGCGCCCCGCCCTATCCCCGACTGCCAAACTGGGCCTGGCGCAAGCTGTCCGCTTGGCGACTTCGAACATCTCATCGGCAAGGGAGCGAAGAAGCACAAGGATTTTCACAAGGTGTGCGACAAGAAGGACAAGAAGAATGGAAAACATGAGTAGGAAACATGTATATGAAATTGCAAGATACCCTTAGCGTTTTGCGTATTATATTAAGACTAAGTCAAGATAGTACTGGTGATAATAAACCGCAGATATGGATCGCAGAATGGTATCTCTTTGTGGTGTTGACGCAGCAGGTCCTCGAGCTCACAGACTCGAGCGATTAACATTTTCTTCTCCAACTCCAGCGCGGCGATCCCATCTATTCCTGGATCATGAAACATAGGCGTGGGGGCAGGTTGTCGACGAAAGTCCGAGAAGGATTGAGGCAGCGAGACGATCTCGAGATTCCCGTGAGGGCCGGTACCTTCAGCTCGCAACGCGACCCTCGAACGACCTGCCCTTCCAGCGACGACCTCGATGTTTCTTAGACTATGTTCTGAGGGATGTTTACCGCTAGTTGGCCAGAGGTGGGGATTGTGGCTTTGGTCCCGGCATGGCATGGTTGCTACCAAGGCTGAGTATTGTCGGCAATCGAATCGACCACGACGGGGAGAGGAATTATTTGTAAATTTAGGGCGAGCTCTTGTGGGAGGAAAGAGGAGTAACCTTTTTAAATAGGAGATATGCTGTCAGTCGAAAAAGCCTGGGTGTTTTCTTCTTTTTTACGATACTCTGTGCAACGTGCAACGTGCAACGTGACCGGCCTGGCGCTGTCTGTCCCGGCCTTGACTTCTCAGCCGTGAGGTCGCCGTTTCAAACACAGCCCCACCTTTGAATGAATGCGTATATTCACGCAGCCAACTGATGTGCGGGACGGTCAGTACTTTCTTATTCGCTAGGTATTTGTTTGCCTGGAAAAGTCGAAGCGCTCACGCTTCTTGCAGGCTTGCATTAGCAGCATAGCGTCGGAGCGGGTTGGATCATAATCGACCGCGCAGGGGTCTAGGATTGGTGAGCGCTGCGCCAACCTTACGAAGACACTGGGCTCAGTGAGGACGGGTTCCGACTGCCACGACTGGAGCAGGGAGACACACTGGGCTCAGCGCGAAATTGCCCATCTCATCTGAGTTTACCCTTGTCGTTTTGCTGCTAGCATACAGTACATCCAGATGCCGCCGAAAGAGGTGCAAGGCCTGTTCGGTGCGAGTGCAGCGAAATCACCTCCGTTCCCATGCATACACCGCACCGCACGGCCCGTACTCACCATGTCGGCATCGTCGCGTGTGCCCATGGCATCTTGACTCCTGATCGGAGACGCGCCACGGTTGTTCCTGTCAAACGAGCAGACATAGGTGGCTGCGCCAGGGTCGGTCTCAAGTGACTCTTTTCATCACTCCTTGGCTGCATGGCGACTGCTCACCCTGCTCTGTATCACCCAGGTCTCCATCTGCGGTTATCGTCATCTTTGCTCGGTCTCAAGTGACATGGTGTGGGTGAGCCTCATCACTGCACTGCACTGCACCGCAACACACTGCAAAGCAATGACCGAGGCGTCACAGATGATGCAGTGAAAATCGACCACATGCAATAAGCAGAATATTTCCATAGGATCATGCCTGTTATGAAAAGACAGACTGCAGCGGAACTCAGTCTTGTATGGGCATTGCAGGTAAGAGCCATGTGGCACGCAGAAGACGGTGACTTGCTAACAAAAGGCGGCATGACTAGGTTTGAGAGACGAATTTTCAGTAGCGCGCCCTTCCTGATCTTGTGGATTATATGCGTAGCACAAACGGTTTTCTCCCGGCGCGCTGGCTCGGTCGATCTTCAGACAGTCATTGAATACGGAGTGGGTCTCCCCGTGCACGACCGCTGCCATGTCATATGCAAACCACTTAACATGCGCTGCAGGTTTTCGAGGGTAGTTGGTATGACTATGAGGTATCTTCGTTCAAATTTTCCTTCAGGGCCTGGGAAGATACTATTTAGTAAATATTCTATCACTATGTATGAGATTCAGTCCCAACATATAAAGATAGTTGTATATCTGTCACAATTATTCTTACCGCAGATATCCAATCAGTGGTGGTCGCAGTCGGGTAGACCACAGCTTGCGAAAACCGTCTGAGAATCGTTTCAATATTGATTTTGAACTCCTACGACCGGTCAGCCGCACAGAAGTATATATTCCCAGTCGATGTTGTTCCAAGATGTACCGCCAATTTCAAAAATTCCTGAATCATCTAGTCGGTCCCTGATGTCCCATCAAGCCACCACGCCAACTTGTTAAGTGTCTTCACGATGTCTACCACCAATGTTGTCGGCAATGACTCATCCGTAGGGGACACTTCTACCGTTATCATTGGCAGTGTCTTTGCCGTTCTGGCTCTTATTACAGGACTTCCAGGGGCTATTCTCGCCGTAAAGAAGCTCCGTGGGCGTAGCTGCATTAAACATGGGACACATATCTCTATTCTATCTGTATGCCAGAGGGCTTACGAAAGTATATACTAAAAGTTTCGCAGGTGACGCTGAGGATGGGAAGTGCAGTGGAGCGAGCACTTTCGATCAGTGAGATCGCAGAGGAAAGTTTTGGAGACCTGTGAGATCAAATTGTCGAGATGGCTTTTAGGTGGGACACGGACGAGCTGAAGGTTCTGGAGAACGCAAGGCCTGTCAGGCTGGAGACCCCGGGAACGTAAGCTTCCGCTACGCTCGTCACTACCTTTTCTCATAAACATTTCATTAGAATTATTGTTAGGTACAGAGATAAGGCTAAAGGCATGCTATAAATATCCTTTAAGACAATCCGGAATTGAAATTACTCTCTGAATGCCACCACCTGTTCTTAATCCCAAGACCATTCCATGGCAATCCTCCTCTGGCGCATCCCTGGGCATAACGAATATGGCCGCCAGTAATGAATGAGTTACCTGTAGCAGGTAGTAGATTTCAAGAGTGGGCCGAACAACGACAATGCCATCCTGAGGCAGGCATGCATGTGTGTGATGCGTGCTGCGTGTGTCATGACGGGTGGGCCATGCTTCGAATGTTCAGCTTCAGTGGCGGTTAGTACATCGAGCCTGACAAACGGCTCAGCTGACGAAGACAGATAGGGTAAGCCCAGCCTAGAAGGAGTTGGTGTGCATAGCACCTCGTGGTAAGATGATGGATCGTGGATGAGGCTTTACTGGGCGCTAAATGATGGCGAGGGCTGCGCTAGTCTGTCCTTCCATGATTGACGCTAGTGCAGCTCAGTGTTGTGTCTCGCCCAATCCGAGACCGTGCTTTCGTGTATCCCGCATTAACAAGTGAGCCTCAGGCGTCGTTGCGTTCATCTGGTTCCTAGTGTTCGCGCTTGTGGTGTTACGATCACAAAGAAACACGACAGGTTTTCAGCAGGAAATGGCACGACGGAGGATGAGGCTTACAGTAAGGAACAAAGCATCAGCATAATCAGTCGGGAAGGCTAGAGACCGACGTTACGTGACAACGTCCCACCTAAGCGAAGACTTGGCGGGACAGCCGGGTCACATGATGAAGTCCCGCATATTGAGGAAGTCCCAGGGACATTGAAGACTTGGCGGGACCTCAACGAGGAATCGGAAGACAGTGAAGGATGGGACGACTGGTATTTAGTCGAGGACATTCTCTGAACGTTTCCTATTCTTCGTAGTCAACTTTCATATCTAAATTGAAGCCACTCGTATTCACACGAACCATCAGCCTTCTCTCGATATCGTTATATCGTACTAGTACCATATTGGTTATTCACCACCACCCCTTTTTGGTACAGCCAACCCTCACGCTCGAATCACTGAATACCCTCAAGGTCCGAACCTAAGATTAGGTAAGTGGAGACCCCTTGTAACATATGGCTTTGCGAGCTCCAGCTTGTTAGAGCTCATATTGAAGCAAGGTAGCTTTATATAAAGTAAACATCTCACGTCTCACTGTCTCTGTCCGCGATATACATCATGATATTCCATTCCCAATAACTCTAGTTCACCGAAAATCACAATGTCCACCACCGGGTCCGACTCTCCTACATGGAGTCCTGCGATTATCACCAGCGCCGTCCTCGCCATCCTAGCCGTTATTCTAGGCGTTCCTGGCGCCATCGTTGCCATTATCAAACTTCAACGCCGCAGACGCGCCAAACAATGTACGTTCTGGTTTACAAGCGCGAAAATAATGGTACCATAGATATTCGTGACTAAGTCTACTGGCCAGACCATATCGAGAATGGCAATGTGCACCACGATTTCCCCTGCCACACAATTCCGTCACAAAGTCTCATACGAGCGCTGCATATGCGGGAGTGTACCGTATTGTTATGTTTGGGAATGAATGGCGACTGTCATGAGCCAAGGCGGGGTCGTTCACTCACAAAATAATAGGCAACTACATCCTGATCGTCTACAGCTTATATGAACATCACCTTTCTCGACAGCGATTCGTTGGGTTTCTCTAGCATCTTTCCGTAAAGTAATAGTATAAATAAAAGTATATCAATACTGCTGTGGCTTCAGAGTCGACTCATCATACCTAGGTACCCTGTAATATGGAACCTTTTGAAAGACAACTTGCGTTGATGGGAGCACACAGCGACCTGACACCGAAACTCGGAGAAAACGGTCGGGTCTACAGATTGAGCAGCGTCAGCCCGCCGCTCAAAATTTAACTCAGCCTGCCTCAGCTTCTCCTGAGTGTCTATAAGTACGTTAGCATAAGTGAAGTAGTGTAGACCGACGCCTGGAGCTGCCGCAACCAGCGGCGCTGCCGTATCAATTGATGAGTGACACTAACATACCCAACGCTGCAGCTGTGGTAAGCAGTCCTGTTTACGTCAATATCTGTTGCGCCTGGTCTCCGGGCAGCCCGGATGAGATCAATCGCATCACTACCCGCGGCACAACGATGGCCCACTTCAAGATAAAATCTCTACCATGTGCGCCATCTTCATGCTTTTCCTCTGATGTAAAAGATTACGTTGCTCCTGGTCCCTGGGCTGTCCGGACACCAAAGCGTCATGTTGTCCACGTGAAGAGTCCACGTGGAATACAAGTAGGTACATAAGTCGATGCGTCGCTGAATCATCATGTAATCTTAGGTGCCGACTCGTATTGGAATGCTCAAGCGCGAATTGATGTCAATGCCTGAGGCCAAACGTAGCCTTGTGTGCATCGGTAAATGCTCATCGTACCGGTGAAACAGGGGGCGGCGTGTCCGCCAACAGAATCAACCATCCCTGTTTTGACGAGGCCGGATTGTCAAGGATTCCATGCACACAGCCGCGTCAGAATGCCCAGCCCACCCAACTCTAGCCATTCATATCGCAACCCTCATAAACATAGTGTGTCTTCATTGGTAGCGCTTCAGGATCTCCATGCAGGTGCCACGCTCGTATTAATGTACCGCCGATGCCGCACGTCGCTGGAGTATCAATCCCTGTATCGATTCCGTATTAGTTCAGTACAAAACGAGAGCACCGGGCTCACTTCTCTTCCACCATACAAATAGCCAGATATTTCCTGTCAGATGGAGTCCTACATTTTAAAAGGCTACAGTCAACTCTTCACTTCGGGTGTCCCTGGATCTGGTCTACATCGTCCTTACCTCTCCCGTATAGCTGCTCTCGCCTGGCCAAAGTCAAGATGTCAACAGCTGACTCGATCTCCGCTGCCAACCCCCCCACATGGAACACCGCCATTGTCACCAGTACAGTCCTAGCCATTATAGCTCTCCTACTAGGCATCCCCGGTGCCTTACTCGCAGTCATAAAACTCCGGCGTCCCAAGCGGGCGAAACGAGGTACGCCCTGATTCCATCAAGAAATCTTGACGCCAACTGACTGACACTCTGGCCAGACCACATTGAGATTGGTAACGCGAACCACGGCTTTGCTGAAGACCAAGACGTCCAGGTACCACCTCTTCGACTCAATAGAACCCATACGAGTACTGCTTATGCAGGGCTATACTGCTTCGTAGTGTCCGGGGGAGAGTGGGTACAACTCGAATACATTGGTAAAAGGACGTCCAGTTAATTTTTTTCCGCAGGAGTAGGAGCAGAGATATCAAAAGTAGGGTCGTAACAAAGGACTTTGCTGAATTCCGCAGGAGAACACTCCGACCGTAATCTTTGTATGTGGAATGGCAATGCATCACGTGACTCTATGGGGCCTGTGCCCAGGTATACCGGAGGGGAGGCTTCGTTTCTCTTGACTCTCCGTTCGCTGGTGGACACAATAAGTCAGGGTTGGGTGTGCGGTCAGCCCTACTTCGCTCGAACATACTATCATCTACTCGAATCTCCAATACTTCCTCTTTAACTACGCTCCACTTGTAGCGGTGTCGGCCACTTACCTTTGCGACGACGACCATTTTTATGGACCACACTACCGCCAATATGACGACCACGGTATCGATCAATTACGCTGCCATCAACACAACAATGGTAAGCGGCAACTCTATCACCAACAACCGCACAGACTGGACAACTTCTGACATCACTGCAACTTTTTGCGGTATCTTACCTTTCCTGACTACGACGATTGGTGTCATCCTTGCTCAACGAGCAAATCGAGGTGTGCTTCGTTTGGCAAGTCCGTCCCAGGATCCGAGGCCGCTTCGGCTAACGCGCCTGAACAGGTGATTTGGAGGACGGCAGCGGCTCGACGATAGCTACTACACCCCTTTAGCAGCATGGAATTTTTCTTACAGCGCAACATCTTGTCTCGCACTCTGGCCTGGTGAGCTGCCATCTCTGCTGTCGGTTTCGCGCCTGCTACAGGCCCATGGCCCAATGTCAACGAGCATGGGTTCTTGTTCTTTCAATCGGTCTTGCAATTGATTCCGTTTTACATGGATGTCTTGTTGAGCTGCCAAATTGATCGCATTTGACTTTTAATTTGTGCTTAGCGTCTTCGTGACTGGACTGCTGTGGGTCTCAGACGTTCGCGGCGCGGACATCCAGCCCGATGTGTAAGGTTGTGTATTTTCTCTTTCAGTAAACGGGTATATCCTACTCGTCCAACCGTAATATCCTGATTGCGTTGTTTCCCAGAACATCCTTCGCCTTTTCATCACTGTCAAACGCCTTCGCTATCGCAGTGTAGTTTGCGTTGACGCTATGCCACTCCTCGACGTCTTCCTCTAGCGGCGGGAAGAACGGGTGATCCGTACCTGCTCACGTTAGCAAACCCTTTTTCCCAACACCATTTACCAGGAGCGATCTGAACTCACCAAAGAGCAGCCTGTCCGCCCCACTCGCCGCGACCGCCGCCCCCAGGCCAACCTCCGAGTAAATCACCGCATCGAGGTAAATATTCGTCTTCAGTATATCCCATACACTCCTCCTGTTGTCCCTCGTCCCGTTGCTCTTCAAATGCCCATCATGCAGTATGCAACTCTCAATCCTGCCCGCCAAAAATGGCAGCGTCCCCCCGCTATGTGCAAGCAGCACATTCAGCTTCTGAAACCGATCCCACACCCCGCTCAACAGCATCCTGCTCACCGCGATCGTCGTCTCGAGCGGGAAGCCCAGCGCAAGTGGCAGAACGTGTCCGTACTCGTTAGCCCGCGGACCGTAGACTTCCTTGGGGAGCCCGTAGTGCGGATGCAGAAAGATCATCTGTCCCGCCTTCTCAATAGCCGCCCACACGGGGTCGAGCCGCGGGTCGTCAAGCCCGTTGCCCAGCCCGGATGTTCCCATGATAACGCCGCGCATGTACTTCAGGGTCCCCAACCTTTCCACTTCCTTGACGATGGTCTCCGCATCCGCGCTGAGCGGCAGCGTGCCAAACGCGTATAGGCGCCCCGGATACCCCGCGCATATCTTGTCGACGTCGTCGTTGATCTTGCGCGCGGCGTCACCGGCCTCATCAGCGGGGAGAAAGTCCAGCCACGGGTTTGCAAGGGAGATTACCGACTTGTCGATCTTGTGTGTGTCCATGAAGGCGATCTTCTGCGCGATGTCGTAGTATTCGGGCCCGATGGGACGGCCGCGCGAAGTCGAGGGGGTAGAGGGGTCATCTTCGCCGGGGAGGATGATGAGGCGGCTGGAGTCTGGGGCGTCTTCAAAGTTACGGACGTAGGGGACTGTTTTGCGGGTGCGGAGGAGGTCGACGTAGGAGGGCGGGTAGATGTGCGTATGGATGTCGACGATGGGCATTTTGACGGGGCCTGTAAGGACAGAGGGGCTGGGCAGGTCGGGGAGGGAGGGGAGGGGTTTGGAGGAGAGGCGCGAGGGCAGTAGGTTGTTTGGTGGTGATGTGTGGTGCTGTGGTGCGGGGAGCTGAGCTTCTGCCCCACTATGAAAGTCCACTACTCCGCCAGGGTCCTTCTAGATTGGGGATGGCCCACTGCGGAGATGCCCGCCGTCACTAGGAGAAGATATCGTGTTAGATAAGACGACAGGCTTGTGATATGCTTCATAGATGCGTACGTAATTCACCATCCACTTCGCATCAGGACCATCCCGATCAGGACAGCCAGTCCAGCGGCTGCCGTAGAAAAGCCAACAAGACGGCCAGTTCCACTGTTCGACGGCCCACCAGGTAAGGTCCCGCTTGATCCATTTCCTCCTGAGCCTCCAATGCCCGCCGCGAGCACAACGCTCTCCAACCCGCCGCTTGCACTCTGTAGCGGAGCGACCAATGCCATTTGACTCCAGCTGAAGATTGTATTTCTCCCCCCAAAGACAAACACCTCGTAACGACCCTTGAACTCATCATCGACCCAGACTCTGCTCCCGTTGACGACGTCCGTCTCGATGCGAATGTTCGCTGGGAATGTGATGGGTACAGGGTGGTGGGTGGAGCTCGTGAGATTCCACCAGATGCGCCCTGGGTGGCCAGGATCATGGCCGTCTGATTCGGACGTGGAGCGGAGGGGGTATGGGAAACCGTCCGCGGTCGAGAAAACCAAAGTTGAGGTTCCGTTCGCGCTGATGTTAGATGGCACAGTGCCGACAGAGAGCGAAGTGTCTGGCCCAAGCAGCGTGAAAGGCCCTGAAGCTGAGATGGAAAGGGTGTATGGTGGGCCATACGAGCCCTTACCCAGTGACACGTTCGATCCACTGTAGCCGCCAGAGCTCTTCCAAGAAAAAAGGGGAGTGTCATCTTCTGCTGGTTTGTATTGAGCCGATGTTGAGAACCTTCGATCAAGATTCTGGCCCGGGGCGTTTGCTGTGAGCATCTCGAGCGACGAGTCAAAGTCACTGGTGCTGACATTGGCACCCCTTGAACCTGACCAGGCCCGCGCTGCAACTAATGGGATACCGTTTCGCATAGCATAGTACCCCTCTAGCTGCGTTGTTGCGTCTGGTCCGCTGTCGCTCCAGGCCGCAAGAATGGCACCCTTATTTCCACTTGCGCCGGGCTCAAGCTGTTCCGTGGTATTCACCGGGTTGAACAAGCTCGGATCCCATTGCCAACCCTCCACATTGGCAAAGTTCAAGGTCCGAGTGTTGTTGAAAAACTGGGGGTACGGGGCTGGGAGAATGGGCATGTGGTCATTCTTCAAGCTCATATACGCCCACCAGTCCTCCGAATTGATCAGCTGGTATCCGTCATCTTGAAGCTGCACTGGGTCGGATTGGCCATACTGCCAGTGCTGTATAATGACATCTTTTGAGATTGTGTAGTTTTCCGAGGGCTCGTTGGTGCCCCAAATGCGGACACGTTTGCCGGATGTCGAATTCACAAAGTCAGACATCTCGTTAACGAAGTTGATGTAGACGTCTGCTAGCGTAGCATCGTACTCGTCAGCGCCAATGTGCACTTCTTTAGTCTGGAACCAAGGTAGAAACTCGGACCAGATGGCCTTGACCGTGGGGATCGCCTCCGGATGCGAAAGGTTCAAGAGATCCTTCTTCGTGAGAGCAAGCTCGGGCTTCCACTTGGTGATTGAGAGACAATGACCAGGAGCTTCGATCTCGGGAATGACAGTGACGCCTCTTTGCGCGCAGTGTTTCTGAAAGTCTTCGAACTCTGCTCTTGAAAGTGTTTCGTTTGGGCGCTGGACGATTCCCTGCAACTCAGGGTTCTCTGGGTAGAGCGAGAAATGTGAGAAAACCTCGTACCATGTTTCCTATTCCATCGTTAGTCAAGATCGAACAAGCAGTCTCCACCTAGCGAGTCGGGCTGATCTGCTTCCTGGTACCGCAGTATTTTTCGTTTGAATGTACCAAGATACTTACATTGTGTCCGCGATTCAGAGGATAGTTGTCGCTAGAGTGATAGTGGAACTCTGACATCTTGAAAAAGGACGCGTACGTGCAGAGATCCTTCAAGAACTCGGCTGTATACCACTTCCGCCCAGCGTCCAGCATGTACCCTCGCGTAGCATACGCTGGGGCTTCCACGACCCGTCCCGACTCCAGAGGCGCCCCATTGGCAATCAGCAACTCTTGAAGCAGCGTGCGCGTTCCCCAGAACAAGCCCCGGGAACCGGTGCCGCCAATGAAGACACTTCCATTGCTGACTTCCAGCTCATACCCTTCTTCGGTTGCTACGCCGTTCTCATACGTCAATTGGCTTGTATCGCCCTTGAATCTGCCGAGGAAGATGCCGGATCCTGGGAAAGATTCGACTTGCTGCACGGTCCAATTGGTACCGAACAACTGGGAGAGGTCCTTGCTGAACGTCTGCGCGAACTCGTATGCCGTAGGTGGGATGAGCGTCAGGCCCTCGGTGTCAGAGACATTTGCGAACGAGCGCTGCAAGTATATCGTCTTGGGAGCATCCTGCAGCGAGAAACCTCCGCTGGTCGAGCTGTTGCTCTGCGACCATTGCACGGGAGGGAGGGGCTGCAGAGCTGCGACAGCGCCTAAGAGCGCAGGGAAGCACCGCAGACGCATCTTGGTAGGTTAGCTTGGAGGCTGCCCTGCGGTGACAGGGAGCTCGCATGTTTTGTAGTCAGGTACAGGATCAGCAATCAAGGCGACAGGGTTAGGCCCAGGTGAATTGGCTGTAGCTCTTCCCCGCATCTCACGCTTGGCTCTTACGAAGGTTACATTGTCGAAGAGGAAAGCCTGAAATGCGATGGAGGAGCGCACTTGGCTCATCGGGACGGAAGTCACGTTATCGTGCGGATGTAGCGCGCGGGTTACATCGTGCCCGTATACTTGAGGGTGGGGGCGCTGGTAGGTATGGAGCGAAGCGGCGCAAGCTGCACATTGTAGACCTGGTCGCGGCGAGGACGCAAGCTTCGGGGAGCTGAAAGCCACCTTCCTGTTAAGGCCATCCGGCTTCGGGATGTACCTTTGCGAGTCGAGCGTTGGATACGAGCGATCCTCGGATGGCGCCCCGTCGCGTGCCTTTCTGCCAGGAACCACGCTACGCTCCCGTCTCAACTAGCGCCTTCTGTCAACGTCCCCACCGAACGACGACGGCCACGATGCACACCTCTGTGAGCCATCTGTTCATCGACAGCTCATGTGTATCAACCATCGGACATCATGCATGTGCAGCTACATGTCGTATGGACTCCAACACGACTGCCCACCCGCCTATCAAAGTCTAGCGTCCTGCGATCGACAAGACAAGATGCCTGTTCCTGACGACCCAAGGTGCTGGACGTTAATTTGCAATGCCTACAACTGCACACGCGCAACCTGTGAACCCAGCACAGCATGCATGGGATCTCATATCAGAAGACGCGGGGCGATAACATGAGGGGCATAAGATGTCGTGGACGCCCTCGCACACCTCGTAGACAGGAGCGCTTTTGCCCGCTTGCAAGTGCTTAGGAATAGAGACCAGTCGTTACTTTCTGTAATCTCACAGAGTGTCAAAGACGCACCAGGGAACACTGGCATGGGGCTCCTCTCTCAAGCAGTGCTCCTCTGCACGACCCTGGCAGGACTGGCTTCTACCGCGCGCATCCCCCGCGATGGCCCTTCTTACACCAATGTGACTTACCCAGGCCAGAAAGGTGACGACTACGACTACACCGGCTTCGAGCAAAACCAGACCAAGCGCGCAGATGCCGTCATCGAGATGTTTCGCTTCGCCTGGAACGGCTACTATTCCATCGCGTTTCCCAACGACGACCTCCTCCCCGTGACCTCAAACTACAGCAACAGCCGAAACGGCTGGGGCGTCACTGCCGTCGACGGTCTCGATACCGCCATCATCATGGAGCAGACCGACATCGTAAACCAGATTCTGGACTTCATACCCACCATCGACTTCACAAAGGTGGACACAGCCACGCGCCGCGGGGCGAGCCTCAGCGTCAGTCTCTTCGAGACAAACATCCGCTATGTTGGCGGCCTGCTCGCCGCATACGACCTCCTCAAAGGTCCCTTCAGCCACCTCGACGTGGACGCAGACAAGGTCGATGCCCTCCTCTCGCAGTGCGTCACCCTCGCCGACACCCTCAAGTTCGCCTTCAACACCACCTCCGGCATCCCCGTCAACAACATCTTCATCAACAACGGCACATTCGCCCCACGCTACCGCATGGCAGACGGGACCTGGTCTGCCGGCCTCGCGGAGCTCGGCTCTCTCGTCATCGAGTGGCAGCGCCTCTCCGACCTTAGCGGCAACCCGGAGTACGGCGACCTCGCGCAGAAAGCAATGTCCTATTTCCTCAAGCCCAGCACAGAGGTCTGGCCGGGCCTCACAGGCGGCAACTTCAGCGTCGAAACAGGCGAGATCCTCGACGCGTACGGCGGCTGGACCTCGGGCAACGACTCCGCCTACGAGTACCTCATCAAGATGTACGTGTACGACCCAGACACGTACGCCCTGTACGGCGAGCGCTTCGCCGCCGCCGCAGACTCCACCATCGCGCACCTCCTCTCCTCGCCCTCGACGCGGCCCGATCTCACAATGGCGGGTTCCTTCACCGGCCGCGCAGCCCAGAACTACTCCGAGGAACTCGCGTGCTTCATCGGGGGGTCGTTCATCCTGGGCTCCACCGCCATGGACAGGCCAGACTGGCTCAAGTACGGCCTCGACTTTGCAGAGTTCTGCGCCAACGGGTACCGCTACGCGCCCGTGGGCATCGGGCCCACGCTGTACTCGTGGAACCTGACGGAGCTCGCGTACCCGCAGTTCCAGAACCAGTCTGATTTTTACCAGAAAAGCGGCTGGTTCGTCGACGACAACAACGCGCTGCTGAACGGGCAGGCGCCCGAGGCCGTCGAGAGCTGGTACTACGCGTACCAGGTCACGGGCAACCAGTACTGGCGGGACGTCGCGTGGGCGTACACGCTCGCCGAGAATAAGACGGAGCGCGTGGGCAAGGGGTTCAGCGGCGTGCTGAACATTTTCAAAGAGGACGGCGGCGGGTGGGATAATATCATGCATAGTTTTACGCTCGCGGAGGTGCTCAAGTACCAGTATCTGATCCAGGCGCCTGAGGAAAGGAAGGGGATCTGGGATGTCGAGTATGCCAAGGATGGCGTTGGCAAAGGGGGAAATGTAAACTACTTTATCTACAACACCGAGGCGCATCCGGTGAGGGTTGTGGCTAAGACGCCGATATAGACGAGGGGTGGTGAGGTGGGCTGGGACTTGTCTGGTAGCGGTAGCTATACAGTTGCATCGTACATCAAGAGTACCCAGGCCATACCCTGCGCAAACAACTCAAGTGCTGAAGAAGTGAATGACGCTGCAAATGCTCAGGGTATATCATATTCCACATGCGCTCAATAAGTAGCCGTCAGCCTCTTGACCAGATACTCTCCGCTCCGGATCCCTTCGTACTTCTTCCCGCTCTCCTCATACGTCCCCGGCAATGCCTCAATCACGCGCTCGAAGTTCGGATTGCAGAAATACGCCACCGAGTACCGTGGCGGATACGTCTCTGCATCGCTGCTGTCCGCCTTTGGCGGCGGTTCCACGACGCGATGCTTCGTGCTCTTGATGGTATCGTTTGACCACCGCGCCAGCAGATCCCCCGCGTTGATGACAATGGTGCCCGGGATGGGCGTCGCATTGACGAACGTGCCCTTCGGGCTGCGCACCTGCAGGCCGCCGCGCTCGTCCTGGAACAGCAGCGTGAGAGAGCCGTAGTCGCTGTGCTCGCCGGCGCGGACCTGCAGCTGGCCGTCGGCGCGCTGGAACACTTTCTTGGAGACGCCAGGGTAGTGCAGCAGGCGCAGGGTGTTGTCGCCGCCGTCGGTGAAGCCGTCGAACCAGCTCTCGTCGATGCCCATGCCGAGTGCGATCGCGCGCATCAGCTGCATGTGCAGGTCCTTGCATGTGTCATGGAAGCCTAGCATGACTTCTTTGAAGGTTTTGGCGTCGTCATCGCCGTCGACTGGCGGCCACATGTTCGGCATGCCTTCTTCACCTTCCCGTCCGATCTCCAGCGATTCCTTCAGGTCTGGCACGGCGCGTAGCTTCTCCACCTCGCCCTTGTCCTCGTCCGGCAGCGACACTTTCTCGCGGCCGTAGCCGCTGTATCCGCGGTTCGCCTCGGGGGAGTACCATGACAGCGCGTCCTTTTGGGCTTGGGGGCGGTCGAAGAACTTGGCCGAGTTTGCAAAGACGGAGGAGATGGTGGAGGCCGGGATCGGGTGGTTGGAGAGGTAGATGAAGCCGGCGGTCTGGAAGCCGTTGAGGATGGCCTGGGCGGTTTGGTGTTTTTGGGCGGGGGTGCCGCTGAGGAAGGCGGAGAAGTCGATCAGCTGGGGGGATCAGCATTGGTGAGTAGGATGGATGTGGATAGAGGGAAGGGCATACCGGAATGACGAGGTCGTCCTGCGCGACGGCTTGAGAGACGTGGATGTCCGCCATTGCGCGTGTGTGAGATGACTGGATCGATTTCCAGTGTGCAAGTGTCGCGGCGGACGGGTATGTGAATTAAGCGACGCAGCCGCAATGGCTGGGGTCGAGATAGGCTTGTACATTCGCATGAGGCCGCCGCCGCCGTCGGCCTTCCCCGCGGTCGTTCGATGCGTCCAAGGGTCGGGCGCTGCCATGGCGCGAAAGCAGCGGGGCCAGCCGATAAGACAAAGGTGGGGTATCCCGCCAGCCATACACCTTCGGGTGCGCTTGCCTTTTGCGTGAACATGCACAACCATCTCCTCGCCTCATCGCTTCGACTTGGTGGTTCTCCATAGCCCGACTACGCTGAGATGGACCATCTGAAGTCAGACTCAACAACGCGTCAAGTAGCAAGCTGATGTCTAAACCTCAGCTCATAGCCGCACCCCACCAAGATGCTCGCAAGCACTGAAACGAACGATCCAATGTCGCATTGTTACCAAAAGCCTACTGGCTCAAGCGCATAAAGATCAAACGCATACAGCTCAAGTGGTGACAAGCTTCGACGGTGCAAGATTCAGCTGAAGAGCCAATCAGTTCCGGCCAGCTCTAGTTTGATAGCGAGATACTTGCTCAGCTTTGGAGTAGGGTGTCTCCCTTAAATCTACAACTGAATTATGTTCTCGAATGATCTGCAGATTACCGTGATTACACACCCCTTAGGCATAACATCACCATGTACTCACGGTCGTGCTATGGCCCAGCATATGTGCTAAACCCGTAACAAAGGCGTGTGACGGCATCTACAACGTCCCCAGCGGATACGCACTCGGCACATTCCCACCGTCCGGCGTAACAACAGGCACCTCGCTATACTTCGGAACTTCAACCACCTCCCTCGCCCACGTCGGCGCCCGCCTCACCTTCCCCATCTTCTCCATCGCATACCCAATGCCCAGCAACTTCTGCTCATCGAACGGCCGGCCCAAGATCTCCATGCCGATTGGGACACCAATCGGCGCCTCAGCTGTTGCGTTGCTGAAACCAATAGGCACAGTGACAACAGGCGATCCCGTCAGCGCCGCCAAAATCCCGTTTCTACCCGACTGCGAGGGCGACCCGATCTTCACAACGAGGTTCTTCTGCTCGGGGTAGATAATCGCGTCGAGAGCGTTTGCCGCAAATGTCTTCTGCAGCGCGAGGGTGAGATTGTCGATCCCAATGCGGCGCTCCAAGTACGTCGCGTTGCTCGTCGAGGATACGAGTGCCGTATTGACATACTCATATTGCGAGGGCAACACCACGAACTCGCCTTTAGAATCCTTGGAGGCTCTGAGATCATACAGCTCGTTCAGCGTCTTCGGCTGCGACCCGCCAAGCGAAGGCCGCTGCAGATACTCGTCCATGAGCTCGCGGTATTCGAAGCGCTGGACGTCGTAGGATGTCTGGATTGCAGTGGCATTATACAGCGACTCGTTGATGGGGACGAGAGTTGCACCGGCGGCGGTCAGCCGCGCCAGCCAGGCGTCCATGGCTGCGTTCACGGGCGCGACTTCTGGGTCGGAGGCGTCGGTGCGGTTGAAGAAACCGTTGAGGACGCCGAGGCGGAGGCCGGAGAGCGAAGCGGAGGAGAGTTCGGAGGTATAGTCGATGTTACGCAGCGCCGGCGGGACGAGGGCGGTCGCATTGTCGGTGCTGTCGTAGCCTGCCTTGCACATGGCGGTTAAGGCGACGGCGGCGTCTTTGATGGTGCGTGCGATGGGGCCGATGACATCGTGAGTTGTGGAGATGGGGATGATGCCTGTCCGGGTGATCAAGCCACGGGTGGGACGCATGCTGAAGAGGGAATTTGCGGACGCTGGGCTGCGAAGCGAGTTCACGGTGTCGGTTCCGGTACCGAAGACGCAAAAGGAGGATGCTACTGCTGCGCCGGTGCCTCCAGAGCTTCCTCCCGGGGTTCGTGTCGAATCGTACGGATTGATTGTCTGGCCGCCGAGAGACGAGACCGAGATTCCTTCCAGTGCCAGCTCATGCAGATTTGCTTTTCCCAAGATGATCGCGCCTTCTCTTTTCAGAGCTGCCACGCTTGGGGCGTCTTCCGTGGGTTGAGAGTCTTTCAAGGCCAGAGCTCCGCCGGTGGTAGGCATGTCGGCCGTGTCGTAATTATCCTTCAGTAGGATAGGGACGCAGAACAAAGATCCCGTAGCATTGCCTGCGGCAAGGGATTCATCCATGGAGTCTGCAATCTCCAGGGCTTTTGGGTTGAGGGTAATGATGGCATTTGTGCGGTGGTTGTATGCCTCTATGCGCGCAAGAAAAGCTGAGACGACTTCGCGACAGGTGGAGAGACCGGAGTATATGGCATGATGAACGGCGTCGATGCTTGCTTCTCGGGCGTCGAACGGTGGATTTGGCGTTAGAGAGGAATTAGCATTATCCATCTGCGCTGTAGCACTACTGCTGAGCAGCAGCCCGGCGAGTAAAGTCAATGAAGCTGAAACCATAGCTATTAGTTTTCCGTAACCCAATGTTGAGACAAACACTAGTCCGATGAATAAGAGTTACGCGGCGTAACACCGTGTACTCGAAGAGTATCGAAGATGCAGGTACCTACGCACCACTATAGGGCAGAACAATGATTCATTATACGTCCTTGACTGTCGTCATTGTTTTCGTAGCAGTCAGAATTCGATCCTCGCCCGCAACAGTCACGGCTTGGCTGGAGTAATTTCCTGCTGTTTGCACCTTATCAGCGCTTTGTTCGCCGGTGATCGGATGACGTTGCGGACGAACCCCAAACGACCCAGTTTAACGCCCGGGCTACCAATGACAGTATAGCGGAATACTCTTTGCGGAATAGCGAGAGTGTTTAGTGCGCGAAACCCTCGGTTATCGCAGCACCGGGATTATGAGGCTACCTTGGAGCCGTGTGCACACAATCTATAACGGATACGAGCTACCTATGGACCGACCGCCACCAGTTTCCATACTTCGCCATGCTGTCTCCTCGTACGACTTACCATGTCTTAGGCCCAAATGTTTCCCCGTCGGCTACAGGCTTACGGATCGCAGTGTTGAGGTAGTCCTGGGAAATAAATCAGCGATCCACAACCATTTGTCAATCATATACTTACCGTCGTCTCGAACGGCTTTTCGTTGCCCCACCACGGAATCGAATACTCCTTGAACGTGATCGCAAAGAAAATAACGATGGTGGAGATAATGAGGCCAGCGTCAAGCCCAGCCGCCGTGATGTAGTTGTACTTGTGCCACCACCCATGGAACCTGCGCATGATCCAGTAATTGAAAATCAGGCCCCAGAGCGCCCAGGACGAGAAACTTAGTGGGGTTGCCGGCGGAAGCCAGCCCATTGCCCCTAGCATGACTGGGGCATTGAGGTAGCGGAGTGGTGACTTCGGAGCTACGCGCATGAGGAAGAAGAAGATGATGGGCAACGCGGCGCCGATGAGCCAGTAGTAGTGGATTGAAGAGTAGGTAGAGCCAGGTCCGAACATGCGATCGGGGCCGATGACTCCCCAGACAATGCTGCTGGAAAAGAAGGCACGGCCGTTGGGGCAGGTAAAATTGCTCTCTTGTAAGCGAGTGCAAATGTCCGGGATGCTATAGCAGGTACACAAAGTTAGCGGCAGCATCTCGATCAAATCGTGCGACACATACTTTCCCAATGTCCAGTTCATGACTGCGATCTGCACAAAGCTCGCCCAGATCGTTGCGACGAGCTGCGCGGTGAATGCAGTCTTTGGCGGGATCTTCATGTAGTGCGCAAGTTTCAGGTCGGCCGAGAAAAGCTGTGCCTGTCCCAAGGTTATTGTACTGTAGACCTTGAAGATCATGACGCCAATTGGTTTGCCAGGAATCATATATCCAGCAAGAAAAGGCGATATGATGTTCAGCGAAAGCATGATGTTCGTGATGCCATAGATCATGCATGTTGGTATGATGAAGATAAGAGCGACGATAAGTGAGACGAAGTATGCCCACCATGGGATTTGGGAATCGTACGCGAGGATAGTTGCGAGGCCGAAGGCAACAGATACGGCAAAGAGAATGCCGTACCACCAATCGGGGCAAGGAGCGTACTTCATCATGAGCTTCATGTGAATGTCTGGCTCTTGGTTCCGTGCGGCCTTGAATCGATACCAGATCTCTTTACGGTGGAAAACAATCGCGTGAACAATAGATGCGGTCAGTGCTGCGAAGCTCAAGCCGTAGTTCAATGCCAATGTCGGCGCCAGGAACATGGGCGAGTATTCCTTGTACTTGGCCAGATCAAACGTGAAATTTGGTCCAAGGATTTTGGTGACATTGTATGCAGCTTGTGTATTGTCGAAGGTGGTTGAGGTGTTGATGGGCAGATAGTCGCCATACCAAGAGTTGGTAAAGGATATACCGAGGGTAGTAATGATAACGAAAACGACCAATCCAATAAGAGTATTGATATGCGCATGAGCTGGCGCAAGCAGGGGATCTTGTAGGTAACTTGACACATAGGTCCAATCAAAGGTGATTGGTATGAGGGACAAGCCGGTATAACCACCGAAGAGCTGGTTTACCACTACATTGTCAGGTTTGATCCTAACGTCGTGTTAGAGCAGTAGTCGCAAGAAGCTTAGAGCAGCCCAATACCAAGTGATGAACGCGAAGACCTGTAGGCCTTGCCAAATGACTCCTATGAAGTCTTAGATTTGCTGCTCGTTTGAATTCTTCGGGAAAGCTTACCGGGGAACCAATAGTACACGAACATCCCGCCCATTACATATAGAAAGTATCGCATCCGGGAAATGCGCCATCCATTTGCATCCTCTTCAACAGCTTTGGGGGCATGGAAGGCATGAAGCAATGCAGCGTTAGAGAATTGATTTGGCCAAATGATGGCCGCAGGCCAAACCTGCGTCACAAGTGAGTTTTGGGCTGAGAAAAAAAATGATGTGTTGCGCTCACCAAGAATCGGCGAAAAAGGCCTGCGAGAGCGATTCCTATCACTTGACTGCTGAGCGTGAAAAGTAGTTGAAAGCCCCATGACATGGGAAGATTGTAGAGCGGCTTTGCTAGTAGGGCCAGGAGAGCATCCGTGGAGTATGCGTAATTGATAGAAATGCCAGCCATAATCTAGACCTTTCAGGACACTGCAGAAAATAATTGCCAATTGCACTCACTGTGATGACAGCATGCTCCTTGATATTGAAAGGGCCCGTATTCAGTGTCCACTTGATACCAAAGGTGTTAAATTGTTTCGTTGGCATCACTCTAGCCCACAGAACTCCGAAGGGATATACCACTCTGTATGTACGTAAGCACGATAGTTCCTGCACCTCATTCCTTCATCACCTACAATAACACCACAATGTTTGGAAAGTTGATGGCCGGGCTTCGCATCGACAAGAACATGTTTATGCCGGATGCAACAGTAACGAAGAGCATGCCGAGTACCCATGCTCGGACCGTGTTTGCAGGCTCTCCGCCATCTGTATTTCGCACCGCAGCTCTCACCTCCTCGTAAGGGGAATCCTCAAGGAAGTCTTTCTCTACTTTTTTAATCGCTTCAGGGTCGCCATCAACAGTCGCTGCATGTAGCTCGTCAATCTTGTTCTGTTTCAGGTTTGGGTCCCATTGATGAGTCTTCTCTGTGATGTGGGCAGGTCCAGTCTCGACGGAAGTGCTGCATGTCGCCTTCTCATTTGCAAGCTCGCTCATCTTGCAGTCCGGTCAGTCTTACTATACGAGAAATCCTGCTTGGCCTAAACCAAAGCGTCGAATGTCGAAGGCTTGAGAGTCCAAACCACCAAAGCTTGACGCGCAGCAAAGGACGGCGCGAAGCTTTTGAGCACACGAGCCAGAAGATGGTCGGCTTGGCTCGGTTGCAGGCATACACGTAGGGATGCGCAAATGCAGGTAGTCAACGTGGTATCGCGGTGAGGGGACCGCTTAACCGAAACAGGTAGGCATGGCGGTTGAATTGCAACCATGAATCCGCCAATTGACCGAGTACAGCATTGGGAATGGCGATTATCTAGCCTATCTCAAACACATTTCGTGAGCACGGAGGAAGCGGAGGCAAACATGGCCTTATCTTGAGCTGGTCTAGTGAATGTAACAGTCTCGTGCGTTAAGCCTCGAAGGGGTAGATGCAGTACGTATCACGTCCAGGGTGTCTTCGCTCAGGTAGATTCCTCGCGCAAGTATCGCATGCGCGATGATAAGCGGTACGCAACCGCGGCTCTTCAGCCGAGTATACTGTACAGTGCGGCACAGTAGCGTATCGCCGAAGACAATTGCCCAGGCGACGACACATGTCTGGTAATCCGACAGAGCGTATAGAAGCTTGACTCGATGGCTGAAGTGTGTGCTGATAAAGTTATCCTTCTCGCACGAGGGCAAAGTTGCTTTACGCCATTGTGGCAAGCGTCAAAGCGCAGTGGATATCCGCAGATAAGGATATTGTAGCAGTATAGCAACGTCAATGTTGTTATCGTGATGTTGACAGAAGGTGCAAGGAGGAGGACGATGCGCGCAGCTTCGGAAGTGGGCGCTTTGGCTATCAGCATTACATAAGCCATAGCAGCCCTGCAGTGTGCCGTTTACAACAATTTAACAACGTCCAGATTCCATCATATCAATCATTATACACCGGAGAGAGACTCTCCCGAAGGCAGAAACATTTTCGGGGTCACTTCGGCGATCGCAGTCGTGCTTGAAACGATTGGTGCGACACCATCACACCCCTGGAAGCGCTATAGCGAATTCGAAGCCAACGCCAGGCATGAAAATGTTTACCTTCTGAGCGTCTCCAAACTACCGAGGCTGCAGTGTGAATCTCGTTTCGTCTATCCGATGGATTTGAACCAATAAAAATACTCAGACAGCCTGATTTGTTCGGCCACGACGGCACGTTGAAAATCCATTTAGCAAACTCTAAATGTCTCGAAACAGATCTATTTTTGCAAATCAATGCACAACAGTTCTCTCACTCTGCTCAGATCTGCATGCCGAGAAAGACTTGCCAACAAGTATTCTTACGCAAACCTATTCTTTGCTCAGAGTGTACCTGTGGAGTCTGGAGATACCATAGCTACGAAGGCCAGTGCGACGTAAGCTGGACGTCGCAGATACTACACGTAGAGTGGAGTGATTAGACTCCTATATCGCAACTACTCAGACCCATATTCGACTTAGATGAGTCCCGCTCTTGGGTAGATCGGTGCCGCTCACTCGCCTTTCTGTCTATTCTTAGCTCGCATACCTCTTGGCTGTGGACTGATACTCCAAACAAACGTTCACCACGGTCTGATCCAAGATTTTACCTAAAATCGCACGGTCCAGTCGCACATGCATCGACCATTCTCCAACGCCAAGAGATGTCATCACGTTTTGGAAACGGTAAACACCACCGTCCGATTCCTATTCTTGCTTCAATCATGTTTCGTTCCTATGTTCATGCGACTGGAGAGCTGTTTTTTGGGTACGCCTGAGGTCAGAAGCCTCGCTGAGGCAGTCTATCACATCTTGGCCAAAACGATTCTGCTTCTCGAGGCCCGGATAGCCAGGTCCGATGCCTCAACATCAAATCGCAGGTGTTGGGCAGTGTCGAGCTTTGAGGGCTCAGTAGTGGTATAAGAAGGAGCAGCAACTCGACGGCAGAAGGACATCAGCGATCAACATCTCCATTCAGCCTCTACAGTAATCTCTTCTACACACTACTTTCTATTCGTCTCCTCTTTAATTGTCTATTCAATAAATCTACTTGACCGGTTCAAGATGTACTTCACCAAGACCTCCGTTGTCCTCTCTTTCGGCCTCATGGCCAGCCAGGTTGCTGGTCACGCTGCGGTCATCAAGGCTGTTGGTGATGCAGGTGGCCAGGGTTCCGCCATCGGTGGTAAGTTCTTCTACACAGCAATCACACAAACCTTTAGAAACATCTTACTGATCAACCACCACAGTTGACCCCAACACTCCCCGTGACGGCACTGGCCGCAACCCCTTCCAGCAAGACTCCACCCGCTTCCGAGGAAACGCCGCAGATGCCTGCGGTGAGACTCTGGGTGGAGGTGACAACAACGTCGAGACTGGTACCGCTCAGGTCATGCAGCTCAACGGCGGCACCCTTCCTCAGGTCAGCGCTGGCGGTATGGTCATGATGACCCTGCACCAAGTCAACGGTGACGGTGCGGGCCCTTACACTGCTATGATCGATGCTACCGGCACTGGTACACAGTGGACGCCAATCACAGTCGCCACCAACGTCGACGGTAACGCTCGTGGCCGCAACAACGCCAACGCTAAGACCGATCTTCCTCTCAATGTCGCCATCCCGGCCAACCAGACTTGCACGGGTACTGTCGCTGGCCAGAGCAATGTCTGCATGGTCCGCGTCCAGAACCCAGCTCGTGCTGGACCTTTCGGAGGATGTATCCCCGTTCAGATGGCTGGTGCCGCAGCTGCGGCTCCTGCTGCTGCTGCTCCTGCTGCTGCTGCTCCTGCTGCTGCTGCTCCTGCTGCTGCTGCTCCCGCGGCCGCAGCCCCCGCTGCCGCAGCCCCTGTTGCCGCTGGTACTGCCGCTGGAGCTGCCGGAGCTGTGGCTCCTGTTGCTGGCACTGCTGGAACTGCCGCTGCTGCTGCTCCTGTCGCTGGTACTGCCGGAACTGGTATGTTTTAATTAATGCTCAGAGTCGAGTATCCACTAACAAATATCAAGGCACCTCTGCCGCTGCTGGAACTGTTCCCGCTGGCCAAGCCCCAGCCGCCGGTGTCAACTCCGCTGCTGGTGCCACCACGGCCGCTGGTGTCAACACTGACGCTACCACCCTCACCAAGCGCGCCCCCAAGAAGTCCAAGGACGGAGCCCTTGTCACTGACGATGCCGAGGAGGAGGAGACCAACCCTTCCGGCCGCCGCACCACCATCGGTGTCTAAGCATCTCGCACCAGCACGGCCACTACACTGAGCTTCACGGCACAGAAACAAAAAGGGATTGGAATTGGGATTGGGATCGAGATCGAGAGTAATGATGATATACATACGGCGGGATAATGTGGTAGATACAAGTTGGATACGGGATGATATAGTGGACTGGTCTGCGACCGCGCTGGGATAGATTGTGTGGCCCTGGTTTTGGCTACTGTACTGGTGTGGATAGGGATATTGATTAATAGAGCACTGATCGCTTACACCGCCTCTTCTGGTCACTTGGTGAATTCCGCACTACCTAAAAATTGGTGCCTCATTGGCGCCTGACTTCTCAGGAAGTCGTCAAGTCAAGCTTTTGGTAGGTGGTCTGGGCTTTGCAAGGGGTGGTGTGGCTGATCGAGGCGCGTTTCACACCGGTTTCATTTGGGGCGGGGGAGAGACCCATAGAGCTGAAAGAGTTTAGGATAGTGCTGTAGGGATACCTGAATTCTGAGTCGATAGTATCCTGGAGAGGGCCTATGTGGTATACCCCCATGTGACCAGGGTAGGCATACATCGACCGGATTAGACAATGCCGATCCCCGTCCGATGCGACCTCACGATCCGGCGCGTCTCAGGTATTAGCTGTCACTCTTAATCTTTTAACCTTGAAATGCCATCCACAAGCCTTCCCTCGACACCCCGAGCGCCTCTAGCTTATCCCTAGCTTCTACTGTCTTGTCGCCGTGTTCCGCCAGCTCTTCCTTCATCCTTCATGATCATCAAATCTTGACTTAAGTCCTTAGTTCCTTGACAGAGAGCTCTCCTCAATGTTGCATGTCTTGGGGCCTGTGCTTTCTCCACGTACATTGCATTCTTCTGGCGCTCGAGTCGTTGGCCCGTAGTGATGATTTCGCGGACTAGGTTGCTATGGTGGTGGTAGGCATCGAGGGAGCGCAAGATTTGCAGGTGTAGCTCGAAATCTTGGTAGGTATCGGATCGAGGTGTGTTGGCAGTGAGAATGCGTTGAGCATCGTCGTCGATGAACTGCTGTTTTGCTGTCAATATGATCTCTGGGTATTACTGATGGTATATGTATGATAGGTGGAGTGTTTACGAACTTTGAGTCGACCTAGATAGACGGAGGACATGTTTGGATAGATCGGAGTATGCCACCGGATCATGCCTTGGTGCTGCTAAGTAGCTTGCGGCAATGACGGTGAGAGTGAGTGATAGTTCAGTACACTAGAGCATCTTATAAGGCGACTAGGTGCAAAATAATACCTAGAAGCGCCCGCAGGAAGCCCACGTGGCTACCCAAATGGGTGTGAAAGCGTGGTTGTTTGCTTTAGTGACCTTGACACCCTGGGAGGGATCGAGTCACGTGTGCACGCAACTGCCCAGGTATTCTCCAAGCACCGCTGGCTCAACCGTAAGTTTACTTCTCGAAAGCTTGCGACGTGATGGCCAGCCTCTAGAGATTCAATACGAGCTTGCAAGACGGCTCAATCAGCGGTTGGCCTCCTAATAGAAGTATTGGAAACAAATGTTCAAATGTTGCCAACATACACAGGGGGTCTCGTGTATTTGCTATGGATAGTGCATATCTACAAACATTACTGTCAGCCTATGTGTCTACTCCAAATGAATGCACTGTAGTCCAACTCATAGTTCAGCACCACAGCTAAATTTCGAACATAAGACAACAACTTACACGCACACCAGTGAGAGACCCAATCGCATCACAAGCCTCACGCACCTATCCTCTTCTACATTCCCCACAAGGCCATCCTCCACCATCTCCACCGTTCTCGCTAATTCATTGTGTTCCCTGCTAAGCTCATCACTCTGTTCCCCCGCCGCTTCGATGTCCGCCTTCGGCGTTGCAAGCCATGCACCTGAGACGCCTTGCGTGGTGACAATCTTTCCAGAGACTATGATGGTCGACCTGCGGGTCTGGGTTTCTCTGAACACTGTGACGGCGAGTTATCAATCTGTAGAGCTAGAGCTCGACTTGGATGTAGGTGCACTTTGTGAAGTAGGTAATGCGCATCGTGAGGAGGGTGAAGAGGATGGTGAGATAGGATACGGTTTCGGGGTTGTAGATGACCACGGTAAGTGTGTTTGGGCTTGTGGTGTGATTAGCATGTTGTGCGTTGTAATGTTCACTCAAAAGGAAAGGTGATAAATTGATTTTAGGCGTGAGAATAGGTAAAGAAAGTGAAATGACGAAAAGATGATCGAGTGAACAAAGGATTTTGAGGCTAAACGAAGCACTGGGGCGGGATGAGTGAAAGTGAAGATACAACGTTTTTGAATTCACTTGGCTGTGCTAGTGCGTAGCCCATATCAAACCTTGGACGGCCATACAGTAGGATAAAAAAGTATCTGTCTGAATAACTCTTGTCTCAGTAGGTTTCCAAACAAAGAGTTCATGTTCCCGTCCCGCTACTGCTGCACGCAGCCTTCATGAAGTATTTTCGACCGCAGACAGGCGATTATGTCCCTCAAACTCCATCTGTCTGAGGAGCACGAGAGACCTCCCGCCTGAAACTCTCCGGATACTTCCGCTTCTTCATGTCGACGCCCTTCTCCATGAGCCAGTCTTCCGTCGCCTTGACCTTCTGGAGGTGTCTATCTATCTCCTTCTTCTGAGCCGTCTTATGCTCGAGGATGGTTTCGAGCTCAGCCTCCAGGAACATGACAAGCATGTCGTTATCTGCAAGCTTCTGGGAATCAACTTTGTCTGTTCCTAGTAGCTCGAGTTTGCTTTCCCACGCAGTCACGACCTTCTGATGGACGGCTATATCGTGTTGATTCATGGCTTCCAGCACCCGCTGCTCTCCAAGTATGAGTCGAGGTGAGATTGGAGGCTTTGCATCTTCTTCAGTATCTCTTCGCGCAGGCTTTCGCTCATGCCCGCCATCGTGAGGTCGAATGTGATGGTGACGTGACTGCTCCTATCTGATGGTCAGTATATCCCGCAGGTCAAAAAAGCCTCAATTATGCTTACTGTGGGGAGCGTCTGAAGGTTCAGCTTTCGTGAGCCAGTGGCTGAGGTGGAGTGACTTGACTGGGCTTCGTGGTGGATTTCGTCGTGTAGGAAGGTTTATATCTCTATGTTGAAGCTCACACCGCGGCATGCGTGCAAGAGCCAAGCTGAAGGAAATGAAAGATCAAAGAGCAGTTGATCATGGAGGCGTGTGCTGCAAATATTATTTGAAGGAATTTTGGATTATACCGTGATACAGTTGCGTTGTCAACGTCCTGCTTGATGCCTCTCCGTAAGATCAGGTCCAGTAGCTGATTCTGGTCCGCAGCTGCACCTCCTCTTCTCGATAGTGACCTCAGCTAGAGTCTCACTCGGACCCAAACTCAGTCTCGAGGTCAGTTCTGACGCGGATCCTTCTCTCGAGGATCCGCTCAAAAAACCAGTCCTCAACCTCACGTATCCGCTCCTGCTCGGTTTGCCCCTGATTTCGCAGGGCTTCCAGCTGCTTTTCCAATGCTTCGATATCGCCTTCCATTGTCTGTTCCGATCCTGGGTGGTTGCGGCCACTGTGTCTCTCTGCCATTGCAAACTGCTGTTCGGTAGCTGCCTCGATCGCCTCCAAGATCGATTTGTGCTCCGCGGCTAGCGTCCGCAGGAGCTCCAGCTTGAGCTTTTTTTTCGTTGTCCCCGGGTGTATTGGATTGGTGAGCCATCTGGAATACTTTGCACGGCAGTGGTTTTTCTGTCTCGCGATCAACAGTTTGCGATGGCTCGGGGCTTTAATCGTACTCACGCGAGCAAGGGAGCTCCAAAACGAAGGGCAAGTATAGGTAGTGCTGTGATACCAGACCAAGCACCGTGGGGTTGAAGGTAGTGACCTTATAAGAATTCAAGTTAAGCAGGCGCGAGGCATCTCGAAGTGAAGAAGCATCTTCCCGCTAAAATTCTAACGTGCCAACACAGAAGGTTCCTTCCTTGAGTGGGAAAAGACACGCCTAGATTAACCGCCATGCGACTAGCTGATATGTTGCATACCTACTGCTTTATGCCTGTCCTCAAGAAAACGTTCGGCGGCTTATCCCTACTTGAGAATTCTTCATCTACCTCGTACACGATGTCCTCCGTACCTTCCGGTTGAAAACCGAGCTTTTGATACGCGCCCCTTCCCATGCTGCTTGCCTCTGTCGTACACTCCAATTCGCCTCGTCTCTTGGCCTCGTCTAAGCCCCACTGAACCAACTTCTGCGCGATGCCTCTCCTTTGGAACTCTGGGTCCACGGCACACATATCCAGAACAAAGATGGCAGGCGGATCAGCACTGGCCTTCTCCTTCGCATACGCGATCCTACGCCTCCACAACGACCTGAACATCTGAGCCGCGAACCGCGCCTCAGTCGGATCCAGCGTGTGGAGTAGTTCGCTCATGTCGTCTGTGGGAATGTCACCGTAGCCATCCACGAATGAGGCCTGCTGCCATATAGCCATTCCAGCTATACGGCGCTTACTTGCATCCGCGGGATCGGGGAGAGTGGCTTTGAGGAAGACGGTGTTGGGCTTGCCATCCTTGTTTGTCTTGACGTTTTGCCACCGCTTTACCAGGTCAGCAGCACCCTTTTTCTGGCCTTCGGGAGTGTCCCACCCTGGGCTGGTGACTATCCAGACAGTGTCCTTGGCCTGGCGGCCGAAGGCTTCGGAGACGCAGTGGAAAATCTGGGTGAAGTCGTCCGCGTTGGAGACGGACTCGACGGTAATATTTGGTTCAGCCATGGTGCTCGTTGCCTACGAGTACAAAGAAGTGCGGTATGGGATTTGCTCCGCGAAATGGTTAAGAGATGATCAACTGGGGAACGTAGACGTGGAGGCTACGACTATTGTGGGCCGTGGAGGGGCACACTCTAAATGGCGTTACATAATCCTCCGCCACAACGCACAGCAACCCCGAACACATGATGAAGATGTGAAAGTGTGTGAATCGATAGGTAAACGACTATGTCCGATCAGTCTGATCTCTCCCAAGAAATACACACGTCAATCTGGGTAGTACTGGGCAGGCCTCAAGGCTTTGCCGGGGTATTCGACCGTTGTTCTCAAGGATCGGATAGCGCTTATAAAACGCAATAGCTGTGCTGATATAACTATCTCTCGGCGATGCTCATCTACCAGAGCCAGTTGAGAATGTGTTGATAGGATGCGTGAGAACGCGGAGGGGGATGAGGGTTGGTTGGTCGAAACCCATTAACGCGTGGCCGGGATGGCACGGGCCCTGACGCGGGAGGGCGCGACTTTCGTGTCTGACATCAATCCACTTTGGCGTCCGCGCTCCTTCACAACACCACGCCGACCTTTTCCCCTCTTTCTTGTCTCCCTCTTACCGGCCGGCGAGCTCCTCTATACTCAAAATGCCGGGCGTCACGAAGAACCCAGCGAAGCGCGTCCTCGGCGATGCCTCGTCCTCCCGCCAGAACACGCAGGCGTCGCCCCGCTCGGCGAAGAAGCTTAAGCTTGACGATGGTGCTACATCGAATGGAAAAGCGCCTGTAAAGATTGCCAATGGCTCATTCAACGCGAGCCTGCAGCAAAAGAGTCGCTTTGAGGAGGAGGTTCTCGAGCAGATGTCGCAGGACATCGAGTCTCTGAAGCAGACCAACGCAGAACGAGACCAGCACTGGCAGAGGCCTCCTCTGCCCAATAACTTCAACGAAATGACGCATGGTATCATCATGCAGCAGATAGATGCCGAGGAGGGCGTGCTCAACGGCGGAAAGGGCACCATCAAGCTTTTTGGTGTCACCGAGGTAAGGAGGCTTCATGGCCCTTTCATGCCAGCAAAACTAACAATGTATGCCTTAAGGACGGACACTCGGTATTGTTCCACGTCACGAACTTCCTCCACTACTTCTATGTTGCCGCGCCGCTGAACTTCCAAAAGAACGACTGCGAAGCCTTCGGAACCTACCTAGAATCAGAATGCCAGAAAGCATACAACCAGCATTCGGCCGTGATCAACTCGGTCCAGATGACAATGAGGGAGAACATTCTGGGCTTCCAGGGCAATCAGAAAAGCCCATATCTGAAGATCACTGTGAATGACCACAAGATGATCAACCGGGTACGACAAACAGTCCAGCAAGGGAATGCAAACTGGAAAGGCCTGTGGGGTAATGTTCGGGAAAACGGCGGGTTGCTCACCTTTGATAATACCCCATATGTGCAGCGATTCATGGTTGATACAAGTGTAAGCGTATTCCGCCCCTGAAGAACGTAATTGACTCTCCAGATCGTTGGCATGTCCTGGGTCGAAGCGCCTATCGGAAAATACAAGATGATCTCGCCGCGCGACCGGCATTCGAACTGCCAGATCGAAGCCCAAATCAGTTACAAAGACCTAATTGCACACCCGGCCGAAGGCGAATACTCTAAAAGTGCACCGCTGCGCATCCTTTCTATGGATATAGAGTGCGCTGGTCGCAAGGGTATCTTTCCTAAGGCTGAGATCGACCCTGTCATCCAGATTGCAAACGTCGTGACGCGATTCGGAGAGGAAAAGCCGTTCGTTCGGAATGTGTTTTGCATGGATACCGTCAGCCCTATTGCCGCTACACAGCTTTTCACTTTCGACGACGAGAAAGAGATGTTGTTGAAATGGCGCGACTTCGTGGAGGAGGTAGATCCTGACGTGATCATTGGCTACAACACCTCGAATTTCGACTTCCCCTACCTTCTCGATCGTGCGAAGCACCTCAAAGCCACGAAATTTCCATATTGGACACGGCTGAAGACCAAGATGTCTGAGCACAGCAGTTCTCGATTCTCGAGCGCACAGTTGGGATCTCGTGACACCAAAACCACGAACACAAACGGTCGCCTCCAGCTTGACTTGCTCACGCTCATCCAGCGCGACTACCAATTGCGAAGCTATACCCTTAACGCCGTGTGTGCCCACTTTTTGAAGGAACAGAAAGAAGACGTCCATCACAGCATGATCACTGAACTTTACAACGGCGATTCGAATTCACGGCGAAGACTAGCAGTTTATTGTTTAAAAGACGCGTATCTTCCTCAGAGGCTGCTCGACAAGCTCATGTGTCTGGTCAATTACACCGAGATGGCTAGAGTCACGGGCGTGCCCTTCAACTTCCTTCTAACACGAGGTCAACAAGTCAGGTTCTTAAGTCAGCTGTTCCGAAAGGCGCTGGAACATAACCTGCTCATTCCGGATATCGCCAAAGCCGGTGGTGGTGACGATCAGTATGAAGGTGCCACTGTCATCGAGCCTAAACGTGGATACTATCAGATGCCTGTCGCCACACTTGATTTTGCTTCGCTATATCCTAGTATTATGCAAGCACACAACCTCTGTTATACAACACTGTTGAGTCAGGATAAAGTCAAGAAGCTCAACATGAAGAAGGATGAAGACTACATCCAAACACCAAACGGCGATTTGTTCTGCACAGCGAAAGTTCGCAAGGGTTTGCTTTCGCAGATTCTAGAGGAACTGCTTGGTGCACGTAAACGTGCAAAGAAGGAGCTGGCTATCGAGAAAGATCCGTTCAAGAAAGCCGTCTTGAACGGTCGTCAGCTGGCTCTGAAAGTCAGTGCCAACTCCGTCTACGGTCTCACTGGTGCAACCAACGGAAAGCTGCCCTGTCTTCCCATCGCCAGTAGTACCACCAGTTTTGGCCGTCAAATGATTGAGAAGACAAAGGCCGAGGTTGAAGCGAAGTACAACATTGCGAACGGATACAGCCACGACGCTGAAGTCATTTACGGTGATACTGATTCCGTCATGGTGAAGTTTGGCACGGCGGATCTTGCTGAAGCGATGAAATTGGGTCAAGAGGCTGCCGACTATGTTTCAGGGAAGTTCATCAAACCTATCAAGCTCGAGTTCGAAAAGGTATACTACCCTTATCTGCTCATTAACAAGAAGCGTTACGCTGGCCTTTATTGGACGAATCCGGACAAGTGGGACAAGATGGATACGAAGGGTATCGAGACTGTTCGACGTGACAATTGTCGTCTTGTTCAGACGGTTATCGAGACATCTCTACGCATGTTGCTGATTGACAAGGATCCTGAGGGTGCTCAAGCGTAAGTCCAAGCTTCATTACATTGGTGCTTTTTGCTAATGTTTCTCTAGCTTCGTGAAAGACACTATCGCCGATTTGCTGCAAAACAAAATCGATATGTCGAACCTCGTCATCACCAAAGCGCTCACCAAGGAAGAGAACAAGCAGGGAGAGGGCGGTTATCAAAACAAGCAGGCACATCACGAACTTGCCGAGCGCATGAAGAAACGTGATGCTGGTTCTGCCCCAGCGTTGGGAGATCGTGTCGCCTACGTCATGGTCAAAGGTGCTGCTGGCGCGAAGAACTACGAAAAGTCCGAGGACCCGCTTTACGTCCTGGAGAACAACCTACCCATTGACGTCAAGTACTATCTCGACAACCAACTAGCCAAACCTCTAGGTCGTATCTTCGAGCCTGTTGTCGGTGAGAAGAAGGCCAACAGCTTGCTCACCGGTGAACATACACGCTCGATCTCAGTTGCGGCGCCTACTATGGGTGGGCTCATGAAGTTCGCGAAGAAGACGCAGACGTGCATGGGTTGCAAGAAGCCGATGTCGAGTGCAGCGGAAAAAGATGGCGCTGTCTGCGAAAACTGCAGGCCCCGTCTTGGCGAATTGTACCAGAAGACGCTATCCAAAGTCAGTGAGCTTGAGGTGAGGTTCGCACGACTCTGGACACAATGTCAACGGTGCCAAGGGAGCTTGCACTGTGAAGTCATTTGCTCGAGTAGGGATTGCCCGATCTTTTACATGCGGATGAAGGCGCGGAAGGATGTGGAAGATTCTGGGAAGGAACTGACCAGATTCGATAAGGACCAGGCGCTGTGGTGAGCATGAATTGCTCTGGCGAAAGGCGTTCTATAGTGTTACTCTGCGTACGTTCTTTGGGGCATTGCATAATGGGTGTCGTTGGGCGAATGGAGGCTTCCACTGCTTTATGGATACCAGCGCTGGAGCAGTATAATATATCCTCACATTTACTTACTGTACTAGTTCATCTACAAGCGCTTGATTTGTACCATGATCAACGTCCCCCTGCGCCTTGAATCCCGCCAAATACTCGTAAAGCCCAATGTTCTCGGCTACCAACCTCTCCACCCCACCTCTCATTCCACAGCCCAAATGCCACCTCCATATCCTTCTCGTCCTCTCCCTCCGGCCCCTCAATGTCCGCGCTCGCATGAAACGTCACCATTCACGCCCGCAGAATCGTTCAGTCGCTGATCCTCCGGCGTAGCATCCCAGTTCTCAGAGAAGAGCGAGCCGTCTACACTCAATCCGCGTGCGAGACCACCCGTCACGCGCGCGGTGTGGAAGAGCAAGTCATTTGCGTCGACGACCACGGGCTTGCGGTTCTGCGAGACAAATAGGCCGAAGAGGAGGCGCTGTTAGCGCTGCGAGCAGAACATCACCAGATCCTTGTCGCCGATGCTGACGCTGACGCTTATGCCTAGTGTGCTGAGCACCGCGTAGCCCGAAGTGATGTACGTGCTGAGTATCTTATCAAGAAGACTGGGTGGAGAGTCGACCGGATTCGTCGGGGAGGTGTGGGATTTAAGCTGAGTCGGGTTATTGGGAGGGTGAGGTTGCGGCGGAGGGCGTGGAGGGTTGGCTGGCGGAGGATATTGAAGGTGTGTTCGGACGAGAGGGGGCTTTTGTTGTGAGCGTGGGCGAGGGATATTGAGTGGAGGGAGGCGCGGGAGGCGGTGTGGGTCATGTCTGGATTATCCGTCTTGCCGTCTTCGCGAATCTGCGCAGTTCGAGGAGGAATGTGGGAGTGGTGAGCCCAGTGAGTCGGGTCAGTATGGGGTGCTGCGGTGTTGTAATTCTTCGTTGTGTGGGAGATCGATGGGTGGGAGACGTGATGCGTACCATCTGTCCGGACCCAAGTAAGCGAAGCAGGAACTTTACTACTCTTTGTAGGAAGAAGCGAGCGAGTAGAAGCTGCACTGCTCACTTAGCAATGTAAGGCACTGTAAATGTTGCTCAATTAGATGTAGTCAAGAAGCTGGCGCGCGGGCGGAGCAAAGTCAATACCATTGCCTGGATAGTATGGTCGATACCATTGTCTCGAATAAGGTATCGTGGCATCATAGAATAAGACCCCTGGATCCAGCGGAATTAGACTCATATGCCGAAGTGGTACTGCTATCTCCGTGCGATGATTTCTCACCTCGCGCCGATGATTCGGCCAGCGATCATGATGGCTTCTCGCTGGATAGATTTGCTATATATTCCACAATCTCCGCAGCAGATGGATCGTCAATAGCCCGCTGTTGTGCTTCAAGGCTCTCCCAAAGTGTCCGACAGGAGATACTGTACGGCGAATTTTGCCCATGCTTGGTCATAATTCATGACTTGAGCCCAAAAGTTCCCTCCAGCCTTTGTCGTACATAGGCAATTGGACGGTTAAATAGGAGTCGAGGTTGAAAAGCTCTTTGTTCACGGCAGGGTAGAGCACAATAGCTTCCGCGAATGAAGACACGGTGTACATGGGGCTGAACGCCTTGGTTAGATGCAAAATTACGATGCTGTTGCTCACTGCTGGATTTCGAAGGAAATAGATACTACCGAAGACGGGTGCTCCGTTTGGAACAGAATCCTTTTTGGGAGAATCTAGCGGTCTTGTGCAAGTTTGTGTTTGGTTATCTCTACTGTGATCGAACTTGCTGACAAGACGTACCCGTGTAGCTTAAGTAAGCTCGAATTGCAGCTCGCAGTCAACATAAACGAGGGGATCCACAAGCTCAAGATGAGCTGCAAGCGACCTCTTGAGAAAGATCTTCGATCTATGGAAAGTAGCGAACGTCTTATACAACACCTAGTGATTTGCCTAGGCCTGATTGGGCACCTACAAGCGACATTTCCAAGGAGATAGTGAGAGGTCCTCGAATACCCCAAAGAACCAGGACCAACTAAACGTCACCGGCCATGCACTTGAGATGCTGCTTCGCGACTTCGATGCGTGGCCACATGTTGCGGAGCCGTATCCGGAAGACTCGTCGGAGGCATGCGAGGCTTAGGAAAAGAATGAATATGATCATCAGAAAAATAGGTGTGCTTTTGTTCAATACTTTACGCCCAACGTCGACAACTTTTTGCCCACAATCGGAGCCCACCCTTGCTAACCGTGACAGTGAACAGTCTTGGCTCTAACATAACATTCAAACAGCGATAAGGTATTGGTACCATTGCCAGAAACTCGACCTCGCTTAAGCCATTCTGTCACACCTATTGAAATATTGTAGTCCCCGTCTTTACGTTGATGTATGTGACGAGAAGCGACACTCGTGGTTATCACCAATGCGCTAGTTCCAATGCAGAAGGCACGCTCCACGCGCTGACTAACCACAAACTTTCCACCAGCGCAACTCCCGCGCATCACCACACCAAAGCTCCAGCCCGTCCACACAATGCCTCCCCGGCTCAAGGCTCTCCGTCTAGCCTCCGCGATCGTCCACAGACCTACAGCATGCACAATTAGCGCGCCGTTCCGCGCGTCGGCCCAGCAGCGCTCTGCCTCGATTCTCTCCTCGCTCTCCGACACTAAGGGCGCGTACAGCAAGAAGATACGTAAAGGTCGCGGTCCGTCATCGGGCAAGGGAAAGACAGCCGGAAGGGGTACGAAGGGTCAACATGCGCACGGAAAGGTGCCGGCGGGGTTCCAGGGTGGACAGACGCCGTTGAGCATCACGAAGCCGCCGAGGGGGAGGGATAAATACAATCCGTGAGTGGCCAATTCAGCTGAGATGAGATGGAAAGCATTTGGGAGACTATGATCATCTCTTTGGTGGTGTCATTAGGCTGGGACGATCAAATGTAGAGAGGCAAGCAGGGCTAACGAGGGTCCTGCAGATTCAAAGTCGAAATGTCCCCCATCAACCTGGACCGCATACAGTCATGGATCGACCAAGGCCGGATCGATACCTCGAAACCGATCACAATGAAGGAACTGAACAAGTCACGGTGTCTGCACGGTGTAAAGAGACATGGCGTAAAGCTGCTTGGCCGGGTACGTCTTCCTTCACTTCCTCTATCACTCCACCTTCCTCTTGAGCATCTATCGTACGAACGGTCAAAGTCGGGTTCGGTCAGCAGCATATATCGGGCAGTGCGCACCTGCAGCTCTTCTTGTGGCAATCGACACCTGCATACGCAAGGCCAGCCCTGCTCTCGCGCCGAATCCTTCGCAGACCCAACCCCGAGACCCTAATCCATACTTACGCCATCATCTTCCATGCTCTCGCTTGGTCCTGTCCTGCCCAAACGCCCCAACTAGCACATGCCTAACTCGGCCACACGTGCCGACCCCGTCTCACCTCATCCTCTCCTCACCACAATTATCCCCCTTACTAACGTTCCCCTCATCAGAACGCCGACCAGCTCACCTCCGCCATCCATATCGTCGTCTCGCGCGCCTCCGCCACCGCCATCGCCCGCATCGAAGCCCTCGGCGGCTCCGTCACCACGCGCTTCTACAGCCCGACGTCGCTCAAGCGCGTGCTCAAGGGCGAGTCGCACCCGATCATCTCGCTGCAGGCCGACGCGGCGCTCATCGAGCGCGGCGCCGCGTACAAAGCGCCGACGGGCCCGCCGACAGGCCTCATCCCGCCCAGCGTCATCGAGAGCCTCAAGGCCGCGCAGGCAGACCCAGACACCCCCGTTGAGGTCAGGCACGCGGCGCTACGCGCCGTCATGGCACAGGTCAGCAAGCGCTACCCGTACCGCCTGCCCGACGCGACGGCGAGGAAGGACATCGAGTACTACCGCGATCCGGCGCACCGTGGGTACCTGATGCACACGGTCAAGGACGGCGATAGCCCGAGTTTGTTCTTCAAAATGCCGGGTGAGGCGAAGGATCGCAAGGGCCAGGCGGCGAGGAGGGCGGCGGCGAAGGCGAGCGCGGAAAACAGGCTGTTCTAGATAGAGAAAGGGAGGGTGGAGGGGAGGTGTACGATATGTAGCATATCACGATGGCTTGGGCACATGTAGATATAGATGTAGGATTGGATATGTATGTCATGCCGTACTATTCAGTGTATATCAAGCTTTCGTCGTCTTCAGGACATGTGCGTGGATTGCGCAAGAGGCAAGAATGTAGTGTGTGGTGGCAGCAGGTGCAGAGTCAAGATGCGGTGGGATACAGTAATAGAGAGAGGTTCGTTCAGAGCAAAGTGCGCTGAACATTTCCAGGCATTTAGACAATGGTTTGTGTTGAGTGGCGTCGAGGCACGTGATCTGTCCCCAAAACGGCGTGAGTCAGTCTGTTGAGTTGCAACGCCTATGCACAAGGAGGCTGCATTCCATGTGCTACGGGTATCGAATTGCAATGTTTCCGACGTGGACTCTTGACGCACACTCTACCGTGGCTGAGCGACTACATCTGGCGCATGGAAGGCACATCAATCCTATAGTAGAGAATCTTTGGTGGAGAAGCAGCACACGTCGGGTCTTCTATTGACACCAGATACGAGAGGAGATCTCTCCATACTACGCTGGACTGTCACTGTATGGTGGCCTTCACTACGAATGAGGGGTTTCCGGGGGCTCTGAAGATAGCGAACGCCAGGATGACCCTTTGTGCTCTATGTAGGGACCTGGCGCAGTGTCGCTGTCGTGCATTCCTGGTGTTGCCCAGTCGACAAAACTGTGCCCAGTGTCTCAGTGAGGAGCGGAGTCGATTTGTCTGGTCGACAGTGGCATGCTGGCTGTGTCACGTGTGGAGAAACGTCACCCTGCTCTGGCGCGACCTTGGTGAGATGACTTGCGAAGCATCGCAACAGCGTTCGGACTCGAATCTAGAACTGGCTGGGCAGCGAGAGTGTTTGTGGCCGTGCGTTGTTCTCGCGAGAGACGAGGTATATTCGTATGCTGCTCGTTAGTTGTCTGTGTTGGTCCCCGATATTGATGACGCCGTGTCAATCCCAGATGGGTAAAATGTAAAGCCCAAATGGATCTGAAGGTCCGAACATACCGAGCGACATTGGACCATGCTACCGATGAGTATGGGATACGTAGCAGCGTAGAATCGTCAGCAAATAGAGGAATGGTGTTGCACAGGGCCGACGCATGGGCGGACCGTCAGATGCGACATTGAAAATATTAAGCTCCGGACGAGATCGTGCTCGCCGTTGCACATAATGCCACGAATGAATTGAATTAGCTCGATCCGCGCTGACCTACGTGCAATAATATGGGAAGATTTCATGATCGACCCAAGCAAACCGGAGCGGAAATCAATAGAAGCTGACTGCATGAGTATAGTATTGTTTGATAACGCCCTGTATGTCGGGGTGTAGCTATCTTACGGATCAATTTGGGCCGGGTTGTGGCTTCATAACGTTGGGGCTTGTCCACTACCTCGTGAAGCGGAACACGACCGGCCGTCCAGATGCATCGTATCGAGACCAATGTCAAGGAGAACACTGTGTATACCCGAGGAAGGCTTGGCGTATTCAGCGTAAAGGCTGTTATGCTTCGAGGCCTGTTCTGGTCACTACAACTCCCAATGTATGCTCATGTACAAGGCTTTAGGATCCATCTCCGAAACAGATTCAGCCGGTCGGCGGACCTCGTACTTCATTGCCACAAGACCGCTGGGTGCAGATCGCGGCAGCCTAATAATCTCTTGCGGAAGGCGTGTGGCGGGTTGTGATATGCCGCGGTGTTGCAAAGAAAGAACATGTCTGACCAGGGAAGGACGGAAGAGAACATAACATTCATGTGGTGCCGGAAGAAGCGGACTTGAAGAAAGAACGCGCTGGCAGGGGTGCATGCCACGACTGGGCGTATCACCGCTGCAAGGTTTCTCGGGCGTGTCACAGGGCGCAGTGAGTTGACCCACGAATGGTCGTGTTGATCAATAATAGTAGCGACCAAAGCCTACTGACGTTTCGCCGAGAGTTGCATGGTTGCAGCCTTCCTCGTGTACTAAGAGAGGCTTCGGAAGTTGGGTTCTGTCGGCAATTGGTTGGGCGCCACCCTATTTGTGCCCTCCAGTGAAACGACTTGTGCGTCTTTCAGTAATGTGCCAACGGCTGCATGCGGCATCTTGCCTCGAAAATATTTGCCTGCACCACAAGGTAAGGTGGATGGTGGTAGTGCAGGTCAGCCGAAAGCGAATGGCATCAGGCTAAGCACACGAAGCAGAAGCACGCGAGAGTGAGGACACAATGAAGCCAGCAAATACGCGGGAAGCGAATGGCGTGGAGGCTGCACGGTGTAAGTGGACAGGCACAAGATGATTGCGGCGAGGCGGTTCCAAGTAAGCAACAGCGGCGAGGCGTGAGCGGTGTCGGTGTCCCTGTTTCTAGACGCGGGATGGGTAACAGGAATGGATGCATCATGCCGCCCAAAGCATATTCGTGTCGTGTCGCTCGTCCAGATCATTAGCTGCATCGCAGTGGTGCCTGCTCGCTCCGCGCATACCAGTCGGTGCGGTGTGTGAAAGAGCCTTGCAGGGCAGAGCTGGAAGGTGGTGTAGAGAAGCAGGCCTTATTCAACGGGCTAGCTGCTTGTGGCGCAGAGCGTCAGGCGAGTAGGAAGGCGCGCAGTCGACGGATGACCAACCCAACTCCAGGCAGGACTCAGGAGAGTGGGATTGCCGGTTCGGGTGTCAGCGAGACATCGAGTGGGACGGCAAAGCTGTGGTGCATTTTGCGGAGGCGTCTCCTCCAGCTCGCCGGAGCTACGCTTTGGCGGTGCATGTTACGATTCAGCGTCAGGAACGCTGGAACACTCGGCACTCTATCTGCTAGTCCAATATCGCCAACATTTATTGCATTGCCCGGAGGCAGGCGCGTCTGTGGGGTGTCGGCTGGACCAAGGAAAGAACACCCTGCACCGTACCTTCCGTGCCCTGACGCTTGCTTGGTGGACGTCACACGAGACCGTCGACGCGGCGACAAGCAAACCATTCCCGCGCTTCGCAGATGAGGAAATGGGCTGGATCATATGTGCGGCGCTATGTGTGTATTCGTGCGTGAGTGGTCTCCCAACCTCTAACTAGGTCAGCACCCGGGATACAAATTACGGGCGCTTCGACCATTCCAGCAGACTCAACCAGTTGCTTGCATACAGTGCCGATGACGGCTGCACGCAAGGCCGGCCGTTGGTGTACATGCAATGTCACGGATGCAGCGCGCGAGCTGACATGTTTCGCATGTACACTGTACATGGACCTTTCGACGGCCTCAACAGGGTCGTCCGCGGCATTGGTTGTCGAGGCCAGGCACGACCGCGTCACACAGTCGGGTGCAAACGAGCTGTGCAGTTGGCTGCATCAAACTTACATGAATAAGAGAGCAATGACACAGTGCATGACCGCGGTACAGGGACCTTGTAAGTATCAAGGTACTAGGGGGCACAGTACTGCGTATTATTAGGATTATTAGAAGTGCGATCCATCAAACCGGTGATGGAGGCCTTGGGTTCGGGCTCTCTGGAATGATACTTAGCACCGTGGCGTAGCGATCTTCATTTGTCCTTGGTCCGTCTGACCTCCTTCTTACGGCGAAGCGAGGGCAGGTTCTTTTTATTATAAAGGACGGCAAAGAGACTAAACCCGGCCAAGTGAAGTTGGAGGACGCAACCAAAGACAGTCGCCACATTCGTGTCCGCTGAAGCGGGAGCAGGGGCGGACAGCCTCGACTCGTCTCAAACAACGTTCGCACCGGACAGGGGTCTGATAGTGGTGCCTGTAAGCCTTCCTTTGGCCGAAGATGGAATTCATTCGACTGTTTGCCGCAAGCGGGCTCCCCTAAGAATTGTGAGTCCGTATGTATGTCGCCAGTGTGATCATCCAGCAGCGTCATCTCCGCGGTCTCGTGGTTGCAGGCGGTAGCGATGCGTGGGGCGTCGTGCAGAAGCAAGTGGAAGCGGTAACCTCGGACATGGTGACTGAGCTGGAGAGATTTTTGCTTCATCCCCACAGTTGCTTCCATTGATCCAGCTGGGCACGATGGTGCCACTGCGGCACTGCATACTTGCGGATGTCCTCACCCCGAAGGCTTTTTGCTAGAACGGACGCACTAGCAGCGTTCGGTGGGCGCGCTCGGCGGTCACGGTTGTTGGAGATAGCGAGCCGATATCATCGATAAACCATAGTGGGATTTACGCGTGAATCCCAGGCGCAGTACGTCTCAGCGTGGCGCGACCTTGGGAGAGCTAATAATGCTGCCGTTTGGGGTCTAGCAGCGTCTTACACCACCGGTGCTTCAGCGAGTCGCTCTCGTATCCGTGAACAATCTGCGGGGCAAGGTCAGGCTGCCGAGTCTCCTCCGTATCACGCCCTGGCTCCAAGCCGCCACCTCGCCAACGCTAGCATTATCCTATCCACCATATTGGCGGTCTGACGGGATCGCTCGTCCAGCAAGACAGCCGGTGGACGGATGCACGGCTCTGGAGCCACATCGCGATTGCTGCACTCCTGCCCACAGTCGTATCACGATATCAGCTACTTTACGGCAAGCAGGCGTCTAGATGCCAGCTTGAGATCGAACATGGCAACGTGCAGGGAGGACAGACGCAGCCGCACCGACCTGGTTGTATTGTGCTGAGTCATGCGTGGCTCGCCTGCATGCGATTTGACCCAGAAGACATGGCACTTGGGCAAGTGCACCTCCTGACTTCATCAGACTATCGTAAGACTAGTCGTAATCGCGATTTGCGAATCACGGCTATTTTGGATAGATCGCTGCTGGTCTGAACGGAGGTTCGCAAGGGGTGTCCACGATCACGAGAAGCTCACCCATGTTCGTGATTACGTGTGCGTCTGGTGCCACACACCGGCTGGGCGGGTACGGAAGAGGCCTTTCTGCTGGCCATTTCACCCCACTCTCACAAAAAAAAAAATCGACTCGTCCCCGCGCCGGCGCAGAGACAGTTGACAGCCTCCGCTGCCCAGACCCCTGCACCTGCGCCTCGAGTTGCATTATGATGGACCATCACGGTTGCACGGTTAGCGGCAGCGCGAGGCGTCGACCGGCAGCATTCTCGTCGCAGGCCGCCAAGCGGAATGCCAACTCGAGAAGCAATGTCAGCTCGGCGCGGTGTTGCTGGGTGAATAGGGAGGGATTTCGCGAACCGCAGCGCAGGTGCCCGCACACAGTGGTTGCATCTTACCCCTTGGACGTGGAGCAGCGTTTGCAGCGGTGGTGACGGCCTGCATTCGCGGCCAGGGAGTGGAAACAGCCAGCCGCGAATCCTAGCTTCGCGCAGTCGATGGAGTCCAAGCACCCGCGCAGGCCGGAGGTGACGGTGTTGATGGGGGGAGCGCGGGATCAACAATACGTCGATGCGTGTTTCGCAGGGGCGCTGATGAACGACGGTGCTGCGGTGCAGACTGCGTCAACTTGGAACGGCGCAATCTGGCCTCTGTGCAAGCGTGTCCGGGCGTGCGATTCGCCGGCGTCGACACACCGAGGGATGCAGTCGGCGACAGCGGGCGTTTTGATTGGGGCGTGTGCACGACGCAGCGCAATTTGCAAAAAAGAGGATTCATCGATCAGCAGCGCTCAAACTCAGCCTGCGAAGCGTCGCGTTGGACAGGGTTCGGGGTCGGAACAAGAAGATGGTTAGGGTAAGACGATATTACCACGGCGGCTTTGCTGCTCGTATCGAATCTGATACCTTACCTACGGCTCAGACTCAGACGTGCGGTTCGCTTGAGCCATTCTGGGCCGCCTGTGAACACAGCGCAGAGGATCCACGGGCGCAACAGGGCTTCGGCAGCAAATCAAACACACGGCATGGACGGCAAGACGCACGCGAAATGCCATTCCAGACCGCCCGCTGCTGGCGCTGGACTGGACTGGACTGGACTGGACTGGACATGGCCGTCCGGGCAGCTCACCACATGCCCGCTCGGTGCTGTGTGGAGAGTGCTAGTCGCGGTTGGACACGAAGAGTGTGCTCATCATGTTGCGCGCTGCGAAGGGCTTGGCCGTGCCGCGGGCTGGAGGCAAGGAGCGCGGGCTCTGGCAGGCAGGCGTGCCGACCCACCTGCGGGCGATGCTCTACGCTACTGTGGTGATGAGCTTCTAGTAGGGCATGTGTGCGCCGTGAGCTGGCTGTGAGCAACGAGGCCGGCGACGCGCACGACAATCCGCGCAGCCCCGGCGACGGCCAATGAGGCAGGGCGGCGGCTGCTGAGGCGGAGGCTGGCGACGAGGCCGCGGCGCCCCAGCAGGCTTGACACGCTTCGGGCCAGCACCGCGCTGCGAGCCATCTAAACGACACGGGCGGGTCAGATGGCAGTCGCCGGCGTGGGCATATGATTTCGTGGGAAGCCCATGATGCGGTCGTCCTGCTGGACAGGCCTGCCGGCAAACGCAGCAGCAATCGGCGGGACGTCAAATAACATGCACCGTGGGCTTGCAACCCCAGCAGCGGCACAGAGAGACAGGCCGACGCAAGCATGACTGCACGGCGGCAGTGTCTGGCTGACCGCGGAGAGGGCGCGCCGGCGGACTGCTTGCGTTTCCACGCTTGGCCGCGCCATGGGCACTGGATCCATGATGCAGACGCCCACCACCCGTGCTGTGGCCGGGGCGGGGCTTTGTCGGTGCTGCCAAAGCAACTGCGGTGCTCTTTGGGCGAGGAATGCGTGGGCTGTTCCGGGCTGGCGCGCAGCCGCTGGCCACTCAGCAGCGCGCGCTCGCCGCAGGGCCGCCTTTCCTCATTCTCCCACTCGCGGCTGCCTGCCTGGGCCGCCCCTGCACCGCGCACGGCCGATGAAGTCAGAAGCTACGGCTACCTCAGTCCATGCCTGGAACCTTCCGAGCCTTGCCTTCACACGTCGTGAATTCTGTGCTGTTTTATCACCCCAACGGCCCCAAGCCATGCTTGTCAAGCAGCACGCCGCCCGGGGCAACATCCCAACCCCATTACGGCACAATCCAAACCACCCGCCTACGGCTAGCCCAGCCCACACCTTGTCGTCCTTTGGTGCCTCTGTGCTGCCCTTCACCACGCTTTCCTTTATTGCCCCGGCGCCTGCTTTGCCCCTTCACCGAACCTGCTCACGATCCAGCACGCCGGACAATCGCTGCCCTGCTAGTCTCATTTCAAAGCATACCGTCAACAATCATTAACACGGACGCTGCCCTTGCTTTGCGCCTCGCTTCCCTGACCACTGACCACCACAACGACTCCGAATGGGCCCTGTCGTGAAGACGCAAACACTCTTCACCGCGCCTTGAGCCAACGCTCCTCACATGCCCAACCCACCCTGAGCCAGGCCCGCCGCTCTCACCACACTCTCCGCCGTCCACATGCTCGAGCTACACCTCCCTCATCCAATGCCTCACGCCGTCCCTCGGGAGCGTCCCTTCGACTTCTACGCTCCCTCTCGCCCCCTCGCCAAGATGGATGCCACCCGCCAGATGCAGCTGCCCATGCCGCAGTTCAACGGTCACCACGGGCGTGATGCCCTGAGAACCGCTCAGCGGGCCCAGCCGCTCACGCCATCCTCAGACTTCCCTGGCTCGGCAGTGAGAGTTGTCTCTCTGCCCTCAACTGAAGGCACCGGCCAGGAGTACGGATATCAGCTGCCTGCAATCGGAAACTCTCGAACAGCAACACCACATAGTCCAGGTGCACAAAGGCACGCCCAGCAACCTACACAAAGCACAGCGCCCCAGCCGCCTGCGCAAAATATGGCACAAAGGAAGATATCCGCTAACCTTAGGGTGCCGGCCACAATCAGCACTCCCCAGGAGGGCTTGCCGCAATTAGCTGCCGAGGTGAGTTCGGTGACAGCTACTGCCTTGTGCTTGGCTGACTATCTCCAGGTGACGTGCCTTTTCTGGTTTGAAAGCTCGACAGTCTTGAAACAGGTTCTAGATGGCAGCTCACCGAGCATGCACATTCAGCCTCTCTCGCCAGATGCCATCCCGACGACCGGCTTCAGAAAATGGGTTACTACCATCCTCACAACCACGCAGGTCGCACAGAACGTGATTCTCTTGGCACTGCTCTTCATATATCGGTTGAAGCTCACCAACCCCACGGTTAAGGGGAAACCTGGAAGCGAATATCGCCTATTGACCGTAGCTCTAATGTTGGGCAATAAGTTTCTCGACGATAACACATACACCAACAAGACGTGGGCCGAAGTCTCGGGAATCTCTGTGCAGGAGGTGCACGTTATGGAGGTGGAATTCCTTAGCAACATGCGATACAGCTTGTTCACCTCACAAAAGAAATGGGAAGAGTGGCATACGATCGTTGGCAAGTTCGGGACCTTCTTCGATCGAGCATCCAAAGTACCGCCGACGAGCGCCATCAGCCCTGTCAACACGATGCCCCCGCAGCTCGCTCGCCCCAATTTCGTCCCTTCGCCTCCCACATCTCAACAGCCATCGCCTCCGATGCAGATGCTGTACTCTCCATCACACAGCCAGTTCTCCAACACCCCACTTTTGCAGCCGCAAGCTACGTCTACTGCCGTGTCTCCGATTGGCCCCCTACCGGAACTTGGTCCCATCCAACGCAAACGCAGCTCCGACTACAGTGTAGAGCCACCACCAAAACGACATGCTCACGGATTTGCCCCCGGTCCCTACAGCAACGCCCCTTTGATTCCCACGCTACAAGCGCCCGTCAACAGGTCTTTCGAGGCACCCCCATCACTGAACAGGCTCCCGCCACTACCCAGTCTGTCTATTCCGGCCCCACAATCCAACCCTCCTATGCAGGTCAAAAACTGGTCAGATCTCCCGCTGTCCGTACCGGCACCTCGTTCCATGGCCATGGTATATCCTCCTCCAGTGCAGTGGCAGCAGCCGGTCAGCACGCCCACTTCGACTGCCCCGCCGTCCATGTACCCCACACATACTCCCACAACTGAACGGTCACGCCAAGTTAGCCCATACCCGCCCTCCGCCGGGTCTTCTCCAACTAGCGCGACTTATCCCGTTGCGGGACAGCGGCAATTGTCTCCGTCGTACTTCCTCAACCAGAGGCAGTCGCCGTATCGCCCCGTTCGTGGTGTTCACACGCTACTTGTACCCCCGCCATCGACCTCAATGCACAATCCGGCCCGCAACATCGCGTACGAGCAAATGCAATATCAGCCGCTTGGTCGCCCTACCGCCGATCGTCGTTCTGGGCCTCTCCCCTACATGGATCACGGAGCATGGCCAGAGGTCAATCAATTCAATCAACTTCCCATTCCGCAGCAGCCCGTCTTCCGTTGAGGAGCAGGCTACTATGTACATACATGACACCTTCACCAACAATCCCAACAGCGACTTGGGTGTATCTTCGTCCTTTTGTCTTTCGGTCCTGCGTTCAAGCGTTGCATTGCATTGGGCAGTTTTATTTCCAGCACGCTGGCCGTCCAAAGCCAACTTATTTCGGCATTTTATCTAGCATCACAAGGCGTTATGTGGCCAGCATCTGTGGACTGGCAGCACTTGACACGAGTGCGAATAAGGAGATCGAGCCTCGCATATGCGACGGCTCCTTCGGGTCCTTCGGATAGCAATACTAGTAGATCAGATCATTGCGTCTCTGAACCTTCGGTGGTTTGAAGGGTCGCCACAAATCAAAATCATCATGGAGCATCATTGAAATGTCTTTGTCCTGTTGCACACGCGTGAATCAAGATCACGATGGTCGCCCGGGTTCTCACGATCCAGTAGCGTTGTTCTGTGCCATGGTTCTCGTTTGTCCGTGCAGTGGCTGGAACGGAGTGATGTTGAAAATGCGGCGTGCTGATTGGGCGGCGCGTTTGAAGAGCGGAGCTTCGCGTAAAGATGCTGATTTTGCTAACGCCGGGCTTAGGGCCTCGGCAAATGTGAAAGGTAGTGGATTGGATTGGATTGAGCTTGAAGGTCCCCGCTTAGGCAACGGGAACGGCGACACCGCGGCTGCGCGCTATGATGCTGGTACAAAGGATGGGATTCTGGTAATAGGGTTTGGGGTGGACGTTTGCAGGAGGGGGCGGGCGGTCAACAAAGCAAAGAAAGAGAAAGCTCCAGGGGCGACATGCCGATTTTCTCACGGCGATTACGAAAGTACCGTTGCGATAGGCTGGCGCGTGCGCTTTCGGGTGCACTTGAGCATTGAGGGGATGGCGCCGCGTCAGGTTCAATAGGTTGTAGTGGTGCATGGTGATGGGTTGGGATTGGGGTTAGTGGGTGGCGGCGGCGCGTGGGGTCGACGGCGTGCTGGGCTTGGTAAGTTGCGAGACATGAGGGACCAAGGAAGGATGGGCGTGGTGCGGCGCGAGTCACGGCAAGGCGAGCTGAGGCACGGAATAAAGTTGGAGGAAGACGGGACAGGATGTGTATTCAGGGGACATAAGGCTTGCGTAAGTGGGCGGGCGTAGGCATCGACCGAGATGATGTTGGGTTTGTGTTATTTCCGTGCGGGCGCTGGCTGGTCCTTTAAGACACAGACGCAGACGCAGACGCAGTGCCGAATGCGGATGCGAAGGGGGGCCGAGGTGCGTGCGTGCGCCTCCAGACTTGGACCCTCATCGGGCCTGACAGCCTGTACAGGCCGTGACGTTGCCGTGAGGCTCCCCATGTTCTGTGCATACATGCATGGGTGCTTCTATGCATGGAAGCGCACACATGCGGTTCTGCATCTGCCGCAGCCACAGTACATACTTCATTGGGGCGTTTGCAAAGGCATGAGGTCTGTGTGCTGTCCTGCGCAGGTATGTGTGGTTCTGGAGGACAAAAGATTTGCTTTTGTGGCGCGGTGTGTGTTTCGGCGGAGAATTTGGCGACAATCATCGCGTTCCATTCATTTCGACATGCCCACCTAGATTGGAGAGATTACGGGATACGTCCTTCCGTCCTTCGTCCTTTGTGCGCGAACGGCGAGGCTACCGTCTCTTGGGACTAGATACTTGTTCCTCCCGCGTTGTTGGTAATTACCGAGAATTGCTTCTTTCGGTGAGTCGTCGGTGTGCGTAGTGTCAGAACTTGGGAGATTGGTGCTCGTGTTGCATGACGGAGGACGGAGGACGAAAAGCCAGGCGAGGAGTGAGGAGGCTGTACAGGGTTTGATGCTCGTATTGGGGATATCGACTGTTTGCTTGAGTTGATGTGAGCAACATAAAGCTCCGGAGCTTTTATGCAGATGCTGCGCCCATGAGTTTAAAGCTGTGGCAGGCTTTCAGTTCGTCTCTGGAATCCTTGCGTATCCACTTTTCTTATATCTTTGCTTTAGATTCGTCATGATCATTTACATTCCTGTAACTGGCTACCTTGATGATCACCATCGCTATATCTGTTCCGCTTATACAAAAGTGTAGTATCTGCGAACGAATCGCTCGTCGAGGATATGCAGATATCACGAAAACAGGTGGGAGAAGCGGAGCTCAAACCGCCTGCCTGGTGTCACTGCTGCATCTTTCCGTCCTACATCCGGAATATTTTGTGCTGCTCCATTTACACGAACACTGGTCAAGTTAGGGGTTAAGGTGCAGTTGATGGTTCAGCTTCACGACTAGTGCGAGGCACGACAGGCCTGTGCATAAGTGAATTACCCTCCTCGAGCCAAAACGAATGAAGCTGTTGATGATTTATGTAGCTGATGAGAACTGATTTACCGAATTATAGTCCTACTAAGCACGTATCTTTGTTGTTCGATAGGAACACACATCGACCTGGTACTAGAGGCATTCGGCAACAGCTTTCTACTGTGTTGTCTGTTAATACAAAAGCGGGTTAGCGCTCACGCTTGTCAACCCCACCTGCTACTCCGCATACAGATTGCTACTCGACACAAACACTTTCCCGCCATTAGGACCAAAATTTGAGTACTGTCATTTCACGCTAGGATATCAGACGTTCCTCTTCACGTACACCTTGTTTGAATTGACGTTCTCTCAAATCGAGTCATGGGAGACGTCGTCAGCGCTTTCAAGCGTCTGTCGCGACCGCAAACTACACCAACTGGCTTGCCCAATCACTGGGTCTTTCAGTCTCGACATGTAAGTAACATATATTTCACAGCAACAACCAAATTATGTTAGGGGTGGATATGCTGCAGAACAACACAACGCTCGTTCGCAGGCTCCCACCCATCCGTGCTGCGGTTACAAATTTCCGATTACCTGGCATCAACTAGTTTACAGTTTCACAGAGAAGACTGACTTGCCTTTGGCACAGGTGCCACTCGAGCCGCCTGGCGATCTGGTTGTTGCCGTGCATCCTCAGAGCAGATACCAGCTAACAGCAGGCCCATTCCAACTCACAACGACACTGACCACCAAAGAGAGGGCTGAGAAGGTGCTTCCTCACCTGTTGCAAGTATTCATCAACGAGGTTCAGGGCCCCGACGGGAGCATCGTCGAATCGAAGGCTCCATGGAGCTGGTCCACTACCGATGAGGCATTAGCTATGGCTTTGAAGCCTCTATTCTCCCAGCATGGATTTCCAGAGGAGCTTCAGAATATCAAAGTATGCAGTGGGGACGAAAAGGTTATCGCCAACGAATGCTGGGATGAGTTGCTAGGTCGGTTGGTGGAGTCTGTGAGCGAAGACGCACGATCGACGCGCAATCAACCCGCTATTCAAGAGGCTGGTTCCGGTGTCCAGCTCGGCGACGAGACGAAGTGCCACCGTTGCCAGAAGGATCGTAACGACACGGCATCGCCCTTGATGAAATGTGCCGCCTGCAAGAAGGCTTGGTACTGCTCTCCACCTTGTCAAAAGGCTCATTGGAAGCAGCACAAAACTGCGTGCGTTGCGAACCGTCCGAGCAAGGATGCAACTGCATCATCCGTTGATGCGCACAAGTTCTACAACACCGTGGCTCACCAATCTACTGAGGCCAAAGCACTCGCTGCGACGCTTAACCTGGAACTTCCTACATCAGCTGCCGCCCTCGAAGGCACAATGTAGGTGTTCATAAACGGATTGGTAATATCCTAACTAATGCATACATCCAGGAAGCCTCTGCGACGGCTCGTCATCACAGGAAAGGACACCGCCACCAACATGCAGCTGCTCTTTGGTCCACAGTGGCGCGACAGCCTCCTGAAATCATACGACGAAGTTCGTGCCCAAGTGCTCTTGAATCCTCCTCGTGGTTCTCCCGCCTATGTCATGGCCGCGAATCTGGACAACGGTGCCCCAGCTTGGTCCCCTCGACCACCGAGCGAGTCCGAGCAGCGCAAGGTGGACGAAGTGCGAAGAATGCAGTCAGCAATTCGGGCGCGTGTGAGCGCTGGCAAGTCTCCCTCGAACGCCGATATGCAGGCCATTCTGCTGTCGTTCGGGGCCAATTGGATGGATCATCTGCCTCTCTACCAGCTTGCGGTCAACACAATGGACCAGGGTGTCCAGGTACGTTGAGCAACGTCAACAAGACCAGTCAACACATACATGTTCGAGGAGAGTTTCTTGAGTTCTCAGTCGCTCGAGGAAGAAATGTGACGCCAGGTCTGGTACGTGCTCTGCTGGCTTTCCATGATGCCCGCGAAGAGATGGTAATGGAAATTAAACGCTGCGATCATTACGGACTGAGCAGAAAAAAAAATTACTCAGAGGCAATTCTAGAATATCATAATCCCAATACACATTTTTGCTTTCTGGTTACCGAGAACGTATTTTGCGTTTCCGTGCGTCCACTGTGGCCGGGTAGGCCCATCGGGTGCGGGGCTCATACGAGTTGAGAAAAATTCAGAAAAGTCTTGTCCGTCAATCATATGCTGATATCCTGGAGGTTGCAATCGCCTTCTGCAATATCTCTCGTCGTACATCCGATGCCCGTCTTCTAAGGGTGACACCCGTTCATTCTCACTTCTAATGCACAGGCACCAGAAATCGAGCACATGGTAAGCTTAGAAGACAGCCCTGGAATTTCTTAGTCACACTTGTACTGAACGCCTGATAAATAACGACCCTCAACTACATACAATGCAAATTTTAACTTAAGGCTGGACACTTGGCCATAGCCATACAAACGAAGCCTCAACGACGCAATGTCCTTAAGATCTCGGCACTCGAGAGTCCGATCCCATTGTTTCCGTACGTCGTGACACAATCGTCTCTACGTCATTCGTGAGCAGGGCGGCTCCGACCTGTCACGTCGTGTGCGCTTGGTTCCTGTTCATTCGCTTTAACATTCTGTCGCTTCCGGTCCTTGTTTCCTCCTCGCTCCGCTCTGCTCATAGACAGGCCGTCTGTCACCAACCAGTAGCGTCCTGCTTCCAGAAAATTCTTTCTCTATATCCCTGTATGTATGGACCTGCCCACCAAGTTCTATCGTCTTCACGGTCATCCGGCCGACAACGTACTGGCTGCCAAGTATTTGGTCGGCCGCAGCCTGAGCTGCTCGAGCACTGTGAGGATTGTCTACATCGTGAGCATTGGTGGATACTATCTCTCCGCTCACACTTGAGTTGGAAGAGCGACCAACACCAAGCGGTGGGATAGCATCGAGATGTCTAAGGAGCGCTGCTCCGGTTATCTCATCTTGGTCCTGCTGGGAGTCCACGGCCAGAAGCTGTGGCGATGCAGGTCCAGGTGGCTGCGCCCCTCCGGTCTTCCGAACATGTCCCTGGGACTTCATTGTCGGAGGCTGTACAGGCGCAGGTATATTCGGAGGCGTTCCTGTCCTATCTGCCACGCATGCGTAGGAGTTGTTCCGTCTTTCCCGGTCCCGTACAGGTGCAGGCTGAATCATATGCTGCCGCTGGACTGGTGCGAACGCTCGGCCACGAGAGAGCTCAAGCATCGTGGTTTCCAGCTTGCATTCGGCCTGTTCGCCAGCTACGCACGCGGCGCAATCTGACGCCCGGGGCTGCATTGTCCGCATCGGTAGGGGTAGGGACGCTTTCGGCTCTTTTGGTAGCGGCAACGTTGAAGATGTGTTCGACTCCATCGTCGGGAGACTTTCGCAGTCAGCAGGCTGGAATGCCTTCTGTGTAGCGTGTGTGCTTACCTTTTTGTTTGAATAATAGGGCCTGTTGGCGTGGAGGGGTTGGGTATGAATTTGCAGCGCTTGTCTGCGACGTTGTCGAAATGCTCTTTCCCCGGTTGTTGTCAGTGCTTGTTTCAAAACTGTCAAGTCCACCGTTCTGGTGTCTAATTCAGCAACTTTGTACAGCTATTTATGGCTATCAACGACGGTATTCTGGCTGATTTGACGCAATCATTGTGTAGCGTCTAGTTTTGATGTCGCTGACTTCCAAAACTATGGTAAGATCCACAGCCAACCGTGGTTTCGGAGCGCTATAGTCTGTCAGGCAAGTACAAATCGTGGATCCTACCTCTAGTAAAATCTCAATATTATTTAATTCATTGACGCCGTCGTATATCCAAGAGGATCGCGGGCGTGGTGCTCATGGTATGCACGGCAAGAAGAATAGCTCCAATATATGCCAAATATCCTCCTCTTCCGGCGAGTCTACTCTGGACTACAATAAGCACACAACTAAAATCACACGTGGTGAAAATAGTAGTGCGATACTCATGCACACTTTTCTCTCTGCGCAATGGGAAATAGTGAACGTGAGTGAGGCGTTACCAGCTCCGAACACGTGGTGCAGTAAAGGACCACGATACTCTCACCGCGCACCCATGCGCGAGACTCGACCCTAAGGATATATGTACATGCTTCCTCGCATCTACCGGCCAAGCAAATTCGAAAAGCGCGTCTTGTCCCACCCAGCCAACCACTAATAGCCCACTCATCTACCAGTACGTCACTGCAGCAAACACGCCAGACAAACGCTGAAAGTGCCATATAGCTCCACATAATGTCTGTCCCTGAGGTCGAGGCTGCGTCTTCAGCACCCGCAACGGAGAATCACAGCACCGCTCGAGCTTCAGCGTCGGGCAAGGAGCGCAATGCGAAGAAGTTCCTCTCCAACGCGAAGAAATGGTTTCAGAAGAACGACAGCGAGAGCGAAGAGCTTGAACCAGGCTTCTTGGGTGATTGCTGGGCTTGTGGGGCTCGTCTTGAGGTAAGATGTCCTCGAGTGTTTGCTTTTAGGAATTGTTGTCCTTATGAATGGTGTAGTACACTGATATTGGTGTGACCGGTATCGAGTGCCTCGACTGTCGTATGCCGAATTGAGCATGTGGCTACGGAGATCTTGAAGAAGATATACCATCTCTCTCTGGACGTGTCAAAGGACAAGTGTGGGAAAAAGTTGGAGGCATGCCGACCGTGAGGACCAGAGCAGGGGTAAATGAGGCATGATGGAGGTTCCTTGGTTTATCTAGGTCATATCTACTGAACGTTTCATGGCCAGAGTGACTCCTCAACAGTACTTCGAGTGATTAAGGAGTGCGTTGCACATACAATCCATACTGTTGACTACAATGCCACAAGTCTTGTTCAGGAAGTCAATGCAGCTTTGAGCCAGATCGTGATCACTTGGTAATTCGAAGACTGTATATCCGCATAATCCTTTGCGGGGAACAGCTCGTCAAGATCTCGTAAATTGCAAGCTACTTATGCCTTCCCCATATCCACCTGATACCATCCCAGTATACTTATTTCCCCTCCGCGACATCCACCGCAATAGAATCACCGCTCGGACTGCGGATGCTGACGATAGATACAATCCACAAACTACACCATCCAACTCAGTCCCCGCCTCACGAAAAGCAAGCCCGCTCCCACCTGCAACACACGCACCAGACCCGCTGTGCTGCCAACTCACCCCGAGTGCTGTCTGCGAGCGTTTAGCTAATGCAGCACTTCAACCGCTCATACTTCGATCACATACCTCACCTGACCCAACTCTCACATAACAGCGCAGTTATACCCGCCCGTAGGCACCTGCACGATACCTGGCACACGAGCATGCACCACCCTCGCGCACGTCTTGCGGAGCAGCTTGCTTGACGCAGTCTTGCATCCATTCTCGGACTCGGTGCGCGAGATGAGGAACGTGGCTCGGACTGGGGTAGAGCTTGTAGAGTCGATGTCGGGTTGCTCGTCCCCGTCTTTAGAATTGGCCGCGAAGGTGAAAGTCGTGACAACGATGGCCGCTGTAGTCCTACCGGGTGGAATGGATGGGAGGTTGACCGACAAAGGAGCCGACGTGAGGGTAAGGAAGACCTTGGCGATCTTGCTCCCACTGGAAAGAAAGCCAACCAGCAACTCCCTCCCGCGCAACTTGATGCCAGAACCGCGCAAGACGCGGAAATTGCACATGGCGTAGACCGCAGGAGCCAGTTTTGCGAGAATGGAGAATGCGGTAGCCACCATGGCAGCGGCGAAGATGAAGAAGATTCGAGAAGACATGGTGGACTGGTTGCAGATGCAGATGCAGACGTGCGTGGTAAGTGTCGGGATCTGCGAGCAAGTGTTGCGTCCGTTCGCAGGATCGTAAGAAGAAGATGGAAGATGACGATGAAGTATGTTGCGTAGAATAGACGTCGAAGTGCAATATGTGTAGTGTAAGATCTAACAAAGTAGAAGCTGCGGAAAGGAGATAGATATACAGCCGTCTTCCAACCCGTCTAGCATTGTTCCTGTCTTCATATTGTACGACGACAGAAAAAGTGGAGGCTGTGACTGCGAGCTTGAGGTGTGGAGTATGTATCGCAAGATCGTTCGTAAGCATTGTCTACGGTCGAGGGAGAAGAGCGAGACAATACTTAGCTGGGCGCACGAGGCCGTGTAAATATTGTTCTTGAAGTGGGACCGCGAGGTGAGGTGAGAGGTGGCGTTGATACGGGAACAATACTAACGCACGAGCGAGCTGATGCTGGATGGAGCTGGGAAGCATGGAGTGAATCGTTCAGAGAACCGAAAGGTGACGTCACACTCTCTACCGCGAATGACCCGCACGATGGAGAATCGTGTCCATTGGGTGGTCGTGACTTGTAACTCAGCTGCCGAACCGCAGTGAGATGAAAAGCGAGGGCTGACGCGCACTCAACCCAACATACTCCTTTTTCTTCCCCTCAACCGCACATCCTCCAACCTCTTCAGCACCGCCCTCGCCCCCTTGAAGCTCTCCCCATACGCATTCAACACCTCCTGGAATAATGGCTCCGCCTTCGGATGCGTCGCCGCAAATGCCCTTTCAAGCACATACAAGTCCACCGCGCGATCCTCATCCTGCAGATTTTGCGTAGAATGCGAGGCCAGGCCGAAATCAATCAGCACGATGTCGCCCTCCAGCTCATTCGTCTGCTCTCGCCCCTTCGCCTCCACAGACGGAAAACTAGGCACCCCGCCATCCTCGGCCAGCATCCTCATCTCGCTCGTCGTCATGCGGCCCTTCCTCCCTTCCCCACTCACACCTTCCTCCCTCCGCTCATCCTGCCTCACCATTAGATTACTCGTCGTCAAGTCCCCATGCACAACCCCGATCCCATGCAGCCTCCCCACGGCCCTCCCCACCCTCCCCATCAACCCCAACACTCCCTCCTCCTCCTGCGCCCCCCGCTCCGCCCACCCATCCAACACCGCCCTCACCGTCCTCCCCTCAACCCACTCCAACACCAACCACCCCGCCTCCCAATCCGCGCCCAGCACCCCCGGCACATCCACCCCATCCCGCTTACACCGCACCAGCACGCGCGCCTCGGCGAGCAGCCGCGCTTTTGTGAGTCGTCGGTCGAGTACTGGGTGGCGGTAGGGTTTCGGAGGGCGGTATTTGACGACGCAGGGCGTCTGTGGCGTGAGGAAGGTAGACTTGTAGACGAGGGCTTCGGCACCTTGGGTGAGGACTTCGAGGTTGGAGGCTGTGAAGGGCGAAGGGAGCGTGTGGAGGGGGCGGTCGGTCGGTGCGGGAGAGGGCGCGCGGAGGGGCGGCGCCGTGGGCTCGATGGTCTCGGGCGCCATTCTGGCGGGCGTGGAGGTGTCGCAGGACACTGTGTCGCGGAACAGTATTTGGGTTTGTGACGGTTCGTTGAGGCAGGCGAGAAGTCGTGCGTTGTTGTGGCGAGTGAAGGGGTGGGAAATTTTGTATTTACTGAGGTCGCACCTGCCCCGCTAGAGCTCCCAGCGCGATGGGTTTATCGATAAGTTCAGCACCACGTCCGCCGATCGTCATAGACAGCCGTTGAGGACAAGCGGTGGAAGCGAACATAGGGCTGAGAACCAAGATCGAGATCGCGTCGCGGGCAGACCCATGGCGTTCCAGCGATTTGCCAGGACCACTGCGTCGGCATCAACGAGCGTGCATGACATTTGGTGAGTGATGGTCGCATTCAAAACATGCTTCACGAGGGTCACGTTTTCAAGGCAAGTTCGAATTTATGTTTGAATGAGTGTTATTGCATTCAGGTAGTCATGCTACGTGACCACTCATATCTTCGTCCTAACGAATGCCATGCCACCCCGAAAGGCCTGGCTATGGAGATATCATATTCTAACTCCCCCCTCGAGAGAAACAATGCAAGCGAATGCAAGGAGCACCAGCCACAGGCCAAGGTGCTCGTTGGGTGTAAAGCCAATCCCCGAACTGAACATGTGTATCCTTCCAATCTTGTCGCACAAACTGGATTAAAGCCATCCACATGCTCAGTAAAACAGTTCGCATGTCGTGGAAAAGAAGAAGTTCGAAGAGGAGCCTCACTAGCAATGGCATACAGGTATGCTGCACGGCTAACGAGGCGACGAATGGTAATGGTATGGAAAGCAAACGCAACACAAACAGGCAACCGATCCCACCCAAAATGCACCAACAAACAATGACGAAACAAGGAAACAAGTCGTAAGTGGCCGTAATGTGGGAGCGCCAAACCTGACGCGGTAGAAGTATGAACAAGAGAGCCCGGTGGCATCTCAGGAGAGCAGCAGGTTCTCTCAGCCCAGAAGAATCTAGAACATTGAGCTCTTGCGCTTCTCGGCGGAAGTGAGAACAAGCGTGGGCATTCGCTGCCTCTGCTCCTCCGCGCGGATCTCGACGAGACCGCCACCAACGGAAATACCCTCATCGCTGCTGATGCTGTTGGCAGTGTACGATCGGTCGACAGTGCGGTCGCGAGAACGCTCCTTGGACGCCTTCCTCTCGGAACCGATGGCACCATTGGCAGCCGCGCGCAGGCTGCCGATGCTCTGTTTGCCAGAAAGGCTGCCGCTGCCGGCACTTCGGACGCTGTCGGTGTCGTTGTCGGACAATGGAAAAGACATCTCAGTCTCGCTCACTGGGCTGGTGCTACCGGCGCTGCCAGGACGCTGGGTACGGCGTCCCACACCAGCGCGAACAAGGTTGCTTACAGCCTGTCGGCGTTGACGAGCAGCAAAGTTCTTGCTGCCCTCGTGCTTGGTGGTAGGCTTCTCCTTCAGGTCTTCGATCGAAGGTGGTCCACGGGGCTGACGAGTAGGGTGCTCTCCTGCACGTGCTTGGCCGGGACCGAAAGTGCCTGTGTTGGGAGTGGCCGGAAAGCCTACAGGGCGAGCAAAAGCAGACTTGGGACCCTCGGGAGCCTCAGTCTTCGCGTCCAGAGCAAGCGTAGAGAGAGTCTTTTTGTGGCCGCGGCGGAAAGCGTTGGCGGATGGCGGCGGAAGCGGGTCGAAGTTCTGGGGCGGCGTGTTCGACTTCTTCGGGGGAGAAGAGCTGCGTGAGGCCCAAGGGCTGGGGTTGGACTCGTTGGGAGGCGACACCTGCACGGTGGGAGTGTTGGACTTGGGGGGAGAGTGCGCGAAACCAGGAGTGGGCGGTGGTGGAGAGTGAGACAGACCGGCAGCCTGGAACTCTGCCATCTCCTGCTGCAGAGCAGGGTCCACCACGTACTGGTACTGGCCAGTCAACTGGTTGTAGGCCAGGTAGACACCGGGCTGGCCGGTCTCCTGGAGCAGAGCGTTCTGTTGGGTTTGCTGGCCGTAAGGAGTGTACGCCATGTTGGGGAACGACTGCTGGCGCATGCCGCCGCCGAGGTTCATGTTGCCAAACTGCTGAGCAGTGAGGTTGAGGAGCTGCTGCTGAAGCTGCTGCTGGCGCTGGGCCAAGTAAATCTCGGTCGCGAGAAGCTGAGCGGCAATGTTGGGGTCGATCTCACCGTCCTCAAACTGAAGCTGAGGAGGTGCAAGAACCTGGTCGTACATCATCTGCTGCTGGCCGTACTGCGGGGCGCTGGTGAAACCGGCGCCAACAGCAGTCTGCGGCATGCCCTGGTTTCCGTTGAAGCCCTGGCGAGCACCCACATTGTGCTGACGCTGGCCGTATGGGGCGGACGCAGGAGGCTGGGCAGAGGTAGGCGTCTTCGGGGCAGTACGAAGACCAGCGAGGAGGTGGGAGCGACTAGTGCGAGGAGTTGCTACCTGCTCAGAGTTCTCGGCAATGGAGGCAACCTTGGGAGGAGAGGCGACGCTCAGGCGCTTGAGCGAAGCGCCCTTACCGCGCGATCCAAAGCCACCAGTAGGCATGCCGAGACCACCGGACTGGAAGTTGTTGTAGGTCATTTGAGCAAGACCGCCAGCGTCCATGCTCATTTTGTTCTTGTCTTGGTGCGAAACGCGCGAACAAAGAGTAAGGCTGAACAAAGTGGTGCTTTGGGAGGCACCTGGAAAGATGAAGTGAAGAGGTAGCCGGACGCGAGCTCACGGGCGGCGATGGAGGGAGGGGAAGCGCGTAGAGACTGCGGACGCACTCTGTGAAGTAGATATGGTACAGGACGTTTGCGTGTGCAGACGTGGAGATTGTCGCGCGATTAGCTGATTAAGGATCGTAAAGATCGGGTAGAGTGGTGCTTTGATCGAATACCGGCCGACGGGCAATGCTGAGTTGGGCTATTAACAAACGGCGAAGCTGCGGGATGCTGTCGTGGAAGGCACGGGCGCGTCGAGATGGGCGGGCTCGGCAGTTGAGGGCTGGCGACAGAAGCAGGCGGGCGCACAAAGTATGTCGAATGGAACAAGTGGTGAAGGTGAATACAGGAAGGGGTCAAGGACAGTGGCTGTCGAGTGTCGAGTCGGCGTCGGCTTGCGTGCTCTTCTTTCACTGGCGGGTTGTTGGGAGCGGCGGTACTGGCGCGCTCGAAGGGATCGAGATTAGGAGTTGTAATGCTGGTCCAAGGGACAACTATAAGATGCAAGCAGAAGCCGCACGAGGCAGAGAAGAGAGCGAGGGCGAGGAGAGAAGGCCAGGAGGGACGAAGGAAGGAGACAGACAAGTAGTGCGGGAAGCGGGCTGGATGGCGACTGTTAAGTGGGTGGCCCATGCCGGATGGGCGACGTCCGTGCGCGCATTCAGGGGCGGGCCACTTGACGATCCAGCCCTGCCTGCGAGCTACTGCAGCGGGTGCAAATTGAAACCGCGGCCGCCATGCGCAGCGGCGCCAGGCCCGTTCTGCGCCGTCAGAAATGCGTGCCCACGGGTGCCGAGTCCTGAAGGGGCGCCGATTGCTATGCGGCCCTGGGCGTGGTGGTGTGCGCTGCTCATGCCTGCGCTGCTCGTCCACGGCAGCTGCCATGTCGCATTGCGAGGCAGGTGCCCGCCTGCGGCCAGGAAACAGCCATGGCAGGAAACACGACCGCGCCTCGCTGCCCGCCAGGCGCCCGCCTAGCACACCGCACGGCGGGCATTCCTCGCGGTGCGTGCTGTGCGGTTGCGCGGTTGACCAGTGACCGGCCGCTACGAGCAGCTACACGCAGCCAACGGCGGCTACGCGTCCGCCAGAGCACGCGTCGGGCGGGCAGCAGCCAGTCAGCGCACGCCGCCCGGCCCAAGCCACGCAGACGTCTAATAATACCACCGAGTAGTGCCTCGCCGCCAGTCCCCAGGCTCCACGGTGCTGCGTTGGTGCACACGAACGACTGGTCGTCGAAGCCAATGCCGTCAGTCGGCGCACCTCGACGCCCGACGCTGTGCAAACCGCCCCAGACCGCCGCGCAGCGAGCAGACTCGCGCCGGACAAAGCACCTCGCGCCAGCCGGCCGGCGAGTAACTGCACCGCCGTCTCCATCTGGCTTGCTTCCTAGCGGCGCAGAAACTATCGAACTGCTCCATCGAACGAAGTCCGACCACGCGCCAATTTCGCTTTGGCTTGGAGCCAGTCCCTGGCATACGGGCTGCCTGGTCCTGGCAGGGGGCTCCCCGTCTCACATTGTCTGAAACGTCTCACCAACTCACATTCTTATCTCGCCAAAGCGCACGCAGGAACACAAGCCCTTGCCAAGGCCATCCGCTCAGCGACCATCGAAACATCTGTCCTTTCCCTCGGTCGCCCTCTCCCAAGGGCGTCGGCAGCGTGTTGGTGCACGTGACCCTCCGAGACCCAGTTTGGCTGCTGACTGGCTTGCCGCCCCAGCAGCTGATGGCGGCGGCTATAGCGCCGACAACCCAACGTCTCCATCAGTTACCAACAGCTCCCGGTCAAAACTCAACACCGGCGGTGGACACATGCGTTCGTCGCGGATTGAAGATGGCTCTTTGCGCCGTTTCACGAACACGTCTGACGTTCGTGGCATGACCGTGCATCCCCGCGCGTGCACCCCGACGCCTTGGAAATCTACGGTCGCCGGGGCCCGCTGCCGATTTCAACAATTCTACATGCAACTGCCTTATTGCAGTCACACGAGGCCATCGTGCGGCTGCAACAGCGGGACTGCCGACACCGTGAACGTGCACGTGTGGAGGGACAGACACGCCTCTGCCTCAAACATGAAGTCGTCCGAGGTGCCGTCCATCTTGAATTTTGCGATGCCCGCGTACAACATCAAGCTGTGGTCAGGGCGCATCTGATCGCAGAACCGAGGTATACTCCACCGATAAGCTCCGTCCTCACAGGTGGTATCTGGGGTCGTAGTTCGCATGAATATCGCTCCGCTTGTACCTGCCAATTTTCTGACCTCTATTCGACACGACACAGGTCCAGATCGCTGCAGAAACGCCCTGGTCATGTCGTTCTGCTCGCCGAAACATCTGATCGCTTTGCCACCTGGTGCCTGTTTCAACAGTAACCAGCCCTGCAATGGATGACATCAGCCGCTTGATCCTCCCTGCTTCCATCAATATCGGCCGGCGCAGGCTCCAATAACCCCAATGTTCCGCAAGCGCTGTGGCATTACAAGCATCACCGTACAAATATCGAAACATTGCCACGAGCGACAATGAGACCAAGCGCGGAGCCTGATGCATAAGCCAAAAGCGAGAGCCATCGAGCGTAGGGGTGGCTTGACCCTTGGAGTCACAGTCTCAGGGTTCCCGCCCCCCAGAGAAGCCATGTTTCAACCCTGAGGCCACTAGGCCGTCTGCAAATGCGCCTCATCCACTTGAAACCTTCCATCAGCCCTCGAGAACGTACGCATGCGCGGGAGATCGCCCGTCGCGCTTCGTCTGTACGTGTTCGGTGATGCTGCTGCGCTGAACTTCATCAACCGGGGCACACTGTCCGACATCGTATCGAAATGCTGATCACTCCCAACCGAAAGGCTTCTGAATCCCTCCGGAGGTGACAGTATTATCCCCAGTCTTGAATACATGCTATACACCCTCTAATCTTCGTGTTCCTACGTCACTCAAACACCCACACTATACTCACCTCGCCACCTCACTCGTCACCCCAAACACTCAACATCTTGAAGCACTTCACTCTGAACCCTCCCACTCCACCCCGGTGAGAACCGACTAAAGTCCCTCATTGCCCATATAGCATACCCGTTGTACGCAGGCACTGTCAGCACGTTGCCCTCGCAGTTGAGGAGACTATCTGCGTCAGCGCGTGCCACCGGCAAGTAAAGTCAGGGAGGAGGCGACGCACTCCCACATCTTGCAGCCGAAGTCTCTGACGGCGTCGTTAATGTACCAGCATGAGTTCACGTCGATGCTGTTTGGATTGTCAGTGTTGCCGTAATACTACTAAATACGCCAGAGTGGCAGGGGAGAAAGGAGGCGTACTCGGTGGCGTAGCACCCAGCTGTGTCTTCGCTTGGATGCTCTTTTAGCTCGCGTGTGGGGAAGAGTTTCTGCAACTTCCAGCCTTCGCAATGGGTCTGCGCGAAGAGTGGGTGAAGAGGAGGACGTACATGACGACTGACCGAGGTCTGTTATTTGATTGAGAAGCTCTGGATCACGAGTAGAAGGTTTCTATGGGAATGGAAATGGGAAACAGGATCGTGGACAATACCGAGGATTTATGCTCGGGGGTTGCGAGGCGACAGTGCTAATCTGCGGCGTTGGTGGCATTTACATCACGACGAACGATGCGTTTGCTTCATTGACGACTAGGTATTGGACGCTTGATTGATTGACTGTATAGCGTTGTCGTACTCACATCTTGGTTGCGGTGTGGAGTGATATACTAGACATCACGATCGCACAGCTAGTTGGGTTCGCTGCTGCCGATTGGGACTTGTATGTGAGGAGTGTGGTGAGTGTTGATGCCATAATACGGATCAGAAAACTACTCGATTCTGGTTGGCGGTACCGGTAGAGCTATACATGTGGTGACATAAGCGTGCATGTTTACACCAACCTTCGACCTGCATTTCCCCCACCTGCACTTCACACCGCCTCATCTCCTCCCCTCTTGATAATGGCGTCCGTATCTCCACGCTTCGACCTCTCCCTCGGGCTCGAAGGCACCCACGTCCTCGTCACCGGCGGCTGCGGTCTCATCGGCTGTGTTGTGGTAGACGCTTTCCTTGCTGCGGGCGCGAATGTTAGTGTCTTGGATCTAGGTGAAGTTATCGCGAAGCGGGAGCATTATCGTGGGGAGAAAAGCATGTATGAAGGCTTGGCGACGGCGAATTTGGGATTCTACGGTGTGGACATTCGGGAGCACGAGAGTGTGGCGGGAGCTTTTGAGCGCGCAGAGGGAAGTGGGTTTGGGTAAGTCGGGCTTCACCGAATCACTTCACTTTTCACGGCGATGACATCAGGCGGCTGCTTAGGTCACGCGCACAATGAGGCAGCAGAACCGGGGGGCTGGATGTGAACAAGCCAACACCGTGGGCTGAGAAGGGTCCTGGCTGACGCGCGCGGATAGACCTGTGGAGTGTTGTGTTGCCCTTGCGAGTCTGGATTTGAGCAGTCTCCCAATGAGCGAGGGGGGAATATGCGATGCAGATCCGGAGGTGTGTCTCCCTCCCATCCACGCCATACCTAGAATCCAGTCATCATTCGAATGGTAGAAACGACTACTCATTGGCGAAACTAGGTCTGGCAATCTGTGTTCCAGACAAACATCTCAGGCACTTTTCTCACAGCGCAACGCTGGCTCCGCGGGATCCGGGAAACGCTTAAAGAACCTGGTGATGCTTCTAGGCTTAAGAATGTCGGCTTGATTATCATGGGGAGCGAGAGTGGGGCCTTTGGGGTCCCGGGCTGTCCAGCGTATGCAGCGGGGAAGGCGGCGGTGCAGGTTGGACTGCTGAAGAGTCTAGCGAGGGATGTGCCCAAGGTATATTTGAAGGGGAGGGTTAACGCTGTTGCGCCTGGTGAGTGGACGGAGTCTGACTAGGAGGAGGGGATCTGGGCTGGGCTGAGGTGAAACTTGCTAATGAGGTTGCAGGTGCTGTTGATACGGTGAGGTTCAGGGAGGAGTGTGAACGGTATCCGCAGGAGTGGGTTTATGCGGAAAGCGAGGCCACTGTTGGTGGGTACCTCTTCAATGTGTGGACTTGTGAAGAGTATTCTGCTGACGGAGAGATGTTGCTAGCACTGGCAAAGCCCGTCCCCCCGGAGGACGTGGCAAGGACGATTTTGTTTCTGGCGAGTGAGAGATGGAGCGGGAGTACGCATGGACAGTTGCTGCATGTTGACGGAGGCAAGATGGGACCCCTGGTTTGGCAGCCTGGCGAGGCGAAAAGGGCGCGCAATTGAGCATGTAAGGTTCGGTCGTTGATACGGTTACGATTCGTGTTAGAGGATTGAACAAAGCAAACAAATGCACGGCTGCTTTTACGGTGAGACAGGCCAAGATTTTGATCGATTAACATGCAGAGGAGTGTCAGCCACCCCATATGCCCACCCCCAAACCATACGAAAACGCACTCAAGTCCACTAGGCCAAAGAGTTTCAACTACTCTATACTCCAGCAGAGTCATGCGGCTGTCCCTTCGTCGACACTGCATCCTCAAGCCAGTATCAACCTTTCAATACGCACAAACAAGGAACAAGGAACTAACCAGACCCAGACCCCCACCCTACCCAGACACTTCTAGCAGCATCAGTCGGCTCGTCGACTTCGAAATGCCGCACATATCACCATCTCACCCTTCTCACATAAACCCACCCCAGCACCGCTCCTTCTACCCACCTCTGCAACGATTAAAAATCCTGCCCAATCCACCTCAAACCCTGCAACATGGCATTCCTCCTCCACTCCGTCCTAAGCCTCCTATTCGCCCTCTTCAAACCCTCTACCTCCTCCCTCAGCGCTGCATTCTCCCGCTCCAGTTGCGCAGGAGCGGCTTCCAAGCGTGTCATCTTATCAGGCGCATGCGAACCGCGTGTGTAGACGGTCTGTCGAGGTGGGGGAGGGGAAGCGACACGTGCGCGCGTTATACCAGCATGTAAGTGAGATTTGGTGGCGTCCTCAGGCACCGCGGGCCTGGTGTTGCGCGTGTTGGCGGCGTCCGTCTCGTTGTTCTGATCCTGCGGTGGTGAGGTGGTGTCGTGCAGGGCGCGCGCGATGACGGCTTCTAGGTTCGCGATGCTGGTGCGCATAGTATCCTGCACTTGCCCCATTTTCAGTAGTAAGGTGTAGATATCATCTGTCGATGGCGGCCTCGAGGATTGAGGGGCGTCGCGCGGGGTGTGGCCGGGTAGAGATTCTTTGTTCGGGATTTGTGACGGGGCGGCGTTTTCTGTTTGCTGTGCGGATGGATGTGGGCTGCTTAAGGTCGCTGCGGAGGGGCTTTGCGAGGTAGGTTTCAAGGGTATGGAGTAGAGGGTGGGGGATGTTGGATTGACTGAGTCATAGTCTGAGAGGGGCTGGGACAGGGTCTGGTGGAGTGCGATGAAGGGGTTGGTGTTTGGGTCAGACATAGTGTGCGTTGATAGCGCGAGAAGCTTGATGATATCGGAAGTGTATTGAGGATCACTATGGTGTGCTGGGCGACGCGGAGGCGGTAGTTTTGATGGTACGGTGAGTTTTAGGTTCCCAAGTAGAGCAGTTCAGGTGTGAGCGGCGGGATTTACATAGAGATGTTTGATGCTTCACCGCCCGTGGCAACATCGCACGGCTCTTGCTGTCTCTTTTCAGGCCGTTGAGGAATTTAAGAGCATAATTCTGGTTGATTCTAATATTTGCACTGGAGCGCTGCGTCTGGAGTCTAATAGAACTTTTCGAAGCTTAAACTAAAAGCGTATAGAAAATGGCCTTGCAGCTCTATTCACGGAAGTAGGAACATTTTGGAACTTGGTTGACATATCTGTGGAAGATCGGATTTCTGTTTGGTCATTGGAGTGATGTCACAACAGGATTACAGCAGGGTAAGGTAACGAGCCAACACACAATACATCTGAAGGGCTAGGTGTTAATCGTAGTGCTTGTCCCAAATCCTTGATACCTCGCGCCGAAGTAGTTATGTAAAGCTGTTTTAAGGATTAGTTTCTCTACCGAGAGCATGCTGCTTCTATTCTTAGAGAGACCACGGATGCGCATCTTTGAAATACTCCAGATGGACCAGTACACGTTCGCCGGTCTTGCATGTTTATCTTCCCGATGCTCAGAGTGTTTTCTTGGTCAGTCAATCTCGGGGCGGAGTGAATGTCTGATTCTGCTCCTAAGTAGCCAATGGATGAGTATATCTGCACAGAATCATAGTTCCAGTATGCACTAGGCGATGTTTCGGTCACACAATGCATGGATGTCTTCTTCGATTTTCAGAGTATGTTCTCGTTGATCGGTCAATCTCGGAGCGAAATGGATGCCTATTGCTGCTTTTTCTGGGGCAAAATCGGGACTCTTATCCCGGAGTACCACGTCCAATCAACAGCAGAAGTGGTTAATACTACCCAACTCCATTTCGTCGAGGTGGTTCGATGTACACGGATATATAGGGTTGCTTTTTATATAGATCCACGCTGTAGCATTCAGTCGATCTTCCGGGAACCAGAAGAGTTGTGTCTTTCACTAATAATGAGGATCTATTGCATAACATCATTCGACGGTTTTGCGTCGCCGCAGCGAAGTCATTTCCAAGAGGTGAAGTGAATACTGAGCTGTTCAAGCATCAGCTTGATCCTGGAATTATGTAATCTTCACAACGGTGAATGATCTCAAGGATAAAATCAAGGACTATCTGTCGGCGAAGCCATCTCAAGCCTCTCTCATGTCTTTGCATCTTGACGCGCCCTAGCCTTCACGCTGAACATCGGCGAGTGTTTTAGCCCGCACTCCCCACGGAACAAGATGAACTATGTGCAGCCGCTCTTTTACCACGGATGATACACTTCCGGTACCCTTTCCCACGCTTCTACTCCATCCCGCAAGCGATCATTTCCCAGGAAGGCGCGCGTGCTACCCTCGCATCCACTATCACAGCAACGCCCCTCCCCATTACACAATTTCTCAGCTCAGAACGCGATAGCATACCCATGTTGATGCTGGCACTCAAGTTGTATGTTAAGTGGAGTCTAACCACAGGTCGGCTAATAAGAGTCCACCGGGCGGCGAACTTCGGCGTTGCGCCTTTACGTCATGGGTATTGCGGGGTTCACGATGCCTGTCTGCGGCGAACGACAACCCCTCTCCGACCACGAGAAAGCTGCCCAGAAAGGCAATCGGCTCGATTGGCGTGGCGAGGCTGAGAAGAAATCGGCTGCATCCGCCGAACAGTGGATGTCTTCGTTTTGTATAAAGGGGAGGACAGGCCGAGTGCATGTTGTGGGACTATAGCATATCTGTGAGATCAAAATAGTGTCTACGAAGCTACAAGAACATTGTGAAGAATCAAAAAGTTTGAAACTTTGAAAAAGCTGGATCTTGATCGAATCGGGAAATTTGCATTCTCGAAGAAAAACTTTGAAGGACTCAAGATGGCGCAGATCAATGGAAACAAGCCACTGAGCGCAGTGCAAAAATTGAGGATTATGCTCTCTGATCCCGCCAAGTTCGTTGTATGTCCCGGCGTCTATGACGGCTACACCGCACGCATCGCATTGGCGGAAGGTGCGGAGTGCTTGTACATGGTAAGTCCTACTCGAATCACCACCACCCTCGATTCACCTAACTTGAGATCCATGAACTAACAATTCACTAGACTGGTGCAGGAACAACAATGTCACGGCTCGGAATGCCCGACATGGGCCTCGCACAGATGTCAGATATGCTCACCAACGCTTCCATGCTGGCCTCCATCTCCCCGCACACCCCGCTCATCGCAGACGCAGACACCGGGTACGGCTCCGCTCTCATGGTCTCCCGCACAGTGTCATCGTACATCCGCGCTGGAGTCGCAGGACTCCACCTCGAAGATCAGGTCGTTACCAAGCGCTGCGGACACCTCCGTGGCAAGCAGCTCGTCGACACAGAAGAGTTCGTAAGCCGGATCCGCGCAGCCGTCATGGCGCGGGAGCAGAGCGGCGGGGATATTGTAATCATTGCGCGGACGGACGCGCTGGCGGGCGAGGGCTACGCCGAAGCGCTGAAGAGGCTGCGGGTTGCCATCGCCGCGGGCGCAGAAGTCGCGTTCCTCGAGGGCGTGACTACGCGGCAGGAAGCGGAGAGTCTCACCCGTGATCTGGCGCCGACACCGTGTTTGTTCAACAATGTGCCGGGAGGCGTGTCGCCGGACTTCAGTGTCAAAGAAGCACGGGAGATTGGGTACAAGATTGCTATTTTCCCGCTACTAGCGCTGGAGGTCGTGTATCCGGCTGTGCGAAATGCATGTAGGGAACTGTTGGATGAGGGGAGTGTGAAGAGCGTAGAGAAGGATGGGAAGAGATGGGGCCCTAGGGAGCTGTTCAATGTGTGTGGGTTGGACGAGTTGATGGAGTTTGACCGGAAAGCTGGGGGAAAGGGCTATGTTGAAGATGCGTAAAAGGGAGGGGATCATTTGTATTGGACTTTCAGCGAGCATGGCTTGGAGTTCTGGGGGATGCTTTTGTTTGTTGGAGATTGAGTCGATTAAGACCATGCATGCATTTAGCATACGAGTCCTATCTGGATAATGAGAGTAGAGCCATCGAGAATGAACTCAAAGGTATCGTTTAAACGCACTTCGAATCTTATGAGACATGATCAAGCCATCGGACAGTGTAATTTGAAAGGGCATTCCCGCCTCATGACGCCGCCGAACTGCAGCAGTGTTCATAGGCCATTCCAGTTCAACCCCAACCTGGATAGTACCATTGCATTTTGAAAAAGCTAGGAACTGGAAGAAATCTGAACCGTCGAGCATGCATCACTAGCTCCGTGCACTATCTATCCGGTTCAGCCGCGGACCATCGCTTATCGCTTCCCACAGCACGCCGCACAGCACAAATCCATCACAGCAGTGACTTGGACTCCTGGTTGCCTTTCGAAAGAATCTTTTGAGTTAGATATATATGCAAACGCTGGTTGACTTCTCATCAAATTAGTAAGCAACAGCTTCCAATCTTCCTTGGTCTAGTGGTCATGATTTCCGCTTGTCATCGCAAGATTACGAGCGCGGGAGACCGGGGTTCGATTCCCCGAGGGAGAGATTCTTTTTGTGTTTGAGTATAGTTTTCCACTCCTGTATACAAGATTGGCTGCAGTGCCATGGCTGGATGAGAGCGTTCGTGTAGGCGACATCTCGGCAGCAGTGGCGTCTTTTTGCTGGCGCAGCATCACACGAACAGGTGAAATCAAAGCTAGCTGAAACGACTTTGTAAGATTGTTGAATGGAAGAGCTGTTTTATGCATAGGATTAACGGGAGCTGTCTTGGGCGGTCCTATCACACCAGAGAAAGATGCCAGCTTCACTCCTTTGTTTATTTTGCAGAGCATGGATATGACAGATCTTTGGACTTCAGTCCACTTTCCGTGCATGTATGCGATTTACCGCACTACTTTGCTGTCGCGTGCCGCGGCCTACTAGGTGCGTGCGCAAGGACCTCGCAAGAAAAAAAAATCTGTACCGAAAAAAAAAAAAAAAACACTTTCCCATGCACATGCTCGACCCACAGCAACAGCAGCAGAAGCGCTCAATAAAGAAATCACTATTTGCGCCGTTCTGCAATCCAAAATCAACATCCGAAACCTGGTATATAATGCTATCACTGGGTGAAGTGTTCATCAAATCACCGACTAGCCCGGCTAGCTCAATCGGTAGAGCGTGAGACTCTTAAGTATTCACGGTCTAATCAACTCGATTACTCGGTATCTCAAGGTTGTGGGTTCGACCCCCACGTCGGGCTTCTTTTTTTCGAATTTTGTTCGTTGGAAATACGAATGCTATAGATATGGGAAGCGCGATTATATATATGTATCTGTTGGATGGTAACGTGACTTGAGGAAACGTCATGCTACTCAAATTGAGCTGATGTGATTCCTCCGCTGTCGGCGCGAGTTGGGTTGTCTTGCAGTGCACATACATATGCGCCTTCGCCTCTTTTTGGCAGTGTCGTCCTGGCATTGTAGGTAGAGTTGTTTTGACCAGTATAACTTTCGGGGCCTGTGGTTGCATATGGATCCTATCTAGTGCGTAAGTACAGTGACAATACCTGGTAAGTCACAAGCCGGAAAAGCAATGATATCAAGACATTTGAAAATTGAGCAGGTGTGGTAGCTTAAAATGGCATTTACCTATGTTACCTAGGTACGTTCGACCTGGTTTTCACTGAGATTTGGAGCATCACAGTTGACGCCTAGCTTGCTCTTTTCAGCGATCGTTGTCCCGCAGCAGGAAAGATGAGCAGGTGCCAGCCACGGTACCATGTCTCCATTGTCGGGTCGATGATGTTCCTATCAGTCAGGCTCGTCTGCTTGCAAGGCCGCTATTCTCCCGAAATCATCGACAACCGATCGCTTGAAAACTTAGGCCACCGGCAGTACACCGTATTCTCAGGTGGGATATTCACATGTCGAGGCGATTTTACATGTGTGTTTCTAGACGTTGAGTAGTTGTTGGGCCAGGCAGTCCCGATAGGTTGGTTATGTAGTGGAGACGCGCGCAATTGAGCGTCCTCTGTTACTAAGCTGCAAGTTATGTGGTCTATACTTCTCTGGGGCTTATCTCGAACGTGAGATGTGGCACTGGTAGCGATGGGGCGCGCAGAGGCGGACAAGCTCAGACGGCGTCAAGCTTCCAAAATGTGATACACCTCATGTATATGCCGTGATCAGCAATTACGAGTGGGGAAAGTAAGGCATCCGGCCCGCTCTCCAAGAGCTATAGACAGTATATGTAAGTTGATAGCTTCAACACAGGGCAAGACACAGCTCCTCCGTAAATCCGTTTGTCAACATACTGTTGAGCGTTGTCTGCCTACAACGCTCTCCCTCGGCATCTGACATAGTTCTGATAATGGTCATTGGGATGGCGTTTTGAAACTTTTTCGTGTTTCCTGGAGGGCTACAGAGAGAACTGGATTCGGGATTTTGTGAGCGTCTGTCCGGCAACTCAGCCCTCCGCTTGTGAACGGAGTCGTCTGAATTGCTTCCATCGTAAGGTCCAAATCCACGTTACAATTACCCCTAACTTCCTCTTGGGCATACATTAACTGCATTTGTCCGAGTTCATGGAGCTACATAAAGCATGTGTGACGATACGACCGCAAGTCCCCCGGATAGCACTACTCCTCTCGAGGAGTCGAGCAGATATCTACCAAAGAGGTCTTCGATGATCTTAGAGAGGATATAAAATGAGATATATTACCACATCTCTACGCTCGTGCCAGAGTCAACACCCAGAGGAAGTCATCTGCCCCGGATATCTTAGACGTGAGGTCTAGACGCAACGCAACCGGACATGATCCTCGAGAGGGTCTGCAGATGTTGCAGCCTCCAGTCCGAAAGTCATAGATTTCAGGAACACCCTCTGCGCCACCGCAAATCAGCAGTGAAGGACGTGATTCAGCTACAACGAGCTTGTCTGAATGAAGTGGCCGTAGCGCACGTTGAGAGCGATTGAAATATGATGTCTACATAAGAAGGCTTATTACTTGGGCACACAGGCCGCAGTACACCTTTACGCTTGCAGTTTGGCCCGTAGGTTTATCAAATTCAGCAGAGATACTAAAATAATGTGCATGTTTACATCAACGAGAATGGATTCACTGGAATTTACCAAGTCTTTTTGGAATACAGAACTGTCTAGCAATACAACTAAAGGATTTTTCTTTTCTTTAGTGACCGAAGATAAGCTGCTGCTAAGCATATCAGATATCCTGCGCTCTAATCACAATTACATTGATTCATTGTCCTGGGAGCAATGCCTACTTGCGTACAAATCACAATGCTTTAAAAACAATCTCAGACTTATGAGGCTGATAATGTAGTAGGTACATACTGTTTATTAGTACCTTAATCTTCTGTTCATCTTCAGCGCATAAGATGACGTCTGGAGCCGAAAGAGAACGAGAGTATATTTCAGCCCTCTACGCCTGGAGCAGAGACCTTCAATTGACACAGACGCTGAAAGCTTCAGCTATCAAAGGGATAATCATCTCGAACGCATTGAATCACTGCGAAATTGAATGTACATTGCGTATGTTGACATCAGGAATCATCATTAAGATAGAATCGAGGACAATGACGAGCGATGGGCATGCTTTTGAACACATGAAAATAGCCTCATACGCTTGGCTTGTAGCACACGTTGAACACTCGAGTACTTTCTCGAAATCAACAATAGTCATAACCTCTTCTTACCTGCCTTATCATGTTTCAAGAGTACTACCGACTCTAAAGGTTTGAACTCTCCCACGGCCAAGCATCGCCAAACTCTTTCACCATTTTCGGTATAATTCTGCTGTAACAGTAGCATAAAGAAAATTTCGGTGAGAGTGTGTTGCAGGTGATTTGGTCCGTCGTCCGTCAAGCGTCCTAACGTTTCACACGGATATTATCACATAGGAAATTGGCACTGGCACTTTAGATACGCGGGAACACGCCCGTCTAGACCCTTCAATCGTTGCAATAGCGCCAGCAAGCGCGTTGCAGAAAGAGTGCCAACAGTGCGCAAAAGGTTCTCCTCTTTCTCCTATGTGTTCTGTGCCCAACCGCCCCGCTGCGTTGTAGCAGCCTTAGGCGTTCCCAATATCTCTGCCACACCACCAGCGGGGCGAAACGAAGCGAAGTCGCCCAGAAACTTCCATCGCCCGGGGCGCCGAGAACCCACAAGCACAGCTCGGATGTCATCGGGGGAAAGGGGATGAGGATCGCGAGACTGTCGGGGACCAGGGGCCCCCGCAACGCAAGGAAAATCCTCAACGACGTCGCACCCATCGTATCCCAGATCAGCACGCAGGGGACGCCAGCCCACCGCCAACGCGGCAGCGGGAAATGCAAACGCAAACGCGAGCACATCCCCTTTCATCTCGCACATGCTTCGAAAAACATTCCAGACCCGCCGTCACACCACCAGCGCTGCCTCGCGGTTCCCCGGCGCCCTCGCAGACATGGGTGTGCCTGCCGCACATCGTGCTTGTCGTCCTTGCCAGTGTCGTGTCGTGGAGCTGCAGCCCTACGCGCGCCCCTGATCTAGAACGACTCAAGACCCACTCCCCAACGCCCAGTTGCATGCTCCACCCCCGCTGCCCACCCAGGCGCATCCAGTCGCGATAACGACTGCTAGCCGCGCGGAAGGCCGGTGCCAGCGGGCTGGTAAGCGGCACAAAGAGTGGAACGTTTAATGAAAGGGTGGGCAGCGTGCGTGGGCGTATGCGGCTAGTGTGCGCGGGGTGTTCCTGGTGGCAACGGTGCACTGCCGCGGGCGTGGGAGTCGTGAGACTAAGAGTCGTGGTGGTCAGGATGACGATGGGAAAGGAAGGACAGGATTCGCCGCCGCGGCGCGGTTTGGGATTTATGATTTGGTCCGTGGTTGGAATCGGGCCGATGGACGGCACTGGAGAGCTGCGGAGCCTGGATAAGATAACTGGCCGAGCCGAGGTGCGTTGGGCCGTCTGAAGAACGGAATGGAGGCTACGGACGTCTGAGAAGCATTGTGAGTCAGGAGGGAAGCGGATGTGGATCAGCGTTGAGACAAAGCAGTTGCAGCCGGATGAAAACGCTGGGTGACACATTAATCGTGATTGCAAAGTGACGATATGCATACGAGACTTGAAGCAACTTGTAGATCGCTGGAGGCGAACATCGAGCAGAATGTTCACGTTCGCTGCCTTATCGTGATCAGTCTAACTTGGAGTTGGATCACGAGTGGCGATGGAACATGTTGACTTGGCAACTATGAAATTGTATTGCCATATACTCTGCCTTATAGGTCTTAATAAGCTACGCAGCTTTAAGCTGGTTGGTATCATAATATCTATCGTGCTCTTGTAGTGCAAGACGTGCGGTATAACAGGCGCATGCGCCAATAAGAAAGGTAAGAAAGGAAAAAAAAGGAAATCCAACGCCGAACGATGCTATGCCGGAATGACTAACGCTTGAGGAACGAAATTCAGATCTTATAGATCGAAGCACTCGGAGAGGACACCGGTCTGGACCATGCTGGCCCTCAGAGCCTTCTTGTACTCGCGCTCGATTCCGTGCTTGACAGCGTCCAAGACGTTTTCGACCGTCGCCTTGGGCTCGAAGCGCGGCTTGCTACCCTTCTGGTAGACCCCAGTCTCGACAAGAATCGAGTACCAACTGTTGTCGGACTGTTCGTTATACTCGTTGGTACCGCGAATATCGGACTCGGGTGTGTCACCAACGAAGTAGACAGTGTCGGGAGGAGAATCGATGCCGTGAGACTCTTTCCTCCACTGCTGGAGAAGACGAGTAGCAAACTGGAATGTACCGATCTGAGGCTTTCCGAACGCAGTGGTCTTGAGGTCCTTGCCAGTGACAGCCTTGAACATAGCCTCCAGGCTTACACGAAGAGCGCCCATGCCAATGCGAGTCAGGTCGTGACCAGCGGACCAGACGACGTCATTGTGGCTGAAGTAAACTGGCGGGCCCTCGTCGAAGGTTGCGGACCTGGAGCCGAGGTATCCTCCCTTGGACATGAGCAGGTCGAGGATAATCTGTTGGTCGGATGCCCAGTCGCGAGAATCGGCGAAGACAAAAATCGCTTCGATCTTGACCTCCGCGAAGTTCCTGGCGCGCGAGTTCTTGTATTCCTCTGGAGTGAGCTTCCTGAAGGGAGTTGTGTCTTGGTTGTCTTTAATGATATCGCCAGGGGTGACAACATCCTTGAAGCCATAGCCCTCGGCAACAATACGGCACTTCTCACCCTCGCCGCCGACGACGAGAACAGTGCCATATTTCTCAGCCATCTCCCTCATAGGGGTGTGACCGCAAATAAATTGGCCGGGCGAGATCTCCATCTCCATTTGTTTGCTGAGCTGTACGCAGCGCTCCTCCTCAGTCTTTCCCCCTCCGTTGGTAAGAAAGATGTAAGGAACCTTGACACCGTACTCGTTCTCTCCGTTGAGCATCTTCATAGCCTCAACAGCTTCCGGGATGGGTCGGCCTCCTCTGATGAGAACACCATCAATATCGAAGGCGAAAGCATACTTGTCGGTGACAGTAGTTTCCCGGGGGGTTGGGGGTGTGCCAGGAGATGCAGGGGCGTCGACGTGGTGCCTCGCCGTTTCCATAGCTGTAGCAATTTCGGAAGCATCGCTGGGTGCCATCAGGTGCTTTGGTGGTACAACAACAGTGGGTCCCATGCTAAGCGTGTCTCGAGAGGCCTCATTCGAAGAGAGGCGGCGAACACGATCATTGCCGCCGGCAGGTTGCGCGAGCTGTGACAACATGATGGGCGAGGATGTGTGAGGTACAAGTGGGAATGCGCTCGATTGATGACAAAGCTATGGATGTAGCTTTGTCGCGATACTATAGATTGGACAAGCCGTGTTTGTATATAATCTCGGTTTTGCGGAGGTGGTGCGGGGACTCCAGGTGCTCGTCAAAGAAGTGGGTGGTGTGGAGAAATGGAGGTGTGTGCTTTCACCCAAGGGCGATGGGTAGAGAGATTTATATGCAGACAGAAAATAATGGATCATTGGGCACGGTATGTGGCACCGCTATTGACATCGACACTGCCCACGGTAACACTGGGAGGTTGCCCTGTCGATTGGGTGGAGTTTCATGCGTCATAGCCGAAACATCTGTTGAGCATTTTATTGCCCCAGGCCTACCAGAGGCGACTGAAAACCGGGGCATTTTGGGGAGCAATGCTTCCTCGGCCATGTGTGGTCGCTGCGCTGCTCTGATTCGGCGTCTCTTGTAATGGTGTTGCATTAAAAACGGGTACCAGTCCGGTGTATTCACAAGCTAAGGACGCTGGTGGTCAGCCAGATTCGCATGGATTCGAAGTACGTACCAAATGCCGTACAGACAACCTTGCATCTCCATGTTGACGGCCGCGCGTGGGAGTATTATGGGTCCGCAGTGAAAAGTTTGATGCATAATGACGCCATTGGAGCGGTATTGGGCCTAGTAGGAGCGAGGATTCCTTATCGGCGCGTCTCTCTCCAAAAGAACAGCGTCAGGGACCGAAGAAGGCGTTGATCTGAAAAGCGAAACTCGATCTGCGCTCAGATCAACGCGCTCCTTTGCCTGTTCCATGACGATGCTCGAGAAAGATTCGGAACATGTGCGCCGCCAAGCCAGACCCTGAGGAGGACCTCTTCCGGCGCTACAACACGACTCGCCGGTACCAGAGGATTGAGGCTGAGAAGTGCTTGTCTGCCGTCTTGCCGCAAGAGCCGCAAAGCGTGATCCGCCACTCGTCTAAAGACGGTTTGAAGATCTGGCACTCGGAGCCGACCGCGACCTGCGCAACGTCTACACAGTACACGAGACTGTTACGACTTGTCGCTGCAATCTTACCAGCACCTGCGCGTTATCTTGGGCTCTCGACGCAGTTGCAGCAGAGGACCTGCATGCTGCAACACGCTCACTGATTGCGGGTGGGTGTCCACAGCTGACATCATTGCACATTCGGCGGTACTTCGTTCCGCAGCTCTTTTGCGGACGCTATATCGGAACCGGTATCTTCCCCAATGCAACTCCAATCAGCCAAGCAACATCTCGCTCGACTTGCGGTATATTCATGCACAAGAGGCGCGATTTTGCTGATCATGGCCACATGTGAAGGTGGGAAGAGCGGTCAGCTTGGTTTTGTATCTGCAAAATCCGTCACCATGCAAATCGACGCACCGTTAGCATATCAGACATGTTCCATACCATCTGTCCGATAGTCAAAGTTGTGGGGCAATTTGAAGGCCTGCCCTCCGTGCCTCTCGTGTCTGCGCTGTGCTTCACAGAATACCAGCCGATATAGTGGATCGATTGCAGTGGAGCAATGCGGCCAGAAGAGGCTCAGGCCCCCCTCATTTTCAGATGTTTTTACGTAGACCTCGCGGCACGCATTCAATCACCGGAAGTGACGGCGGCAGATGCGCCTGGAGTTATGTGTAATTTGACCAGCTGTCAGATTGTTGTTCTAACCTTTGGGTGCAGTTGACCTCCGCGTGGCCCATTCCTGGTCGACAGAGCCAACTAGATCCTCCATGTTTAGCAAGTTTCCCGAGCATAACGAAGGAACTCAAGTTGCGAATGCGCGTTTGTTTCGCAACCGGCGGCAGGACTTTGGGGTACCACGCGATGCCCGTCAAATCACCTCGGTATTGAAGTGCTGATGATCCGCCGGCCGAATAGTAAAGTGGAGCTACACGAAGCGTCCTCGAGACTTCACGTCGGCGGCGGGAAGGGTCATCGTACCAAATGCGGAAAGACGAGCGAGGGAGAGGGTAGCATTGAGCAGTGGGTGTTGCGTTTTGTGGGTACTTCATTTCCCCGGATTGGCATCTCCAGTTGATCAGTCGGTTGTTCGGCGCGGAGGATTGAGATTTACCCACTTTATCTCCACATCCCCGTATAGTGCGAGATGTTCAGGATCATAGAGGCAGTGCTGTGCTTTGGAACAGCCATGCCCTCGGAAACCGTGCACCAGCCTTCCTAGGCATTCCGTCTCTGGAGGAAGTGAATTGAACAACGCGATTGCAACAGCTCAGTAATCGCAGAGTTTACTGGCCACAACGTTAGCTCTACGGGCACACTTGGGGGTAGCGTATTGAGCTACGCTTTTATCGGAGAGTCACTGTGTACTAGCTGTTGGTGTGCAGTACGGTGAGCAATGCCACCAGAATTCGAAAGCAACCTGAGTGTAGCCCAGAAAGTATCACACGTAATTCAGTAGACGTTATTGAGTCAAGTGTACGTGTGTAGAGAAGGAACGGCCGATTGCAGAGACGGCAGGAGCCAGCGGCTCAATTTCACCGTAAGGCGAGGTCTTTCCACGTCCACCATTCCACCTCCACCACAAGGTCACCATCTCGCCACTCTTGAAGATGAATTGGACTGGCGGCAGACTGCAGCGATCCAAGAAAGCAAACAGCGGGATCATTCAGAAACAGAAGGCTCATTTCGCGCGAGCACGAACGCAGCTGCAGAACAACATTACGGCAAGCATGCCTGCCCCAGCCTCCGACTTCTTCAATGAAGAAGGAATAAGCCAGAAACCACAGTTTCGACTCCCTAGCGCGCGTAACGCTCGCCTTGCAGGGCATAGTAGGATGCTGCGGAGTCATGACGGGAGTATAGCAACTTCACCGGGTCGCCATGGCCGACCTGACATGCGCGATGCTGCCGAAAGGAGAACTCTGCATGGCCATAATCAAGCATCATCCGGGAACACGAGGAGTAAGTGTGTGCCGCGCTTTCTCACCGATCAGACGCACCTAGTAATACGGCCAGCTAATGTCCTTCAAAGGTAGACGCCAGCAAAGCAATAGCCTCGACGCTAATGATACTGAGGAGAATCTCCTGGATACGAAGAGAAGGAGGTTGTTGCGACAGAGCGACTGGGCGGGTCTGACGCGACCGAAGCTTCTGATGTTGAATTTCCAAGCCCAACGAGGACGGGACGAGATAGGCAAACGCAGAAAGACCAGCCACCACAACGCATTGACCATGCACGAGGACCCTTCTAGGCTCGTGCCACTACCAGAAGCTGGCACCCGCCGACAGCTCGGCGGTGGCGCCCGTCAACACCACGATATCAAAGTTCGCATTGGTAGCGATGCATTGACGAACAGGACAACTGTGCACACTTCCCCGCAAGCTCAAGCATCTGCCACATGGGACGAAGTCTCGTCTGAGGAGATGACCTCGGGCAATGCTGCTCTGCATAGAGCTGCCCCAAAGCCGGGGCAGCAGGCAGATCCAAACGCTCGTAGGTTCGTGGGGGCGCCGACGCACGCCCTTCACCCTCGAAATTCGACGTGGGGGGTAATGCCGCGGAACCAGCAGCTTCACTACGTTGGCGGTTCTGCAGGCAGTATGCGCGTTGGGCTAAATGAAGACTCCAACGCATCGCCTAATGACCAGAGCGTCGTCAGTTCGTCTGCTGAAGATCATGTCAGCGCGAACAAAAGGGGTGAAGTCTCGAACTACTGTATCACGCAGCAGGTTGAAGGCACTACCCGCTCATTGCGCCTCACTTTCGACGCGGCGACCGAGTTTTCAGCCATGGCCCCAATAGAGAACGCGTCCTCGTGCAACCTGATCGGTGAATCGAATCATAACCACTATACCGCTAATGCAGCGGTGACAGAATCCGGCCATGTCCAAATGGAAGCAGGAGCCGCCGGTAATGCTGAACCCAGGCCCCCTCATGATATCGACGAGGGTCCTTGGATGACTTTTCTCCCAGTCCAGGCGAACAGTTCCAGTCTTTCGGTCGCAGACGATCTATCTGCACTCAATCGGGCACATGATCGGCCGGCAATACACCCCCTATCTAATTCTGCGTCGTGGTCACAGCGAGCTACTCAAGGAGCTCGAGCGTTAGCTGATGCGTCCCTGTGCGTCTCTCCGTGTTTGCCTTCTATCACACAAAAATGCGAGAAGGACGAGCTACGAGAACATGTGCATGCGGGACCCGGAAGGTCGGAACGTTCAGAGAAGCATATCGACGGGAACGACGAGTTCTGGCAAAGACTCGTGTTCGGGAGTGACAAGCTCGACTCAACAGATGGAAGACCTGAGGCAACAAGCCCAGACAAGGTGATTATGGACGAAAGGAGAATTGTTCCGTTTGTGGCCGTGTCACGTAGCTCTACACCGTTCGATCCGCTCCATGGTCCTGGCTTTTGCGTAAGCGACAGTACACAAGCTGCAGCAACCCGTGCGCCACTCGTAACGTCTTCAGGGTCCATGTTGCCCATAATCACCTCATCGACAGCTCCACGGTCGCGATAGCCTAAGCAAGGAGCGTGGAGATACAGCTGGGATTGAGGACAGCCGTTTCGGATCGCAGTCAGTGACTCATACCTCGATGCGCAATAACGTGTCTAATGCCAGTGATGCCAACTCTTTAGAGTTTCGGTGACTCAGCACGAGCAATCCGCATTGGCTTGCAATGTGAGCGAGGCCGCTAGATTGACGGTGTCGGGCCTACTCGTATGAGCAAAATGGACGTGCAACGTACGTCGGATGCACTTCGGTGAATCGTGATGAAGTGAACAAACTGAATCACTCCGGCATACCAAGCCTTGTGTTCCCTATCACGAGGAAGTGTGGTGAAGTGGTGCTGGCGGGAGCTCGCCCGACAGCGGTTTAAGCGACTTGCCTACTCTATTCAGCAAATCCAGTATGCGGCGCATTGCTGCGCGCAATGCTGGAACAATAGATCTATACCAGGCAAATTCGCAAATCATTGGTTGCAGCATGCCTTGGAAGTCAACAAGCGACAAGCGATCAGCTGAACTCGTCGGCAAGCGAAACCCTTTCCGTGCGTTTGTGCTTCTCATTGGCCTGCACTTTTCGCAAACGAATATTTGTACCTCCGTAGAAATTGGAATCGTCACTAAATCTCCAGACACGATGTTACGCTCACCGCCGCAGGTTAACATAGGTGTGCTTGCACGCCCAAGACCAAGACCCTCTTCTTGTTGCCTCGGAACGACGAGCAATGCAGGTGTTTCCTTTGCTAAATTGATGCGTGTCATGCATGTCATTCGGGGTGTTCGCTTGCCGTCGGAGCAGCGTGCGATACGTGCGAGCCCTATATCGGGATGCTTCAATGCGACAGATGGATTACTGGGACGCCCGCGCGCAGCCGAGTAAGGATCAGGATGCAGCATTGCATTCCTTAGGCCACCTAGACTGTCCGCCGACGGCCATGGCGGCATTGGGCACACGGGGACGTGATGCATTCAGCTGATGCATTGACCTCAAACACGGTGCGCAAGGAATCTACCCAAGTCGGAAAACGGCATGGAGGCATAGCTGCAAGAGTGATGTACGAAGAAGCGATTGGAGACGAAGCGCGCAGAGGAAACGATATCATCACACCGCCGATGGCCATGTGACCTCGCCGGGGGATCCCAAGAGTGGCTTGGTTGTGGGGAGGCTGCATGATGATTTGTGGGTGCCAGGGTCAACTCCTGCTGAGGAGATGCCGGGCTTCCAGAAGATCCTTGGAATAAGCCGGCGTCACGCGACTGCTGTGCATGGCAGCGCAATGCGCAGACGGATAGGGAGCGGCACCGCAGCATGTCACCGTACACGCGCTCGCCGTGACGAGTGCCACCGCGGCAGGAGAAGCATGGCAGCGTGTGTCTTCGCAGACGGGCTTTTGTGAGTGACGCGGCGGGGCATTGACGCTGGGCGCGATCGGCGCCAGGGGGAACCAGTCAGTCGGCACAAGTTTGTTTCATTGCGACGGGCCCGCGCCACGTGTGTGGCAGAAACGACGAAGCCACCATGACCTCGTTGCAGCGCTGGTGACAGCCGGCGCGTTGTTTTAGGATGTCGAGGATAGTGCTCGCGCCAGCAGAGCGCTCAAATTACCGCGAGCGGTCGCAGGGACGGCATGTGTCGGTGAGCATGGCGCATGGAATGGGTAAACGGCAAGCGGCCCTGGACAGAGTGAAGCTGGCCGGGTGCTCGCTGGCAGAGGGACGCTGGCCACGCCCTGCCGAGGTGCAGTCAGCGTGGTACTCGTGTTGCGAGGCATGCATGGCAGCATGGCAGGCGCGCTCCGCACCGCTGCCGTCGTCGACGTCGAGCCGGGCGCGGTGACTGGCTATTATTAACCCTGCTGGCTGGCCAGCAGGATGCATCGACGCGCATCGGACGGGCGCTCAGCCTTGTATCGGGCGGGCAACGAGCCGTGATTCGCGTGCCTGTCGTGGGTGCCACGGTTGCCGTGGAATTGCGGCGGCGCTGCTGACGAGGGCGGCGTACAGCTGGCGGGCTCGCGTGCAAGAGACGGCAGGCAGAGTGACAGCAGCGACGCGGCGGAGATTTTCAGGCGCCCTCAACCCCAGCAGCGAGGACGTGCAGGGGAGCCGGGGCGCATCGTCATGGGCTAGCGGGCAGGCTGACTGTCGGTTTCACCAGGAAAGCGGGGCGGGAGAGTGGGAGGAGCGGCACGAGAGGCTTGGAGTGAGGGCGCGCGCGCAGCCGCAAGATCCGGTAGCCCATCAGGCCACTACTCGGCGTCGTCGCGGCCACTGGCCAGGGGAACGCGGCGCCTGTGGATTGCGTGCGGCGGCGGCGCCCTACACCGCCCGCGGTTAGGCACAGCGCTGGCCGTTGGAAAAGTCGTTGCACGTCCCAACTGCCCCCAAGTGCACCCGCGCTGCCAGAGCCTAGTGGCTCCGGCCGCTGCCACCCAAAGCTATTTCCTAGAGCAACCGGCCGCACACCTCCCCAGCTCCCCAGCCGGCTTGCAGCGCCCGTCACCACCGCCGCACATCACCACCTGCACCGCCAACCCGCCTCTGCTCCATACGGCCGCCTGCAGCTGCAGCAGCCCGATCGGTGCGCCGACAGACTCGCCCCCCACGACGCCCGCTGCGAACGCGAACGCCCCGCCCGCACCCCTGCTCCTTCGTGCTGCACTGCATGCAGCGCGCCTGCACGCAAGCCAACGCCCTCTGCAGCTGACCAGCATCGCACAGCAGCGAGCTCGCGCATCGCGCTTCAGTGCCCCGTTCCACGCAGCGCGACACGATCCCTCCCGCGCGCCATGCTGCTTTGGTAGCGACGCCTGAACCGCCCACGTCTATAATACCTGAATCCACTCCGCTGAGGGCGCGCCCCAAAGAACGCTCCTTCCCACGCCCACCAGCATGCCGACGCGCTAGCCCTCGCCTCGCTCCCTCACCCGCTCACCACTCCAAAAATGTCTCTCCTCAACGGAGACCCCAGAGCCCACCGCCCGCGCCTGCCCTCGCCGCAGCCCTCGTTTGCGCGCGCAATCACCATCCCCGCCGCCCGCGGCAGCCCCGCGAGCATATCGTCCCACTTTGGCCGCAATGGCAGTCTGTCGTCGACCCCCGAGGGCATGGTGCCGCTCACCAGCTGCTCGCTGCCCGCCGTGCCCTCGTACATGCTGCCCGAGTCCCTCATCCAGCCGCCCTTGAGCACGCCGCCTACATCCTCCCCCAGCGCCATGGCCGAGGCTCTGAGCAGGGGCCCCGGATTGATACGAAGAGTCAGTCGGGGCGCACAGGGCCTGCCCAACAGGTTCCGGCGCGGTGGCTCGGCCGCCCAACGAGAGAAGAGCTCCGGACCCGTCATCATGCGCCGGCGGAGCGACAGCAGGACCGCAGTCGAGGGCGCCATGGAGCTCTCCGACCTCGACATCAACTATCTCGACGACGAAGACGCAGAGGTGGTCGTGGACGAGGATGGCGACCCCATTGTCGATGCTCTCGGCATTGCCAACGCCCGACCTATGGTCAGCTCCATTCCCTCGACTTCTGTGTCGGCGCCGAAGCGGAACTCGCGAGTAGAGCAGGGCACCATGCTGCTCAAGGTCACCAAGAAGGCCAAGAAAAACATCGTCCTGCGCCTTGACTTGGACTCTGCAAAGGTCTCCTGGGACCCTTCCCGGCCATGGAAGTACTTCTACATCGATGATGTCAAGGACTTCCGCACTGGAGCTGACGCCAAGCACTACCGCGAAGAGCTGGGCTACGACGAGAGGTTTGAGCCGCTCTGGCTCACCATTGTATATTCGGACACAAGCCGGTCCAAGGGCAGGATAAAGACCATGCACCTCGTTGCCCCTGACCCGTTTGTCTTCAACATGTGGACCGATACTCTAAATGCTGTCTCTCGCGACCGGATCGATATGATGGCCAGCCTCATGGGATTTGCAGAGAAGAGCGCTCGACTCGTCTGGAACCGCCAGATGAAGAAGCGATTTAACGGAAAAGACCATACACAAGAGGAGGAAACCATGGATCTCCAGGGCACCATCGAGCTTTGTCGCAGTCTACACATCAACTGTTCCGAGCAGATGCTCCAGTCGTATTTTGTCGAGGCTGACCAAGATCACACCGACAGCCTCAACCAAGAAGAGTTCCTGCACTTTGTGCGACGGCTGAGGAAGAGAAAAGACCTAAAGCAGATCTACAAGCAGTTCACGCCTGCCCCCAATTCCGGAATGGACCAACACACCTTCTTCGAGTTTCTCCAACGGGAACAGGGCGTCGACGTCAACGCCAATGTTGAGCATTGGGTCTCGATTTTCGAGAAACTGGCAAGTGCTGCCAAGCCAAAATCGACACCCCCTGAAGATGGCGAGATCCCACTTCCTCCGACCATGAACTTTCCCGCCTTCCAAACCTTCCTCACCTCTGATGTGCACAACCCCATCTTCATGCCGAACAACAAGACCGCCAAGCTTGAACGTCCCCTCAACGAATACTTCATCTCGAGTTCCCACAACACCTACCTCTTGGGCCCTCAAGTGAAAGGAACGTCCAGCACCGAAGCCTACATCACTGCGCTCCAGAAAGGTTGCCGTTGTCTGGAGATCGACTGCTGGGATGGAAATGACGGCAAGCCCATTGTCACACATGGGCGAACGCTCACAAAGAGTATCACTTTCCTCGACGCCATCAGGGTGATCGAAAAGTACGCTTTCGTGGAGACGCAATATCCCCTCATTCTGTCTCTTGAGGTCCACTGCTCGCCCGATCAGCAGTCCATCATGGTCAAAACCATGATCGAGGAGTTCAGCGACAAGCTCGTTAGGCAACCGTTATCGGATAGTCACCAATTGCCATCGCCAGAGGAACTCAAGGGCAGGATCCTTATCAAGGTCAAAGGCCCTCCCGAGGAGCTTGATACGAAGGTGCTTGCCCAGGAACTGACCACTCGCAAGCGCGAGCGTAGCTTCAGTTCGCCTTGGTCACGCCCTGTGCAGCTGGACAATAGCCTTATCCCCAATTCTCCCCTCGTTTCAAGCCCCCATTCCTTGAGTCCTCCAGACCGTGCGAATGCTTTTTGGGCATCCCCTCGTACCTCGGCCACCTCGACAACATACATTGCGACGCCGTCTCTGATCAGCTCCGCCGATGACAGCGACAGCCCTCACGCTACCGCCGCTGAGGATCAAGAGAAGAGGAAGCCCAAGAAGACGAAGACGAGCAATATTACCGAGGTGTTAGGCCGCCTAGGCGTTTACACTCGGGGCATCAAGTTTACCGACTTTGATGCGGTGGAAGCCGAGACTCCCAACCACGTCATTTCCTTCAACGAACGTGTCTTCGACAAGCTCACCAAACCCGGGGCCCGCGATAAACAGCGTCTCGAGGAGCACAACATGTCGTCTCTAATGCGTGTGTACCCTAGTGGACATCGCATCATGTCGAGCAACTTTGATCCACTCCGTTTCTGGCGCCGCGGTGTTCAGATGGCCGCTACCAACTGGCAAACATATGATCTCGGACAGCAACTGAACGAGGCCATGTTTGCGGGTGGCAATGATCGGAGCGGCTACGTTTTGAAACCCGCCGAGCTCCGGTATCACGATCAGACGCCTGTGGTTGGTCCACGGCGAGCACCAAAGATGCAAGTGAAGTTCACTGTGCAGATCATTTCTGCTCAGCAACTTCCACGGCCGAAGACCGACGCTCCTATCAGCCCATTTGTTCAGTTTGAGATGTACTGTGCCGAGGATGCTGGTCCAAACGCGACCGGGATCGGTGGCCAGGACGTCTCTTCCCACAAGGACGGATACTCAGGCATCGGTCAACCGCTCAAGAAGAGGACACGCACCGTTCCAGGGAATGGGTACAACCCAGAATTCAAAGACGAGATTGAGATGACGGTAACCACCCGCTATCCGGACCTGGTTTTTGTCCGCTGGACGGTCTGGAATACCATTGAAGGAAAGCCGGAGAGTGCTCCGTTGGCGCAGTTCACGGCTAAATTGAATGCCGTTCAACAGGGCTACCGTCACATCCCCCTGTTCGATAGCAACGGAGAGCAGTACCTATTCTCTCGACTGTTCTGCAAGATCAAGAAGCAGGACGTCGTTCCAGCATCGACTCTGTCTGCCATGGCTGGGCACAACTCGCGTCGGGCATCTGTAGAGCCCATGAACCCGCCGTTGGAGCAGCCCAATACCAGATCCAACAGCAGCAACATTTTCAAACGCTTGATCCGAGCTCCCAGCGAGCGCAAGAAGCGCAAAGAAGAGCAATTCAATCGCGACTGGAAAGAACAGGACTGGGATGCTATCAGTCGCAGTAGCACTCTCGAGCGATAACCAAAACCTGTGGATGTTACTATACCATCCGAGCCTCTGACGCCCAAATTACACCCTCATTACCGTGGTCACGTCTCAGATGCAAGGATTCCCCTTCTTGTGTACTATATTATACCTACGATCTATCCGCCACCTTCCCAGGAGAGTTGGTACTGTACGATTTCAGGATCAGTCGGTTGGGCTGCATTGTTCTTGCGGATTGGTTTCCCGTTCTTGGGGTAATCTGCGCGCAATGCGGGACGGGCGGGCGGCATCGACCCGCATACTCCTTTCGGACAACACGTGCGACAAGCCATAGAACCAACCAGAGCGACGATTTCGCATCTGCCGTACTGCCGCGTACACCACGTCACAACTGGCACCCCGGCACTGCGGCACATGGAAAACTCTGCCGGTCGTACGATCAACTCATCTCGCCTGACCCATCCTCTTCCTGAAAGCGCACAGTCCAGCGACCCTGCGGAGAACGGTGGTCGTTCTTTTAGCCGCAACCAGCATCTGGTATCTCAGCAGTATATACCCCCATGCACCACCATTTTCTTTCGCCACAGCGGCATCCTGGGATCTTTTCGGCGTAACTTATCGGGATACAAACATCACATTGGGGAATCATGCATAGACTTGGGCACATTTGCTATTCAGAGCTTCGTTGCTCGCTCGCTTGATACCAACCGCGCCGGAGCAGCATGCTGCTCTACGGACCGTTTTCTTCTGTATCTTCGGAGCAATTTTCATTTGTTGTTTATTCAGAGACATAGCGCAGCGCAAGGAACGCAAAAGTCGCTGTCACGAAGCCATGACTCGCAGGGGAGGCACGAGTCTGGAATTCGGACTCTGTTCTGCTTTGGGTGGCTATCTATTGATTTTATCTGGTCGTTTTCATTTGCTTTGATGTAGCGTGCGGGCATCCTTTGAGCGGCATTTGTCTTTTTTTTTTCTTTTTCTTTAGCCTGATTCACTTCTTCTGGACGAGGTTCCAGCGATCGACTGCCTTGACGCGGTCGGTCTTTTATACTTTGGGTTTTATGGCGGGCGAACGACATGGATATGTCGGGCCTGGGGCATGGAGAAAAGTTTTAAGAGGGAGGGAGGGAGGGTATGTGGGCAGGGATAGTGAAAGTGAATGATACCATGGCCGTGAAGGCCAATTGAGGCGTGTGAGGACGCGCTTGTGCTACATGTTCTTATCTTGTCTTGTTTGGACTGAAGCTGGGTGTGATGTGTGATGGTGTGTCGCGGATCTTCCTTTGCGGCTGAACTGCCTCGAGATGCCCTGACCCTGTGCAATGCTAGACGCACCGCTCGTTTACGCTGCAATCCGAGGGTGGAGAATCAAGGCGCAGGTTACTACTCTTCTCTATTGCACCCTGAACTACCCACACGGCTCCCATGCGCGAACGCACAGTCTAGCTCACCCTCACTACGTAGTTCCAACGTACCTCTGCTCCACTGCCCGAGTTCCCTCCGCTGCTTCTGACTGGACGAATTCTGGAGGCAGTGGAGGAACCCAGCCCCGAACTTGCGCTCCCGTCCCACACCCGGCCCCAGCACAGCGAAACCGACCTCACCAGCCACACGCGCCAATCACCAACACCGGGCCCTCCCGCGACCCGCTCGTGTCCGGACCCGCGGGAAGAGAGGAAAAAGCAAATGTGAAAGTCAAAGGTAAAGGCCGCACACGAGCGCCACGTCCCGGTGCGGACGCGGGACATGCAGGGTTTGCTTTTTCGACGCGCAGGAGGATTGCGGGGAGGGAGAGGGGACCCTTGCCTAGATTGGGGTTGAGTTTATGTGGGATTGGTATGGTTTGGGTAGAAGAGGCGATTGAGCATTGTACTGGGCGGGGCGAGGTGGCTTTCAGCTCGAGCATGAAGGAGCGCAAGGGGAGCCGACTCGGCGTGCGCGTTGGGGCCACAGTCTGGTTGGGCCTGCGATGATCGAGCGGACAGGCTTGACATCTGGGCGTAAACTCACGTTCGGGGGACAACGAGTGGGCTGGGCTGGGCTGGGCTGGGGTGGAGGAAGCAGTGGTGACATGCCCAGGCGTGAACTCACGGCCGGGGCCGCGTAGGGACGCAAGGCTGGCTGGGTTCTGGGATGCGGAAACGTGCGGAAGGAAGGGGGTGCGTGTTCTGCGTGCATTGTTTTTGGGGTGAGGGCTGGGTATGTAAAAGAGGGGAAGGACGTACTCGGAGGTACTGACGGAATTCCGTGTGGTGCGGTGCAGGGGAGGAGTTGGCGCGAAGGACTCATGCGATGGCCCTGCACTCCGCAGACCACGAACGTTACGCAGGCCCCCATCCATACCCTCATGCTCGTCTTCTTTGCCATAACGTATGCAGTAATTACCCCGCACGCAGCATATTGCGCGAGCCGCGTCCTGAGGCTGCATCTGAGTCGTTGCGGCGAGAATGGAGCTAGTACGACCGCCGCAGATGTCGCACAGCGCTGCACGCACGCACGTGAGCGACAGGCCTTGACGCGTTGTTGTCCTGCACGCGTAGAACAGTAGGCCGCCGGTGAAGAAGCTTCCACGTCGTTGCACTGCATGCCGCAGATGTTCTGGCCCAGAGGAGCGACGTGCAGTGCACGCCCTGGACAGCCACCTTGTGCCTCGTGCAGCGAGCTCAATCTGGGGTACTCCAGGTTGTACGACAGATGGATGGCAAGGGGTGGCGACTGGTCTCGGGTGTTTTACACGAGGTGGAGACGTGCTGATGTGTGTCATTAAGCCATGGTGTATGTCGCGATGCGGGGCGAAAAGGCGTTGGCGGAGGGTCGAGATCAGATCGTATCACACGGCATTGATCGGTGAGGCGCACGCACAGCGCGTGCGCGCGTTGCCCTGGAGTGAGGCGGTGAGTCTGTAGACGCGCTGCAGGGGCCGAGAGCGTGGATCAGCATAACAATAGTAGGAAAATGCCGTCTTTGTGTAGGTTGAGCGTGCATCGACAGACGTGAGGTTACAGTGTAGGGCAAAGTTCGAAGGATCTTGTTGCAACCGTGCGTCAATGTGATTAAGCAGCCTTGTCTGCAGAATTATGTGAGCAAGAATGCATTCCGCCGCTCGTCGTACTCCGAATTGCGGAGCATTATTACGGAGAAGAGCGTGGCTGATGTCTTGTCGTACAGTGTACGCTTGCACTTTATTGTTCAGGAGCCTCGTGTTCTCGTGAATGTGACAATTCAAGTATGGTCCAGGAAAAACCGCTGCGTGCTGTGAAGGCACCAGGAAGCGGACTGGCTGTGGCATTGAGTTTGCACTGAAGGACCGCTCGATCGAATGATACCATCTGGGGATCATTACTGCCTTGTTTGACTATGACGGCTGCTCTACGTGGGACGCGAACTTCCGGTGAGCGTATTTTGGCCTCCTGAACGTTAATTGCGTACATTATTATGTGGTTCGATAAGTAGCTCAAGGGGAAGCGAGCGGCCAGGGAAACAACATAGGCTCATTCGACAACTCATATCGTGTCCTGATTACGCGTGTACGCCTCAAAAGTCAAGCTGACGCTTACAGTGAGGTATGCTTTAGCTCCAGCCAGGGTTTTTTGAATTCGCAAAAAGACAGTGTCGTAGTCATTGCTTTGCAGGATGCAATGTGACAGCCTGCAGGGGCGGGATGGATTCAAGCGATCATTTTGACCACGGGGACTGTTATTTGACATTGTGGGCGTGAGGACGGACCTGGCCAGTAGCGGGATGTGGACATACAGATGACTGCAGGGGGTTGTGTTAGCATCATGCCTTACCTACGTACAGTCCGAACGTACATCGACTGGCAACGGGGCGCGCCAGCCGCTATATGATCGCGTGGAGCGTATTAGTTATGCCTCCGACTGTTGTCCCGCCCCTGGCAATCCGTCTGCAGCCTGGGACAGCCTAAGAGCTAGAGGTGCGTCTCCTTGGAGCGGGTGTTGCGGCATTCGAGAGGAGTTCGCGTGAGCATGCAAGAGTGTGGTGATCATCTACGATGATTGGCTGGCGGACAAAAGGCATCGTAGTCACTGTAGACGACGTGGCATCGCGGGAACGATTACTTCCCTGGGTCATCTTCCGACGAATACTCTGCAACGCATGCTGCAGTCTAATCTCGCTAGCAATCGGTATTGCAAGAACAAGAAAAGGAAAACTTCTAAGACAAACATAAGCGAAGTTTATAATTGCCAGTAGCGCGGCCGTCGTCTCCACAGGTTGGTTGTGACAAAACAAACAGTTGCGACAGCCATACCCATGCCTCGTAGACGCACCTCGGCTGGGTAAGGTAGATAGGTAGAACTGGTCATTGCGTCTGACCTCTTGATAGCAGAGAGCTGCACCTATAACGCGGCACTTGCAGTCAAAACCGTGGAGGAGAACGTGACCAGAGCAGAAGATAATGCAAGTTCGCAGTGTGGCTAGACTCGTCGTACACCAATCTCGCCTATAGGGTTAGAGAGTGGTTGGCCTTGCGTTCTTGAACCCCGCAATCGCTATAAGTGAAAGCCCTCGGGTGAATCTGAGCAGAAGGTGACGTTCACTTACGCTTTGGAGAGGTTGTTGGTACGTTCATCGCTCTGGAAGATGATTTGACACCAGCCAGCAGGTTCGCGGAGACGGGAGACCAACCGACGGAGGGTAACGCTTCCCTCGGGTCGCAGACGGGAGGATAGAGCCTGGACAGGGACAGCATCCCGCTCCGTAGTAATTCAGTGCCGAACCGACGGTGATCCTTTCGGCATGCATGGCCGGCCCCGGAGCGCCACGTGACTTTGTCCATGCAGGTGCCGGGGAGGATCGTGGGAGCAGCCCCCGAAAGAACCGCCGATGAAACACAGCGTCTTCTGAATCGTAGTAAGATCAACACCGTAGGTGCGAGATACACGCAATTTTGGAAGCATGGCTTGCGCAGACTGGTCCTTGCTCTTCCGTGTCCATTTTGTTGCCATCCATATTCTTTGATCAGACTAGATACGTACGTGTAAGCGATTCCAAGCATGATAACTGAAATACATGCGCTAATGACGCTGGAAGATCAATACATAAGAGTTAGTATGCGGCTCTGCCTGCAAGTGTTCCTGCAAGTGTTCCTGCAGCCGTGTGCGCAAGCCACCACCAGCTGATTAATTTCCTGCTGCTCACTTATCGTGGAGTGTGTTCTTGGTCATAGTGGAGAAGAATCATCCGAAGCAAATTTGGAGCAAAGACGAACAATTCGAGCATATGTGAAGTATACAGTACACTGCGTATTCGAGGCGCTGGACCCTTCCTTTCCGAACCAGCGCACGGGCTGCCAAGCCACAAGCTCCGACAGCCAACGAGAATGCGGTAGCGGCAGCCCACTTCGTCAACAGACAATCTTTCGCCGCCACACGTCTCCGCGCAAACCCCCCGCGCTCCCCGCCAAACAAACAGCGAGCGATGGTGTAGACGACTGGCTTATTCACTTCCGCGTACATACACCACCCGCCAAATTTGGCCAGCAACTGCCGCCCGCGCGCATACAAATTTCCCCCACAGCGACCCAGCGCAGGCGGCCCAGCAACCATGGAGGGCGCCTTCACGCACATGGGCAACCACCTGGTGTCCGACTCTGCCGCCACCATCAACGCCGGCGCCGGCGACGACGAGAGCATTCTGGACGGCGATCTTTCCCGCGGCATCACGGGGTCCCGCCGGCGACGCATGGACGATGAAGAGACGGACATGTACGACGACGACGATGACATGGAGAGCTTGGTCAGCATGCCCGTCGACGGAGCAAACGGCAAGGCAGGCGTCAAGCAGGAGGAAGAGGTGGAGCTTCCGGCACACGCGTGCGCGTAAGTAGCGAAGCCCTGTGGCCGAGCACAACTAAATCGAGGGCAGTTATTGCGGCATCCACAACGCCGGCAGCGTCGTCAAGTGCCTGGCTTGCAGCAAGTGGTTCTGCAGCGCCCGCGGCAACACGTCCTCGTCGCACATCATCAACCATCTCGTGCGCGCCCGCCACAAGGAGGTGCAGCTGCACCCGCTCTCCTCGCTCGGCGACACCATCCTCGAGTGCTACAACTGCGGCACCAAGAACGTCTTCTTGCTTGGATTTATCCCCGCCAAGTCGGACACTGTTGTCGTTCTGCTGTGCCGCCAGCCATGTGCCGCCATGCCTTCGCAGAAAGATATGAACTGGGACACTTCGCGTTGGCAGCCGCTGATCGAGGACCGCTCTTTCCTTCCCTGGCTCGTGCCTCCCCCAACCGATCAGGAGCAGCTCCGCGCCCGCCATCTTAGCCCACAGATGATCGCCAAGCTGGAGGAGCTCTGGAAGGATAACGCATCTGCCACCATTGCCGATCTCGAGAAGGGCGCCGGTCAAGAGGAGGTCATTGCCAAGGTTCTCCTCCGCTACGACGATGCCTTCCAGTACCAGAACGTTTTTGGGCCGCTTGTGAAAATCGAGGCCGACTACGACCGCAAGCTGAAGGAGTCGCAGTCACAGGATGGACTTGTTGTGCGCTGGGACATGGCCTTGAACAATAAGCACACTGCTAGCTTCGTCCTGCCCAAGCTTGAGTTGGGTGATGTTAAGCTCGCTGTAGGCGACGAGATGCGCCTGAGGTACACCGGAGAGCTCCGTCCGCACTGGGAAGGTGTCGGCTACGTGATCAAGATCCCGAATAACCAGTCGGATGAAGTCACCATCGAGCTGCGGACCAAGGGTGACCATAAATCTGTACCGACTGAGTGCACACACAACTTCAGCGCCGACTATGTCTGGAAAGCCACCTCGTTCGACCGCATGCAGCACGCTATGAAAACTTTCGCTATTGATGAGATGAGCGTGTCAGGATACATCTTCCACCGTCTTCTGGGCCACGAGGTTGCGTCTGCGCCGATGAAGATTCAGTTACCTCGCAAGTTTAGCGTTCCAGGACTTCCTGAGCTGAATGCCAGTCAGATCAACGCAGTCAAAAGCGTGCTACAGAAGCCTTTGAGCTTGATCCAAGGTCCTCCCGGTACCGGAAAGACTGTGACTTCCGCGACCATCATTTATCATTTGTGCAAGATCAATGGAGGACCGGTCTTGGTATGTGCTCCTTCCAACGTTGCCGTGGACCAGCTTTGTGAGCGCATCCACTTGACAGGGTTGAAGACGGTGCGTGTCACCGCCAAGTCAAGGGAGGACGTAGAGTCTTCTGTCAACTTCTTGTCGCTTCACGAGCAAGTTCGCATGAACGACACGAACGTGGAACTCAACAAGCTCAACCAACTCAAGAGCGATGTCGGAGAACTTTCGAGCCAAGATGAGAAGAAGTTCAAACAGCTTACTCGTGCTGCGGAGCGTGAGATTCTTAACGCAGCCGATGTTATCTGCTGCACTTGCGTTGGCGCAGGCGATCCTCGTCTCTCTAAGATGAAGTTTAGAACCGTCTTGATTGACGAATCGACACAGTCGGCAGAGCCCGAGTGCATGATTCCGCTAGTACTGGGTTGCAAGCAGGTTGTGCTGGTTGGAGATCACCAACAGCTTGGACCCGTCATCATGAACAAGAAGGCGGCCACGGCCGGTCTCAACCAGTCTTTGTTTGAGCGATTGGTCATTCTCGGCTGCTCTCCGATTCGACTGCAAGTTCAATATCGCATGCACCCTTGCCTTTCCCTGTTCCCCTCGAATATGTTTTACGAAGGTACTCTACAGAACGGCGTTACCATGCAGGATCGCATCCGCCGTGACGTCGATTTCCCTTGGCCGGTTGGTGATAACCCGATGATGTTCTGGTCTAACATTGGAGCGGAAGAAATATCAGCCTCTGGAACATCGTACCTAAACCGCACGGAAGCCCAGAATGTGGAAAAGATTGTCACTCGTTTCTTCAAAGCTGGCGTGCTCCCTGGCGATATCGGTATCATCACGCCGTACGAGGGACAGCGCAGCTACGTTGTCAGCTCCATGCAGGCCACTGGAAGCTTCAAGAAAGAGAATTATAAGGAAGTCGAGGTTGCCTCTGTGGATGCCTTCCAGGGACGTGAGAAGGACTTCATTATCCTTTCCTGCGTTCGTTCCAACGACCATCAAGGCATCGGTTTCTTGAGCGACCCTCGCCGTCTTAATGTGGCTCTAACACGAGCCAAGTACGGTTTGGTCATTCTTGGCAACCCGAAGGTGCTCTCCAAGCATCCGCTGTGGCATTATCTCCTTCTCCACTTCAAGGAGCGCAATTGTCTGGTGGAAGGCCCCTTGACAAACCTGCAGGTTTCGCTTCTCCAGTTCAGCCGTCCGAAGCAGTCTTACCGTGGCCCTCAGCGTTACCAGATGGCATACCAGCACGCCAACGCGATGACCTCTGGCCGCCAACAGGCTGGTTGGAACGGAAATAAACGCCAAGAGTACAACGACAACGGATCCATCGTGGGATACATTCCAGACGACGTCTCTTCGGTTCACTCATCAGCCCTCGGCGGTGGCGGTGTCAACGTGCCTACCAACTACCCTCCCATGTTCTCCAACTTCCAAGACAGTTGGCCTTTGCCTGGTCGCAATGGTGCGCACAAGAGCAAGAACGGTGCTCCCAGCATCGCTGGCGAATCGGTTGCTGCTAGCGAGATGACGGACACACGAAGCAGTATTGCCGATGGCCCCGGAGGTATTAGTTTGACTGGCCTGAGCTTGAACGACTACAGCAAGCCCACGTCCTTGAGCCAGTCCGATCGCCTGAATCGATTTGTCGAGTCTACACGCAGGAATGAGAACGTTCCTGGCAACTACGTCGGCAACCGCGGTCTCCGAGGGCTCGGCGCCGACGATGATGACGCTAGGAGCGTCTCCACGGCTTTCGCAAGCCAGATTGGCGGACCTGCAAATTATGACTGATTGCGCTACGATAATTTTACATCCTAGGATCGAGTCTCATGTACTAAAACAGCCTTCACTGTCGCCAACGTAAGCGCACTCGCTCTTAATCGGACCTCAGCAGATAGCCTGCGTGATCATGATACTACGAGGCACGCTGAGCGCTCCGACTTCCCGACGTGGGGAGATTGTCTCACGGTTTTGTGCTGGCACTGCAATTAGCTCAATCAGCCTCTTGTACGGCACCAAACCCGGCCCTAGATTGCCGGCGCTTTGGGTTCTGTGCGGCTTAGAAGACATTGCACAGCTTGGTGCTGTCGACGCAGGATCCCAAGCCAATTCCTGGCCACGTGGTCGTGTCTTGTCACGAGTGGACGCCCGAGCAATGGCCGTACCGGACTGCACATTGTCTGTCCCCTTCCTCCCCGGGAGCTTTTCTGCAGGCCACTGTCCGGTCGCTAGTAGCGCCAGGTCAATCGTTGGGTTAGGATATATTAGCATCGTGCCTGTGGGCCAGCAGTTAACGCGGTTCTTATCACGCATCTGTTTTACGCGAGAAAAGTTAGAAAATCATACTTGTGCTGTATTCTCTTAGATTCTTTCATCTGCATTTCGTTTTGAGTGGTTCGAATTTGGGGTGTCCTCGTGAAGCATGCTAGGATGAGTAAGCGGCGGAACTCCACTCGTACCATCAACCTCGTTGTCTTTACCATTCTTTCTACTATTCCCGGAATCACGCTATTCGTCTGCATCCTGCTAGTCCCACAGTCCTCTCGCACAATTGACACACCATTGAATCACTGTTCTATTCATCATCGACACCCAACTTCTATTCCAGCACTACCCTCGTACGGCGAGGCGACACTGGCGAACGCAGTCTACCTCCCAAGCACGACCTCACTGCACGCTTTTTGCAGGAGATCGTGACATTTGCATCCTACCACTTCCATCACCAATATCAACGCCCATCCCAGTTCGAACATCACCTCAAAATGCCCCCGCCAACACGGTCCCCCTCGTCACCCATGCGCACCCTGCTTCTCACAGAAGCCACCCTCAAACTGCTCTCCGGCACGCTTTTCCTCGTCTCCCCATCCGCCGTTCTCGCACGCCTCTCGCCGCCCCCGCATACCCGCGTGCCCACGCTGCTGATCCGCCTCCTCGGCACGCAGACCCTCGCGTTCGCGGTGCCGCTGTTCCTCGCTGCGGGTGCCGACATGAGTGGGCCGACGAGGCGGGTCGTGTATTGGGCGTGTTTGGCAAGGGAGACGTTTCTCGCGGTTGGGTTGGTGGGCATGATGGCGAGGTTGTATCTGGATGAGGGAGGGAGGGGGGAAGGTGGCTGGGAAGGGGTGGATGAGAGGAGTGTCGAAGAGGGGATGGCGGGGGAGAAGAGAGGGATGGTGGACGATGCGAGGGCTGAGGGCTGGGTGTTGTTCAAGGGGATGGGGTGGTGGGTTGGCGAGCTGGTGCCGTTTGTGGTGGGGAGGGCGTGGGTGCTTGGGTGGAGGGGGGCGTGGTTTGATTGAAGGGAGGGATTATCTGATCTGGGCTTGGTACGAAGATGATTCGGCCAAGCTGCATGTCTGCGTTGCACGTATTGTTGGAGGCCGAGGAGCGGGCGCTGGAAATGGCGTTCAAGCATGCATGCATTTTCTGGAGTCTTTATATACGTTGAGCCATACGTCATGTCATCTGCACCTCCCCGCCCTGCCCTGCCCCCACCCGCCAACTAGGAATCTTTGCAAGAAGATCAGCGCGCCCCTCGCAAGCCCATGTCAAACTCCCTCAGTCGGAATCAGAGCCGATGTTCGTTTGCTGGCTCAGCCACTCGTTATCCATCGTTGCGCAGTACCGATAGCGGTGGCGGGCCTGCATCTCAGAAAGTTAATACGCGCCAGCGCTCAATCAGAAGGGCTGATGTGCGACTTCCTCAGATTCAGGGGCTGGGGCGTATGTAGCTGGGGCGTCGCGGTGCCCGACCCGGCTTGCGGCGTGCCAATGCCGGAGAAGGGACTTACAGCACCGCTTGGGGGCACGGGGATCTTGATATCTTCGGGGCTGCCAGGGACCATGCTTTCGGGGAGGTCAGGGATCTTGATGCGCTTGGCAACGTTGTTGTAGCTGGAGGGTATGATCTGAGATCGTTAGCATGGCGAGACGTAGTGAAGGACACGCGGAGAACAAACCTCGATGATCTCATCACGCGGGAACTCGAGCTTGGGGATGTCGGCAGCGTTGCAGGCCATGAGATATCCGTATAGCACTCGCAGAACCGACTCGTGCGCGATGATGAGGAGGTCGTTTTCTTCTCGCTCAAGCTCGAGAATGATGGGCTCCATGCGCACCGCGAGGTCATGATATGACTGATCCGTCAGCAAGCTTTCGTCTACCTCGACTAGATTAACTTGCCTCTGCTCGCGGGTATCGGTGGTGGTACGGGTCTTGCTCGTGCTTAGCAACTTCGTCGGGAAACTCCTGACGGATCTTGGCTTCCGACATCTTTTCGCACACACCCGGGTTCATTTGGCTCATCTGCGATCGCTGTCTTACGCGGTAACCCTTGGAGGCGAGATACTCTGCGGTTTGCACGGTTCGGTGGCGCGTCGACGTCCATATGGTGAGCGGTTTGAGAGCGGCATCTCTCGCGCCTTGTGCGATCATGTTCTCCTTCTCTTCTTCGCGATATTTCATCAGCACATCGCTCATTTTCTTTGCATAGTCGCGGCCCTCTGGAGACAATGACGCATCGATCTTGTACGAGTCTTCATCCCGTGTAGTGCCAGCTCGAGCAAAGTACGTTTGACGCGATTTGATGTGCAGATTAAGGAGGTAGAAGACAATTCGTTGTGACAGGTATCCAAACGCGCAATTGTTCACCACCACACGCTCACCGGCGTTGATCATCTTGATCCAATGTAGCTCCGGCTCCTCCATTGTTTCGAAGTGCGGTATCCTGGAATTGATGCGAGCAAGGTAGTCTTGAACAGCATCCTCGTCGGTCCACCCTTGATAGTCAGGTGATGAGATCTTCACTCGGCGTACGTTTTCCTGGATGATGCGTTCGTCAGTGCAGTGGGATTCAATAAAGATGGTCTGGATGCCGTTCTTGGCGAATTCTTTGGCCAGTGACTTGCGGCCCATGGAGATGGCGTTGACTGCATCGTAGATGGCGACCTGGCCCTTGTCGTGCTCGAGAAAATGGTAGATGTCTTCGCGGCATTTCTTCAGGATCTTGTTCCGGAGGAGGACCGACTGTGGTGAAGCATTGAGGAAGAAGTAGTCGTCGGGGACATCTTTGCCAGGGCCAAGCGTGGCGCGACGATAGTCGCCCAAATGAAACACGTGGGTCTTGACACCCAGCCATCGTAGGTAGCGGGCAACGGCGACCGAGGTGTGCGTCTTGCCACGGGCGGGCAAGCCGACGGTGGCAATCACAATGCGTCCAGAGTGGAAGAGTCGGCCTGATTCTGTGCTGTAGAGCTGGGCCGGGGCCATTTCCTCCTTCTGGGGCAGGTCGTGGATGGCGTCAACAAAGGTGCTCGACCGCCGCCGGAAGCGGGGTGAGTTGGCATAGATCTCAGCAGTCCTGCAGCGGTGAGTCTCATTGCAACGGCGAGCTCCTCACCTTCACCGCGACACAGGGTGAAGGGCCCATGCTCGACGCGGCGGCACGTGGGGTAGGGAATCGAAAGACTTACAATAGGGTATCCATGTTGGGCTCGGGGCTCTATGGACGGGGGAAAAGATGCTACAAATTCAATCCGAGGGAATAAGAATGAGAAATGGAGGCAGGTGCGGTACAATCTAGCAACAGGCCGGAGGTTGTCTCGGGATGCGTCTGGGACGTGTCGACGGGCGCAACCAAGGTGTCGGGCCTGCCGGGTACCTTTGAGCAGGCGAGCGGACCAGTGCGCAGCGACGGCGAGGTAGAGGTCTTGCAGTGCTTCAACGCTGGAGGGCTGCGCTGGTGCTAATCGCACTGCTTCTCTCTGCGAACGACGGGGACCCGCAATCGAGCCCTACAAAAGCAACCCGGCGCCGGCGGCGTCATTTGCTGGCTCGCTGATAGCCAGGCGCGCTAAGGCGGTTACGGCACAATTCTTGGCGCGCTCTCCTTCACGGGAAAAAGTTCGAAGCAGCATCATCAGGACCGCATCTCCATCTCCCCTAGCTTCTTCCGCCCCAACCCGCGCCGTTTCCATCCCAATTGGCGCGTCGTCGTGACCCCCCCGCGCAGCTCGATACACGCCCGTTGTCCCCGCCACACCGTCTCCCAGCGCCATGGAGCTCGAGCCGAAGCAGCAGCAGGCCATTGCCGACATCATCAACCACAACGGCGCCTTTGCGCAGCTCAACAATGTGCTCGCCGCCTTCCAGAGCCGGAGAGAGGCCCTCGGGCTGTCCAACCCGGGCACCGTCGAGAACATCGCCAAGGAGGTGCAGCGCGATGTCTTCCTGAACAATCTGAGCTTCTCGGGCCTGCGCGCCGAGCTCACAAAGGCCTTCAGCGCCGCGCCCATGTTCCAGGTCTCGCACTCGCTGTCCATGGGCTCGCAGGTCCAGCCGCCATACGCATACACGGCCATCTACGGCTCGCCCAAGGTGCGTTGCGCCGCCCGCGTGCTGCCTGCCCCGTAGCTGACATGTCCAGGTCTTCCTGCAAGCCAACCTCGACAACGACCTCCAGTTCTCGGGCCGCTTCAACTGGCGATGGACGCAGGCGCTCATCTCGAAGGCGTCGGTGCAGCTCACATCCCAGGGCAACATGGTGTCGCTCGAGAACGACTACACCGGCTCCGACTTCTCGGCCTCGCTCAAGGCCATCAACCCCTCCGTCGTCGACGGCGGCATCACAGGCATGGTCATGGCCAGCTATCTGCAGTCCATCACGCCCAAGCTTGCCCTCGGCATCGACGCCTTCTGGACGCGCCCAGCCATGGCTTACCCTCCTGAGTTGAACGTCTCCTACGCCGCCCGGTACAAGGCTGCCGACTGGATGGCGTGTGGTCAGGTCATCCCAGACAGAGGTGCCATTGATGCTTCATACTGGCGCAGGCTTTCGGAGAGGGTCGAGGCAGGTATCAACTGCAACCTCTCTTTCGCCGGCATTGGCCCGGGCGGTCCCATGGGCGGCCCTTCAAAGGAAGGCGCCGTCACACTGGGTGCCAAATACGACTTCCGCTCTTCATCCTTCAGGGCGCAAATCGACAACTCGGGCAAGGTCTCGTGCTTGTTGGAGAAGATGATCGCACAGCCTATCCGTGTCACCTTCTCCGGCGAGATTGACCACAAGACGGTACGTCCCATCAGTCTATAATGACGCATCATATCCTAACTGAAGCAGAACGCCGCCAAGCTCGGCCTCGCCATCTCAATAGACGCCGCAGACGAGGCTGTCATGGAGCAGCAGGAGCGCGCCGCCTCAGACGCGGGCTCAATCCCGTTCTAAACGCCTGAGCAGCGTAGCCAAGACCCCGACTCCCTGTACCGACTATAATCACCCGCTTTCTTTTCGCTGTATTACCACTTTCTTATCCCGAGCAACGAGCGAGCATGGGGCTCGCAGTCATATCAAAAGCGCATCTTGGACGGTTGGCTAGGGGAATCTGAACTGCACGACTAGACTTTTTTCGCTTTCATCCCGCTGTCTGTCCGTCAGTCATCTTTCTGGTCGTTGGGATGGGCGTATTCGTCATTGAATCTAATGGGCTACGGTTACGGTAGACCGGACACGAGTGATTGTTGAGCGCTGGCATGTAGGCTGATGTGTGGGCTGCATTGTACATATAGTCGCATTGAGCATGACATTACTCCGCTTGTACTGTGCACTTTTAATCAGAATTGATGCAGTGAGACTAGTTACGTGCATGCATTATATCACAAAGAGGAGACCCCGTATGTGTGGTGTAGTGTACAGAAGTATCAAGACAGTACGTGCTCCGCTCGTCGCAGGTGAAGGTTCTGCGCGACACCCATCCCCGCCCCGTCTATAGTAACACAAGTGAAGAACTGCCGTCACGTTTTCGCGTGCCATCCATCGCTCAATCAAAAGGGCCTTACAACGCCGGCCTCGCCTCCTGTCCACCCGCGCTCGGCGCCATGAACTACATCACGAGTTAGCATCTCTCCTTAGGGTCCATCCACCAGTCAAAACATACCTCGTTCTGCGCCCGCTGGTTCGCCATCTCCATCTTCTCCTGCTCGACAATCATCTGCTCCTCGCTGTACGCCAGCGCCCACGGGACACCCAGCAGCAGCGCGCTCGTGCTGACAACCCACAGCGTCTTGCCGCCGAGCGCGAGCCCGCTCTTCACCCACGACGTCGCTGTGTTGTACTTTGAGGCGAGAGCCCGGCGTGTCGGCGCCGGGATGATGTCTTGCAAAGCCGCGATGCGCTCGTAGAGGGTTTCGTCCGGGGTGAGGTCTGCGATGGAGGATGTGTCTGATTCTGTACAAGGGGAGGGTTAGTCGATTGATTGGGGGAACGCGAGGGGGATGGGGATGGAAGGGTGCGTACCGGAGTCGGTGTCCCAGTCGTCTTCGTCATGGGGGCCTTCCTGCTCGCGGAGGAACTCCTCATCGACGACTTCTTCGAGTTTGACCATTGTAGCGGATGGGTGTGCGAGGGTAGGTGCGAGATGGGTGTGAGATGGTGGTGCAAACGGCGGGCGTGATGGAAGGCGTGTGGTGGAGCTCGAGGAGGTTGCGCGATGATGCTCGATGGCCGGCCGTCCAAACTTTTAGATGGCCCGAGCGTCGCGCTAGTGCAGTCCCATTCGAGTGGTTGAATTGCGTGGGAAGGCATAGGCCACGAACGCGTGTCTTGCTTCTGCTACAAGAAGAAGTTTGGGTTTACCTCTGTTCAGTCTTTCGGTGTCTGCATGATTCGCGCACTCAGACACTACTCCACTGCCAGGGTCAAAATGGCCGTGACTCCGCCATCCAAGCCCCTCGTGGCTATTGTAGGCGCGACGGGAACAGGAAAATCTGATGTAACGCACTTCTATCCACGCTGTGACATCGGTACTGATCACTGCAGGTAGCTGGCTGTCGAACTGGCAAAACGGTTTAATGGCGAGGTGATTAATGGAGATGCCATGCAGCTGTACAGGGGGCTACCTGTCATCACTAATAAGATCACGACGGAAGAGATGAGGGGTGTGCCGCATCATTTACTTGGAAAGATTGGGCTTGAGGAAGAGACGTGGACGGTGGGAAAGTTTGTCGCGAATGCTTTGGGGGTGGTGAGTCTCACTCGCTAGTCACTGTGAAAGATCCTGACCTTGACTGGTTTCAGATCGACGAAATCAGAAGCCGAGGAAAGCTGCCCATACTAGTCGGCGGGACACACTACTACACGCAATCACTGCTCTTCAAAGACGCCTTGGCCGAAGAGCCGAAGCTCAAAATTGAAGATGATCAGTCCGAAAGAGATCCAATTTTGGACAAGCCCACCGAGGTTCTACTTGACAAGCTGAGAGAGGTGGACCCTGTCATGGTGGATAGGTTCCATCCGAACGAACGCCGAAAAATTCAGCGATTGCTGGAGATCTACCTCAAGACCGGGAAGCCTGCCTCTCAAATATATGCTGAACAGCAAAGCAAGAAACAGCTTTCGAAAACCGATGCAAGCGACGCTGCAAGCCTACGATTTCCAACACTTCTGTTCTGGATGCATGCCTCCAAGGACGTCTTGACAGCCCGTCTGGACTCACGTGTAGACAAGATGATCGAAAAGGGTCTGCTCTCTGAAGTGGAGATGCTCCACAACTTCCGCACCGAGTACAAAATCCACACCGGGCAAGAGATCGACGAAACCCGTGGAATATGGGTCTCGATCGGTTGCAAGGAATTTTCGGACTACCAGTACGCTCTCTGCGACGGGTCATATTCAGATGCCGCTCTTGCAAAGCTGAAGCAAGCTGCCTACGAGAAAACGCAAGCCGCGACGAGACAGTATGCCAAGCGACAAATTCGGTGGATATCCATCAAGCTCCTCAATGCTCTTCTTGCAGCTGGCCAGGGAGGCAACACCTTTCTGATCGACTTGCCAGACGTATCGAAATGGGACGTGGCAGCAGTGCAACCGTCCTCTGATATTACCGAAAAGTTCCTCCTTGGTCAGCCTCTTCCAGACCCAGCCACGCTTTCAGAAGCTGCACGCGACATGCTGAACCCAAGACGCGACTACGACTTATCACAGCGCCCAGACCTGTGGGGCAAGCGAGAGTGTGAGGCATGCGGCAAATCCTATTTCAACAGTAACGACTGGATTCTTCACCTCAAGAGCCGGTCGCATAGACACGCTGTGAACGCCAAAAAGAAGAAGACCAACTCTCAGCCGAACAAGACTCGAGACTCAACAGTCGTACTAGAGGATATGGCTGATGTGTTTGAGAGCTCCATGGCGACCTTCCCAATTGAGTCGTGAGACGGGTAGTCTTTCTTACGTGGACAATTGGGCGCACGGCTTAGCGCTCGGCTGTGTGTGCCCCGCTTGGGTTTTGCCCCAGTGGCCCCTACCTTCAGTGTCCAGTTCTGCCCGTGAGACGGGCACCGTATATCTGTGGCACGGGCACCATACTTCTGACAAGAAGAATCCATCGTGGGGTACCTTAAAGATACAAAATTCAAGGACGCGAATAGAGCAGTCCTCCGACTCCATCACCTTCAAGATGGCAAACACCAATCCCGTCCCACTGCTCATCAACGGCCAAGACATACACCACGAGTCAACTTTCGATGTCGTTTCGCCAGGGACAGGCGAAGTCTGTTGGAAAGCCGTCTCCGCGAATGCCGACCACGCCACAAAAGCAGTGCATTCCGCCCAGGCCGCCTTTCCATCCTGGTCGCAAACAAAACCAAGCACCAGATCCGCCATCCTTCTCAAAGCAGCTGACATCCTCGAGAAAAGCATAGAAAAGTATGCAGACTGTATGATGGCCGAGATGGGTGCCGACAGAGGCGCGGCCCAGTTCTTCGTCACTCCCCTTGCGATTGCCATGTGCCGGGACATTGCCAGCCGCATCTCGAGTGTCTGCGGTAGCGTTCCTGTGGTGGCTAAGGAGGGCCAAAGCGCAATGGTTTGGAAAGAACCGTATGGAGTCGTGCTAGGCGTTGTAGCCTGGAACGCGCCATACGTCTTTGGCATCCGCGCCGCCGCAACTGCCATCGCGACCGGAAACACCACCGTCATCAAGTCGTCCGAGATCACACCGCGCTGCTACTATGAGCTGGGTAAAGCCTTTAAGGAAGCCGGGCTGCCTGATGGCGTGTTCAATGTCGTTGCATGTAAACCAGAGGACGCGCCAGTGGTAGTGAACACCATGATCGGGCACCCTGCCGTCAGAAAAGTCAACTTCACGGGCAGTGCAGCAACCGGGAGGAAGATCGCGAGGACGTGTGCAGACCATCTCAAGCCGATCCTCATGGAGCTTGGTGGGAAGAATACAGCTATCGTGCTAGAAGACGCGGATCTAGAGAAAGCGGCGGACGAGTGCTTAGCAGGTGGTTTCTTAAACGTGAGTTTTTTCAGCCCTACACTTCCTGACAGCCACCATATGCCCATGAACCACCCATCCAGAACAAGTAAGACAGCACACACCCCGTATCCTCCTGCCTGCTCTCCGCACCACGCCTACACCCTATTAACCCCAACCCAGGCCGGCCAAATCTGCATGGGCACCGACCGCATCACAGTCCACACCTCTATTGCCCCCGCCTTCACCCAAGTCCTACAGCAGCGTCTCGAAGCCCTCTCCAAATCCTCCCCTTCGCCCCCCATCGTCTCCTCCGCCGCCTCCAGAAAGCGTCTCGACAACCTCGTCGCTTCCGCGCTCTCCTCCGGCGCCCGCGTCATCGCTGGCCCACAAGCCCAATCCTCTCACCCGTCCCCTGCGACCTTCCTCCCTACCATCCTCGCCGATGTCCCACCCACCGCCTCGCTCTACCACGAAGAAGCATTCGGCCCACTCGTTACCCTGTCTAGCTTCGCTACCGACGCGGATGCTATTGCGTTTGCGAACTCTACAGAGTACGGGCTCCACGGGGCTATTTTCTCCCGGGATTTGCGGCGCGCGCTATCTATCGCGAAGAAGCTCGAGGTCGGGGCCGTGCATATCAACAGCATGACGGTGCACGACGAGCCTGCGCTGCCGATGGGGGGCGTGAAGGGGAGTGGGTGGGGGCGGTTTAATGCAGGGGAGGGGATGGAGGAGTTTTTGGTTAGGAAGGTGGTTACATGGGATGATTAGAGTATGGGTCCTGATGACGGGAACCTAACAAGGGAAGCATGCCAGCACGCATATTGGAAGTCACCATACCTTGCTAAGCAATCATGAACGCGATTTTGCAGAGGCCCATGATTGGGTTGAATACTGATGTAGTGACGCATCTACGAACCCAGCCAAAAATAGTACAATGCCGAAAATGCTACCCATGTTGAAGTCCGTGTTGAAAACCGAAATGGGGTATCATCGTTGAGTAGACGCAAAACAGAACGCCGAATTCAAATGCCGCCAGGCCGCCACATTGTTGAATGCAGGCGCTGCCCAGAAAAACACACACCTTCCTGCCTATTTCCCAGGCCTTTTCTCAAGTCCATAACCCCCCTTCCCATCCAGACTCTCATACGTCTTCCCCTCCGTCCTCATCGCATTCCGTGGGCCCCGCTCATCCAAATCCTCCTGCAGCCACGCCAGCACCAGCTCCCCCAGGGCGCTGTTCCCGCTGATGACGCGCTTGTCCTCCTCGCTCTGGACATGCATCTCCGCCATGCTGCCCCACTTCTTGACACGGCCCAGTGACATGTGCACGAGGTGCGTCGGCCACGTCGCGAGGTTGTCCAAGATATGCGTCGCGTAGACGATAGTACACGGCCTCGTGTCCGTCTCCTTCTTCAGGAAACTGAGAAAGTTGCTGCGGGACAGGAGATCCAAATCCACGGTGATCTCATCGAGCAGAAGAATCGTCCATGGGCGCAGGAGCCCCATGGCGAGCTGCACGCGGCGCCGCTCGCCATCGCTGACGGCGTGCAGACGCCAGCGGAGGTCGATGTCGAGGATGCGAACGAGCTCGTCGCGGCGCTCGGGGTAGGCGTTGCCGCCGACGGAGGCGAGCAGCGTGGGCACGTCAATGTCGGAGCGCACAATGGGGTTCAGCACCCACTCGAGACCGAGGTAGGTTACACCTTCGAGGCCAAGCTTGAAGGGGTCGACGCCCGCGATGTGGACCGTGTCGGCGGGGGCCATGCGCTTGCCCGAGAGGAGGCGCAGGAGCGTGGTTTTGCCGGCGCCGTTGGCTGGGCAATTGTTAATTCCGGTACGTTTGGAATACCCAGAGGAAGGGATGGAAGGGCGATCGTACCTCCGATCAGCAGCGTTCTGCTCCCAGGCGGCAACTCGAGGAAAACATCTTTGAGCCCGCTGCTCCCGTCTGGAAACGCATAGCTCAGGTTCCTGACGTCGATGTTCGGCGCGATGCCCTTCTCAATTCTGTTCTGCTGTGCCATTGCGAGTTCTTCGGTGTGGGAAGGAATGAAGGACTGTTAAAGCCTGATTATGAAGGGGTTGCTACATTTTATAGATGGTTCGATGTCAGTGGCACCCCGCGCAAGTGGGACGTTTTCCCTCCGAAAGTGATGATGCTATTACGGGCGCTAGGCGGTTTCCGGAAGGCGAAAATCACGCACCAGCGCGATGCCTTTGGTTCGGCAATTGAGGGTTGTTGTAGGGCGTGTTGGTCGTAAGTCAGGGTGCATATGCGAGGGGAGGTGTTAATGGGTTGGGTTTCGTTCTTCGCTTACGTTCGTACAGCGTTTTCCGCTTTGGTATTCAGCGTTTTCCGCTTTAGTACTCAACGGTCTTCGCCTCGGACATCCAGCTACAGATAACAGGAGTGAATGAGCGCTACCCGGGGACCTTCTATATCAAACAAAGCGATTGAGATTGCTGCAAGTTTGAGCAAAAGCAGAACGCTCCTAGTCCATACAAAGAAAGAATGGTATTCGATAACGAGAAGTATCTACAAATGAGCAGAACAGGAATAATCAAGCCGCTGTAACCCGCTACTGAAACAACTCTTCCAACCGCAACTGGACCATGGGCAAAACATTGCAGTCACTCTGCAATGCCCTCAAATACCGTCAACCGAACGATGATACAGGTCCCATTCAATAGCTTCGTATAGAGGAAGGCAGCCTCGGAAAGACCAATCGCAGACAACCTTCCACAACATACAATATGGGGGCTTACTAAGTGTTGTTGCGTTCCCTACGGACAACAACAACGGAGATGTACGTAAATCGAACCCGGCTTCTATGGCTGGAGATGGCCCACCTGTACGCTTCCACTAACTCATATAGCTCACTGATATTGTTGGAGTCTTTCACTGCGGTCCTCGCTTTGCGAATAACATATGAACCCACAAGGAGCATTATTTGAAAGATACACGCGACCGCGAATTGGTCTCTTTTCACTTATTTCCATTGGATGTTAGTGAAGTCAGCTTCATGAGGTCCTCAATGGACACATGGCATGTGGCACTATGACGGCTGGTTTGCATGTTGTGCTGTCTCTAGAATACATTTCTCAGCAACTGCGTTCACTTAGAATACCTAGCAGAACATTTGATGAACCGAAAAGTTCACGAGGCTAATTCTCTGCATCGCTTGATTGGTTCGCATAAGGGGGCCGCTTACCAGAGCTTTTGATTTGCAGTTGGGGCTGCAGCATAGCCGCCTGCCTGTGCGGAGCTTCAGCTGGATGCTACGAGCTCACCGGTGCAGGTTCAGCCCCCCAGCAAACGAGCTGCGAACGTACGGCTTGGGGCCCCGGGCTTTCTTCATGCGCCACTCCTGACTGAACGACCTTCCTTTCGGTTACTTCCGCTCTTCAGAGGCACAGAACACGAGCTGCTACAGGGCGAACTTTTTCATGTTGACCTTGATCAAGGTGCCACCCCATACGACGCCTTGTCCTACGTATGGGGAGTACTCGCCTGGATACAGCTTTCGATAGTCTGGGCACGAACTACGAATATTGAACAATCTGGATCGGCTCTGCGTTCTCTCAGAAAGGAATATGTCGATCGAATCTATCGGTGGATGCACTATATATCGATCAGAGTAATTTCAGCGAGAGGAACTATCAGGCATCGCTCATGTACGCTATATACAGATAATCCCAGAACGCGATTGCCTCTCTGGGACCGCCAAATCGCGAGATATAGCAGGTTTTTGAACAGATGCGGGAGTTTGAGATTGCCTGTGATGTGAGGGTCCCACAGGTTTGGCTTCAATGGATACGATGATCGAGGAAATTTGGTCGCACTTACGCCATCGCATGGATGGCTACGATGATCACAAGACGGGGTTACTTCGCTATAGCTTGGGACCATTGCTTAATCATATTTGGTTTCGAGAGATCTGGGTACTTTCGGAAATGTTTGTGGCACGTTCCGTCAATATGGTTTCAGACTCTTTGCATCAATACTGGACGGATCTATAAGACACTTTGTGAAGTCGCTGTTTCAGAGCAATCCTTGGATGTATTCTATTGTGGTGGGTTTAGTAAAATAACTGCCAAGAGAACGTTTTCTGCCCTTAGCCAGATATTGGATTTCCATGGCGAGAAAGGACGCTTCCAAGTATGCAAGTATCATTACCAGCCCGCTGAGAGATGCTGACGATGCGCAGTTCAGGATCTGGACCTTCAAAGAATCGTACATCTCAGTCCAGCAAAGACCGAAATGCATATCCCCACACGATTTAATCGAGTACCTTTTCCAGACTCAGAAGCTGGTTCCACATCTCATACCACCAGAATAGTTCACCCACTACCTCGAGCATGGTGAAGGCCATCTCAATTTGAAACACAAGTAATGGATAGATCCCTTGCCAAAACGGGTCGAGACGCATACCTCAGGTTGCTTCGGACCAAATTGGCTGGTGGTCGGAATACTAACTATGGATGTACTGCTATGCGACGTTGCGCTGACTATAGCATAGGCAGTGCAGTTTGATAGTGTCCAGGGCGGAACAGGCACTAACACCTATATCATCGCGTGTTACGCTGCGGGTTTGGGTATTTGGGTGTATTCCTTGGGTGGTAGTTAATTGGAGAATAGCTTTGCAAAACATGTTTCGCTGATGGAGCTGCCCGAGTTTGGAATAGGTAGCATAAATCTCTGTGATTACATAGCCCTAATTCTGACGCAAGTCCTTGATCGCGCCACCGACCTCCTTGTCTCCCGCTCCTAACCTGGCATTGTTCACCGACCTCTCATCCAAAAACTGTATCCTAGGTCCCTCCTTCTCTTCCTCCTCCTTCAGCGTATCCTCACTATCACCCGTCAGTCTCCAAACAGGCGTTTGGGGCATCTGTCTGCCTCTCGACACAGCCCTCGACCCAGGTCTTACATGGGCCGACACGGGCCTTGACCTAGACCATCCATCCTCCAGATCATCAAGTTCATCTCGGCTAACGACTCTCGAAAAGCGGTTATGTCTGACCACACTGTGGGTTCGCGGGTCGACATGGCTGTTTGGAGGCAACGCTTCGCTCACGCTCCTCCTACGCTCCATACTCGGCTCAAGCTCAACGATCGGCTCGACACCCTTCCATCTATATATCAACTCCAGGGCCGGGATACTCAAGCCATGTACTACAATGCTGAACAGCACGAGGAAATAAACCACCGGGCCCATTGCCCGGAGCAAGTCCTCTTCCTCGTGGGTCTCAGCGGCATCAAGCTTCGGAAACAGATGCCGCGCATGCTCGACATAGAACACAGCACCGATGCCAATAGGGCCAAAATACCCCATGAACAGCGCTTCCTGCCAGCTCCTAACCGTGTTCGGCATCGCCTTGTACATGACCATCATCGCGGGAATGCGACGCAGGAGCAAGACCAGTAGGCCTAAGGTAAGTAAGCGACCTATTGTGATGCCCGTGACCTCGGAGTTAAACTCGGACCATGGTAGGATGGCGCCGATGTACATGAAGCCGCCGAAGTTGAGGAGTACGTCGATAGAAGAGTTGACTTCATCGTGGCGAGCGAGAGTCTCGCGTAAGTATGTGCCGTTCCAGTTCATAGCTGCTCCAGCACAGAAGCATGCGAGCAGATCGTCTAGGCCGGCGAGTCCGGTGATTCCGATGGTGAACAGACCAAGGGCCGTGGGATAGAGGAGGAGTGATTCAGTATCGATCCATTTGCTATCAATGTCAGCAAGATCTTTTGTTGTATTCCTTGCCTGATAAGAGTACGAACCGCTTCAGTGTGAAGGATACAGCGAACATGCTAGCAATGCCGAGCACGGCACCGACGACCGCTCCGAGAAGGATGAAGTACAGCCATCCTTCCACGATCCAAATTTCCACTGCCTGCCCCGCGCCACCGCCAAGACGGCCAACATCTGCAGCTCTGCTTGCGATGCGAGAGACACCAGGCTTGAAAGTGACGTCCTCTTCTGGCGCATGGCGAATTAGGTATGTGGCGAGCAGCAAGAACGGGAAGCCGAAGCCATCGTTACTGCCTGCCTCAGCGGAAATGATCTCTCGCAGTGCTCGAGGAACGTATTTGTCGGCGAAAGGACCCTTCGCGATAGCTTGTGATAGCACAGGATCCGTGGATGTGACCAGCGAGGCAATAACCATAGCAGTGAGCGTGGTCAATTTCGGTATCATGAGCTTAATGCAGCCAGTCGTACAGAGCCACATGATGGTCATCACGGGGATGAGGAGAAGAGCCATATCTTTCCAGCGATGCCAGGGGTACTTGGCTGGCAATTGATAGCCCGCCATGACAAGCTGAACGCCAATAACGACGCGGGTCACACCCTGAAGTATGTCAGTGATGCTTAAGGAAGCATCTCGAAAGACCATACCAGCGTGATGTGTTCTGTTTGTTCTTGGACGGCGGAGCCCCATCGCTCCGAGTTGATGAACTTTGCGGCTATAGGTCCAAGAATGATGCCTACAAGCAACGCTGGCAGCGCTTCGCCAAGGTACCATACTTGCTTGATCTTCACTGATCCGAGACCGTATAGGATCGTGAAAGCGCCTGATGAATGTGAGCGAAGAGATCTTTGACGAGCGATAAAGGGTCGCACCAAGCACTGCTATTACGATGTTGAGCTCGCTCACATCAAGGGTCGGCATGGTGATCTCTTGGTCGAAAAGACGCTGCCTGTAGCCTTGAGTGGCGAAAGTGTTCCGTGGGGCGAGGACGTTGCAGGAATTGACGTTCCCAGACGTGCTAAATGCCAGCTAATAAAGTCTTGACAAAAAATCCAGAAGAGAAAAGAAAACACGCGATTGCGGGCCGGCCGATCAATCAAAGTGACATCTTGCAGAGATAAGAAGGAGTCGAGTGTGGTACGTAGCGTCCGTGGAGGCTGAGAATGCAAGAAGCCCGCACGTAAGGTAACCCCGAGCAGGATGCCTAGTTATGTAGATGGCTAAGAAACGGGATGAAACGAGAGGAAAGGCCTGACACAGTAGCCGTCACCCAACTACTGTGAAATACCGGAGGTGGGGGATATACCAAGTCATTCGTCGATCTTCATAGCGCTGGAATTCAAGCTGTGACAGGAGTTGGAACTTTAAGCCCCAGATTGAGCATCGGTGAGCAGATCGATATGTTAAAGCCCACGATACGGTACTTCGAAGGTGCTTAGGTAGTCGATCAATGATTTGCTTTTCATTCAGCCACATGCTTGGTGCGCGGCCACGCATGGCGGCGAGCACAGTGCTGCGGCCGCAATGTTGTCATGCAGCATAATCGACGCCGTCCACGGATCTCGGAATAGAAGTGAGTCTTGGTTTACATGGCGTAGACTTGGAATCGACTCGGCGGTGTCAGGACCTATACCATGATGGTTACACTGAACGCAATCCAGTCACATGGATCGCTGCGAGGTGGCTACCTATGATAATTGTCAAGGACCGTCTTCTCTCCATCTTCTGTCGAGTGGACTGGTGAACCCCGAAAAAAGTGGTGCTGCCTTTCAATCCACAGCTTCAACAACATCCTACTCGAAGGTATTCTACTGATCGTCGCATTCGACTGAAGAGGCACCTTGGCATGCCACCAAGCCGCTCCGCCGCTGGAATCTCCGCCGTCCAAGCCCGCTCTATTGCTCCAAGTTGCCGACATCCGGATGTCTCGCTCCCGTGCTTTCGATTCGTGAGTGTCAGTGGATGGCAGTGAATGTGGCTGGTGGGTCCGCTACGTGGCTCAGGCCGGTGTAGCCGTCTCGTCATTCTTGGTCGCTGGGCAGCGGACGGCGGAAACTTGGCGCGCGATACACCTCACACTGGAGCACCATCCAAACCGGGCATGCATCGCATCATTCCAGTCAGTCTCATAGTGCTGGTCAAACCTTATTCACCGATATCATCTTCAAAGCGTCCTGACTGAAGGAAACCCTGGAATGCATTACCTCGCAGAGCTAATTGCTTCGGCATATCCCGTGACTGCGGAAGCCTCCATGGGGGGCACGTAGTAATGTGTAGCGCCTACACTGCTTTGCTTCGAGCGACGTGACCAGGCAAACTCTGTTATCTCGCCTTTAGGGTCGAGGATCTTGACGAGTTCTTCATACCTATAGAAGGCCGCGACGTCCAGTGGTGTCCAACCGTACTCATCTTTAGGACTCCGATCCTTGGCTCGCCCCAGCGCGAGCAGCAAAGCACCCACATCGCCGGAGAAGGCAGCCGAATGGAGCGGAGACCATCCGTGAGGATCTGCTTTCCTAGCATTAGCCCCAGCATCCATCAAGAGGCGTGCTACGTCAGTGTTTCCTGCTTCAATGGCGCACTGTAGCAGACTGATCCCACGGTGCGTATAGTTCGGATCAAGCCCATTTTCAAGTACTTGTTTTACGCTGGCGTACTGGCCCTCCTGGATGGCATGCCAGACTGGATGTGGCTTGTCGCTGCTTGGGTCCACAGAATCGAACTTGGCTCCGAAGTCCTGGAGCACCTGCATCACTGATGGATCGCCCCATCGTATGGCGAGCTCAACGAGTGTCGTGCCATTGGTGTCGACAATATCGTGCGTGCAGCCGTTTTCAAGGAGGAACCGGACTGCATCAGCCTTTCCGGCCCTGGCAGCCAGCATGAGGGGAGTGTAGCCGTCGATGTTCGCAGATGTGCGGATGTCTATGTTCTCCTCCACAAGATGCTTCAAGATAGCTATGCTTCCTGATTCTGCCGCAACGTGCGCCGGTGTGTTCCCTCGTTTTCCTGAGGCTGTGATGTTGCAACCTAGGTCGTGAGCAGCTTTCCAGAGCAGCACGGCACCATCTCCTTTTCGAGCGGCTTTGTGAGCAATGCAGTCCAGGTCGTTGTCTGCTGCTTCGATGTCGGCGCCCTTCTCATGTAAATATCTGAGAACATTAAGGCCCTGGGAATCGACTATGCAGAGCAGTGGCGTCAGCCTCTCACTCGATCTAGCATTGACGTTGGCTCCTTTCTCTACGAGGAGCTTCGTGGCTTCTAGATCGCTCTCTTGCGCGGCGATGTGAAGTGCTGTAAATCCGTTCTTGTCGACTGCGTGCACATTTGCATTGTTCTCCAGAAGCCATTTCAATGTCGCATATTGCTCTCCTTTGACAGCATGGAAAATTACGGTTTGACCTTTGCCATCGCGAGCTTCCAGGCTGCTTCCTTTCCCATGAAGCTGCTTGATCATGCTGATGTCTCCCGTCCGAGCGCTGAAGTGTAAGGTCTGGATGTTTACTGTATCTTGCCGATTTATCTGCTTGCCACCTTTGAGGAGAAGATTTATCGTGTCCTCGTCGTTGCTATCGAGGGCATAGTCGAGTGCAGTGCGACCTTCTATGTCCTTGTCATTCAAACTCATGCCCTTGCTGACGAGCTTCTCCACCACTGAAGCCTGCCCATATCTCGCTGCCCAATGGAGCAGCGTCGCTTTGTCCACATCTTTATATTCCTCAAAGTGTTCAGACTCAATTAGATACTTTGCCGCATCCACATGCCCATTCTTTATTGCCATCATGATAGCTTCTCCGGAAGATAAGGATGCAGTTGTCTTCGTTTTATCGCTTTTCGAGTCCTGGAAAATTTTGTGGATAATATCTGTTCGACCAGAACTTGCAGCCCACTTCAACACGGTCGTGAATTCATCCTTCGGACCCAGCTCCTGGTTTTCAAGGTCGACAACAGGATTGTAGTTCCTTTCCCCTCGTTGGGGCCACATCTCGCGGAATTTCTCCCAGATCAGAATCAAGACGCCGAGCGGAGCCAAGACAACGATCGTGAGAAGTCTTGCAACTCGCCTTCTCGATCGCAATAGAGTGTAACCTCCCATAGCAATACACATAACTACCAATGAGGTGTAAAGGTAATACAGCCATGATGGATCGTTGCTGAAAAGGTCTACGTTCATGCCGAAAATGCCCTGACTGCTGATAAGTAACGTCCTAGGCTTTCATTGTGAGGGCAGGTTACCGCTGCAAAGATAAGAGGCAGAAATATGAACTAAACTGCCTGTTAGCTGGTATCAATGATGATACATCGTGCGTGCGTACAGTGATCCACGACAGTCTTCGAATACTGTCGTTTTGTTCGCGCGATCGATATCCCTCATCGATGCTAATCAAATTGGTAACCCGCTGGATGAGACTATCAGTTTCATTGATTAGCTCTGTGCAGATCCGATAATCAATGGCTTTGAACCGCTGCATGTATCCGCGGCATACAGCCATGATCTCCCAGTAGTCATCGCGTCCTTCGGTCCACCTCGGATCATCATGGATATTATCAAGGGCTTCCAAGCTCAAAACCTGACTTTGGAGGACTCGACGAAACTCTTCCCAGCGCTGTGCCGCACTGACAAGGTTCCTCACGATGTTGCGATCTTTTTCTAGGCGCTCTTGAAGGACTTCAAATCTCTTCGGTCAAGTTAGAGTTTACCCGTCGAAGTCTTGGATTTGCTTACAAATGAGTCGAGGAAGCGCGATGATGACACAAGAAGTGCATCCCAGTTTTCCAAGATGACTTCAAGTTGAGAGAGCAGATAGTCCAGTGGAGCGGATCGCAATTTGGTCGAATTCTCGTAGTTTTGATATATTAGGGCATCGTAGGCAAACTCAATAGTCTCAACACGCCGGGAGCGGAAGCGAAAAATCTGCAGATTCCAATCTGCCAGGAGGTACCTCTCCTCCCTACAGCTTGATCAGCGCGCCGACATTACGGTATAGTGAACACGTGACCTACTCGTATCCAGAGGATATCATGATTGCATCCGACGTGGCTTCGACTTTCGGCTGCTTAGTTGACGACGGCAAGGTATCTTGTTGAAGAAAGAATTGGAGATTGCGATGAAGTGCCCAATGACCACAATTCTCGCCCTTCGCGCATCTTTGGCACTTGCAGGAGCCCGCATCAGGCTTATTTGTCTTTGAAAAGTCATTGAAGAGACCGTACGGGAACAACGAATAGCGTGGGAAGTCGAAGTGCTCGAACAGGGTCACCAGCAAGGCAGTGGGACATTTCGGCCCATACATGAACAGCCGGCAACCTTGATCATTTTCCGCTTCGGGAAACATCTTGGTGTAGCGACCGAGCGTCTCTGCAGTGAAAAAAGACTTGGGGTCGTCGCCGTCCTGGATGGAGACTGCCGAGAGCGCATCGACCTTGGATGCATGCTGCGGTGGCCGCCTGTTCAGCGCAGTTTGTTCTGGTTTCCAAGGCGCATCTGATGCCGCTTGCATGGGGACTGTGGGGTAGTACTGTGTCGACTGCTGCGGTGTTACTTGCGGAGGTGCGCCATAAGTATAAGGTGGTCCTGACTGGTAACTTTGCGGTTGCGGTATGGACGAGTATTGCGATGCGCCATTTGGGGGACCTGCAGAAGCTGATGGGTACGAATATGCGCTCTGAGGAGGCAGAGCATAAGGTGATGGGTATGGCACACTCGCGCTCTGAGGTAGCGCAGCGGGCGCGCTGTAGTATTGAGGTGCATACTGGTTGGAATAGTTAACTGGATATGGCGCCGATGTGCTCTGGCCTGGCAAAAGCGCAAATGCATAGTTTTGATTGAAATTCGGTGGAGCTGGCGCTGACGAGTTCTGGCGTGATGGCGGGGGTGGTGGTTCTGAGCCCATAGCAAAAATATGGCGTCGCCTTGTGCGACACAGTAAAATCGAAGTCCATGGTCACGAAGTCGCTCGGAGGGCTGTTCCTTTATGTTTTTCAGACGAGTTCAGCTGGGGGCTTTAGCTGCCTTCGGTAAAGAGCCTCGTATAATACGAGGCACTTGATTCAGCCACGGTGTATCCAGAACATTTGAGGCTTGCTCCTCGCGAGGACCCAAATCTATAAATAATTGGCATTTACTACAAAAGATGTAGGACACGTAAATTGCATGAATGAATACATATGCCAACAAACTACCATTGCGATATGTTCCCATAAGTGTAGCTCACCCCGGCCCCATGAAGTAACAATTCATCTAGAAGTATAGTCTATCAATCTCCTAAACACGAAAACGGAAGCTCTTGCTTCCTGTAGTCGATCCGCAAAGCTAGCTACTCTTCCTCAAATCTTTCAAACTGTGCTCCCACGCCCCACTCAGCTTCTCATTCAGCTCGTACTTCACCGCGTCGCCCTCTCCCAGCACCGTCACCGTCTTAAGTCCCACGCCCGCATGATACCCAAATGTACCATCCATCCTCAGCGTTCCTCCATCATACATGAAATCAATTGCACTGACCGCCTCCTGCTCTAGACTGACACCATCGTCCAAGTAAAGCTTTCCCCATGCCTTATCCTCACCATTCGGTGCAATGATAAGTTCAAAGTCTTGCTTACGTAGAGCGGTAGTCGTGTTTGCGCTAGCGACACGCAAGGGGATGATGTTTCGGCACTTGATGTGCACTGGGATATCGCTAGTGCTCAGGTTGGAGTATGTGGTTTGTGTGGCGGTGGGAGTGACGCGTTTCAGCGTGTGGAAGTCCCAGAAGATGTCATTGGGGAGGTAAAAGGACACGGAGTCGGAGTCTTTGTCGGTCACAGGAGATACGAGTAGCGCGGGTCCGAAAAAGAATTGCGCGTCGATGGTCAGGGTCGCGGGGTCGTTCGAATAGTGCATCCTGGTGTACATGTCAGGGAGGCCAAGGCATGAAAGAATGCGGAGAGACTTACCAGACTGGGGCGAGCATGGGTGTACCATCCGTGCTTTGGAGGTGCATGGCGGTGTATATATAATCAAGAAGACGGTAACGCAGGTCGATGGCTTTACGGGCTGCGGCGGCCACGCTATCCCAGCGGTATGCCTCCTGCGATATCGCTCCATCTACATTGTGGTTCCGGTAGAACGGGTAGAACGCGCCGAGTGTTGTCCAGCGGGCACATAGGCTTTCTGTTGTGTCCGAAAGGAAGCCGCAAACATCTGCGCCGGCCTTGACAATCGTTAATCAATGGAAGTGCTGAGAGGACTCGCATAGACTCACCATCGGAATCTGGAAGATAGAAACGAATTGCAAAAGGTGACGGATGGAGATGATGTACTGATCCCATGCCGAGATATTGTCGCCCAGCCAGTGCCCCACGTAAGTGCCAGCACCTGGGTAGGTAGAGCGCGTGATGACCATCGGCCGGAGACCGGGACGGCGCTCAAGCATCGCTTTTTGACTTGTCTTGCTCATCATAGTGCCGTAGAGGTTGTGTGTGTCTAGTAGAAATGGCAGTGTTAACATGTTTGCCAGGCCACTTAAGGATAAAACATCCACTCACCATACTCTGCCCAACCGCCTTGGTGAACAATGTCGGTTCGAGCGGTCTTGTTGCTTAGCACGCCAAACTCGTTGTGGATTTGATACTTCGGATCTAGGAGATTCCTGTTGGGAAGACCCTTCTTCGAGCCGCTGTCCTGTCGCACCTCGACGCTTCTCTTCGCGGAGGCTCCGGGATTATCGCAGGGCCACTCGCAGAAGTTGCTCGGCTCGTTCATATCGATCCACAGTGCGTCGATGTCCACACCTCTATCAGCGTCGAAGAAAGTGGCGAATTCGTTGTTCCAATAATCTTGCGTCTTCTCATGAAACCAGTCTGGGAATGCGGTAACACCCGGCCATACGACTCCCTGGTAGATCGATCCACTGCTATTTTTCAGGAATATGTCGGCTTCTTTACCCTTGTTGAAGGCATCATAGTCTTGGTATGCTACTGCTGGATCTACCATAACAATGTAATGCTGATCGTTGGCGTGCAGATTTGAAACGAGACTACGCATCTTGTCGAGTGGGAAGCTTTCGCCCAGTGTAAATACCTTGTGGCTATCCATATAGTCGATATCGGTCCACATGGTCTCTGCGGGGTCTCAGTCAACATAATTTTGTCGTCTTAGCGTGATGCGGACGTACCAAGTGGGATATTGGCAGCACTGTAGTTCGCGATCACAGCCGCGACTTCGTCCGCGCTCTTGTACCCAAACCTACACTGGTGAAAGCCAAAGCCCCAATACGGCATCATCTGCGCTCTGCCGGTGATCTCGCTATACTCGCGAGCAACATCCATCGCTGAAGGGCCGGCGAGAAAGTACAGGTCGATGACTCCACCAACGGTGTTGTACTCGAGATACTGGTCATCATCATTATTGATCAGGATATCCATTCCATTCGAATTGAGCAAGAACACGCCGTGAGAATAGTCGTTTCGACGCTCAAAGTAGACAGGATGCTGACCATAAAGGTTGGACTTCTGAGGAACACCACCAGCATCGCGGTTCCACATCGTGCGGACGTAGTCTGATGTCGGCAGTCTCAGAGGATCGGTGTGTTCACCGAGGCCGTACAGGTAGGGATTCTCCGGGAGCGATGTACGCAGACGGATGTATTGGTCTTCAAAGACGATTTGAGATCCTTTGGTGGTGAAGATTACTTCCTTGTTGGACTTCCGCGTAACTGTGAAAGAGAACGGTGACTCTTCGATGGTGATCTCCACTTGTGATTCGTCGGATGTGACCGAGCCTGTAGGTCGTGGCAGCACGAAGTCTGGTACTTGATACACCTGCTCATCTTCGTCGTATATGATGACATGAAGGCGAGAATCTGAATCCCATCAGCGTAAGTCCAAAGCCATTGCGATCACGGTACAGTCTGTCGCATCGAAACGCGCTGACAGAAGAATGCCTGATCTCTGTACCGGTTTACCTGTCTGATAAGATGCCTCAAACTTTAGGTCGTGTAGATCTGTGCCATACACGTTACATTCAGCACCGGCAAGCGTTAAATCCGCGGTGATGCCTCGGTCCGTGTTCTGCACATTGCTCGCAGTGTAACCAGGACATTCATCCACTCTTCTTACCGGAGCCGACTGCGTCCATGGCACCAATGCAGACCCCAAAAGGAGCCATGTCCGAAGAAACGTCAATGAAGCGGGCATGACCTCGAGGTAGGCGACGGCGGAGCTGTTGCTCGAGAACCACGTCTGGCCTATATAATCGACTGAAATGCAGCATGGCTTAGCTCCTACCTACCCTTTATGGAAATGAAACATGGATCTTAGTGGATGGAGGGTGGCTGCGTTGCCATGGGGCGTATCACGGGGTTCAATGGCTGGTTTCTTACAGGTCGTTGCGAGAACGTTCATGATTCGCTAAAAATCCTCACTGGCCGAGGACTGGCAGAAAATTCCTGTATCCGGAGATTGCGCAGAAGCTCAATGAGGGACTGCAGCAGGAGGAAAAGTCGAATGCTGAGTTTCCGCCCCAATAGATGTCGATCTGCCTTGCGGAAGCGGCTAGAGAGGTTTCTCGTGCGAATCAGAGATGGCTACCACTAGGGATGCCGAACAATCTCGCGCGTGAGCCTCAAGTCGGGATTGCAGGCCTAGATATGTACTTGTTGACTGTTTGATGTCATGATAAGCTCAGGCTGTGCATGCTTAAAGTCACGATGTGTGTGGAGGAGGAAGAGTGAAGATGCGTTTCGAATTTAGTGTAGATCTTCTAGTACTCAACAGGGTTAGCGCTCAAGGGAAGATCAACCTTTCCCCGCATGCGCAAAAACACCACGATGCAACCGTGTGTGTGCACTCTCTAGCCAACCTGCCATCGCTGAACACTCATGCACACCAGTCAACGTCGCCTGAAATTACAGTTTCTTTCGAAAGTTGAACGAAATGCTCAAAGTGTATAATTAGAACCATGTTCAGAGAAGGCAAGTGAGAAGTGTTCCAGCCAGCTATCACAAGGTTCCCATCGCACATTAGCAAACTAGAAGACGTAGTTTTTAAGAAACTAGTTTCGTTCTATGGATCATATTATCATGATCTGGCCATTCGCAGCGCGCTGAGTACTCTAGAAATGCCATCGACGGCAAGCATGCAATTTAGACTCGTATACCTGAGCAGAACAAAGTAAACGACTGCTAACTTACGCGAAGTCAAGCCTGATGCTATTACTCGGGCCGTCGAACGAATCGCACTTCTTCTCTGATGGCTTGCACGGTTGTACACCGAAATGGTTAGAGAGACGCCGTCGCTTGAAGCCAGGCCCTCGGTCCATGATGGACCCACTGATCACCGGAGTGGTGGAAGAAGGTCCGGTCTCCGCTGCCTGACTGCCTGCAATACTAGAGCAAGATGAAACGCCCGCACGATTCCTGCCATCAGTGATGTTCATTGATGCAAGTCTTTGGTTTGGATCGAGTGAGACGCCCTTTTCCAGCCTTACAGCAGGCCGCATAACCTTGACGTGTCTGATAGTTGATCCCTTTCGAACGACCTTGGTTTCAACAACATCCATTACCTCCTCAACCCGGGCTATCTCTTCTTGTTTCTCCTCTTCCCGTATTCGGTTCCGCTCTTGCTCCCTCTTGAACTCCCAGAAATCCTCAAATGCATCCTTGAGCAGCCGCTTTGTATCGTCACTAATCCCAGACCTTATCATCTTTCCCAAACTCAGACCAGACGAATGCGTTCCGATACTGGGAGGAAATTCTTTTTTGCGAACCATTGCAGTCTTTCGTGGCTCCACCTTTGCGTCTTTGAGAGCGTCGGCTTGCTTCCTCCTAAAGAGGAGTCGTGCTCCATTGCGGGCATTCGCCGGTCTTCTTGAGCTTAGTTCCTTGGTAGCCACAGCCCCTGGTCGTGATGCTCCAGTGGATAAAGTCTGTTCCCGAGACTCAGAGACTGTTGTTGCATACTCTGGACCTGCGCGGAATTGTTGATGGTCTGGCGCCGACAAACTGCCCTCAGTCGTAGGCGTTTGCTTTTCTGCATCTTCCAAGACCTTTGGCGTCTAATATGGTGTTAGATACAAGGCAATCGGTGGCAAAGATCCTTCAAGTACGAACCAGTCGTTTTTGACATGAGAAGAGTTTGCGGATTGTGAAGCGGCTTGAGCGTTGTTGCGTAGCATCTGACGCTGGCGGGGCCATGTCGCAAGCGGGACTGTGTACCCGAGGATGGATCGAGCGTAATGTGATTTGAATACCAGTATACTGGGTAAAATAGCGAGTTACTGATAACAATGTGGGTTAAGGCAGTGCGTACACAAAACGCACGATGGGGTTCCAAAGGCGAAGGTGGAAGGAGCGACGCAAGTGGCAACAACCCACAGATTCCTTAAGATGGTCAACCTCGCTAGCACTAAGTAGTTTTCGACTACATAGATGAGAGTCATCAATCGCGGATGGTGCATTGGTGCTGGGGGAAGTCATCGACGAGTGTGTTCGGTCAACAGTTTCAACAATGCATTGACGTAACATTATTTGCCCAATGGAAAGCCCATTGTTTAGAAGCTAGGCATGACCTCAATCTCGGAGGCACTGTGTTCGCTTCCTGCCACGCATCACTTGATCTCGGTGAGCACCTCCCATCTATGCCTTGAACAAGTAGCCCGCAGCCAAACATAGACTTGAGAGAATAGTGAACGTATTAGTGAAACCGCCAACTCTGGCTAAGTCTCAAATCATGAGAGCGCGATTGTTCATGTAGCGAAAACCCAGCATCAATCTTTGAAGCAGTCTAGAGCAACAACTTGATAATGATGCGTTCATGAAGGATCTTGATGCGTGAAAACACTTGTGACTGGCAAGATGCGTCTAAGTTTGATTCACCTTATTTCTAACATAAGGTCTTGCATCGCCGTGAAGACGTTCCAGGCTGGTTGGGAAGCTTTTTGTTGAGACGGGTCTATGAACAATACTCAGATTATCCAGCAGTCACTACGTAGACAATATCATGAAGTACAATGTTGAACACTCCGCAATCACTGCCGACACCGAGCCCCGCTCGCTCATTGAAGACAGTTGAGGAGCTACCGCAAAACTTGATATAGAAGCCGTATGGTAGGCTCCAGCCCCACGATCCACACCCCAGGTTCATCACGACCACCCCCAACCATGAACACATTGCATAAAGCCTCCCGATCTCCGATTCGCATTCAGTGGTTGCGCAGATCGGCGTGCAAGAGGGGGCACTCAGAGCGAGCACCAACACCAGTACACCCACAGCAACGCACGCATAAACTCTCAATCCCAAGAACAACCCTTTCATTGCCACACCATATCCAAAATCCATCTACTTACAGAGGCTTGCGCCCCACCTAGGGTATCATTCCATCGCCTATGCAAATAGCCAAGCCTACATGACAACACAGCACCCCTTGAGCGCCCTGAACAGCTTCGGCAGCCCCTTCTTAACCATCTCCTCCATTTCATCGTTCTGATTATTCTGCTGCTGGTGCTGTCCACCGTGTTGTTGTTGATGCCCACCAGCATGCTGTCCCCCATGTCCGCCGTATTGCCCACCGTGCTGCTGTCCACCATGCTGCTGCCCACCATGGTCATTACTGCCAGGATACCCACCATAGCTCGGTGCCTGGGGCGGTGGCGGCATACTGCCGACAGCCCCACCCTGCAGATTCACATACATCCTACCCTCGTTCTCCTCCGTCGCATACTGCAGCCCCAGCTCCCTACACACTTGCTCGACCCTCGGCTTGATCTTCTGCACATGCCCGCGACTATGATTTCCCTTCCCTACGATAACATGCAAGTGCGTCTGGCCCTGCCTTCTCGCCTCTTTGATGCGCTCCTCTAATACGTCCTCAGCTTCCTCCACGAACAGCCCGTGTAGATCAATTGTATCGGACGCGACACGGCCCTCGGAGTTGTTGGCGCGGAAAATGAAGTCGCGCGCTTGCCGGTTGTAGGCGTCCATCTGCGCGGCATGGCGCTTGCCTTGTTCAGAGAGCTCGTGGGCGCGCGCGCCGTCGCCGGACTCGTAGGCTTGGTGCGCGCGGTCGAAGCAGGAGGAGCGCTGGGCAGCTTCTTGGCGCGCTAGGTCGCGGAGGCGGTCGTATTCCGCTTCGGTGTCCGAAGAGGAGTGGTTGAGGGCTGGGAAGGTTGTCAGTGGGGTGCTGGATAGGTACAAGGAAAGCTGGGTGTATGCAGTACGCTGTGGGATGGTTGCGTACCGCGAGAGCCCAATTGCATCATTTCCATAGCCATGTCGTGGTAGAGATATGAGGACCGAGGTGGCAGAAAAAGCTGCAAGTGAAGTTGTTGTGCTTTGGTTGCATCCAAAACAGGGACGGAAGATCGACGGTGCCAAGAGATGGGGACGCAGGATGAGGCGCGGTCCAGATCGGCGGATCGGCCTGTGTCTATGACTGTCAGTTTGCAGCCCTCGAGACAGCTCAATGCCGCTTAAAATAATTGAGCAGTGGACATTAGGATGGACGGAGAGAAGGTTCACTCAACCTGAAGCTGCGTAGATGTCGCATACGCGACTTGTGTATTGGGTATCTTGATGCAATTCACCGACAATTGCCGTTGCGACAACAGCTGCTAGAATCTGATTTTTGGCCCCACGAATACGATCAAGAAGGCAAAAACCCATAGCCCAAAGATCAGAGCGTATAGTTTCATGCGATCCCACCAGCCCTTGCCTTCGGTCATTCGTCTGAGCGTACCCATCTTTTGGCCTGCTGCCTCCATGCCCAGCGCGTTCTTGTCTAGCCCTGACAGAGCGCGATCTACGACGCTCTTGTCCCCTTCGAGTGTCTGATGGAAGTGCAGTGACTGCTGCTTCAATTGCTTCGCCATGTCGAGTAGGCTTGTCTCCAGGGTCTCCTGCTCGCTTCTGTGATCTGACAAGACGGCGTCGGTATGTGCCTCGCCCGTTGTTGTTTTAGCTTTCGAAGGGAACAGTGAGTTACCCGTGGCTAATGTATCTGCGTCTTGCGCACCAGCTCGCCGCCGCAATTCGTTTGAAAGACCTCGTGCCGCGTTTTGGAGCATTTCGTTGCCTTCCCCATCAGTTGAGTTGACCTCGAGCCCGGCGTCTGCGGCCCTATGCGGTGCATACGAAGGGAAGTTGTCCTCTTCCTCCTCTGAGTCCACCGAACCGTCCGATTCTGAGTCGTCGAGCTGGTCAAGCTCGTATAGGCGCTGATTCAGCTGTTTGATGAGGTCGCGCTTCTTCTGCAGGTTGGTCTGGAGGGCGGACTTTTTGGTTTTAGAGGGAAGGGAGGATGCGGAATGCTCGAGATTGAGGAGTAGTGTGCGCGCGTGTTCGACATTCTAGGTAGTCAGCACCTGCAATCGGATAAGACTGCAGCTTCATACCGCTCTTGTTCTTGCGCGCGTGTACGGTGACTTCCGGAGTTCAGGTGCAGGTTCGATCAGGATGTTGTGCTCTAGCCGCGATAGCATCCTGTTGAGATTTATGGGCGTTGGGTCTGGAAAGTCTGTCGCCATGTTTAGGCAGCCTCTGTTTCAGGCAGTCCTGGAGAAAACAAGGCTGTAATGTGTATATGTGGATGCAACGCGTATGCGCACGAGTCCTGTTGTGTGATGGGCTATGAAACGCGTCAAGAAGAAGTGGTATTGGGGCCTGCCTGGAGTTCGTGACAAGTGGAAAGTACGTCAGTCCCCACGCGACTGGTCCAAGCTCACCACCATGCGGGGCAACACGCAAGCGATTGCAAGTGTAGTATCGAGTAATGTGCATTCATGTCATCAGATCTCATTTTCTGTTACACAATCTCATAATATACAGGTAGCATCTCGAACTAAAGCACAGAAACAAACGGCCCTCGTTCACACCGTCAACCACTCATTCTCCCCACAAGCAGTCACTTCTCTTCAAGTCGGTTCTTTTCACGCATCAGATCACGCCCAACTCCACGTGTGAAGAGCTTACTCCGTCCGAAGTGTTGTTACGTCACGCGGCTCCTTCATTTTGGGTGGTGATTTGGGAGCGGATGGTCCGCGAGTGAAACTGGAGTGGTCTTTAGTCTGCTATCCTTCATGACCATGTTGTGTTTGTTGAGCTCACTTGTTCCACATCGTGCCAAACATGCCAACTTTGCCATATGAGTCTTGCAGACTGGATCTCCTGTTCACACTCGTCTCATCCTGGGGCCGCTTCAGTGCCTCAAGGTTTGCAAATTTGCTTGTGGATGACTTGCATTGTTAGTTGCATTGACAGCATGGAGATGTGGTTGTCTCACCCTCCTTCGCTCCGATGTTGGGGAGCCCGAAGTTGAGCTGATCGATGAATCCGACGACCTTCGGTCAGCGTCCTGCTTTGGGGCGGTGGGCATCATTGGCGTGGTGTTGTCTCCAAAAATTTTATGAGTCTGGCTGGAATACTTCTGGTGGAATGGAGAAGGCATGGCGATTTATGTATGGAGAGATTCGAGATTTGAGTTCTGATTGTAGCTGTGAATGATAGGGTAATGATCGAGAATCGAGACTCAGGTGCAGGACAGCGTAGCCTTGATAAGAGCCACTGTTCAGCTCACCCCACAATGATTCCTAGAGGAATCATATGAGCGTTACGCTGTGCAGCGCGATCGAACCAATGGGCTGACGGATTCAGCTTCCCCGCATTGTTCGCGATCTTAGCTTGGACCCTGCATTACAGTAACAATCATGACATGGAGGAAGCCAACAAAGGAGAGGATGGACCGGTAATCCAACGACGAGTAGGATCACTAGAAATCGAACTGCGTCCGCCCTAACCATACGAGCTGCGTTCTTTACAGCCCGCTCGACATCTGGCTTCTTGAACTGATAGGGAGAAGTTGACTGGCTACCTCTCTCCGACTTTGTCAGCATGCTGCATATCATGAGATCCAAAGACGCAAAGCTTGCGTATCGCGGGCTTATCAACCGGACCGAACGGTGCTATTAGAAAGCCACAATGCCCATTGCGTTATTGGGTTTGGAGGGTCATGCGCGATCCGCAGCAGAGGCTCGGGAAGTGACCCTTCCGTCTCCGTGAGATCAACAACGAGATCAACAACAGGAATATTGTACTGAGTCAGGGCGGAGTCATGGTTGCAACAGATCTGCTGCGGGTTTCTTCCGAACGACCACAGAGGGCTGATGGTGTTGCGAATGAGACGTGGTACAACCCACTGCTAGCTTAGGACCCACCAAAATCTCTCTGCTATTGATGTCATCCGAAGGAGTCCTTGTTCATGGTCAGATTGGTGTTGAGCGGGAGCCCTGACGATCGTTGAGCTCACGTGTGACGGCCAAGGTGGTGGCTGTGGAGGAGCCGTGCTATGATGATGTCATAGACACGTGCAAGGCAGCAGTCATGTGATGCCGAGGCCTCTATTATGTCAGCAGCAAGTTCGGAATAATTTGCTCCGGGCGAATTTTTTTGACTACAAGCCTTGTCCTTCCTTCGCAGCAACAACCCGTTCCACACCTCTTCTTTTCTTGTTGAACGTGGTCAAACTTTGTTGCAGTATCCGGTATGGCCTTCTACAATCTGTCAGCACACATTAGTCGGATAGGGGCGACCGCAGCATTATGAGGCTCGTCGTATGTTTGGGCAGCAATCGACTTTGGGCTTCCTGTGTCAAAGATTGACAGGGACCAACCCGTATCTGCCACACCCTTTCAAGGTCTGTTTCGGCGCCTTCCCGAACGCTCCATGATCGGCACGCGGTGCCTCGAGTCGGGCCGTCGGTCGGGATTGTTCCTGACCTGTGCCAAAGCTCATCCTCCTGTTCTCAACCTTCAGCATCGCTGATATAAGATGGCCTGGATGAAACTAATGCGATAGCTGAACTCTGTTTATGAGCTGTCATGGCAGCGCTTCCAGCGTCCCCCTGTGGCCCTACAAGAAGCCGGCCAATCCGAGCAGGTACGTAAGCTTGTCTTTTGCTCACCCACGCTTCCCTGATGAATACACAAACATAAGCATAGTTCAACCGAGACCAAAGGTCGCTGCGGATGAAACTTGATTGTCTTTCGCTCCTATCTGATTACACGCATCCATACTTTTCTCTTGCACGAACCAAAGGAGCTCACGCTGACCCTTCAAACAGGCTGCACCTTGCATCGAACATGACAGGTGCTTCTGTGGCACAAAGCCGTCGTGGCTCGCTTCAGTGGGCCGAGCCATGTTACCAGACCGCTTGTCTCGACACGCTCGATGACAGTATGTCGTACGTTGTAATATGTGTCACTCCTAGCCCGAAAAAATGATTGCTACACCTGCTCCGTGTAACTGTGATTTACACCTCCACTCGTCACTTTTCCTCTGCTCCATGCCAATATGCAGCCTTCCCGCGCCATTGACGCAACTGCCTGATTGCGTCCGCGGCCTGGAAGCAGCACTGCCAGGCCCATGGCAGGAAGACGGTTGAAGGGAGAGGTGCCCGCGTGTGACTGGCCGAGAAGCCGTCTCAATCAAATCCACACATGCTGCTAGTTCCGCAAGAGCGATGTTTAATAGTTGTCCGTGATGCGTGCTGCTTTAGAACCGTCTGGGAACCAGTTTCGGCGTCACCCTGGTGCTGGACCGAAAAAGCAGGCATGCAATATTCGCGCCATCCTGGTCGGTGCCGCAGTCCGCGACGTTGGCGGCGTTATCGAGCCGGCTTGCCTCTGCGCGCATTTCGACGAGCAGCGAGGATCCTTCCTGGGATTGGCACGGTGTAACTGAGCACGGATGTTCGCTCACTTCCAAATTGCCAATCCCGGGCTGTGCCTCTGGCGAAGCGCCTGCATATCGCCGCGCCAGCACCTGGAGCGCGCCTCTGAGCAGTGCTCACGGACGGGCCGGAGCATGCAACTTCGCACCAGTCGTGCTCGCTCGGCGCGCGAAGAATAAGAACCTGGCTGTCCCCCTCCTGGGCGTCGGCCAATCTGCCTTGGAAGACGAACGACTGCCCAGCGACATGGCCCCACCTTTGGATGCGTTGTCACCGTAGCGCTATCCCGTATTTGTGTTCTCAGACGCACGGCTGACCGGCCGCTCCTCGTGTCTTGGTTTTCTACTCCCGCCCCCCCCTCGTCGCTCCTCTGCCTCGCTCACTCCTACACGACAAACGCACGACACACTTTCTGCACGCAAAATTCACCTCTGCCACCGCGACTCAGCGAGAATACCGACAAACACAAGACTTTGTAGACACACAAGAGCCCTTGCTCAGGATGTCAATTCGGAGCCCAGACGGAAGCCCTACCAGGTACTTACTGCCCAACGGTTTATCCCTTTTGTTCTGCTTTCACACGCACGTAAAATCATGTATGAGACAGTACTGTATTTTCCTATGTTTGTTTTGTTTTTGAGCCATACAGCACCAGGCCATTGCAACCCGCTATGGAAGCCACAGGATGGACACATTCGACCCAGGACTAAACTCCCGTTCCATGGACACTCCAAGGCCGCTTGCTTTCCTGCTCTGTTTTGCCGCGGTTTCCTGTTCTTGTTCTACGCCGACTGCGCCGTCAGTCTGGAGGCTCATCCGCGTGCCCATGCAGCGGCGGTAAGTTCAACCCTATCAGGATGTAAAACTAAGCTCTAAGCGCCGACCTCGGAACTCCGATCGTCAACCGCTCAAAAGTCGGTGAGCACGAGGAGCCATCCAGGTACTGGTCACTTGGCGAGCATCGCAACTAGTGTATTTCCGACCACGCCAAGGTGGGTCTAGCAACACGGCACCTCAGCAAAGTCGTCTATTATGATTGTCGACGGAGCTTGATGGTGTGCGAACGTGCCAACATCCCGTAGGATCTAGGACTACCAACTGCCCCCGCGTTGCACATGTCGTTGATGTTCCATGAGGATACCTAAGGAGAAGTCAGGACACCAGCCCATGGATTGTACCCGGTCAGAACCACGGAGCTCACGGAAGACGCTGCAGACCAAGGCAGCTGTCGACCCTGAAGTACGTATAGAAGGCACAAATTTGCCTGTCCCATCCAACCCATTGATCTCGCACTGACATTCAGCTTTCTCACTGATGGCTACCACGGTGGAGAATGTTTCCGTGTTTGCTTGCCCTGTTCTGACCACCCGGAGTCTGAGGATATCCTGCAACCCACTGCCACGGAGTCGAACCTGCCACTGGAGTCCCCGGGCATTCCATGGAATGACCGCCAAGCCGTTACCTTGCATGCTGACAAGTCGTGATCTCTGGTTCAACCTCGCATCTGGCCGTGGTGTGTGTACACGACAGTGCTCTTCCAGGTATGTAATGATTGAAGATGATGTGAAGCGTGGATTGTGGCTGATTCATTGCATCTAGGGCGCGAGCGACTGAGGCGGCTTTACTAACATATGGCTTTTCCTATTCGTTTAGAAATCTTTTATCTCATATGTTCAGTTTTTCGTTCGCGACACTAACCAACGGTTTCTAGCGAGTCTGCATTCGACATCAGCCTGGATTTTTCTTTTTGCAATCCCAGCCCGGCCGTGAACATTGCCAAGTGGAGAGAGGACATTTCCGGACCAGCCCTTCTTGGACAGGATTTGTTCTCCATGATCGACTTCAAGGATTTTAAGGGAGTCGACGCCACCTCAGAGTACAGCATGGACAGCGCATATCAAAGCCAGTCAGGCTCCAGCCGACGAGGTGGAGCTTACCAGAGCTCTCCCATCCAGAACCCGACAAGCCACTCTTTCATGGACCAAGGCATCTCCCCATCATTGGCTTCCGACTCTTTCGTGGCCTTTCCTGAGTCTCACGACATAAACCAGGTCCACAATGCCGGAAACATGGACTTTGGGAACGGATCCCAGTGGTTTGCTAATACCTCTTCCGCGCAGGACTTCACATACTCGCCGTCGATGGCACAAGCGATGCAACCCAGTGCTTTCGCTGCTTGGGGTTCAAACGAAGCATCGAACTATGAGTATGCCTCGTACAACATGAACAATGAGAACGAGTTTTTCCGATCTCAGCCTTCGCCTCAAAGGCACCTTGCTCGACCTCGCATCGAGACTGCTGTACGACCGACCTCATACTTCGCTGCTGAGCGTACTTTCAGCCACGCGTCGGCACATTCACACTCTTCTACCGGTCGTGCTTCTGTTGCGTCTCCTGTCCAATCACTCCAGCCGCAGTCCTTTGCTGAGGCCGCCTTCGAATCTCAACAACTAGGTAGCCTAGGGTACGTTTCCACCATCGCTTTCAAAGTTCTCGTTGCTAATCGCGAGAACAGTTTTGACGCTACTCAAAGCAACTCGCCTTCGGAGGAGCTCTTGATGGAAGACAACGAGGAGCTCAAGAGCCTCGAAGAGGAACACCACAAGGTTGCAAGGAGCGACCCTCTCTACTCCAAGGAGCCTGATGCAGATGGACTCTATCATTGCCCAAGCGAGGGTGAGAGTGGCTGTAACCACAAGCCCACGACTCTCAAGTGCAACTACGACAAGTACGTTGATTCTCACTTGAAGCCATTCCGCTGCAAGGTCGCCAAGTGCGAGTCCATACCCTTTTCTTCAACTGCATGCTTGCTTCGTCACGAGAGAGAAGCACACGGCATGCACGGCCACGGCGCTCGTCCCAACCTCTGCCACTACGCTGATTGCGAGCGGTCCACGCCTGGCCAGGGCTTCCCTCGTCGCTACAACCTCTTCGACCACATGCGTCGCGTGCACGGCTGGCAGGGTGACAAGGACGTTGCTTCTGCCTTGGACGGACAGCCTGGGGCACGCAAGGTCCGCCTCCAGAAGCGCAAGGCCACTGGCACCCCGTCTGCCCTCAGGGTTGAGAAGAGGGCCAAGATCAGCAAGGCCGCCCAGCAACAACAGCTTCGTGAGCGCCAGCGTACTAAGCTAAACGTAGAGTGGGCGATGAAGAAACAGTCCATTGCCACTCTGCTTGCCGACTTGAACGACCTCGGCGACGTGAGCGAAGCACAAGATGCCCAGCTCCGACAGGAGATCAATGACTTCTTCGCCTTGCGCGAGAAGTATCACACTGCTACTAAGGAGGAGTTCGCCGAATGAACAGCCCTCTCAGATACGTGAGTCTGCTAGACCACGCTAGGTTTGTTCAATGGCTCCATGCCATGCTTCTTATCCGTTGGGACCACACTGGATGGCCGATTTTGGATCCCATTCTGGAAATTGGATCCTCTCACCTTGGACGTTCTCCACCGACCGGACCCCGGCTGGATTGATTACCCAAAGCGACAAAGCTCCGCTTGAGGAGAGGAGCGTGCTACCCGGCCCGACCTTGGGAGGCTTCAGGCCGTGGTATGCGCTTGCGTGTTATGTGGTTAGAATTGTTAGCTGTGCAGTCCTTATAGAGTGAAGAAGTAGACAAAGGGGAGAGGAGAGAGAGAGAGAGAGAGAGAGAGAGAGAGAAGTTTCACGGCCTAAGATTGTTTCCTGTCTTGTATTTGCTGCATTGTATATAGTTAAGTTAACAACGTTGTTTCTCGCGCACGTTCTCTTCGGTCTGCTGTGATTGATATGCACTGCCCTGGATAGATTCAAAAATCGCTACGAGCGCTGGAATAACAATATGCTACCAGGACGTCCATCATCAAGATGTGGAGGTTGTCTGTCAGCCAACAACCTGTGGGCAGCCTTCCTTTCTTTACTATGCAGAGCTTAATAACTATGTATTGTATCGAAATATATTTTACGAAGTTAAGCCATACGTGCGTCGTTAAGCATAGGTCGAACGGCCCTGCAGTCTATGTCTCGAGATTGTCCACCGTTGTGCGTAAACCGACACCTCGCAGCTGTGCAAGACTAACACAACCTCACCACTATTCGTATTCGCTATCATTAACCGTATATGTACTTTGGTTGGAATCGCGCTCATTTTGTCAGGCATACCTCGGCCGACTTGCGGGAGCAGCGACAAAATCGGCATACGTCACCGAGCTAGACCACACTCGCTGACAAGTCCCCATCAAATCACCAGATACACGTCGCTGAACCTCGGCGAAGGGCCTTTGATAACACACAACGTTCTGCCGTTTGTAATCCTATGTTGGCTAGAGCAGCAGTTGGTTTCGTCACCCGCTCCGCACATGCTCCGTAACAGCTGCACAGCCCCGCTTCGTGCTGCCCCTCGTTCTGTCTCGCACGCCAGACGCCTAGCGCGTGACGGTATTAAAGCCTTCACCACCACACCACTCACACCACCACGAAAGTCTAGCATTACACTTGCACGACCCGTCTACACCGCGCATCTACACACCAGGACTTTCGCAACCATGTCCTCCGCCACCACCTTCTTCGACTTTAAGCCCAAAGACAGTACGCCCAACCCCCACATCTCCCATCTTCCTTAGTTAACCTTACCTCAGAAAAGGGCAACGAGTACCCGCTCACCCCCCTCAAGGGCAAAGTCGTCCTCGTCGTCAACACAGCCTCAAAATGCGGCTTCACGCCCCAGTTTGAAGGCCTCGAGAAGCTCTACAAGGAACTTCACGCGGCGCACCCCGACTTCCAAATCCTCGGCTTCCCGTGCAACCAGTTCGGCGGGCAGGACCCGGGCTCCAACGACGAGATCCAGAACTTTTGCCAGGTCAACTACGGCGTGACGTTCCCCGTGCTCGGTAAAGTCGATGTCAACGGCGACAAGGCGGATCCCGTGTTTGAGTGGCTCAAGAGCGAGAAGCCTGGACTCATGGGGCTGAAGAGGGTGAAGTGGAACTTTGAGAAGTTTCTCATTGGCAGGGACGGAAAGGTTATTGGCAGGTGGGCGTCGACGACGAAGCCTGAGGCGCTGAAGGCAGATATTGAGAAGGCGCTTAAGGCGTCGAAGTGAGCTGGAAGGAAGGACGAGATTGCTTGAACAAACGATACCACGACTGTAGCTTGCGTAGAAAATTTGAACTAGTAATATGATAACCTGTACCGTGCATTTACTCCTTCGCAGCGCTGCCCCCTCTGCCACTCTTAGCGTTCCAAATAGTTCCAAAACTGGGGACCTACCTAAGCGCACCGTGCCCAAGCTCCAGCTCTACATGACAATGCAGCTACCCTCCGCACCACACCACACCTCTGCACACTCCCGCCATGCCCACAGCAGGCCCTCTCGCACCGCCCGCTCTCGCCGCCAAAATCCCCAAACTCACACCCCGGAAGCGCGCCTCGGACCGCGCGCCGCCCTCCACCCCTCCCCCACCAACACCCGCTCTCCCGGCGCCGCCGCCAGACCTCGCCTCCCACAGCTACACCCCACCGACACGACGCATTCTCAGCCCCGCTGACCACGCACTGTTCCTCGCCAGCCCGACATGCGACCTCGTCACAGGCTTCATCTTCGGCGTCTCAGACAGCGTGCGCGGCAGGCCGATTAGCAGCCTCAGCGCAGCCGACACGTCGCCCGTGGTCGACAGTATCGTGCACATCTTAGACTCAGCAGAGGAAATACTGGAGAAGAATCCACCCGAAGACACAGGCAGCCGCTTCGGCAATCCCGTCTTCCGCACCTTCCTCGACGGCGTCTCCGCCGCGCTGCCGTCCTGGCACGCTTCCCTCGGTCTCCACGATGAAGCGCAGGTCGCCGAAATCTCAGTCTACCTGCATAACGCCTTCGGCAACAAGCGGCGGATAGACTACGGCTCCGGCCACGAGCTTAACTTCTTCCTGTGGCTGCTGTGTCTGAACCGGCTTGCCCTGTTGCCCCGCCAGACCTTCCCCGCGCTCGCGCTCCGCATACTGCCCCGTTACCTGGACCTGATGCGGAGGATACAGGGCGCATATTACCTAGAGCCGGCGGGGAGCCACGGCGTCTGGGGCCTGGATGATTACCAGTTCCTGCCGTTCCTGTTCGGTGCTGCGCAGCTGCTGCACCACCCCTACATCACGCCCAAGGCGATTCACAATGCGCTTGTGCTGGAGGAGGAGCGCAGAGAGTGGCTGTACTTGGATCAGGTGGCGTACGTGAACAGCGTGAAGAACGTGGATGGGTTGAGGTGGCATAGTCCGATGCTGGATGACATTTCCTCGGCGCGGGACTGGGGCAAGATCGAGGGCGGGATGAGGAAGATGTTTGTCAAGGAGATTCTGAGCAAACTACCCGTCATGCAGCACTTCCTCTTCGGGTCGCTGATCCCAGCGGAAGAGGGCATGTCTCACGAGGAGGACTTTGGTCTCGCGGACGAAGAGGACGAGGACGAGGGCGGCGAACTAAGGGTGTTCAGCGACGAGGATGGGAAGAGACATGTGCATGCGAGCAAAGGCTGGGGCGACTGCTGCGGGATCCGCGTCCCCGCGGCCGTTGGCGCAGAAGGCGAAGAGCGAAAAGGCGGCGTGCAGCGCCTCCGTCGTGTGCCGTTTGACTAGGCATTCCTCCGTCCCTGCAAGCAGAGGCGGTTGGTGGACTGCACAACGACTGTATCTAGACTGCTGAGTCCTCTTATCGCAGAATAAATGAACGATTGATCATACCATCATCTACCACTACGACTTCATCCGTGTTCATCTCGGCGACGCCGACGTCACATGATGCGGCGCAATATATCGACGCTGAGATAGATGTCGTGCATACACCCCCCGACGCAAAACGTTCCGTCAGTCCGACGATCGATCGATCGTCCGCGGGGGAGAATAGAGCTGGGGTGGGATGCATAGATTGGTGAGGCATCGGACACCGGGGCAACTTACTCCGCGATGACTTTATTTTCACGCGATGCTGCGTGCGTAGATGAATGCATATCGATGCCCGGGTGAGCATCGTACACGGTACATCTGCGTCGTGTACCTGGTTAGCTTTCTGGCTCACAGGCAGGCGGGCCGCGGCGGTGGATACGGTCAGGTGTTCCATGCCCTGAGCTGCTCGTGTGTTGCGTCGGTTTTGAGTTCCAGCACGGAAGCCGGTCTTCGACCTTACGCGGACGCTGCACGGCTGGCTGGCTTCGATCAAAGGCCGTCCTGCTGACTATCATGCGTGGCATTCGAGGAAGGCGCGGGAAAGCGTGCGCTGACGAACGACAGGCTGCGAGAAGGGCGCTGGTATTTTTGTTCTGGGAAACAACGACAGCGTGACACTTATTGTGTTCGAAACATAGGAGATTCCCGGACGCTATAATTGGGTTCCTGGCAGTATCTACATTTGGCTTCTATTCTGACGTTGGTTTGAGGACGTGGATCGAACCTTTTTGAGTGTGGGAAGGAGGGCTCTATACGCTTAATAGGATAGGCTATGCTGCCGACTATAGCAGGGCTGGTGCGATGAACGTGTTGCTGAGCGGGACGAGAATGATATCAGTGTCGACGAGTCCGACGATAAGGGATTGCGGGCCGCGACGTCGGTCGTTCCTCCTACTCACGGATTCTGCAGACATTTTAGTTCGAAGCTTGCATTTGGTACCTGGCGCGACAACGAGTGACTGGATCCTGGCTGTGACAGCTCTTGAGTTTCTCGACGCCGTGAAGCAGTGAGTTACGTAAGAAAGCCTTCGTGTTGAGTTAATCAGCTTCCCTTTCATCTTGACTCCAAATAGCCCTGTGGATCCAGACTGTGCTTCAATCCCGGCTTCGTTCGTCGTCATACCCCAGTCTCCACACTGTCAGTTCGCAATGTTCTCGCCATGAGATACGAGATACCCCATACTTGGACTCTAGCGCATCACAAACTTCTCCTCGTCGTCAATAGCACACCCCCGCAGCCAAATCAGCAGTGCAGTTCAAGTGAAACGCCCGTCGCTCATTCGCTGAAGATGCTAAAAGTTGATGGATTCCGTTGCCGCGGATATATACATGCAGCGTCAAGCTGGTATCGCGTCTACTCCTCCGCTCCTATCCCTCGTGCGTGAGCTCAGTTGCTCCGCGCGCCGTTCTTGGCCGCCCGCAGCTCGTCCATCTTCTTCACGCGCAGCTTGAACTCCTCGTACTGGCACTTTTCGTACGAATGCCGCTCGTCCTAGAGGTGCGTTAGCAAGCTGTCCTCACTCTCCTTTTTCCTTGGAGGCTCGCAGGCTCGCAGGTCCGCGTGTGTGCAAGCTGGAAGGGCGGTCTGGACGCAGGCGTACCTCGCACTTCCAGGGCAGGTAGTACTCGTCGAAGCGACACCGGTTGAGCGGGATGAGCAGATGTGCGCACGAGTCTCGGTAGGCGAGGGGCAGGCGGGCGGCGCTCATCTCGTCGCGGGTGGCCTCTGTGTGCGCATCAGCAGGTGCTCTTCGCGGGTTCAATGGGGCATTGCGGGGGCGCTGACTCTGGGGCTCGCCGCCGGAAAGGCCGACGGCGTTCTTGAGGGTGTCGGTGACGGTCATGGCGGGCGGCGGGGCTCAATGGCGGGTGTGGGCGTGGGTGCGGGCGCCGCTGAGGTGAAGTGCTGCGCGGTCGTCGCGGGAGGAGCTCGGCTGGTTGGGGCTTGGCTTGGCGCGAGAGCGAACGAGCGAGGCACTTGCAGCGCGGGTGGAGCCCTCCCTGCGCGTGTGCCCACCGCGACGCGTCCCTCGTCCACGACATTGAATATCCCCGCCCGCGAGCTGCGTTGATCGGCTGAATGGTCAGGATGCCCCCCGCGCCCGATGGCAAGATCTACTCCGCCACGTATAGCAATGTAAGTCGGCGAGGGTGACGACGAAGAGCAGTGCACCGGCACCGTCGCTGTGCCGGTAGAAGGGCGCAGAGAAAGAGTCGCAGTAGATAGGCGCACGACAAAGACATGCAGTACATCAACCACGGAGCCGCGCTGATTGCGTCCAGGTGCCGGTGTACGAGCTTCAAGTGGCCGGCCATTTTGTGATGCGGCGCCGCGCCGACGACTGGATCAATGCAACGCACATCCTCAAGGTAGCCGACTACGACAAGCCCGCGCGCACCCGCATTCTCGAGCGCGAGGTGCAGAAGGGCGTCCACGAGAAGGTGCAGGGCGGCTACGGCAAGTACCAGGGCACATGGATCCCGCTGCACGACGGCCGCATGCTCGCCGAGCGCAACGGCGTCCTCGAGAAGATGCTGCCCATCTTCGACTACATCCCCGGCGACAGGAGCCCCCCGCCTGCGCCCAAGCACGCGACGGCTGCCTCGAGCCGCCCCAAGGCTGCGCGCGCGACCGCCGCCGCCCAAGCTAGAGCAAACGGTAATAATGTGTATTCACTCGAAGCTATGAACTGTAGGAGGCTGCTCTCCTCTGTGAAGCTTGCAAAGGCGAGGCTGACGAGTGCGCAGCCTTTGTGTCCAATTCTCAATCGCAGATAGGCGACGATCCCTACGAAGCGCCAGCCCAGGCACCGCAGATCTACCGCGACGAGACGCCCGACAATGTGACTGTGGTGTCGGAGAGCATGCTGGGCGACCAGGACATGCTCTCCGCGTCGCAGTATTCCGCCAGCAGCCGGAAGCGCAAGCGGGGCGTCGACCAGATGTCGGTTGAGGACACGCAGCACCAGATGTGGGCAGACGCACTGCTCGACTACTTTATGCTCCTCGACTCTGACGAGGGCTTCGTCGCGCCGCCTGAACCGCCCCCCAGCGTCAATCTCGACCGCGCCATCGACGACAAGGGGCACTCGGCGATGCACTGGGCAGCAGCCATGGGTGATCTCGAAGTAGTCAAGGAGCTCATCCGGCGCGGCGCGCGCATAGATTGCGCCTCGAACAACCTCGAGACCCCGCTGATGCGCGCTGTCATGTTCACCAACAACCACGACAAGGGCACCATGCAGAGCATGATCAAGATCTTCCAGCAGACGGTGGTCCGAACCGACTGGTTCGGCAGCACCGTGTTCCACCACATCGCAGCGACCACGAGCAGCTCAAACAAATACTCGTGCGCGCGCTACTATCTAGACTGCATCATCAACAAGCTGTCAGAAACATGGATTCCAGACGAGGTCACCCGGTTGTTGAATGCGCAGGACAAGAATGGAGACACCGCTATCATGATAGCTGCACGACATGGCGCGCGGAAGTGTGTACGAAGTCTGCTGGGGCGCAACGTCTCCGTCGACATACCGAACAAGAAGGGCGAGACAGCGGACGATCTCATCCGCGAGCTGAACCAGCGACGGCGGATGCACGGCCGGCCACGGCAAGCATCGTCATCGCCTTTTGCGCCGCCACTAGACCAGAGGATGAACGGACACGGATCCCATCTAGACGACCTGGTCCCCTCGCTGTCATTACCTTTCCCCAGCCTCTCAACCCGCGAATCGCAGCGCACCGAGTACCGCTCGCAAACAGCCTCCCATCTCATGACCAAGGTGGCGCCCACGCTGCTCGAGAAATGCGAAGAGCTCGCCGCAGCCTACGAAGCGGAACTGCAAGAAAAGGAAGCAGAGTCGCTGGACGCAGAACGCGTGGTCAAGAAGCGGCAGGCGGAGCTCGAAGCCACGCGCAAGCAGGTGTCGGAGCTCATGGGCATGCACAACGGGCTGCACATCGACCTGGGCGACGACGAGGCGGACCGGCAGCAAGAAGATGAGCTGCGGATGCTGGTCGAGGAGGCGGAGTCTCTCCTCGAAATCGAGCAGATGACGGAGCTCAAGCGCATATGCGCCGCTGCACCACAGGCGAATCCCAACTCGCCCATCGACCTCGCGGAGAAGATGCGGTTAGCACTTCTGCTGCACCGGGCGCAGCTGGAGCGGCAGGAGCTGGTGCGGGAGGTAGTAGGGAATCTGTCGGTTGCGGGCATGGGGGAGAAGCAGGGCGTGTACAAGAGCTTGATTGCGAAGGCGATTGGGGAGCGCGAGGAGGACATCGAGTCGATGCTGCCCGAGATCCTCAAGGAGCTGGAGGAGGAGGAGACGCAGGAGCGGGCGGAGGGTTTGGAGCAGAGTCCCGTGTAGGTGCGCCAGGCGGTCCGCTGGCTACGACGTCATGTTCCGCGTGCCTGTCGACTTGTACCCTTGGGCTCGTTGTACGATGTGTGTTGTGTTTTGATTCCCCCTGGCAAACGCCACATGAGTAACGAATGCAAGCGTTGCGCTGTCCAGATCAGTTCAGATCGGATCAGTTTAGTTCAGATCGGATCAGTTCAGTTCAGATCACAGCAGATCAGTTCACTCCTGAGCAGTTCAGTTCAGATGATGCTTGAGAATGACTCGTGTCTTGGACGGGGCCGCTGTCAAAGCAAGTGACTTGCAGACATCACGAGCGAACCCCCGGGTCCCACCAAGCCTAGTAAGGAGTCATGCTTGTGGACGTTGCCCAAGGCCATGGCGACGGACCCGCGTGCAGGCCGGCAAGGGCGGCAGGGCGCGCGTGCGTGGGCGCCGACCCCTGACGGGCATTGGACCCTTGGGGCGTCGCGGCGTGCTTCTGGCAGGGCTTGCGGCGCGCGGCATCCACTCGAAACCCCAGCAAAGCCACGCTCGCGATAGTGAGCTGCAGCGCTCCACCTGCCACAGCCGCGCTGCCCAGGAGGACAGACGGTGTCGCTTATATGCCTGAGAGCATCCCCCTTCGCAAGACCGCGACCCCCCGCCTCGGCGACCTTCTCTTTGACGCAGACCTCGACAGAAACGGCATCCCGACACCACAGCCCCGGTCTCGCGCCGCCACCAGAGCCAGCTCGCCCGTCGCCGACATCCCGCACCCCACGGCCAACCACAAGGGCAACAACGTGCACTTTGCCGAGCCAGACTCCCCCGACGACGACCTCGGCTTCGACGACTGGGATGAGAGCGCCCCGAGCAACGCCATGCCCTCCGACCTACGGCCCGACGTCGACCGCGAGCGGGACGGCCGTTCGCTGTCGCCGCTGCTCGGATCGCACAAGCGCGATGACGAGGGGACCGAGAGCAGCATGAGCAGGAGCACGCACACGTTCCACGAGCGGGACCCCGCGAGCCAGGCCCATCTCGAGACGCGGCGGAGATATACGTATGCCGCCATCTTTCTGGCGCTGAGCCTGGTCAGCTTCACCGTGCAGACGGAGACGGCCGTGTACATCCAGCACGAGCTGAAGTGGGAGAAGCCGTACTGCATGCTGTGAGTACGCCCTGGTCCCACGTGCCCAAGACGTGATGGGAGCTGGAGGCAGCACTGACAACATCACAGCTACATGACCCATGGCTCCTGGATCATCCTCTGGCCACTCCAACTCGCCTTCATGCGCCTACAGGACCTCTCCACCCCCTTCTCCACCTTCTGGCGCCGCCACGTCCAGCTCCTCCGCCAGACTGCCCTCATGGTCCAGCACCAGACCCTCCACCCCTCCCCGCGCCAGTCCCAGATCTCCCCCGTGCGCTACATGCTGCGCATGACCGCCTTCATCACCTGCGCCCTCACCGTCGCAGGCGGCAGCTGGTACCTCGCCGTCAACCTCACCACCGCCTCAGACCTCACCGCGATATACAACTGCAGCGCCTTCTTCGCCTACGCCTTCAGTATCCCCCTGCTAAAAGAGAAAGTCCGCACAAACAAGATCCTCGCCGTCGCAATCGCCATCCTCGGCGTATTCGTCGTCGCCTACGGCGACACAACCCCTGCAAAGCAGGGCGGCAAGTCGGGCGGCGGCGCAGGCGGCGAAAAAGCTCCGCCGACGCACGTGGCGGAGAACCGCGCGCTGGGCAACATGATCATCGGGGTGGGGTCGGTGCTGTACGGCTTCTACGAGGTGCTGTACAAGCGGCTCGCGTGTCCGCCCGAGGGGTGTGCGCCGCACCGGGGGATGGTGTTTGCCAACACGTTCGGCAGCCTGATTGGGCTGTTTACCATCTGCGTGCTGTGGGTGCCGCTGCCGGTGCTGCACTACATGGGGTGGGAGACTTTTGAGCTGCCGCACGGGGAGCAGGCGTGGATGATGGCGATTAGTGTGTTTGCGAATGCGAGTATGTCTCTCTTCACCCGCCTAGCCCCAGTCCCATCACACCCCATCATAACAACCAAACAAAAAACAAAGTTCCAAAGGCCAAAGCTAACATTGCGGAACAGCGTTTTCGGGCTCCTTTCTCATCCTCATCTCCCTCACCTCGCCCGTGCTCTCCTCCGTCGCCGCCCTCCTCACCATCTTTATCGTGGCCATCGTCGACCAGCTGCTGCCCCCACCGCTCAACAGCCCGCTTACCCCGGCCGCGCTCGTCGGCGGCCTGCTCATTATTGGCGCGTTTTTCTTGTTGTCCTGGGCGACGTACTGGGAGATGGACGAGGAGCGGCGCATGAAGTTGGAGGTTGAGAGCGATGTTGATGACTAGATATTTCTGTGTGGACTAAGAGTGGAAGAGAAGACGTCGGTGGTTACATTTTTCGCGCTGTGTCACCTTCACCGGCTCTGGGCTGGGTTTTGTGTTTGGCTTTTCGCTTTGCGGATGTATGCGCTTGTTTGCATACTAGGGCGGTGTCTGTTATATGGGACGGAACGGAGCATTTGGCATGCATATTTAGACGGCGTTGGCGGGACTTGCATCGTGTATGATGCTGCAGGCTCAAAACAGTGATCTTAAGATCACTATAGCAGAAAGAAAGAACCATTACGCACGACATCGTGCGCCACAACGACCAGTTTCGTATTCTCTTCTAGTCATGTAGTGAAGGGTTCATGTCGGAACTTATAAGTTACTCTGTAGAGGTATATGCGCAAGATCAGAATACATTGCTTTGGCTTGAAACCACCTTATCCCCAATGCAAACGCAAAGGGGAACAGTACGCATTTACAGCTTCGCCTTCGCCCCCGCCGCCTCCGCCTGGGCCTTCTCCCGCAGCTCCCTCCGCAGTATCTTGCCGGACTACGACACGTTAGCCTCTTGACTCTCGAGCCGGCTGATAAAAAGAGCCAAGAACACTTACGGGGTTCTTTGGAATCGCCTCCACGAAGACAACGCCCCCGTCCAGCCGCTTGGCGCGGGAGACGCGCTCTGCCAGCCACGCCTTGATGGTCTCGGCGACCTGGGGCGTTGCCTGGGTTGGTGTTTGTGGGACGATGTAGGCGCGGGGGAGCTCTTCTCCGGAGCTGGGAAGGATTAGTATGATGGATGAGAGATAGGGGAGGGGCAGGGGAAGGGGCGTACAGCATGACGCCGATGACGGCGACGTCCTGGACGGCGGGGTGGTCGAGGAGGAGGGCTTCAAGCTCTGCGGGGGCGACTTGGAGGCCTTTTACTTTGATGAGTTCCTGGTTCTTGTCAGCTGTTCCTCTCCCTACCGTTGTATTTGGTGGGAAAACCAATGGGGCGGCAAGACTACGCACCTTCTTCCGGTCCACGACATGGAACTCGTTCTCCTCGTCGACATACGCGATATCGCCCGTCTTCAGCCACCCATCTGCCGTGATCGTCTCCGCGGTCGCCTCCGGCTTCCGCCAGTATCTAAGGCACGGACACAAAGTCAGTGTAAGTTGAGACAGGTTTGTACATGGCTCAGGTAAGCACGCAGCCTTTCCTTATACAAGAAAGACACGTCTACTTTGTACCCGGTGGGTTACGTACCCCTTCATCACGTTCGGCGCGCGCACCCAGACCTCCCCGCGCTCTCCCTGCGGCGCCTCTACCTTGCCCTCGTCGTCCAGCACAATTTTGGCCTCGCAGTTCGGCAGCAGCTCGCCGACCGCCCCATCTCGCGAAATCTTGTTCGGATCCGACGTCGTCGCCGCGCACGTCAGCTCCGTCATGCCCCAGCCCTGCTTGACATTTACGCTGCGATCCGCCCACAGCTTCTCGAACTCTTCGGCAATCTCGCGGCCCAGGGGTGCGGCGCCGCTCCCGACTTTCTCGACGGAGGAAAGATCGAACTTCTTGACCGCGGGGTGCTTCGCCATGGCGACGATGACGGGCGGCACCAGGACGAGGTCCGTGATCCGGTACGCCTGGATGTACTGCAGCATCTCGACGAAGTCGAACTTGGGCATCACGTACACTGGGAGCCGCATCTTGGGCGCGTTGACGCAGAACACGGACTGCGACAACGCGTGGTACATGGGCAGGAAGCAAAGGTGCCGTACGCGGGCGCGGCGCTCTTCATAGTCGGCCGAGATCATCGACATCCACATTTGCTGCGCGGAATTGGAGACGTAGTTTTTGTGCGTGATCATGACGCCCTTGGCGAGTCCTGTGGTCCCGGAGCTGTAGTTCAGCGCGATGACAGTATCGAGCTCGGCGGGCGTGCGCAGGTCGGGCCACGCATAGGCGCGGCCTTCGGCTTCGGACGCGAGGAGGGTGGTCCAGTGGCGGATGGTTCCGCCCAGGGCAGGCGCGTGTTTCTCGACTGTGCGGCCCTCGAAGGTCGCGACGCCGTCGTCAAAGACGAAGACGCTGGAGGCGGGGAGGCCTGCCTCTTGCGCAGCGGCGATGCCTGTGTCGATACTGCCCTCCGCGCAGAGGAGGTACTTCGCGCCCGAATCCTTGAGCTGGTACGCCAGCTCTCGTGCGACATAAGTCGGGTTTGCACCCGTGTAGATGCCGCCGGCCATGATGATGCCGATCATCACTGTGGGGAAGAACAGCGTGTTCCCAGAGAAGAGCAGCACACGCTCGCCAGGCTTGAGTCCCGCGCGGAGCAAGCCGGCCGCGAGTCGCTGTCCATAGAGACGGTAGGTGTGGATGGAGAGGTAGTATTTCTCTGGGTCTTTTGCGGAGATGAGAGCTGGGGTCTTTGGGAGGTCTGCTGTGGGTGAATCGAAGAGGTATGTGGGCAGCGAGACTTGCGGGATGTCGAATGACCAGCGCGATTTCAGCACCATTGTGAGATTGGCCGCTGTCCGAGTCTATATTGTAGTCTCCTAAGTAGCGTAAAGTATCCACAGATCCAATTGAAGTTGTGAGTCCCGCAGTGATGGTATACCGGGCGTAAGATGTCGTGTAACCGTCGAGATGGATTTCAGTAGTGAATCTGTCCAGGCGAGCCTTTTCACCGCAGCCGTTGTGAGCAACAATGAGCCGGAGGAGCTTTGTATCTTCCTGCCTAATCCTACGGCCAAGGTCAGCAAACATTCATCATCGAGCTAATTCTCGCGCTACCGACCGTGAGATAATGCAGGGTAATTCAGCCGCTCTCACACGTTCCTGCTGACGCGAAGCAAGACGAAAGAGCAACGAAGGTGCCAGAGGGACGAACCTCGGCGACAACCGTATTGCTACTTCTCCGAGGCACAGTATCCGTACCTGGCGCAACGCCCTAAGCGACTCCATTAAGCATGCCCCAGGGACGAACCCCACAGACGCTTGTTGCGGGGCGGGGCGGGGCGAATCTGGGGTGTGGGAGCCATGAACCGAGGTACCGTTCTAACTCGGGCTAGCGATTCATTGTGGCGGGCTCTTTGCCGTGCCGATAATCAGGACCGCTTTCGAATAGCAAATTCAGTTCAATCTTCTGCAGAGGTCACTTTGAGAGCTGCTTTCCATGTCGCAGCAGCGGTCCTTTAGGGTGTGGTGAAAAGCAGCTCTCATCATGCCTTCACGCGACTTGGCGTTGGACAGTCAGTTGTTTAGCTGGCTACCCCAATGCTGTGTCACAATACACGTCGATTTAGATGCAGCAAAGCGGCGTATTTTCAACCGGTCACGATGAGTGGGTGGAGGGAAGATGCCGAGATGTTGAAGCAAGGTACGACGTGGACAGACGATGACCCGGCAATCTAGATTGTGCGACGCGCTGCTATGTTTCGCGCCGTCTTGAACTACCCGCTTTGGATCACCACATACAGGGGCTGATAAGAAAACCTGTACTTCCTATAGTAAATCTTTGTTGTTAACACTCACGTTAGATTATTAGATCATACATTTAAAGATGTATAGGAGAGTGGGTTACAGCAGGATTAGGTGCGCTCCAAATGGTCCACTTTTTGTGTTGGCACCTGGGACAAACTCCTGATGCATTTAACGTGTAAGAACACTTTTTCCGCGCTCTAAAGTATCCATGAAGTTAAAAGCAGTCAGCAACTTTCACCCAGGATCACGTGTAGAGATTACTGCCCAGGTGCTAAGCTGCTTCTTCCATCAGGATGAGACTCACGGTCCACTTATCTGTGATAGACTCAATCATTTTTCTCCCATAGTACTCGATACTACTCAAATATCTCGCCCTGCCAAGGCATCCTGACCGTCACCTTCCCACTCTCCTCCACTCTGAGCTTTTTCTGCTCCCCATACCTGTCCAACGCCCCATACTTCACACCCATCCCTCCACGCTCCACACTGATCATATCAGGCGTAGTGTTTCCATCCAAACCCTCCATGAACGGTGCTCCAAACGCCCGAGCAATCTCTAACGGATTCAAGCTGACTTTGCGGCCCATCTCCCAGAAGCCGTAGTAGAGGGGTACGACGGCCACGACGCCGATCAATGAGAAGACAACCCCTAGCGCGACGAGCAGAGAAGATATGTGGTAGATGGGAAGCGTACGGTATCCGGTTACAGGGATACTCTGCGTCCAGTTTGAGCGCAGGTTCGCTAGAGTGGCACCTGTGAGCGAGGGAGCGAACAGCGAATCTGGTGCTGTGGCCATGGCGACCGTTGTGCGGAAAGCGAGATTCTGCATTGCCTTGATCATATCTGGCATTGGATCTTTCCAAACAGTCCCGCAAAGGGGATCTTCGCCAGTGCTTGGTTCGTACTTTGCGGCGTATGCAGTACTGGGATCGTTGATAAATAGTGCTGGGTCGATTGTGGAGTTTGAGCATGTTCCTGAAGGCGCCGAAGTGTCTATGCTCCCTGCCAAATCCCTGATCTTCCCTGTTTGTGTGCATTTTGTGTAGTCGAGTCTACTGAAATCTGAAGACGCGGACACATTCGCTGATACCGGAGGAAAGAGCGCATTGAGTGCAAGCGGCAAGTATGTCCCTACGAAGGCATGGTCGTTGGATAACACCGCGTTGTGAATCTGGGACGTAGGGACGTCAAATCTTCGATCAATGGTACCATTCGTAATAACAAATGCCATGTCGCCTTTTACTGGCGTGAGAGTGCATGACTGAACTTGGATATTGCCGCTACATGATGTCATATTTTTGAAAATACTGGTCAGAATTAGGCTATCGTTGGCTGCTTCGTAGCTAGTCGAGAAAAAGGTTGAGCTCAGACTTGTTCTTCGAAGCTCGCAGTCGCTCCTACACTGCTCAGTTGTACAAGCTTTGCACTCTTGTAGAGCAGTGTTGAGATCGATGGGTCGGACTGTTGAGTGGCAAGTAGCCTTGAATGTATATCCCTGGATGACTCCGGTGCAGTAGTCCCCGCACGAAGTAGTCTGGTCATAGACGAGCGAGTTTCCAGCGCTTAAGCCTTTGATCAACTCGGGGAAGATCGGTTTAACATCGCCTTGTTGGCGAGGATCCGAATCGTTACTGGTAAAGAATTGCTCCAGTGGGTAGGGGGCGATCTTGAGGTCCATCGTGCCTTCAAAACTTTTGTGGACGTTGTCGACAATTGTCAAAGCGCGGTGGAACAAAGGTCCCCTTGAAAATGATACTGATGCCACTATGCATGCTACTGCAACAAGGTTAAAATTCAGACGTACAATTCTCTTGATAGCAGACCACAAATACATCGACTCGTAGGTGTCGTGGATAGAGTCAAGCGTGGTCCCGTGTAGTAGCTGTCGCCAGAACCGAAGCACCACACCTTCCACTAGCGCGAATAAGATTAGGAAATTCATTGCCATCTCGAATACGGAGATGTAGACATGCGGTTGGGCATTGTCGTGTCCGACCTTCCAGTCGTCCACGGTTGTACCGTGGCTTGCCAGAAGTATACCAGCGGACGCACCGGTCAACAGCACGACGAGAAAGAGAGCTCCAGCCCCCCACCAAGGAAATCGTATCCAAACACCAGCCATCCAAGGTTCGAGCATGTGGCGAGGATGGCGGAAATATCTGTGCGACTGGGGAGGCGCCTCCTCGTCGGTGGTCAGGAACGTGGTCTGCACCATCTGCGGCTTTGGCTCTGCAGGTGCCGATCTGAATTGAGTTGAATTTGCCCACGCGACCTGTTCTTGATATGGACTCTGCGACCTTGCTCTATCCCCAAAGACCGAGAACCCCATGTTTGGCGTGGGAGATGAAACCCGTTGTTGTTCATACAGGCCAAGGTCTTGCGGCTCGGGTGGCGATACAAGCCATGAGGGTGTGCGCTGGGACATACCATCCTCGGAAGAAGGCTTTCGGTGATTGATCGGGTAGGACTGTTCCGGAGTCGTTGTTTCCACTGGTGATAGCATTGACACTAGATCTTCCTCGTTTTGTCGTGATGCTCGAGAATACGGGGAGCCGTACAGAAGACCTGTTGTCATGGTCTTGGGGCGCTGTTGAGCGGTCGTAATTGCTTTCGTGTTGCTTCTCAATTCATACGTCAACGTTGCATAGGGCGACGTCCAGCCGAGCGGCGTCGGGCTTTGAGGTCAACCTATGAGTATTGGACTCTGATCAATGTACTCGGTTTTTCGCGTCTTAGTGTCGTTACTTCGTAGAATCGCGGAAAGACAAATTCAGAAACAGCGCAGCTGTCGCTGTTGCATTCTGCGTGCCGAGCAATTGGGTCTCTATAATCATTATGAAGATCCTTTGGGAGCTCGCGTTCCTCCAGGAGCGTGGACCATTTCCAGCTGTTAAGCGCTAAATCCTTTGGCCATGTTTGTTCTTTGCGACGAGGCGCCTCACGTTTAGTTCGCTGGTTCCAGTCAGAGCCTTGCCTGAAGTGGATGATCACGTTATTTGTGAAACTCAGGCTCGCTCCTGCTGATGGTGATAAGGCCGCCTCACGCCCGCGTACGTCTGTTATCTTGTGCCGTAGACAGCCAGTCTCTATGCCGTGGCCAGCGAACGGCTACAAAACACATTTCATGCGTACACTCCCTCGAAATGATCTATAATTGACTGGGAGGATCGAAGTACTTTGTCTTCTGGCGGCATGTCTCTCAACGCATAGCTGATCACAATGTCGCCGAGAATTATGTTAGCCGTTACCACTCATTCATGACTCGGTTTGTAACAGCAACGCGCTTGAAAGTGGGACCGCGACGTGTTGCTAGAATGCTTTTGACATCGGCGATCGGAGTTGTGACAGGCGGCCCTGGCGGCCTTAGGTATCCGCGCGATAGGCTGGGGCTAATCTCAGCATCACAGCACAAGCGTTGGGCATTGGGCAACCGATGTTGGTGGCGACCGCGTTTAGGGTTCTTGGGAGAAGATGGATGTCTGAATCGCGATCACGGCTAGAAGGATGGATGCGGTTACGTGAAAGTGTTGGTGCTGGACCAATTTCTGCAACAAGCACGTGGCATCGAAAGCGCTGCAGCATTCGGCAGATGGTGCGCCTAGTTCTCTTCAAAACTTGCTTGCTGTGAAATGCCATCTATAGAGATGAGGTTTTGATTGCATGCGTTGCGAAAGCAGCGAAGATAGTTTTGGTTGTGGATGGGACTCGGAAGGCGGGGAGCCGCATGGACCTTTGCTCAGGGTCCATCTTGCGCATTGACTGCGTATCGTTCCGTAGGTACGAAAGGATTCGTCCAATAGGCATTGTTGTCATGTTTCGAGACGTAAGATATCACATGTTCTTGATCAAAGCAGAATCAGTGTTGACGTAAAGCGACTTGCCATGGGCGAAAACGACAAGGTCGTGAGCGAAGCTAACTTTCAAGTGCGAGGCGGTCGATTGCCCGCGTAAAGCAGGCTTGCAACAGTGATGTTGAGAAGGATTTACCTGAGCCTTTGCCAAAGGTTTCTTCATTGATCAAGCAGAACAAGTTGAGAAGGTTTCAAAGTCCTATAACAGCGGACGGAAAAGCCCTCCTACGAGACAGAAACGCTCCTGTAGAAGGAAAGGTTGCCTAGATTCTTCTGAACTTGCTGCGCCGCTGCTTATGAGCTTTGGCACCGAACCCTCCATTCGATTCTGGCATTAACTGATCTCATTGCGAGTTCGATCGTGAATCAACACTCTTCCAGACCGTTGATGACACTGACAAGCAATAATCGCGAAATCGTGTAGCAACCAGGGCCGGCAAGCGAGAAGTGGCCCAGATTCTTGATGGCAGATTTAGCGGAGGTTCACAGAGAATGTTATACTTTGAACTCGATGCTATATGGGATGCCATATGCTGACGATCTACAGGGCAGTGAGTGGTTGATTCCAAGATATTGACCTGGCATATTTCTGTTTGAGGACCTTCGCGGTTCACGTCATCCCACAGTCTGGTAGGTATCACGGTCACGCACGTGGGACTTCGCGGCCTAGTCAACACTTGAGCACGCTGAAATCGACTTCACACGTCAAGTTAGTGCTCCACCGCATTGCGCGTGACGTATCAGACGACTTGGTCAGAGAGGACGATAGTATGGGACTGCCATAGTCGAGACCTATGACCCAGAAACGATTGCACGCGTTCCAGAGCGTTCGGAGGCAAGACCTCGTCACCATGGGAAAGGATTCTGAGTTTTGGTTCGCACGAGCAATGATACGCGTGAGGCGCTCACGTCACTGTAAGACAGCCCCATATAACTCTGCAATGAGATTTGTAGTCTGGCGAATACTTTCTACGCTATGGCAATCCTAACTGTAGGTCACTCCTGTACTCGTAGCTTCTGGTCACAACGGTTTCAAATATCTCTTCAATACATTTTGGGTAGAGTACGATCATTTCGGCGCTTCCGATGGTCACATTTTGGATATGTTCTGTGTACAAGGCAAGAACATGGGTAGCGTACTAGCCTGAGTTCCCTAAATTCTGGCTCTGGTGCCTCGGTTCATGCCATGAGAATTGAGTGAGAGCTAGGAGTTATTGCCTTGGGGCTCCATCAGTTGTTGCGGAGTGCCGCCGAAGGGTCATCTTTGTTGGTCATGTGACTACGGAAGACTCGCGCGGACCAGACCTTGGCTAGCAGGCTTGGAGACACGATGAGGATCAAGCGGAGCAATTCCGTAATGTTCCACCAAGCGAGACCATCGCTGTCTGGTTCGATCATCGTGAGGCTTGTGTGCACTCGGATATGATTTCTCCATCCAGAACTTTGACCTGATCACGGGGGAAATAGGGATGCACTGGAGCTGAAAACAAAACATCTTCGCACTTTGCAAACTGGCAGGAGGCTAGGTATGCAACTGGGGTGATTAGGTGTCTGAGCACAACTAGTATCGTGAGCATGCTAGGAACAATCTCAATATTATGTTTGAGTAGTCCTCTGTTGTCATGGACTCCACCCGACTCGAACAACCCTGGCACGAGACAGGTCTGTCAGGGTTCGTATACCCGAGTACTCCAGATCAAGCCATTGACTACCTACAAAGCTGGATGCCAAAATAGCGCCAAAACGAACCACGGAACGACAACCCAACAATCACCCAGCCAACTCCAACTTGCGCCACTAAATTATCCCTCCCAGATAACGATCATGGAATTGTACAAGTTGCAAAGCCACCGCCACGAACTGAATATAGGGGTGCAGGCTCCCGGTTTGCGATCCGTGCGCCACACGGTGTTCGCACGTCAAAGCCGTCATCGATGACGCTAACAGCTCGCTGGGCCCAACGGCTGCGCTAAGGGATGTCTTCCCAGGAAGTTTGCTGCATTCAGTTACGTTCGCGCTGTGCTTCTTCGCTTATATGTTGTTGCCCAGCAATTTCCACACGGACCTGGTACATGTCGGAAGACATGGCTCGGACTCACGCCGTTGCCACAATACTCCACAACAGCCTGTAAATATTTGGAACATGTTGTCCTGACATAATGATACCTCCTTTCGGACGTGTTGATCTCGTGCGGCTGCCTTAAGGTGAGTTCTCCGCATGGTTAAGAGTTTCTGTTGCCACAGCAAATACATAGCGCCTTTACCGGGCCCTAGATCGATTCCGAGCACCGCCTCTTGATCACCCTTCTTTAGGATGTAGGCATCGTTTCGGGTCTTAGTGCCGGCGCTCGCGCCCCCAGTTCTCAACGCACAACACCACGGAGGAGTTCAGCCATCTGCCGGATTGATTTCAGTTTTATACGGTGAACATGAAGTTTTTCTCAACGTCACAGAATCAAGGCGAAATATCATGAGTATCTGGGGTTCGTCAGTCCTTGGGCCAAGGGCCAGAATGCAGGTAGTTACTCTTCCATCGTCAAGTCTAAATGCGTAGGACGGCGACCACACCAAGGGTGCCCAAGGTTTTCAATATTGATGTATGTACCTTGCGCAAACTAGACCCCCTCGCATACCCTCAAAAGCTCGTCTACAATCTTGAACCATAAAGGCAAGGCCAATAGCCTCGCCGTACAATGCAAGTATAGCGTGCGGGGCCTGGCTGCTTTGACAGCTGGAGGATGCGGTCTAGACAATCTTGGGATTCTTTACATTCCGCTCTTTGGAATAAGCGTCTTTCAGGACAATACTCGATATGATGGTCCAAATATGGCGAGCAATCGCGCGAAATTGAAATCTGGTTGAGTTGCTATCGTGGCCGGATTTGTATTAGCCTCGGCCACTCATATGCGAACATGTCTCTACTCCAAGCCGGACAACCCCACCGTCCAGCTGGGCATCTGCTATCGCAGTCTTGTGTTGAATTCGGACTACCCGATTGATCCGTATCTTCACCTGTCTTTGCTCAGGTATCGTATGATATCGTGGCATCAGGTGTGAACTTTAAGTGTTGTCACAAAATATGGTTTTGCGTGTCCAGCATAGACCGAGCAGGGCATTGCCAGGCTCGCGATGCTAAATTCTCACGAGTCCGTCGTTGAGCCACACATCATGATGGGACGGCGTAAAACGGGAACTAAGTGCCGCCGCTACGCCTAGATGCTGATCTAGCATATCAAGCCTACTAATTCGTAGCATCATCAGCATCCTCGAGACAGGGCCCTGTCCCAATGAGAATTTCTGGACGGCATGGGTTGCCTGGCACGTCTAGGATGATCCCTACAGGTTTACTGTTCGGAACCAGCACTTGAATTCAGCCGACTGTAGAATCACACAAACTATGGGACCTTTTTGGCGCCCTGTGCTGTTTATAAATCCGCTGTCTACCTCGCCAGTTGCTCTGAGCCCTTGCACATCTCCGAAAACATCTACTTTTGTGTCGTCATAGGTCCTGCGGACCTGCATCTGCGACGATGCATTTTCTTCTTCTTTTCAAGCTGGCCTGTCTTTCATCCTTTTCTGTATCTGTATTTGCACAGAGAGGGAGAGTTGGCTCTAGTGATGGATCCAAAGCCGACCAATCGCGGGTAATAGGCTTGACGCGCCCTAGCCCTACAGATGGCCGAAACCCTCTCGAGACTCAGGGTTGGATTAGCCCTGAATACAAGTGGTTTTATGAATACCCTCTACCACTGCCTCCGACGAAGAGCAAAAAACAGTAAGTAATCCGCAGTATTGGTCTCGTTGAAAAGTCGTCGCTAACATGTCACAGGACATGGACAGGTGATGACGGCGCAGAAATCGACTACTACGAAGTTGAACTCAAGAGCTTTTCAAAACAGATCTATCCGGATCTTCCAGCGACGCCTATGGTTGGCTACGATGGGATGGCGCCAGGCCCCACGCTTGTGATGCAGCAAAATCGAGGTGAGGAGCATTCCCATTGGAGCTTGCAGGGACCGCGCTAATGTGTTCTCCCACTCAGAGGCAGTAGTGCGGTTCATTAACAACGGACCGTCAAACATGTCAGTTCACGTTCACGGCCAATACAACAGATCTCCCTTCGATGGATGGGCCAGTGATATGACATCACCTGGCCAGTACAAGGACTACTACTATCCGAATGCTCAGAACGCGAGAACGATCTGGTATCATGTAAGTCTTAGTCATAAAATCTAGCGCGTCTACGTAATGTTCGTTCTGACTCTCAATAGGATCATACCGAGTTTGCATCAGGCGAACACGCTTACCGAGGAGAAGAGGGTTACTATATTCTCACCGACCCTGAAGAGCAAGCTCTGGGACTACCATCCGGCCAATACGATGTCACACTCGCTATTGCCGCGAAGATCTACAGATCGGATGGCTCGCTGTACTACGACAGCAATCACGATGCTGGCCTTTGGGGTGACGTGATCTTAGTGTAAGCTCTCTTGCCTCTAGGCATACTCACGTTGCTAATTCTCGTAGGAACGAGCAACCATGGCCGTACTTTAATGTCGAAGCTCGACCATACCGCTTCCGCTTACTCAATGGAGCAGTCAGCCGAACATTCGATCTCACTTTCAACACAGACGATGGAGAGATGTTGCCCTTTGATGTTATTGGTTCAGACTGTGGTCTCTTCAACTCGCCGGTCAACTCCACCTTCATCGCTTTGTCTATGGGCGAGCGCTACGAGCTGGTGATCGACTTCTCCAACTACCGAAATCAGAACATCACTCTTCTAAATGGACGAGGTATTGGTGACAATGTTGACTACCCAGCCACGAACAGGATTATGCGCTTTATCGTCGGTGAAGGTTCCGGCGATAGCGGCGGCGGCGTTCCCCAGACTCTTCGTAACAACGAGCAAGTAGCTCCTGCAGCCTCTAACGCCAAGGACTTCACTTTTGGGCGTGGCCAGGGTGGTTCTTGGGAAATTAACGGCGTCGGCTTTCGAGATGTTGAAAACCGCATTTTGACTAAACCTGAGCGTGGTACTTACGAGACTTGGGAGCTCAGCAATGGCGCGGGCGGCGGCACGCATCCTGTGCACATCCATCTTGTCGATTTCAAAATCATCTCAAGGACTGGTGGCAGAAACGAAGTGGCAGACTACGAAGGCGCGGGATGGAAGGACGTCGTCTGGCTCGCTGCAGGCGAGTCCGTACAGGTCATTGCTCGTTATGCACCCTGGGACGGCATCTATATGTTCCATTGCCACAACCTTGTCCATGAGGACCATGAGTAGGTTGTCTTTCTACTGTTCTCGACGTGAATTGCTGACCCACATCAGCATGCTCGTAGCCTTCAGCGTACCCAATCTCGAGAAATGGGGTTACACAAACTCGACGCTCTTCATTGACCCCAATCAACCCGAATTTAAAGGCAAGGACTTCAACTCAGACGACTTCACGGAGGAAGCCATCAACAGCAAGATCGCATGGCTCTACAGCACCAACCCGTACAATAAAGGCAACATCGCGGGTGTCTATTCTGCGCTCGATGCATACTCGCAGGGACAGTACTGGACCCAGGCTCCAGACGGAGATCACGCACAGCCAACAGGAGGCGACCAGTCCGCAGATTCCACCCCCACCGGCTCTCCGAGTGCTTGGACGACGCTGGTCAGCAGTGCTACTCAGGTGCCTGAGAGCAGCGGGCTTTCAGGCTACGGCCTGTGAGTACGAATTGCGTCTAGCTAGGCTAGGAGATGGCTCGCACAGGCTACAATAAGGTGAAGATGGATGTATACAGGATAATGGGCAGATGATGTGACAGGGCAACACGGTCGATTTCGACGCGTATTAGCGACGCTGCTGAGCGTTATACATGCATAGGGAGGCGTTGTGGCTTTCAAACAGTAGAAACTTGATGGCTTCGCTGGCCAAATGTATATATTCATTTGTTTCTACTCGTCAACCCCATGTGGTCCCTCAGACTCTTCTCCGCCTAGAGATTACTAAAGAACGTGCACCTTGCTAACGTTGAAGCCACCGGGTACGCGAGTCTGAAAGACGCCAGTGAAATCAAAATTGATCGCCGTAGCCTTCAGCTTACGCATGTTCTCGGCACCATAGCTTCCCAGCGGGCCCTGCGACCCGCCACAGTAGTTTCGGCTGCGAAACCCCCCACATGCATAAGGAAGCGTTGTGGGGATAAAAAATATGACACTTAATGGCTTCGCAAGTCGCATGTATATATTCAATGCCCCGGAAATTCCATCACTGAGGATGTGTACCAATTGGACAATGCCGCGTTTTGCTCAATATCCATGCAGAATATCAGAGCGAGCCTTGCGCTTCGATACATTTACCCCGGAACACACAGACATGGCATCGAAGACGAAGCGCTACAAACGCGCCCACAAGAGCCACTACAAGCGCCTCAAGCAATAGGTCGCGGAGATGAAGAGTCAGTTAGTAAGTAAGCTCCGGATTACCAAGTGGCCATATTCTTTCCTGCTGAGCTGGGACATACACCATACTGTCTCGACTCACGCTGACTTGTATCCACATCTCAGGAGACCGCCAATTCCGAGCTTGCGAAGCAGATCCCTGCTCAGCCCATCGCGATTGCGGCCGCGGACCCCGTTAAAGTCGAGCAATCCCAGTCTCGCATCGTCATTTGCGTGCATGGCTCAAAACACGACCGCAAGTGCGACAGTGGCGAGCCCTGGCGAGCCTGCTCTGACCGCGTGTTGGATTCCCAACGTACGAAGTGTGTTCACTTTGAGACTGTAACCTGTGTGAGGCTTAATATGGAAGGCTGCACCAGGACGAGGTGGAGCGGATGGGATAAATGTTCGCTGTGTCGGCGAAGCGAATCCAGAAGTCTAAGAAGATGGAGCGGGACATGATCTAAGGTGGGAGCGTTTGTCTTGGTGATTGCAGTCGGAGTGTTGGAAGATAGCCATGGCGTCGAGTCTTTGAGCAATGCAATTTAGTGGATGTAATCAAGTGTTTGAAATATATACGCATGGCCTCAGATGTACCGGTCCAGTTCCAGAATTCGAATGTTGCAACGCACCCCCTGAGGCAACATACTGTATCTAGACTTAGGGCCTCTCCCTGCAACTGTGAGGGACACAAAACTCAAACAGAAGCAGTAACTCGCACGTTGTTGTAAGTAAGGAGTCCAGCAGGCTGGCAGACGGATGTTTATCACAGGTTCTGAAAAAGATTCAGTCAAAGGCGTGGTGCTTGACACGTCGATGACACCAACAGGAGACCGCAAGCCACCTCTCACAAGCAAGTGGTGTTGCGCAGTCTTCCTTAATATCTCTCTCACGAAAGCCCTAGAGATTCCATCATGCACAAAGGCAGTGCTAATGTCGACGACGATGACATGGCGGCGATGACTTGTCGAGCGCCATCCCGGGGTCGATGTCTTATTCAAGCCGCCGGGCCGCGTCTGTAAACGCAAACCTGAACAAGACCGAGGAACAGAAGAGGGAGCGGGGACAGGCGGACTTTTATGGGCAGTCGCGGGGCGGTGACCAGCGCTGCCTGGGCCGCGCTTTCTTCATCGAAGTGAAGGTGGGCTTCAACCTGTGAACGAACGACAGCGAGGCAGAATCCGTCTTGAACCTTTCAACCTGGACAATAGGAATACGCGCCGGCGAACGGGCGTGACGATTTTCTCAATATTAGGATCACAGGAACTTTGCCAATCCACTGCAAATCCGCACTCATAGCCTGACTAGCAAAGTCACGTAAGGTTGCCTAACTAGCAGTTCCACGAATCTGCGGTGCCACTGGCACGAGCTGAAGAGCACTCGAAATTTTCTTCGCGTATTGTATATCATCAGGTCCGCTGACTGGTGTTGGCTCATGCTCAACATCGGGCCCGGTGTTTCCCCCTATCCAATGTCTTGGATAATGAATTGAGAGGGTCCAAACATCGCTCAAAGCTAAAAACCGGACTGCCGGGCTATCACACTTGCTGATAATTGCTGCATATCCTCAACATGAGTATCGCTCACGATTGGCTTGCCACCGAATAACCTCACATGACAGCTTTAACGCATAGTTTCGGATCCCTGGCGTATACATCTATTCGATTTTCAGAAGGACCACAACAGGTCGCGTCCTCGGCATGGCAATTTCCTGGCCTGCACAATCTGAGACTTGACGTCCGTGTCATAGCGAGTTAGGCTTCATGTTCCAGCTGATCTACGCAACGCCATACCGCAAGCCATACCGCACAGTCCGTGGCCATCTGCGTCCTCCCTCCATACCACGAGACGCACCTATGCATCGCACCGCCACCAGACCGAGCGGACAGTATCCAGATTAGCAGGAGTACGTGAAAAGCCCACAAAGGTGTTGACTACCAAGAGACTAGGAAGATATCGAAGGCAAGAAATCTTCCTCAATCCTCACCGATCTACATCAAATTAGTAGGAGATAGGACTCAACGATCTTGCGCTCGAAAGACAAACCACCCATAACAGCTGTAAAGCACCACAACGTCCACAACACGAAGCGCGAGGTCGCACCCACCGGGCAGGTAGAGAAAACACACATCTATCACAGTAATGTTCTGGACGCCATGTCCAGCCCCGACCACGCTGAGCAGAGCCACTTATTTGGCTACACAAGCTCAGCGTCTTACTCCAGGATACTCTAAGCAATACCCAAACTTTCGACCTAACTCTGTTAGTCTCTTTCCCAGAGTACCCATCTCCATCCTGCACGCCTGCATCGCTTCGGCTGCATGCCGTTACCTAGATACTCAAAGTGCTTTGACCTGGGGGTCGTACCACCCATACTAATGTATGTGTCTACAGTGCTCAATATTGCATAAGCCAGGACTGTCACGGCTGTCCTAGTGCAGACCTCGTGTGCTATCTCAAGACGAGCAATGTTGGCTATTCATTCATGGACCTGGCGGTATGCAGTGTGGTCTCAGCCATAATTATTCGTCCTCGGCGAGTGCCCGATTTCGCCTTGGCACTCATTCTGCATGGACAAGCACTATTCCCTCCCTAACGACTAGAGCCATGCAACGGGCGCAGGCTTGTGGATAGGGTACTAAATGGTAGTCTTGTTGATGTAGAGTGGAGCGAGCCAAGACAAGGTCCGGAGCGCGACAAGCTTCCAAGCTCCTCTGGCGTCGACTGTGGGTGCTGGTTTGACTGCTCCGGATTGGAACAGGGGTTTGAAACGAAACGGTGGGGGCGAAGTAGCCGTGCATAGTGTACCGCAACGCCAACATCAGCTTCATTCTACCGACCATTGGAGCGCACCAAGTTGAGCATGTCCTGGGTGTTACTCAAACTGCCGCGCGCGAATGTCGCGCACCTCGTGCGGGTCTTGCCTGCGCGAGTAGTATCTGTTCCGACCCCCGTGTCCATGCCGCACTGCGCCTCACCTGCATATGCATACACGCCCTGCATGTTTCAAGTTGCATACAAGAAAGCCAATTCTCACCTCACTTCACTTCTCTCAAAACACCCACGACTCAAACACCCGTTCAAAAATGACGAGCAGCGGCGCGCGGGGAAACGCGCACCTCGACACCCTCCCTGCCTCGCTCCTCCTCGAAATCTTCTCCCACCGCACGCCGCGCGCGAGCATGCAGACACCCGCGACCTCTGACGGGCGCGAGAAACACAACACTTCCCATCTCGACACCTCGCTGCGGAACGTCAGAGCCGTGTGCCGGTCGCGACGCCGCTGCTCACCGCGCACTACAGTGACGGCGATTTCTTTCACGTGCGGCGGAACGCGAAGGATATGAGTAACTGGAATGTGGAGAGCATGGTTATGGATGGGTCGTTGTATGGTTGGGACTCGTACAGGCATCATGGGGAGACATTTCATGAGTATTTGAGACTTAGGGATTTGGACAGGCGGCTTGGGCTGTCTGAGGTCTGGCTTGTTGATCAGGATGAAGACGACGATGAGGAGGAGGATGCTGTCGACCCATTAGATGAAGAGGCATGGAAGCAACAGCTGCAGGACGAAGGGGTACACAGCGCAAATACAGCGTAGAGCAACTACGAGCGCGCGACCGTCTTGTGTTTGTGTCCCAACATCGAAGAGATGCTGTCTGGCTCGAATTTCAACGATAACCGGAGGGAGTACCCGGAAGACGAGGACTCAGTGGCCATCAGGCCGATTGTGAGCGCGGGCAAGGGCGAGGGGTTTGGGCGGGCGCATCGTTTCGAACACCTGCGATATCTGTCCATCGATGTTCAATAAAGCGGATTGGATATGTCGTTCCCGTCATACAGCTGTGGTCTCTTCAACACTTTGTGCTTGAATGGCGCACTGGGCGTCCGTAGGATTTCAAGGGGAAGAGGTCGCTTCGGCACTGCAGTCCTGGAGCTGCCCACCTTGCTCGTCGAATGTGCAGATATTGGAACTTTGCAACGTCGAAGCTCCTTCATCTATTGTCAGAAAGCTGGTTGGGTCGTGCAAGGAGCCGAGATCGATTTCCGTGGACTGCCAGGTGAGCAGTTCTCAGGAACAGCTTACCTGGTACATGGATCTGTTCGACGAATTGAGTGGACATGCTCGTACAGTGGAAGAGCTTGTGGTAACGTCCCTTCTTACGGGCGAGCTTGAAGGCCCTGCTGTTTGGCAGTGACCCGGTGTGCAGCAGTTCGAGAAACTCAGTCACCTCCGCATCCCGCTTCGCATCTTCACAGGCTTCGGTTCCGAACACAACGACGCTTCAGAACCCGCACTGCCCGGATTGCGTATGGTGTTCCCGCCATCATTGCGAAGCGTTGAATTCGACATCTTTGGTCCCACCCCTTACAACGAGACAAAGAGGGCTTTTCAGAGGCACACATAAAGACGCTGAGACTGCCGCGTGGCGAAGAGTTGATCAGACATGCGACGTGCGGCGAGGAGCGAAGATGGCCCGAATTGCTAGACGAGTATCAAGCATCACTTGTAGAGGGCGTGGAGCTTCGCGAGGCCGCGTGTGGCCGGCCTGCGCTGGGCGTATTCCTGGCATCTGGAGCAACACCGCTATGCAGCAAAATGTTAGTCACAGTTTCCTCTTCCAGCCGATGTCGTGCATGTTGGGGTAGCTCGGCTCCCCAGTTTCTCCAGATTGCGGGCCTGCCCTGACAGCGTCGCGTGCAGAGGGCCGTGGTACATGGTCGTCGCGTGCCGACGTGAGGGAAGCGTTGGTGAAGGCTGGCGTCTCGGTTCCCCCCTTGGACGTGTGTGTCTGCAGCGAGCAGAGGATACTGCACCCACCCCTGTCGCCAGCGAGCCGGACAAGTGGTCAGCGGCGCGTACACCATCGGCGGTGCGAGAGGCGTGATGGCCAACGTCCTGGACTACGGGGGCCGTGCTATGGCCCGCCCCATATCGCAATTGGCGCGACGTATGGCTGCTCCTGGCACCTGCCGAAAGCACGAGTATTGGTCATGCCCTTGCCGCTGATCCGCCGTGTCTATCGCGACTGTGCCGCGCTTGTCCATTCAACAGACGTCTGGATGCAGCGCCAGGGGCCGCGCTGCATCCTGCAATGCCCCGTAAATGCCGCCTTGCGCGGTCCCAGAGCTGTGGTGCCGACACTGGCCGGCAGCCGAGGGTGGGACGGTGGTGCGCGGGTGGGCGTTCCTGAGGCGGCCAGCCTAAGAGACGACAAGCGTGAGACGGAGCCAAGCATTTGCGGTAGCGGCTGGGCGTGCTTCTGGGCCGCTGGCGACCTGCTGCTCATCCTGCACTGCAACCGATATCAGCGCAGAGTAAGCGATGGATGAGGGCGGCCAGCCGCACCTGCCCGCTTCAGGCAGCCTGGCCGCGCGAGAGTGGTCGCGCAAGAGCTGCACAGAGGGACAGAATGGGACGAGCGAGACGTGCCGCGATGGCGTGCCAGAGCAGCAAAAAAAAAAAACCCCCAGTGCTAGCTCCGCGGCGTACCCCGATGTAACAGTGGATAGGCTCGAGGGCCGGCTGTCTGGAGTGCGGGAGTGCGCGCTGGAGCCTCCTCTGCCACTCGACAGGCGGGCGGAACGACCGAAAGAAAGCTCCGCCAAGCATTCGCCCAAGGCGCCGCGCGAATCGCGCTATCGCACGACTCTTCAGAGGAACCAGCCAAACCATCGCCCCTGTCCAATGGGCAATGGGGCAATCAGTGGCCACGCCCTCTCCCCGAGAGCGACGCCCGTATCAGTTGCACATCGCAGGCCTCGCGCGTGGCCAGACAAAGCCCGGGCAGGCCAATGGCGCCGCCGTGAGAGCATCCTTGGTGCTGACGCCAACAACCATCGAGTAAGGATGCGATAATGGCCAATACAACATCGTATCAACCTTCTAGGTGGCGTTTGTGCCCTTCGATGCTCCTTCCCCATCCATCCTAGTGTGCGGAGCCCATTGGATGCTGTGCTCAGGCCCTTCCTTCCCCTTCGGGCAGCCGTCGACCGGGGGTCGTGTGTCTCGCCCAGATGCTGCATATTGCTTCCCCTCAAATGCTGCCACGCGCCCACGACATCTTCCTCTCCTCGTCAACCTCACTCGCTCTGAGCGTCCCTTGCAGGTCTCCCATTCTCTACCTGCTGTGACAAGTTGCGCCCACAATGGCACCTGTCGGCGAAGACTCCGTCATCGTAAGTCTTCTCCCATCCAGCCTCCCACCAAAACACGTGCTCACGATTTCCACAGCAGGCGACGTCCCTGGATCGCTCCTTCATTGACGGCTCTGGCGACCCGGAGCGCAAGCACCCAGAGACTCATGTCACTGGGCCGCCAGCCTACCTCCTCTCCGAGGGCAAGGCCACTCTCCAGGAGAGCTATCTCGGCAGCGACCGTGATGACTTCCCCACCGAGGAGCAGATGCGCACCCTGCGCCGTGTGCCCCAGAAGATTCCCTGGAAGATCTTCACCATCGCCTTTGTAGAGCTTTGCGAGCGCATGTCCTACTATGGTACCATTGTTGTCTACTCCAACTTCATCAACAAGGGCCGCGTCGACAAGGAAGGCAATCCCACTGCCACGTCCACCGGTGCTGCCATCAACCCCAGCAGCGATGAGGCTCAGCCTGGTGCCCTTGGCTTGGGCAAGCAAATTGCCTTCTCTCTGACCACCTTCAACTCGTTCTGGGTCTACGTCGTGCCTCTCTTCGGTGCCTGGGTGGCTGACAAGTACCTTGGTCGTTACAAGACCATCTTCTACTCCGTCCTCATTGCTGAAATCGGTCACACCATCCTCGTCGTCTCTGCTGCTCCCTCGATCCTCGATAAGCCACACACTTCCCTCGGTGTCTTCATCGTCGGTCTGCTCATCACTGGTTTTGGAACGGGTACCTTCAAGCCCAACATTTCCCCGCTCATCATGGAGCAGATGCCGGATGACCCTCTCCGCGTCGAGGAGCAGAAGGGCGAGCTCGTCATCGTCGACCCTGCCGTCACTGCCACCCGCATCTACAACTGGTTCTACTGGTTCATCAACTGGGGTGCGCTCGCTGGTCAACTCGGCATGGTCTTCGCTGAACGCTACGTCGGTTTCTACTGCGCTTTCCTGATCCCCCTCATCTTCTTCCTGCTCAGTGTTCCCATCTTGCTCTTCTGCAAGAAGTGGTACAAGCTCACGCCTCCTAGCGGCAGCGTGCTTGGTCCCGCTGTTAAGCTTTTGTTCAAGGCTCTCGGACACGGTTTCTCCTTGAACCCGGCCAAGACAATCAAGAATTGGAAGTCTGGTGAGGGTTGGGATGCGCTTAAGCCCTCTGCTCTCGGTGCCAACAAGCCCAAGTGGTACAACTTTGACGACGCCTGGGTTGACGAGGTCCGCCGTGGTTGGGGTGCTTGCGGTGTCTTCATGTGGGTGCCCATCTACTGGCTCGCCTACCGCCAGATGGACAACAACTTGACCGCTATGTGCGCCACCATGGCGCTGCACGGAACGCCCAACGATCTGCTCCAAAACATGGACCCCATTACGCTCATTGTTCTCGTCCCGAGTAAGTTTCCTCGCAAGTATTGAATCGACAAGTTGCTGACTCCAACCCAGTCTTTGATCTGTTCATCTACCCCTTCCTGCGCAAGCACAAGATCAACTTCTCCCCCATCAAGAAGATCACCGCCGGTTTCATCTTCGGTGGATTTGCCATGCTGTGGGCAACCGTCCTCCAGCACTACGTGTACAAGACCTCTGGCTACTACGAGACCGGCGACCCAGACTACAAGTCTCCCATCAACGTGTGGGCCGTGACTGGTGTCTATGTCCTCGTTGCCATCTCCGAGATCTTCGCCTCCGTGACCACTCTTGAGTACGCCTACACCAAGGCCCCCAAGAACATGAAGTCCCTCGTCATGGGTGTACAGTGCTTCACCACGGCTTTCTCCGCCGCTCTTGCCCAGGCATTCACCCCGCTCACCAACGACCCTCACCTCGTCTGGAACTACGGCTCTGTCACCATCATCTCCTTCGTCGTCGGCATCCTGTTCTACATTGTCTACTACAAGACGGACCAGGCCGACCAAGAGCTCAACATGCTTCCCACCGGCCACTTCGGTAACCCCGACCAGGCTGTCGACGTCGAACGCCGCATGAGCACTGCCGCCGAGAGGCGCGCCAGCGCCGTCGACGAGAAGAAGATCTCGTCTGAGCCCGTCCCCGAGAAGATCTAGATTAGATGAGATACCCTACGATGTATGGATGATGGCATGATGTGGACGGCCGTACGCTGCTGCGCACTACGCCGTCGCGTCGCTTGGCGCTGTACAGTGTCGCGCATTGGGAAGGCGCGCACTGCATTTGCTGTATACCTTAGCTTAGCTTGATAATTAATTACCCTCACTTTTCAACTCATAGCTTCCCTCGCTCTTCAAGTTCGGGTCACCTTCCTCCTGTCTCGGCGGTTCAGAGTCTGAAGGACTCGCCCGTCGGTTCGTGAAACACACACTCGTCTTGCGTGACGCCCTTGCGTGCCCCTCGTCGCCATATTCACACTCTCGCCTCGATCCACGGACGTCGCACCGCGTCCGGAGCACGATCAGGTACGTGACGGAGGTGCGAATTGGCTTTCGCAGCCATGGCCGTGGCTGGCTTGGTCGGCGTCCTGTGCGGCCGTACTCGTACCGTACCGCAGCGCAGCACCCTGCGCTAGGCGCGCGCCCTTCCGCCATCGGCCTCAGATCTGGGCTCAACTGCCAGCCCTGCCACGCGCGCACCCGTCGCACGCACACTCCACATGTTCGCGCGCGCCGCGGTCTCGGGCTGGCTTGGGCTGGCTTGCTTTTTACCGTCCGTTCCGCTGCTTCGCGTCGTTCTGCTTCCGGATCAAACTTTGGACCCGATGGGAGCGGTGACATTGCACCTGGGACTAGCGGCGGCCTTCCACGTGACTGCGCGTGCCGCCGGTCCTCGCAGCCCGTCACGATGACATGCTGTATATCATGTTTCACGGACGTATGTGCAACGGACGACGTCCTCTCAAGCTCGGCCAAGGGCGTGGGCTGCGCGGCGCCGTGGCTGGTCTGCTTGGCTAGACAAGCAGGTCCAAGAGCACGTAAGACAGGGCGCCGAGGGGCTTGTGGTCTTGGTGCGCGAGCATGGGAAAGGCCGATGGAAGCGGCGTGGGTGGCAGTGATATGGTCCACGGCGTTGAATGAGCGGGATTTCGCAGCGGAAGAGAGGTCCTCATACGGCGGTGGAGCGGAAAGGAGTAGAATGGGGACGCCGATATCGGCGGGTTCTCGGCTGAGAGTGTGGGGGTGGAGTTGGGGGCGGCTGGTTGAGCGCGCCATCTTCAACAGCGGCTTCTCACTTTCCACCTGAAAAGGTCAAGAGACAGCTAGGTCGCCGCTGTGCGATTTCAACCCGACTCGGGCATAAGGGCGGAAATCGTGACGTTTCTGGGCAACTTGGGCGTTGTTTGTTCCCCTTCGACATGGCTCGCGAACTAACAAGATGTCGTTGGTAGGATAACACACGCCCAAGGCAGACTGACTGTAGTATTTGGTGGCTGCCATGGCCTGAACGCCATGTGGTGTCTCTTCCCGTTCAAGGAACACTCTGCGAAAGCCTGATCAGAGCCTTTTTCTCTCCCTACACCTTTTTCGCGCCACAGGTGTGTCAATATCGAGTTGTAACGTTGCCTCCGCGCTCTGGGCCGAAGAGCTTCCTACCAAGTTTGTTGTCTCAGCCCACTGTCGCTTTTCAGCGTAGGGCATAGAAGCGTTGCCGCGTTCTATGGACCTCATGAGGCCATTGATATAGCTTTTGGACCTGGTTTGTGTCGTGAGCTCCATGTTGATGGTTCTGGTAATTTGAATGTTGAAATGGCTGTATGCAGCATCGAAGTCGTGTCGGCTGTCAAAGAAAGCTTTCTAGATAACTTCCGATTTGAAGATGTTCTTGAGGATTGGCGGCTCTGAGCCTATAGATGTCGAGGAGGATCGCCCCATCAGCAGGTTGAACCTAGCTTGAGATAATGAAATTGAGCCCGAGCGGGATGTTTTCAACGTAAAGTTTCGATGGGTCAGTCGCCAAATTCACGAGAGGATCGGCGAGAGGGCCTTGGTTCTCTTGTGCAGCGATGAGTTTGAAAATGTGGGAGATAGTGGCAATGCTCTTGCGCTCTTCTTAGATTACAAGTGAATTTGCTTCCGATGAGTGTCCGGGGCAAGGCTGGAAACCTCGTAGCATTCGTATCCACGCAAGCAAGCTACGGCGCACTGTATCTATGGAGTGGACTATCTTTCAAGACGAGCACACCGATCCAGAGCTACAAGACGATGCAGTTGTCTAGCAAGCCATGGGCTCTGAAAGCCTGTTCAAAGGCGTAGGCTGTGTCGCATGGCCATCAGTCGATCTCCCCCAATCCCTGGCTTCCATTGATACTCAAAGACTGCTGATCTTTACATTTGAATTAGCAATGCATTAGACCTTGGAATTTATTAGGCGACCAAACTACATAGTGTGCGACCAGATCACGCGCGCTCCTACAGTGATGGCGACAGTCCGGACGTCACGAGTTGGCCCGTGTTTTATTAAGGCACGACATGGTGCTGAAGCATCGTTATCTGCAAACAGGATATGGGATTTACATACCCTCACGGTTATGTACTTGCAACATAGTCAAGTAAGGTCCACTCCACTCATGGACCCGATCTGGACGGGTGAAGTCCGATGCCTGCCTGTTACCATGCATGGCAAAACCCTCGCACTATTTGGAATGTGAGACATGGAAGTCTCCTCATACTTCCTGGTTGGCCTTTTTGGAGGGATTTGAGTATGCCAATATGACTGGCATGTAGCCGAGCCAATATGTGTAGCCACCTGGAGCACAGCGAATGCTTCATTGGCGTGACCATGCGTCAACAATGCCTAGTCATCGGGACCAGACGTTAGGAGCATTTGATACTGCCGTAAATCTCATTTGAATGACACCTTCGTGTCGCGATTCTGGCTTAATCCATGCCATAAAGGTCGCCTGTCCGTACGTTTAAATTCCTTATGACCGACATCCACTCATTTACATCTCCATTCGGCCTCCCACTTCTCTTTTTTCTGGAAACTATGCGTCAGCGCAGACCCAGTTCTCTCATCGATCTCTTTTGGATGCGAGCCGAACATTGTTCCCGCATCAACCGTCGTCCACTTCCCGCGACCTGCCTATCCTTACCATCGGCCTCACCCATAAGGGGTCGCATATGTGCAATCATAATTGTATAACTCCACCTCACCACATCTGTCAAAAACCGTATGCCACGCTTGATATCATCTTCAATGAGAGTCCGCCCAATTCGACCGATGCTTTCGGACGTGCCATCGTTTCGTACCTCTCTAAGAACTCTGGGACAATATTTCGTTCCAGAATCTTGGCCAATCCCCACGTACTGATCGGCTCCCCCTTTGTGAAATAGTTCTTCGTCTTCTGCTAAACATCTGCTCCTACTTGGACAAGTGATGATTTACAGGGTCGCACGAGCCCGAAATCATCATCGGTATCAGCATCTTAACCTTTTTTAGTATTTTGAGCTTCAGAGTTTATCAATCATCTGAGCTTCCATCTAAAAGTTCACCCACCAGCTATTCTCGGTGGTATGAGACTTGTGGTGAACTGTTTTCAAAACGCCATCTTGCCAAGTGAGTTACTCTGCTGAAACACCTACTTCTCCACGCACCATCTCTGTAGCAAACAGCCCAAGTGGCATAGAGAGCCATTCCCGTATATTTTGAGCTAATATTAGCAGCTTTCTAGGTCAGAAAACATCTTAGTCTCCATCAAAGAGCGAAGCATCCCGAGACTGTTCACGGCCCAAAGCCAGTCTATTGCCCAAAGCGGGATTTCCAAGGTGCCTGCTTCACGCAGCAAGGGCTTTGCCACAAGGGGCAATTCCGAAAGGTATGTGCATACCCAACATGGCGGTTGAAGTGGTGCCTCGTTCTCGTGACAGAGGATAATTCAACCATCCCATCCGAAATGGTCCTATCCAAAATTACAAAATCTATTACCCTCACGAACGTAAAATCTCACATTTCTGCTTTGCTACGTGTAATACTACGTAGAATGGATAATGGCGCATGGTCGAGTAACGGGTGAAAGAGAAGCACATCGAGAGCAGAGTAAAGAGCATAGTTGAAGGACAACGTAGTGCGTCCTGACCTGAGCCTTCAGAGCTGCGACCAAAATTGCACGAGATGGATCAGAATTCCTTTGATCTGTGTTAGCATAAACTGACTCATTGTTATGCAAAGTGGTTTCGGGGTGGCACTTCATGCCTGGTGGCAAGACCTTTCATCAAGCCCGACCGCATCTGGTTCAATAATGAATTTCCTCATTGCGAATGCTTTCTTTCCTCTTCTATCCAGAGTATATCACGCAGGATTGTACCCTTTACTCCATTCAGTGCAGTTCAAGCCACCCAGACTTTTCGTATCCAAGTTCCGGCAAGTCACCAAATTGGACCCATTGATTGTCCTAATATCCACATTCTCCGCCAGGATTCCTGAGCAGGTGTACGGGCTTGAGCACACAAGATGGCCCACGATGGGCGAGAAGACACGATTCGTGCGGCCGCGGATATTGCGGAAGGTCACATCAGTAATGTTGAGTTTGCTGGGGTGTTTGAAACACTCTTCCTCGTCGTCTTGGCCGTAACATTGTGTGATGGTGAGCCCATAATCGACATTGTTCAAACGCATCCCATCGTAAGTCACGTTTCGGACTAGTCCTCGGCCGCCACCACCGGTCAAGCTTTCGGACTTCTCGGAGTAAGAATCTGGCCAGACTTTGATACGGGCGCCTTCAGACGAGTTTTCCATAGTAATGTTGCGCACGAGGATGTTTTCTACGTAATCGACGCGCTCGGGATACTGGCCGAGACTGCCCACTGAGATACCGTGTGTGCCGTTACAGCGGAGATTTTGTACAAGGATATTGGTGCTATTAGGCTTGAAAGATACGCAATCTGTCACAACAGTCAGCATTTCTACGATAGTCTCGTCTTGGAGCAGTGCGGTTATGTATACACACCGTCGCCGTTGGTGATTGTCGAATTTTCAATGACGATGTTGTCGCTTCTGTATATGTCCCAACCGTCCGTATTCTTCTCGAAGTTGCCGTTATTGCTGGTTGAGAACAAATCCAGGCCCGAGTACGCAATGTATTTAGACTCCATGACAATGTTGTGCCAGAATGGGGCGTTTCGCAGCTTGATCTGTGACACACTTCCGCCTTCCAAACCAACAACAGCAAAGAGGACTGGGCGCTTCAGCTTCTTGTTTCCAGGATATGCATCCCACCACGCTTGTCCGTTGCCTTCAATTTCTCCTGTGCCATACACGTGAACATCTTTTCCGCCTAAGGCGAAGAAAGACGTCGCATTTTGATATTCTAGGTCGAAGGAATTTGCTTCCCAGTACGTGATGTTGTCGGTGAAGGACAGAGTTCCCTGTATGTCGAGGTCGAGTGCATTTAAGCCAGTCAGGTTGAGGGGAGAAGCGATAGTATAGGTGAGCTTCTCGGCGAAGACAACATGGCCGCCGTTATTGCAGTCTTGAATTGCTGACAAGATACCGGATGCATCGTCAAGCGAAGGATCACCGTGAGAAGGGGCAATGCAGGTTCTGTTCCGCTGTTGAGAAGCAAGAGCGTGGAATGGGCGAGGGCTGCGTAGTGTCGACAGGAAGCGCTCGTCGACGAAAGCACCTTGGACAGCTAGTGATAAGAGGAACAAAGTTGCCAAGAGCGGCTGCTTGAAAATTCCCATGGTGAGAAGGGTGCATCGACTTGAATGTGTCTGAAATTCGCAAGGCACCTTTATACTCAACCATCATTTTTCAGGTGGATACCCTGGAGCCAGGGAATCTCTATTTTTCTTCTCGTTCTCGGCGCAGCTCTATCCGCAAGCTTCGTCCCATCAGGGTTTTGCATCGGATAATGGAGGTCATCCCGGCGGAATAGGTCTTCCATCCCCGCATAGCTGCAACTTTCGGGGGAATGCACGTTGCGGGGAAGATGCTAGCGATGCGTAGTGAGCTGGGCATTTATGATGAACTTCTGGCATTGGTACATGAGGCACTTGGCGATTTGCGTTGACGTTCAAAGTTGCAGACAATTATGCTTACGCGACTCATGTAGCGTGCGCCCACGGCCAATGATGAGATCGAAGAGGAGTCCCACGCGACGAATCTTTTTCCACCAATCGAAGTTCCCTAGCTACTAACGTATACTCCCGCCGTTAAGCACTTCAATAGGCGCCTATTGATAAGTCACATCATGCGAAGCGAAGTACAATGGTACCTACGGTACGTAACCTCGACCGGAATCCTTTGACTGATCTCGGTATCTTTGCGTTTGGCCAAGCAGTACTGGGTGCGCAGTTGGCCCTCCCATCTGGTGATGAAGTCCTCGTGGCGACCCTCCGTGTCCCACTTCTCGTCCTACAATTGGCCAAGTTTTAAGATCTTCCATGAATGAATGAATGGTTCGTGCTCTTGTTTTTGTACCTGTGCGTTTAGATCCGGATGCCATGATGTTTTGGCGTTTTTCGGATCTGTTAATGCTGCTTTGATCTTGTTAAATCTGATTTGTAGGCGTATCTTGACATTTCTCATATCTATGCGCACTTTTTTATCGTTTAGATACAGGCGGACTCCTACAACGTTGCGCAGCCGAATGAGCACAGCTCCAGGGTCTTTCAGAACCTTCTCTCCCATACTATTCGCTTCGGGTTTTCTGGTTTTACCTTTTCTTTCGTTGTATAGCTGGTTCGGTCCTCGTCCTCGTCCCCAGAGTCCGCTACGGGGGCGTCAAAATACCAGTCTCCCTTCGGTGAACAGAACTGGAACAAGACTGTTAAAAGCTCTAAATTCAGCCAGAACGGTGTTACCCCGTCATCATCGGGCCAAAACAGCATCCTGTCAGCTACAGCGTGCATCTGCATCTTGCGGAGGTTATACGAAAGTATCCGTAGACTCAAGCTGAACAGATCGAAGGACGTTGAACCAGTCAGGCTGGACAAATCAACGAAATTGATGGAATCCAGTCGTATATCTCGTAGCAGAGTTGGAAGTCGAATTGCACGAGGCGCATCCGCAAATCCGAGGCGCGTCTCGCGCCGGCAGCCAATATGGTCGCGCATCATATGCTATCTTACAGGGTCCGATCCTTTAGTCCACTCATGGAATCGAAGCTTGCGGCCCAGATATTCGAGGTTCGAAAGCGTGCTGGCTAGGTTCTGGATAACGCGAAGATCGAGCTTGCGTTGCGGATTGAATGGCCATTGTGGTGTGTCCACGCCACCAATACCTTATTTGGCTGACCGAAAAAGAAAGGCTTGTAAGTCATGTGAGTGATGGGAAACAAGAAAGGAAGCAAAGCGTTGGACTTCTTTAATTGTCAATGAATGCTGTAATTCGAGCAATTGTCAAGCAAGCAACTGGGGGATAGTCTATATATCAACGAGGTTAAGGCCTTGGAATCGCAACTCGGTGAGCTGTATAGGAACCAGGTTGTCTAATATATATCTAAGCTAGGTTTACCATGAAAAGACTGAGTGTTCGATCCCCTGTGCATAAAGGTGGTGGGATGGAGGCGGACCTAAGAGTGTATCCATAGCCCTATGAATTATGCAGTCACAAGATGAACTTTGTTAGACCCAGTGTAGGATGCGTCGATTCTTTCATCCTTGGAGTACATAAATAAGTTGCGCAATTCGCCGCACGAGCAGACAGATCTGTAGCCATAGAGGGCCCCAAAACATCTGCTGATACTACCAGATCACACTCAGCAATCTCCAGACCTTTTCTTGCGCACTCGGGACTTTGACCCGACCCGGTACTCGGATCTGTTGATGCATCTATACCTAAGTGTGTCCAAGCAGCTAGCACCCACGAAACCAAGACATTCCTTATTCAGCATGTCCGATGAGGAGTACCTTTCCGACGAGGAGTGGAAGGACGATGCTCCTACTTTCCTGTCTTTGAAAGAGGCCCAACAGAAGAGTCAAGACCTCGTCAAGAGTATATTCGGACACCAAACATTCCTTCGAGGTATTTTGGAGAGACACGAAGCTGAGATCCGCAGGCTGTGGGACAAGAAACCATTCGAAAAGAAGCGAGCGATCCTACTTGGAGCGTTCAAAGATATACCGGCTATTTCTCGCCCAGACCTGGAGTTATGGCTTAAGAGGGAAGCTTGGCTTGAGAAAACCATTGATCCGAGCCAGGCGTACATGTGGCCCCAACTTAACTCGCACGACCTCGTCAAGCAAAACATGTTCCTTGTCTTCCTCAACTCACGTGGTCGACATTTTCCACATGAGTTTGTGGATGCGGATCTCGAGACCGTTCAGTTTGGCCAGCTTGCTGGGGCGATTGCTCCAGTGTCTGTTAGTGGTTACGCTATGACTCTTCACGGGGCAACAAATTCGGAAACCTATGGAAGACTGGTTCCTTGCGCTGAAAGCGAGGGGTTGAAACAAGCGATAGTGGGTCTGGCCGGAGTTGACTCTGGCTACGGTCTAAAGGTATTGGAAATTCAAGATCGTATTTTGAAATTCCTCAAAGACTGCTGCAAGATCATTCTCCAGCATGTCAAGGATCCGTTGTCTGCGGATGTTGAATCAGAACCTGTTACGCTAAAGGCTATGGCGAATGAGTACGCCTCGCTGCATTCAACAGCGAGCGAAATGCCATATTGCGTTCCGGCCCAGGTCAATTTCGATCAAGTACTGGGTTATATATGCGCCGAGAAGGATCAGAAAGAAGAGATGATCATGACTTTGCGGGAAGATCCCGAGGCCTTCGCCGACGCGTTGAAGGAAAACGGTGACCACCAGTACGAGTTTCAGGTTAACTCTTGGGGGGAACAAAAGGTTGTTCCTTTAGAGAAGAAAGGCGACCACTCCAAGTTCTGGAACAACGTAATCCTGCGAACTCTTGACGGTGCCTACTCAAAATTTGCGATGTTTAGTCAGCTACTGCAGTGGACCAAGAAGTTGAGAGACGAGGCGCAGCATCACAGTGACCTACAGTGGCCCATGGTGCCAGTAAATACCGATTTGTCGATTGCGTATCAATCGGTGCGATATATTCTCGGCAAGATCGAGTCTGGCATGGGCCCCGCACTCGCAATGTCGATTGCCGTATCGCCCACCTTGCGCGATACTATCGAAGTCACTTATGAGGAGGATCCGGAGGGTCGAAAGACTGCAAACGTGATCAAAAACAGCAGCAATCCCAAAAACCGTGCAACTCAACTGTTTGTTGAGCTTCTCCGTCTGTTGTTCGCAAAAGACGAGGTCCGCATTCGGACCTTGCACGTGATACTGAACGATCTTGTTCAACTTACAGGCAAAGACGACAATTTTAAAGAGCTTGTATCACCTCGAGTCGGGGCTGATCTATCAACTCTGTTAGTAATCGCAGAGTGCCAACGACAATTGTACCATTTTCGCCCTTGGACGTGGATGGCCGAACGGGAAGTTACAACGGACGACCATACTCGCGCAGCCTACGACGCCGCGTTTATTCACGATTGGACGATGAACGCGGAAACTTGCAACAATCTTTACGTATTGGGCACACCTACCTACAATCGTTTCAATTGTCCGCCCGACCGACGACACACAGCGTTCAACGTGGACACTTTACGTACGGCCGAACGTCAACTCGACGATTTCTGGGCATTTGTAGATCAGCATGTCTTGAAACAACAAGGCAAGACGTATCAAGATCTGATAGCTGACTATCTGAGTATCAAGCGCTCAATACGCCGTACACCAGCTTGGACTGAGCCGACAGATTCCAGCCGATCGACTGAGCTTGTACCGTACGAATACATACCGATCCTGACCACCAAGCACGAACAAGAAAACCAGATCACAGGAGCCTTCGATCGGAGCCTGGATTTCACTCCTAGGTCGAAGGAGAAGCGACGACCTACAGCTGACCGCAGAGACGAACCTGATGTTGGACTTGGTGGCCATCACGACCAAGACCCGGGTAATAACGAAGAGGAGGTTCCTGAACCCGCCAATCCGACTGAGTTCATCACAATAGATCGACGGACGCATCAAATCGTCGAATCCCTGTTCTTTTCGCCTTTGAATGAGAAACCTCCTGGGGAAGTACCGTGGAGCGAATTTTTACGTGCAATGTCCAAGATCGGATTCGCCGTGGAGAAGCTGGGCGGGTCGGCGTGGCATTTCACGCCAGATAAACATCGTACTGGCATGGACGAGCCGATCAATTTTCACGATCCGCACAAGAGTAGGCTGCCAGCTACTTGGGCAAGGAAAATCGGTCATCGCCTCACAACGAAGTATGGTTGGACCGCAGAGACTTTTGTTGTGGAATAGTGCAAATCGGAAACATTATTCTGCAGTTTGAGGGAGAGACAACGCCACGCATGGGGATGTCATGAGGCTGGCGGACCTGCGGGGAAGGATTAACATACACTTTTAGGGTGGATGGTCTGTTGTTCGCGAAGGCATATTGCCATCGTTATGTAGCTAGTAACAAATTTCATAGGCTGAGATTCTCTGAAGATAGCAATTGATTGTTTTTCAACCTCCGGCGATATGGAATCGAGTGTCGATATAGCATTGAACCTACTAAACTGACTGCACTGCTGCTTAAAGTTTGAACTCGCTTTTCACGAGCTTCTCGCTCAGTGTCCACAGCTTCTTCGCATTCTGCTCGTCTGTTGCATATGGAGCGGCATCAAATATCTGACAGTCGTGCAGAAGGATTCCTTTGGGCTCTGCGCCATGTATTAAATAAAGTAATAGTCCAAAATGACTTGATAGCTCACCTCTCAATGTAGGATCTAGAGCTGCAACCAAGGTAGTTGAGGCACCCTGGTCGTGATTCTTCCAGAAAGGGCTCGTAGCACGTATTGCAGCTTCACCATCCGCATCAAGGTCTCTGCTCAATCCTGTCCAGATAGCTGTACAGTGTCAGATCTAATAGCTCCAACCTTCCTTGAGTTGTTGATGGTATCTCACATCCGGGGTGTACAGCATAACTGACAATGCCTTTATCATTCAAGAGCTTGTTTAGCTCAATTGAGAACAGTATGTTCGCGGTCTTCGCTTGTCCATAAGAGACGTAGCCATTGTATGCACCAACTGAACCTTTGGCGAACATTGGCGATAGAGGCTGATGTTGTTCCTCCGGTGGGATGTCTTTCCCTTCAAAGTTGTAGTCATGGAAGCGAACTGGACTGAGACGATGCCCAAGGCTCGTAAGGTTGACCACCCGTGTAACGCCAGGAGCATTTGATTTTGCTGCAGTGAGCAATTGCGGCATTAACAAGTTAGTTAAGAGGAAATGGCCAATGTGATTTGCACCGAATTGCGCTTCGATTCCCTCTACGGTGAACTGAAGTTTCGGTGTCATGAATCCCGCATTGTTGATGATGATGTCGATGCGAGGTGTGAGCTGCGCGATTTCCGAAGCGGCTCTCCTGATCGAGTCTTGCGACATGAGATCCAGAGCGATAGTCTGTACGTTGATGTTGGTATAGGCATCTTTGATCGACTTTGTCACATCGTCGAGCTTAGACTGGGTCCGAGAAGCGAGAATCAGGAGAGAAGGCGATTGTGAGGCAATGCTGGCTGCTGTGGAAGAGCCAATGCTCTCAGGCGACACACCAGTTACCAGAACTGTAAATGGTCAGCATGCTCTTACGTCCTGACGTTGAACTTTTGTACCTATCTTTCCCTCAATCTGCTCTCTGAAGGCCTTTGCGACAACGAGACCTCCTGTCTCTTGATTCCACTCAGGATGCGTCAATATAGACATTGTGGCCTAGTTGCGATCCGACACTGTCCGCAACAACAGAAAGCTAAACAGGTATACATAGGGATCAGAGAAGCCCCACGAACAGGCTGGTTCTCGGGGGCCTTCTGTGCCTGTCCTTCACACATGGTCAAAGCTCCAGGATACCGGCAACCTCATGAAAGTGGGACCGAGATAATCAGTTTGGTGGTCAGGTGCATGTACAGCTCCAAGGCTGCTGTTGCGCTAAACCTATCATATTACCGAGGTCAATCGCGAAGGATGTCCGTCCGAAAGCAGGCAAGTGCAATTCATCCCACGATGCGGGGTCGTGTTGCGGGGAATGTGTATCAATGTGGGGCATCATTCCTCCAACACCAGCCTGAAGGTCACGCGTCGTGTACACCCATCCCATTTTGGACAGGGTCTCTGCACGCGCGTGCCTCTAGTTCACCATGCGCTGGATACGACGGAATCTAAGCGCTTAGCCGTATCCCAAACGCCATCCCGCACGGCACCCGCGTCGACTTGTACCGGCTCTTACAGAACTCGGAGGCATGTTACCTAGATCGATGGAATTAGAACAGACGATGTTCAAGCAGTCTTATTCGGCGATAATTGCACCTATAGGAGGACGCCGCGGGAGATAACCCGGGTCGTGGTGCCCCACTGCCCTGGGGATATTGCTTGCAGCAACGAGCATGCTTCACGCGCTGGTTCCACAACACTTCAAACACCCATCCACTCGTCCTCTTCTCATTGAATTTCCGTGTTCTTGGGATAATTAGATCAAAAGCATATGCCCCTTCGCGCGAAGATTGACAAGTCCAAACTCCTCGAGATGGCAGTCCCAGTAACCAACGGCGCAAAGCCACAGACTGGTATTAGAGTGATCATCGTCGGCGCTGGGTTCGGTGGCCTCACTGCAGCCATTGAATGCGTCCGACAAGGACACTCTCCAATCATCTACGAGTCGTTTCCTTCTCTCAAGATTCTGGGCGACATCATCTCCTTCGGACCTAACGCTGGACGTATTTTCGCGCGTTGGGAAAATGGTGATATCGCTCGTGCCATGCGCAAGATCTCCATCGACCTCCAAGCATATGGATTCAATATCCACAAATGGGACACAGGCGAGGTCGTCATCAATCAGAAGAGTCCGCCCAGAGACGAAACTGCCCCGGTTTTCAACGGACATCGAGGTGAACTGCACGAAATCGTGTTCAACTATGCGAAAAAACTGGGCGTCGAAATTGTGCTTGATTCGCGCGTGGAGAATTACTGGGAAACGGAAGACGCTGCCGGGATCATTCTTGGGGACGGCACGCGCGTGGAGGGTGACGTGGTGGTTGGCAGTGACGGCGTGAGGAGCAAAGCCAGAACTCTTGTTCTGGGTTACGAGGATAAGCCGAAGTCTTCTGGCTATGCAGTGTGGAGGTCGTGGTTCAGCAACGAGGATATGCTAGCCGATCCGGAGACGAGACAGTTTTGCGAGAATGGGGACACCTTCAATGGCTGGATAGGTACGCATCTTTGGATATCACTTCTTTCAGAATAAGGTGCTAACACTCAGCCAGGACCCGACGTTCATTTCCTTTTCAGCACGCTAAAAGGCGGTAGTGACTGCTGCTGGGTGTTGACTCACAAGGACGAGCACGATATCGACGAATCTTGGTCTTTCCCGGGCAAGCTATCTGAAGTGAAGGACGTCCTCCGTGACTGGGACCCCATGTGCACAAAGATCATCTCGAAAACGCCAGAAGAAAAGCTCGTAGACTGGAAGTTGGTTTACAGAGATCCGCTACCCACTTGGGTCTCCGGTTATGGATCAGCTCCCGGCCATGGCCGCATTTGCCTGCTCGGCGACTCTGCGCATCCGTTTCTACCTACCAGTGCACAAGGTGCGACACAGGCATTGGAAGACGGCGTCACACTTGCAGTTCTACTGCGAAAGGCTGGCAAGAGCAATATTAAGGGCGGTCTGAGGGCCTATCAGGATGTTCGATACGAGAGGGTGCGTAAAGTTCAGAAGACTGGCGAGACGACGCGCGATATGTGGCATAACACAGATTGGGAGAAGGTAAAAAAGGATCCGCAGAGCATTGCATTCCCGCGCGAGGACTGGATCTTTTCACATGACGCAGAAAAGCATGCTGAAGAGGTTGGGGATGAGATGATTGCGAAAGCGTCAACTTCAGTTGAACAGCAAGCATAATTGATGTAGATTGTCGTTAGTCGAATAGACTGGTCTAGATTTGTTGGTTAGTGTCTCGTTTCTACCTAGGAAAGTCCTAATGTTCAAGGCATATATGTACAAGTCTGGACGTTGTTCCTCGGAGACATGTTTCTGTTTTTACTAGCGCCAAACTATAGCGACACACAGTTATTGGCACTGTCCTCTAGGAAGATGCCGCCATAGATCTGTCCCTCGTTCAAGTTGCTCTCTTGGTATCCACCGTTGACCACATCCGACGTTCCAGTCGGCTTCTTGAGGATACCAATCTGGAATTGACCACCGCCCGACAACGAAGCAGAGGTAGGACCCGCGACCGACTTGAGAGCAGCATCGCCAGCAGAGTAGTAGATGGTGACCTGGTTCTTAGTGTAGTCGAGCTTGATGGCAAAGTTCTGCCATTGCGACTTGTCTGTGGCGGTAGAGTATAGCTGCTTGTTGTTCTGATCCAAAATCTGAAATTTGTTCTTATCTGCGCCGCTCTTGCCGATGAGCGTGCCGGTTTGGAATTGGATTTGGTCGGCGGAGTAGTCGGCTTTTTCGTGCCAGACGTTCTGTACTTCTATTAGCCTCATTGTCCTCGCCATAATAACGATAGAGACCGGGAGGACTCACAAGGTACTCATGTGTCAGGTTCAGCGGCCTGGAAGGGTCTTGCTTCACGCTGAAGTGTAGCGTCTTCACACCCGTCTGTCCCGGTCCATCCGCAGCATCTTTCAAGAATTGCAAACCTGCGCGCCTGAATCCCTTCTGTTGTTGGAAAATACTCTGGTCGCTGATTGTCACTTCGAGAGGAGTGTGCTCTGCAGTGTCAAAGCGCGACTTAGTGACATTGGGAAACTTAAGAATCCCGCTCCACTTAAGATCGTTGCCCTTGACGTAGTCAGGATTGAAGATGGTATTGGTCGCATACGTGTCGAACTGCGTGGGGTCCGCTGCCCAGGCGGTAGGCACACGTCCATCGAAGACGATGGGGCATTTGATGTCTGCGCGCTTTGCAGGAGCAGGAACAGCCAAGACGCTGGACGCGCCGAGAAGGGCGATGAGGGCGTACATTGTCGCGGTTGTCCAAATCTTTAGGCTTGGTTACGGACACTCCACAGGATGGCTCACGCCCATTTATATGACGACCGAGCACATCAGTACAGGTTACTATCGCAAATCGTCTTTCCTTGCCATATTGCGCATGCATCCAATCGTGTTCCTCGGAGTGTTAGCGCGCCCATTGGGAATATTCATTTCGGCCGCCCACTCGGCGGGCGGAAGAATGTTCCAAAAAGCTTCTACATTGTACGTATAACACATATACTAGGCCGATAGTAGGGCTGGTGACCTCAGTCATGCAAGCCAAGTAATATACGTCTGGCAATCTGGCTTGAGGCTCGGGTGAATTGTGGAGTGCAGCTGGGGTCGCGAGATTGGGACTCGGACCGAGGACCCGGTGTTTGAGGTTGAGACGGAACATGACAACAATGGGCAACATGGTAAGAACGAAGCGGTTGCATTTCCTACCGCTTGTAGGACCGAACATACCATTGATATTGCGGGGCAGCTATTCGACCTCACGAAATGAAATTGTGCGAGGGCCCTCGAAGAGCGACCTATGCCCAAATGGGCTCCTCTACAGAGCGCTATAAACATTATTGTATTTTCTACTGTTCATGACTCTATTGGGTTGCTATAGAATGTGCTCATCCTGTATTTGGTCTCGCCCTCGTATTGCGCAAGATTTGCAAGCGCTTCTTCGCCTTCGCGAACAATAGCCTGTCGGATCCGGTCGCTCCGCGGACTGATGTTGACCTTGAAGGGCTGGGGTCGCATGTTCAGACCGTTACTATACTAGTGAGTATCTTTACTTCATCAAGAGCGAACCACTTACGTGTAGTCAAAAATATCGACAGGGATGGGGTTTCCGGTCTTATCCAGCGCAGGCTCAATCTTAAATCCCCAGACTAGACGCGCAACCGTCAACCACGTCCCTTGTTCGGCCAATGCTTGACCCGAACACACTCTTCTTCCCCATCCAAAGGTCATGTATCCTTTATCGCCTGGGAATGGTCGATAAGCTGGGTCATCTTTCAGGTAGCGCCTCGGGTTGAAACGGTCTGGTTCCGGAAATTCCCTCTCGTTGTGATGGATTGCCCAAACGTTTCCTTGTACCCATGTCAATTTTGGAATCAAATATCCATTGTAGTAGTCATCCTTCACTGGCGCGTGAGGCTGACCGCCTATGATGGCTACAGATCGCCACCTGAAAACTTCCTTGACGAAAGCGCGCATGTACGGTAGATGGGCCTCATCGTCAAATGAGGGGCTGCGATCAGGACCAACAACTCGGTCAAGTTCTTCCCAGGCTGGAATTAGGGTCTCAGGGAATGCGCGCATGGCGAGCACAGCAGTAATGAGCGTGCTGCTGGAGGTATCTGAACCAGCGCCGAAGAGATTACCAGCTAAAGCTGAGATCTCTTGGGGCTTCAGGTTGTATTTCGGGGCTTCTTTGAATAAGAACTTAGAGTAGCATTCATCATGGCCGGGATTCTGGTTGGCTTCGTGGGCGAGAGAATAGAAGAAATCGTGTCCGCGGTGGGATTTGCCTCGTTTCCCAAGACCGTGCTTCCAAGGAGCGTTGGGTACCTTCGCAAGCACTGTTACGTCATCAGTAAAGCTGGCCATAGACCAATGATCGATGGCGGATCTTACAAGGAAAGGTTTCGAGAAGCATGGGGAAAGTCTTTCCGGGTACGTTCAAATCCGCAGCCCGGTGCATTACGGCAATTACTTCACTAATAATCGGATCGGTGTGATCAGATACACGTCTTCCGAATCCAATGATAGAAACTACACTCGTGGCGTAGCGTTCGAAATGCGCAACATATTGCTCGGGTGTTTTGAGCATGTCATAGGCGACAACCTTGCTCTCGTCGTTCTGGAAATTGCGGTAATCCCTAACTTTCTGAACCCCAACACCCTGATGCGTGACTTTTCGCTGCACTCGCCAGCGATCCCGTTGCTCAGGAGTGGTGGTGATCATGTTTACGAGGTTGTTTTGGCCGGAGCCTAGTTCCGCAAAGACTAACATCCGAGGTCGAGAGCAGTAGATGCCCGCTCTCTTGTCAAGAAGTTCGCTAGCCGTCCAGGCATCGTTAATCCAGACTGTTGGGTTACTAAGTGGTGTCAATCGTATGCCATGCATTAGCCCTATAGCATCACTGACCGTCCAATCCAATACGTGATGATAGGCGAATTGTATTTCTTGGACAGTTCTTCGAAGTATATCCACTACGCACGTTAGTGTCTACAAGTGAGAGCTGTTCCTGTTCTACTTACGGGTTTGTTATCCGGAAGTTGGAAGGTGTTGCCGATGATGGGCCATGGCAGTGGCCCAGGCGGCTTCTGGCCTTCAGTCTTGTATCTTGAGAGTTGAGTCGTGGATACTTACCATTCTCGATCTTAAGTATAGCATCCATGCATAATCCACGAATACACCAAGAGCAGCCGTTACAAGCACCGCAAATGCGATATTAGCAGCGCCGAACTTTGAGATGCCATATTGCAAATGATGCAGAGGCAGGTCGAAAAGCTGTTCGATAGCCATAGCCGACGTCTCTGGTAGGTCTCTTTTGTGGGAGTGTATGTTGCTTCAGGCCAGTGCGGAACGGCCAAGCGCGAAGACGTCTGTCACTTTAGTTCTCTGAAGAACAACAGATGCGTGGAATTCGATGACTAATTCGCCTCCAGGAGGTGCGCGCTTGTGTCGGGTCGAAGCTGGAGTGTAGCACAACCGACCCCACATTGTCGTGGTGGGGCAGGATTGGCCGGCAAATTGGGTGCATAGCATATGGGGCGAATAGGCTCTCATCTTCCGGACTACGCCCTAAGGCTCGTTAGGCACTGTGTATGGTTGTCAGATGCGGAGATCCATGCGGTGTTGGATATCGACAATGGTCGGTGTACCAGTCATGCTTCGTCCCGTGAGCACCAGCATTGCTACGCCCGTGGCCGAGAGATATCGCATCGCTCCTTAGTAATAAGGTGACCAGCATAATATCCACACTCATAATCCGATTGTGACGATTCGCCAGTGTTGGGAAAAAGTGTACGACCGAGGAGGCCGGACTGACACGTGCAGTACGCGCTAGGGTAGTCTAAGCAGGAAGCCGCTTCCAACACTCCCACCAAGCAACCTCCACACCTCACCATGCGCAACGCTATCAACGTCTCTTTTCCCACCACTTTCGACGATCTCACATATCTTAACATCGCTTGCCACTTGTAGCGGATATGCGGCCCTCACTATGGCATATAGATCTTAAGTCCTCCAGCTCAGCGACCCCAGTCCAGCTTCACGACTGAGTCGAGCTCTAGGCTGACTAGTATATCTCACATGCAGACTAGACAGCCCGTTTTAAATCATCCATCGTCACGTGGCGTCATGCGCTGTGTCTGCGGCTACATTCTTACAAGATCACGAGGATAAGATACTACAACTGCTGACCTCTCACTAAGTGACTATGCGACGCGTTGAGTACGCTCGACACCGTCATGCTAGCACGAACTCAAACTGAGGCTATCTGAAAGGCCAATTCGATCATGCTTCGAGGTCCGCCTTGTCTCTCAACTCACCTCTCGTTAGCCTGACGATTCAGCTCAACTCTGTATCAACGCCGGGCAGCCAACAACAAGCAAGTCTTGTGATAATGAACTTGAACAGAGACATCGAACATTTCTGTATCTCCTCGCATTCTTCGAGGTAGCGTCTATGTAACCTGGGTGGCCTTGAGTGCCCAGACATTACCAAAGCTTAAGTGCACACCTGTTTACCAGGGTGAGGCGTGTTCTGGACCATGTGTATTGTAAGGAACATCGATAAGAGTAGGCGAGTCGGTTTTAGTGGCTGCACTCACTGTAGTAATGTCGCTTCAAGTCACGATCTGACGCGCCTGAGTCAAGCACGTCCATCCTATCGAACGCGAGGATACTCGGCATTATCATCCCGAGGAAGTGGTAAAGCCGGCGAAGCGACCGCGCATATATGGTCTCATTCATGTGGCGCTTGCAGCTGGTTTCGACACTAGGCTCGTCCAGTGCGCTGCTTCAAGCTACAGCCCCGTCCAGAGCGACAGGTTTCTCCACGTTTGTGCCAGCCATGAAACGGTGCGGAGCCATTCTTTTGGAGAACATCACAGCGGCGATTGGTGAAGAGGGCCCCTCCCCCGCATCTTCACTCGCTAGTTTGGAGCAAAGTCCGGGGTAGGGCCCGCTATCGTGCATGGGATCGCCGGCAGATATTGGACATGACTTTGCTGCAAGACGATCTGCAGGCGTGATATGAAAGTGAATTGGCCTGCAACATGGATATCAAAGTGTGCGTGGCCTCTCTTGCCACGAGTGCGATACAAGATCACTCCTGTCAGACATCTCTTCATTTGTCTTACCTGACCGGGTCGATAGGCCATTGTCGAGTTGACCGATAACGACCACATTCATCTGCTTGAGTTCACGAGAGCCTCTTCAAGCACTACGTTGGATTCACAGTGACCTCGCTATACCCTACAACACCATGCCTGAAGCATCCACTGGCGCAGGTCTTCTGGAAAACTGGAAATGTCTCCTCGCATGCACCCTCGTCTCAATGAGTCCGTTCCAGTATGGCATTGATTTCGGTGCCATTGGCGGTCTACAAGCGATGCCAGGCTTCCTAGAGGTACGCCCACACGGCCAGTGCATCTGTGGCTCGACTAACAAGACGTTTAGGTCTTTGGACACAAGGACCCAAGTACGCCCCTTGGATACAACATCTCTCCCGGACGCCAGCAACTCATCTCTTCCCTCATGACTCTTGGCGCCTTCATCAGCTCCTCCGGCGCAGGCTTCTTCGCAACCTGGCTCGGCCGCCGGCAGTGTCTCTGGCTGGCATCTATCCTCTGCTGCGCATCAAACGTGATCATGATGGCTACCACAAACCTTTCTGGGCTGTATGCCGGGCGCTTTCTCATTGGGCTCGCGAATGGATGGTATATGACCTTTGCGCAGCTGTACATTCAGGTAAATTTTTCCCTCTCGAACCAGCAGATCCCCATATGCTAACGATAACCAGGAGAGCGCACCCGCCCGCTACCGCGGTCTCATGATCTCCGTTTTCCAATCGTGGACCTCAATCGGGACCCTCATTGGCACTGTCGTCGACAACGCAACGCACGCGCTCCCCGGAAAAACATCCTACCTGATCCCGCTCGGCATCATCTATATCGTACCGGTATTCATGTCTATCGGGTTGTTTTTCATCCCCGAGTCGCCTCGCTGGCTGGTCCTGGTAGAGCGCAACGAAGAAGCGCGCAAATCGCTGCTATGGATGCGGCCAAACCAGGGCGCCGTTGGAGAGGAGCTCGAAGAGATTCACGCTGCTATTCTCGCGGAGAAGGAAGTCGCAAGCTCGGCATCCTTCATCGACATCATCAAAAACCCTGTTGATCGCCGCAGAACACTTCTCGCAGTCGCATCGGTGTCCATCCAGGCCGCGTCTGGCGCCATGTTCATGATTGCGTATGGTATGTACCACACACCTTTATATACACCCATCCCCATGTCCCTTCCTGACCCAGACTAACACTTTGCCCTGCTAGGCACCTATTTCTTCGAGATGGCGCACGTCGGCAACGCCTTCCAGAACTCTTGCATCCTCACCGCCGTCGGCGTCCTCGTCATTATCATCAACAGCTGCGTCATCTCCAAGATCGGGCGGCGCCGCGTCTTCCTCATGATCGGCATGACCGTCTGCGGCATCTCGCAATTCATCGTGGCCGCCGTGTACCACGTCCAGCCCGGCACCGTGCGCACGGGGAAGGTATGAGTCTTAGCCCTGACCCTCCTCTCCGCTCCGAGAACAGTGACTCACGCCAGCAGGTCATCGTCGCCATGTCGGTCATCTACATCTGCGGGTACAACGGCATGGTATCGACCTACGCGTGGCTTGCGGGCGGCGAGATTCCCTCGCAGCGTCTGCGGTCGTACACGTTTGGGCTCGCCGCCGCGGTCGGGTTCGCAGGCGCGTGGCTAGCCACCTTCACCGCGCCGTACTTCATCAATCCCGATGCGCTCAACTGGGGCCCAGAATACGGTTCGTGTCTCCCACCCCCTCCAGCTTCTTCCTTTGTCCCGTTGATCTCCTCCCGATGGTTTCTTCTCAACGCGCACTTGCTGACAGTGGAACCCGCAGGCTGGATCTGGGGCCCCTCGTGCCTCATCACCGTCGTCTGGATCTACTTCTTCCTCCCGGAGATCAAGAACCGAACGCTCGAAGAGGTCGACGAGATGTTCGAGGCAAGATTGCCTGCGCGCAAGTTCAGGAAGTATGTGTGCGTCGGGCGGCATGTGAGCGACGAGAAGGTCATTAGTGAGCGGGATGGCGTGGTGGAGGAGCGGAAGAGCACCGTGGAGACGGTGTGGACGGATCGGAAGGCGGTCGCGGAGGCGACGGTGCATATTGAATAGAGGGGATAGGGGGTTGGGTGGTGAGTAGGGAGGGAGGGAGGAGGTCGAAAGGCGGTGGGATGCAACGCAACGCGATGTATGAATCATGAATGTCCACGACGTGTCTGCTTTCCTTGCTCGGTTCTAGTGTGCAATGCAATGCAATACTTGAATTTCAAAGAAAGCAAGCCCGGGACGAGGATGGTGCGGGGCGCCGCAATAACCATCTTATCCTAATCTAATCCCGTCTACCCTCCTAACATGTACAAGCCCTTAAAACAACCCAGCCAAAGCCGCACTCCGGACATAGACGTCCTGTCCTATGAATACCACAGCATGTACGATAACGCTCACATGCCTGATCCCAAACCCAGATCATTCCAAACCCAAGAAACAATAAACGCCAAAACACCACCGCTAACAAGTCACAATCACACTCACAGCATCGCAAGTTCCTACCCAACCCAAATAACCAAAACGCCCAGCAGCAAACGCAGGATAGATAGAAACGTCCGCTGCTCCACCTAGGAGGCGAATTTCTTCAGCACCATGAACAGCAGCGCGGCGACGACGCCGTAGATGGCGGTGTCGAGCCATTGGGTGGAGGCGGGGGTCTGGTGCTGGAGGAGAGGGGGGACGGCGGCGTGGCGGGCGGGGAGCGCTGGTGCAGCCGCTGGGATGGTGCGGGTAGGCTGTGGTGCCTGTGCCGGTGCTGGTGCTTGCGGCGGTCGTGAAGTCTGGCTCGAGGACGACGCCGATGGTGCCGGTGCAGCTTGCGGCATGCCATCTGTCGCCTTGTCCTGACTCGCGCCCTCCGTACTCTCCCCGCCCAGCTCCTCACGATACGCCAACCTCAACTCCTCGGGCACAGGCTCCTCGCTCCCGCCCTCTGTCTGCGCACACGCCTCCTCGTTCTCCCGCAGAATCTCCGCATTGCTCTTCGCGCACCCAGGACACCGCCAGCTCCCCGACTCGCTTGCCATGCGCTCCCTAACACCCCTATCGCACTCCAGCCCCCCAACCTGTCCTTTGGCCTCGCTGTCCATGAAACTCCGAATCGCGACCAGCGCCGTGCGGATCCCCCACGCCGGCTGCCACGTCTCCTCGTGGTGCCCGCTTATGCTCAGGCAGATCTCGCGATTAACCTCGAATCTCCCGGTGGGCGTTAAGAAGCGGAAGTTGGGCGGTTTGAGCGGGTATGTGGAGGGCAGGACGATGCGGCCGTGGTAGATGCCCGCGGCGTAGGGGGATGGCGCGGGCGGGCCGCGCAGCGTGAAGTGCCATTCGAAGAGGTTTGAGTCGATGGGTGCGGCGGCGAAGTCGGGGGAGGGGTGGGCAGAGAGTTCAGATGCTTCTTTTACTGGGGTGCGTCAGTGGGCAAGTAAGGGACGTAGGGCTGACGGAGCAGCGTACGGATGCGCTTGATCGTGGGCGTCTTTGTGTTGAAGCCGCGGGCGGACATGGTCGCCGTGGGAGCGAGAGTCGCAAGCGAGTGGAGGTCTAAGATTCCTAGTTTCAGTGTTGCGTATGGAAGAATAGAGCCGAGGGGAGCCCGGCTGAGATGTGCGGCGTTGAGGTCGACGTTGCGCGGCCCGAAGCGCTATCGATTACGTGGTGAGTACGAAGTACGGACACGTGCGAGGCCGCGCTGCCACGTGCTTTGGAATCTTCTAACGCCCAGTGTTTGCAGGGTTGAATGCAAGGAGTCTTCGCGACAGCATATCAAGCTATAGTGCGAAGGGTAGGATTGGCGAGTTTATGTATGCTCAATATCCATGTTTGCGTGCACTAGAGGCCTAACAGAGCACACGTTTGGGAATGTAGGAAACGAGATGAGATATCAGAAGATTCTTGTAGTTTGCGACGGTCTAGTAAAGACTCTACAAATGCATGTCTACGCTATCGGGGTATCGTTAAAGTGTGCATGCAGTTCATCCAAAAATACCGGCCATCCAAATAGAAACCCACCCACTCAGTATCTGCCAGAACACCAGCCAGCGCCAAACCTGGAACTATTTCAAACACCGCATGTTGCGCGCCATGCAACGAGAAGCCGAGCAATTAGTAAGACAGCCACAGCACACCCGCGCACGCCAGGCACCCGAGCGCGACAGCTGCACTCGTGACCTCAGGTCGCTGAAACCACGTGCGCAACGCCTGGTGAGACTCCTTGGACGTGACCGCCTCGCTCTTGTCAGGCTTCCCGTGCATCTGATTTCCGTGTGGCGGGGCGGCCTTCATGCGCTTCAGCTGCTCCAAGTCGGTGCCTAGCGCGCCGTCGAGCTCGTGGACGAGTCCCGCGCAGAGCTTGAAGATGGTCTTCGCCTCCTCGATGACGTCGACGCGCTCGTCGGGCGTGAACAGCGCCTCCGCACCGAGAAGCCGATCCTTGAACTCTCCCTTGATGTCTTCGCCGTCATGGATGCCGGGGAATGACCACAGGGAGAGGCCCTTCTCCGTGAGCGGGGCGTCTGCGTCTTGGGTCCCCGCGTCTGCGCCAGACGACCAGAACTCGGGCCCCGCCTTGCCGAGCTCCCCGCGAATCCAGCGACCGCCGGAGAACACGGCCATGTAGAAGCACCAGGCATACGCGATCAGGACGTGCGGCTTGGGTCCGACGCTCTTCCTGATGTGCGCGCAGAAGTCGGCAACCTTGTCGCCCGGGTACTGCGCCAGCATGACGTCGAAGTCGGTGGGGTGCAGACCGCTCAGGTACTGCAAGTCCTTCTTGATCCTGGCTGACCTAGCCAGGCCCTTGGGTCGGAGGCGCTGCAGAAATGCAACGGTCTGTGGCGAGGGCGGTGACGTGAAGAGCTCGGGCTCAGCGTATGGATTGACCAGGAGGAAGGAGAGCAACGGCGACGTTGGCGGTGATGCTGCGGCGCCTGGCGGATTTGTGGGCAGGAGATCGTTCCATAGCGACTCGAAGGTCAGGAAGATGTGCGCGAAGTGGAGGAGGCCGGTCGTGTAGAGCTTTGGGTCGCTTGCGAGGGGCGGGAGCGCAAAGGGCACGCGTGCGGTAATGAGCTTGTTGAGTTCTGTGTGCAGACTCCTGCGTCTGCCGTCAGAATATGCGATTGTGGTGGGGTGCCGCGCGGGCGGGGTTACCTGGTGGCGGTGTTGATCTCGCTCGATAGCGTTGCCTGTGGAACGCTGCCGCGCGCCATGTTCGCTGCTGTGTTTTCTGTACGAGAGTCGACGGGTATCTGATTCGAGGTGGCGTAGGAACAAAAGCGCCTCTGGACCCTGGATGTCGATATACAGAAGCGAGGCAAGCGGCGCCAGTGCTTTAAGTCGAGCAGACGGGGCGGCCTGGTCCAGGCAGCACGCTGCCCCGGGGAACACGGTCAGAGCAGGCGCCCGTGTGATGTGCCGCAGTGGTCGTGGTGGCGTGCGCGTGCGCGTGCTTGCTGTGTACCTGCTCTGTTTGAAGAGCCCGCCGTGAAGCGGACGCCATATCGGGGCTACGAGGGCCGAGTCGCAGACGGTCTAGACGTGACGAGGGCAGATGATGCCATCTCCCGAGGCTCCAGCGCTAGGTCACGGACAAGCGAGACACATCGATCGGATTCCAAGCGCATGCGGGTGCGGTGCGCGGACATGGCATGGGTTTGGATGGAGAAAAGTGCGATCATGCTGGGAGTTTGGACGGCGTAGCGAGTGAGGAACACGCTGCGATCGCCCTGCCCATTGCAGCGGCCCACAGATCGAGCCCAGCGCATGCCGATGGCGCTAAAACACTACAACAGATCGCTGCAACCGTCCTTGTCCAACACCACGAACCATGTCGTCTGTAGAACACTGCTGGATAGATAATGCTACTGCCTGCTGTATCACATAGTTTCCCAATGGGCAGCTGCAGCCCTCGTGCACCTCGAGATGTATAACGACATGGGGGACCTGGTCCATTCTGACAACCTCGAGCGTATTCCAGATACCAGAATCCCTTGAGACATTCACTATATCATCATCGAATTTACCCACCCGACGACGATCCATTATCTCGCTATCTGACCGATGTTTCCGGCTACCCAAATGGTCGTCGCGATATGTTCTGCCATGAAGATGAGCAGATGGCTTGGAGACTCGCCGGCGACGGAGCCAAAACTAGGCGTGAAGATGGCTGGAGGGCTCCGTGCGTGGAACGGCTCAAAGTATACGTAAACCGCACGCCTTCGAGATGTTTCCGGCCAAGGACGCCGAGAAGGAGAAGGCCAGAGTACAAGCTATGGAGAAGATGTACAGAGACATCACCAGATGGCTTGTCGAAGTCTTTTCCGAAGACTAATGAGCAGCCAGACCGTGATGAGCAGCCATGCTAGTCCTTCACTTCACAAGCAACGCCCCCATTCTGCCGCGTTTGCGTTGACCGGGCTACGTCAACTGAATCCGACTTCGACGCGCAAACGCTGCTCTCGCTGTCCACAACCAACAACGCCCGCGTTGTTTTCGCTGCCACTTCATCAACACCATGGCACCCAACAGCTATGGTGTTCCGAATCCGTTCCCGCTACGCGCACAAGCAGAGAGAGAGAATGCGCGCACTCGTGCTCAGTACGCTAGCGTGTCTGGTCCGCCGCTCAACCCTATGGGTGTAAGTATGCCATACGTTCCTTCGCCCAATCCCTACCCACATCCGCCCGTGGCACCCCAGCCACGGAGAGTGCACACTGGACGTCTTGCGAACCGATTCGCCGGAAGAGCCACGCACCAGGACCCCTTCACCCATCCGCCTCCTCGGAACAACCCCGGTGGATCCCCCGTGTTTCCGTTCGCACCTCCACGCCAGGCCAACCCCGATGGATCGCCCGCGTACCTGTTCTCACCTCCAGTTCAGAACATGTACCCAAGGCCTCAAGCGTATCCGTACACTCAATACCCAGGACCCCCCATGGCACCAGAGCAGAACTTCACCTACGCTCCACCAACCATGATGGGCTCTCAGCGTATGGAGAGCGGAGCTCAGGGCATCCGTGGATCTGCTCGAGCGAGCCACTTCCCCTCGATGTCCTCACTCCACGATGCCCTACCTCATCCAGCGCCGCTCCGCCAGCCCACACCCGCCCCGCCTCACGGCCCGTCGCCTCGCCCCGAGTACCTCATCGTTGGCCTCTTCGCTCTCCGTCTTACACAACACCTCATCATGCGTCTCGACCCATACGCTGGCAGCGACGCGGCTCTCCGCTGGCTCGAAGCTTTTCTCCGGTCTTACGATGCAAGCTTCGATCTGGCCAAACTGAAGGACCCACGCTCGATTGAGGACTACGTGCGTATGTACCCGGGCATTGTGCGCAGCATGATCAAGCAGCCGAAGTATCGGAGGGTGTTCATGGATATGGATCCGGATAAGAAGATCGAGGGACGGGACTTGAGCGATGGTGAGTACGCGACGCAGAAGAGGTGAGTGTTGTGGAGTGCTAATCGAGAGAAAGAGGAGCTGCGGGCGATCATCAACTTTGCGGATGCAGCGGGTGAGTGGGGCTCTGTCGTTCCGCTTCGTGGAAAATATGCGCAGCGGATGGAGGACTTGGCCAAAATGAGAAGCATGGCGGAGTGACACTCTTGGCTTTCACTGCTATGGTCCGATATTGATTGTACGCTAAACAGTCGCATATCGACATGATTACGCGTCTAGCATATCAGAGTTAGTCAGTATGCGTTTGAGCTTGATAGCTTTCTTGTCAACTGGATGGAGTAAGTTGGAGCACTCTGCCCGGATGGATTGTATATTGTAGTCGACATTGTTCTACGACCTATAGGGCAGAGCGTTAGTCTCTTGGTTTGCATACGGACCATGCAACCATCGTCGATAGACCAAAGAGACTATCGATTCTCCGAGCGGTTTCGCAATGTGCTGAACTTGGTGGTCTGACGCTGAAGCGATCACATGCCCTCGCAATCTCGCTTTCATCAGGGTACCGTTCCTGCAGATTACAAAATATGCCATGCACACTTGGGCAGTGTTGCAATATGAGAGGGCTGAATCTTCCAACACAGTAGGTGAGTCGAAGCCCACATAGGTCTCTATCCTTACATCCTACACGTTCGCGCCAGTATCGTCGACGTCCTGTCAACAGTTTCTACATGAGTAACATACGATAGTTCCGTTTAGATCAATGCGTGAAAGTACGCCTCAAGTGTTAAACAGAAGCACTGTTCGAATGACCATTGGAAATGCCGCTCTTCCCTTAAAGGGAGACCTTACACCAGCATCATTGACCACATAGAGGCGGCCCGCATTGGAGCAAGGATTGAGTTGTTTCATGTCTTTGCCAAGCTCAGTCATTACACGAGCAATAGGTCGGGTAAACGCATCAACCTGCAAGATGCCAAGGAAGACGAGCTATCAGCGGCTGTGCTGCAGAGTTGGGATTGACATGTGAGGGCCCTAATGCGCGTAGATATCAAAGAGGCTCAGGGCAACAGCATTCGGGAAAATGAGAGCAGTGGAGACGAATTGACTTCTGTAGACCAGAGGGGATATCGTCCGGTCGACCCAGGAGGCATGGTCGTTCCACGAAGGCTCGAGCCAATCCAAATCGATCATGATGTCAGATCTGGCACCGTGTGTTCCAATCCAGAAGAGGAAAGAACGAGCTGCACATGCACTCTGACCTGAACCACAGTGCTGAGCCATGTACGGCGTGGCGATAAGAGCATAGTCTTCGGATCGGGCTTTGCATTATGATAAGCCACTTTCCGCCCGCGAGGCCATGTGCGACGATTTTTATAATGTTGATAATAGTTCCCGGCTATCTAAAATATGGTCATCAGAGAATACAGCAACACGTCTTGCTGCGTCTTGTCACGAAGTGCAGAAGATAGGACATCTTGTAGCTGTTGCATCTCGACATCGCTCAACACCTACCCCGCCTCAGATACGGTAGAGTGTATATCTTGCAAGGCACTCTTACTCCTCACACTATTATTTCATCGTCCTAGGACGCGTCAGTGTTTATGGCCCCGCGTACAACCTTAATATGGCTCAGCCCCCTCCTCCGGGCCGCTAGTGCATTTTGGTTTCACAGTAACCACCACACAGCCCACTGAAGCACAACACAACAAAAGCAGACGCGACAGATGCGGGGCGACTGCGACACGTCTGCACGAATCATAGTGGTGCCAAGACGCAAGGTTGACTACACAGGTTGAATACATGCATGCGGGTGTCACCAGAACCGGAACAGTAAGGCTTGCGAACCTCGTTGCCTAAGGGACCAATGCTCCTACTTGTACATTCGACGTTTACTAGAACCGCATAGTCCCTCACACTACGACATATCTACACTTTACAAGCCCAAGACCATCACAGAGCATACCAGACTCCAATCAGTTTTACTATGGCATCAACCATCCCCAACGAGCGCAGGCTGCGCCAAATCACCGTCGCTACTCTTCTTCCTGCTTTTCCCCTGCTCATAGCGTCGGGCGCGATGGTGGGGAAAGAGAATTATAACAACTACAATTGGAACTGGAATCAGCACTTGTACCCCACTGTCATCTACTTCGGCCTGCTCCCGACCTTTCTCTCCGCGATCACTTCGGGAATTGCCCTCCAGGCCAAACACGACCCGCTGGCCAAACGTGCTCCCTGGGTCACAGGGCTGTGGGTGTTGAACGATCTTGTCTTGGCACTGGGGAACCTGGCCATCCTGATCCCGATTTGGATCAGCGAGCCGGCAGCCATGGGGGGCCATGGGGACTGGATGATGCTGGAGACATACGCGACGGTGTTCTTGATGTCAAACATGTAAGCGCCTTCCATCACCGTGCAAGCTGTAAGCTTACATCACTAGGTTCATTCACACGTATCTCGCCTTGTACCCGTTCAAGTCGCTGTTCAACTTCGAATGCCAGAAGAAGTGCCCGCACTGCCACGGAAGGCTCGGTGGTTCTCATGTGGAGACTGTTGCCACCAAGGGCGAGGGATACAGCCTTCTCCGGGCCGAGAACTACTTGGATGAGCACGAGGCGGAGGCCAGCACCGGCCCCATCAGGCTGTCCACCGACTCTGAAGCTTAGATGATATAGCAAAGTCTCACAGGTGATTGTTAAGCATGAAACAGAACCTCATGGTGAAGTCTCGTGGCTGGACCGCGAAACAGAGGGGTTACTGGGTGAGTTTGAACTGGGGCTTAGTGCCAGGTGGCTGGGCAACTCGAAGCATGAGTTATGGGTGGGGGCTCGGAAATGTGTCATGACGTACTGCGGGAATATGCGCTACTTTTGGGTGTTTGGACGACTTTCCTACTCTCTCGTTTTGAACAGGCTGTGTCGACACAGCCATATCTTGTCTGTGACCTGTCATAGCATATGAATTACAACACACTCACAGGTCACCATCAAAATGAGTTTTCAGCTATTTCCAGCAGGCATCACCGTTCGCGTTGGGCCTTCATTCAACAGTTAACGGAATAGCCTTCGACCCATTTACGAGAGCTATGATGATTTTGAGTAGGCCTTACTACATGACATGCATGCGGGATAAACAGATGGATATGAGAAGGTGGATGCGGTTCTATTGACAGATGTATAGCATGTTGAACTGGGCATAAGAATCTAAACTTTCGACTGTCGATACGTTCTGATGATCGTGTCAAATTACAGTTCTAAAACAATTAGCCCTTAGACTGTTCGGCTTACAAGCACGGATCTCGGGAACTGAATGATCCAGCCCTGCCGCCATCAGTGTAGTCGAGCACGCGGTGATACTCAACGACATGAGCTTCAGTGAGGTTGCTGCTGTCCAGCTGCTGCTGCGCGTCAAGCATCAGACGCTCACCGTGCGCAAGAAGCTGTGCGAATGCCACGGTGTCTTTCCAGACCCTAGAAGCAAGACGGGCACAAATGACGAGACGATGGAGAGCCGGCACCGTGATGTACTTGCAGCGCGGGTAGCGGCTCGCCTGCCAGCGCTCGTAGATTCGATCAATACCTGGGGCCATTCGAAAGCCTGATGATAGAGCAATGCTGAGTCGGCAATCTCCTGCGCTACGGTGAGCCTAAGTGATGTAATGTCTCCGCGAATAGCATGGTGCGCGCAAGCATAGTCTGCGTGGCCACATTGACCTGGTACGGATGCACAGCGATGGGGACCGCGAGACTCGTGTCGGCCTTGTACAGCACACCAAGGCTCATAGCAATTTTTTTTGTAGTCTCGGTGCTGATCAATTATGACGTGGACGATGTCGTCGACTAGAGCCGATGTTAATGTCTCGTTACCTTCAGCTGCAATACGACGAAGAGCTGCCCGGCCGGCATCTTAGGACATGGTGCCTTCCAGACTGTAAATAGTTTGGGCCCATGTACGAGCAAGGATATAAGGTGCGTCGATGCCGGTGGCATTGATCAGCGCTTTACTACAACATAGACAACTGCCATTGACTTGCTCGCCGTCATCGTGTGCGCTGATCTGGTCAATCAGCTGGTGCTTGAACCATGTGACAATGCATTGTCGATGGAATGTGTGCTTGCAGGGAACAGACAGGGCATCCTCGTCATCATCGTAGTCACCAAGACAAATCGAACAAAAAACATCGTCAGGCTTCTGCGCAGAGCGAAGATCCTGTTCGGTGAAAGTTAGGAGGTCAGGGATATTGCGTTCGATGGAAGTAGGATTTGAAATTGTAGGGGCCCTCCTTTTATAGTTGTCGTGTTAGGTGATAGATAGTAGAGAATCCCTTCTTGTGAGTGAACATTTCCAGATTGGTGAATTGGGTTCGAGAATTGTGATTGGGGCAAAGGGGGCTATATACAGCATAGAATTAAGAAGATCATGATACTGACTACATTGTGCAACGGTATTGAATGGCTCACTATGTGATAACAACAGATCGACGCCGAGAAACAATGTCTTCGATCACTCCTTCACCAGTACAATGTGCAGCACTCAAATCTAGTGAGAGCATTGGATGAATGTCCACGGTCGTGGCCGACACAAGCTCTCAACATAACCATACCTAACGATAGCAGTATTTTCATTTTTGAATATAGCGCCTCATGTTTTAACCCCTCTATGAACAGTGTGGACGCAGCGACTTTTCGACTCGCACATGTTGTAAAGAACCAACGATAGGGGTGGTTCAAACACCACTTCCAGTAGGTGCGCCCGCCAAATGAGGTTGAACATAAGATATAGCCCCTCAAACAGAGCTCACCGGCCGCTGAAAACCTCTAAGTTTAACCTCAATGTCCGAGATGTTTCTAGCATTCATTTTTTGCACCTCAGCTCGATTCCTGCGATCTTCTGCAACCTTCTTGATGTTCAACCACTGCATCCCGGCGGCAAATGGCAGCGCAAGACACGATCCCACCAGCGCGAGCACAAAAGTACCTTTCAACGACTCGGCGTAGGCTTCGCGTAATTTCCGGAGCGCCAGAGGACTTTGTGCGATGGCCGCGATACCTCCGGCACCGGCATCGATAACATCTTGTGGGGCTACTCCGCTGATGCTTTTTGGAATGTTGACACGGAGGTTGTTGAGAAGAAGGGTTTGACCGACGGAAACTGCGACTGCGCCTCCTAGTTGCCAGAAGAAAATCGCAATTGCTGCATGCCATTAGCACGGCAATATGGTGCCAGAATGCTGTAATACGGACCATTACCCGTCAAGGTATCGGCAGTTCTGCAAGATCTTTAGTAAGTCTTTCGCAATACGGAAAGAAGATAACCTACTCTAGCACTGCCTGTAGCGCAGTGTATGGCAGCTGTTGTGCCATACCTAGGCCAATTCGATGGACAACAACTATTGCTGCCCATCTTAATGTTGGCGTGTCAGCGTCAAATCGCGTCATAAATCCAGCCGCAATGCTACCAATTGCAGCTCCTACCACCATGAAAGGAACCTGCAAATTCTCAGTCGAGAAGATCGGGCATACGATCGGCATACATACATAATGGCCGAGCTTTGACACCAATGCACCCGTGATACCTATCGAGACGATCGTAGGCGCCACGTAGGCAAGCATGTTAATCCCGCTATGAGTTGCTGAGACACCCTGGATGGCTTGAAAATAAAGTGGGAGGTAGAACGCCAGCTATCAAGGTCAGCTTTGTAACACCAGGAAAGAACCCAACCTGCCGAAATACTCGCAACACCGAGGAAGAAGAGGACCATAGCACCCATGTAGACGGAACGAATCCTAACGATGCGAAAGGGTATCGTCGCGTATTCACCCAACTTCCATTGTGCGATAATGAAGATGATCTGTTCGGTACAATCAGAGTGGTAGCTAACCCATAGTGATTCTGGAAAGACTCGCCGTCAAAGTACCGAAGCAGATAAATAGACCGATAGACTTAGCACTATTCCAGGCCATAGTCCGACCTCCCCATTGCAGAGCAAGTAGAAGCGAGACGATGGCGCCCAGGAAGATGACAGTACTGATGAGGTCAAGATGCCGCAGCTTTTCACGAAGCGGTAGCTGTAGGTTTCCTTTATTTGTATCATTGCAGAGATGGCAGCAGGAGAAAACACCAACGGCCACAGTAAGACCGATCGGTATGTTGCTGTTATACTCAGCTTTTGACAATGGCGAGATGAGAGTAGAGAAACGAACATCCAAAAACACCACCCTAACCAAGTAAGTAGATGTTTACATGTCACAACACACATATTACTTACTCCAATTGGCATGATCAGTGAGTGCACCCCCTATAACAGGGCCCGCGGTCGCACTGATTGCAGCCGCTGCGGCGATAATACCCTGATACATGGGAACCTTTTCCAACTCTACGATGAAGCTTACGATTCCTAACGCTCCCTGCAGCAGTCCGGCGGCTCCGCACCCCAGCAAAGCTCGTCCGAAGATGAGAACCGGCGATGAGCTTGCGGTTGCGCATACTAGCGACCCGACTACATATATTCAGCAATAGGTTCGAAGGTTAGACTTACATAACTAACTCACTTTCGAAAAAAATTATAGAGACGACGTATACAGACTTCGCCGGGAAGTACTTATAAATGTTTCCGAAAAATGGCTGGAATGCGGTTATCGTTAGTAGATAGACAGCCGAATACCATGCAATGTCGTCCAAAGAATGAAATTCAGATGTGATCGCGGGTACTGCAACGCCGATGATGTTCATGTCCAATCCATAGAGCACTGCACCGAGACACAGCGAGGTAATAACGACGCCTAGCCGCCATGATGTGAGATGTTCTGGATCTTGGTCATCCTTCTCCAGATCATCACTGGATAATCGGTCATGCACTTTTTCCGGAGTCCTGAGGGCCATGTCTATGCGCTTATCGAGTGCGGGTGTAGGTTTATGGGCTGGAAGCACCGGGGCAAAGTGAGTGAGTCGGGCTGAATGTCCTCGATCTAGCAGACGCAAGAGTACTTTGGACCTAGAGGCGTCTCCTATCACCTAATCTGGAATGTTCATCTAGTGTATCCAATCACTGCGCCATGAAAAAATGGACTGTCCTAGAAAAATTGATACACGGCCACGGCTACTGCCATTCAGGCCCCCCATGTCTCGCATCCGGATGCAACCGACAACACGACTGAAATGGCTACTTAGCCCCACAGAGTAGCATGGAAAATCGCTGATTATTTCCAATATTGTACAATTTATAGTCACGCAATCGAAGGCCTTGCTGGCTTGTGTTCATGCGACAGGTCAACGTATTCGGCTGGCATTGCGAGACGCGTTTCACGATCAAGGCCGTAATGCATGTTTCGCATCGAGACTACGTAACTAGTGGCTCTTACCTCGCCGCTCCAGCTGCCATGTTTCGCAGTGAATTCCAAACAAAGTACGGACGCACCAGCGCGGCGTAAGTCGTAGCTTGATACTGTCTTCCGTAACTACAGCAACTACTCCTGCTGATAGCCCAACGCCATCCATCTTCGGGGACGAGCTCAGCCATTCCCGGATGTCCTATTTGTCCAGGAGGATTGCTATAAACGCATTAAGAGAGCGACGGGCAAGGAATCGACTGGGACAAAAAGTGTGACCCGCACCCAAAGGTCGGTAAGAAGGACTATTAGACAGCTTTGAATTGATGATGAAGCAACCCAATTGCACCTGTTTAAAGTTCAAGCACTAGATTCGGTATTACAGTGCAGTTCGGGGATTAGTAGCTGATGTGGAAATAGCTGACGTGTGTACATCAGAATGCGACTCACAATCTTGTTCCTGTTGTGGAGAATCCGAGTGTTAAATCCTTTATGGTCATCAATTCGGTCTTGACCACTGTGACGTGCTCGCAGTGCTAATCGCTATATGAGCGTTCGATGTCACACCAGATAAAGATGACAATCAAATTAGGGGATCACATCACGCCTGGATGTCTACCCGCAGCCGCTTCCATGGATCAGGAGTTGTTCTACACATTGATGACCAGATCGATCACATTCGCTGTGTAAGCAAACGAAAGTGAACCCATTCTTTTCGCGATGAATCATTTCATGGAAGCATCCAGTCGCCACAATCCGTCGATTTGTTCCTGAAACAGCTAGCGCAAGACCTTTCGTGCGGGAGTGGCGATGCAGCCGCAGATGGCGCTGCCTGGGGCACTAGACTCGCTGACACTTAACGTCCCCTTCAGCTCGATTGACGCTTCATTCGGCTTCAGAAGAAGCAGTGATACCCCGGCCGGAACGATGACACGTCGGACTGTAGTCGCACACGTATGTACGGGTCTGTACCCACTATTTGCGCTCTGGACGCATCTGACAAACACAAGATAATGCAAATTCGAACCTTAAGAGCTGACGCGCAATGTATCTGTCTGAATCTTAACACCCGTGCACGAATTGACTCATGATCGGGTTCAGAGACCAATTTGCCTCTTGCTGGACAGCCTGCCAGCAATGATGCTCATATGGCTGAAGGCCCGCTGTAGGTCTAGGAGACAGTTGAAAACGCCCAGAGTGATACCTACAACCGTTCCACTGGATATTTCCACCCACGGATCCCTGCCGCGGCCTACGATGGCGCATGTGCGAGAGGGTAACGTCCCGTCCGGCAGGTAGTCCGATTTCGACTGGGGGCCTAAAAATTGCGATGGGACAAACGCTCTTCAGACGTTCCGGGTAGCTTTGTCGTCGAGAGTCCAGGAAAAATCTGAGACCCGAGTGCTTGATTGCACCATAGGGGACGTTGACCGCGGAAGCGCGTCATACTGAGCCGCTGCCATCTGATCTGACACACCCTACGAAATTTCCCTGACGTATCTCTATCTGATCATGCATCGTATACCACGATAATCCTAGAGGTGGCATCCACGAGCTCAATATTCATGGAAAATCCATGTAGAGGCGGCGTAGCGGTCAAGTCCTCACCCAGTGCCACTTCAAAACCCTCTAAGCCTATGTAAGGCACGATTCGAGTCCCATAACCGACCAGCCTTCATTTCATCACTCGTACTCGACATCGCAGCTATTCCCCGTCCTTGAAACCACACCGAGCTTCTACAAAATCTCACATTCAGTTCTAGAGATCCACGTGACGCGCAGTATGGATATCGATGTACTGACCAACTTGGTCTTCTGGATGGTCAGCATCTTATATGCTGTGAACAGCTTTGGCTTCGATCAATTTGTAGGTTTTCTGGCGTTTATGCCATTCTTTAATTGACGCTGACACCATCGCTAGCTTTTTAAAGCATCTCCCTTTACGAGTTTGGGAAAATTTCTGGCAAGCACGAAGACAATCTTTGACGACTATGTACCACACCCCACAGCTCATACCAATTTTCGAGGATAATCTAACGACCCATAGAGTTCGGGAAGATACTACAAACCATGGAGTACCAATACGCCCATCATTGTGAGAGACAAGAGGCAGATCTTGGAGCTCAGCGAATCATCAACAGTGCTTTCACAGCGAGCTGTCTACGCTGATGTTAGTCTCCATTACTTAAATCTCTTCCCCGTTGCTAACTGAGCTACCATCTAGATGTTCGGCTTCAAACACACGCTGGGTAATTTTGATCACAATGAGCTCAACTCGCAGAAGTCGCGATTCTTTAGCCGTCTCATTCATATCAAAGGATCACAGAATCTGCCACATCTTTTCCCCCACGTCGAAAAGCGCGTCATTGAAAGCCTCGATGAACTACTTGCTGGAGCCAAGCCAGCCGCTCGTACGTACGAAAGCTCCCCTGCAGTACTAGGATTAACTTCTGAGTACATTGCATTCCCACAGGGTAGACAATACACAAGCAATTTGTACTCAGACTTTTACCATTTTGCTACAAAACCTTGGGCTAACTAAATGTTATATAGGAGGCGGCGTCACACTTCCAATTGCAGAGACCGTCCGCACCATGGCGTCAAGAGCGATGTGCGTTATGTTCTTTGGTGAAACTCTCTGTAAGCATTACCTCTCCGATTAGATAGTAATACTAATATCTGTAGCGCGTGACACTGTGTTCGCTAATGCACTTTTGCGACACCCTAAAGAGATGATATCCTGCATGGCAGCGTTTCAAATTACGCCTACTTTTATGTCCCCGTATGCCCAAACATCTTCGAGAATGACCTACGCTGACTGTGTTCAGCTATGTCCATAAGTTTCTCACCAAGGGAGGCAGATCGCAAAATCTGATACTCGAAAAGCTCGCAGACATCATGGGAGCCGGACGAGATGCATGGGACGAAAAGCCGGAGATGAAGAAGTTGACGCTCGCTTGGAATATGGCCGAGCTTACAGCGGATAACAAGTACTGGCAAGGGCCGGAGCATCTTGCGCAATCGCTACTTGGTATCTGGTTCGCCGCGGCGCATCAGCCATGGATGTTTCTCGACTTCATTATACTCATCCTAGCGGTCCGCCCAGATCTGCAAGAAGCGATCCGGCAAGAGGTTCGAGACTCAGGTCCGCTTGATTACAGTGTAATCCATCGTCTGCCACTCCTTGACAGTCTCATAAAGGAGGTCGTTCGATTGCATCCTCTTGATACCAGTACGTCTCACAAACCCTATGGAATGCCTCTGAGGCGCTGATAGTACTTAGTGGCCGTCCGACGGAAGGCTATGAGAGATTTCACCTTTACCACCGGGAACCGGCAATTTTGTCCGGCGGGTTCCACGGTCTGCGTCTCTGCCTACGATCAGATGCATGACGAGAAATTCTACCCACATCCAGATGACTTCCTACCCAGTCGCTTTGTGAACACGGAAGACCCTTTGCGTGGTGCCCAGTTCGTGGAAGTGTCGGAGAAGTATCCTATCTGGGGCTACGGCTCGCTTGCATGCCCCGGGCGTGTACATGCTTCCACGGTCATCAAGATTGTTATTTTGCAGATACTACAGCGTTTCGACATTAGCCTGGAGAACGAACAAGAGAGGCGTATGTGGTCTTGGGAAACTTTTACGATGCCTTATGAATCGACCAGGTTCGTTCTCAAGGAGAAATTTTGTTGACACGCGGGTTTGAAGACGCTCGGCTGGCGTTTAGTGTGCTGAGGTTTGTCGGAATCTCGAGAAGGGGACAATTTAATGGTAATTAAAACCTGGGTTGGGGTTGATAGATCCATGCACTCCCCCACGGCTTTGGGATACAAGTTCAGATTGGACCTCCTCAATCATGTTGTAATATTTTTTGAGCGTGGACCGTCACGCAGAATTCGCGTCTCTCCGAGCTTGATTAGCTAAAGACTCGTAACTCTAGAGCGTCCATCCCAAGCCTGCTTATTCCCACTGCCGTTGGATGTCAGCAATGTCTCATACTGGCCCTGGATCCGCCTCGCGAAATCTCAACCCCACTGCAGCCAAGAGATGGTCCAAAGATACGCGATCGTTTGTATAGAGACCGTGGCTATTGGCTAGGTCGGTTACGGCGTGAGATCAAAATATATGCTGCTTCCGGTCGGGGTGCGAAAAGAGGTGGGCAGGTGGAGCGCGGCAGCTCTATGAAGGCCAGTGCTTTTCATTGAGGACCGGTTCAACGAGGGACTACATCTTCAATAGCCAGCAGGGAGAGAACGAGTACGTTGATGGCACAGGTCGGTCTCGTTTGCCAGTCGGATAATCCCAGCGATGCGCTCTGTTTCCGGTGATGGTCAGCCATTCAATCATTCAAGACTCATTGCGTGTTTAAAATTTGCTCATCTTCTATATCGAATGTTGCGCATCGTGCTGGTTTTAACTTAGGTATTGGTGCGCTTGAATGGTCTGTAGCCTTCCGCACGAGTAATCTTCAGTATCCAAAGTCCTCTGCGCTCAACCCGTTTGGTAGACTTTCAACCGTCAACTAGCTGCCTATAGTAGCAAGGTGATCCTTAATCAATGATTTGGCAGCAGTCGTCTACTTGACTTGAACAAAATTCGATCCTAAACCCAATTCGACCTGGAAATGACCGCATAGTAGCGCATTTGCACGCCAGGCTTCCTTTTTCTGGCTATTCCTCGCATGATGCTTCCTGTGGCGGCCCCTGCTCCGGACGTTAGCGGAGACACGGCAAGCTTAATAAATTCCGCTACCCTAGTCACGCCGATCATGCTACACGGACCCATGCGATATGTAAGTCCCAGAATAGTACTGAGCAAGAGGTGTGGATATGGAGAGGTTGGTTTCAATGTGGAAGTGTGTCTTGGACAAGGTTATTCAGGTTGTGGGGGCGGCATGCTACGTACCGGAATAAGTGACGACCGCGCTTGAAGATCCCGTCCCTACACTCCTATCTGCTTTAAATCGTCCTCCAACATCAACATCGCAACATCTCAACGAACTTTGTGATTTCATGCACCTATTTGTGGAACCGCAATTTCGCAATTTCTCTATAGCTCCTGGCGCTGATTATCGGCCCCTAACGTGATGATGCTTACTCCTCGAGGAAGTCCGCTCGAACGTAGCCTAACGGAGCCTCGGCGTTTCACAAGATTGCGGAGTTTCGCGTGACTAATCTTGCATTTACGATCTGTAGTCGCTCGCGATTGGTTGGTTCCCCGTTGCAATGCGAAGGAATCTCAAAAGTGCCGTTCCGCCTGGCGATCAGCTACCGTCGGTTTGATGGTACTCCAGAACCGGTCAGAAATAGTTTTGCGAGTGGGTAATACGAGGCTGAGGGTTTTCATATAAAGGCCGAGGTAGGGCTTGGGAGCTGAACATCACAGACATCCGATTCCAGAATTCGCTTCTTCAGCCTGATACCTTCGCTTTTTCGCTCTTCCGCCCATTATACCGCGTACATACATTTGCAAAGACATTCCTTCGACTACCACAATTTTCTACTCAATTATCAAAATGCGCTCCACAGCCTCCCTCGCCATCCTCCTCGCCGGTGTCGCAGCTTGCCGCGAGGTCCCTTCCAACCTCAAATCTTTCTACGAATCCCACAAAGATGTCGATTGCGCCAACCCCATTTCCATCGAATACTCCTCTGGCCAAGGCGACGCCGACACGGTCTACTGCAAGGACGATGCCTCAGGTGCCGTCTTCTTGAAGGACACCTCCAACGGCTATGCGGACGCCGACATCGACTGCGATGGCGCGGGCATGGGCACCGGCGACTGCGGTGACGACCCGTCGGGCCAATCTATGACGGCGTTCAAGGACCTCGTGCAGGAATACTCTGGCGGCGCGATTGACGACTTGAACACGCACATCCACAACTTCGTTGTTCTGGGCAACGACAACAGTGCCGACGAGGGTGATGGCGGTGCGTCTTTCGATCCGACCAACGACGCCGACATTCAGCCTCTGAGCGTCGTTGCGGTTGTTTGCGGCGAGAAGCTTGTGTACGGAGTGTGGGGTGATGTCAATGGCGGAAAGGTTACGGGCGAGACCTCGCTCAGTCTCGCGAAACAGTGTTTCCCTGACGAGGGCTTGAGCGGAAACGCTGGACATGGAGATCACGATGTGTTGTACCTGGCATTCCCGGGTGAGGAGGCTATCGCCAAGGATGTGAACTGGGGTGCAAGCTCGGCCAAGGAGTTTGAGGCTAGTTTGGCGACGATTGGAGATGCGCTCGTGAAAAAGGTCGCTGCTGGACAGGCAAAGAGCAGGGTCATGCGAGCTGTCCTGTAGACGATGCATAGTACATGACGGTTGCTTAGTTCTGCAAGGAGAAATTCTAGATTGTATTAGTAGCGCGAGGCATATAAACTATGTTGCAACTGAAAATCTCCATCCACCAAACCATCGTCATAGGCGAGTTCGAATTACTACGTGCCATTCATTCCAATCCTATCAATTGACATAACGTAGACCCAGCCGTGGCGCAAGACCACCCCGTAGCGCAACCACCCCTTCAAATATGCATTTTGATTCTACCAACGTTGTTTCCAGAAAATACAGGTCCGACGGTCCGCAACTAACCCGATCGTTACACCGCCGAACAAGAACTGGCCTCAGGCATTTGCTAGGCGCCACCCGGACCTCAAACAGAGAATGAATAGGGCGATGGACTGGAACCGCCACGACAGGTTCACTCGATTATTGACAGAACCTGGAACAGCGGGGCCACTTCCAGCGTGAGCATCTGACCACTTGATAATCAACTTATGCATTGTGCTCTCGGTCAATGTGCGTACGGTTATAATGTCCCTCTCGAAGCCATCTCATCATCTTTGAACAACCCGTCAGAAAAGCGCAGCACTCTTTGTTCTCGACCAAACGGGTGTGGCGTATTTCTTTTGCAGCGTTTCATTGGGACTTCCCGATTTGTGTCAGCAAGGGTCGCGGATCGTTCTGATTGGAGGACATCGATCGGAGGTACCAGCCGGCTCATGATCGCGCATGAATTCATCGCCGCTAGCATCGCACAACTTCCTATTACATCTAAGTGACACTGTTGGTTAGTTCAGCTGGAGTACAGACAATGCATGGGTTTCAGTAGCAATAAATCCTTGGTGGTGGCTCGCGGTGAACGAGGCATGTTTTGCCACAAAGAACGACCGTCTCTGAATCAAGTAAGAAGGCGCCTATACGAGCGTAGTTTCTCTGTATGTGCATGGAAGGGTTTTAGAAATGGTCTTTGCATGCAACCCAGGGATTATATTACAGTATTGAAGGCGTGTGCGGCTTTGCTATCGCTTCAAAGCCGAAGTACCTATGGTTTGGTGCCTTACGAGAGTTGTTCCGCGACGAGTGGATCTACGTTATCACTGCAAGCAACAGCTTGTTCCTTGAGAAACCGACTCGGCACAATAACCTTTCCGAGTCATGCATTATGTGTCTATCAGACCGCCTAAACATCCATCTCAGTGTCATCCTCGATCGTATCAGTGGCCTTTTTGTCCGTCTACTTCGTTTTGACGTCCTAAGTTATATCCTCGCTCTCACACTTCTCACCCATAAAACTTCCACTCCTCAGACCTTGACGCGCAACCGCCTCATTGCCATTCTCCTGACTTGACTTAATTCTCGTGCTTTTGGTCGTCTCCGGTGCACCCGATTTCGTGATAGCCTTGATTGGTCTTGCTTTTGTTCACAGATTTGTCTCCACCTTCATGATCATGATTTTCCTGGAAGCTTCTACCGCTTTCCTTATTTGGTGCAATTACCAAGCCCTGACTAGATGCCGACCCAATCTTGAGAAATCTGCATGACGAGACGTTCGATGTGTGCGATGGTGTGACTTTCATCGGGTGTGAGGAGACCGGGTCTACGCGCTGCCATTGCAAGTGCGGAAGTTATCAACGAGACGGAAGTGCCTTTTGGATATCGAGAGTAGTGTATTTGGCGCGTTCTATTGGAGGAGGAAGTGCTGAAGGCCAATGCGGTACCATACATAGATGGCAGGAGTTTGCTCACGATCGGCTGTCACTTGCTACCCTACATTCCGCGATCTCCGATCTGGCACGTTGTCCACACCCAACTACTGGGCAAATTGATGGCAAGTCGCGAACGAGGGGCAGATGGAGACAGGATAGAGTCGAGGGAAGCGTGATGGAGAGGACGTGGCAGGAACAAGGCTAGCTTGTACCGGAACGGACACAAGTGTCAATGGACTTGCGATGAGTCTGGGGATCACGGTATCGAGGAACAACGCAATACTTCTGGTACTGCATGACGTTGCGCTAATTGTCTGAGTCCGGTTGTTAACCCCAGATATGCAATACCTTCAGCGTATCATCCTCGACCATTGACTTGATACCATCTCATTGTGCTTAAGACGCCACAGTCCCCGCATACCGGCTCGCCTTACCCAGCCCCTCTTCCTTGAGCAGCTCAGGTAGTTCGTCCTCGACCCAACTCTCCCAGATACCTTTTTCTTTGGCTTCCCAACCCAGTTCTCTTAACCTCACCGCCCGACTCCGACTATTCAGTCCAATCACCGCCCCCGTATATTCCCCAAATAGCTCTTCCCAGTCCTCCTCGCTATATTCCTTGGGCTCGGCGTTCTCCAGGAGGCCCCTATCCTTCAGCGACTTGCCCACCTGCTCGGCAACTTCGCGCCAACTGAACTCCTTCCCGTTCTCGCAGAAGAAATAGGGGTTCTGCAATAATACCGAAGCCGGCGACTCCTCCATGTGGTGCAGCAAGACGATGTACGCCCGCGCAAGATCCAGTACATGGATCTGGCTTTCCACGCTCAGTCCCTTGCCAACATGCCCTGCGAACCCGTGCTTCAGCGCAAACCTTGCAACAGTGGGGACCTGAATAGTAAGCCTCCTGTGCTGCGGATTGAAACCGTAGATCTCGGGAGGTATCATGATGGCCAGTTTCGCTTTGTCGCCGAGCTCCTTGGAGGCGCGCACGATGGCGAGGTCGATTTGGCGGTGGGGTGCGGTGTCGGGAAGCTTGTTGATGCTCTCCGGGTCGTTGTCGTAGTATATCTTGTCGGATTTGTAGGCCCCGAAGGCGTCATCGTCGAGGACGGAGGTGCCGGAGGTGTGGATGAAGATTGTGGACTTGGAGGCGGCAGCGCGCTGTTTGATGCCGTCTAGGACGGCCTCCACAGAAGGCAGGTGGTCGGCGGTTGCGGTGTGAATGATAATCTGTAGGCGTTAGAATTGCGTTGGAGTGCGCCTTCCTCAACATGATGTGTCCACGTGACCTTCCAGGCTGTTCATTCCCTCCTTGAAAGACAATGGCAGGAAACGTACGTCGTGTTCGAGCACATGCTTGACAATCAAGCCATGGTCGTTGAGATCGCCCTTCACAGCCAGCGCACCCGACGTCCTGATCTGCTCGGCATGCTTGTCCCGTCGAACGAGGCCGGTGACTGTGTAGCCCTCTCCGACCAGGAGCTCCAGGACGTTCCAACCGATGAAGCCCGGGCCGATGATGAAGACTTTGTTGGCTGTGTTCATGGTGTGTAGGTTGCTGGAATGATTCTAGCTGTGCTCTTGAATGCTGTATAGCCGGCGAAGGGTCGATCGGGCTGTATTTGAGCATTGAGGCCATGCATGCATTTCTAAGCGGGGTGGAGAGAGGACGTGGCGTATAGTATCCCACGGCGGGGTCACTTCCGCGCCTGGGGAGAATATTGGAAATTGATGGTCAAGATATCACAGGACGAAGCAGCTTGAGGCTTGCGGTGGAGAAAGTTACAGGGGACCTGCAGCCGTTTTGGGTAAGCCTTAGATTGTTAGTGCGTGGGAGTGTAAAGGTGTTAGTAAGCAGCTTCTGGTGCGGTGCCGTCCACTTGGCTCTGCCACAGGAACGTGGCCAAGCACGTCGTCGAGCGAATTCCGCGTGTTACAGCAGCATGTTGACGCAGTGCGATGTGTAGATGGAAGCGTAGCAAACGAATTGTGAGAACAGTTTTGACAGCCCCTCAGTGTCTGATGCTTGGCAATGCCGGAGCATCAGAGTGAAGCAGCGGATCTGAGGCTGGGCAAGGTCTCGAAGAGTGTAAACGCGTAACTCGAACAGAAGGTACACTGGTGCTCAGAGAGTAGATTGTCCATGGGACATTGGATTCACTCTCTCCTTCACCGTCCTTGCTTGCTGAACAGGGCTCAGGTTCGAAGAGATTGGCCATCACCTCGGCCATCTCATCCAGCATCCACTCGCGAATCAGAGCTGCCACAGGGTCTGTAGACTGCCTCGTATAGGGATTAGAAGCCACTGTTCCGTAGTTGCACGGCGGTCGAGATGATTCGGACCCATCCCTTGCGTGCGCGGCGGCGGCACAAAGGTGTGGCAGCTCGAGCAGCGGCAGCCACGATGAGTGCAACGCGCCGCAGTGAGCTGGATAGAACGGCGTGGCAGGGCGTTGAGGGCGTGTCGGCGGGCAGAGATGCGGCCATGATTCGTCTGGTCGTTCGCGGTGGCTTGACGGGCACGGACCGCTTGTGTGGCTGTCTTCGCGCCTCGCGGAGTCTCCCTGAATCGGTTTCTTGGGATTCCATCATGGACCCCAGTTTGACAGCTTTCGGCCTGACAGCGGCGATGCGCCCTCGTTGACACCAAGCACCCCCCAATTCGCACCGCACACGCTCGCCCGCTCGCTGCGCGCCCTCCCCGGACCAGACGCAACCGCGCGTCGCCGCCATGGCCTTCATCACCGCGCTGCCCCTGCGCCTCTCGCGACGGCCAGCCAGAGTGCTGCTGGGCGGTCTCCTTTTTGTCTTCTTCATCCTCACCCTCACCCGCCGGCGGACCGCGCCCGCACCCGCGCCGCCGTCGGTGCACTACAAGGCAAACACAAAGAGCTTCTTCCCGCCGCTCAAGCACAAGGCCGGCCTCGACCCCGACTTCTGCGAAAACTTCCCCACGAAGCAGCTCGACGACATCCAGGTCGTCCTCAAGACGGGCGCCGCCGACGGGCCCAAGCTGAAGGCGCACCTGGCCACCATCACCTCGTGCATCCCGAATCTGCTCATCGTGTCCGACCACGAGCAGAAGATTGGCCAGTACAACGTAATCGACGTCCTCGCCGAGCTGCCCCTCTCGTACGCCGAAGGCAACAACGACTTCAAAACATATACAAACAACAAGAAGGCGCAGGCCGAGGGCGACACGGTCAACTATTCGCAGGCGGGATGGAGGCTCGACCGCTTCAAGTTCCTGCCCATGGTCGACAAGGCCTATGCCGTCAACCCCAAGGCCAAGTGGTACGTCTTCCTCGAGTCCGACGTCTACTTCTTCTGGGACACGCTCTTCCGCCTGCTCGACCAGTTCGACCCTACTGAGCCGCACTACCTCGGCGCTCCAAGCCCCGGTTCCGACGACCGCTGGTTTGCGTACGGCGGCGCTGGCTTCGTTACGTCGCAGGGCCTGATGAAGAAGCTCTACGTGCCAAAGACTGAGGCAGGCGCCACCGCATCACCGGAGACGAAGCTGGCCGTGAAGTACGAGAAGATGGTCAAGGAAGACTGCTGCGGAGACGCTGTGCTCGCATACGCAATCCAGAACACGACCGGCGTGAAGATGGAGTCGCTCTACCCGACGTTTGCGGGCGAGGAGCTCAAGGACGTTTCAATCGACAAGGACAGGTGGTGTGTACCGCTGCTCTCGCTCCACAGAGTCGCGCCCGAAAACATGGAGTCGCTGTGGAAGTGGGAGCGCACACGGACCTACAACCAAGTATGCTACATATCCCCCGACCCGTCCTTGGGCAGCATTGACTGACATGAGCAGAAACCATTCGTTTACTCCTCCCTCCTCGCATACACGCATTCCTTCCTCCGCGAAGGTGCCAGCAAGGACTGGTGGGACAACCTCTCCGTCGCGCCCGTCCCGAACGACCGCCCGGCCCACAAGAACCCTGGCTCGTGCGGCTCAGAGTGCGAAAAAGACCGCAACTGCCTCCAATGGTCGCATTCACAGACGGTATGCCGCTGGGCCAACTATATCAAACTCGGCAACGCCGTGGACAGCGAGAACGGCGGGCAGGGCATGATGTCCAGCGGGTGGGAGCTCAAAAAGATGGCCGAGCTAGGCTTCAAGGTCGATGAGGAGAGCGACATTAACGACACGTGCGAGGAGGCGACCTGGGTCAAGGCGACAATCCGATGAGCCCCACGCTCGCGCGGCGCGGGCGGACACGAATGATATGCAGGCGTTCGGCTCGCGGGCGGTCTGTTACAGCTGGCTTGTTTTCACGCATGGCGTTCCGGTATCATCACATCACATCGCACTACACCACAGCACCTTTGGGCATTGGCCTGGCTTCGCACTACTCGCATTCACGACGATATTGGGGGAAGAGGGCGCCATCTGCGCGGAACTGTACTGTACGGTTTGTTGGGGAGGAGAGGATGGAAGAGCATGTTCTGGTTCATAGCTAGGGATCTGCAGACGGATATTTTTTGGACATAGAGAGGGGCATACGGCCAAAGCCCCCCTCGTTTGCATGTATTCTATGGGGTGGAGGCGTTGGACCGATTACTCTAATCTATCGCATTTTGTGTTCAATTACTCCTGCAGCCTCATGAAATCAGCGCGACGCCACTTGATCTGAGCTTGTTTATTTCTAAACTAGACTCAACATCAAATCTCCCCACGCTACGATTGATATCGCCGCCTGGCACCCTGCCACATGGGGCACCCTCCTCTTAGACAATTGTGGGACGCCCAAGAACGACCGGATGTATGGTTCGCCTCGACGATGTCAGCCATGTTTCCCGTTTGCTTGTACCGGCTCTCAAGCATGTTGCCAAGGTTATTCAAATACATAGCTAGATCGTAGTGACCTTCCGCCGTTGTTTCTACTGCTTGTCGGGCAACTTGGGTTGCTTTGTTAAGGGCAGCGACGTCTCTTGTTGTTGTCTGCTTGTATTGGCGACCAAGCATAGTGCCAAGATTGTTCAAGAGTACATTCACCTGTCTGTGGGCGACCTTCGTTGAATATTCATTCGTGATTGAATGTCTCCTGCCACTCTAGTAATCGACCGCGAGCAAGCTCCGAGGTAACAAATTGTATATTAAATAATATATTCGAACTAGACGATAAATTTTACTAGCTCGGATCAGCTCACAGTACAGGTAATTACAAAGATTCTTATTAACTATCGCGGAGCAATGTAGGAGTGTTGTTGCTCTTTATCGAAGATCGCATTTCCTCCACTCACAGTATTTCATAGCTCATAATACAGATTCTCTTAGTAGCTATCTCTTGTTGTTACCTTGTACCTTAATGGGATTACGATCCTGTGGCTTCGCAATGTGTGCGCCGCACACAGTTGATCATGATCAGATCAGACAGAAGGTCTGCTCCTGCATCATTCCCGCACGCAAATCGTCGATGACTTCTCCATGCATGATATTGTCGATGTAAGCTGGGCCCATAAAGAGAAACCTATCGCCGCGTGGTCGTAGTACGTAGGGCATATTGCCTCCATACAGAATCACAACGATATCGTCCACACGCATACATTGCGGGCCGAGCCCGAGGGATCCCTCACTTGTCCAGAACATGCGACGTTGTCTGACATGTTTGTAGGCACCTAGCTCGAATGTCTTTGAATCATCATCGTGGCCAAATCTGCCCTCAGTGCCATCGCAGTCCAGTTGAGCCAATCGATGCATTACACGCTCAAATGCCGGAAGATATTTGTCACGTGTGGCCGCATCGAGGTTTTCCAGATATTCGTCGTAATAAGTACCGGCAGTCAAAGTGCGAGCGAGGAGTTCTTTACAATCTTGCGCGTAATGGCCATCGCAGATCTTATTGTACATCTCGAGGAAAGGATGGATATCCTTGGTCTGGGCTCCGGTCTCGATGTCCATAGCAGCAATTGTCTGGATACCTTCTGTGTTGCCGCCAACTGCGCACTCCGACTCTTGGCCCTTCTCGTTAGTGATGCTGTAATCCCAGTTCTTATCTTCTAAATTGAAATCCATGATTTGGCAAACCTCAAGCACTTTGTCATAGAGTACGCCCTTCAGATGGAGTGCCTCTGGTGTTGGGTCAGTTTCATCGGCAAGACTGACTAAAGCATGCCCACTGGCGCTCCACCGACTGAGTTCTTCGGGATAGCCAAATACGAATGCAGGCTCGTAATTGTCCCGCCTTGGTGCCCAAGATCTGTATCCAGCAGTGCCATCATAGCCTGGCGGGTGGGAAACGAATGCGAACGCGCTCAACTTGGAGTGCGCTTTAATATTAGCGACGACAGTGTCTGCAAACACAGCGCCAACACTCTTGTTGTAATCAATATCGATGCCTTCTACCTCCGCCCTTGGGTCCACCAGACTCAAGAGACCGTAAACTCGGTCCTTGGCGTCCGTGGACTTGAACTCACAGCAACTATGCAATATGTCCAGAAGATTATCCGCCGTGGTGTCGCACATGATACCCGCAGGTCCGAGATGAACAGACTCGAGCAGAGCATCTAATCCTTCAATGGCCACAGGTGGGAGTGTACTTTCAATCATCCATCTTACCGCCAGTCCAAAGCTCTCCCAACTGACCTCATACTCGCCGCAAAGCACTAGGGCATCGCGCGCCAAGCAAATTTCTTGAACACACCAGATGCGCGAAAACCATGGCCGCTTGAACAGTTCCTCCATACCGGCGACAATTGCGGGAGTAAATGATTTGACTATGAGATCAAATAGGCCACTGGTCTCCTCATCGCTGGACATGACGTTCCGGGCATTTTGCTGAATCATGCAAGCAGCTCCAATAATTTCGATAAATCCCAAAGCAGTCTCAGTATGTTCAGGATCTGCAGGCCCCAGCCAGACAATCACTCTTGTTGCTGACGGGTAGATACTTCTCATCAAAGATACTTGATTGTTCCGCTCCTCAACATTATTCTGATCTATGCAAATCGCATCCGCCCAAACAATACGCGCATGTTGTTGAAGACGCAATTGCGACAAGGCGTTTGCGAGCTCCGGTTGGATGGAGAAAGGTTTTCCATTGCACAGCACTTCAACTGCAGGGGTGGGATGGCCCCAGACGTACGACAACGCCTCGAAGGATGGAGCATCGTCGATTGCGAAAGGAAGGCAGGAGCACTGGAGTTGCTGTTCGTAGTGCTGGGCAGGATGTATAAACAGCAGCCGGAATGTGCGGCCGCTCAGGATTGGTTGCTCGTAAATGGAAGCCATTCGAGTTGATAGGCAAACGATGACCTGGTCGTTCAAGCCTCGATATTTGTTCGCATGTACCGCTGATACAGTTTTTTTTAAATACTTGACTACTAACCACGGCCCGCTAGGCTGCAGCGTTTCAGGCACAGTTCTGCATGGATGGCTGAGCCAAGTGGCGCAGCAGGATTGCGACAGCCCAGATCGCAAACGGAAGCTGGTCAGTAGGTTACCGTAACCAGGAAAGCGGTTTTTGTGGTGGCAGACCAAGAGAAAACTAGGCTTCCCGTCCGCTCAGCCATACATAAACAGTGTACCGGCGAATTAGTAATGTTATGGATGACCAAATGTGAATACTCGCTGTTGTAATTATGGTTTTCCCGAATCCCTTTTTTGGCGGGCGTGCGCTGAGGTGGTGGAACTAGATCGCATTAGCGGCTGCGCAAAGCGCGAATGGCGAGTTAGGCCGCCTCACCACATTGATGGTATACACACAACCCCTCTAGATATCTTCTCTTATATAATAGACGACTCTTTGTACAGACAGTAAAGCAAGCGGTGTGCGCTCTCTTCTTTTCCGGTCTCCGTCGCAGCTCACTCCCTCACCTCCTCCAGCACCGACTCTCCACTGGACTCATCCCCGCTAGTCCACTGCCACGTCTCCTTCAACCTCAATCTCCCATCTTTCAATGTCTCCGGGATAGACTGGCATCTCCCCGTCATCAGTTCGCCCTGTGTGTTGACATGGTGATACCGCATGTCCAAACTCCCATCCTCTTTGACCGTGGCAATGAGCGAGCCTTTCGCGATCGAGCCGCCAGAGTACTCCGCCCAAACGATTGATCCATCCTGGTGATAGTGGAAGCGCGTTGTGTCATCGACTTCGCCGTTGTCGGAGTTCGATGCTGGGCGGAAAGTTTTGTTGTTGTATATGTTGGGGACAGCGGTTGACATTTTGAAGGATGAGAAGGGTGGGCGCGGTCTCGTGCGAACAGGGGTCCTGAAGGCGGTGGTGAGTACCAATCGCGTTGCCATAGAGGAGACTGATGGATGTCAATGTGTGCTATGGAGTGACTCGTATCGTCGAAGAGCGGATAACGCCGGATATGGATGGCGAGGCTCAATGCACTTTAGCGTGATGGCAACAACGTGGCCACGATAGGCTCGATGATCTCCCCAACCGAGCGACGCGCCTACAAGATTAATCAGTTTACCTGGCGCAATCGAAGTACACACAGTAAAGCTGATTTACCCCACGCTGTTGAAGTTCACGAGGCGGGGCTGCTGCCGCCTTGCTGTCCAGCTTCACCGGTCGCAATATCCATGCACACCCTACGCTGCAGCATCTGACTGGCGCCCAGCTGTGCGATATTTTTCGTATTCGGCAGCAGTGCGGGTTGTTGACATTGAAGGCGCTGTTGTGCCACAATCCAGTCTTCTGAAGAGCTGAAGTCTCTCTTCGCTTTGTCAAGTTTCGATCTTCAACCGTCAAATCTTCTCGACAGTACGGCACATCATGACAGAGGAATTAAAGCACACGCCGCTTGATCAAAGCAAGCCCTCTATTCGGTTGCTGGGGGTCCATGCCGACCTCTCATTTGCAGACTCCATACAATGCCAAATCTGGCATGATGACATCGACGCGGATTATACGTGTTTATCTTATGTTTGGGGCTCCGAAGACGACCAATCTGCCATGTTCGTAAATGGTAAACCTTTTTTGTGTCGGAAGAACCTGCGGGATTTTCTCAGCGTCGCGCGAACGAGATATGCCTCCGCAACGCCTGCGTTTTGGATTGACGCCATATGCATTGACTAATCTAACATCCCTGAACGGAACCAATAAGTCTCACAGATGGGAAAGATCTACTCTCACGCAGCAGCTGTGATTGCATGGTTAGGGAACAATGAGACTTTTGAGCGTTTCTGCAGCTTTGCAACTCGCCTGGCCGCCGAGGTACCCTGCAGTACAAAGGCGGTGAAAGGGTTCTGGTGGAAGCATCGATATGAGGCCATGGAAGAAGCATGGTCCGCTTTCTGGAGCGATACATACTGGACAAGAGCCTGGATCACGCAGGAAATCTTCCTCGCACAATCGTTCAGCCTACTTGCACGCGAGACGGAACTTACAGCCGCTGAGCTCGAGTCAGTCTGAGAGCTCAGTTCTTCCTTGAACATCATGAATGTCCACAACGCACTGGGCTCCAAATCATTGGAGCGATGTCAAACGTATCTAAAGCTCATGAGTCCTATCCAGATGTCTCCTGGCGATTGGCGCAGTTTGCCAAGCAACGAAAAGGGACTCTGGGATCTTCTGCAGAGCTTCGCAGGTCGCGAGAGCTACATACCTCGGGATCGAATCGACTCGCTCCTTTCCATAGCCAAGGACGGCGGAGCCATACTGTCGACTACGGCGTTTCGGAAGATGAATTCGTTGTGAGCTTGATCAATGCTCTCCGCGATTTCACGTGTCTGTGCTTTATATCCAGGCTCGCAGATACGTTAGGCTACTGGACCTTCTGACACTGCTTCTGTTCCATCAACACTTCGTGTAGTTTTGACCGCATGGACAACGACTTGCCGAAGTGACAGCGGAAACACCACGCATTGCACACATTGTGGACTTGAGGTTGACTGCGATGACCGTTGTAAACACGTCCTCTGCCTGGGATCACTGTGCAATCACCAACTGGCTTCGCATTTTCTACATGCAAGAAATACAATGTTGTTGGAGTTGGCACATCGGTACCTTGGAATCGCCAGTGGCCCGATTGGTTTTTGCATTTGTCACCTGATCATCATCTAGACAGCAGTGGCTTTATCCCAGTAGGCCGGCCTGCTGAAACACAAGTCGGAGATTTGCCTCCTTCTTGGCGGCTGCAACCCTAATGGATTGCCCAATGAGATGCACACTCTCAGGTATCAGGCTAGCCAATGACTTTGCGAGTTGGCTTTGAATGGCACCGCACATGCCTTCGAATGATGCTTGGCTTGCAGAGCTGAATAGATAATCGTTAATTTGGTCCCAGCCCTCGATAGGCGTTCCGTAGCCGGTTCGATTCAGCATGCTCAACAGGAGGCGAGCCCACATGCAGAAGTGTTCCCATGCCTCTTCGAATCCCCCCGCGGACTTGGTCTGATCGAAATCAATCACTACGATACCTGGGAGTCCGAATTCTGTCTGGGAACCTGCGTCAATGAGCATATTACCTGGATGTAAATCCCCGTGGATCATCGGAGTCTCAAAGCCATCATACAAGACATGGCACACCCTCATCATTTCCAGTAGAGTGTGAAGGATCAGCGCTTCTGGAGTAGGATTTTGGAGTTCGTAAACACTCAAAGACGGGGTGATAGCCTTGGTTGCAACCCACTTAGTTCCGTAATCAACTAGTGATGCGAGTAGCCGATGGCTATCCTTGCCAGCACTCTCCTGAATGGTCTGCAAGGCCTCAAGCTCCGCGCAATTACTAGGCATGGTGGCGTACACCTTGACGGCGACCAGCTTGGTTCGCAACTCATCGAAAGTATTAGTCGATTTGGTCTTGCCAAGAGCATCATAATCTTGATTGCTCACTGAGAAGTAGACCATTGCCAAGGCCCCGGACCCGGCCACGGAAAGGGGATGATACTTGTCGTGTGGGTAGTTGTTCAGGATATACATCGGAGAGGCGTCTTGAGAAGCCGCTTGGTTAGTTGCCATGCCACCAATTTTATTGTTTGCGTGCGGTAGTTTGAGGACTTTGTTTTAGGGCTTAAGGGTGTCCATATATAGTTTCCACTCGAGAATGGTATTGTACTGTGTTGTTCCAACACAAAGTGATATTTGGCATCCACTTCGCACCTTTATGCAACGTGGGCGAACAATGTTTCACTGTTCCAGCTACTATCGATATGATCCACGGTGTCTTTTCTCTAGTAGCCTCCTTGATTACTCGCGAACGATATCTGCGCTAAGACGGCAATTGGTTTTCGAAGGCTCGGACGGGTGAATCTATCGATAGTACTCGAATGAATGAGCCAGCAGGCTAGGTTTGAGAGCTCAATCAGGTAATTCTCCGAGAATCTCGAAGTATTTCAGACTTCTCGGTGAGTGCAGCCTTTTCACTTTCAACAATAGATTGCGGTCCATTTAGCAACGTATTGCTTATCCAAGATAGCGCATCTAGAACACCCTTTCCCGTCGTGAGATTGACACCTGCAACCTTCTTCGTAATGGTCAGATATCCCATCCCCTCATACTGAGCAAGGAGACTTACAGTCGGTCGATCGCCGATCGACGTTATTATGTTGTCGATGAAGTAGGTTTCAATCTGATCTGGTCGTCTCGCGTTCTAGAAGCCCGGATTAGCCGTCTATCAAGTAGCTTCCAGGCAATTTCAACTAACTTCAAGCTCTGTCTTCGTCACTAGGACCAACAGAGGAACGCCCCGCCGCATCCCTCCATTGTTGGCTTGCAGCCCATGCATAATCAGCTCTTCTCTTGCTTCCATTATTCTGTCGCGATCTGCAGCATCAACCAAGTATATCACGGCGTCCGCTCGCTTGAAAAGTCCTTCCTCGAACCACCAGAAGAAGTCTGGCCGACAGCCACCGATATCGTATGCCTGGAAGGTGGTTGGTCCCGCCTGCAGCTCTTCTAAGATGATATGGCGCTCAGTAATGAGTGTATGCACGCTCTCGGGTCGTGGGGAAAGGTACTCTCGCAGCAATGTAGACTTCCCAGATTCATCAAGGCCGATGAGAAGGACCAATGTGGAAGGGGCTGCTCGAGCGAACAAACGAGAAGCAGGGGTCGAAATCCGTGTATCAAATGGGTTGATGGATGCAAAGAGATTGGTGATTGTCCCAAAGAATGAAGCCATCCTACTTATGGTATGTCGATGCACTTGTATTCGCTATTGGTTCTCCGGGTCTTCTTTATTGGTGTATCTAGATGACGCTACTAAGCAAGCATTAGCTGTGTTATCCTCTCCAACTGTTTTTATCGGATTAATCCGTGATCTATACCATGTGGATTATGTTGCTCAAATACTACTACCACGATGTATATGTATCTCGAAAATGGGTGCCTAATAGTGGGACGTCATTGGCCCGTGCAAACTCGATAAGCGAGTCCCGGTATCACTTGTCCTGTGTCATGGTAGGCGTCAAATGATTTCGAAAATGCTACTGGTATTTCAAGGATCTCTTCCTCTAATGCGTTATTCAAAAGCTAGAGCTACCCTTCGAAGCCGCTGCCAGCGGGTTATATCCCTGCAGCGCGGATGGCTACGTGCCCGGTGGGGGAAATTGAGAGGACGAGGGAGAGACTGGTGAGCCTGAGAGAGGGGATTATTGAGATTGGGGCGGAAATTCAGAAGTTGAGTGACGGGCTGGGGCAGGACGGCTGATGCGTTTGATATGATGACTGGAGTCTGGTTTTGGGACGTGTCGCCCTCCGGAGGCATTATACTGGTGGTTATTTTCCTCTTGAAGACTTTGTTGGTCATCTTTCGGGGTTGATTCGCATGCACATTTGAAATGTCTTTTGTCTCCAGTCGGCAAAGATAGAACGGCGTTTGGCGATTTTGAAGATCCGCACCTCAAGCCTGCAGATCATCTGTCTAGACTATGACGTGAGTAGTTGCGCACAGTCGTTGATCGTGGCCCTTGCTTGGTTATCTTGAAGATGCTGTATCGGATAGTGAGGTAGCTGAGGAAAAACCCCGCTAGGTCACGTATTCAACGGGTGGGAGCGATTCAAGCGACGATGATCTTTGGCTTAGGGTAGTCTACATCAGATAGACCGACCCCACACTTCTCCTACCTACCACAGGGACTAGCACCCTAACACCCACGCATACCCTGCAACGTAGCCTGCAACATCGAAACCGACCTGCACCACAGCGACTACGCCTCCTAGCTATGCGTCATTAGCGCCCGCAATACTCCCCCGCCAACCCACAGAACCACACGCCGAGTAAGCCCCGGAACAGGATATCCGCAGCGTACCTCAGCCTACACCATCGCACCCTCCCACCCGTGACTTGAAAGCGCGATCCATACACCTACCCTCGTTTTCCCTCTCCATTTTATATATTCCTCATACATAATGGCATACTTCAAAGACCGCGTAATCCTCCTCACAGGCGCTGCATCCGGCATCGGGCTTGCGACGGCCCACCTGCTCGCCTCGCGGGGCGCAAAGCTCTCCCTCGCGGACGCGAATGAAGCAGGTCTAGCTAACGCAGCGAACGAGATTAAACAGCAGTGTCCTGGCGTCGCACTGAGAACATCCGTCATCGACGTCCGGAACGAGGCGCAGATCCAGATGTGGGTGGAGGGCGCGAAGGAGGCGTGGGGGAGGGTGGATGGGGCAGCGAACGTGGCGGGTGTCATCGGTGCGTTTGTTTGGCGTTAACTTTTCAATGTTCGTCCTGGGATTTCATCTTGGGCTGGGTTGGATTGGATGGGATTGATGGTGCGGCAGGCAAATCTATCGGCGTCAACACCGTCGCCGACCAGGACGTCTCCGAGTGGGACTTCATCATGGACATCAACCTCAAGGGCGTGATGCTCTGCATGAAGCATCAGCTTCGCCACCTGTCCGACCACGGCGCCATCGTCAACGCATCCAGCATCGCGGGGCTGCAGGGCCGCCCCCGGAACGCGGCGTATGCGGCGAGCAAGCACGGGGTCATTGGGCTGACGAGGAGCGCGGCCAAGGAGTTTGGGGAGAGGGGGATTAGAGTGAATGCGGTGTGCCCGTGAGTATTGACGTTATCTGTTTGAGGTCATTGTGTGGGATTGGTGCTGATGTCTTGGGATAGCGGCATGATTGACACGCCCATGAGCCAAGCGGCGCGGATACCGGTGAAGGATACTAAAGATGAGGCGCTGAGTGAGGCGTCGCGCGTTGCGCTTGGGAGGAAGGGGAAGGCGGAAGAGGTCGCGGAGTTGATTGTGTATCTGTTGAGTGACGGGGCGAGTTTTATTACGGGGAACGCAGTGAGTGTGGATGGAGGGTGGCAGTGTTGAGACATATATATATATATGATGAAGAAGAGACAGAAAACACTTGGGTTGAAATACTACTAGATCCTCCCACGTTCCAGAAACCGGTCCGGCACCTGCACCCTCCTACACCTGATCCACTCCCCCAGATTCTTCGCCAGCGTATCAATGCCACTCCCACTGTTGTACCCGCGATCGAGATGGTTCTTGATCAGAAAATGCACAACCCTCAGGTTCTCCATTTCAAAGCTAGTCCGCATGGTCAGTATCTTGCGCTAGAATTCCCACGGGAGGACTCACCGATCAATTCTCCCGCCGCGCCAGTCCTTTCCCAGCAGTTCTCTAAACGTTTCAACGGTAAGAAATGAGCGCAGCCACTCCCACTCGTCGTCTCTTCGGACGAACAGCCCGATGTTTGCATCGCTTGCTTTGTCGCCGCTTCGGGAGAGGGTAACGTAGCCCAGCGGAGCGAGTGTGGTAGGTCCGAAACTGTCCAGTGGAGCGGGATTCTCTGAGTTGTATGAGCGCTGTGGTCCGTAATCTGCAGTATCTAACGGCAGTGCTATGGGTATCGGCATTTGTATGTCTGGCGTCGATGGTGTGAAGAGCAGGTGTACTTGATGCTTGCAGACAGATTGCGGGATGAGTGTCGGGAAATACTCCCAGTATGGCTTCGGGGCTGATTGTCGTAAGTCGTTCGGTCTGCTCACGCCCTGTTTCCATCTGTAAGATTTCTTTCACTATATAAACATCTTCATCGCTAGACTCACTGGACAGCTCTGCAGCACCGTCTCATACAGCTTCCTCGCGAACCCATCGGGATCACCCCCGTCGAACAACTCCTTCCTAGGACCCTGTGCGAAGATTCGCAAGTCGGCAGTATTCCCGTCTTGCGTTCCTACACCCACGCCCTCCCCTGTATACCCCAGCAGCTGGAACGTCAAACAAGTGAATTTACCTATGATCTCTTCACCAATCGCATGCCGTGCCTGTTCCTCCATCCACCGCACCTTCTCCTGCATGTCTAGTCCCACAAGGTAGAAATGCCACTCAGCTTGATAGCCGCCGTGCGCGGTGACGCCGACGCGAGTCGTAGCTGGAGGAGGAAGTCCCGTGATGCCCGAGACACGTACGCGGTCGGTGCCGAGCTGCGCGAGGGACACGTTTTCCAGGATGGCCACGACATCGGAGTTGAGGTACAGAGGGCCGGATATTTCGTAGACGAGTTGGGAGGTCACGGTCTCGGTGTTTACGATGCCGCCTGTGTTCTACACCCGTCAGCACCGCATCTCTCCCAGACAGGGCACACTCACAGGCTCCTTCGCTATGACGCACTGCCCTGAGGCTTCGACTTCGGCAATGGGGAACCCCAGATTCAGATGTTTCTTTGACTTCATCAAGTCCTTGAATCCGCTGTAGTACCCGCCGGTGATGAAGGCACTGCACTCAATAAGATGCCCCGCAATCAACGCACCCGCTAGCTGATTCCAGTCATCGCTCTTCCAGCTATGCCACCAAGCGCTCAAGCCGATGGTCGGCGCCGCATCGCTGACTCTCCCGCAGATGACGATATCCGCGCCCTGCTTTAACGCTTCGCTGATACCCAAACTACCCAAGTATGCCTGCGCACAGAGCGGCTCATATCCCCATTCCTTCAACGTGCGACCGTCGCACAGATTCTTGAAAACATGGCCCTGGGCAGCCAGATCCCGAAACCGATCCGTAACCTCATCCCCCTCGACCCATGCCACCCTCGCCTGCCACCCCTCCCTCTCCAAGCACAACCTCCTCACCACCTCAGCAAGCACCTCCGTGTCATTCGCCCCCGCATTGACCACCAGTTTCGCTCCATTCTTTCTCAACATCCCAATCGCAGGCTCGAAACACTGCAGAAACGTAGACGCAAAATGCGCATCCTGGCGTTTCTCGTCAAAGGTAAACGGATAACCTCGTTCTTTCTCAAGCTTGCGACGCGCCTCTTTGCCGGCGCCGTAGCCGGTCATGACGTTCTCCGAGAGCCAGTCTCCCACGATGGCGTCGATGGAGGGGTCGGAGGCCAGGCGTGATATTGCGCGCACGCGGTCGGTGAAGCCGCCAGATGCTGCGAGTCTCGCCGTTAATTACTGCTCTGTTGAGTTCGTGATTTGTGGAGCGTACCTCCACCGATGCGAATCGCGCGTTTAGCCATTTCACCTGTGGTACTGCCGTTTATCGTCATTCTGTTCGCAAAAGAGGCGAGCTTTGAGAGGCGCCATGGTGTGCGACCAGCAACATGTATACACGGGAGTTTGGTCCGTTATGCTGAGAACATTCTCCGAACATTGGTAGGTGTAAGGTTGCAGCGGGATGATGTGAGTGTGGAGAAGCGGGGTCTAATGATTCATTAGCGTGCATGTGAGGTGGATGTCTCACGAGTAACTCCGTCGTGCAACGGAAGAAGCGACTACGCGTGGAAGGCGCGTCTTTAGAGCTTGAAAGGATACCCTTGCAGCACACCGCGCCGCCAAAGATACTGATGTCGCGCCAATCGGTGTCGGATCCATGTACACGCATTCGAGGTTCCTGTAATTTTTCACTGTGCAGGATCAACATATGCTGGACGCAGGAACCAAGCTGTAGCATCTTGAAAGTGCATTCCCTATGAGCCTAACAAGTGGCCTCGAAGTGGACTCGCCCGAACTTGCCATTCACCTCCCTTGCTTTTACCGGAACTCCAAAGCTCGAGTAGCAAATGGAACGTGATATATCAAAAGCCGGTATGAAAACTCCCCTCGCAAATACGCCCTCTTTCTGACTCAATACGCGCAGAAGCGAGATGTCACGCAACGTGTACGCGACGAACACCCGCCGCTATGCCGCCCGTGATAGTGCTAGAACCACCCGCCGGAACACCGTTGGCTGTGTACTATTATGTATATTCGAACCGAGAGCCATAGTCATGATGCTCAAAGCGAACCTCGTCAAACTCGTGGAAGCCAATTCAGGTCTGCCGACTTGCACTACAGTTCGGTCTTGGAGGCGGTGAAGTCCCACAGACTCTTAACGAGTGAATCGGGGAGGGTATAGAGGTCGACGTGGAACTCGCCATCTGTCCTCCCATGTTAGCGTTACTGGCCGTCATCGTCGTGGCGAGTCCACTTACTCTCAACATCGTTCTTAGTGTATGTATCATTGGACTTGTTGTCGTGAATCATCGTGACCACATGGAGGAGGTCGTCCTCGTTGAGCTTCTGCAACCCATCCGCAAGCTTCTCCATGTCGACCTGCGGTTCCACATTAGCCTTCTGTGTCCCAGCATCCGATGGGGTTCTCGTGTCTTACCGCCTTGTCCCGCCGAACCTTCTTTTTCGATGGGTCGGTCTTGCCGCGGACACCATTTGCGTCGCCTCCAGACTGCTCGAGCAGCGCTACGAGGTCGGGTTTCGGATTCCTGAAGACCTGTACAAACTAATCAGCGCCTGGTCGATTTGAGACCTGCCAGACCAGCGCAAACATACCACCTGGTGCATCGCCTCGTACTTTTCCGACTGGAAGTTGAGGTCATGGGCCAGCGTATGGTCTCCACCCTTGTGCGCACCCGTCAGAACGATGGTCATGTCAAACTCTCCCCATCCCTTCTCTTCGATCTTGAACGGCGGCTTCTTGAACGCTGTCGCACAGTTAGCCCGATTCCTGCGCCCCTCTCCTTTGCCATGTCCACGTACTCTGCTTATTCTTCTCGAAGCTCGGGTGCAAATTGTACACAGCTTTCTCGAAGCAGGATGCCGGCACGTCGTTGCCCTTGTCGTCCACAAGGTAAATCTCGATACTCCACGATCGCATGGGGAATCCTTCCATGGGCGACGGCTCCGAGATGGGACGCTGACGCGTGACGAGCTTGACCGTCCGCTTGATCTGCGAAACGTTAGCAACTGGACTTCTTTCGTTGATGCATGCATTTTCAGCGCCACACAAAGGTCGCGCAAGCCGCAAAACCTACATCTGGCATGACGGGCGATTTCTGGAGGACGTGGAATGTGGTTGAATCGGTGCTGTCGATTGATAAGACGCGCGCGGGCGGCAGTCGCGTTCAAGTTGGTGGAGAGCGAGGTTCGTGGTTCAGCAGTGGTCGGAGCTTTTAGCGGGGACGGGCGGGCGCAACCACGGAAAGCAAGCACCTGCAGCTTGCAACTTGGCGCAGCCACGTCAAACTTATACCGGCAGGGTGCAGGTTGAGTCAAGGGATAAAGGAGAAGCGTGAGTAAGAGCATACAGTAATAAGAGGCGAGTAAAAGCACACAATAATAGACGCTAGTAAGAGCTTCAACGTGCTCGAGTATACAATATTCCAAAGGTACTAGGATTTGTCAGTGAGAGAACGTCAAGTAAGTGGATTCGTGCTGCCGTGGGATGGCGCGGATTCGAGACGCCATGTGCATACATGTTCTTCCTCCATGTGAAGCCGGCCTCTGTTAAGTTGATTTCATACGCACTGTCGACACGATTGACGAGCTGAACTCTTTATTCAATTATCGTGGGGGCGACCGCAGACCACATGGTCAGGCCGTGTAGATACTATCTATGTGCAAGGGGGATCTCAGCCGCCGGGGGGTGTATAGTACCAAGTCCAAATTTCATTCCATCACAATCATCCATCATCCATCATCCATCATCCATCGTCCGTCGTCCAAGACATGCGTGCTCTGCTCCAACAAACCACTACCTCCTACTCGGACGCCTTGAACAGCGCCTCGTTCTCCTGCTGGGCCTTGATGAAAGCCTCCTTGAAGGCGTTGGCGTCTGCGCAAGTTGTTAGCCAGGTGGAAGAGCAAGCAATATGGCGAAACACTCACTCTCGCTATTGGCGAAGCGGATAGCAAGGGTCTGAGCCTCAGGCTCGCCCTCGCTAACGTCGGCGGCGGCGTTCCACACCCAACTGCGGTCGGAACCGACGTTGGGAGAGAGCTTCATGTCAGGCACGACTACGTCTGTAAGCACACGTTCAAGGGACCTGCAACCTCATAGACATACCGTAGTGGTTGGCGCAGACCTTGAGTGTCTTGTCCCGGCGCATGACGAGACGGGTCTTGCCGTTCTCCTTGTGCTTCAGTAACCTAACGTCACCAGTGCCCCGCTCCTTCCACTCCCGCGAGTCCCTGTCGAACTTGAACAGCTTGGCGCGCATCTTAAACGTCTGCTCCTCGAGCTCCTCGTTGGTCTTGACGTCGACCTTCTCGGTGAGGTGGACTACGGGCTGGAAGTCGACATCGGGCTCCTCGTTCTCGGGGTTCTCGTCCTGCAGCGGGTCAGTCGCAGACAGTCCAACTGCACCGGATGTGCTTACCTCGCCCTTGGGCTTGGATGCGCCCGAAGGCTCGTCCGCGTCGTCGACCTCGTCCTTCTTCTCCTTCTTGGGCCCACCGCCAAACATGGAAAAAACATTGTCCTTGACGGCCGTGGAGGCGGTCGACGCAGCGTTGGCCACAGTCTCGGTGACGGTGGAGGCAGCAGCAGCAGGCTTGTCCTCGGCGGGCTTTGCGTCGGTGATGTCGGTCGTCACCTTGGCCGTCTCGTCCTTCTGGAGAGTGGCGGAGGGGCTAGCCTGCACCTGCTCGGCGGCGGGGTCAGGTTTGGCGTCGGCCATGGTTGCAGAGAAGATTGAGAGAGTGGATAGACTAGGGATGTGAGGCTGTCGGCGGGCAGCGGTTTGGTGGGTGCTGTGTGTATGGGGCGTGTTGTTGGCCGTAGACCAGAATTTAAACAGAAGTCGCGATTGAGGGGCAGCCAGGTGCGACGGACCATGCACGTGCCACATAGGGCGCCGCACAGGCACCGTGGCGCCTCAAGGGTCTCGGCCGCCTACTGCAGCCTGGGAGAACTCGCTGGGCCTCACGCATCGCGAGCACCCCGATACATTGTGTGAGTGGATGAACAGTCGTCGAACAGCTCCTGTATCGTGATGGGTATCGAATAGTATAATTTCCTCTGCTTTCCTGCCTCGTCATGACATACGCCATTTACTTGGACGACGAAACATGCGCCTGCCACAAATGATCCCCCTTGGTGCTCTTTCCCACGGCAGGTGACAACGGATCCGCATGTCTCGGCGGTGAATGCGCGTAACCTTTGCCCGCCTTCTGGCTCCCTCTATCCACACTGTACTCCGTCTGCACCATGATGGCGCTGAGCGGCAGCCCTCCCATCGCCGGCGCCGTAGCCAGCGGCAGCTGATCCTCATTCGACCCAAACGACCGTGTCACTGAGTTCTCCGATGGAGTCGACGTTGCCGCCCTGTCGTCGAGTGCGCTCTTGCCGCGTAACTCATATCCGTCCAACCGCATGAACTCTTCTTTGTCCGGCTTCCCTACGGTGCTTCGAGTAAAAGTGCTCAGCATGCCCTTGCCTGAGGGGTAGCTCTTCTTCCTGCTGTTGTTGCGCGTGCTCTCTTCGGAGAACGTCGTCGAGGTCTGCGTCCTGGGGAAGAATCGGTTGCGAAGTGAGCCTTCCAGCGAACGCATGGCGGGCATGCAGGCTACGATGACGCCAACGTGGGTTTCGACCGCGGACCAGATGCCAACGGGCAGGTAGTCCCAAGTGACATTTTCCGTGTGTGCGAACTGCACCATGTACTTCAAGCGGAGCATGCTGACAATGGTGACGCTATATGGACATCAGACGGAGGTAGATTGGTTCATGGCAGCGGACTTACAAGCCTCCAACGAGAAACATGAGCATGACTCCAAACCTGCGACGGCGGCTCATGGACAACTTCTTAATCTCTCCCATGGGCAGGATGATCACGAACAGATCGAGAACGATATTCACACCAGCCGACAACCAGGCAATGGCGTTCAAGTTGGTGCATTTTCCATGGTGCTCGCCATCCCATCTAAGCCATGCTTGTTTAACGGGAATGCATTGCAGGGCCGTCGCTGTGACAAATCCGATTATGTACAAAACACAGAGCACAATTGTGACGTAGATGGCGCGGCGAAGGCCCTTGTGGGGAAAGATGCGGAGGTAGAAGAGCAAGATCGATATCTTGGTGAGCGCGATGGCGGTCAGGTAGAGGAGCTCGGTAAAGTAGAAGATCTGGGAACTGTCAACTGCTGCTTTTTAGACTCCAGTTTGCGACAACGTACCTCCAGGATTTTCGTAATGTTGTCGAACGGCACGTACCACATGTCCTTTCCCAGTCCGAGTTCATTCACTGGCTTTGTAAGTTGGTAGTTCGGCTTATTGACGGAAACAAAACTTACGCAAGAATGCGCAAATGGTAAGCGGAACGATGAACAGCTGTACGCTGTCAGTCCTGGTACCCCAACGTACAGAATCTCGCAGTCTTACCATAGAAGCCGTCATAGCCCAGTCGTCAAGCCCCCATTGACCCCCAAGCATCGGCAGCCGCGCAACAACCCTCAGTAAATATACTAGCACAGCTATTACCCCCATGATCAAGCAAGTATGCGTCCCAACCTGTGTCTTGTCGCGGAACGGCGCTCGCAGCAGCTCTTGAAGGAATCGGTTTGCAGCTACTCCAGTCAGTGTACAACCAGGCGACGAGTGACTTGTGACAACATACTGAGCGCCTCTTTGACCATACAGCTAGCCTTAACACACGTCGTCAAATCCGCCAACAGCTTTTCGTTGCCCATGATGCAGGCGAGGTCTGTCAGCTCGCATGATGATGCGTCGATGGTGGAAATTGTGCAGTTCAACTGGCACACAATCAGCCTCTTTTCTTTTCCTATGAATTCGAATGTTCCAACATACCGCGCAGGGTGGCAAGTTCGCAATCGCGGAAGCCAGGACATCTGAGCCACTCTGACTCTGTGCGCAAGACAAACGTGCAACGACGAAAAACAGCACGGTCCAGAAGAATTTCATACTGTAGCTGTGTGTCTCTGCGCCACCCTTTGTATTTTCCCTTCCAGCGCAAGGGTCGACGCTTGCTCACTGACAGCGGCGTATTAAGTTCTCCTCCAGGAAGAATAATAACTACAATCAAGTAGGATACTGCCTTGAGGACAAGGATGAAACAAGCACTCAAACTCTCACACCGGAAAGAGCCCACGTTTTTACAAGACGACAGAGATCCGCACTAGACGCCTCCTCGCTCGGAGCGACATTAGCTTGTTACAACCATCCCGGGTCTCTATACGTTCGCCACCGGGCCAAGTCGGCAGTCGAGCAGTCTAGTAGGCACTCGTGCTGCCGACCCACTGCTTGGATGTACAAGCGCGAGGCTTATAGCTTGCATCCTCAGAGTGTCGGGAACCGAGGGCTCTAGCTGGATGCTGGTTTAGATGGGTATGCATGTTCAGCATGTCTGGATGGGTTTCACGAGGGGGCATGATGCTGGCGATAGAGCTGGCGGAGCAACCTCCGGCAACTGCGCATACCGCAAGATTTCTATCCAAGCCGGGAGATAGACTAGCAAAGGGACACCTACGATATCTTCGATATCCTAGCGATCGACGACTCGAGCCCTTAGCCTTGTGCTACAGGAGAATCCAAACGACATTGTAGTTCGCAGGCGGTCCGTTCATCGGAAGCAGAAACTCCCATCCATCAACGAGTCATTCTCCCTCCGAGTCGCGAGCGAGCGTTGTCCCCCAGGTACTTGTGTCATGTACCTGTAGTACCGAGCCCAAGGTGATAGCGTTAGGCGCGGCATCGGCAACGTTTAATGATCCCCTAGCAACAGTGCCACATGGTCGAAGGGAGGGATGTACCTTCTAGCTTCCGCCGAGACTCCACTATGAATTGAATTCAAGTGCTGCGATGCGCTGTTGACGTGCGTGGGGCCATGCGAGGCTCGGCCACGGATTACTGATGGACCGGACTGAAGGGAGCAGACTTAGTCTAAGGGGGTTCCGCGTGCGCCGTTGGTGCAAGTGCGCAGCAGAAGCCGAACCGGTCGAGAGTCTATGTGAGTACCTTCTCTGTCATGCATGCATCAGCCACCAACCCAAAACCCACATACCTGACCCTCCAGACGGAACCCTCTTCGCATCATCTCGCACCTCGCCTCTCCATGCTTCCTCCAAGCTCTCAAACGCGCAATCCCGTTTCCCTGGTCCAGCACACGCACCCTGATGTCCTCCATCTCCAACGCAGCGGCGTCCACGCTGCAAAGGCTAGCGCCAAGTTTCGGAGCTTAGGAGCAATTTAAGGTTCCCCGCTATCCCATATCGAAGCACACGATCTCACCGCGGTGGATTCTCGAAGCCATCCTAGTCTAGCGCGATACGGCTAGACTTTTCAGAACAGCACCTACAGCGCCCATCGGGAGCTTGGGAGGATTGGCGAAATGCGATCGACGGCTAGGACGGTTTCAGCCGGCCCTTCTAATCTAGGGAACCTAGATCGCAGTCCAGTCTGCATCAGTCGGCCCCTTCGTGGCAAGTTTGTTTTCTCCATGCGAATCTTTGGAATATGAACATGCATTCATGACAACATGGCAAACCAGAGCGCCCACCCGAGGAAAACAACCAGCGGCGAATTTATCTGTCCTCATTTTTCAACAATCACAAGACGAACTGCACAAAGTATAAAATTCTCTCATTGGAAAGTTAAAGTACGGGCTCTGAGCGCCGAGTCAAATCCAACCCAGATCACCAAGCGGAAACACCAATAACCATTCCTGCGCCTTCCTCGTGGTCCCGTGAACTCTGGTATATCATGCATCTGTGGTCTTACCCCCAAGGGCCTAACGCCAAACACCACCCTATGTGAAAAAGAAACCGGGAACGCCAATATATCTAGGACAAGTGCCCTCACTCCTTCCTTCACCAGTCAGCCGCCTCGCATGATCGCGTCTTCTTACCGTCTTTGTCCCGACTGGACAGGCCGACCATCCGCTCGAAGCCACATCGCCAGATATATGCATTGTTCCTCGCCCACAGAGTGCGACGAGATGTGCGAACAGGTGCTGTAGTCTGGCGGAGGCTCAGCCATACTTCATCACCAACCTCGTGCAGTCGACGGTCAACCTGCTGTGTGGCCTCTCGTACTCGTTTCACCACATCGTTTTCAGACCGTTCGACCTTCTCTTTAAACCCATGCGTCTGCTCTGCTATGCGAGCACAAGCCGCTTCAAGTTGTTCTATGACGTTAGAAGAAACACCGAGGAGAACGTCCTGAGCCTTGACGCTTTCACGCTGAAGGCTGCTCCACCACTGCTCTAAGCGGGACTTCTGGTGGCCCAACCTGATGTTGAAGGACTGTTGCATCAGCGGTTTGGAGTGAGTCGCTATGCTAACGTTAAAGGGACCGATTGGGTATTGATCCTCTAGATCCACAATGTAGACGCCGTCCATCGTGCGCTCGTAGCGGATAGGGACATTCTTTGCATCCCGCGACACCTGGATCTGCAGCTGAGGCTTCCGTGTCCGCCCGGTAAATCCTTTGGATGGACGAAGGATGAATTGTTGGTCACCACTCGTCTGGATCTCAAAGCCACCAATCTTGGCAGTCTTTGCGGCTGTCTCTCTTCGACGCAACTCATCTCTCTTCTTCTCTAGCTTCTCCCGCGCCTTTGCAGCTGCCTTCGTGTGCTCATCCTTGTCCGCCCTCTTTCGCGCATCCTGGATAGCCTTCTCCTTTTGAAGCTGAATGGTATCGCGTTGTTTAGCGAAGAAGTCGTCGACCTTGTCCTTGACTGAAAGAGCAGATATGATCGGTGTGCTTATTTGCAAGGTGGGAGTTTCTACCTCGTAGCGGGTTATCGTAGTACGGACTGAAGTGAGTGGCGGCTGCGCGACTGCGGGTGTAGTCAAACTATTCTTGAGCTGCGGGATCGACACTCCGAGATAAGCAGCTGTGATCAATCCAGTCAAGGCAAACAGAAGCAGGCCCAGCTTCAAGGGAGCATCGGCAGACATCAAAGACTTGAATCCTTGCCGGACGAAGCCCGGAATCAGGCTCGCAGGATTCCACAAACTGACCTCGCGGCGACGGGTAGTCTGTCGTGGGTCCTGTGAACCAGGACTGATAGCGGCAAGATGACGGTTGAGGTCCGAGGGCTCCAGGTGCATAAATGTGTAGACATCTACTGGGAGCCAGTCGATTTGCCTGAAGTCTGAGTCGGTCTTGCCCTCCACACACACTCGCAAGGCCACATTTTCTGTATTCCTCTTGAATCCTGGGTGCTCCTCGTTGAACCTTCGATGGTCAGTGATATCTAGAGTAGGAATGCCGCTCTCCCTGCAAGCGAGGCGAGCGTCGAGGTACTGTGCTTCGGTCAGGGGCGCGGAGCTTGTCTGAGGATAACAGAAGATGGCCAAGTCGGGCAGGGTGTCATTCTTGCGGCCGTGGCTGACTACAAGGTCCGCTCCATCACTGCTTTCAAGCTTGAAGATGGTACGCTTGGGTATGCCTGTCTTGGACTGCACTTCAACGCCTGTGCAATGAGCTGCGTGTAGAACTGGGCTGTATGGTTCCACTTGGCCGCGCACCATGATGGACTTAGAGGAACCGGGCGAGGCGAGGAGAGCATTGAGAATGCTAGTCTTGATACCTTCTTCACTCCAGGTGTCCAGTTGGCCGACGAACAAGACCCTGAAAGAACCACGTTCGGGATAGAAACGATTGGCGAGGAAGATAGCAACGGAGAGGCGAATGTCGGTGCAGCCGTACGGCTCTAGCACCTTGGAGGTACTCTGCTCCGGAGTGAACTCCTTGACGACACTGTAGCCCTCGGTCAAAGCAAGACCTTTCAGAGGCCGCTCGTCCAGGCTGAAGTGGAAGGAGCCCTCACTGTCGCCCAGACCGGGCCGCTCAGTGAGGGTGCTGTCCTCGCCGGCGGCTATGACCTCGGTGTCGAGAGGATCGGGTCCGGTAGACTCAGCGAGCTGGGAAGCCTCGCCGTTGTGGTAGTCGGCGAAGTCGTCTTCGCCCTCGCTCTCAGTCTCGGAGAGTGTCACAGATATGTCATCGGGGGAAGTCGAGGCGACCGATGCCGTATGACCATCGTCGTCGGAAAGGTAGCCTGGGCGGTCCAGCACCTCGTACGTGCTGTCCTCGAGAGAGGTCGCATCTTGGGCGGAGTGTGCGTTCGAATGCATGATCAGCGTGTTGAGGTCGAGCTGGGCTAGCGACCGGTCGACCCGAATGGGCGGATATTCGAGTTCCTGAGCAGCGTCAGGCCTGTCGGAGGTCATGTCAGCGCTGCACCATCTATGAGAGTGTGAAGAGCAGCCGGCGAAGGTGGGCGGCGGCGACAGCCGTTCAGGTGTGAAACAAACAGGGCCGGGCGTGGATGGTCAGGCCGGGCGGTGCCTAACGACCAACGCGTGGATGGGGAGAGCTAACCGCGGGGGAATGGAACGGCGGGGCACCTACGCGCGCTCGGCCACTATTGCTGCGTGGTTGAGCAGGACACGTCCATGCGAGACTGTGCTCGTGTGCTGTTTCGTTCAGTGTCAGTTGCAGTCAAAGGGCAAGCGAACGGGCGGCTAGAGACGTAATGAAGCTGTCGGGGCAGGCGGGGTGTAGGCTGCAGCGGCGCGGGGGTTTCCCTTACGAGCGGCCGCTAGGATCCACATGCCCTATCAGCAACGCGATAGTACCGTGGAAGGAAGTCACGCAGCCACCAACCAGCCCGCCTTTCATTTGGCTGGTCGCAAATGGCCGGTCTCGGAATCTGTCGAACAATGAAGCAGGCACAAACAACTTCAAGAGCAGAAAGCAGCAAACCGGTTGAAGACCATCAAGTGTACAATTACGCTATCCATGCCGATGCTGATGCTGGTGCTTCTGCCGTCATCCGTTGCGTAAACCTGTAGTACAAAGCGTTCAAACAAATATACACAAAAGCATATCCATCCTCATTCCTCATGGCTCATTTAGACATGATCTCCTCCCAAAGCAGACCTTCCGGAAACCCCGTTGCACCTCATAGCAGCAGCGCTGCATCCTCTATGGTATCATCCCTCATGAAAACGTATCAGACTGATCCGGGCGGTGTTGCCCACCCGCCAGCCACCTCGACCCACTCTGCAAGACACGAGCCTTGTTTGCCCTCTACGTCGATGATATCTGTGTCGCAGCGACACCGGCAACCGACGCCGTTCTCCCTCACCGGATCGTAGTGTGCCCAATACTCGTCTTCTTCGCGCCGAGCCTTCTCGTCCATCGTCGTTTTCTCGAGATACGGCGTTCTGGGTAGCTGCCGGGCTGGTGCGTTCGCCGGACAATGCTGGATTGTGGTGTGCCTGTAACCAAAGTCTCGGAAGTAGTGGAGGTCTTTCGGGCCAAGTAATGCTCCAGCGGCCAGCGAATGGATTGGTGCGTCTCCCCATCGCTCGTTCCAGAAGCCACCGCTGCGGTCTATCATCTCAAAGAAGTCGTTGTATTCCTTGCTGCGGAAGAAGTCCAATCGAGCAATCTCAAAGTTGCTCCAGAAGTGGCACATGTTATACGTTTCGCCTTCCATTGCTTCGGGTTCGATATCTGGGAGTGTATTGTAATCAAGCTCTGCAGCAAGGACCTCCCGTGGCAGGGGCTTTTGGTTCTTATCTTTCTTTGCATCCTCCTTCTCTTTGAGCACCCTCTCCTTTCGCTCCTCCGGCTTTTCTACAAACATTTCCCACAGGCCTCGCGATTTGAGATTGTGTTTCCTCCTGTAGGCGGAAGCGTATCGGAAAAGGTTGGGTACTGTCTCTCTCAGCTCTTTTATAGCAATGGTGAAACCGTACGTCTTGTTGTTCCGGATCATGTGCTGGAACGGGTCGTAGGTAATGTCGCAGAAGTACTTGATCTCTGGCTCCAACCGCCAGTACCATTCGTACTTTTGAAGCAGCTCGTGCTTATAGAAGAAACTGGCTTGCCATTAGCATTAGAAGCCCGCATCCGGATAGCCATCTTACCCTGAGTAGAAACGGCACATTTTGTGATAGCTCTCCTCTCCGCCATACATGACGGCAGCGTCACCTTGCTTCTGAATACCCTCCTTCGCGACCGCAGCATCGACCCAGTCTGGGAACCCCCACATCTCGGGACTGATCTTGCCCCACTCTACTTTCGCACTGGCGTGCTTCTCTACGGCCTCTCTGAATGTCTCGTTGAAGTCCCCATCGTTCAAAAAGACGTATGGATAGTGGAACCAACGATTGAAATGCCGCTCAATGGACTTGACCGATTGTATTACGCCTTCCAAGTCTTGGTTTCTCGCCAGCACAACGAATGCAGCGTTCGCGCGCGGTGCGTTAATTTGGGGTTCGAGGCAGCCTATTGCGAATGGTTTGTCGTATTTGTCGCTTATCTTCCTGGCGAAATATCAGCATAGTCGCGTTTAGATCCCGAGATGAGACGTGCCGTATTGACGGAGGCGTCCCTGCGCCAGGCATTGTGTTGACACTGTCGATATCAGGAGACTGTGCGAAGAGAAGTAGTATCAATATCACCACCAGGACTGGGAACAGCAGGACTATGCCAAGCGGCACTGAAAACGACGATCCCCCTTTGAGCTGTATGCGTCGTTGTAAGAAGCCTGTTTGGGGCGTCATCTTCTTCGGAGGGCGCAGGCGACTGTCAGATCTGTCTTGATCGCGTTTTGGTGAGGCCAGCTTCTGTGCAACATCTCGATCTCGCAGTGTGCTCATTGTGCCCCGACAAACACTCCGAAGCGCCTACAATGCCTCGCGCTGTCTCGTATCGCCCTGTAATGTTCTTGAGTCGCGGCACTCGGCGATAGTGCGATTGTTCCACGGCCCTTGGACGGTCTCGGGCTGGAAGGAGCTCCGGCTACGAGAAGCGCGTTTGTATCAGGGGCACAAGTACAGACGGGCGGTCGGGCAGGAACCGGGATAGTGGGAGCGCGCGTGGTTTTGAGTATTGAGGTGGATTCTGCACGCGACAGCGAAGACGAATTGTTCGGGGCGAGGAATTGCAGCGTCAACTTGCGCGGCGGGACTGTTTGCGTGTCAATTTCACTAGTCGGGAAAGCTTTGACAAGGGAAAGCAGGAGGAGACGGGCGGCTTCCGCGTCGAGTGAGCTACATCGCACTGCGACCACGGCCTACCCGCGCTTATGGAATTTGCGACGTATGCCAACCAGCATCGCAGCGCTGTAGGCAACATTGGAAGATCAACGCGGCAGCCACTATCACCCGAAAGGGGTAAAGAGTAAACATCGCGTCACTGACGGAGTTAACACCGCCAAGAGATCTACGCCCGCTTCCCGCACCTGCGCAAGCGCCCCACGCTGGCGGCGGCTTTTCGAACCAACCATCGCACCTTGATCGAACAGCATCAGACCTGCGCAGCCAGCACAGTGCCTGGGCCTCTAATTCCCACTTGATATCTCAGCGCTCACAATCCCGGAGCATCTCCCTTGGCTATTTTGACTGGCCAGTCTAAGCGCATCTCCTCGTCGACTACACTTTGCAGTACATTCGTTGTCATGAGTTTCAAGGCGAAGGACCTTCACTACAGTATGTGGGAACTAATCTAGAACTGATGGGCAGAGCTGATAAGAACTGCAGATGATAAGCAGCCCGCCTTTCTGCGGCGGCTGCGAGGTGAACTAGCCGGTGACGGCTCGGGGCGACATGAGCAGCCAGTTCCGAGAAACAAGCGATTGAAAAAGGACGACGATGAAGACGATGCGCCTACATATGTGCTGGAAGAAACGAATCAGTCAATGACGAAAGCCGAGTATGAGGCCATGGTAGCCGGTAAAGACGCCGAAAAGACTGAGGATGCGACCAACAGCGACAGTGAAGCTACGAAAGACCCAGCAGCAATACAGCCCAAGGACAACATAGTTGAAGTTGGTAAAGCCACAAAAAAGCGGAAGGTAGCGAAAGTTATTGCTGAGGAGAAGGACGTTGAGGCCAAGGAGCCAATTGAGGCGGAAAAGAAGGTGGTGAAGAAGGCCAAGAAGAAAGGGAAGCCTGTCAAGCTATCCTTTGGGGACGAGGAGGGCGCCTGAAGGTCCACCTGGATCGGACTTAGCAATGATGTGTGTACGCAAGGACGAAACAACTCCTACGGCCTTTGGCTCCGATGACCACCGTATCATTGCCTCCACGCTTCGGTGGCTACAGAGGTTCCAGCTGAGCTGTCCCTCGAGGCTTGATTGGCAACACACGAACTGAACGGCGACTTATCTATTGCGAGTACAAATGTGTAGGCCGCGGTACGTGTGAGTGTCGGAAGCTCGGAAGAAGTGTCGGAACGACTAGCGCCGCGCTAGCGCTGGGCAAGCTCCCGAAGTTTCGAGGCATGAAACTACAATTGCCAGGTGTTGCACTCGCTACACAATATTATATTGGCCTGCGCATTGTGTCTATTGAACGCCAGCACCATCACTCGTGATATATACTGCCTGCCTCACGCACGGCAAAGCCTCTGCGCTGCAAACCTGCTGCACACACCTCAACTCTCGAACTCATGATGGCGTTTAACCTCGACGAAATCGATCAGCACATGGCGAATCTCCGCTCTACACTGCGTCTCTTCAGCGAGGCGCTCGAACGTACCGATCATAACTCGCCCGACTGGCTTGCGACCGACCTGCTGTCTCTGCGCAATCAGACTGGCAGGTTGACAGACGGCATGCAGAAGTTCGCGGATCAGCTGCAGGCAGAGGGTCTCGCGGAGAGGAAACCACAGGCACCGGCCTCGAACAAGCGTGCACGCCTCAGCCTCGAAGGTGCAAAGCGCCCGACGCCTTCCTCCACGCCGGCGCCTTCGTCACCACAAGTTCCGAAGTCTGCGGCACCTCCGCCAACGCAACCCCAACCCCAGTTCCAGCCTACAAGTCCCCGCGAAGAGTACGAAGTCCAGCGGGTCGATGTTACAGAAGAGGTCAACCGCCGCCTGCGCGAGGCCCGGCTACGCCGGCTCGTGGACTCGCCTAGTACATCGCAGAAGCGCAAGTTCGACGCCTACGAGAGTATGGAAACCTGGGGCGAGACTGACGACAGTACGGAGCAGCAAGAAGACGATGCCATGGGACGGAGTCCGTTTAAGAGGATCCGGGCCAGTGGGACGTTCGAGCCGATTGCGAGCGTGATGAAGAGGAAAGAGGGCAGCATCGCTGTGGGTTTCACCGACATGGAGAAGGAGGAGCGGGTACATGTGAAGAGGCGCAAACGTTGAGCGCAGCAGACACTGAGTCCTGACATTCTAATTCGAGGGTTTACCAAGCTCATTTGCGCCGCCAGCAATGCAGTCACGAGACTCCTTTGTTGCTTGCAATTGTTCTGCATACGACATCGCCAATGGGGGATACGAGTGAGCGGCATGCTTCTCACACCGAAGGCATATAAGCCGATTGTAAGTTTTGTGGTGATCGGATGAAGATACCCAAGTACGTCCAAGGCATCTTTGAAGATGCTGCCAGCGTGAGGCAGGACTACACATTCAAGATCAGCATTTTGGAGTCAATTTACATATTACATTGACAGATTCTTGCCTCGACCGTGTCGCTTGACCATGTATCTGTTTGGACTACGTCAAAGACGACTCCCACCACCAACCCAATGCATCCCAAACGCCAGTAGATGCTGCATCTCTACCCTAGTCCTACACCAAAATAATCATACAGCCATCCGCAACCGCACCATCACTCTTTCTTCTCTCCCTCAGCCTTCCCATCCTCCCCCTTCTTCTTATCCCAATTCCACACCTCCCAAATCTGCTCCAAAATAAGATCCGTATAACTCTTCCCCTCCTCAAGCGCCTTTCGCTCTTCCTCCAGCCTCCTCTGTTTCCACCCCTCCTCCTCCCCGCCCATCCAAATCTTTCCCAGAAGACCCTTCTTCTCCTTCTCCCTCTCCTTGCCCAACCCCTCCAACCCCTCCCGCCTCGCGCGCTCAGCTTCTTCCCGCTCCTTCAATATCCGGCTTGTTTCGCGCGCCTTGTCAGTGGGGAGCGAGCTGACCGGGTTGCGGAAGGAGGGCGTCATGAGGGAGAGCAGGGAACGTCCTTTGTACGACTCTGCGAGGTGGTCGGCAGAGAGGTAGAAGCCGATGGCGAGGGAGAAGGTGTATAGGTCGAGTTTGCGCGGGGGCAGCAGCGCGATTGTGGGGCAGATGAGGACGCCGCCGATGGCGATGTTGCGTTTGTAGCGGTTGTAGCGTTCTTGCTGCTCGAGAGCGATGCGCTGGTCGGGCGTGAGGATGCCGGTGGGGGCGTTGGGGGTTGCCATTGTGGGTGTAAGCATGCGCGGGCGATGCGAGAGTCTTGATTGGGGAGTAAAGCGGTGTGTGGGACGTTGCGCGTGGAGGAAGTTTTTGCGGCGAGAGGTTTGGAGATGTTCATGATGCAAAAGACCATTGACGCGCTTATTTTGGCGCTCGGCTAGATGCTGGCTGGGATGCTGCCGGGGCGGCTAGCTTCATCTGCGTTCGGAGCTGTTTGGTGTGACGACACGATACTGCAACACCATTGGGACATTTGAAAATCACCATTGAATCAAGATACACCAGTTTCTCTGCTTGGATGACTACCTCCACGCCTTCAGAGCCCCAAGACTCCCCCATTCACCAATCCTCCTCCACCCAAGCCCGCCTCCACCAACAGTCCTCCATCATGCTCCGCGAGCAGCCGAAAGAAGTTGACCTCCTGATCCTCGGCGCAGGCTGGACAGCCACCTTCCTTATCCCGCTCCTCGAGACAGAAAAAATCCCCTACGCAGCCACCACAACCACTGGACGAGACAGCACCATACCTTTCAAATTCAACCCAGACTCCGGCTCCGCAGAGCCCTACAAGACGCTCCCAAAAGCCAAGACCATCCTCATCACCTTCCCGCTCACCGGGAAAGGCCCCTCGAAAGTGCTCACCGGGCTCTACCGCTCCGTCCACGGCGCAAAAAACCACTGGATCCAGCTTGGCCACACGGGGATATTCAATCAGCTGCCGGACTCGTACTCGGACGACGACTCGCCGTACGACAAGAGCAACGAGCGCGCCATCGCCGAGGACGAGCTGAGGCAGCTGGGCGGCACGGCGCTGAATCTCTCTGGCTTGTACGGCGGCTCGCGCGTCCCCCGGTCATGGCTTCCGCGGCTCGGGCAGAGCAAGGACGATGTGCGCAAGCGTGGCGCCGTGCACTTCATCCACGGCGAGGACGTCGCGAGAGCGATCGTCGCGAGCCACAGACACCCTACCCCGGGGAAGCGGTGGATCTTGGCGGACCTGAGGGTGTACGATTGGTATGATTTGATCATGAGCTTCAGTGCTATGGCGGAGGGGGAGGAAAGCGCGCAGGAAGAGGAGACGAGGCAGCAGTTTGCGAAGTGGGTGGGCGAGCTGATGCTGGAGGAGGATGTGAGGGCGCTGCCAAGGGAGATGGATAAGCTGGGGCGCAAGTTGGATTCGAGGGGGTTCTGGAAGGAGCATGGGATTTGGCCGCGGCATCAGAGGTTGGGTTAGGCGAGGCGGCTTGTTGCGAGATGAGTGCATTGGAAAAGAAAGAAAGGTAGCACACTGTTGCCGTTCTCACACAGTTCGGCGTATCGACGCTCTCTTCTACTATGGCTAATGCGTCAATGTCACGTTGCAGTACAAAACAGGATAAAACTAATGACTCGATATGCATAATCAGATAGTCTATCAAACCACGCCTTGCTCTAATTACTAACTCAACCTTTCTCTACGACCGTGAAAAACAAGGGGCGGTAGAGACCGCGAATGTACGACTCTGCGAGCCACCTCGGGATGTCTGACGAGCGAACAGACTGACATCAGATATCGCGGTGCGTTGGGGTGTAGTCTGGGTTCGTACCAGTGGAAGTTCATGTCGGACCGCTAGTACGGGTCAGGAAAAGATTTGAGCGGTTACTAGTGATGGTGGGCCAGCAGGGAAATTTTTGGGTTGACGGAATGATGTGGAACGTGAGAGTGCTGTGCGCAAGATTGAAATGGGCCATGTGCGTGCGCGTCAAAGGGAGGGCATTTGCGTCGTCGCTGGGCTGATTGTAGAAAGTTTGGACTCAGTCAATTCCCTCATCCCCTCCTGATCAACCTTCCTAATGCCCCCAACCTGCTCGTTGTACCGTACAAAATACAAAAACCTCCGCTGTTATCCGTCGCGTGCCCAATACGTTCCTGACCCGTACCGCCGGTCTACTCTTAATCCGTACCACCGGGACGAGCCTGAGGCACACCCACAACATCATTACGCGCCACGAAATTCTGAACGAGCTTTCCATATAGGAAATTCCACTGAGGGTCATCGCATCAATGTAATCTATGGTCTGTCTGTACCACTGCTTTTCTTACTGTGTTTGCAGATTATGCGAACTGGACAAGCCCCGCTCCACGAGCCTACAAGATGAACGAAATCCATGGACAGTCGCCGACCACAGCCACATTCCCATGGTTGCGTATCCTACTGCCCAAGTCTATCCAGGCTTCGGTACGTGGAGGGCTGTGCACTGATTTGTACCGTCCAGTTTCAACGATAGCCATTGAACGATGCGGTGCCTTCACTTCACCGCGAGACACCCGCCCAATGGCATCGTGCACCCCTCTCCGGGATGTGGATCCCTGGTAGCTCGAGTCTCACAAATTTGGGTGAGCAGATGGCCGTGCAATGATCCGCACCGTCCAGATCTCACGGTGACCGCGGAGCGATGCGGTACCATCGGTTCCTGATATGACCCTCTCGTCAAAGGCGCTCGTGACATCTTTTGTGTGCTGTTATGCAACTGCTTGAATTCATCGAGGCTTGGGTGAGCAGATTACTGTACACTGATCCACACCGCCCCCACCTCACGATAGCCGTTGGGAAGTGACTAGGCAGCGCCATCGGTCCCCAGTGAGATCTCCCGCCCAATAGCTCACGCGATGTCCTCTTCAGCGAGTGGATTTACGTCGCTCGATTCCACCCAAGGTCTAGTACGCAGAGGGCTGTGTACTGATCCGTACCGTCCAAACCTGACGATGGCCGTTCTAGTCACTTCCCAACTGTCCTCCCAACGGCTATCGTGATATGCCTTTCCTAGTTTCAACGGTTCCGTTGAGACTGCAGTCTGCTTCTTCGTGTATAAGAGGTCCTTCGTCGTTGCGAGTTTTCGATCTTCATCCATCGTCAGTACAGCATACTCGGATACCACTTTCAAGTACGCTTTCCAAGCTCTTCACCAACCACCAAGCTTCACCGCGACCACCACCATTTTACCAGCAAGACTATTCCGGCCACCAGCTTAGCAGCAACACACTCCCGACTTTAGACGTCGCCACTGTAAGTCCTGCTCGCATCGAAGCCAAAGTCCACTCCGGACTCACATCCTCAGCCCATCGCCTCCTCGAGCACTCTGGACACGAAGTCTAAAGCAGAACATCCTTCGAGTCATCCCAGGGCCTACCACCTACGCCTTACCTCCTCATCAAAATGGCTTACTACGTCCCTATCATCCGCACCGGCCGCATCGGCACGGTGCTTGTTAGCTTTCCCCACGGCACCGTTAGCTGCCGCATCGAGATCACCTCGTGCCATGTGGACGTCCACACTCGCACTCTAGCGGGTCAACTCACCAGCCCAAGTCCCCCGACTATCATCCAGTGCATGGATGACGGTGGCCTGGCTCCCAGCATAGGCGATTTCGACTTCGTCTCTGGCACCTACCAGGGGACGAATGGATTTACCCTGGGCATGCCGTTGTGGTACGCCCCACAGCCCGCGGCCCACCCAATGCCCATGATCAGGTATCTCCAACACGAAAATTCGGTCATTTCTGATGCTCAAACAAGGGCAGCTCACGACCCGGCTGTCCCTCATCAACAGTCGCCTACCGCGCCTTCCATTGGCACGAGCGTTAATCTGCCCATTGTCGTGGACGACAATAATGGCGCAAGCGCTCGTTTGCCCATCATCGTCGAGAGCAATGATGATGGTGCGCAGGATCACATTCCGGCATCAGAAGAAGCTACTGCGGAGCCTCTTCCGCCCTCTCACCTCCGAGAGACGCTAGTCCACTTGAAGAAATATGTCTTTGGTAAGGCTCACCAACGAGATTGGCTTGAGTCCTTCAAGACTGGTTCCTGCAGACAGCGGGAAGAGTATTGCCGTCTGTTTTGGCCGTCGATTGAGCAGGCGGAAGTGGACCTTGACTGGGTCTCAAAACACTTCGGTAATTTCACTGAGGCGTATATCGAGCGCCTGGCTGTTGAAGGCAGGAAGAGGAAGGAGGAGCTTGACTGGGAGAAAGAAGGTGAAGATATTGCGACGAGTTGGGAGCAGAGAAGAAACGAGCAGAGTGACCAGGCGAAGAGGGACAAAGAGCTTAGGGATAAGGCTACTAAAAGGCAGGTCGAACTTAAAGAGCAAAGGCGAATTCGCCTAGAGAAGAAAGAGAAGCGCGACGCTGCAAAACGCGCTGCTGATGAAGCAAAGAAGAAGAAAGCCGAGGAGGAGAAAGCTACAAAGGCGGCTGAAAGAGAAAGGCAAAGGCTCGCTGCCGCCACAGAGGAGCAGAGGGTAAGAAATGAAGAGAACGTGAGAAAAGCCGAAGAGAGGAAGGCACACCGCGCAGCCGCTCCTTCCAGGAAGAGAAAAGCAGCGACCGCGCCTGCCGAGCCTGCGAAGAAGCGCAAGACAGATGCGCTACCGCCAACGCCTCCCACCTCACAATGCGAGGAGACGCCTAGTGTTGACGAACTTAAAGCCAGTATCATGGCGGAGTTCGATACTGAGGTTGATGATGATAATGATGGCCTTTGTGCAGCTATCATGGCCGCTCATGAGAGCGAGCCACTAGCAGAATCGGAGGAATCGGATGCTGACGACGACGAGATCGCTGCTGTCTTCGCGACGCAGGCAGCAGAACCGGCTTCAGAGTCACCTGCTCGGGCTAGTTTGCCCCAGGAGCAGCACACAGCTCCTCCAACACCACCGGCTCAAACACCTGAGCCTGAAGAGGAATACGAGAGCGAGGACGGCGCTAATAGCCTCTTTGATGGAAGTGATGATGAGGCGCGTGAGGATGAGAATGAGAGTGAGGAAGAGGAGGTGGTGAAAGCGGCGCGGAAGGTCCTTTCGCCTCGTGAAATCAAGCTTACCGAGGTTGAGGCGGAGGTTGAGCATGCGAAAGAGCAGACAAAGGTTTCGCGCAATAAATTCTTCAAAAGAAGAGTACACGAGCGCATCGATAGGCTGAGGAAGGAGAGGGAGCAGTACTTGTAGTTGGGGTTTCAGTCTCGCTTCATTGCCAGTACTCTTGATAATTGCCTCACTTGATTCTGACGGGCCTTCCACTGTCTACTGTGCCAACGTAATGCTATCCGGTGCACATCGTCCCGTCGCAAGTCGCTGTAAAGGCTGTCGAGTCCTTTCTCGCTGTGCTCGCAAATTCCACGCGTAGTGTTCGCGCCGTTCCACCCTGGCCAATCAGCGCCCCCACCACCGCGATTGCGCCATTCGCTAGCCCGAAATCTTTCTGCACGATGCATTTTCTGGAACTCTGATTCAGTTCACTTTCATAGCCAACTGAGTTCAGCCATGGTACGTCATGATGGATGTGTAGCTTGAACGTGGCGTTGATGCTTGGAGCAGGTTCACGCAGACTCGTCGCATTTTGCAAGTGGCATGAGCAAGGCAGAGGTGTACGCGCAGGTGCTGGAGCAGGCCACGGCGCTGTTTGACGGGCAGAGAAACTGGGTACGTGGGACTTGGACTTTGTTCCGATGTAGGGTAGTGAAATCATACTAACTTACGTTTAGGTCTGGTATGATGATCCTTGCCCTCGCACGCCTGCTTAGCGTTATGGTAACAAGACATCACTAACCCGCTCTTCTACAGCAACTTCTCGAACGCTGCCGCGCTCCTCTGGCATGCATATCATTCTCTCCCTGCCCCATCGTCCGCAGTAAACTGGTCCGGGTTCTACTTCACAGATCCGTCGAATCCGCGCCAACTCATCCTTGGGCCCTTCCAAGGCCAAGTCGCGTGCCAGGCCATTGCTTTTGGCCGAGGCGTATGCGGAGCAGCTGCTGAGACCAAAGTCACGCAGTTAGTTGAGGATGTGGACAAGTTCCCAGGGCACATTGCGTGTGACGGAGCGAGTAAAAGCGAGGTTGTCGTGCCCATTGTCAAAGATGGAAAGGTAACGAAGGCTCCGCCAGATGCTTTTTGAAACGGGCAATTACTTGGAGCAATGCTAACGAAAGAACAGACCGTCGCCATTATCGACGTCGATTGTGCAGAGCTGAATGGTTTCAATGACGAGGATCAGGTTGCATTGGAGGAGTTGGCCCGGTTGTTGGCAGAGTCTTGTGATTTTTGATATACCCAAAGAGTAGTGCTGTCGCATGCCCGAAGACGACAGTATGAATGAATGCCGGAATGGCGTTATGCAATCATTCTTTTAAGGACGCGTGCCTCCATCCGCAATACCAAGCCGTGACCAAAGGCACCGTTGAGCCGCGCTAAGCCTAACGGCCCCATGACGCCTTGTGAAATGCATGTAGCAATGTAACGAGATTTGGGTATCGTAGGCTCCTCCATGATGGACCGGCAGACAACCTGGTAGTGCGCGCACTTGTGGCGTCGAGGCACAGGCACCCACAGGTTGCCCAGTTCTACGTCTTAGCCTGGTCCGATCTTCGGCATGTCGTGATGTTCGCTCAGTCCGCTGAGGTATTTGTTCAGCTCCTCCACCTTCTCCTTGTGCGTCTTCACGCCCTCCTTCTTCAGCCGGTCCTCCAATCGCTTTCGGCGCATCTCGTCGTGTCGCTTCTCTGCCTCAGTCTTCTTCCGGCCGCCGTCTTCTTTGATAGCCTTTTCGGCTGTGTCTGGTGATATCGAGCGACGCGGCGTATGCGAGGGTGACTTGGAGCGCGCCTTGACCCGGGTTGACGCTTCGGCGCTGGCATCGGCTGGCTTTGACTTCTTCTTTTTCTTCCTTTTATCGACGCCGCCGCCTTTGAGCTTCAAAGCGCCGCCGGCGGCTGAAGTATAGTCGGACGACGGCATGGTGCGCCGTGGGAGTGCGTTGAGATTCGGCGGTCCGAGACTGGACAACTTTGAAGCTCCGCTCGGCGCGCAAAAGCAGCCGTGTTCGGCAGACCGGGCACGTGACGCGAGGTCGGTAGCTCTTCCAGCAGCGTTTTGGCCAGCGTTCCAAGGCACCCGAGTCCTTCACAAAATACAATGAAGCCCCACATGTTTGGAGGGTTGCATGTTATTGCAACAGAGGTTCTCCAGGGACACCGACAACCAGTCGTTGCGACTTCAATCCTGATATCATGAGCCTCCTGTCACTCCCAGCGGACTGCACATATACTCCTTCCCACTTCCCCCTAATCCGCCATCTTATCCATACAATATCTATGCAGGTTTCGTATACTCGTGCAAAACAATCTGCTACGCATTGGAGCCCGAGATCCTCAAGCGCGTGAGCCCCCTCCTCCGCTTTATACAAGCCCGATGTCGCGGTGTATACGGTGACACAGACATGCAATATAACGAACCGACATGTATGAAAGCGCTTCGAAGTGTGGAGGTGAGCGGACTTGCAGCAATTCGATACAGTTCTGCTAAGTAATTCTTGTACTTCATTCGCCCCATCCAGCTGGGCCTGTTCGGTCGCGACGACCCTTTTCTGGCCATCCTCTACCTGCACTTCTCCTCGCTCACCATCACCTCTACTCCCCCGATTCGCGATAGTCAGTCGCCCAGTGGAGGTCCACATATGAAAAACACATTCCGCCTGTTTCGAGGATGAAAGACATGATCTCCGCAGAAGACAACGTGACGCACGTGAAATACACATGGATACATGATCCACAGCGGTGCAGGCGCGGCTGGGCACAAGATATGCAAGAGAAGTCGGGGACATGGAAGGTGCAGTTTACATGCGAGGATGGCCCCGAAGATAATGCAGAACTGCTCAACCAGGAGGACACGGAGCAGTTCGGGCAATGTAATCTCTATTGGTAAGATTGACCCCTCAAAATTGGAACCGTAATCGAGAAAAGTGAGAATTGAAATTGCCTGAACTCTATTAGGGACGGAAAACATCTCTTTGGTTCCAGTGGTGGATCTCGTAGAAGCGCACAGTGCGGCGTGAGAAGAGCAAGAAAGATAAGCCACAATCCCAGAGCCCCAAATATGATCACCTCTGTCTACCTGGTTGTCGTAGCACGGTAGGTTCCGTCTGCCTGCAGTTTCTGCCACCTGCTTAGTTCCTCGAAGGCGCACCATATTCGACCTCCGTTCGCGCGCGTCCCCTACTGTGTAAACATCATTCGAGGCCATCTTTGCATAAAACATCCCTTCAGTTGTACTGTCTCAGCGTCATCCAGCTCGTTGAAAACTCACGATGCCAAGTTCAGCTCCAAGTTACGTAAAGTGGAGCATCCTCAAATAAATTTCCCTCGCGCGACGGTGGAGCACTGGCTCCAGCTTCCCCAGACTTTCGGACGTGCGAGGAAACCCCAATTACGTACAAAGCTTCTTCTCACGTTTGGACGCGTACGTTTTGCGGGGTGAGCACCGTCTGTCGTGTCCATCGCATCTCTCAGCGACGCCAGAGGTGAAGATTCTTCATCGGGAAGAAATCCTGAACAGCATCACATCTTGGCAACGACCAAGCCAATTACTTTGAGATAACACTCATTGGCCAGCAAACACGCGACCCTTCTTAGGTATGTACCACTGCGTATCCCTCGCTTCCTAAACGAATCTTCCTCACCACACGCCTGGGAATCAGTCACGGCGTGCGCCTCTCGCGCGATTACCCTGCGAAGAAAGTCCTGTATTCTCATAACATGATTTCTATCATAACTTCCAAGCCCCGGGTCCGCGCTCCTACAGCAATCTGCCTATGAATAAAAGGAGCCGTCTCAACAAGGCAGTTGCTCACGAGATGAGCGCTCGAGCTGCGGCCTGCGGAGATTTCTAACGAAGCACTGACGGCGAATGGGCAATCCTCCGGGGTTCGCGACGAGGCTGCGGTGGGAACGTAGGCGAGTCGGCTATCGCGCGCGGGGGTCAGAGGCTGTGGGCATCGTGTGTGTGTCTGGTCTCGTGTGTGCTGAAATCCTAGTGTTGGGGGCGCCGTCTCGGCTGTGGGAACCGGGATTGTGCAAGTTGCACGTGTGAAAGCTGCGCACAGCGCCGGGAGCCTGGGCGGAATGCACAATGTCGAGACACGTTTGTGGCGTGAGAAGTCGCATCGGAAGAGTCTTTGTTAATGGCTCTAGGAGTTGTTTGCGGCGCTGCCCTAATGCGTGGCGGCAACAAGGAGCCGCGGAGGATCAATCTCGTGACGAGTTTTGTTCACAGGGGCCTTCCCACATAACCACGAAAGCTGCCATACTGGCGTGAAGACTTTCCACGTCAGTAATGATACAGCTAGATCACAGTTTCACAAACGCGCAGTAGAGTGGTCGAGTAAGCAGCAACGGTGTCGTTCATGATGCGTACCACTTTGCGATCGTCTGGCTGTTTGGGCCGTATGAGCTGCCACGGCAGAAGTCATGACGCCGGTGAATAATGCATCTCGATTCCCGCAATCGATCTCGAGACCTTGAAAGCATGTTCGACGATCTATATCAGCCCGTGTACACACAGAGAAGTGTCAGTATCTTGACACGTTCGCGCTGCAGGGAAAATGTGTCAATACCTCCAATAGGCAAGACATCGATTCCCACCAGTCGAGCAGGGTTATTCCCACCCAACCATCAACGGGAAGGTCGGCGATGCGCCCAGAAGGCACACGCCAATGTCACTGTCCCTATAAGAGCAAAGGTCGCATATCCCAAGCCACCAATGAATGCTTCAAAAGCCCAAGCGGCGTAGTGCCCGCCTTACATGCCGCCATGGCGAGCTTGGGGAGCGGCCGGTGGGAGGCTGCGGGATGCGAGGTAGCCTGCGAGGGCTGTCCTGGGCGACGATCTCGAGCTTCTGGAACGGGGACGCAGTAATCAACGGGCAACCACTCATAACGAGCCGCAGCGCGGAACGCTTTACATCGAGTGATGAGGCACAGGGCGGCATAAAACATACCCTCCATCAGCGCTGTGGTGTTGTGGTCGAGACCCGCTGAGAAGAGCACCTCAGAGTCCAAGACTCCGTTACGCGGCTTGGCTGGCTCCGTAGCTCTTTTGTGTATCAGTGAGCACGCCTCTCGGAAGCAGAGTTTGTGCAAGCGTCTTGGAGCGAAGCCTTCCGATTCACCATCGAAGAATGTTTCAGGCCCCATCGATTGGTCGACCGTTTGGCCAATCTTGAGACTTGTCGCGTACGTCGGGCTTCCCGTTCCTTAGGCTGCAGCCCCGGCGCCTCATGCGTCGGATGGCGCTTGCGCCAGAGAACCGTGACACGAACGCCCGGGTGCGAGGCTGTCAACTGCAGACGAAGAACCCATGCGAGCGGAGGTACAGACCCCTCGTAGAAGGTCGTCTAGCGTACCAGCTCACCCAACGCCGATTACAAGAGACCACACTATGAAAAGGCCCGAAAAGGCAACAATGGCGTAAGGTTCTAATTCGCACGTAAGATGAGCAGTATTGTCTTGGTGTTGTTCGTATGGTTTCGCGACACCCCAGATTGGCAGGTGGGTGTTCAGACACGAGAATGGCGGAGGTCAGGACATGGGTCGACCGGGGCACCCTGTCGGTCAGCGTCAAGTGATGAGCCTGTGAGCCTCGAGTAGCACACAGTGGGATCCTGAAATGGTTGTCACCTGTTCGCAGCGCCCGCTCATTCTCATCCGCGCGCAAGTTGTCGAAACATCGTGCACCCCGAAGTGGATCTCATAAATGGCGCATTCCAAAACCACGCGTCCGGTACAGACAAAGCAGGCCTGCCGATGCAATTACTGTCTGGTATTGATAGCGCTACAGACAGTTTTCTGGAAAGGTGCCTCTTTAGGGCAGCGCCCCGAGAAATCCACCAACGAAGGAGCCGCCGCGCCGCCAACTAACTTAGCCTCGTGCCCGCCCGCTCAAGAAATTGCCCAGTCGCCCGCCGTTATCTTCGTCGAGGCTTGAGCATGAAGCCAATTCGCACCGCAGACAATCATTGACAATCCCTATGACAATCCAGAAGTTATAATCAGAAGACAGAAACACGGGTCTCTGTGTTTGGAGGCAGATAGTGGCAGAAACATCGTGATCTGGATTTGAGGCAACCCAACGCGTGCGCGGCGATGCGAAAACACCCCACGAGTGCATGCTGGGTAACCGTAAGATCGCTTGCCGTCTGCCTGGGGTTTGGATGTCTGTCGTGCTCCTCCTCCTTCCGGACTGGCTCGCGTTATCAATCCCTACTATGTTGAGTTTAGGCACTCGAGAGCTGAGTGGCTAGCCTGCCCAATTCAGGGAGATTTGCCGCAGTTGCAGATACCACCATCCATCCAGACCGTACGAGATGCTCTTAGATCCCCGGCCACCAAGTCCGCGTGGCCAAGCGCCAATCCACCAAGGCGTCGCGGGGCCTGAGCTTGGGTGTCCAAGCGTTTGTCGTGCTGGGGAACGGGTGTCAGGGTCCTGTGCCAGGGTGGCACGATGTGCGTGGTGCTGTTGGGTGTTCGAGTATTAAAAGCGCTGCGCTGTGCTCCCATCCCGACCCAGAGCGTCAGAGGTATTGTCCCTCGTTAATTCATATTAGGCCTCGCGCCTATCCTCGTCGTTCGATTTATAGGGTCTGCCCTCTTTTCAGATACACATCCTCTACACTCGTCCATCTTTGACGAGCTCACACGAGAATGGCGGACATCGAAAAGCACGACTACACTGTCCAGGGGGGAGGTAGTGAAAGCGACCATGGCCATGGTGTGAAGGACATTGTTGCAACAAAGGGTGCTGCCGTCGGTGAGGCCGCCGACATCTATGGTGATCTCGCCACGGCCGAGCAGTATGGATATGTCGAGCGAGGGTAAGTCTCCAGATGTAGGGCCATTGTACTCCTGGCCATCATGCTGATTTACCGCAGTCTCAAGTCCCGGCACATCCAGTTCATCGCCCTTGGAGGTACTATTGGTACTGGTCTTTTCCTCGGTATTGGCACTGCGTTCGCAAACGCTGGCCCTGTCTCTGTCCTTCTCGGCTACACGATAACTGGTATTGCTGTCTTCGGTATGATGCAAAGTCTTGGTGAAATGTCTACCTGGCTTCCGCTGCCCGGTGCTATTCCTCAATACTGCGCTCGTTACGCTGATCCCGCTCTTGGCTTTGCTGTCGGCTGGAACAACTGTAAGTTACTTTACCATATCCATACTCATCATTGCTCATGTGTGTTTTCCAGGGTACCAGTGCGCCATCACTCTGTGTGCCGAAATCTCCGCTGCGGCCGTCGTCATTAGCTTCTGGGATACCGAAGAAAAGATCAACCAAGGCGTGTGGATTGCGATTATCATCGTCATCATCATTGGCTTGAATATTTTTGCTGTGTCAATTTACGGCGAGGCCGAGTTCTGCTTCGCATCGATAAAGATCATCACGATTATTGGTCTCCTCCTCACCGGTGTCGTCATCTGGCTTGGTGGTGCTCCCGACAAGGATCGTCGTGGATTCCGTTACTGGAAAGAAGGTGCGATGAAGGAGTACATTGGTACTGGAAGCACCGGTCGATTCTCTGGTCTCTGGTCCACACTTGTCAATGCTGCTTTCTCCTACGGTGGTGTCGAGATGGTTGCTGTTGCTGCAGGTGAAGCCGCCAATCCGCGCAAGAACATTCCCAAGGCCATCCGCCGTGTCTTCTGGCGTATCCTCGCTTTCTACGTTCTTGGATCGTTCGTCATCGGTGTTTGCATCAGCTCCAACGATGAGGCTTTGACCAGCGACAACCTCTCGGGTGCCCAGAAGTCTCCTTGGGTTATTGCCTGCAAGAACGCTGGTATCCCTGTTCTCCCGCACATTGTCAACGCCGTCATTCTCACCTCTGCCACCTCCTCCGGAAACGCGTTCTTGTACACCGGCTCTCGTTACCTCTTCGGTGTTGCTCAGAACGGCCAGGCTCCCAAGTTTCTCCTGAAATGCTCCAAGAACGGTGTGCCGTACTGGTGTGTCGGCATCACAGCTGTCTTCTCCCTGCTCACCTTCATGAGCTTGGGAACCAGTGCCAACGAAGTCTTCTTGTGGTTCCAGAACCTTGTGACCATTGCTCAGTGCTTCACATGGTGCAGCATCTGCTTGGGCTACATTGGGTTCCACAAGGCGTTGAAGGCTCAAGGCGTTGACCGCAACACCTTGGTCTTCAGGTCACCGTGGCAGCCGTACACCGCTTGGGTCAGCTTCGTTTTCTTCACCCTCGTTATCTTCTTCAACGGCTTCAAGCCCTTTACGGAGACCAAGGGAGGATGGGGCAAGTCCCAGTTGACTGACTTCTTCACCGCCTATGTCGGTGTAGCCATCTTCTTCCTGCTTTACATCTTCTGGAAGGTCTTGAAGCGCGAGCCTTTCGTCGTACCGGCGAACGCTGACATCTGGAGTGGAAAGGCTGCCCTTGATGCCGAGGTCTGGCCCGAGCAGATCCCCACGAACATCTTCCAGAAGTTCTGGTACTGGCTGTGCTAAAGACTTCTGTATTTAATGTGCATGTATCGTTTCGAGTTCTGTAAAAGAGGTGTTATTGGCGGTTGAGCTTCGATGCGGTCGCAGGCATGATACCACGAGATTCCCTGGATGTGATTAGTGTGCTATATCAATCACTGTTGCAAACTTTAATACAACACGACTTCCTGTTCCACTGTGATTGTCTGCCAATGCTTTCTTGTTGTGGACAAGCTGTGATACCGGTCGAAGAGAGCTCGGCTTGACAGAACATTGTCGGTGTGCATGATATGGTTGATGTAGACATACCTGGTGCGTTACACGGGCGTGATTGTCTTCCGACGAACACTCATCTTGCGATTCTAGCGTCGAATTTTCACGCCCTACCAAGGACAAGTGAATCGCGCTGGGGATCCGAGCGAATGACTACGGCCGAAAGTGTCAGCCAAGCTAAGGTCGCACGTGTTCTCGCGACGCGTCCGCGTTAGTGTAACCAAAAGCAGATCTTTGACAGGGCGCCGAATAATGAGTGCGAGCAGTGGGCGCATCCACAGTCAGAGATTAAACTCGAGTATAAAAGCGAGACTACGCGCTGTTTCGGCATGTTCGGCCCCGGATTGGCCGGCGGGAAACTTCGGTCGGCATCGTTTCGCAACACCTCGATGCGGTTAGCCCTAATCGAATGCTACCTAGCTTTCGCATTGTCCACGATGTTATCAACGGGGCACGTTTCACAAGAGGACAAGTCGAGTCAATACTCGGATAATTATCTTCCTATCTTCTGAAGTACTTCACAGGTCTTTGAATGGTTAATGAGCTGCAGATGATCGGAAACAGCAATTGACCCGCATGGGTGTAGCCTTGCAGGTTTGTGTCTTTTGTCTTCTTTTGGGCGGCACACTATTGAAAATGTCCTCGAATTTGGAGATCCACATGTAGTCAATTTCACAGCCATTGTGCCCTAGAGAGTCTTTACCTCACCACCTAGGCCGACATGTAGTCATCAGCGAACAGCGGCGGGACCGTTCCCCTCTCCAATTTAGTTCTCAGTCTCTCACTTTTCCATCTCCGCAAGCAGATCATTGTACTTGTTGTGCCAGTACTTTGCTTCGCCGTTGGATCCGCTGGGTATGGTGCCTTCAGCCTTGAGCTCCTGGATCTCCACCAGGACCTGCGTGAGCCGCTTCTTGGTACCCTCAAGTTGCTTATACTTAGGCACCATCTCCCGGTACTGGAGCATGGCTTTCTAGAAGTAGGTCAGTAGCATATTCGCTAGTCGATTACAGGCTCAAGAAACACTTACACGACCAAGGTCCTCCCACTCGGCTCGATTGGCCTCTGACTGGGTGAGCTTCTCGTTGAGTGTCTGAAGCTCCTTCCGAAGAGCCGCAACATCAGCTGAGTCATTGGTCGCAGTAAGCTTATTCTGCATGCTCTGTACAGTGGCGCGGAGTGTAACTATATCTTGGGCGTCCGATTAGTGCCAGATCAACCTACGTCGTCGGCTCACTTACCGATCTCTGCGTCGCCTTTCTTGAGCGCGGCGATAGTCTTATTGTGCTCTAATTGTTTCGCTCGAAGCTCGTTGTTCTCCTTCTTAACCTCATCGTTCTCACTCTCGGTCCGCTTGAGCTTGGAGGAGAGCTGCTGGGCTTCATCCTTCGCAAGACCAACCTTCTGCTTCAATTCGTCTAAATACTATCAATGGCAGGAAAATTGAAGTTGTGCAATCTGCGTGACTGACCGAGCTCAGATTTGAGCGTCCCATGCTGTGTCTGTATGGTGTCCTTGAGGAAAGTAACACGGCTGTGTTGCTTCTCAAGATCGGCCTTCTGCTGCTGCAGGGCCTGAACTTCGCCATCGAGCGCATCCACCTTCTTCGTCTTTTCTTTGAGATTCTGTGCATGTTAGCAATTGGATGAAAACCAAGCCCAGCGTATGACTTACTTCCGCCGTCTTTACGTAAACTGTACTCTGATTGTTGTACTTCTCGGACAGCAACTTCAATTCAGCCTTCATCTTATCAACCTCCCTCCTAGACCCCTCATCTGCTTGACGGAGCGTCTTCAGATAATTGTCCACAGATACCGCTTTCTGTTGCTCCTTGTGCAGCTGACCTTTCAAGTTAAGCAGCTGCTTTTGGTAGTCCTCTGCAGCTTCTCTAGCTCTGTCTTCGGCAGCTTGCAGCTCGGCCTCGAGGCCTTTGATGTTACCGCGGATGTTCTCGTTCTCGGCAGAGAGGCTCTCCTTGGAGTGGATCTATACGGTTTCGTGTCAGCAATATCCGATACAACAATACACCAGCTGCAGTGTCAACCCGACAGTCTGGGTACTTTGTTGCTCCTTCGGGGCAACACAAGTGCATCCAGATTCTTGGTGTGGTACTGTATAAACTTGCCAAGGTTGCCAGCTTCTCCTCCAGCACGCCGCGCATATTAGCAGCATCCTCCTCAGCTGCCTTAGCCTTCTTAAGCTCATCATTCCGTGTGTCCATTTCACTCCGCACTAAGCCGAGGTCCATCTGTAGGCACGATGGTGGCACCTGCTGCTCCGCGTTCTTGTTGCTCGTGTCGACCTCCACACCTTTGAGAGCCTGCTGCTGTCCATAGACAAGCTCCTGACTAAGTTTTATCTTCGTCTTCTGTTCCAGCTCCTGCCGGATATCCTGGTGAGCCTCATAAATCTCGTCACCAGTGAGGAGACCCGAGTTCTCTTTCTGCTTCTCAAGGAAGTACGGGAGTGCGCCTTGCACTTGGCAAGTGGTCCCAAGGAGCTTGTTCACTTCCTGCCGGAGGTTTTCTACGACCTTTAGAGCGGCCGTGTCAGGGTGCTCGGCGTTGATGGCGTCGCTGATCAAGTTTATGATCTGTGTACATGTTAGCCACTGCATCAGTACCAACTTTTATACCAGGTAAGTATCGGGTCGATCGTGACGTGACTCACCTGGCGAACTTTGGCAGCTACAGTAGACACAGTCTGACCCACAGCATGCATGTGCTGGGTAATCTGCTGCTCAAGCGCGCGGGTCTGCGCCTGGACAAGCTGAGCTCCAGCGCTCTGGTCTGGGACAGCATTGTTTGGCGCCTGCTCACAAAACACGAGGATGTCTTCAGCGTTCTTCTTCGCCCGGAGCTCCGGGTTTGCTGCGAGTAAAGCTTCAACTTGCTTGCGGCGCCGCGGAGAGGCGTAACGCGAATCGACCATGCCAATTGGACCGTAGTACGGTTGACCGGGCCCCATTGTGTGTCTGTCGAGCAAGTGTTCGATAGCAGGGAAAGTGACAGAGAGCAGCGACGGGACTCACGCAAGAGCAAGTACACCCTCACTCCACTCACTCGCAACGTCAACGAATAAGGCTGGAGAACGCGCGCGGGCAGATGTTCGAACTGAAGCGTGTGTGTAATTTTTCGGTGTGCGTTGGGAGCGGTGAGTTGAAGTAATGAGTTAGTCTGGTAGTGGGGAGAGGTTGGGAAAGCGCCGTACGGGTTTGAGACAGCAACAGCAAACGGACTAGGAAGGTGCACCTCACTGGCCCATAACGGCGAGCTCTTCTACATCTTTAGAGAAGCTACGAGCCCGTAACGCACAGCACGTGTTGGGAATCGGTTGATGCGCCCTATCCCTGGCTGACCTGCTCCAAAGCGTCGTCAATATTTGATTGCACTGTGTTGACGAAGAGGAGGCCATCCAGTGCTCACGTTTTCAGGCAGAGTACTGCATGGACTGGATGTCAGAGTCAACTGGGACTGCATAGTCAACGCAGCCGTTGCAGCCGTTGGTCGAATGCCCTGAGGCAGCATCGAGCGATGTTTGAGTACAATCGATTCGTCTATTTCTCTGTGTTGGACAGCGCACTGTAGACCAATCCTTCCTGTAGCGCCGCACATCCAAGTACATGATCTCCTCTCAACAAACTCAAGGTAATGGCGGGGGCGCAGGGGAATCTCACATGGTCGAATGTCGCGTCTGGCTGCGATACCAGTTGAAGTTCCATCTTCAACTCTCGAATTTGGTCCTCACCCCGGAAGCTTGGAAGAACAGAGAGCATTTTTTACTAGATCAACGAAGAACGAAGGGAAATGAGACCAAGTGAAGATCTAACGACACAACAAGGGAGAGAATTGCGACAATATTAATTTCTACTTCTCAAGGATATGAGACCTGACAAAACCCAACGACTTGGTGGACAAACAGAACATGGAAAGAGGATATTGTTCCAGGATAACCTGAAGGTGAATATTATTATTCGGTTGCAACTCACGTCGGTGTCTCTGAACAATCCATAATCAGCCACGGCCTTTCTCCGGGTTGAAGATAATGAGACGTCCATTGAGAAGAAAATGCATATGCCACTGACGAAAAAAGAAAACCCCCCCCCACATGTCTTACCATCTAGTGAGGAGAGAGACTAGGACCCTGGACAAGTATGCGTACAACAGCGAAATGAAGTGAAATGACGGCAGGGTTCGATTTGAAACATAAATGATGGACGACAGGATCGGCGCATGCAGACATCTATCCCAAACCAGGCACGCGGTGCCGAATCCAATTGGCCAGGCCGAGTAACTCGCCATCGGTCCTTGGATCAAATTCCATTCGGACAGTGCCACGGTCCGAAAAGTACACCGCAGCGTATCTGCGGGGGTTATCGACAGGTGTGCCACGATCTGCACCGCTACGGAGCTGTGCACCGGGAAGTATGGGGTCCGGGGCGAGCTGAGGGGCGTTGGAAAGGAGCCATGCTCGGGTACGAGAAGGTGACCTTTGGCACTAAGCAACGCGTATACAATCGGAAATATGCATCCTATAGGGTGACGATCAAGCAGTTCGATCCTGCTAGTCACTTGGAGGCAGGGCTGGGGTGGCGAGGATGCGGGTGGGCCAGGGCAATGAACCGGTGCTTTATCCAAGTCGCCCTGCAGCGACCTGCAGAGTCAGCCGGCTGGGCGAGACGCAGCAGCAAAGAAGCAAAGGTCGACTCGCTCAAGGTAAAATGGCAGTAGAGTTCAGCGGGCGACTGGGAGGGAAGCTAGCGACTTTGAGCAAGCCGCGGGATCCACCAGCAGGCGGGAGCGGCCGGGGTCAGTCTTACGTTGTTTAGCTCCGATGCAAATTGTCCTCGTGTTGCCGCGCTGCGAGGCCAACGGCTGCATGGACACAGCGTTGGGGGCGGGCGGTGGTGTGGGAGCTGCAGTTGACCAAATCAGCGCACACCTCAGCTCATTGACTACCTCAGAAGGTATCACGTCGAGAACGTCCGCCAGCTCGACCGGAGCACATGGCGATGAGCACACGCAGCGTGCTCGACGGATGTGCCATGAAACGCGGGCACGCGGGCTACTGTAGCTTTCCACACCCGTCCCTCTGCTTCGGGACCTGTGCAGCGCCACTGGATTCCTTTTGCGAGTCTTGCAGCATGGGCAGCCAATGCGCGGTGCAGGCGGAGAGCAGCGGTGGAGCCGGCCAGCCCAAAGCGGGAGTGCACATTGCTCTGTCTCATGGGTGCTTTGTTCTTGCGCGCGCTGCGTTTCCCGACTCCCCAAATCCCTGGCCTGGCCAGAGTTCCGCCGCGTCTTGCAGGCTTTGTTGCCGTCACGTTTCTCGCTCGCCGTGGTGTTGTCCAGGCTGCGTCTGGCGTGCGTCTGCGCCAATCCGCCGTGCAACCGCAATCCCTCAGTCTAGTCTGCCCGCCGCGCTCCGTGCTCTCCTCATAACCAACCTCACCCCTCACGGCGCTGCGTCTCTGCTGTCCTGCCGGCTTCTCGCTGCCGTCTCCCAGTCTGCCCTTGTTCGCCCCTGCCGTTGCGCTGCCGGGGTTTCAGTGCGGCTCGCCGAGTAGTTCGACCTTTGCAGGGCACCCCAACAGTCCATGCTCGGCACAGCTCCCTTTTCCTGTCGATCCATCACCCCCAGCACTATCATTCGTCCTGGTCCGCTCGCAGTCGCAGGTCGCCACGCCTCGCCTTTGACACTCGTTTGCCTGCGACCGTCCGTCTGGCTGACATTGTGCGAGTGTAAGTATAGTCCCCGCGGCGCGCTGCCCCCGCGCTTCCCTTCCCTTCCATTCCGCGCCCGCCGTTTGGTCCTGCCGCCGCGCTCCATGTCTTACGCGCATGCTGCTATATCAATGCGTGGCTGACCCGTAAATAGCTCTAATCCTGAGCGTTGCGTCGCTGCATGCCTCGAGCACCACTACAAGCCCTCCGCCGCGACCATCGACGTCCGTCGCGCCTCCAAGATTGCTCCGCGAGCCTGTGAATGGCCCCGGGTATAATGTGCTTCGGCAAGAAACCAGTCGACCCTGAGAGTCGCCGAAATGAGGAGATCGAGAAGGTCATCCGGAATGACAAGAAGAAGCAGCAGCGCGAGGTTAAGCTGCTGCTACTCGGTACGTCCTTCTGTGGCCAAGGGCGCGAACCATGCTGAACAGGTCCCAGGTGCTGGCGAGAGCGGCAAGTCCACCGTGCTGAAGCAGATGCGCATCATAAACGCCGGCGGCTTCAACAAGACCGAGCGCAAGCAATGGCGGGCCATTATCTTCAACAACCTGGTCTCCGCCTTCCAGACCATCTTTGCCGCCATGCAGGAGCAGGAGACCGACTTCGAGGACGACGACAACTTGGTGCGGACGCCGGCTCTGTGATGGCGCGAATTTATACTAACGGTAACAGCGCTACGCCGAGCTCATCACTGCCGATCCTGAGATTGGCATCGAGGACGGGATGCCGCAGGAGTGTCTCGCCGCATTCAACAGCCTGTGGGCAGACAAGGGCGTGCAGCTGGCCATTTTAAAGGGCAACCAGTACGCGCTGCATGATAACTTGAGCTAGTATGTCTTTGCGGACCCCTGAACTGAACATCCGGTAACATATCGTAGCTTCTTCGCAGATGTGGAAAGGCTCTTTGCAAGAGAATATCTGCCCACAGACCAAGACATCCTCCGCACGCGGTTACGGACAACCGGTATAACGGAAACTATATTTGAGCTAGGAAACCTCACGTACCGCATGTTCGATGTAGGTGGGCAGCGGTCCGAGCGGAAGAAGTGGATTCACGTTTTCGACAACGTGCAAGTCGTCCTTTTCCTAGTGGCAATCAGCGGTTACGACCATGTGTTGGTGGAAGACCGGAATGGCGTAAGTTGTGCTCACTGTCGGGACTGGTCCGCACTAATACTAATGGCAGAATCAAATGCACGAAGCCCTAATGCTCTTCGAGTCCATATCCAATTCGAAGTACTTTGAAAAATCAGCTCTTATTCTGTTTTTGAATAAGATTGATCTTTTCCGGGAAAAGATTGCGGGCGGCATGAGCCCGATAAACAAGGTGTTCCCGGATTACAACGGGAAGCCGACCGACATCGAGGCTGGACAAGAGTTCTTTGCCAACAAGTTCCGAAATTTGGTACGGCAACCGAAGAAGGAGGTCTACGTTCACTATACCAACGCGACCGACACCAATCTTCTGAAGATCACCATGCAGTCAGTACAGGACATGATCGTCCAGCGCAACCTCAACGCCCTCATCTTGTAAGCACCCCCTTACTACACAACTGGGGCAGTCGCCCTTCTCTTGGACGAACGCCAAGTCTTGGTCTCGCTCAATTGATTGCTTTTATTGCACGCACACTGGAACACCTAAGCCGTGGGCCGCCATGTACTGCACTCAACACTACAACTTTGCCCTCATCGGACTCCATTTGGACCGGTCTATAAGGCATCTGACGGTCATTCACTGACTGTGTTCGAGCCACGGCAATGGCCCCAAAGCCCCTGGATGATTTCTCGGTCCGCCCTTCACGCACGCGCCCTTACGTTACATACCCTCGATATCCCGTCCGTTCTTCGAAAGTTTATTCATGTTTGTGTTAGGATGAGATGATTGGACGATCTGCTCGACTTGCTTGGAGCGCTTTCACGGTACACAGATTGCCGACATTCTGTTTTGTTAATTTTTACGGGCTTGCTGTGTGGAGCAATGAGTGAATGAGGATGGAATCTGAAGAGCTAGTGAACGCGTCATTTTGTGTGTGAAATGGCTTAGCAGCGCATTCTCTCCACACTTCGGGGTCATCATTGGCATTTGGGAGGCTCCTGCCATTGCAAACCGCCAGCTTTATAATGCTTGGCAGACGGGCTCGGACGGTATACATTGCGCAAGATGTAAAAAACCACTTTCATCACAAAAACTATCTTCCGATTACACCTTTCTCAACTCTGCTGCCTTGACTGTGAATACGCACGTTTGCGACGCGGTGCAGGGTTTCCACCGCTCTTACCCTTCTCGGATGCTGCTGCAGCTCAGCCGGATCCGAAGCCTTTATGACCCCGCCATCGCGCATCGCATCCTCGCCGTTCATCAATCTACATTTCTCAACGGGAAAGTAACCGTCGGCATGTTGTGGCGTTTCGGAGACCGACGCGAGCGCCGGATAGACTACATCAGCTGCAGCTGCACGTGGGTATTGGATCGCCAACGGCCGTGCATGAAGGCAGCGAAGATCGCTGGCTATGGTAGGCGCCAATCTTCCCTCATCTGGTTGATTGCACATGGAGGCATCGAGGGTTGCACACGTCATGCCTGCCAGTCTTTTCCCGTGTATGCATCATACATCAAGAGATGCATCTGTCGGACCCGTGGGAACGGGTCTCACGGCTGTGTGCAGCGTGCATGGGGCCATGCTGCCAGATCGAGTGAGACGTTGAAGGGGCACAGCAGGATGATTTGAGGAAATTAAGGCAACGGGGCGGAGTACATACAGATAGGGTGTGAGGGTGTACGGTGTAGATATCGGAGTGATTATTATGGTTGTCTACATGTGGTGTGTGGGAGATAAAGCGTGGCAGAGTGGATGTGGAGGTCGATAAAGTTTGGTTTGCCATGGTGTGTCTTAAATGGGATACAGGGAGAGCAGTACACTGCAAGGTGAATCTTTCATGTTCGAGGAGCCTATTTGTCCGTTGTTTGACTTTGACCGACATAACGTGTCGGTGTACCACCTTCTTTGTTACTGATAAAGCTTGAAATTTTTAATCCCATTTCCAGTCCCGTCATGATCCGGACACGACCGTCCAAGCGAATTATCCCAATGTACTTTTCCACGGTACACTTGAAGTAGAAGGTCGATGTAATCCAGAGTTGATGCCTAAGGCACAAGGGACCTGGTGACTACGCCGAGGGCGGCCCGGGTTGATTCTCGTGACCAATGCGGCTCCTTCGGGAAAACATCGGGGCTGGGCACGGCAGGATCATCGCCTTGCGCCGACCTGCAGGCCGGCTTCGACACATTAACAACCACTGCATCTATCTGCTGGCCATGTTCTCTTCTGCTGCTGGGAGAGTCATCCGCTCTTCCAGCACCTTGCCGCCGCCTTCGGTGTGTGCCTTCGCCCGCCCAGCAGCTCTCGGCGCGGGCCAGAAACCCTTCTCCCGTCCCGGCCACCAGCGGCGCTTATCGTCGTCCAAGGCATCGACGCCTCCAGACAGCTCGAATGGGTCAAACTCAGCGCCTCAGGCGCCTGCAAGCGCAGAGAAAACTCCTCTGAAGGAGGCGACGAAGAATAATGAGAAGATGACGCAGAGTGGAAGCAAGCAGACAGGGCGTAGGAAGAAGCAGGCGACTAGAACCGCGGCCCCGACACCGACGCTCAACGTGCCGCATGTGCTGCCTACCAACGACGTAGAAGTGTCTGGTACGCATGGGAAACTTGTTTTGAAGGTTGCGCCAGCTAACTGTATCTGCAGAAGTAAAACTATCATCCTTCTTCTCGCTTCACCGTCCCATATCCTTGGACACCTTCATACCGCCAGTCGCCTCAAACTCCTCGTTCGAGTCCATCTTCGCGCCACGTTCTTCGTACACCAAGAAAACCACGGTGGACAACATTCAAGCCCTCACCAAAGGCATCCAGAACCTGGAGGCAGTTATGGGTGCCTATGAGAAGCAAGCGCCTGCCGAGGAAGCATCACAGGCTGAGCTGCGGCACTTGGATGGCCAGTCATACATGACTTTGGACGAGCTCACGCGCAAGCTGGTTCCGTTCAGACCGCCGCCACCTCCTATGCCTTTCCGCGATCCAGCAGACGTTTACTCGGCCAATAGCGCACCCATGTTCGATACCGAAATGCCTGGCGCCGAAAACGAGCCTGAACATTACGAGGTGCGCCAGCCGTTCTACGACCGTATGGTCCAACGGCATAACAGGAACAACCGCAGCCGGGACAATCTGCAACACCCCGATATGCTCGCCATCAGCGTCAAGAGGCAGAGGAAATTGAAGATGAAGAAGCACAAGTACAAGAAGCTCATGAAGAGGACGAGGCTGCTGCGGAGGAAGCTAGACAGGACATAATAGACTTAGTGCGGCGGATGTTGGTCCGGGCTACAACGGGCGTTCGATCGTGCCGCGCAGGTCCAGATGCATGGCGCACAGGCGGCTAGCAATACACCGAGGGACCAAGGGTCTGCTCCAACATAAGGTTATGCAAGGACCTGGTGATCTTCGCTCAGTGGACGGACGGACGCGCCAACCTGCGACGGGCGATCTTGGTCGGACGCCAACCAGGTTTCTGGAAGCATTATAGAGCACTCCTCTACTCTTTTATCAATCATCGGGCATTTTTGCCTGTCCCAGCATTTGTTTCGCTCCATAACAGCATGTTCTCGCCTTTACTTGCGCAATACCAGTCCGCATTGTTCTTGACCCTCTATTTGCCTTTCGCATGATGTTTTGATCTTCGTCGAATGGACTGGACAGTCGAAGTTTCTTGAAGTGCGCGAGATTTCTTACTGGTGCAAATTCTCTGAACGCATTAAGTTTGACAACTTCGACCAGCCGTTGTCACGACGGCATCGGACGTCTACAAGGTGTAGCGTTGTCATGTGAGACAGTACTGCGACACCCCGGGTCACGGCTGACGCTTCGCCAACCTCGGAAGCTCACAACGCACTGTTCGGTCGGAACCCCTCCAAACTCTTAACAGCGGGAGCTAAGGCTACGCGAGGTCGCAGACAGCAAATCATACGTCCCACCATACTGTATACCGCATGATTGTGTGGCAGCGTTGTTCCCTGGGGCAGTTTTTTCACTTCACAGAGTCTTGGGTGGGGGATCGCTGCCTTGTGTCGGCGCATCAGGACGCACACTTGCGACGAGTAATCTGGTCTTGTCGTCATTCAGGATGGGGTGGGCTTGGGCAATCGTGGGTGTTCGGCGGGTGTGTTCGTCGCATCTTGTATAAAGCTGGCCAGCTGCCGCACTCCCAACTCTCCACTCACCAGCCCACAGCTTCATCACTACAGTCTTTCCTTCACCCAGTCCTTCTTTCTACTATCCATTCACTTCGCCCCGGTCGGCATTTATTCACAACTTACGAGCTAGTCTCCCTTTTGATAGCCTTCACTTCTGATATCACTTCAAATTGTCTATTTTTATCATAACGAAATGGTTTCCAAGGTCATTCTCATCTCGGCCATTGTGGCCTACGTCGAGGCTCGCTTCGGCCAGGAACAGGTCCCCATCTCCGCCATCTCTGCCGTCCAGGGTGGTAGTCCTGGTGCCGCCGCCACCATTGCTGGAGGCGCCATCTCTGACCTTCTCGGTGCAGCCAACTCTTGCGCCAAGGTATGTTTCCGAAATTCTCCAATACTATCCACGTACTAACGACCCACCAGCTCGCGACTGCTGATAAGATCGTCGCTCAGCTCGGCGGTGGAGCCGATGCCATCGCCGCTGCCATCGGCATGGTCACTGCGGAGAAGAACACCAACCCCTTCGCCAACGGAAACATTCAGAACGTCTGCGGCGATGCCTCGCTCCCTGCTACTCCGGAGCTCCGCGGTATCACCCCGCTCATCGACCCGGCTGTTGACACCACTGGAGGAGTAGCCGCACTCAGTAAGAGCTCTGCCGCCTCCCCACTCAACGCCGCTGGCAAGAGTGTGTTCGACCTTCTTTCCGAGGCCGGTTTCGGAGACCTCGTCGCTTCTCAGAATGCTGCTGGAGGCGCTGCCGCTGGAGGCGCTGCCGCTGGGGGCAATGCCAACGCTGGAAACAATGCCAACGCAGGCAATGCCAATGCTGGAAACAACAACGCGAACCAGGGCGCTAACGCGGGAAACAACGCGGCGAACAATGGAACTGCAAATGCCGGTGCTGGTAACTCTGGTGCCGCTGCATGCAATGCTGCCAACAGTGGCAACGCAAACCAGAACGCCAACAACGGTAAAGCAAACCAGGGCGCCAACAACGGCAACGCGAACCAGGGCGCCAACAACGGCAACGCGAACCAGGGCGCCAACAACGGCAATGCAAACCAGGGCGCCAACAACGGTAACGCAGGAAATGCAGGTGCTGCCGCTGGAGGCTCCGTCCTCACCGGCGCCGAAGACTTCGGCACTTGTACTCCCACCATCGACTTCAAGCTCGGACGCCCTGGCCGCAAGGCCACCGAGGGCACTTTCCAGATCTCTGACCCCACCGCCGTCGGCGGCCAGCAGGACGCCCTCAACCCCAACATCATCACCAACGCGCTCTGCAACCAGCTCACCAACGTGTGCGGCGCCAATGCCGCTGCCATCACGGCATGCGATGGAGCGAAGGCGCTCGTCCAGGCTGCGGGTACGCGTGATGCCACTACTGCCGACCTGTTCAACTCGGCGCTCGGCTTTGGCGGTGCAGCTAAGTCGAAGAGGAGTATCACTCGTCGCTTCAGGGCCTAGATGATAACTTCTAGGTTTGGCTGATGAGTTGAGGGATGACTGGACTGGGAATTGAAGGATGGCAAAGGGGGGAGGAGGTTGATGACGGAAAATTATATCAGAGCCCGTGGGTTCTCCCATTTCATTTCTTGGCTTTGGTGTGTACGATTGAGGCGATATTTTTGAGATAGATACGAATATCATGATAGCGTTTTGCGCAACTCAGTTTGTCTTCGTGCTTGATGATTCATGGCTGAGCTTGGATTAGATTGTACAGATGATACGTGGAATGGGCAGTTGTGATCGATCGACATTCTGTGGGAACCTCAGTACTCATGCGGGCACTGCTGCGTCTCTTGCAGGTTAGGGAATCTCGGATATGATAATTCACTTCTCAGCCCAGTGGGGCACCTTCACGTCAACGGCTGACCCTTTGCGAATTTTCGCAAGTAATCATACATTGCAGGACGGGTAATCTATAGGACGGAACATGCAAAGGCTTCTATGAAGTTCCACCTTTCGACGAGTAGTTAACCTACAGTACTCAGTTCTTCATTATTTCCAGAAGCTATAGAGTTCGTGTGCTGCACTAACCCGTGACTTACAATAGCATGCAATGAGCCTACGTCTTTGACATTGATTTAGCTTTACTATCAAAGGTAGTGTCTCGTGGAATCTTGAGGATGGCCAGGTTGTTCACGCGAGAACGACAGTGGTATCCTGTCAAGGAGCATAAAATGATATGGACCAACGCCTAATACCACAAAAGAAGTGTTGTCAGTGAGAGGGTGACGGATTGGCGTTTGATCTTCATCATGTACGATGAAAATAAGACACCTATGGTTAGGCAGAGTGGGAAGGAGGAACGGAGCGCGTGCGAGGAAGCTGGCCCACGGGACCCGGGGGCGGAAAGATCGCCCACTCTTCCTTGGCGAACCCCACCTTGCATGCTGACATCTTCTGGAGCTCTACCTCAATTTACCTACTTCACACCACAACGACAACCCCTTGGTAGATCACAGCATCTCCAACGAAGTGCTGCTTAATCGCGTGTTCAAGGCAGCATGGGGGAGTAATCATATCTTACGCTCGCATCCGAAGGGTAGGAGAAGTTCACTCAAGCCTTTTGAGACGCATGCGTCTTAAGCAAGGATTATTTGGTCGAAAACAACTAAGCCCGGCCAGGGCAGCATCAATCTTTGCGGCACTAAGATCGCACACAGGAGAGGCTACGGGGGTCTCTGTCACAATAACAGCTACACCTCACAAATTGAACCGTCAATTCTGCAGTCAAAAATTGATCCCCTGGCACCATACTGGGTTATCGGTACACTATGGACGTCAATGCGAAGCTCTGCCAGAATTGCCAAAATCTCATTTCGACCACCACTCCGACCGAGGAGGATGAGTATCTTCCATATCAGTCAAAAGACTTACTTTTTGGATCTTCTCGGAATGGTTGCCCAATGTGCACTACAATTTGCGAATATTTCGACGACTACTTTGACATGGAGAAGCTAACAACTTGGCACTCTCAGAGACATCTTGAAGAAGCCAGGCTAATGTATAGGCTGGACCATTGGAGAAAATTGGAAGGTACCGTGTGCTGGATGTATATGTTATACTGCCCATCTGGGGGAAATGCCGATATTCATGAAGCGCACATGGGAAACCTAATTGTGATGCCGGCCAAAGGTAAGACTTCTGATCCTTCTACGCGTCTAAGTATCCCATTCGTTTTTCCGCAAGGGTCTACATGTCAGAGCTGGGTTCACACAAGCTGATTAGTCAAGATCGGACCGCGGGCGCAGCTTCAACGTATACTGGTAGCGAACAATGCTGGGCTTTGGCGTCTGCCTGGATACTAGAGTGCGTTACATCTCATTCCAAATGCAATAATACCAACGAGGAAACAAATTGGCTCCCTACTCGGGTTCTTGACGTTGGGTCTAGTAACAACCCACAACTACGTCTTCAACCTTCCACAACATTGTCACCGAGAAGATCTTACATGACTCTCAGCCATTGCTGGGGGGAACTGCAAATCAAGCAACTTCAGACACATAACATCCAGTCAATGTGCGAGCACATCGAGATCTCTGAATTGCCTAAAACCTTCCAAGAAGCGATATGCCTCACTCGACGACTTTCTGTAAGATACCTGTGGATTGACTCTTTGTGCATTATCCAGGACTCTACAGAAGATTGGGCACACGAAGCAGCATGTATGGGGGACATCTACAAAAATGCCTTGTGCAACATAGCTGCCACTGCGGCTGCTGATGGTCGCGATGGATTGTTCTTTGAAAGAAATCCAGTCCTTGTGCAGCCGTTGCGAGTCCGAATCGAATCACTCAAGCTTGAAGGGCTGAATTCTCCCTCGGACCTCTATGACATTACTCCCCAGTATTTTTGGGGGCACGATGTTGCGGATGCTCCATTGAACCGGCGAGCGTGGGTGCTGCAAGAGCAGTTCCTCTCGTGCAGAGTGATCCACTGTAGTAAAAATCAACTACTGTGGGAATGTCGTGAATTGGTAAGCCCTTTCTACTCATATCTGTGGCGTCATGTGTACGTGCTGATGGTGCCAGGCCGCTTGCGAAATGTACCCCAAGCGCATCCCGCGCGGGATCATTAATGAGTCGTCAGTGTCAGACTTCAAATGGTCCGATCTCGCCTATGGTTTGCGGGTGGGTGAGCTCAGCAGCGTCACCCAGAGCCAAATGGAGAGCTTGGGGTGGCGGACACAAGGAAATCTTTCTTCTGAATCAACTCGTTCATGCTCAACAACAGCGTCTTCAGAAAGCAGGTTCAATGCTTTGGAACTTTGGAACTCTGTGATGGAAGCTTATACTGCCCGATCAATCACCAAATTCCAAGATAAAATCGTTGCGATTTCCGCTGTGGCGAAAGAGTTTCAGCCAATGATTCGACACGAGTATTTGGCAGGCATGTGGCGCATGGCACTGGAAGCCGCTCTCTTGGTGGGTTAATCCCGCATAATCTCTCTACTTAAACTTTTGCACGGAAAAAATAATCAATGGCCTTTCCGACACTGACTGTAGTTATGGACCAGTGGAGTCTTACAGTGGATGCCTCCACATACGAATCACGACCGAACATCTACAGCGCCCCCAGTTGGTCAGTATGTATTTATCCCGTTACCACCTGTCTGCTATTACGCCACGATTGCCTAGTCCGAGTGCTTTAGGAACACAGCTGACTTGATGGAGTGGGCTTCGATCTCTGGCGGAATTCTCTTTTTCAATCTGAAGACAAATCCGCCAATACATGAGTCGTACATGATTCGGATCATCGAATGCAAAACTACTCCCATCACAAAAGATCCTACCGGGCAGCTCTGTGCCGGTCATATTATAATCCGCGGTTGGCTCAAAACATTAAAAGGTCTGAAACTCGAATCTGTAGAAGTGTCTAAGTACATTGTCCACCTAGAAAACAGAAGGTACCCAAGCCTTGCATGGATAGACCTTGACCAGGAGGAGCAATTTCCCGAGACAGATCTACATGTGCTTCCAATCTTGGAAAACCACTTTCTACCTGAGGGCATGAGTCTGGAGACCAGCATTCGGGGCCTTGTGTTAGCGGACACAGGAAAGCAAGGCCAGTATCGCAGAGTCGGTACATTCTACTCGAATGAAGAAGGAAATGCTATGTTCAGGCGGCCCCTATATCCCTTGGACGCTACTTTGGACTTGCCAATCGCCACAATTTCTCTTCACGAGACGATGACAGATGTCGTCGTACATGCCCACCCGCAACCGCAGCTACCACTCCATGGCACGCCTTACTCTGCACATGGCTCTTCGGGTGACGCATCGCCTACTTCAAGCTATCCCGACGAAGAAGAGGACTTTACCGAGCTTGACGATTGGGTCGAGAAGATCATTGAAATCATCTGAGAAAGTAGGACTGCTACAGCTGGGATTGCAGTGTATTCGGGCGTTTGAGGTTCCACGTCTCGCATCATTCATTATCGGGGCTGCATCGCGCGAGGCCGTGTTGATGGTGGGAGGTTTAGGCCCTCATACCTTGTCAGCTAGCGCAACTCCCACGAGCAAGGCTCAACATCTACGTTCCCCTAGTCGCTACCACCACCATTATAGCCTCAGTTATTTCCTGTGCATCCTATAATAAGACACAGTCGTGATATTGCTTCGCGCACATGGCGCCTACCTTGAGATCACACCCTGTACTTGAGCTTCTGATCTTGCGCTCTGCTCACGCTTTGGATAGCTGCGATGTTTCTATCTGCTGCAGTGGACGACGATGATGATAAGCCTCACTAGCGAAGCCGAAGGCTTTACCAGCTCTCATGTTTGCCAGACTGCGTAGGCATCCTACCATCATCGACAAATAGTTGGCTAGGCGACTTAGACTGGCACAAAACCTACCTGCTTTGACCTTGAGCGGCCCGCAAAGTAACATTGCTCGTCACCCACATAGCAGAGTCTCGTAATGCATATGCTGCCGCTACAACCGGAGGCCAGCGGGATTAGATAAGAGTGCCTATCCTAGAGCTGTATCGCATACATCGTCAACATTGTGGTCTGGGCAACGAGCGCTCCCGGCCACGGTTCAAGGATCCCAGACACCACAAGCTGGTCGAGCAGCCAAATTTGGGGCCTGAGAAGAGGTAACAAGTTCGAAAGAGTAGCAATTATCACAGAAGGGGGTCTTCGATGAGCACTAGTGAATTCGACAACGATGCTTCACTTGTATAAGGTTATTTGGCGCACTATCCCGCAATACATCGCGACTGCGATCCACACAACTACTAGCCTCTGATAACAGCTAGGATCCCACTGCTGTTCTTCGATCGCGTCAAATCCCTTGACTTTCCGATGCATAGGGTGTTCACCCATCGAAATGCTCCTGTGGCCCTTGTCCTTCGATCCTGTGATCGGGCATGTCTGGTACAAGGTCAGTTGGTGTTCTTCTCGAGCTTCATAGTTCCTCCTGGCTTGGTTCCACCATCTTGCTGGTAGGACCCTTCAAAATCATGAGGGACATGATCTCGTAGAGAGCATCAGCGGCAGCCATTGTGGTGAGCTCAGCGTTGGTGTCGTATGCTGGCTACACAGGCATTACCGTCAGCGAGGTGAACAAAAGACTAAAAGAGCTAGGGTACATACCGCTACCTCGACGATGTCTGCGGCGATGATGTTGAGGCCCTTGAGTCCTCGGATAATTTCACGTAGCTCGCGCGTGCTCCAGCCCCCAGTCTCGGGTGTCCCAGTTGCCGGTGCGACTGCAGCGCGTGTCAGTAGGTCTCACCCTGGTCGCGAGATGGATGCAACTCACATGCCGGGTCCAGAGTATCAATGTCCAGAGACAGATAGACGGGCTTCTCGGTACCCACGCGCTCCCTGATCTTCTTGATGATGCCAGCTGTGCCGATCTTGTCCACCTGCGACGCCTCCACGATCTCAAAACCACAGTATCCATCGTTCTCGTAGTCACTGGGTCCACTGAGCGTCGTGCGGATGCCTGCGTGGATGTTACTGTCGTTGCGCAGGAGACCTTCTTGCGCTGCGTGGTAGAAGTAAGTTCCATGGTTAATAGAGGCAATATCAGTGGGGGCTCCGCCAAAGACCTTAGGTTTCCCTGGACGGTATTAGCTCATGTCTCTGAACTCTGCATAGTCTGTGGCACTAACATGTGTCCAAATGGCTATCAAAATGGATCACGGAAACCGGTCCGTAGGCGCGGTTGATTGAACGGAGCAAGGGTAGGGTGATGGTGTGGTCGCCTCCAAGAGTTATGATGCGCGGCAGAGTCTTTCCTTGCAGAGAAGGTCCTTTCTTGTTCGCGTCTGTGGCCGGCGATCGAGTGAGGAGGTTGTAGTGACCGTGTTCGATCTGTTGAAGGGCGTACGCGTGATCGTAGGATGTGACTGGGATGTCACCGCAGTCAAGCACAGTCGCCCAAGAGTTGAAAGGGTTGGTCTTGAGGGGTACATTGTAGCCTCCGTAGAGGTTCAGGCGACGCGATCCTTGACGGATACCCGAGGGTCCGAAGCGAGCACCGGGACGATACGACGTACCGATGTCGAATGGAGCACCAATGAAGGCAAGGTCGTACTTCACGTCCCTTTGCGACAAGCATTGTACGTATGGCAGACGTCCAAAAGTTGAGATTCCGGAGAACACTGAATCAGCCTGATAACTTCAGTCAGTCAATTGACCTGTAGGAGCTAGAGTGGTTTATCCAACCTGCGTGCCGCCATCTCCCGGTAGAGTGTTGTACCACAGAGATTGGTGAGGACCCAGAATAGGCGATTGGTCGTCGTGGACACCGTGTGCTGCCACGGTAGCTACGAGAGCAGCGTAGAGAGAAGTCTTGGGAAACATGATTCAGAACTTGGGACGAAACTTGCCGTATATTTTGAGAATTGGAGCGAGGTGACCAGCTTTAAGAGGTCAATTGGCAGCTGTCAAGCTCCCTGTAGACGAGCTACCGAGGATACTGCTTAAACAGGAGCTTCGTCAACATAACTTGCAGAAGCTCGACCTGGCCATGACGACACTGATGCCCCTCTCCCTTTGAACAGCTCTTGCCGTGTCAGGATCACCCAAAATCCCCCCACCACCGGCCACTTGATAAGAAGTCAGCAGGCCATTGGCTCTATGCGCACATGCAGGAGCTGTCTTGAATCAGGGTTGTAATATCTCCTCGGGTGCATGCAGCTGGTTGCGGGGACAATTGTGTAGACGGGACAAGACATTGACGTCTGAGTAGCGCGACCACTTGAAGTGCAAGCTAGGAGCCTTGGCAGCCTATTTCGGCAAAGCGTGTACCCTAACAGGAACGCAGAACGCACTGTCTGCATCTTGCCGAGAACGTCCTCCGATACGGACCATGCTTCCTAGGGTCCAAGCCTATCATAAAGTACGATGTAGGTAGTGCTCACCGGCACGACAATCACCCAGCAGCTCGCGACGGCGACTACCTTATCGTGCATACTCCACGCCTGCGCTGATTTGCGCCGCGAATCCTCTTCAATCGCTGCCGGTATTGGTTCAAGATATGTGTACATGCATGAGGATGGCGGATGTCTGTGTAATATCTAGTATTAATCGTTTGCCCTGGTCAGCCGAAGTGGGCGATTCGACAGTCCCACTTTGCTGACCGAACAGTGAACTACTACCGGTGACAATATAGAGAACAAGTACCCAACATCTTATGAAGGAAAGAAGCAGAGTATTTTGATTGCGTTTGAAACCTTCTTACATCGCCGAAATGGACCTACCTCCGAGCGAATTCTCTTCGTTGCTCCCGAAGCTGCATCCAGACGATGTAGACGTTCCAGAATGGCGAGCATGGCTTTCCGAGTCCTGGATCCAAATCAAGGCGTCCATTCCTGTTATACTCGCCTACATGTTGCAGAACAGTCTGCAGACGATATCGGTCTTGATTGTTGGGCGGCTGTCTCCGGAAGCTCTAGCGACGGCTGCTTTCTCTTACATGTTTGCAATGGCAACCGGGTGGCTCGTCGCGCTTGGAGGTACTACAGCGCTGGATACTCTCGCCTCGAGTAGCTACACAGGCTCCAAAGACAAGCACGATCTGGGAGTGCTGCTCCAGAGAGGCTTGTTTGTCCTGTCCATATTCTACGCTATTATCGCCATAGTCTGGATAGTCTCTGAGCATCTCTTCCGAGCTCTGGGACAGGAAGAATACATTTGTATCCAAAGTGCGAAGTTCTTGCAGCTCTTGATTCCGGGAGGGCTGGGATATGTATGGTTTGAGGCAATGAAAAAGTACATGCAGGCACAAGGTGCGTAATATCTGAAATGGCTCAATATTTGCAAGCTCTAACCGAACCATGCAGAGCTTCACCGACCTGGAACCTATATCCTTTTGATAACCTCGCCGCTCAACGCGCTGCTGAACTATTTGTTCATCTATACCTTCGACTTTGGACTATATGGTGCGCCTATTGCTACCGGCATCGCTTACTGGGCCTCGTTCCTACTCCTCGTCGCATACGCCGCCTTCGTACAGGGACACGAGTGTTGGGGAGGTCTTGCGCCGCGTCGCGCACTGCAACAGCTCTGGCCGTTTACCAGGCTTGCGCTTCTCGGCTTCATACATGTCGGTACGGAATGGTGGGCATTCGAGATTGTGGCTCTGGTGGCTGGTCGTCTAGGCACGCTGTCTCTGGCAGCACAGTCAGTGATCATGACGGCCGACCAAGTCATGAATACTATTCCTTTCGGACTTGGTGTGGCTGCTAGTGGCCGAGTAGGAAATCTCTTGGGAGCACGAAAGGCTACTGGCGCACGGCGAGCATCACTATGTGCGGCAACGCTGTCTGTGCTATTTGGAACTCTTATCCTCGCGGCTCTCATGGGCACAAAGAACGTTTTCGGACGGATCTTCAATGACGACGACGATGTGGTCGCGCTTGTCAGCAAAGTCATGCCGTTTGTCGCTCTGTTTCAGATTGCCGACGGATTGAACGGTTCTTGTGGTGGGGCACTCAGAGGCATGGGAAAGCAGTGGGTTGGCGCTTTAGTCAATGTTATCGCGTACTATTGCGCTGGTCTCCCAGCGGGCATCTACCTCGCTTTCCATGGTTGGGGACTCGCCGGATTATGGATAGGGAATTGTGCTGGGCTATACATTGTCGGTACGTTAGAGCTGGTGATCATCATGTTGAGTCGATGGGACAAAGAGGTGGAGAACGCACTGGGGCGAATTCATCAGGAACCTTTGGATGACTAGGGTAAATGGAGAAGAGCACTTTCGGTACATCGCGATGGCAGCGTGCAGGAGCTATTATCTCAAAATGGTTGTAGATATTATTGTGTCTCTATCCTGATTTCTGACCGATGGGCATAATCATGAGTGGATCTGCGAATTAGAGTACTAAACTTGATGGAATGCATTGCGGTGGAGTCTTCACACCCAACCTTTGATATAGAACGCTTGGTCAAACTCTCATGAACGTCTTCCAGACGTGATCATGCATGTAACTACTTTTTTCTTAACATGTTGAATAATTTGGAACCTCGAAGAACAACCTTGATCATATCTGCACTGTGCGGTATTTCTCGCCAGGGGCGGGTTGTAGATTCTGGGTTGCGCAAATGCTGGCTGTTTTTAGCGAGGGGGTGGATAACGCTCGGGGCTCAATAGTCTCCTGTGTGGCAAAACGACTTGAAGACCGATTACCTTCTGCTATGACTCCCGTATCTAGCCCTGCATAAGTTCAGTCTTCCAAGCGGCGATTATAATTGTGGGGCCTCTTGGAGTTTCCGGAAGCTCCATAACTATGGTATGTTTATTAAGAAATATGAGATCATCGGCCAACATATGTTTGATCATCGTGCGAGAATGCTCTTGTCGGAGGTTCCCCAGGCACGGGAGGATGGAATCTGCAATCTAGGTAGTGAAAGCAGTAGAAAATCCGAAATGACGTAACCTTGGTACCATCCCCATCCCCATCGGAATTTTTATATCTCGTGAACAATGGACAAATCATTGTGTCTTATCGCGTTTTATGCGTATTGCGAGGCAATTACTGGGCTAAACACTTGCGCCTTCTCTCCGCATCGTTATCGGGCCAATCAGCAGGGCCCACGCGAGGAATCTGGGGTTGGGGGCCGTACCAACCCCAAAGGAGCCACAGAACTGCAATGGCTGCAGCTGTGGGTTCTGGTTCATTGATTCAGAATTCTGTTGTTCTCGAATTTCTAGATACGGCGTTGTGCTCAATTCGGTTTAGATGTGTCCGAAGCTCCGCAGCCTGGCGATATCGGCTGCGTCCATTGACGCTCTTATCTTCTCCCACAGTATCGTCAGAAAAGACGGCAGCAATGAGCGGGTGTATGGAATGACGTCTATATCGAAGCTAGATGCAAGGTACAAGGGTTCGATCGGCAACATGCAGGCCAAAGTGATCTGGAGTGCTGGGTTGGGTTCAACGGCCCTGGTACATAACCACGTGATCACTGATAACACACTGCGCATTCATTGGACAGAATCTGCAACCACAGCCACAAGCTTTTGGACGTTGACGCTGCAAGATTTCGCAATTTCGTTTTTTCTGGGGGGTTAACTTACGTGTTTTGCTGATTTCACAGCCTGATCAATATTCTGTATACACGGTTTCCCCTTAAGAACAGGACACACTCACAATTATTATCGATGGTTGCAATTAAATTTTGTCCAGCCCCGGATATACACAATTACGGCATGGCATCCTAGAGAAGTCCGGGAATCAAATGTAGCAATTTATACACAGAAACATACATGTAAAAATCCTTATGGTCTCCACAATATTTTTCCAGCTCTTATCATGCATAGAATTACAGAATTACTACAAGACCGACACGGGTCGGTAGAGATGTGGCGTGTGCTTGGTGCGGTTGCACTAACGTTTTACTCTTATCTTTGGTGGTGATCGAGTAGATGTCAGCTCAGTGGGGGACAACGGAACTAAGCTTTTCGCTATGTACAGTCTGGAGCAATCTGGTACTATATCTCTCGACATCACGTCGATCATGGTACCTCATCTCCCATTCCTGCCACCGGACCGGATCTGATAGCCCTCGTCCTTCCTTTGTCTTCTTCACAGCTGTGATATCGCACAACGCCAGACAACCAACGTGATGGACGAAATGGAGAAGAAGATAGATGTAGGTTTAGAGGCGCCTTCTCAAGTCCCCGCAGACTCAGCACAAGGGGAAATTATTCTCTCAGAGGGTGGCATCGTACTGCATCCGCATCCTGTACAGGATGATGCCTTGGATCCTCTGAATTGGTCAAGCTTCCAGAAGCACACTTTGCTCGCAATAGTCATGGCACTGTGAGTATCTACATCAACGCTCGTCAGCGAACAATACTAACACTTGAAGATACTTCATGTTCACATATGTCACCACCACGACGGTTCCCTCGTTTCCACAACTGCAAGAGCAATACAACCTCACAGCCGAAGAGGTTAATTGGACTGTTGCAATACCAGCTCTTGGCCTCGCTCTTGGCCCCTTATTCTGGTCCTCGTTCGCAGACATCATAGGTCGACGCATTGTCTTCATCACCGGTACCGTTGTCGCACTGGCTGCCAGCATCGGAGCTGCGATGGCCCCTACCTATGGAGGATATATGGCGGCTCGATTCTTCCAGGGATTCGGCGTCAGTCCAGCAGCAACTGTTGGCCTGGCAATTCTCAATGACGTTTTCTTCGAACATCAGCGTGGTCAAAAGATGGGGCTGTGGGTGCTTGCTATCGATCTCGGTCTACTTGTCGGTCCTTTAATCGGAGGCTTCATCGGCCTTGTAAGCCACACCTGGATCCAGTGGCTTTGTGTGATTTTATTTGGTGCAATTCTGGTCGCAGAGATTGCCTTTCTTCCGGAGACGCTCTACCCTCGCAACTTTATGCTCGCACAAGAGTACCCCGGAGCTGTTATCGAGACAAATGATGGTGAGAAGGGGGGGATTGTCGGTGACGTGGATAACATGGCAAGAAAAGATGCGGACATGAGGACAAAGAAGCTTGCCTTTCTTAATATTAAGCCTGTGCCAGCCTTGAAGCATCCTAAGCCATGGGACTCGCTCCTCAGGTTCTTGATGATGTTCAAGTTTTTGGCGGTCACTATCACGACGATGGTCTTCTGTTATGGTTGGTACTGGTTCATCCTTGCCGTCACGACCATGTTCCCGGTTGCGTACGCGCAGTACTCGCCACAGACACAAGGGTACGCTTTCTCACTCACACATCAAGTAACCAAGCTCACCAAACCAGGCTACTGTTCCTCGGTCTTATCATCGGAAGCTTAGTCTCGGAACTGTTCTTCTCTGGAGCGCTCAGCGATCGAATTGTGTTGAAGGCTGCGAAAGCCAACAATGGTATCCGGTCCGCCGAAAGTAGGCTCTGGCTGGCATATCCTGCTATTCTGCTTACAAGTGGTAAGCTCACGACAAGAACTTGTCTCCCAAACTGTACTAACATATCAAACAGTTGGTCTTATCATATGGGGTGTCAGCGTAGAGCGTAACTACCACTGGATGGTCGGTCAAGTGGGCACCGCGTTATGTAAGTATTAATGTTCCATAATTGGCAACCACACGATACTGACCAATCTCACAGTTGGCGCTGGCGTACAAATGGGGAACACCGTGACAACGTCCTACATTGTTGACTGTTACCCCTTGCAAGCAATGTCTATCGTCACGTTCTATTCTGTGCATCTCAACCTGAGTGCGTTCATAAGTCCGTTCTTCATTGTACCATGGGTAGACAAGGCTGGGTTTGCCTGGACTTTTGCCGGGCAGGGGATCATCGTGTTCTTCTTTTGTCTTCCAGCATTTGCGTTGATCCACGTCTTCGGAGCACATATTAGGAAGGGCAGCGGGTTACCAACCTGGGTGGACCCGGAGCACGATACTTGATTCTATCGATGTATACCTGCTTTCATCATACATATCTAAGAAGCCACATCGCCTCGAGTAGCTAGTAACATCATGAGAACATTCTGAATTTACTCAAGCATTTTTTCCCACATTATGGTAATCTAATGAAGACTTAGTATTGATTTCAGACGTTCTGAATACACATTAATGCTGATGCACAATGTAGTGAGTAGCTGAAAGCCTGGAAGGTGGATACGGTGCGGAGTAGCGTGCCTTCCGAATTTGTGCTCTTGCGTGTCCCGTGAGCACGCGACATTCACCGCCTAACGTGTCGAAAATACTCTTGGCGAGGCCGTGGAATTAGTTTAGTGTTCGTGTGCAATATCCAGCTGGATCTGGTCACGGAAAAGTGAACGCGTAGGCTTGAGCTTTCTTAGCGTGTCTGCCCTGGAGTTGTTGTGACCGGTATATCTGTTCCATACGAAAGTTCTACGGTCGCTCTGTTCACCCGAGATCCATGGTCTGAACTGAAGTGCAAAACACCGATTCACATTCACTTCCACTTCGCGCACTCCAAGCGAGTCGTCCCGGCGATCAAAGATTTGTCTCGCATTGTGTCCTCACTCCTCCGCTCGAGGAAGCGCCCAGCTTCCATTATTATTCCTGGGGATACAAGCGCTCTTCGAAAGCTTCCGGCCGCCATCCAGCTCGAATGGACGCCTGTTGAGATCGCAAAATTTCCTTCCCGATTGCGACAGTCAGACTTCATTGACCTTCTCCAAGGCTACAACATCTCACCCGAGTTCGACTTCCCGGTCACCCCGCGCTTCACGCGGCCCTTTCGCGCGACAATTCTGGCTGCTGGTGTCGAAGAAGCGGAGAGAATGGTGAAGGACTTGGATCGGAAATTCGTGGGCGGGCGAAAGATCACCGTGAGAATGAGGGACATGTCTGATAAGGAGCGCAAAAAAGTTTCAATTCCAAGGCATGGCGGACCAAATCAGACTGGTAGCATTAGTACGTGCTCTTCAACGCACACAGTAGCCGAGCTACCTTACTGACTTGCAAAGATACTGCACTTGTGTATCGTTTTGACCTTGCCGACGCAATCGTCGAAGTCCGCGAAATCGTTCAAGACGGAAATTGTTTCGCGTTTCTCCGGAAACGTGTCCCGTCACAGTCCACAGCACCCCAGAAGCACATGATTTGAGGAATCGAAGTTCGGCCCAATGGGAATTTGTGGCCGGCTCCGCCTGCGAACTTGACACGGAGATGGAGGATAGAACAACGGCTCCGCGGCTCGAGGCGCTTAAGGGCTTGCAAGGGATCTAAAAAACTAGGGTGTGCTGGAGCAGATCTGGTTCAAGTGGACTGGAAACCAGGTCTTGTCAGCAGCTGAAATCTAAGGACTAAAATATCATTTCGTCGGCGCAGGAACTTTCCTGGTTGGTCAGGTATGTATCAAAAATTATGAGCTGAAGGACGCTGGCAGGTGTCGTCGACTCAAAGCTTCAGAAGCGGTTGCCTGTCTTTGAACGGTCGATGCAAAATTGTCACTTATCTGATAAGGCTAGCAAAGTCTGTGTAGCTCAACACCTATACGTTAACGTATGTGCAACCGGTATTCTTGGACACGGGGTTGAGTCAGAAAAAAAAACGTCTACTGTACAGAAAGACACTGAGCACGCGGCACGAGTCTTCTGATTGTGGACTCTGCCTGATCACGAACTGGGATCCTCTAAAAGGAAGGGAAATGAAGACTGCCGTTCCATATTCTTTACAGCTACAAAAGGATCCCAAGAGTGCTTCGCAAAATGTGTATCGAAATTTTCAACGTACTTCGACAACAATACTAGAGTAGACAAGCTTAGGCATATGGAGTTAGTAAAAGTGTTCCCATTCCGCGGAAGCAGCGGAAGATAAAGCCCTTCACGATGCGATGACAATCTTCCATAAGATATGCCCTTCAAACTGACAGAGGTTTCGGTCCGTCGTAGATTGTCATCATACCATATCTTATCTCCGGTGGCCTGTGTAATGCACGAGCCTGGATCATAATATTCGATGCGTCGTTAAATGGCACGTCGATCTTCGATCCGACATCACCTTACGATGTTCCATCCATATCTCCCTACCGAAACTTCAAAATTGCTTGCGGAACTCCCTCTATGGTTGTTTCTCGAACCTGCTATTATTGTATGCCACAAACCCCACGAAGGCATCCCACTTCGAACCCTGTCCCGAGCCTGGATAATAATCCCAGCCTGTCAGATCGCCAATGAAACGGTAAAATGAGGAAAGGTCCAAGTCGATGCCGGGGAATGCCTTGTGAGATACAGCGCATGCAAAGTCAATCACCACAACAGTAGGGACTCTTTATCATCGCGGACATTAGATCAAACATAATTATGCTATGACAGAGACCCTCGTGGAATAACGACGGGCTTATGTCTCGAAGAGCCTGGAGAGCATAGCAGATTTGCGGCGCGATTGTAAGGACGAGCGGCTTGGGTTGGAGCATTGCCTCTCCACCACCGGCTTTGCGTAACTGCCAAAGCATTTAACTAACGATTGCCTGGCTTGTAAGCTATGGCTTCTCATGCAGTTGATAGCGATCCACATAATGTTGTATGTGTTTGTCGTTCGGGATAGGTATTGCGGCAATCTGTCCTGATAGGGAGTCTGTCTTCCGTGTGTGCGGAGTCTTGACAGTATATAGAGGTTTATGGCTATCTTTAGTGCTGAGAGTATTTAGTACTCGAGTACTCGACAGGTCCTCAGGGTTCCTCACGCATATTCAAACGTCACAATCCCCGCCAGTACCAGCAAGGAGTAGCGGTCGGAATACATTGTTCGATACAGTCGCAACACCATCTTTTCACGAGTGCTTTGGTTTGACTTTGCTTGCAACCGAAGCCACTGTTTTCGTGTTCCTTGCGTCTACATTGATCAAGATTGATACGAGTGTCTTTGTCGAGGTGGGCTTATACTGGTCAAAAAGGGGAGGCACAGACATACAATGAGATACGTATATTGGGTTTCATGACAGCAAGAGTGGTGCAAATACTTGCATGGCCCCATGACGGGGTTGAAAAGTTGCCATTGTTGAACGTTGTTGGCGGTAGCATAGAATCTTGAACATGACACCTCTCTGATTAGAACCATTGAGTTTCAAGACATGGGAGATATTCATTCGAGCATTCCTAATTGAATTCAAAGCCCTCTGCACAGGTAGTTTACTATTTTGAACGCCGTAATCAGTTGCTTAGTGACACGACAAGTAAATATTCAATTGTTTGCCTATATCAGATGAAACCCGATGGCGGAAATAACTAGTTCGAACTCCCCTAGTACATGAACATCGACTACGTAAGGCGTCCCTTGCTCTGTCGTTTACCAATGAGTAGCCTTCGGCTTGAGTCGCTACTCAGTAATGTTACAAGTCCAAATCAGAGCCACAAACACATAAGCAGCACATGAAAAGCATAATGTGAACACAACTATGACCTGATATAATCCGCTTGAAGTTGCCAATCTCGTAAACAGTGTTGACGGCCAATCTGATCACCCTAGATCATGCCTTTAGAAAGCTGTAAGTACACTGGCTTGGAACAGAAAGGAGCCACCGTACCCCATGCCCACTCTCCAGAATTGCACGCAATGCACTGTTACGCCCTGTTATTTACAGTTGCATAGCTTCGAGAAATGCCTTTAGCTTGCAGTTTGCATAAGCTTCGTGAGCAACAGTATTGCCCCATGCTCATGATTGTCGAGCCATTCACTGGTCTATGCGCCTCTATGTATTTACTATCAACAGTCTCTCCACCAGCACGGACACTCTTGTGTATTTTATAGTACCCGAATGTGGTGAGTAAAGCGTAGTCGAAGTAGATTTTTGTATCGTAAATCCATGTGTCGGCAGCGCAATTCTTAGCATGAAGTACTCATTACGGGAATTGGAGCTCCCCGTACGGACACCGATGTATGCACGATATACACCGGTATACCTTTCGCACTCACCCGATGGCACAAAGCCAGCCATCGGACTCTAGCACACCGATGAAGTTCATCAAATGGAAGCTAGATTAAACAATCAGCCCGACAATCAGTGTGGCCTAGACATCTCAATCTGACAAGTCCACGCCCTACCCTCCCTAACATGACATTCCTATCCTGCTCCTCACACTTACAGTACACAGTAAGTCTTCACCCACGCCTCCCCTCCTGCAGGGACCAGCAAATTCATCTAAGTACCCGAGCCGGTCCGCGACCATCCCTCACCGCGGAGTGCACAAATCCGGGGCCCCACACCCCCATTACTCAGTGTCGCACGTCGACGTCGCAGTCGCCACTCGCCCACTCCAACACAGCCCATGCTCCACAATATGTGCACCCGCAGTTGAAAAAAATCTGCAGCCAACAAGCCACGCCGCTACGTCAACGCACAGCGCGGCCCTGACCCGCACGCGAAGGTGACTCGTGAGATGGCCATGTGCACCTGAACGGTGTGCTGGCGCGCCCCGAGAAATGACTCGCGCCATGCGAGCGCGGCGTGGGCCCGACCGACGGAAAGGGGAACCAACGCGCCGATGAGGAAATTTGTTCTTTTCGGCATTCAGGGGCTGTGGAGGCTTCGGCAAGTGCACTGCTTGTGTGCGCGGCGCCGATCTCAACAGACATTACGTGCGTTGTTGAGGGCTTCGGCGCGGTGGTATCCGACTGCGAGCGAGCCGAAGATCATCGGTGCATTTGCTGCGAGGTGTGCACGAGTTGTGAATGCGGCTTGCTTACTGGCTTCTCGCTACCAAATATTAAGATCTAATTCGTTTATGAGCCTAGACGTGAGATGATCTTGGAAACGGCAGGCTGCGAGGATTCCCCAGAATTGTTGTCTTGAAGACAAACTCTCGTAATCCTTCGTGCCTGCCTATCAACGAAGAAATGTCCAGGAAAATTCCAGAAGCCAGCCAATGTCTGGCCACTGACTATACACCTAGTGCTATCATCTTCACCAATATGTACATCCATAAGACTATTGCCGCCTTTGGGGTTTCGTCTACAAGCATCCGCGTACGCGTCGAGAGTTTTTTCGCCGCGAATTTCCGAAAGGGCATCCATTAGTCAACCCTCCCTCCCGATGTACCGAAAAGAGATAATGTATCAAACGGCCAGTCAAAGGCAAAAGGTAGCAGAGCTAGTAAACTTTTTGTGTGGGGGAGGTGCGATATGGTGCATCGGAAACTAGCGCCGACCAAATGCGACCGACATAGAACCGAGCGACAGCGTCGGATCGTGGCCAGCTCCGCGCGCCTGTGTGGCCGCGGAGCAGAGTCCGCAGCGAGTTTATTACCGGAGAACAGCGTTCGTACCTCCAAGAGCTTTAACATAAAGAGGGCTTCGATGGTGCAGTGCGTTCCATCTGCCTGCGAACACGGTGGACCCGGCTTCCATGACCTAAAAGTCGAAACATATGGACTGCAAGATCATCTGACAACTTACCGTGAATCCGCGTTTCGGAGATGTTGGAGGAACAAGTAGGCGCTCGAGTGGGTTCCAGAGTGGATTGGTAGCTTGTACATGCCTGGGCAAGGTGGACAGGCATGGCTAGTCGTTGAATGTAGCTTCCGCACCTAGCTATACAAAGTCTAGCTAATATCAGAGCCTTGGCACCACTTAACCCTGGATAAGGCGGGCCATTACAACCTTTGACAGGTTGGAAGCGAATTGCAATATATAGTATTGATTCGCCTGGGAGCGGTGCCGATAAATCCCAGGCTTTTTAGTGAGGGGACAAGAGGTGCTTCACACCAGGTAGCGATCCAGGTACAACGAGGCGGCCATGCGACCAGGGAACGAGTGCAGCGTCCGGACGGCAGCGCTAGATGCAGACCCAAGAGATACGGGTGTTTTCGTAGGCTCCCTATGATTAGGAAGTGCGCTTTAACGCGGTATTGCGCGCGTTCTTCCGCAAAGACCCCATCGACGGCTGTAGAGCTTGTCAATCTCCTGTAAATCTTCCGTCGGGGGTCAACGACAATCAATGGTTCGCATTCAGCAGGCAGTGTCCGCTTGTACAGCTAGCACATGGTGGCGTGATAGGCTCGCGAGAAGCTTGCAGGCTGCAGCAATATGTTCTCACAGCTATAGATTGAACTTGGGGGGGCTGATCTCGTGTTTGGTGGGGTGAAGAAGGGCGGGATGCCTAACCTGGACAAGCGCCGCAGCTGTTCGCGAGGCGTTCGAGCCTGCGCGGGAAGCACTGCTCGTCATCGGGACTACGGCTGCGGGTTTTCAATGCCGTGTGCGTTCGTTGAGGTCAAGGCGCATAGATTTTGGGCATTGCAGTTTGCGTTGAGTTTGCAGACTCAGGGCCTGGAAATGACCCAAAGCATTCTAGCTTCACGCTGGCGGCAGGGACCCATCGGCGGCGGTAGCGGTAGGCAAGTACGAATGTAGTCGTTGCATCGCCACACCACAGCATACCCTTGCGCTCCGCGCATCAGGCTCACGCGTTCCGTGATGGAGAGGTCTTGGTAATGACGTCTTTGGTGGCGAGTTCCCAATGCCGTTGTGCGGGATTGCATAGGCAAGACGAACCAGAAGAGCAGTGATTAAAGACGCCTCCGGACGCTGTTTTGGTGAGTGGGCAAATACTATAGGAGAAAACATGAAGCGCTGGGAAGGCTAGCGCATATGGTCAACATTATACGTCTGTGGAGTGTCACCGTAGTTGAGGGCTACGAGTTGGTTTGGTTGCGCCAACAGCATCGTACAAGACTTTTCCACAGAAGCGTCGGGGAAAGAAGCTTGTGGTCGTAGTTGCCACAGGGTGGCATTTCTTTGCAGGATCGGTGCTCCCAGGGACCCACAGAGGATGATCATTAAAATGTCCGCTGACAAGCATCCACATGTCTCCTATTTTCAGAACATTTCTTAGCGATAGGCGTTGAGGAAAAGATCAACGGGATCAACAACATCAACAAACTTGTCCGGCGCCGTGTTCATAAGTCCGAGCGATGGTGACGTTGCGCGAATTTCCGCCTAACGGTATGGCGGTGCAAGGCAAGGTGTGGCAGCCACGATACCACAAGCTGCATGGCGGACCGCTTGGTGGAAGCGAGGAGAGCCTGGCTGCCGCTGGAATTCGACAGTCGTCTGGAGCGCTCGCCATACGTAATGGTGCCTTAAGATCCACGGCGTGGGTAACCAAAGCCAGCGCTGTATGGCTAGAAGCCAGTGTTGATACTTGCACGGCCTAAGGTGTCATGTCATGTGCCGCGGTAATCCACAACGACATCTGGAGCCACGGCCGCAGCACGGGTATGGACGTTCCTCGCGGGTACCAGCTGCTGGGACCTTTGAACAAGCTGGGAGGCCCTTTTTGGCGCAACACATTTGCGAGAGTCAGTTCTAGAGGTCTCGAGACTCACCAGGTCGCTCACGTAGCGTGTGTAGTGTGCTATCAAAAGGGACATGGAGACATGAAAGAGGCCAGGACCCCGAGATGATCGGCGCCTGACAGCAGGCGATCCAAGCGCTGAGCGAGTTCAAGCGAACGAATCATAATGCCAATGCACGGGCCAGCTTCCCCAGACTGCAGGCCAAAAAGGCTTAGTGCGTGCTGGTCATGCGTCCATGCGTCCACGGGTCGCCGTCGCGATGGACAGGGCACAGCACGGTTCCTTGAGCTGCAGTTCCGATCCAAGCTCCCATGAGTCTTCGTTACTTCCCCAGATTCCGAGATCCGTAGCAGCTGGAAAGGCCGTGACTGTAGATGGACTCGGCGGCGAGCCCTTAGTGCACACTTCCAACATTCCCGTGCTTCTCGCTGTCACACGTCCAGCAAGGCTACCGTGTCGTGGCTGCTTCCAATATTCGAGGCCCGACTGGTGGACAAGGAAGCTGATGCATGCAGCAGCTGGCTGGCCCTTTCACAGCATCCCCATTAATTCCGCGGCAGGGGCCAACAGGCGTGAAACCAGATCTCGGAAGGCAGAGCAGCGTTCAAACCGTGCCCATTACCCGCCCAGCCCGTTGCTGCTGGCGTCGGCGATTTGAGGGCGACAGTTGTGCTGGTGGGCCATATTAATTGCTGCTCGCCAATTGAGGCCAGGCCACTCTACTGCCAGCGCCAGATGAAGGGTTTTCCCGTACGGGGCGCACAGAGTTGGACGGCTTGATAGTAGCGCCGCGGAGGGTACGGTCGGGGTGTGTATTGAATACTGGGGCGTACCGAGTAGTCAGAATCGGTCGCATTCTGTTCGTGCTCTGATGCTGTCACTGGGCCGAGGCATGTAAGCCTGCGGCCAAGCTGCACGCAGCAGTCGTCGAGCTTTCTAGCCTGGAGCTTGCGAGGCTCCAGCCACTGCCCTGCCGGCTCCCGGGGTTCGAGCGACCGCGACGACGGGCCAGCAGTGATGGGCGCGATCAGCGAGCGCGCGCCCATCGACGGCGCGAGAGGTGGCAGCGCCCATCGCTGCCCTTCGCGGCGCGCCAGCGCGACGCTGCAGTTCGGGATCATATCGGGCGGCCTGGGCGCAGACCCTTTTGCTGCCAGGATGGGGATCCCTGCCCCGGCGCGCAGGCGGTAGACGTCGTTCGACGTAAAGTACGTGCCGCCGTCCTGAACAGAACATGGCAAGGCCCCGACCTGAACGCTGCGCCAGACGGCGTGCTGCAGGCCGAAGAGCCCGCCAGCGGCGCCGGACAGGCAGTGGAGCTGGAGCTGGAGCCCTGCCGCCCGCGCTGGCTCGCCTACGGGGGTCTCGCTGCGTCGTCTGTCATGCAACAGCGCGAAAGCGACCTGGCTCGGCGGCGGATTACGAGTACCGGCGCTGGGGAGCTGCTTACAACGGGCGAGCCAGCGCGGGCGCCTCTTACTCCAGGCGCTGCCGCGCAGAGCTCGATCGTCCCAGCTCGTGCACTGCCGTCTTTGTACCTATTCTTGCTTGCGCCCTCGTTTCCCCGTACTCCACCAAGTCAGCGTCAGCGGGGACTGGTTTGTGCGCCGTTCGCTGCCCCAGATTCTAACAGCCTCCGTGGCGGCCAATCAGCGCGCCGGCTTTCGAGAGCTTCTGCACGGCTTCATACGGGCCATAGCCAGGTGCATGCGGCCACCTGCTGCATCGCCTGTTACAAAAGCAGACACGAGCGAGGCTGGAACGCAGTAACGGTGCTGTCCAACGCTCTGTGCGCCGCCGCCAGCAATCGCCCTCTGCGGCTCCACGAGTGCTTGCACCGCATCGCACCGGAACGCTGGCCTTAGGCTCGGAACGTCCGTCCATACCTCTCCGAGCTGAGTCCTGAGCGGCCTGTTCTCGCACCAGCTCGCAGGCGTCCTACCCACCCTGCCCAGTCCGTTTCGCTGCTAGCCGCGTCGTCTTCCCAGGCTGGCGTTTCGTACCCTTCCACCTCTTCTCTTGATCAGCGCCAGCCATTCGCCACCCAACGGCTGCCAATTCCTCATTCCCTCGCATCGTGGGGCTGTCATTGTGTCGCAGCCGCTCGCGTTGGGGCCCATTGCCTGCGTCTCCCGCACTGAAGACCGTAGTTGACCCGCCGGTGCTCCGAGGCCCACTGCGTTGCATCGCCCTCCAGCACAGACGAAAATCAACCACCAGCCCGTACAGAGCACGGGACGTGTGGGAAAGGTGTGTGATATCTGAGCTCGCCGTACAAATCCGCAGAACTTGCGCTGACGTAGGTGTGCGGTGCCAGCGTCCTTGTCTCGGGCAGTCCTTTGTTTACGCAAGAGCAGCTTGTCCGCTGCCATATCGCGGCTTCCGCAGCCCACCAAGCGCCTGCTCACGTCGCACCGCAACCCCGCCCACGCAGAGCTTCTCGCGGCGTGTCTCTCAGCCAAGCTGTCGATTCATCCCTCTGGACGCTCGCGGCCGGCTGCGGCGTGTAATATCCGGGCTGAGGTGACACCAGGCCCATAATTGTTGAGCATGCCCATCGAGGCCGACATAGCCAACATGGGTCCTTCGGCTGTCTCTGGCAGTGCCTCGGGCAGTGCCAGCAGCGGCAATTGTACGCGGCTCCTGCGAATCGCGTATGCATGACTGACAAGAGCAGCTTCCGTCCAGACCGTCAAACCCGAACCCTCGCAAACCACGAACAGCGCTCCCTTCCCTCCGCCAAAGACCGACAAGCCACGGCCCCACGTATGCGGGACGTGCCAGCGCTCATTTGCCCGACTTGAACATCTGAAGCGACATGAGCGCTCGCATACCAAAGAGAAGCCGTTTGAATGTCCTCAGTGCACGCGGTGCTTTGCACGGCGCGACTTGCTCCTGCGACACCAGCAGAAGCTGCACCAGCAAGGCGCCACTTCCTCACGGCCGCGCACTGGCCGTAGGGAAAGCACGACCGGTCTGCCTCCCAACAGTGCCGGCAGGGTCCGCAAGAACTCTGTCGCAAGCAGCATCGGTGGTCCGTCCAGCATCAACCCCTCCATGAGGCCACGCGCAAACACCATCAGCCATGTTGACCCCGCGGCGCTCAACAGCCTCCTCGCATCCCACAACGCCTCGCTCGGCCGGGGCGGTCATCCTGGCCACTCACACCATGCAAGCCTATCTGGGATCGGCGGACCCAGTGCATACGACTTCCGGGGTATGTCGAGCGTTGTTGGTGGTCCCGGACAGCATCACGGGCTACCAAAGCTCGACACGCACCTCGGCTTTGGCATGGGCGGCGGTTTGCGGACCGCACCCATACCAGGATTTGCCCAGGATGAGTTTGAATTGGACAAGTTTTTCGGAACTTCTGGCTCGACAATAAACCCAAACCAATTACACTTCAGTGCGGGCATGGGCGCGCAATCCACGTTCAACACCTTCGGCAACCCATTCGCAACAACCGCCATCGACGAAGACGATTTTGCTTGGAGTGCAGGTCTGGATAGCTCAATGATGTTTCCCGGGCCCAACGACCCTGTCGGTGATGGATCATCCCCCTCGGCGATAAGTACCACCAGCCAGAGCGGCTTCAGCGAGGTCATGGTGGACGGTTCAGGACAGCCCACGACTACACCCATGTGGCACCAGCCATTGGTCACACACACCAGCGTCAACCCGGCAGGCTACGCCCTGGACGCCATGGCACCTGTGTTCCCAGAACTTATGATGGGTAACAATACTGATCTTCCGAAAGAGCTCGGAGACCAAGGTGCGCCGACTGATTTCTACATGTCAACGCCCCCGGCGTTTTCTACCATGAGCCCTACTGCAGGTATTCCGGGTATGCCGAATCAGTATTTCCAACCTCCGATCACATTCAATTCTGATTCCGGCAGCATATCATCCGCGTCAATAAATGGCAGTGCTAGGCACAGTTCTGTCACCTCTGTCTCGAGCGACACACTGACGGACGCCACAAGACAAGCTTTGGTCTTCAACCTCTCCCAGGCACTCGGATACGGCAACCCTCAGCGCAAGTTCTCTCAGCCGCAGATCAGCTCGCCGCTCTCAGCCAACCCCAATAAGGCAGCCAGCCAGGTCGCTTCACTTCCAAGCACTATGGACCTCCAGCGTTACGTTAATGCTTACATACAATACTTCCACCCTCACCTGCCATTTTTGCACATTCCGACTCTTTCATTCGACACTCCAGCATATACCCATCAGCTTCGTTCAGCTGGTAGCTACAACCACGATGGCATGGTGGGGGGCGGTGGCTGCTTGATCCTTGCCATCGCGGCAATAGGCGCTCTTTACGAGTTCGAGCACGTCGTGGCGAGAGACCTCTTTGAGTCAGCGAAGAAGATGATACTTTACTACCTGGATGAACGTCGTCGCGCTGGCCTATCCGCTGCTGTCAATGGGCCAAACTCTAACAACGATCCTGTAAATAAGCCCCCGCTATGGCTAGTACAGGCAATGGCGTTGAATCTCATCTTCGGTCACAACTGCGGCGACAAGCAAGCTGCGGATGTTGCGAGCACGCACTGCGCCGCACTCGTCAGTTTAGCTAAAGCTGCCGGTCTCGATCGACCCGCTGGCGATACATCAACGACACCGAGCCCTCCGAATGATGTTGGCAATGGAGACATCGAAATGGGTGATGGATCAATGCCCCCGGAAATGTCGCAGAAAAGTCCACCCAGTGACTCAATGGACGAGCATACGCAGTGGATACGGTGGAAGCAAGCCGAGGAACGCAAGAGAACATATTTTGCCGTTTTCTCCATGTCTAGCCTTCTCGTTTCTGCATATGCTCATGCACCGCGGATTTTAAACTCCGAGATAAGACTGGATCTGCCTTGCGAGGAAGACCTCTGGTCCGTGGACAACCCACAAGCTTGGGCTGCCATGGGTGGACCAATGATCGCGCAATCTAAGGGACTCTCGTTCAATGCGGCAATGACGTACCTGTTGGAGGCCAGCACGAGACAGCCGGGACGCGTCAATGGCGCATATCAGCAACAGTTTGGCGGTGATCTGGCGATGAGCGAGATGTCGGAAAGCGAGATACGCCCTAGCACTTTTGGGTGCTATGTGCTCATCAATGCGCTACATGTATACATCTGGGAAACTAGACAACGACACACAGGTCGCCTGTGGAAGACTCACGAGACCGAGGCCATGCATGCACAGGTGGAACCGGCTTTGAAGGCATGGCAATCAGCCTGGAGGGCCAATCCGAACCACAGTATCGAGCGACCAAGCCCATTCGGCCCGTTATCTGCTGATTGCATACCTCTACTGGATCTGGCGTATGTGAGGCTATTTGTAAACCTTGGTCGTGCGAAAGAACTGCTCTGGCAACGAGACTTCGACGGCATGTCGGCAGAACTCGCGAAAGGTGTTGACGTGGTTGCACACGCCGAGAGCACTCCCGAACGATCCGAGCCAATGGACGTGAAATATACTGATCTCAGTCAGCCCGGCGCAGGTATGTCACCTGGAAACGTCGAAGGGTTGAGCCCAGGGCAAGTAAGCAACGGTCTGCAAACAAGCCGGTCTTCGAAGCGGGAGCGACACCTTCGCAAAGCAGCCTTCTATGCTGCTGACTCGCTTTCCATGGCCGACAAACTCGGTGCGACATATGCTGAGTTCACCGCTCGAGAATTACCCAATTCGTCAGCGATGTGCACGTTCGATTGTGCACAGATCCTGGCCGAGTGGCTTGCTTCCGTCCAAGACCGTGTGGGTCGCTTTCTAGGAGTTCTCGGCAAGGATGAGGTCGATTACACGACTGTTCCTGCGATCATGTTACTAGAAGAAGAGGACGTCAAATTGATTCAGAAGATCGCGGACATTTTGCACACCGCAGATATGAAGCTCGCTTACGACATCACCTCTAATAGCATAACCATGCTCGGCGGGGTATCGAATCTTGGTCACTGTGGCTACGGTACCAAATTGCTTATGGTCACGGCATACATGCTGGAGAAAGCGGCTGTTTGGCCTGGTAAGTATCCCTGGCGTGTTGAACAGAAATGCATACTGATTCGAGGCTTAGTGACTCATGTAATGGCTCGTGCTTTGGAAGCGCATGCAAAACACCTCAACCAACGTGCCGAAGCGTCTGTGCTGGCTCAGTAAATATTCTTTCTAGCTGAACATTGTACAAAAGTTCATGGTCAGATATATCTTATCGCGACGGTTGATACCCATATAACGACCTTTCACGCTTACGATCTTCGGTCCGAGACAATGAGCTTCACGAAGCGAACGACACAATTTGAGCAATCTTTGTGAGCTTTGGATCTGAGTTGATCTTGGACGGAAGCTGCGCAGATTCGCGATATCCTTGTATTTGTACTATACCTTCAGCGTTGGGTTCCAGCAACCCAAAGTAGTTGTGTGCGCCTAGCAACCGCGGTCATCACAACTTTCATATTCTAGTGGACATTCCGCGCTCCACTTTTTTCTTTGGTGGATGGGCACTGCCTTTTTTGGGCACTCAATCTAACGATATAATTACTTTTGCTGCCATGGGCTCGGAGTTACGCCGAAGTTCTTCCAATATTCGACAGCTTGATGGAACATTGGGATCCATATCCCATACATTTTTCATGCCCTCTTCTGTCTAGGGTTGCCGGATGCACCGCTAATGGCGGACGGCAAAGAACATGCGCGGGCCTCGGCCTTGCTGTCTAAAACTATAGGAATGGTGATGTTATGAGCGCTTCATTCTTCCGTAATCGTTTCTTAGGGGATCGGGTTGGGCTTGGTCTGGGCTGGGATTGGCTAGGACGAGGTCTTGGACAGGATGGACAGACAGGTGGAGAAAAATTCTGGGCTACGTAGTGGTTCGTAAATGCACCGCTTACATGGAGCGTTCTTCACTGTCGCGGTGTTTCATGCCAAGAATGACTAACTGTGCCAACGTAGTGAAGCAGCTGCTGTAAACTTCTCTCAGCACTCACGCATGAATACAACCTGTTTTAGAAAAGCCGCACCAAACACGAAGCGACGAGCTCATGCTACTCCGTCAGCCGCGCGTAGTCTAAACCAGGTGAAAGAGACGTTATCACACTCCAATGAGAGTTCTCCGCGGGACACGCGGCTCCTGCTCCGCCAGCGTTACAGCCAACCACGCTTTAGTCTCGACATCTGACGCGGTGTTTCTTGGGTCGCACTTTCTGTGGGTGCAGGGTCTTGTCATCCCGTGCACAGCTTTGCACAGCATGTGGAGCGCTAGGCGCCGTGCGGTGCGGCAGCAGCGGGCGCATCGAGATTCCCTATGCGTGATCTTGAAACTTTGTGGGAAGAGCGCGCAAGGGATTTGGTTTTGTGTCGTGTACCTGTGTAATAATGATACCGAAGTGGGCTGAGCTATAGGAAAACGGTAGACTAGGTAGTAGGGAGGCTGGCGCAGAGTATGGCTGCGGTTCTAGGCTCCGGTGTAGGCACGACCAAAGAATCGATGTGAGGGTGTGTGAGATTGCCATGCTGTCCTCCGCCGGGGGGGTGCCGAAGAGAGAGGACAAAGCTGGCCGATTCTTCCCTCCTTCCATGCTAACACATGCTAACATGCTCTTGCCGTCCGGCCATGCTCACGACCGTCTCTTCCCGCAAAGCCACGTACCGCCGCTTTTAATCTCAAGCTGATGGTTTCGTTTCATCCCACGGCTACGGTACCCTGTGCGACCTCGTCGGAGGCTGCTCCGCGAGGTCGCGCTAGGCCGTCGTTCATCAGCAGACCCGGACCCGGAGATGTGGCGCGCGGAGCTCGGCTCCCTGGGTGCCGATGAGAGTCGAGACGAGATGCAGCGGTGGGCTGGGAATGTGGACAGCGTGCTGGGATGTGCTGGAGAATAGGAACGTGTGGTCAGGGCGGAGCTGGGCGAGACAATATGGCGATCTATATGACGGACGTCTTTATCAGCGAGGGATTTGGTGTAAAAGAGCGGTGTTCTTGGGTTGGAGCGTCAGTGGCTGGTTGTTGTCCCAGCTTCGGAGGGACGAGGCTCTCACGAATGCAGTTCACACACGTAATAGAGGGATGGGAGGTTTGGGATCGAGTGGCTGGATCTTGGTAGGTTTGCGAAGAGGATGTGAAGCGGTGGGGACTTGCTGCATCACTTGATCTGGAAAGTGAGGTGAGTGCAAGGTGAGGAACCCGCTACTGGAAACTTGGTCAGTCAAACTGAAATTCACGAAGATGCCTCGCGGATTGTCAGCGAGAAGTTGTTGCCGTATCCGTCTTTATTGGCTGCGGCGCAATGATGGTTTTTTTATTTGTCGCAACAACTACGAACCTGTGTAAGGAAATTTTGCTTGCTCATATCACACATACGTAGAACCCTCTGAGCTAAGCAACCATGATATCGAGTGTATGATGATGGGCTTCGAACTTCGGGTCAAACATGGCCGCCGTACTAGAGAGCATAAAGAGGGGACTCCCCATGGAAGACATCAACACGGAATCTCGTCGACGGAAGGTGTTCAAGAACTTCAGCTTATCTATCTAGAACTAGCTGTCATTTTTTTTAACCGTAATAATGTAGCTCACACGGTCCTTGATTACCTCGAATATTGTGTGTATGCGCACATCCAATCATACGAGAATCTGGCTGACCTTGAATAATTCTTCCTAAGAACAACAGAGAGAAATTAAAGAAGGAGGTCTTTCCGTGAACGTTGGAAAGAAGTTGAACACAAACACGGGCACAACACCACGAGCCCAGAGTGATACTGGGGCTATGTGGATCCCAGCTGAACTCTTTGAGATCCCCCCTAATCAACCGCGAGAGGTCGGTTGTGCGCAAAACCTGTCTCGGAGATGATCTCGCACACAAGTCGTAGCCCAGTCGAGAATAGACAGCTCATTGGAAACAGATGGCTTGGAACGACTGGGTAATATGGTTCCAGCCGCTCCAATAGGTCAAGTGGTGATGTAAACTTGAACCGGCTGGTTATGAACCAACACAGTGCTGATCGAGCCAGTATGATTCCGAGGCGATGATCGCGAAGGACTTCTTCGATTTCAGCGAAGATCCTAGCGACTTCTAAAGTAGCCTAGGCTTCTGGGAGAGCAGTTATTAATGGTGCTTTCTGGCAAGCAAAGGGAGCAACCTTCAGCGGGGTAGCGCGCATAATGCGTTGCATCTTTTCGTCATGGAAGGTGCCCAATTCCTAATCCGAAACGAGGAAGGACACTGGACGCCGTTCCCACTGGTGGACATTCCACACAAGGCGTACTCCACAGTAAGCCTCGAGATAACATGACCGCCTGTCTCCAGGAGCATGGAATCCAGAAGGTTCGTGCAGGAAACGTCGAGTCAGGCGGCATCATGGACCTCGAAAGGTTGCTTCGCGGCAAGCGTGACGCGATTTGGTTGCCCAATCCTACGCAAGAACCAGACAGTACCTCTTTCCTTCACCATAGGTTACTTGCCATTGCACCATTCTTTTGCTTTCAGGACTCACTCCCAACCAGTATCAGCAGCAGCGCACACACCTGCATTGGTTTCCTTTATCCAATAGTCCCCAGGGACCGTACGATCGATTATGGAGCGCAGTGCTGCAACCAGCGGGTTGGCCACTGCAGATAACATACAATCACCCTGTACTGCACGATACGATGAACGATAAGCTATCAAGATGGTGGGCACTACATACCCCTGCATCACAAACGCGCCCAGCTGTCATATCTCCATCTCTGTTTGCAGAGGGCAGATAGATCTCGGCCCACCTCGAGCTCGTGCACTGTATCATCACGATCAGGTGGAAGCTACACTGAATCAGCATCAACGTCCAGATGTTTCACTCTGATGACACTCACGCGCAGAACGACTCCCCACCCCTTTTGCTTTTGGGGTACCACGAGCGCAAATGGGAACGCCCCACTAGTCCTTTCGAGTTCCATGAACCACATGTAACTCTGGAAGAGAATCGCTGGCTCATTGGTGCAGACCTAGGCATCGAATTAGCAAGATGATTAGAATAAACGTATAGGAAGAGCATACCACAGCCACGCCGAGCAGGTAACATGTGTACAATAGAGGCTTTGCGGGTATACTTCCGCTCGACTCAGGACTCTTGTACTCTTCCATGTTCTTCTCCAACAGGTAAAACGCGCTGCAATAGTATTTTTCGAAAGCCTCGAGGTACTTGTCAGGACATTGCGACTCTTGAAGGGTCAGATCCCCACCCAACTGTCTACGTTTCTTCTCCAGCTTTAGTTATTTGATCAAAGAATCCCCGGCCATGCACGCGAACAGTGCAAGCTTGACTATGAGATAGCCCTAGATACTTGAGTCAGTCAGGCATATTTGCCGTAAGCTTGGGCGCCGACATGGCAGTCGCTTATGCAGTGGGCCAGCTGCCTTACGTCCTCTCTATACCACTCTGTTAGTGTACTACCGAAATTCTGACTGCATACTTTGCTGTACGTGCCTGGGTCTCCATAGAGGCTACCCATGCGCTGGTACAGTAGGTGTTCCATCTCATTCGTCATTACATACGGGTCTGACGGCGTCATCTTGAGAGAGACCATTGGCAAGCCGTAAACGTGACTGGGATTCGCAAAGGACTCATGCTCAATGGAGGACATGTGTTCAGTCCATTGCATCGGACCAAAACATGCGCCAGTATCCAATGGGCTCCATGCGCTGTTCTGTCCAGGTACTGTCAAATTGCTGTTTCGTCGCGAATCGACTGGAATCGACCCAAGCTGGCTCGTCATCGATGATGGAGCTCCTGCAAAAGCCACTGTGTCTTCCGAGCTCGAGCGATCGGAGCGTACATACGTCGCATCATCCCACGAACCCAACGGGAAGTACAAGTCTGTCACCTCCAAAGGATCCGCTTGTACAGCACGCATTGCCGCGTCGTATCCGCACTCACGCTTCTGAGACCAAGTGCTTGGTCCCGCCAGCTGAGCGATAGCTCCCTCTAGGCTTGAACTCTCGATGATACCATTGGTCCGTGAGTATTGAACTTGGAAACTATCGTCCATCGTCGAAGGTGCCGCGATCGGCGTTTCCTGAGTCGCGTAGGGCGTTGTCGAACCCGAAGATCCCATGGCGGCTATAGCATCGTCTGCGTAGTCGATGAGATCGCCTGCTGCAAGCGCATCTTGCATACCTGGTCTCTTCGAAGCTCCCTCTTCTTGAACAGCAATGTTTTCGCGTCTCCTCTGATATTGGCGGACCTGCTTGTCTTCAGTAGTGGTGAGTCCAATACCGCAAGGATCGCCATAATGTTCGCATCGATCGCAACGTTGTCCCGGCCATTCTCGATGCGGAGAGAAGCACTGGACGAAGGTTAGTACCTAGAAAGCTTCCGCAGATAAGCGACTCATACCTGTTCTTTGTTGTCCCTGCAAGATTTACACTTTGGTTCCTCCTTTGCGCTCAAGTTCGCATTGCAAGCGTACTTGTACTTTGTGCACCTGTCGCACTTCTGTCCTGGCCATTTCCTTTTCGCAGACGCATGCTCGCCTACGGTGACTTCGCATTCCCGGATGTCAGTTCCAGTCTGCTTACGGCGTGTATGCGAATCGGTACCTTCTGTTTGTCTCTCCGACAGAACACACACTTTCGCAAGTCTGCTCAACTCCTTTTCTTGCGATATCCTGTAGAGGCTTGTGCGACCATATGATCCATTCTTGTCGCTGAAGCTCTCGTGCTCTGCGCTTCCAGTTACGTTGTGAATGTCGTAGGCTGTTGTCGATTATCTTTTCTGTGAGTGCCAGATGAATGGTGAAAAGAAAGGCTTGGACAACCGCACATGGAAACCACGCATCCACGAAAAGGAATATGTGTGACTTTCTCCAGCGTTGCACAGGCTCCAATCGTGAAGCACGCGGCCGCAAAGCTTAGTGCTAGGTACGGCCCGCACCATTTTCGAGTGGGCCCAAGAAGTGCAAGGCTAGACTCCGTATTGATCCAGATCGGTCTCAGCCTCACGTCTGTCGCTCGCTCTCCATCAAGTGAGAGCGGTCTCGCCAGATATGCAGCTAAAGGTAGCATTAGCGAAACAGATCTTAGGGCGGCCATCGCGTTAGCCTCTCACCAAGATGCGGAGGTCCCGCGTTTCTAGATGGGATCTATGGCCCATCGAGATACAACATGGGGAGCCGAAGGGAGACGGGGATCGCGGTGGTGTTTGAGGTGATGCAAGCTTGCTCTCAGCCAGCGCCACGCGTCCACGTGTATGCTGGTGGGAAAAAGAAACCAGGGCCAACTCTCCGAGATTCGAGGACCACGTCCTGGGGACGCCGAAACTGAAGAATTCTCTAAGATCAGTACTTGCTGTTACATTCTTGCTGTCACTACACGTGGGCATGCACAGCATCGTGAGGACTGAAAGTACTGACAGGCAATTCCAAGTCGCACTTCCTGCCCGTACGCTTGGTGCTCTAGCATGCTTAGGCTTGGGTCCGCTAAGCCTAGCTTCGACCTACCCCTCTACATATCGAACTTGGGCTGAGCCGAGAGGCCCAGCCTCGTATCTCCACACCCTTCGAAGAGAGCTCAAATGTTGGCTATGCAGCGCGTCCGACTCCTCTCTTGCAACAGGTCATGGAACGGCCGGGCCACCAAGTCGATGAACAGGTGGTAGTCGCGCAGAACATCTAGAGCGGCTAGCCTTTCATAGCACGGAGAGAGCCAAACTGTCTGGCATGTTGATGGTCCTCAGTGATTGCACGCCATACAATCACGGTATCAGAACGTACTCGACTCTTGACCACGCAAGTCTTACTCTCTTGCTTAGTCCTCCCAATCACCACGTCAATGGCCCGCTGGGTGCTTTGAGACTAGGGTTTGCAGGATGGGGCTAAAGGTGGAGTTGCGCATGAAGGGGTTTCCGCATAGGAACGATCCAAATAAGTAGCGGCCCATGATTAGGAGTTTTCAAGAGTACAATTCGTTGGACCAAGGGAGGGAGGGGTGTTGAGAGGGGCGGAGGAGAAGTACCTGGGGTTGGTGCATGTGGATAGAGAAGTGGGCAGTGTTGGGGGAGCTGGTCATGCTGATATGAGGGACATTATGGGCGCTGATGGGCCACAGTTGCCAGACTAGCTTGGAGAGACGCGTGACTAGTGAAGCGGCAAGCGTCGAGCAATGTGACAGATTGTATAGATTCCTCATAGTTCATTCATTTCATAGATTTCAGAAGGAGCGTCCAAGTCGCAACAAGCATCCGCCATCGACGCAGACCCACCCATCCTCCTACATTCAGAACTACTCAGAACCCGCCTAAGTGCAGATGCCGTTGTTCGCCAGGAAGTCGTTCAGTCCAGGAATGCATGCGGCACATGGACAGATCTGTCGCGTATTTTGTCAGCGAAGTTATACCAGAGAAACTCAAGCATGCAAGCGTACGCCAGTCGAACCGCTCGCAACACATGCGAGCACCGCCTCGATCATTCCACTGGCAATTCCAGCAGCAATGCAAGCCGTGGATGCCACGACGTTGGCGCACTGGAACACATCACAGTCCGCCTGGGCTGCGAACTGGATAGCTGCAGTCATTTCGTTGACGGTGGTGGTGGCATCACGGGCCATAGCGTTGGTAGCGGGCTTGGGGGAGGGTGAGGCCAGCGCGAGGGCGGCGGTGAGGAGGGGAAGGGTGGCGGAAAAACGCATAGTGAGTGAGCTTGAGCGAAGGGCTTTTGAAGCTGCAGTGAGCGTAGTGTTTGTTGGTTTGATGGCTTCCAGAATCCGGATGCTCGAACCCTTCTTATACCTGCGGGCTCGCAGTGCGCTGGATCTATGCACAGTCTGGACACGTGCTCTGCAGAATGCCTCAGCTGGCTGTTCACCGACCTGAAGCCCCCAGTTGCGACCTGGTAGCGCATCGTGAGGACCGTAACAAGCAAGTGTTTTGACGATCTCTGGAGAAGGCGCTGGAGAGTGAGATTCTGTAGTCGCACAACAGCGTATATGTCGCATTGGTAGACAATGGCTTGTAGGCGTTGCTGCAGTCATGGCGAAGATGTATATCAATCATACATACTCACACGTAAGGGCATTCAACCATTGGCGGAAACCAGGAAGGTGCATCTCAGAACGGCAGCTGTTAATCGCCTTCTCGGATTGCGATATTACATAACACCCACATTCTGAGTCTGCCATGTTCTGCCATAGGGCAGTCCGGTGAAACAGCGACCGAATACGTTGATCAGATACGAATAGGGGTGGTGTGCTGACTTCGGGACCAGGGTTCGCAGTGAGACTTCGTATAAGATGGATTGCCTTGTCCTTGCATTGGCCAACAACGCCTGTATAAACCAACAGCGAGTGATGGTGTGAGACTCTACATACTGTCAGCTAGATTGTGTCGATTACAAGAACTTCTTGAATTCCATGCTGTGGTGGCTCGACCCCAAACAAGCTGACCTGTGCCTGCAAGTGTCTGCAGGAAAGAAACCATAGCGTAAGAAAGTGCGCCCAGCGGCAGGAGTCAGGTGTCAGCGCCCGAGCACACGAGCCCTGCATGTGTAACATCCATAGAAGTCCTGCTTAAGCTGTAATAGAGTCAGGTCTGAGGGTGTGTGTAGTGTGAGATACGTTGTATTACCTTTCGGTGTGGAGGCCTTTGGGGTTCGTTGCTTCTATAAGTCAGTAGGAATGACAAGCTGAGAGAAAGCTGTACACGCCTACGCCTAGTTCGGTAGGAGGTGGCATGGCGAGAAAATGTCTCGTTCGTGGCCTGGAAGCTCAACCTTGGTCCCGACAGCGTGTGTGGAGTAAAGAGGATGCATTCGTCTATGTTGAAGCGGCACCGCAAGGCCGTAAGGCGGCAGAAAAGCGTGTGTGTATCATGCCCAAACGCCCGGTTCCAATTCCCAATCCTAATCCATAGCCAACAGGCTTGCCATACCCCATGCCCATCCATGCCATCATTACCCTATGCGCAAACATCGAAGCCAAAAACGAAGTGAATTGTATCCGCAGACACACGCATGCAAATGCCGTCCAGTAAAGCACCAATCTATCGCAAGCCATGCAAGGCCAAATCGGCTGTCTAGAAACGACGCGCGCTGTTCCAACGCAATGCACATGGGAAACGCTTAAACGATCAAAAGCTATTGTACGTCGTTAGCACGATTCGCGAATAGTGGCGTGGAGCATAGAGCCAAACATACCTTGGCAACATTCTCGTTGCCCTCGCGCTCCTCGATCCTGTTCCAGGCAGTGTAGATGAGAGCGCCGCAGACGGCCCACATGACGGGCACGCCGGCCTCGAGGGCGCCGGGCTTCTCAGCCTGGGCGGCCATCTCGATGACGCGGGCAGCGCGGCTGGTGGTGGTGTTGGAGTTGAAGCGCGCGGGGGCGCGGAAGGTGCGGGTTATGGGGAGGCGGGCGGGGAGGACGAAGCGAGGAGCCATTGTTGTGGTTGTTTAGAACAGAGGAGGCTGTCTGCGGGTGGCGATGAGTACACGTGTACTTTTGTGTTCTTGAGGTATCCCCTTGTTCAACGTGGCAGTAGAACCGATTGCGAGAATCTCCAAGTGAATGTGTCGTCGACGAGGCAAGCAGTGAATGTGGTGTGTTGAAGGAGTCAAGGCGGGGAGCCAGTGCACTTTATGAACGAGTGGGCCGGCGGTGGGTCTGTCGCCGCAAAAAGAAAAGGAGGCGAAGCATAACGCGCGCACAATTTTCTCGCGCCCCTGTTTCGGGACTTCACCGCCTCGTCTCGGTGCAGCACGTGGTCTGTGCCGCTTGGCGAGGAATGCCCGTGGTGCCGCTGCCGGGAGATGGATCTCCCCCGGATTTTCGAACAGTGGAGAAGAGTGGAGGCGCCGGGTAGGGCGTGCGCGGTCCGACACAGCGACGACGTTGGTCCCATCTCGGGCAGCGTGCGCGAGGAACAGAATGCCCATGGCGAAGCTGTGAGTCGAGCCGCGCTGCAGCGCAGCCGGGCAGCCGGCGTGTGCGACGGCCCTGGCATGAGATCGGCAGCGGCGACAGATGAGGAGCCGCTCGAGACCCTGGAGCCTGGCTGGACCTGCCCATTCGGCACCGCAGCCTTCTCGTCCCCTCCAGCAACACTTCTAAGCGGCATCACGGCGACTCGGCCCTTTGAACCTTGCGATGATTACTATTTCTTGTACCTGTTTTAATCTGGTAACAGGTCACACCCCCCGCCCTCATGCACCCATTCCGTAGTCCGTATGCACCTTCCCAAAAGCCATCGACATATGCTACAGGCCGTTACAACACATCATACAATGCTAGTACAACAACGTAAAGAAAAGCGTAGCGCTGTTACAAAAAATTATACATGAAGCTTGCTCAATGCACTCGCGCCGGTCGCGATGCGGTGCTGCGCGGGTGGAAGTGGTGCAGTGTGCCGGGTCTTGTGGTAGAGCTCCAGTTCTTGGTAAACTTGTCGTTTTGCCAGATTTCATCCACCGGCAGGAGTTGCGCCATCTGCTCGTAGTGCAGTAGCGCCCGCTCGTTCTCCTCGTCTCCCTCATCTTTCTTCGCTCGTCGGGTTCGCGGCTTAGCAGGCGGCCTGACGGTGCGTATGATATCCCTCAACTCTTTGTCATCGTTCGTGATCTGCGCTTTTAGGTATGCAATGCTCGACACAGAGCTCGGGTCGACGTCTCCAAGAGATGCCATGACGGGAATCCGAGGCGTGTACGAGGACGCGTACTTGTCCACCGCGGGGGCATCTTTCGGCACAACCGCAGGGTCCAGGCGCGCGGCCTCGCCTTTGTCGAGGAGCGTCGTGATGTCGAGAGATTCGCCGTGAGGAATCTTTTCCTTGTGGCTGGGCGTAATGCAGTCCATGTCTACTTCCTTGCGTAGTACGTGATCGATGTCGACGGCCGAGAAGTAGGCGCATGATTGCGGGAGCTCATTGATGCCCATCTGCTGCGAGAAGATGGCACGCGTCCATACGTTGGCTACCTGCAACGCCATGGCCGCTCGGTACTTGTCCTCTTCCTTGACAAGGTAGCGAATCTCGTCGTGCACTGTGATGGCCAGGCGAGCTTCGAGGTTGTACCGCCGACTAAGGTATTCCATGCTGACAATCAGGAGATGGAGGTAGTCGACACCAGACGACTGAATGGCCCAGTTGATGCGCGACGTCATGAAGCCACCCTTGGTCAGGTAGCGACGCATCAGTGCTTCAGTGATCCCGGCTCCAAGGACAGCTGTTCTGGGCTTCTCTTGCTCGGCAAAGTCCTCGAGTTTGTTGAAGACAAAGGATTCGGTGCCGCCTCTCCAGAACGGTCGCTCGTGGAGTTGCTTCCTGGTCGTTTTCTTTCCCTTTGTATTTTCGTACAGCTCGTTGGCCGTCTTGGTCGTTTGCGAGTCGGTCAGGCCAGGGTTGAATTGTCGCAGCAGTGTTGCGGCGAACTTCAGTCCGGCACCGTAGATACGACCGTAGTTGAAAACCTTTGCGTCGTTTCTTGTAATGCCCAGAATGCTTGCGGTACGGGAATGCAGATCCGTACCGGCGGCTTTGGTACCCTCAAGCGTCATGAAACCGACAGCATTACCTCCGTGTAGCTTGAACGTAGAATCGCCAATCAGACTCGCTATCCACAGCTCTTGCGAGTCCACGTCGGCTCCTACAAAGCAATAACCCTGCGGGGCGCGAACCATTGACTTCAACTCGGATCCAACCCGATTCTTCTTGGCGTTGCTGGCGGTGAGCCAGGTATTCTCCACAGCTCGGCGTGTGATAGTGCCCATTGGGATGACCTGTGGTAATATGAAACCAACTTTCTTGCCTGTGCCAGCTTGTGATGCAGACGCTAGCTTTGGCGCATTGGGCACCTCATTGTTGTACACCACCATCTGCGACATGATCCTGTCTCTTGCGCTCATCCAGTACGAACAAGATGCGTTCATCTCGAGCGCCTCCTTGGCGTACTCGTACTCAGAGGAAAGAGTTCCTTTCTCCATGTAGGCAAGATATCCCTTTGCCAAAGGATTTGCGCACCTTGCCAGAGGGCCGTCCTTGTGTGGTACTTTGTAGTATCGATGTTTCGTATCGTCGCGCAACTTTAGATTCCCTTCTTCTGACATGTCCAACTCTTTCATGCCCTTTTCGTTGTAAGCAAAAACTTCTTCCATGGGCACCTGCCACGTCCAGCCATGCTCGTCTGACCAGACGAGCGGGTTCCCATCCCAACTGAGCTTCAGCAGAATTGGTGCTACTCTTGTGCGGACTGTGAGATTGATTGGTGCGTCGGTCTTGGCAAACAAGTCTTTATACCACTTGGGCATGCCTGGCATCTTCTGCCGGGCTGCCGGTCGCGATGGCTCGCCTTTCTTCTTCCCCTTGACCATGCGAATCTCCTGGCCAGACCAGTCCAGCTGACTTAACCAAGGATCCTTCTCGTAAATTTCGGGTTTGTCTTTGACTTCGAGTGCCTGTTCTGCGAGCTTGACGAGTCGCTGTTGGACAGCTTCGCTCAGCTGGCGGTACGTGGCCTCGGCATTGTGGATATATGCGTCCCACGTCTCGTTTACAGGGAGAATCTCGGCGGCCAAAAACCGCAGGGCCGCAAAGCTCACAGGATGCGGGCACGTCTCGAGGAATAGAGGGAAGACTTTCTGGTATACACGATGGGTGATCTCAACATCGGCCGCACAGTAGTCAAGCAGCTCATCCAGCTTCTCACAGATGCCTGCCCGGTCCAGCTCGCCAAAGTACTCTCGGCGAGCCTTGTCGATTGTGATGTTGCAGTGGAATTTGGCCACTTCACGTAATGAGTTGACTGCACTCCGGCCGATCCACAACTCCTCCTCTTCGTGTGGTATCGCGTCCGAAGTTAGCAGATGTGAGATATCTGTATATTCCTCCGAGGTGGCAATCTTTTCCCGCTGCTCCCGGCTCTTCTGATGCTTCATCCAGGAAGGTCTTTGCCGGGAGCACATGCCGTTGGACGCGACGTGCAAGGACATGGTATCGACGAACGCGTTCTTCGATTGGCGAATGTCGTATTCTTCAGCTATTCTTGCTCTGTCGTATCCGATGTTGTGGCCAACAATGACTCGCGCTCGTGACGGGTCGCCGAGTGGTATGAGATGACGATCCGACTCTGACTCTCCCAACAGCCAGGGCGAGATCCAGCCATACCACGCCGTCGGACTTACAGCGCATGCCATGCACGCAAATGATGTCTCCTTCCACATGACCTCGGTGTCAAAGGTCAGCATTTCCTCGTCCGGGGCTTCCACGGCTTCGCTCGTCCCGTCGCTGTGGTACTTGGTCCACCCACTTCTTCTCACCCACTTTCGCGGCTTCGGTGGAGGATTCGCCCATGCTAGCTTCTTTGCCATGGTCAGAAACGGTTCCGCGGCGTCCATTCCGAGCTTGTAGAAGTGTTCGTCGAGCGTGGTCCCCTGCAGCTCGGGCAGGTCGAATGCGACAGGCGGGGTGGAGTCTTGGTTCTTGCCGAGCAGGTCATGGCGGGTGAGGTGGTCCTTGGAGAGGGCGACGAGCTCTGGCGGGGCGGCAGTGCTCCTGCCGGGGAAGACTTGGTGGTGGACGTGAGTAGAGAGGTGCTGGACCCCTATCTCGCTGAAGCGGGCTTCGGACGGGACTGCAGAAGCTTAGTGCGGGTGAAATGCATGGGAGAACGCGGTCGCATACCAGCCAGGGTCTCTCTCCTCGCGGCGCTGCCTCGCCCGCCCTGCGCGGACTGCACGGTGGCGAGGCATCGTCGCGACGTGCACCCGAGAGGAGTGCTTGTAGCTGCAGGCGGGAGTCGCGGTCGCTTCACGAGATGGGCGGCAACAGTCCGGCGGGAGCAGCGCATTGTCGTGTGAATCGCTGCGGGTCACCTCATGCCGTCGTGAGGGCTGTCGGCTTGGGGGTCGTGTGGGCGGCGCTGGCTGGCGTCATGGGCACTGAAGCTAAAGTTTGGTGCATTGAGCCAAGCGTTGCAGGGCTGAAGGTTGACTGCAGCGCGGGCATCCCGCCGCGATGTGACACGGCTAACAAGCGCGCCGCGGCCTGCGGGCGCCTGACACGCTCGTTTCCAGCAGTGCCTTTGTTCTCTTTCCTCGATGCTGTTGCGCTCGCTCCTCCCTCTCCATGCGCTCCCGTCGTGCTCCGCGCTGAGTCCGACGCTCGCCCTTCGCCACCATGTCGTCGGCGTCTAGCTTCCACTTGCCCCCCCACGACGACGACGACGACGACGACGACCCAGAACAGGTCCCACCTGCGTGCCCATTCCTCCACCGCGCCAACAACATCTCCGCCGCGCACGCGCAGGGGCACCCGAGCTGGCACTTTCCTGCGGCGCATCGCTCGGACGTGGCGCCACCCTCGTTCGCCATCGGCAGTACCTACAACCCGGACCGGGACGAGAGCGCCTACTCTTTCGACAACGCCTACCACGCCGCGCCCTCACCCCCCGCCCCCAGCTTTCTCGACAACATCCTCAACCCCGTCGAGAACGCCTTTGGTCGCAGCTTCGGCGAGGGCGGCATGTCGTCATCGCGAGGGCCAGGGCGCTCCGGCCGCCTGTCCAACGGCTACGTCGACTTGACAGACTCGCCCGACGTCACCACCACGTCGCGCAAGACGAAGAGGCAAAGCCCCGCGCCCGGCCCGTCCACGAAGAGGCAGAGGCGCAACGATGGCTGCGCGCCACAGTCCTCGGGCAGTTCAGCAGAGGCAACAGTGGAGGAGATCGATTTGTCCGCCGAGAAGCATACAGTGCAGGATGTGCTCCAGAAGCAGCGCGAGGAGGCCGTCAAGGCGCAGGCACATCCCGAGGAGAAGGCCACCACTTTCAACACCTTCAACTGCGTCATCTGCATGGACACGCCTACCGACTTGACGGCGACAGCCTGCGGTACGTCACGCCCGCCAGGGAATACATTACAGTACTGATGGAAGCGTAGGCCACCTCTTCTGCCACACCTGCCTGATGGAGGCCCTCATAGCAGGCGAGAACCGCGGCAACCCAGGCGAGCAGCGCCGGTCCCAGTGTCCCGTCTGCCGCAAAAACATCAACCGAGCCAAGGGCTCAGACATCATTCCGCTGCTGCTCAAGAAGGGACTCGCTACACAGCCCAAGAAGACGAGGCCCATTGGCGCAAGCACTACCACAGCATCAAAGGTAACGTCATAGCGCATGCGTTGCTTGAGCATCGTGGCTTTGCCAATTCGGTGTACCATGTAAATTATTGAGCCTTTGCGGATCTGGCGCTTTTTACAGATTCTTCGGCATGCACTAAGTCAGATAGAAGACGCAGAAGACTGTACAGCCTCTCATCCGGAAATCGTCTTGTTCTCGACCGCGCCGAAGGCCTGCATCGTTGCGGAGGACGACCATGCGACCAGCAGCAAGGATGGCCGATGCCCGGTTGGACCACTGGTCATCTCACTTTGCATATGAAGACGAGATTTGAGCTCAGTTGGACCGGTTTCCACGGCCTGGTGCGTCGTAGGATACATTGGCACGCAAGGATGATACCACACAGCGTGGGAAGGGCGTTGCAAGGGGGCGATACGAACTCGAAGGGAACAGACATGTATGACTATGGTTTTCATGTAGACTAGACTGACACCACCAATCGGCCTCAGGTAGTACCCGACGATGAAAGCTAGATGCATAAGATCAAATACTCTGCAGACCACCTACGTGGCTTCTCTGCTACCGCTCACAGGTGATTCCGGCCCATTTCGATATCAGTCTTGAACACGGCTCGTTGCCATAGGCAGTCTAGGCGACGTAGAAGGTAGTAATCGTGAGACCCACTTGTCGGAACACGAATTCCGAAGCTCGGAACATGTCGCGCGTGCGGGGAAAGAGGTCTGCGACATTTCAATTTCAATTGTAATCGCATCTTTCTCAAGCCTACAGAATACCTCGAACAGGAAAATATGGCACCAATTCTCGTCACCGCAAGAATAGTCTGCTCGAGCAAGGAGGCGCGAGCTACCGTACGCGGCATTCCCTCGTAACCCATTCTCCCCATAGTATGTGCTGACCACGTACCGTCAGGTCCTCGACGCCTTCCACAAAATCATAGAATTCACACAGCCCCATGAGCCGGATGTTCTCCGCTATGTGGTCACACTTCCCGCCGACGACACCACAGGCACCGTACTCTACATGATCGAAGAGTAAATCACCGCGATCCACACCACCTGCTGCCTCCAACTCACACCCCCAGATACGCCTCCCAAGCCGCCAGCGACGCCCACCTCGCCACCCAACCCGTCAAAGATCTCATCACCCTCTTCACCACCACCTCAGTCCTTGCTGCACCCCCTGACGTCCACACCTCCACCGTCACATCGAGCAAGACATGTGCGCCGACCCTAAGCCCCACCAGCAAGCCTGCCATCGTCCTCGCGCACTTCGATTACAAGCCCAACACAGTCGCGCGTGCGCTGCAAGGCTGGGCTGAGGTCGTGGACTATGCGAAGGAGAAGGAGTATTGGACGAGGGGGTACACAGTTGGTGAGGAAAAGGACAAGAGTTGCGTGAGGACGGTGGAGACGTATGAGAGTTGGGAGTTCTTGGACACTGTGCATTTGAAGAGCGAGGCGGTGGGGAAGAACCGGAAACACAACGGGGCGGATAGGACGGGCCAGGGAGAGGTGAGGGTAGTCGCTGTGGATGGGTTTTTGGGAAGGGAGGGAAGAAGTAAGTTGTAGGGTAGAGGTGTTAGATTGGACAGAATGAGGGAGTGAGGTTTTGTCATGTGATTGTGCGAAGAGCGCTAAGTGTTGTGGCAGATTGTACAAGTCGAAGCCACGATTTCAAGACGAAGCCAAATAGCTACCACAACTATACATTCGGATATTGTGTATGCATGGTGCGAAATAGGTCCTCCATACTATCGACCTCCGGTGGCATATATTCTTTGACAATGCTGCGCTGTCTTTTTACGTCGCAACATCTATCACAATGGGTGGACTGTTCATCAGTATATACACACCGCAGGCTTCATATTCCCTCGGTCAACTAGAAAAGCAACTGCAAGCCTCAACCCAAAGCAACTGAGACTTTCAACTCCCTCAAGAACATCTACTTTCAGAAAAAGGAGGCCCACTTTAAAATCGAACATTATCTCAACACGAGTCAAGATGGCATATCGTTTTGGCGACTTCGTCACCGGCCCCAAGCCTGAGCCTTCGGGCAACAATAATATTACCCTCCACTTCCGCCTTCGCGACAATGCGCCCAAGCATAAAACGGGGACGGTCATGTACGAGAACCTCGATGAGGGCATTTTGACCTCGACGTCCCAGCTTCTCTGGCAGAAGCGTGGTGAGCACATTTATCTTGTCTGGAAGGAGTTCGGCATTGTAGGAACGTACATCGACTGGCTCAACGATCGCGTCCTCTATCGTCCTCCCCTCGACGGTCCGACCCGGCCATCCGACTGGACGCTGTTCAAGTACCCCAAGGGTCGAATGGACCAGTATAGCCCTCTAGTCCGCGACATTCACACGCTCCTGAACCAGTGGCTGTTGGGGTGGTACCTCCAGGACGTGACCTTCATGGACATAGTGATGTCAACGCTGCAGCGTCTTCTAGATGAGCCGCACGAGGAGGAGCATTCCGAAGGGCACGCGACGCCAGATGTTTTCTTGCGTTTCCTGAAGCCATCAGTCATCAACGCCATCTGGGCTAACACTGCGCCAGGTGCGAAGCTGCGCAACTTTATCGTGGACTACATCATCAAGTATGCGCCACATCGCCAACTGCTCTACTTCGATGGCACTCTTGGCTGGCGCCAGGACGGCAGCGGCGCGGCTGTTCCTCAGACGCCCAAGAAGGTGCCCAACGACTTCGGCAGCTTCGCCAGTCTGTCTCGCTTCTCGCCTCGTCGCGCGACATTTGCCAGCTCCTCGGAGTCGGAGGCCCGCATTGAGAACAGCGGTAAGCCAGATATCTACGTTTACCCACCGGAGTTTATGACTGAGCTTAAGAATGTGCAGTGGGGCACTCTGCTTGTAACGCAGCTGCCTGAGCATATTCGAAAACACTACCCCGGCCAGGTGCGTGTTTACCTGCCTCCTTTCCCGTACGTTCTTCCCCCGGCTCCAACTAGGCGTCGCTTCACTCATTACGGCCTCGAAGAGGAACCCGTTCTACAGTGTCCACGCCAATTTGTTTCCATAATCGAGCTGCAGGGTCCAGCACGCGAGCTATTTTTCGAAACAGTGTATGGAGAAGGTAAGGGGAAGACAATTCTTCGCTCGCCTGTTTGGGATGGCGGCCGCGATCTGGACGCTGCTAATAACACCGTTGGTGATGTCAAGATGGAGGACGCGTTCGATGCGCCTGCTACTGCTGACAAGGATGTGCCTGAGGTTAAAATGAGCTGTATGTACCACATGCACACTGAGGATCGTGCTTGTTGGCTTCTGAAGAACCCCCTCGTTAACGGAGGCGTGTGGCCAACTGAAGACGAGGAGTAGGGTTTCATATATTTCCCTGAAGTTTTCGATGCGGGAATGATCTCTCTGCCAGAGCAGCTGCTCTCACACGTCGCCAGCAGTTCATCCTGACTGTTCCTACCACGAATTTCGCTGGTAATTATCCTGCCATTGATCGAGCGGTAGACGCAAAGCATGCTGAGACGTAATGAACTAGCTTTTCACCTCTCCCTTTCCATAATTGTAGTTTGTCCCTGTTTCCCTAACTTACCCGAGTTGTAATGATTTTGTCACTTTCAATAATCTTACTTAAGTTAGATTCCACATTACAATAAAATTGTGTCGTGCATTACTACTCCTTCGATCCCAAGATGCAAGTGCTATGTGTCGCTCATTAGTATTAATCTGGTACTCAATGTGCAGGGGTCATTGATTCTTGTTCCGACTTTGTTACCCAAGGCGCAAGAAGTCATTGTTGAAGCTGCGTAGAATAGTACCCACGTGCTCGCGTGGCATCAGCGCGTCAACCATGACATCATCACTCCCACACTCCATAGTACTATCTAGCATCCCATCCGTACAATCTTCACTGATACCAATCCCTTGTCCAGCCAATGTTCTTCCCCAGAATTCTCTGTGCACACCGTGCCCGCACCCTTAAACGCGCCTTCACCTCCACCACCGCCGCAACCATGGTCCAGCACGGCATCCCCAGTCCCCCCAGCACAGACCCGGCGCTCTTCCCGCCCGTGCGAAAATGGGTTCCACAACATCAATCATGGCCATACGCACCAAAAGACTTTTTGCGCTTGGATGAGACGGACGATGGTGACTTTTACAACCAACCACGTTACGTCGCGCATATCGACGAGCAGGCTATTGAACGTCTGACAAAGTACTTCGGCACCGTACTACCCCGGAACGGCAGCGTTCTCGACTTTTGTACTTCGTGGCATTCGTGGTATCCCGACGCGTATGTCGAAGCTGTGAAGAGTAACGAGCTCGAGGTCTATGGCATCGGCATGAGCAGGCCAGAATTGGACCGGAATTCGTTATTTAAGAATCATCCTGCCCGTTCTTTCGTCGCGGATTTGAACGAAACCCCGGATGTACGAGCTCATCTATCAAAAGGAGGAGCAGAGCCCCCGCAGCTGCGCGCCGCAACTTGCACAGTGAGCATCGATTATCTCGTCAAGCCCGTTGAGGTCCTACGTAGTCTACGGGAATGCACGGTCGAAGGCGCCAAGGTCCATCTAGTCATCAGCAACCGGTGTTTTCCCACCAAGGCGGTGAGGATATGGCTGGAGTTGGATACCGAGGAACGGCTACAGCTTGTGGGAAATTACCTGCATTTTGCTGGGTGGAAGGATATTGAGATCATTGACCTGTGCGCCAGAGATGAGGAGGGAAAGAGGCTTACGGATGAGAATGGGAGGATGTTGCAGGGACAGGGGATGCTGGGGTTCCTGAGGTTGCGGCATATGGATCCGCTTTGGGTGGTGCGCGGGACGAAAGAAAGGAATGCTGAGAGCCGTTGCGATGCGGTGAATTAACGCGAGTTAGGCTTGACGCAACATAACGCTAGTGTCCGGATGCCATCCTATTGACATCACACCTCGGGCTGCATCGAACGCACTGTTCTTCAACTCTTCGTCGTTTCATCAGTGGCTATCGTTCACTTCCACACATGCGGCCCTCCTTCCGACGCTGGTTCCATCTCAGATCCTCGTGGCCTGCCTAGAAGTTCCTACTCAACAACACCTCTCGGCAACTCTCAGACCTTCCATCAAAGCACCGAAGTTCCTTAAACCCTAGTGGTCGGCGGCCATGGGGAGCCAAGACATCCATCTCTTCTGGTCTTTCCACGTATACAGCCAGCAATCTCGAAGGCGTCGAATATGAATGCCGTGAAGAAGTCCCACATCATCCATGTAGACGAATAGCCAGGTCTGGTTCCGCGAGTGGTTCGGATCGTGAACCCGGGCCTAGATCAGGTATTGCGTGCAGACTCCGTGGTAGAAGGAGGATGTGTGAGATCTCGGCAGCGATGTCGTGGGAAGCTCGAGGGAGGGCGAGGTTGGGGCCAGATGCGATGTTGCCGAGTAGCGCGGCTGGTGTTGAGGGAACCACTGGCACTTGGAGCGCGAGGATGACGAATATGGCTGCCCTTCCATATGACACTTGGTCAGCGTGGTCCAGACAAAAAAAATATCCTGACACAATTATGAAAGCAATTCTACAAGTGGTTCTCAGGGCTAGTAGTGTTGCAAGTGTAGACTGGAAAGCGAAGATCAAAGTTGGTACAGTCGCTGCGGCGCAGCTGGTGGGGGCCAACCGTGATCGCCCCCGTATCAGTCGGCAGACACATGCAGGACAACGAGGTCAGCCTCGCCACCGGCGCGCCTCTCCATCTCTTCGCGAGCCACAACGTCGAACGCGGCACCGTGTTCCATGCAACCACCTTAGCTTAACGCTACTTCAAAACCCGCGGGTGTTTAGGCTATATACATTTGCACTATTGGCGGATTAGCGCAAATCCGCTTGAAGCGAGTGGTCGATAAATGAAAACTAAATTGAATCGTCTTCGTGAATAGGCATTTTATTTTTGGAAACGGCGAAGAATGTCGAATGTTTGAGAGAAACAGCTAGGGTTGTCTTTACCTACAGTAATCAAGAAACGCGAAGTATGATGCTACAGTTGCCGTGAGTGATGAATCTCCGTCCTATGTTTCGAACAAGGAGACAAGATGGGCTCCGGGGTCGCTAGACCAGCAAACATTCCCCGTGGGGTCCCCACGAAGAAACGATAGCGTTGGATCGATCGCTTGGTGCGACGGCGGAGGCACATGAGAACCGCGTCTCCCGGCAGGACTCCCGTACACTCCGGCAGGTGACCTCTGGATATTGAGCAAGATCAGATCTAAGGCTGCGTTTTGCCGCGGCTTGCAAAGGCATGCGACGAGCTCACAGATGATAAGATCTAGGGCTACAGAGATGAAGACGTCAGACTAGAAGGCCCGGCTTGGCTTCGACTTGGCGTTGTGAAGTAAACCCCATATGTACCACCTAGGTCTTGTTACTTGTGGGATTTCGGAATCTCTTAATTTATGAAGGCAAGGTTCATACTCCACGTGTTTCCGTTTCGGGCACAATTCAGAAGGAGTTCGATCTTGACGCCTCCAACACGTATTGGCCAGTGCTCGTGTGGACAGAAATAAGAAGAAAGGGAATCCGTTGCGGAGATCCTTTCTTTTTTGCTAGACCAGCTCCCCAATTCCAAGATTCCTGTCTGCCTGGACTCTGCCATCATGCGTACCTCTGTTCTCGCGCTCGTGATCGCCCCCACTGCCGTTCTCGGCCAGTCCCAGCTTTGGGGCCAGTGTAAGTAATGTCTCGCAGTGGCTTCCAAAGTGAGATAAATTCACTAACATCATATACGAATAGGCGGTGGTATTGGATGGTCAGGGTCCACGACTTGTGTCTCAGGCTCAGTGTGCTCGAAAGTAAAGTGAGAGCTCTTCCTCGGTTTTATCTTTCCCAGGGCATATTCCCTAACGCCATTTCAGCGATTATTACTTCCAGTGTATTCCTGGATCGGGTGGCGGATCTCCCACGACTACTGCTGGAGGCAGCAATCCTGCTCCTACTCAAGGCACAGGGACCGGAGGTGGACTGAACGACAAGTTCAAGGCCAAGGGCAAGACCTACTTCGGAACAGAAATCGACAACTACCATCTGAACAACGCCCCTTTGATGGCCATCGCCAAAGATAGCTTTGGCCAGGTCACTTGCGAGAATTCCATGAAGTGGGACGCAACTGAGCCGCAACGTGGAACGTTCAACTTCGGAAACGCTGATAAGGTCGTCAGCTGGGCCACGTCGAACGGAAAGCTTATCCGTGGCCACACCCTCCTCTGGCACAGCCAGTTGCCGAGCTGGGTCAGCCAGATCAATGACCGCACAACATTGACGTCCGTCATCCAGAACCATGTGACCCAGATGGTCACGCACTACAAGGGCAAGATTCTCCAGTGGGACGTAGTCAATGAGATCTTCGCCGAAGATGGTAACCTCCGAGACAGCGTCTTCAGCCGTGTGCTCGGGGAGGACTTCGTTGGCATCGCCTTCCGTGCTGCTCGCGCCGCCGACCCCAACGCGAAGCTCTACATCAATGATTATAACCTTGACATCGCGAATTATGCCAAGGTGACCAAGGGCATGGTCGACCACGTCAACAAATGGGTGTCGCAGGGCATCCCCATCGACGGCATCGGGTCGCAGGCCCATCTTGCGGCACCTGGTGGGTGGAACCCGGCGTCCGGCGTTCCCAACGCGCTCAAGACGCTGGCCGGCGCCAATGTCAAAGAGATCGCCATCACCGAGCTCGACATCAGCGGCGCGTCGCCAAACGACTACCTAACTGTTATGAATGGCTGTCTCGCCGTATCCAAGTGCGTAGGTATTACTGTTTGGGGGGTCTCCGACAAGGACAGCTGGCGCAGCAGCGACAGTCCTCTGCTATTCGACAGCAATTACAAGGCTAAGCAGGCGTACAATACGCTTCTCAACGCGTTGTAAGGGATTTTTGGAATCAATTGGTCGTTGTGTTAGGATAGATAGATCACATTCGCCAGCGGGCAATAAAGCCGACTTCATGCGACATACAGAAGCGATTATCCTTTTGTAGTGGCTCTGCGATGGGCGAGCTCAGAGCTGATATACTCAGTACGCGAGAAGATCGGCGGGAATAACGCTGCAAAAGCTCTAAGCTCTACCCTGGCTTGGTTCCCGGAGATCAAACCATATGGAGTCTGCACCATGTCCCCAGTTATGAACGAGCCCGTGGGGGTGTTGAAACGAATAAGACTCGTGCAAGAAGAAGTTGGTCGTTTCCACGTCGGCTTGGACTAATTCGTTGAGATTCGACATGTGTGCGACCTTGGAATTGCTCCAAACATACACTAACTCCCGGATGCGTACCTGTTGTTTGGGTGACTGCGCGTAGAACTGAAAGGTATGTGAAGATCGTAGTGTGTGATAATCTGTTCCGAGGTTCGAAGCGGGGGGCACGAGCGGGCTGAGTAGATCATGTAGAAGTCTTTGCGGGATGAAGGAGGGTCTCCAATTGATGAACGTCGCAAGATCATCATGGAACGTAAATGTGAGCCTGGTCAGGTGTAGCGTATACAGAATCCCTAAACAGCTTTCCATTGCTGATGTATTGACAATTTCCGGTTTGGAGAGCAAGTCGCTTTTGGATGTGGCAAAATATAAAGACAGAGGTAGCTGGACGGTGACTTTGTCGATATCGTTGAAGGATGCAAGTTTCGAAAATCGTAGTCTCTGGGAGTGCGGCCACTGGTGTTCGATTGAAGCCAAGGACTGGCGCATGACACTTAGGGCTTCGCTCTCGTACTCAATTCGGAGTTGTCGCGAAGTCAACAACAAGCCTCTGAATTCCTCAGCGTAGGCGTCTATAGGTGTGCAGAATCCATAGATCCGATTCCTGATCTCTGCAGGTAATGAAAGGAGCGGAGATGCCGACATTTTGGACGTCTCTTTGGGTTGTTGACGGCATGGCCAGCATTTTAGAACGGAGAATCGGAGAGTACCGTACCGTGTCTGTGCGCGTGCCGAGCCACTTCGCGTGACGAGCCACCAAACACCATATCAGCTCATGTAAAAATGAGGCTATAGAGCCACCCACAATTGATGTTATCTAGAGAATTTCTACCTGGGTACTAAATCGAACACTGCAATTGATTTGCGCTACTGATATCTATCTGGAAGCTTAACGTTGCGACCGTGGCGTGTTGTTTTGGTCTGAGCAGCAGATGCGCCTTCTGAGGCCTCCCTGATAGCTAGAGCATCGCCTGCACACTTATGACGCTTTCTAGTCTGTAGAGATAGCTGAGAGATCTTCCTCTTACCCTTTTGGGATGATTGTAGAGCTTTTTCAGCATTACGCGTAGATTGCTGGGCAGCGCGCTGAGCTGCCTTTTCAGCTCTCTCCTTCTCCTTTGCCTCTCTAGCTGCATCTCGCGCAGCACGCCTTTCCTGCCGGATTTTCTCCTTACATAGCTTAGCTGCCTTCTTCAGCTCTGCTGTCTCTGCCTTTTGAAGCTGCTCCTCATTATCCTCCTGCTCCATAATAGATAGTGCCTGCCTAAGCCCATCGATCTCGTGGTGGAGTAGCTCATTTTGAACAGATAGGTGGTGGAGCGATAGGCGAAGCTTCTGTGTATCCCTGCTACTCTGATCCTTTGCTGCAGAGCGTACAAGCCTATCTAGCTTTCTCCAGTCATGATCGTTGAGCCTTGATAAGGAGCTATCACCTGATTCTTCCTGATCCTGGGTGAATCTATCAAGGATAGGACTAGGATCAAGTGGTGATATACCTGTTGATTTGAAAGAGCTCAGGATTGTTGATTCCTTAAAGGAGGTATTCCACGCATTCCAGAATAGGGGAAAGAAATCACCTTTGGTGATAGAAGCTAGGCCCTGGCTTCTATGAAGGTATGCTGATAGTTCTTCTGAGTAGGCTGTTGATAGAGGCTTGAACATCGCCACATCGAGTGGCTGCAGCGTATGAGTTGAATGAAGAGGCAGGATAGCAAGGAGGATCCTATTCTGATCACAATAGTTGATAAAGTCCATAGTAATATGGGAACCATGGCCATCTAGGATCAGTAGGCGATGTGATCGTCGAGTCTTCTCCCTTGTGCAGCGATCAAATACCTGCTCAAGCCAGGCTAGGCCAATATCGTTGTTCGTCCAGCCTGATGGTGATGAGCTGATAAAGATATCATGTTCTCCTGCCCTGACATCATCTACCCAAGCTGATTGGATAGTGCTGTTGGCAGACTCATAGATCAGGCTTGGTGGCAGAGCTGATCCATCAGCGCAGATACATGCTAGGACTGTAATCCATGCACGATTTCCATCCTGGAGTGATGCCCTAACCTCCTTCTTCTCCCACATTCTTCTGCTGAAGATCCTTTTTGATCCGCCAATAATACCAATTAGGAAGCCTTTCTCATCCATATTGTAGGTATGACGAGGATCTATCTGATATTGATTGATCTTATCATGTAGGAGATCGAAAAAGTGGCGATATTTATCGCATGAATCAGCTTTGTGGCGATTGCTATCCATGGCAGTTATCCATGGCGAGATAAGATGGATACTGTGTCGAGTGATGAAGTGAGTAACCCAGCTCTCGCTGACTGGCTCTTTTGCTATTGTAGAGGCGAAGTTCTGTATCATCTCCCTAGTAGAGGGTAGATGTCTCTCTGTGAGTTTGGTGATATATTGTACAAGCTCCTGTTCTTGCTGCGGGTTGAGTGTCTGCTGGTTGATATTCTTGGCTTCATTTGGGGCCTGAGCGCGCTTGTGTCTTCGGGATAACGTAGTCCTATTAACACCATAGGTGGCAGCAATTTTTCTATACGAAAATGATTCTCCTGGCTTCAAAGATTGAATAGCCGTAATCGCATCCTCAATTGCCCCCATATTGGTGGAGTTATGACGCGTCGAATTCAGGGAGTTATTCAGCGTTTTGTTGTTGGCTCGTCACGCGAAGTGGCTCGGCACGGTACTCGAGTCGCTAAGATTGATGACTAATCAGTACGCGCCTCACCCTGAACACAAATTCAATCATTCCTGTGCAAGATTGAACGGAGCTCCAGGCTATTTGAACTAGTCTGATGCATGTGGAATAGGTCCCGCTTATAGCCCCATTCGAGTGCTACTACCTAGGTACGAACGTGCAATGTTATGGCAACCATTGAAGATCGCATACCGTGCCTTGGCACGTTATGCGCAACCCCGACATGATCGCTCGGCCACAAACATGAGGCTATAGAGACAGCCACAAACAATAATATCACGAGATTTTCTGACATTGAGGCCTCCTAGGCCCAAAGATAATTGCTAGCTACTCAAATTATCGATATATGCTTGGTGTTTTGATAATTCGGCCTCTACGTGACTGTGAGGCGGATGCAACAGATGAGGCCTCATCAATATCTACAGCTTCACGCTGAGCCTGTTTCTTCTTAATAGATCTGCTAGGAGAACTTGAGGCCCTTTTGTTGCCCTTTTGGGATAATTCAATACGTTTCTGGTATTGACTTTATTATCATCTAACTCTCACTAGCCTCACTTCCCTCCTTAACCTTCCTCACCCCCTCATAAAACCTCCTCTCGTCGAAAATTCTAATGTCATCTCTGAATTCGACCTCGCCCCTCTTCCTCGCCGCATTCGCCTTTCGTCTCACCCGCATGACATCGTACTCGGTATTCCTCGTCAGCCACCACGTCCACACATTGCTCACCCACCCCGCCATCATAAAACTTGCCGCAATCGCAAAGCTTGTCTTGTACCCGTTATGCGCCCACTTCGATTGGAAGAGCTGCGGGCCCACGACGCCGCCGAGCTGCGCGATGCCGGACTGCAGACCTAGCGTGAAGGCGGTGCCCGTACTTCCGGACAGCGTGGCGCTGCGCCAGGCCCAGAACGCGGGGAAGTACGACTGGTAGAAGAGAGTGCCGAGGATGCATGCGATGTAGATGCCGATGCGCGAGGACGTGATGGTGAAGAAGAGGACGAAGCAAATCACCATGCCGGACATCAAGAACATAATGTACGCAGGTCGCACGATCCAGGCTTTCCCCATGATCCAGGCGGAGACTACCAGGCCGAGGATTGCGGCTGCACAGGGAGGTAGGAGGAGTAGCTGGTTCCGGGGTAGGCCCACGAAGCCTAGGTTCGTGATGATGGTGGGCAGGTACCAGGTCAATGCATACCCGCTTTGATACATCAGCGATCGCTCGGCATAATGGACTCTAGAGGAATCACTCACCCGAGGTTCACAAGCGTTTGGCTCAGCATAAAGCTCCAGATCAGACTCTTGCTCAAGACGCTCCTGATCTCCTTGCCCGAGAAGTCCGGATCACTCGTTAATGGGGCGTTCTCGGGCAAACGCGTCTCGATGAACTCCATTTCGCGGTCGGTGAACCAGCGCTTGCTCCGTGGGCTCTTTGGGTAGTCGGGCAGGTAGTACCACACGCAGCCGGAGAACAGGACCGTGGCGATGCCTTCGAGGATGTACACCCAGCGCCAGGCGGACAGCCCAGCGACGCCATTCATGTACGAGATGCCGTAGGTCAGCAGCGCGCCGACGATGCCGGAGACGTTGCTGAAGCAGAAGAAGTACGTTACGATGCGGCCCATCTCGTCCGTGCGGTACCACGAGGAGTACTGCGCCAGGACGCCGGGGAACATGCCGGCCTCAAACATACTGGGACGCGTTAGTCGAGATGCCGTCTGAAGAGTGACGGGCTTGTGAAGAAGTGACGGACCCGAGTAGGAACCGCATAGCATAGAGATCATGGCGGTTTCTGGCTGCAGCATGGCATGCAGTGATGATACCCCACGTGCAGAATATGCGCGCCTGCCAATTATGCGGGCTCATCTTCTTGAGCAAGAGATTACTCGGCGCTTCGAACACGATGTAGGCAATCTGTGTCATCAGCACGACGTCCACATAACCGAGAACCCCCCACTCACTCCATAGATGGAAGCAACCCAGTTGTAGTCGTTAGAAGACATCTTGAGCTCCTGCAATATGTTCGATGGCTGTCCCACGTGCAGGACTTTGATGTTCGCTGCGTTATTCACATCGATCTACTCTCTATGAGTACAACAGTAATTGCAGGGATATGGTAGACGCACCTGCTTGATGAGATACATTATCCCGGTAAGAAGAATAAAGCACCTATCCACCTTGCGCATGATTTTCTTCTCCTCGGCCGCAGTAAAAGTAGACAAAAACGCCGCCTTTGCTTCGGGATCATCGCGCAGGTTATCGACGTCAGCGCGAGCGACAGTTGCACTGGCTTGCTTGCGGTGTGCGGCGGCGACATCATGGTCGATTATGGGGGCGACTTGGACAGTGACCGCCGAGGTTAGGTTGTGTGACATGGTCGCGTTCTGGTGTAGTACCCAGGAGCAGATGCGGCAGCATCTATACTTAAGTCCCAAGTACAAGGTTCTCGGATCTGTCAGGCCGGGGTCATTTCTCCTTGTATGCAGACGGGGAGTCTAGAATGCTCGTCCTCATGACGTTTCCTTAGGCTTTATGGTCCAATGCCAGGCTAAACAGATGAGCATGGTGTTGAGCGAGCATCGGACGCACTGCCTATGGAGAATAATGTGGGTTTCTGGCCCCTAAGCGCTGTGTGGAGTACATATTCGTGAGTTGGGGTGGAAGTGCGTGTCTTATCACAAATGGCGCAATTGCAAGGCACATAACGACATCACAAACCCTGACCTGTGCGCGTAACCTCACCTTGGCGCAACCAACTGTTGAGACTAAGTCGGAAGCGCGTTACCGAGTGGATGCGATGGCAAGACAGTCAAGCGATGATATCTTGCGGTTCCACGCATGGAGACATGCTAAAGCGATACCGGTATAGGAGGATTTCTCCGGCACGAGTCGCTCTAGGCGTTGCACATAAATATCTGCGTACAGTATGAGTGTTTTAGTCGCCCCCTGTGAAAATTACTTTTTTGTATTTCCATCCATGGCAGCCGTCCAATCATCAATGAGCTAACGCTCGTTGCTAAATGTACATCAATCTCCCACATCTCAGAACGCCCGAGTATCGTAATGCGACTTCGCTCTTACGCCTTCCGCATGTTAACAACACATCGAATGCAGTCGCCCGCCTTCATGTCGCTGAATGCCTGGTTGATCTTGTCCAGCGGTTGGCGGTGGGTGATGAACTCGTCGACCTTGAGGTCGCCGTTCATGTAATCGGAGACGAGGCCTGGGAGCTGGGTGCGACCCTTTACGCCGCCGAAAGCGCAGCCTTTCCAGACACGGCCGGTAACAAGCTGGAAAGCTTTAAAGGTGTTAGTGGAGGTCTTCATGTAATTTTCGGATAGGAATAGACGTACGTCGTGTAGAAATCTCCTGCCCAGCAGCCGCAACACCAATGATGATGCTCTCGCCCCAGCCCTTGTGGCACGCCTCGAGTGCTGCCCTCATGACGTTGACGTTTCCAGTGCAGTCGAATGTGTAGTCGCAGCCTCCGTCGGTCATCTCGATCAGCTTCTCTTGGATGCTCTGTCCGCTCAACTTCGTCGGGTTGACGAAATCTGTCGCACCGAACTTCTTGCTCCACTCTTCCTTGCTGTCGTTGACATCAACAACGATGATTTTGCCGGCGCCATTCTTCACGGCTCCCTGAATGACGGATAGACCGACACAGCCTGCACCGAACACAGCGATGTTGGATCCCCTCTCGACACCGCCCTTTCCAGCGGTGATGACTGCGGCGCCGTAACCGGTTGTGATACCGCAGCCGAGTAGACATGTGCGGTCCATGGGTGCCTTCTCGGTGATGGCGACAACGGAGATATCAGCAACAACGGTGTACTGCGAGAAGGTGGAGGTGCCCATGAAGTGGAGGAGATCTTTGCCCTTGCACTTGAAGCGCGAGGTGCCGTCAGGCATAACACCCTTTCCTTGCGTAGCGCGGATTTTGCCGCAGAGATTGGTCTTGCCAGACTTGCAGAACTTGCATTCCTTGCATTCTGGTGTGCTTCAAATTGTCAGGGGACATAAAGAAAATGAGGGAGCATGAAAACGCACTAGAGTGCGACAACGTGGTCGCCGGGCTTCACGTTGGTGACGCCCTCGCCGACGGATTCAACGATACCGGCGCCCTCATGACCAAGAACGATAGGGAAAGCACCCTCGGGATCCTTGCCGGACAGTGTGTATGCATCTGTCCAAGTCAGCAGCAAATTCTTGGGTAGATTTGGAATCGCATCTGGACAGCTTCCTGCTTATCCAATTCCAACAGGAAACCCAGAATCTCCAAAGCAACTGACCTGTATGGCAGACGCCGGTGTAGTAGATCTCAATGCGGACCTCGCCCGCCTTGGGCGCGGCAACCTCGATGTCCTCGATGGACAGGTCCTTGCCAGCCTCCCATGCAACAGCCGCCTATGCCAAAGTCAGCCTCAATACCACAGCAAGCTTCCAAGATCCTTGGATATCCGCCATCCTTGTTCCATCACGTCACCCGCCGCAATACGCCGCGTGTAAACCTTGAACCTTGACATTTATGTTTGCGGATCCGCACGGAGGGCCCCGCAATCGCCTCAACAGCTCTGGGCGCGCGCGCTGCCCAACGAACAGAGGATGGCAGACGAAGCTCGCAGCAGCTTCACAAAGGTATGGACGTACCTTGCACGTAATGGTCTGCTGATATTAGCATTGATCTTGTTGCACGAGAGTTCGAGCTGGCAAGCTCACCTTTCCTACAGTATCCGCGGGCATTGTAGTTGTGGGAGTCTTCGTGAATAGCGAAGGGGTATCAGAGTGTAACAAGAGGAAGCAGACGCGACGAACAGCAGGATTCGGGAGCTATATAACGGGCCAAATTGTTGCGGCGCGTCTGGTAACGCTTTTATCACTCGCCTGGTGGGGTATGACGCCGGCACTCTTGCTACCCCTCATCGCGGCAATTGGTCGGAGGACCAAGGCCGCGCCCCAGCAACTTCGCCCGATTCCAGGCCATAAGTCGCCTGGAGCTCGGGAGAGGCTCGCATTGTCGCAATATGGCAAGCCGGTGCGTGCGATTGGGCGGTATCGCGGGGCATCTTGGCCTTTTGTGGGCGACGGTATCCGCTACGGACGATGTTACCAAATCCGGAGGCAGAGTGCGGCGGAACCGCAACCGTAGCGCGTTTTGTGGTAAGAAACAGAAGACGTGGAAATGCAGCAGCAGAGAACTCGAAGTGTGAGTCAAGGGAGATGCAGGGTGGAAGACAGATTTAGATAAAGGTGTGGAATTCGTAGACTAAGAAGCAGGCTAGACGTAAGGAAGAGCACCCTGATGGTAGATAGGTATAATAGGAAAGAACGCCTAGAAATGCTCCCAGACACGCGACAGCTCATGTGCTGGATGAAGTTGTGGTATCTCATCCATTTTCCTCCAGGCGCTCCAGTCACCGGCTCATGCGATGCGCCAGGCTATGCGGCCACTGGCTTGCGCTCCTCCTCGACCGTATCAGGCGTCTTGCTCCCGTCCTTCTCGTGCGCTCCCTTGCTCTTGCTCCTCACCCTCCCCCAGCTGCTGCTCCGGTCTCTCCCCTGTTCCTTCAGCGTTTTGACGCCATGGCTCCATCTCTTCCTCAGCGGAATCTTCTCCCCCTTCAGTCCCAGCAACTCCCGCACCGCTGAGACCTCGGTGTGGTCTCTTGTGTGCTTCATGCGATGTGCCCACACGCACTTGCCGTCCTCGAATAGGAACTCGCCGCCCACTTGCTTGAAGTCTCCGCCCTTGAGCGCTTTGCTGCCCGTCTTCAGACTCTGCACGATGGACTGCACCGAGGTGAAGAGCATGTTGGATTGAATGTATTCAGGCTTCTTGCCCATATCCCACGTGCGCGTCATACTGAGCAGGTCGTACAGTTTGCGTGTCGGGTCGGCGTAGATCGGGAACGGACACTTGGTCGTTTGCGCGTACATTTCGATCAACTCGGGGCGCCCGCAGCCGACGACGGTTATGAATGTTGGTTCGGGGAGTGCGAGGAGGGATTCGGGCGTTATCGAGGCGGACAGCTCGCGCAGGTACTCCTGGCAGTTCCCGCAGAAGAAGTGCCGGATGAAGATGATGAGCTGGCGCGGTGCCACACCTTCGCCCTTGTACAGATCTCTGAACGGTCTGCTTTCGCCGCTGGAGTCGAGCACCAAGAGATCATCTACGCGACCCATGTCCTTCTCCGATGGTATATCATTGTTAACTTCGACGGTGCCTTCGAAGTCGAGCTCGGGATTCTCTAGCACTGGCGTAGTGCTTGACGGCGAAAAGGGCGGCGTCGTAGGCGCATCGGCGACTGTGGGCGAGGCAGCCTGGGTTGCGCCCAAACTCAGCGTCGCGTCGGTCGAGTTGCGCGGCCTCGCATCGTGCGTAGGCGAGAGTTGTGGGTTGAGGGAGAGGGACGTGTTGCGTTTGTGGGCTCTCGCAGTGCTGCTGGGCGCGAGTGCTGGATTGAGCGAAAGGCCTGACTGCGACGACGGCGGGGTAGGTGGCTTCCCCGAGGAAAGCGCATCTGTGGCTCGGGCATGTTCTGGATCGGTTTCCAGCGTGGCAACCTCGGCCCCTCCTGTTGCCAGGGTGGGATCGGTCAAAGTAGCCATCGAATCCATAGTTGCGTTGGTGAAAGGGTCAAAGTCAGGCTGTTCTGCTGTAGTCTGCAATGTCTTCGGCAGCTTCTCGTCCACTTATAGAAGGCGAGTGAGCAGTGGGGTGAGGCGCAGCAGCGAGGACCGTGTCTTCGCGACGCGGTGTAACGACCAGACGAGGATTCGATGGGCAAATTCGCGTATGCAGAGTGTCATGCACAAAGAGTCTGGAGGATGCGCGAAAAGATCTGGTCAAGGTCCGCGATATAACCAGAAGAAGCGCGCGCGACAAGTTTCAGGCTGTCTTGAACTCAGGGACCGGCGTCGACGTCAGCGGCTACCCGCCCTGTCGATTTCGCTTGTTCCTGGATCCTGATAACCCCCTGCGCTTGGTTGCCATCTTGCGCCTGGACCATTCTCGCGTCCTCAGCAAAGAAAGCCCGACTTGGCGTGCGTAGTGTTGCTAGGCGCTGAGCCTTTGACGTTGCTGGCCATGCTGGGCAATCGTGTCATGGACTCGTGATGGCTGCATGCTTCAGCTGTGTCTCAGCTCGGGACCCTGAGTCTCCGGGGCTGCACTTGACCAGCCTAAGCTAGCGTGAGTTTAGCTGCTCAAAGAACAACGGTCTCGTGAACGATCAATTGATAGGGATTATGGGATTACAATTGCCAACGATTAGTCTTTGACATTACGAAGTATGGTGTCCCAAGACCACATGTCCTGCTCGATGCCAACTCGACGGTGTCCGAAGCGAGACTGTCCGTTGGCGCCTCTCAAACGCAACGCCACGGTCCGTCCCGCTGAAATGTCTCCACCTACGATCCCTGGGACGTCTTGTAGCTGCGATGCAGCCGCTTCAGAGCACCTTTGTACTTCTCGAAATCCGCTGAGTCCTCGCCCTGGCAGTCGCGCTTGATGTGGAGCGCGTTAGCTGCCATGTCCTGGCCGTTCTTGAAGTCTTTGACGAATTCGCAGGCCAAAGCAAGGTCCATGTATCTGCCAGCAATCAGCTGAGAGTGAGAAGATGAGCGGGAGTCGCACTCACATATTTGCTAGCCTCATCGAGTAGTCTCCAATCTCCATGTGGAGGATCGCCAGCTCAAGCAGCTGCTTCACGAAGTCCGGCTCCTTGAGGACTCCCATCTCCAAGTTCGGTCCTCGCAAATAGCTAGTTGTCTGCTCCAGCTCCTTGATGCGATACCTCCGATCAACACCCTCCCGAGCGAACCCGTCCGCATCCTCCTCTTCGTGGACACAAGCGGGGCAATCACAGCTGAACCCGTAATGCTTCAACTCCCAAGATCGGAGCGTCTTCTCGTGAGTCATGTCGCAGTACGAAAGGGTAATTTGTTGGCCCGCCTTGATGTCGTGGATGATGTGGACCGTCTCCCGCTGGATGTTTGCGTTCCAATTGAAGCTCGCGTTCGGAGTGCAGCTGTGGTTGAAGCGGGCTGCATTGGGGAAAATGCCCGCGCCCTTGCCCATCTCCATACAGTTGTTCTGGAAGATGCTGAGAAGAGACGGCTCCTTGCCGACGCGGGCGTTGTGCTGCTCTTGAATCCGCTGCAACTCGCGACCCTTCTGCGCAACATATAGACGTTAGTGGAGTCCACTCTGAATGAACTCGTATATTTAGACATGCTGCGTATAATGTATTAGGTCGAAAGATTGAGTTATACATGGTTCTTCATAGAGCAATCCAGTGTACTCAAACTTCTGTCCAGGCACTGGCACTGTACTTACCACGCTCTCGTGTACCCTGCTCGGCCATTTCTTCGGATCCTGGCCATGGCTCGATGCCAGGCTCCAGTACAACTTCTGTTCATCCGCCGAAAGCTTCGCAAAGGCCGCCTCGATATCCGCTACGAGGTAGTCTCCGTTGGTGATAGCGAGCAGGGTGATATCGCTGAGAATGCGCGTACCACGCTTCAGGTCTTTGAGAGCGAAGCTGCCGTGACCCTTTCCGGGAACAGCCCGGATCTCGTAGAAGTCGTTAACTGATGGAGAGTAAGCAGAGTGAATGCGACCTCTGCTGCGATCCGAGGGGGGCGAAGACAAACGTACCGTGGGCCTTTGGGAGCACTTGCTGTACCGGCTGAGCTTCTGCGACGTCTTTGGACTGAGGTTCTCGGGCCGACTCGGCCTCTGACGCATCTGCCTGAGCCATTGTAATGGGGAGTGCGTTGAGCAAGCTGGTCTTCAAGTTATCAGAAGGTGCCATATTGCTGGCCGTCCTGGGCAGTCGTGCCGGCGTTCAGAGGTCCAATGGGTCGTCAGATCTCAAAGTGAAGTATTTATAGAATATTTTTAGATCAATGGGATATTTACAGGGTGAGAAAAGGAAGTGATAGCAGCAAACGGCCTTGCGTTCATTCCGCGCTAGTGGCACAAACGACGCGCCTTCCCGTTGCTGCCACCCCCCTCACCCTTAATCAGCGTTGGCTGAATACACATTACCGTCCAAACACGTCAAAGTTGTGCTCGTTGATGAGCGCCATACCCTCCTTGCGGTACGTATCAGCCTCGGCATAGCTCGTTACGTTCGCGTCGAATACGAAATCTTGCGGGTGCTTGAGGTCATATACTGGCCAATCTTTCTCTTTGCCGCTCCATGCTGCCGACTTCTTCCATGAATTCGGGTCCTGGTCGTGGAAGAAACTGATCCAGCTGCTGTCCATCAGCTTGGCAAGGTCTATGTAGTTCTGTCCCTTGCCCTGGAAAGGTGGTGTCGCAGCGGGAATGTAACCGCTGCCCACGATGTTATCGAAGACGAACGCCACTTCCTGGAAATGAGTCACACCGATCTGCGGAGGCAGACCAGCCGGAATCGCGTTGAAGCGGTAGCAGTACGCTGAAAGACCCGCTGCAGCCCAAGTTTCGCAGGTCTTCCTTCGATGAGCAATGAAGGTGTAGTCCCCGAAGTAGGAGGCAGAACGCCGGAATTGCTCTCCGAAGCGTCCTCCTGGCCGGGTATCTCCCAAGCTGGCAATGACATTGACCGATAGGTCGTCGGGGTATGCCTTAAGAATCTGGTCGGCAAGCTTTCCAGTCACTTGAGGAACAGCTGCGATGATAGCAGCACGGAATTGCTCAGTAGTGTTGATGCCTTGAGGGCTGAAAGCAGATCCCTCGTCGGAGTTGGCTCCATCAATAATGGGTACGTGGACGAATCGTCCATCTGCAAGTTGCCTGGAACCATAGTCTGCAACGAAGTCATCGTCCTTGTAAGGTCCAAACTGCGCTAACGTGTTGTTGTAGGACGTGCTTGTGGAGTTTATCGCAGAGTTGAGTTGAGCCTCCGGTATCTTGCGAAGACACTTGAGTGTGCTGGGTGCGCTGCTACAGTTGGTCCTCGAGAGGAGCTCCTGGTACAGACTGGGGTTACTCTCAACTGTGCTGTTGAGCCTCCTGTAGTAAATCGGGTTGCCAGACTCCATCACCGCACCACGGAAGAGCTTGTCGTCGCGACCCTCATAAGCAGTAAGGTGAAAACCGACGGAGGCTCCTCCAGCACTCTCTCCGAAGATAGTAACCTTCTCACAGTCACCTGTAGGAATCGTCAATTTCTGGCATTACAAGCCTTGGACTTCAGACTTACCTCCAAAGGCATCGATATTCTCCTTGACCCAGTGCAGCGCCAATCGCTGGTCTCTCAGGCCGAAGTTCGACCCACCCTCATCCACGAGCTCCTGGGTTCCACTCAAAAAACCCCACGTGGACAAGCGGTAGTTGATGCTGACACCGATGATGGGCTTCCCGATCTCGACTGAGTTCTTGACCATGTAGGATAGGTTGTATCTTTGATCAACTCCCGAGCCCTGGTAAAAACCACCTCCGTGAATCCAGAACGCGACTGGCAGTGTCTGGTTTTCGTATCCAGCCGGCCGAACCACATTAAGGTACAGACAGTCTTCACTGACTGGGTAATTCCATTGATCGGAACCATAACCATAGCACTGTGAACTTCTGTCAGTATCACATCATCCAAACCCATGTCACATACGTACCGCACTGGAGTATTGCGTCGCTGGCTTGCTGTCTGTCCAGCTCTGGTTCAAGCTGGTCGGGTTCTTGAACCTGAGGTCACCAACGGGAGCTTGTGCATATGGAATCCCAAGAAAAAAGTCCTGGTTGTACTGCGAGTCGTACGCGCCTTCATACGTGCCGTTCTTCACATGCGCTGTGGGACAGCTCTCAGATCGGGAAACAGGTGCGGCATGGATAGCGCCGACGAAGAGGCCAAAGGCTACAGCTGAGTTGCGTAGCATCTTGACAATTGAAGAATCACGAAGGTCGGAATCCTGCAGACACAATACACGGGATCGGCAGCCCTTCATATACCTACATGCGGGAACCTTGTTTCCATAGAACGGCCGAGGCAGCTCTTCAGTGCTTTGCGATATAGACCAAATTTGCCGCTCAACTAGCCATTTCCTAGCATGCGAACTTCGGCCCTGGCTGCCTTAACAGCGATGGTCCGGTACGGAAAGTAGGCCATCTGCGGGTCATCTGTTTAAGTCGCCATGGCTAGCGCATCGCTACACGGAACAGGCCGTTTACAGGCAATCCATGATGTAGTGAAGCGGCAATAACGGTCGTTTCCCAAGGCGTGTTGCCATGCATGGCCAAATGTCTATAAGATGGCCACTCGCTTCTTTTTCACACCAAGTGTAGGTTTGAGAGCCGAAGCGCGCAGGCAGAGATCCCCATTTTGTGTGCGATATTTGTTCGCAAATCGCACACGACTCAAGCAAGACGATATCTCTTCCCCACAAGCCCCCGAAGACCCACTGTTCTCGTCCGCCTTCGCAATTGCCCGATGATACTCCGGGATGCATGCATTACGTAGTGCCAGTGCGCAAGGCGGGGATCAGGTTTAATTTGCGGGGTGGGAAGGCTCTGGTCCGGCAGTTAAGCGCGGGTCAATGTTTGGCAATAACATCGCCAATATTTCCCAGAAAACCGATTGTTCCTCGATCACGTCTCCAATGGAAAGGTATTCGAAGATTGTGATGTGCCCGCAGCCAGTGGACGCCAAGTGATCGGGAATGCGATGCCAATCTGCACGTGGCGGCGAGATTCCCGGGCAGTTAGCCTGGCACAGCCTAGCAGCGGATACACAGCAGCAGCCTACCGAGGAAAACGCAGCCACTGACATGGCTCCCCCGCATTCCCAACGCACGGTGGTCTTTTGCCCAGGATTTGCTTTGCTACATGATTCGGCAACTCTACAACAGGATCTGATCCGATGATTCGGCTGTAGATATGATTCCGTACCTAACGCGCTGGAGAGTTGCGATATGCGATCAAACGTCTTGCTACGACAAGTTCCCCTGGGCAGCCTAAAAGTAATGATTCTAGTCGCTCAAGAACTTCTCTGTGGGCATTGTATGACAGAAACAAACCGTGGTTTCTACAGGAAATCAACAATAAATGTGCGCGCACTCTCTACACGCGAGATCTTATCAGTTCAGCTTTGTTTGGGAGACATACATTCATCGTTCACTGGAATATAGAAATTAGCGCGATATATCTCTATTATTGAACTGTTCCACCGACCGCCACCCAACAATAGCCTGTATCGTGCATCACCGTCTAGGAGTCTCCTCGCTTACGATGTCCAAGACATCACATGAGAATACGTCTGGAGATCAGAGGCAAATTGGAACATTTCCAGCTCCCTTCCAGCAACCACTCACAAGAAGAAATCTCAGTATTTTCATCAGTCAACAGTCCACATCGATTGTTGAACAACTGTCATGTCACCGACGCGGTCAAGAAAGCTATCGTTGTGTATAACCCATCGTCTATATCTGTGGCTCGATTAAAATTTCGAAAACAAGCCCCATGATATCATTGTCAGCGCGACTACGGCGTCAAAAAGTTCGTGCAGCACCTCTTTGTGGGTGGTACGTAAAAGCTGACTACGCCCGTCCCATTGCCTTCTTTCCAAGGCGGCGTATGACTTAAGCTGATGCGAGCAGTTCTGATGAACTTTCAGCAGCGGTAGCGGTAGCACTAGTATTGCTGTGGAACGCCAATTTGGATAAAGCGATATACACATCTTGATGATTTGGTATAACTAGAGATGAACCATTTTTCCTTGAATCTTCATATCCCCTAGAGTTACGAATGAACAACAGCATCCATAGCTGGCATCTCGGCCACCTTCATGACTAGAACGCCACTCATCTCATCCCGTACCCCGTGCCACAAGGCGACCGAACCTAAGTGCACCATGTCTCAACGTGTTAGCGGTGAGTCCTGAGCGCTTGAAGTCCTCGATGGTCATGAGCTTGAACATGGCGCAGCCCCGTCACGGAAGACGGTAATGCTCCCCTCTGTCTCCAATCAAGACTAGACGCGACATCTTAATAGAGCATATATCATCGCAAATAAGGTTTTCGAACGAGTATTGTGACTACGACCGTGGCATGCCACGTCTCACGAGGAGCTCGAGTGAATTGCATAACAGACGCCACATATGAACGACATGAAAAAAGGTATGTTCATTGGGAAGCCTAGATGAAGCAGTAAAGTATAAAGGAGAAACGAAGACCTCCATAGAGAAGCCATCAAATACAGTTTCTGCTTTTGCATCGCTACCTCCATACGCACTTGCACAAGCGCCCCACCGCAACCATGAGAACTACTCTGCTCCTTCTCTCCACACTCGTGGCCATCGGCTTCGCCACTCCGGTCCAGCAAGCCCCTCAGCCTCCCGTCTCTTGCACTGGCAACCAGAAGGAGAACATTCTCGTCTCCCACGACTACAAGTTCTCGCCTACGTCGGACACGTACGAGATCTGCAACGGTCTATGCTGTGCGTCACGCACTCTATATTCTCTGAAGACTTCACTCACATTCCTCGAATGTAGTCGATTTCCCGGCTGAGTACAACAACTCCATCTCTGCTATCGATCCGAACGACCACGCGACGCAGACGTGCACTCTATACGAGTAAGTCTAATCTAAGCATGAAGCTGTCTCGAAGATACTGACTCCCTGCGAACAGCTTGCCCAGGTGCCGTGCCGGCGGTGCCGGCGCTGTTGTCATTGGCAACAGTCGCGTCAACGATCTCCGCACGCTGGTCCCGAACCTCGACAAGCAGGCTTCCAGCATTCTGTGCTCCTGGACAGGCTAATTGAGCACCCACGTAGATGATGGGATATTAGAATGGGTGCCCTCACGGGCCAAATCTGGAAAATTCTGGAGGACATGAGATCTTGTGGACGCTCCTTTGGGCTTTCTGTGTTTCCTTGAGACACTCATTAGATTATGCTGGCCAGCAATCATAACTACAAGCGCTCACAAGTCGTCTTCGAACCTGTGCTTTTATTGCCAAGGTTCGATGCTCTTCAGATTCAGAAACTTTTAGGGACTGTTCGGGTAAAGGGTCCAGTGTCACCACCTACTCATAGTGCTTACTTGAGACTCCCCCACTTTAACGTAATGAGTCTGGCCAGAGGCGACGATGGAAACACCCTTTGTACCTGCGCTTTGGTGCTTCTGCCTTTGCACATGGGAACTAGGTACTGCCGCACAGCAAGGTAGCCCTGTATTCTCGCTAATCAATCTATTAGGAGATGCAACCACAAGCACAGCCTCAAGCAGCATGTATACGTTGCGGAAGGTGCACCAACAAGTTGCTGTAAGATGACTGTGGAGTAGACTGACTGTTTGGAAGACAGAAAGGTCACTTCTCTAAGATTCTTCGATTCATTTTGTTTTTTTAGATAGTAAAGCTCTTCACGATACATTGGGGTGTTGCATTAACGAGGCGGAATGTCACTTTCGTCTTCAGCGAGTGCATGTTTGTCAGTTGCACTCGAATGTTATCAAAGGTCATGGTGCGCATTTCTCAGCATAGATAAGTACAACACGTCCCAGTGTAACACGTCCCAGTGTTGGTAGCGGCCATGTCAGATATGACGGAGCTAATGCTTCGTGAGCCAGGTCAAAATTCTTTCCGCAATGACCATGTTGTTGAGCTCCATGAAGAACATGTGTCCATTTCCTCTGATACCTTCTGCAGGCAGATCTGCGTGCTCCACATTCACCCCAGCTTGTTCCAGATAGAGTACAGTATTGTAGTCAAATAGGGCGTGGAAACTTGCTTCTGAAGTGACGACCAGGACAGGTATACTAGATAGGTTCTTTAGTTTCTTTGGCGGGTCAGCCTGCAGTGTACATTCGTCATGATTCGCGCTTTTTGCAGGCACCTTGACAGTTTTGAGGTGCTCGCCATTCGGCCCCGCTGGCGGATCGTATTCGAGCTCTCCATCCGCGATGCCAAAGGCAATCCTTTGTCCTGGAAATGGGTAACTCGTTTCACATGGAGGTCCACGCGGTTCCAACGCCACGATACCTTTGACGAGTTGTGGTCTCGCATCGCCAATGCGCCATCCGTACGGCCCAGCCTGGCTATGCGTGATGAGGTACGCTTCGCCTATGCGGTCCAGCAACGCTGAGTATGCTTTCGCATTCTCGTTCTCCGCTGCCAACTTGTCCACTCGCATGGGAACCTGTGAAGCATAGAACGCGTCGAAAACAGGATCTCCAACCTTGCCAATTCCGGGCCACTGGGTGTGCAGCTTCGATTGCGGCCAATTGTTATGAGAGGAGATAGCTGTGAATGAGGATTCGACAACAGAGGTGCTAAGGGCGCGCATCTTTCCGATAGATGGATGCCGAGCAGATCGACCGCGAGATGGTTGATCTGTCAGGTATACAGTATAACCGTGCCCTAGAAAGAAGTGGGCCCAACCTGGTCGGCCATCCGGTGTATGTAGCCAGTTCGTCCCGGTTTGGCCTGCACCAGCGATGAACACGATGGGGCATTTTGAGGATTCAGTCGATGGTGTGAGCTTCTCCACGTATATCTGGCCGGTCATGTATTGGGCAGGTGTTCCGTCCTACGCGTATCAGTAGGAGCATTCTTCGCGGGGAAAGAGCCCACAATGTTTGTAGTATATTCGCCGCCAACGTAGAGCACTTCACGTCTAGCAGACACATCTCTGTAGCTATGGAATGCCATGTTATCGGACAAGTCCATACCGGTGACAAGCTGTTGAGGAGGCGTTCTTTGTGGAACACTCTCGGAAAGAACCCGCGAGCGCTTACTCAGCTTCTTTCTGGCTCATGCAAGTAACGTTCGTGGAATGTAGCACCGCGCGAAACCACAAAACGTTTATTTGGCATGCATGTCTTTGAGGATGGATCTTAAAAGATGATACGTTATCACTCAGGTATCGAGGTAAATTGAAAGATCCTGGGACCGAGCAACAGCCCTCATCGATGCTAATGAAGGTACGATCTGAATATTATGTGTGTGTGTTGTATTCGAAGAAGAGAATCAGCTTCATCCGACTTTATGGCGCTCGCCCAATCTACAAGATGCTTATTCAAAGGTTAGGATGGCACACAACTAGCTGGAGTCTCATTAAAGAGCAGCTCGCTGCACCTTCTAGCAGACCGGAAAGAAGTTTTCGGCCTGCCATAAAAGCCGATGCCCTAGCGATGAATCGCCACTCTCATTCGTACGGGAACAGTTGGGGTGTTTTGTAGGATGCGGGGTTCGGCATATCTCAGGTCGCGAATGTGGACCCGAGTCTTTCAAAACCAATTGGGATGCAGACCCGGACCCTACATGAGTCGTGCGCGATGCCTTGCCGCGGGAGCCCACAAGCTTTTCCTACGACGGCTAAGGCTTGCATCCGCTTCTCTTGGTCCTTTGGTCTTTTGTTCGCTCTTCTCCTTTCCATCTCAAGCTGTGCGCTTTTTCGTATTTGTGAAGTCACTGCAAGATGTCGGGTCACGAGAACGCGGCGCAAGACAAGGATTTGGAGAAGCTCAAGGTAGGATATGCATCAATAGTATAAGTCTAATTCTAACACTGAAGCACAGGGCAACGATCACGTCGATGCGCTTGAAGACTACTTCGATCCAGTTGCAACGAAGGCCCTGGTCTGGAAACAAGACCTGAGGATCGTCCCTCTGGCGGCAGCCATCTACCTTCTTTGTTACCTAGATCGTAGCAACATTGGTCGGTTACGGTCTGAATGTTTAGCGATCGATCAACTAATTGACTCCCAGGCAACGCGAAGACGCTCAATGCTAGCCAGAATGAATCTCTTCTGCAGTTGACCCATATGACCAATTATCAGTATACCATCGCACTGATGGTCTTTCTTGTTGCATATGCTGTCTTCGAGGTACCATCAAACTATTTCCTAAAGAAGTGTAAGCCGAGCCGATGGATTGCCTTTCTCATGTTCTCGTGGGGAGCATGCACTATCGGCCTCGGAGGCGCGCAAAACTATGCTACTGTTACCGCGGTGCGTTTCCTTCTCGGGATGTTCGAAGCAGGGCTGTTTCCCGGCCTCGTGTACTATCTTACGTTCTGGTATCGATCAGAGGAGCGTTCTATGCGTGTTGCAATTATTCTTGCTTCAGCGACGCTCGCAGGCGCTTTCGGTGGCGCTATTGCCTACGGTGTTGGCCACATGAGGCTGGTTTCAGGGCTAGCGTCATGGCGTTGGCTTTTCATTCTGGAAGGCATTCCGTCTTGTATTTCTTCCGTGGCAGTGTGGTTCTTCCTGCCTGATTACCCCGAAGAAGCGAAGTGGCTTACGACAGCCGAGCGCGAACTCGCAGTTGCACGCCTAGAAAAGGAAGGCTCAAAGGGCAATGCCCCATCGTTGACTTGGGAGACTGCAAAAGAGACGATACTAGAAGGCCGTCTCTGGATCCACTACATCATCTACTTCGGCATCTCCGCGCCCTTTAGTTCGCTCTCGCTCTTCACGCCAACAATCACAGCAGGTCTTGGATATGAGAATTTGCAGGCACAGCTTATGACGATTCCTCCGTACGCCGTTGCATACGTTGTGAGTATTGCTACTGCATGGTCATCAGATCACTTCAACGCCCGCGCTTTGCATTCAGCCGTGCTCTCAACCATTGGCGCGATTGGCTTCCTCGCCTCTGCTCTTCTTCCTGCAGACAGCTATCATGCCCGCTACGGCTGCCTCATCGTCGCAGCTAGCGGTGCCTTCTCTTGCATTCCCCCGTTGCTTGGTTGGTTGAGCAGTAACATGCACACGACAGCAGGAGCTGGGCTTGCGATCGCACTGAATGTATCTTGGGGTGCTCCAGGTCAGATATTAGGCGTATGGATCTACAAGGCCGACGAGAAAGAGAAGGGGTACCCGACAGGGCATTGGACGAACTTCGCTATGCTGCTCATGGTCGCCGTTGGGTGTGTTGGAATGAGGTTCTACTACCAATGGAGGAACAGAAAGATTAAGAGCTTGGGGCCTGATGCATCGGGGGTCACGCGTGAGTTCAGCTACTGAAATACGATGGACAGTGCAGGAGCACAATCGTAATCGATGTCGTGGTACACTAAGAATGCCGATGGAGCGCCTCCGTCATGTCTAGCAACGACTGAGACCGAGTCATAGCCTATCTATATGCCCTAAGTGTGTCGTCGCACAACAAGAAAAGAGAAGGTGTAATGTAATAAAATCATCCGGCTCATTCCCCTAAGCCGTCAACTGCTTCACCACGAAGTTCGTTCCCAACTCCTGAGTATTCGAATCCATCGGGTACTGCAAATGCGCTGCGTTAATACCGTATCCGTGTGTCGTATCACACACGCCGTCACCCTGGAGCGATATCAGCAAAGCGTACATTCGCAAGTAAGATACTGTAATGGCTTCACTTACATAGATACAGACGTCCATGGTCTTGCTGACCCACTCATTTGGGATAGACTTGCCGAGCATCGCACTGAGACCGTTCACGTTCTTTGTGGTGTTGCCTCCTTTGTTGTCCACATTGCAAGCCAATCCGCTTTTGTGATCAGGGTTTCCAATAAGGAAGACGCCCTTCACGGCGTCGAAGCTTGCACCGGTGAGCTGAGACATCGCGCTCACTGTGGCGGCGGCGCCCTGGCTATATCCCTCGAGGATGAAGCACTGGCTGGGGTTGCTCTGAAGTCCACTCTCCACTTGTTTGACAATGTCGGCTGTTCCTGCAGCGGAGTTCTGGTCGGCGCCGGCAGGGTACACCGTGTTGTAAGTCTTGCCGCCTTTGACCTGAGACTGGATGTTCCCGTTCATGGTGCGAAAGCCAGAGGATTCTCCTTGAATCTCACCCGTGCCACGAGTGTTGATGATGGTGTACGAGGAGCAACCTGCACGCTTGACGCGATCCTCGACAGGTGCGGCATATGCCGTGGCTGCAAGGAGGGGAAGAAGTAGTGTGAAGTGCATGTTGTCTGCTTGCGGGTTTGGTTCACAGACTTTGGAGTAGGCTACTGCGCAGATGTCTCGAGAGTTGTAATCTCTATCAGTGATGGAAAGAAGACGCTCTGCTTTATACCTTCACCGAGGCCATCCGATGGGAGAACGCAATGTCATCACACGGATGCCTCGGTGAGCAGTGACTGTTTCCATGCTCAGATTCAATACCCCTGTAGATTCAACCATTGTTTCGAATAAAAACCCAAATAGTAGTGGCGTCTTCGCCTCCTTTTGCGTTTATAGGGCTACTGACTGAACGTCATTCGGCCTGAGCGAGTCAAGCACATACTGTACCAAACTCCACGACACCTTTTCTTCGCATTTATAGCGACATTACGCCCTGGTTCGTCACAGTCCATCCTGAGTCTATTGATTTTCCAGCTGCTAAAGGAAGGCATACTATGATTCGCCTAGCAGTAGGCGACGCGGATAGAGACTGGCTGCTTATCCTTCAGCACCGTAAGCGAGAATCTCACGAATCGAAACCACGAAATGAGATCTGCACCCTCCAAACACGCCATCATGCGGAGAAAATCGATCGAGGTGAATAGCGTCAAAACGATTTCCTCACGATCTACTTTTGGTGCTACATCTAGTGGCTGCCTCGGCTTTCGAAAACGTTTGAAATATCTGATTGGTTGGTGTTGCAAAAAGCACGAGGTGGTGAAACCCAAATGTGAGGGTCTTGCCGTGAAAACCGAGGCAGGCGAAATTACGATAGGGCTGGAATATTCTTATGGTCGCACAAAGTCCATGATTTTCCTGGGTCATGAGGATTGTCGCCTTGGTGCTGGGTGCGAGCTTCACCGTTTAGTAGGCTTAGACCTTCCGGATGTTAGAGTGCATGCGGACACGCGAGCCATTCCTGCCATCAACACAACATAGCGTTACTTGCTTAGCTATACTGTGTTGTAGCCGTCGCAGTACCTTTGAGACAACTTGCATTCTCTTTTCGACAGATATGCCTCATCTACGACGAGCACCTAATGCGGTTCTGCAGGGTGCCAACGACTGTTGGAGCGAAGCTTCATCACAGAACCTTAAAACAGGTCAAGGACGACTAAAGGTCCAAAGCTGTACAGGCCTCAAGGATTTAATTTGCCAGAGGAAAACAACACCGCTATCTGTGTAGCTTTGGTAGATTTGGGCACGGTCTTCACCTGCAACAATGGTCGTATGCGTGCTTTCTCCGTATGATTTCTCAACCCATGGCACGACGGGCAGGAACAAAAATCGGAGTAACACTCTTCATACGCCTTGAAATGGAAACTATACCCGCAACGCTACGTCGCCCGCTTCGCCTGATCATGCTGATTGGTTCTGCACTGGTTATCCACAAGGTTGTATTTTGATCTGATCTTGCCTATGGAATCTCCAGTACCAACTTCCCGGAAGTCCTCTTCGACCCGAAGTGTTCCTGCGCTAGTCCGATCTCCTTCAGTGGATACACTCTGCTCACATGCGGTCGAATCTCGCCTCGTTCAATATAAGAAATTAAGTTTGGGAAGACTTCGTCTTCCTGGAAAGTACAGCCAAAGAAGCTGAGATCCTTGAGATACAGCGTTCGAACATCGAGCTCCACAAGTGGACCTGCGATGGCTCCAGCAACCGCATATTTTCCTCCCTGTCTGAGCACATCGAGCAGACTTGGAAATGAAGGACCAGCGACGAGATCCAGTACAACGTCAATAGTGTTTTTTCCAAGCTTTAAGATCAAGTCTTCATCTCTTGCAACGACTTGGTCGGCGCCCACAGCCAACATGTCCTTCGCCTTCTCTTTCCCGCCAATCGCAGTCACATATGCACCTCGCCGCTTTGCCAACTGAATAGCCGCAGCGCCGACGCCCCCGGATGCACCCGTGATCACAACATGCTCTCCCGCCTTGACATTGGCGCGATGCAGCATGTTCTCCGCCGTGGAGAAAGCGCACGGAATCGAGCCAATCTCGGAATCACTCCAGTCACACTCTACCTTGAACGTCTCAGCTGCAGGTGCTTTGGCATACTGCGCGAACCCACCATCGCACTCCGACCCGAACGTCCAGCACTCGTACGGCCGGCGACCCACGTAGTGCCGTAGCATGGTGTTGACGAGCACACGCTCGCCGATACGCTTCGGGTCGACGTTCGAGCCTACTGCGAGGATGCGGCCGCAGCAGTCGGCGCCCTGGATACGTGGGAACTGGAGAGGGACACCGGACCATGATGCATCGTCCCGCTGGCCTTCTGCTGTTCCGGTGCCGGTACCACTTTTGACGCCTTTAGAGTACCAGCCTATTCGGGTGTTGATGTCCGTGTTGTTAATGCCTGCGGCTGCGACACGGATCAGGACTTCATCGGGTTCTGGCGTGGGGACGGGTAGGTCGTCGCGGTACTCAAGTTTCTCGGGGCCGCCATGGCCGGTTAGAATGACACCTATCATTGTTCTTGGGACTCTGGGCGGCTGTTGGCTTTGTGTAGTCATCTTGGTGGCCGTTGATCTTAGGCGCGAAGCTCTGCGCCACCTAAACGGAAACCGGTAAACTGGCCAGAAGCCCTCAGAGGGACTAGATGTTCAATTGTAATGATGTGTGTCGAATTCGATCTTATGTTAATTCGGTACCGATTAATCAGCATCAGCTGTGGTGATGATGTCGTGAGAAGGCCTCACAGTGTCCTAGAAGTAGCCAATAAGCATGCTCGATTGCATTACAAATGCAGCCATCCCCCTCTTTCAATGCTCCAGGTGAACTCGTATTGCTCTCTTTTGTCATTCCAGTACAGCATCCACTGTTGCTGGACAAGCAGTGACTCGCATCATACTTATGATTCGTTCCGGTCTTCTTATTTTGGTTTGGCTCCGCTTTCCAGTTCATGAAGGATTGGCAAGCATACCTCTGGAAGTCTCTAGGATGCATCATCTGAAAGATCAAAGCAATAGAGTAGACCCTCGCGCAAATACTCGGCAACTCGCATTCACGAAGGACGCCCGAAAGTAATCGAGCTATAGTCTCGCCTGTCAATATCCCCAATGGACATCTTGACTGTCTTCGCCCAGAGACGCACCATACAAAACCATCGCATTGCAAGTCCTGAATTCCGTGCGGAAACCCTGAAAGAGAGCTCAACATCCTACAAGCCCACGAAGAACTCGGTTCATCCAACAAACTCCACTCCACGTAACACCACGTAACTGTCCCTTTCGGCACCCCTCTTAACCTCCCGAAGAATTATATCTCGTTCAACTAATCCCCACTCACGTCTTACTCCCTCACTCCTTCGCGAAGTACGCATCTCTATCCCTTCCCTTCCTACGCCAAAAGTGTTTCACCCTCCGCCCTTGGCGCGCATCCTTGTCCGCCAAGCCCCCCAAGACAACACTGCGACTCGCCGCGTCGTGCTTAGCCGAGGCTTGACTCGTGTGCCGGACTGGGGAGGGGTGGGGTTCAGGCAAGAATTCGTGCATGATACCAAGGCGGAGGGAGAGGCGGCTCTGTGTCGTGGGTTGTGGGCGGGCAGACGCGCGGGCGGGGGCAGAGTGAGGGAATTTAGAACGACGGGAGGAAAGGGTTTCGCGATTTGGAATAGGGCGGTAGCGAGGAATGCGATTCTGGGGCTTGGAAATACTGTTGCTGGGCTATGCGGAGACGTCAGATTGTGTGCCGGTCAGGGGGGAGACGCAGTCGAATTGCGCGCCAGCTGTGGAAGAGGTTCACATCTGCGAGCACGTGTCAATAGTGGGAATCGAAGTGATCACTTAGTCGTTTATTGGATTCTATCCGCTTTTCTCATCTCCGCCGGCCGCTCGAGTCTTCCTCAATAGTACCAGTATCATATACTGCCATATACGTTGCTCATAGAATTGCCCTCGTACACCGAAAAGCCCCAATCGTAGAAAGGAAATGTTTGCGCCAGACAGATACATGCCTCCCCTGTTCGAACCTCCCCACGCGTGATGCTCTTAAAGAATGGGTATCAACGCCCCGCAATCGACAGTGCCCGGGTTGGCGCTCAGACTTCGGTGATGGCAACGAGGGTCATCTTGGGCGCCTCGGCCTCGTCGACGACCTCCTCGGAGCGCTTGACTGCGCGCCCGGCGGCTTTAGGGGCGGCAGCGCCATTGGCAGCAGAGTTGGCGGGAACGTTGAGACCAGCGTTGACAGTGATACCAACACCAGAGCCCTCAGCACCGGTACCGAGCTCGATCTTGGGCTGGTTCTGCTGGGCCCTCTCGGCGTAGCCCAGAGCGGCGTTGAAGGAGTTGATGTCGCGCTTGATCCATTCGACGGCGCGGGAGACAGCATCGATGTGGGCCAGCTCGGTGGGCTCGGGGGCGGCCTCACGCTTCTTGAGGATCTCGTTGATGTCGCGGACGAGGTTGCCTCGCTTTGCTGCTTCGGCCTCAGCTGGTTGTCCTTGTTGCTCTGCCGGCTGGGCTCCGCCTTGCTGCTCTCCCTGCGGCGCGGCTTCACCCTGCTGGACTTCGGCATTTCGCTGACCTTGTTGGGCGGCGGCACCTGCTGCGCCTTGCTGAGCACCCTGGGCGAGTGTTGCCATCAATTCAGACGCACCTGCGGCCCCCGCGGCTCCCAGTGATATTTCACCATCACCGACTACCAGGGCGGGCGAATAAGCTCCCAAGTTGATGTTGAGGGGGACAGCGCCAACGGCGGCAACGAGAGCAAGGAGGACGGTGTGAGAAAGCATATTGTCGGTTTTGGTTTGGTGATGTATTATGGAGTTAGACTCGGAAGAGGGGATAGTAGAGGAATTGAAAAAACGATGGAGTGGATCTGAATAAAGTGATTGAAATGTCTAGTCGCCCGGCGACAGATGAGACTGATTAGGATAATCGGTAAGAAGTGAAGGTGAGTGGCCGGACTGGAGAGCAAAAGAGTGGGCTCATTGTGGTCTCTTATATCGGTGTGAAGGCTGGTTCAGCGATCTTCGCGTTGCCCCCGCCAAGCCAATCCCGCCGTTTGAAGTGAGCTTGAAACTTCTGTGAGGCCGAGCCAAGCATGTGAGGTTGAGCACGGCAGACGCTTCGCATGCGTGCTCGTGAAGCGTGGATAGGCCGCCAAGGCGCTCCGGCCGTTTGAAGCCAGCTCGAAACTTCTGTGATGCCGCGCCAAGATGATTAAGCCTGGCCGAAAAAGAGGACGTGCTGGACAGCCGGGACCCAAGTGGGACTGCCCCGAGGTCTGGATCATTGCGAGGCGATCTGGCTGAACCCGTACGGGCTATCACACTGGGCGGCGACGAACCCCATTACGAGATGGAGCTGGATGGTGGGCATGTTTGTTTCCAGTCGCTACGGGTCGCCGTTTTGGAAAGTCTGAGGTGGCGCATCCCGTCGTGCGAAAAGCCGTTGACGTATCGAATAGAAGGCGATTCTACTTGAACTGCTCTTTCGAGGCCGGGAAGACTGGCTCCAGCAGCCGCCTTGCATACGCGTGCGAACGTGCATGAAGCCCGAGCGCGGTTGACCGCAAGTCTTGGCTGTGTGCACGGGATACTCACTTATGGCCTCTCGCCAAGTATATCAAGCACTCAAAGAGGCTGTCGGCCGCTCTTGCGGGCGACAAGCAGCTGCCAGCGGCTGTCCTGAGGCTGGGCTCTTGGTGAACGGGTCCGATATGGCGCACTTGGCAGCGTTTCTCCACACGCGTTCGCCGAGACGGTTGGGGAAGAGTGCGGTCGCTGGGTGCTTTGAGCTTCGCAGTTCGAAGCTTCTGTCGAGACACTTGCTGTGTTGGCCAAGCGGAGCGGCGAAATGCTTCTGTGGTCTAGTGCGGCGGTCGCGCCAATTGGGCGTTGGGGCTCCCAGACGCACGGGCGGAGACGAGGCTTGGCTGTCCGCGACTCTGCGAGCGTCGCACCTCTGCGACGACATGTTTCTTGGCCCGCCCCGCAGCCAGAGGGCCTTTGCGCTCAATGGGGATGCATGGGGGCAGTCCCACCGCACCAGGGGGCTGGCGGTGGTCTGTGGAGCGATGTGCGACCAGGGGACCGCGGACGCGGACGTGACGAGCCTGCCTTAGGCTGTCTCATCGCATTGAAAACCGTCGAATTCGGCATCCTAGAGCTGGCCGACGAGAAGGCTGGGCGCGTATGCAGATACTGAGCCTCACAGATTGCAGTGCCGCGAGGGGTGAGTGAAGAAACAAGTCGTGTTGGGCTGGGAGGAGCGATCAGCATCGGCACTTTTCCATCACCCCCGCGCCCCAAAGCTGCAGGTCCGAAGTGAGATTCGATGTCTTGGCAGGATTGCAGTCTTTGGTGCTCGCACGCTGCTGGTTGTCGTGGAACGCTTCTGTTGCAGCGGACTTTCTCTCTGTCCAGGTGCGAATCGCTCGGGTCTCGTACGGAACCCTCTTTCAACGTGGGCAGCAGCATCGCAAGCAACTCATCCAGCACCAACATCACTTTGCACGATCGACCAAGCACGGTCGACATCTCTTGACTTCTTGGGCAATGCGAACTGCTGTGGAGCTGCTCCACTGCCCAGCTGTCCCCCCGCTGGATGCCCCATAGCTCTCTCCAAGACACTTAGGCGTAGTAGCACATTGCTTGAGTATACCAAGAGCGACAAGAGATATCGTCCGACAGGTACCCAGACAAGTACCCAGTTCTTGCCACGCGTCTGGTCACGGGGGGCTTGGCTTTGGTCGGCTCGTCACTTAAGCGCCCCTTTCGCCACCTTTCGTTCCTCGTGCCTCGTTGATTTCGCATTGCCCTATCCCCTTGTCGCGTCAATTGTATTTCAGCTTTTTGGCAGGCGCTGTCCGGTGCGGGATGTAACGACGCGCCGATCAAATTTCTATTCTGATGAGAAGGGACATTATGATGAGAAGGGACTTCCATGTAGGCTCCTCGAAAGCAACTCCAGTGCAAAGTACGCTATCAAAATGCTGCTGAATTCAGGACAGAGACGCATTAGATCAACGATCGCCGCCTTCGTGTTCCCAAAGTGCCTTTTCGCCCGACTATGACCTACCATCGATCATTAGCATGGAGCCTCCTCCACGTCCGATCCTCTCATAGATAACAATGAAGCTCAACGATCGCAATGCGAGAGCTTTCACTCTATCGTGCACCACGTATCACTGAAGCCTCACACCTGGCTAAGGGCCTCGAAGTGGGCCATCTACCCAGCGATTCTCGTGCATTACGCGCAGCCACGTGTGCACACTGGTAGCTCAGACCTTAAGTGTCTCTTAAACAACGTTTTCATACCTTCTGCTGCAATTTTTGACAAGCTAACGGTATGGCTACTACGCCCAAGCTATGTGTAGACTGGGTTGTTCCTCTTCATATATGTATAAACAGCGAAAGATTCGCTGTCACCGACAGCTTCTGGGACTAGGCGACATTCCTGTCCCTTTACACTATTTGGGTTCGACAGCGAACTATGTATTGTAATGATGTGGCTCAGCACAGTGTCATATTGTGTTACCTAAGAGTTGACACAAAAATCTCGCAGACATAGTTGGTAGCAATATGACGATATGCTTGTGCAATTTTACGCGTGCGGTTCGAATGTCCTTCATTTGTAACTGCATGAATGGTCGAAGTTGTTGGTTGAAGTAACGGACGATTGCGTGTCTTGCAACTCGATTCGACGCCCACTTGGCTTCTTGAAAACGTGTCCCCACTACCTTTAGTGTAGAATGCACACTTTCTAATACCTTTGTTCGAGGCCTTTGACAGTTGGTGCATCTTGCGTTGTTCAGTCTCGACCTCGGCGCCCTAGTAAGTGCGTCCCTCAACGACGCGCCAGAACGGAGTGCCAGAACGAAGCACTAAAGCAAAGGTGTGTAAACATCAATGGTTTTGCTTCTGACTACTCAATCGACTGAAGGATCAGCGTTATGCTCAGATCAGGCTTTTTTTCATCCTGCAGGTTTTCATTTTAATACATGATTGATGCTAATGCTTTTGTAGCGGGTGTACGTTGAGATGAATCAACAAGAAAAATCCCCAGCATCCAACACGTGTACATTTCTTCCTCAAACTCACGTAATCCTATTACCATCATGGTGTATATTGCCTCATATCAGCAGATTATTAGCTCCACGTGCGTGCTAGAAGTTTGCAAGGGATTTGCGATGTCATTCTCTCCCTTGGCTACAGTGCAAGTCGCTCAAACCCTGAGCAACGCCATCAAGAACCCGAGCATTCTGTGAACAATTCCTGAGATTCCCGGTCCGCTTATGTTTCTGTTCATATACGAACTATTGAGGTGTGTGCGGCCTCACCATATATGCACTGCAGTTTGCCAAGCTGCCGCGTGCTGCCTCAGGGGCGAAGATCCGTCAAGAACGCGATTACTCACTTTATTGCGCACACATCATATATGATCCTAGGTAGGGTCTAGATGATGGGGCTATAGGTAAATCGTCTGTTGGGATTCCAACGCGCTTTGATGAAAAACAATATGCATTGGTGTTCGTCAGATGTTCGCCTTCCCCACCACGCTATCCGTAGTAGCCCACCTGCTAGCTAGGGCGGGCAGGTTACCCCGCCCGCGGTCCATGCAGCATCGGAAAACTTCCTGATGCTACAATTCTGACTTGATGGTCGTAAACTCGGTTTTACGATTTTATTATTCTTTGGATATATATCCAAAATTGAAGTCGAGAAACATCAGTAACAGGCTCGGTGGTGTAGTTGGTTATCACGTCAGTCTAACACTTCGTTAGTCACACTGAAGGTCCCGAGTTCAAACCTCGGCTGAGTCACTCGTTTCAACGATTTACTCCTGTCCCTGCTTTCGATGGCAGGCCTTGTTTTTTTTTTTAATATTGGAATGTAGACAGGAGGATACTACGACTTCCACCATCAGACAAAAACGTATGTCTTTTTGCGCTTTTGCTTGCTTCCACTCGAGGCTTCCCTTTAGGAGGCCTGGGATTGGCTGCCTTTTTGCCGTTAATGCCAGCGAAGAGCACAATCTGTTGACTTGTCAGGAGCGTGTTGACTTGTCAGGAGCGACGAGATGAAGCGAATGGTTGCAATTCAGCTGCTTCGCCGCCTTGGTCTTGCAAAAAAGGTGTACAATTGTGACATCGTCAAACATTTACTTGTGCATTGGAGTAATGGTGATAATACAGTGCGGCATACAACGTCGTCAACGCTATTCCATCCTTTCAATCTCTCGCTCCTCTTCGCTCACGCCCGTTCCCCGTCTATCTGCGCCATCATTGAACAACCCCCTAAGCGACCTTGAAGCGCCGGGTAATGGTACGAGGCTCAGCAACGACCTCCTTGCTGGCCACAAACCTCGTCTTGTTGCCAACAAATCGTTTCGCAGTCTTTTCGCACGGGTTCGCAGCGCTCGCACTAGCACTCGCGCCCTTCTTGGAGCCCCCCTTGTTCTTGTTTGTCTTGTCCTTGTTCTTGTTGGACTTTTGCTGGTTCTTCGTCGCCTTTCCAGCACTCGCAGCGGCGGTGTCGCAAGGGTTCTTTGCGGCAGCCGTGCTTGACGCGGTGGCGGCGGCAGCAGCAGCAGCAGCGGTCGAGGTGGCAGTGTCGCACGGGTTCTTGGCTGCAGCCGTATCTGACGCGGCAGCAGCAGCAGCAGCAGCAACGGTCGAGGTGGCAGCCTCAGCCTGCGAAGAAGCAGTGTCACACGGATTTTTGGCTGCAGCGGTGGTCGCAGCAGCAGCAGCAGCAACAGTCGAGGTGGCAGCCTCAGCCTGCGCAGAAGCAGTGTCGCACGGGTTCTTGGCCGCAACCGTGGTGGTCGCAGCAGCAACAGCGGCAGCGGTAGCGGTAGCAGTAGCGACGGCCTGGTCACAAGGCGGTAGAGCGGCCGCACTGGCAGTGGCTTGGACCGCAGAGGCGCCAGTGTTGCCTTGACCAGCGGCATCGCACTGTGCTGTTCGACAAGTCAGCTATAGTGCTTCTTCGTTCCTCCAGAATCTACTTACTCTTCTGGTCAGAGCATGCTGACACACTCAGCGTCTTGTCACCACCGTTCGCCTTGTTCGCGCAACTAGATGACAGATTAGTACGGGTCATATGTCATAGTAATGAACTGGTCTTACGCATTGAATTGCTGGTCGCAGCTTCGCTGCAGCGCCGCCCCGATGTTGACGAAAGTGTCCCCCTTCACCTGGAACTTGCGGTCTGGGTTTCCGGAGTCGGTGACGGGCGTCGCAGAGATACCACCAAGGGCTCCGGTGAACGTCTGGAAGTTCTGGCCTTGGCGCTTGCTGTAAGGCGCCGCCGGGGCCGCGAGGGCGACAGCGAGAAGAGTACACATGATGGCGTTGGTCTTCATCTTGAAAATGTTGCTGGGTAAGTGAAAAAAATGGGTATAGCAAGCGTTCGGAATCTGGGTATCGTAAAGACTGAAATGTAAGTGGAATAACGAGTGACCAGACTCAAAGAATGTAAGTGCACAAAGGCAGTAAAGAACGGAAGACTGTTGAGATCGCAGCTGATGAGCGTGATGATGCTGTGTGCTGGCGACAGTGTACTTATACTGGCGCATATGCGCTGTCGATTCGCTAGTCCTGTCATCATCGTGAACCCCTCTTCGCAAACCGCGCATTCGAGACTATTCACGGCAGGGTCATTTTCTCGTATCGCTCCTGCGTCCCTGGAATCATTTTGTTACTATGTGCTCTAGTCTAGAACTGGTGGACCTCGCGGTGCTAAGCTTTGCGTCCGGACAAAGCTTGACTTCCAGGATCCAATAAGAGTACTGGATTGGTCTGGCTCGGGACCTAGCGGTGCTTGTTCGTGTCTGAGAGTGGGTTTTGACTTGCGCGAAGGGAGGATCTGGGGGTCGCATTGACGTTTCGGGCGCGCTGTCCGGGTTTCTGGTAAGCGGCTGAGTATCGCCTTCACAAAAGGGCTGTCGACTTTACAACACGAAGCCACCACTGAAAGAACTTCGATTCGATCGATACAAATCTGCTGTCGACCCTTAAGCTCAGTCCTTAAGGTGCGCGGCGGAGCTGACATCACCTTGCGTGGTGTGGTTCTTGGGCGGCCCGAGCTTTACCGGTTATCCCTGGCGATGATCATGCACCACTTGAGGCATCTCGCGAAAGGAAAGCCCTACCCCAACCAAGCCAACATCAACTCCGAGAATACAAATTCCACCAATCCAATACCTCGAGATACCGCTGCAGGTCATCTCTACAAGCGTTTGATAACGCTGAGATAATATAGATGCATCGAAGGATGCAGCGCAAGACCCTGTCAAGGTGCGAAATCTGTTGGCAAGAATCGCCCCAGCCACTCAATTACGGGTCACAATGACCTCCTGCGCTCTGGATGGCTCAGCTTTTGGCGAAGGAGCGACTATGAATGCCATCGCACAGGTTGGCTCGTCCCAAGGAATTCGTAACCTGATTCGTTTGCTTCTGGCAAATTCTTCCATGCCAGTTTTAGGCGCAGTTCATCCAAGTTGACTGAAGAATCCTGCTTGTGAGCGTTTTGAAGGTAAAATTTTGCACCTGTCCCATCGTCAAGCTTGATGCACGCCTTCATTGCCTTGAGGGATAGCTTAGCTTTAGCATGACCTGCCAAATTCAGATTTTCTTCTCTGATGTCCGATGGGAACATTTCGAATGTGCCTCGGTCTATCTGATGATCGCCTCTTGAAAGGTACGATATCCCTTCTTCTGCAGAACGCCGAGCCGCCAGGTAGTTGGGTATTGCCTGGTCTGGATTTCGCTTCGCTTCAATCAGGTGTGCAAGAACGAGCTGGGTGTACAGGTCTGCAACGCATTGGAATAATGTTATTTTGGCATAATATTTGTCATGCTGAAAACCTGTGTACTCGTGAAAGTCCCACACGATGTCGAGAGCTGACAAGAGATATCGCGAGTTCGCAATGTTCCATTGCATTTGCAAATCCGAGTGAACACGACCAGGATACATGTTGTCTCGTATGCAAGATCTACATTGGCCGTACGCCGCAGAAAAATCGTACCAGATGCGGTCTTGATGTTGCAGTAGCTTGGCCAAGAATTTCTGTCGATGTTCTTGGGGCAGTGGTCCTCGAATACTCAGGGCTTTGAGAGGCGGTAGACGCTGCATGGAAAGGACAGGTCCAAAAACCAACTCAGCAAAGCGAAGTTCAGAATATCGGAATATATTGTGTATCTGAAGCTGACCAACTGAAATCTGCGTCGCCCTACTGAGAGCTGCTGCGAGATCAATCATGAAGTTTGGTAATGCCTGCGCAGTGATCACGAAGTTGTTTCGTAGAGACCAAGGTACTTGTCCGGGCTTCCAGCCAATGCTCAAAAACTCCATGCTCATCGCGAAGCGGCGGTGTGGCACAATCTGGGTGTGCTTGTCGACGAATTCGAGCCCAGGAAAGTGGATACGAATTGGTGGCTTCAGTGACAAGTGGCCGAAAAGATCATTGTTAGACCTGACTATCATGAACATGTTCTTGGAATAGAGTATATCGCTACTCTCAGCGTAGACTTGACGATTGACGTAGAGAATGCTGGTAGCTACATCGCTGGGGCGAAACAGATATTCTCCGCCATGGCTTGGAGGCGGAACCAGCAGCTCGGTATAAATACGTTCGCGGATGGTTACCGGCAACACAAGGAAAGACTTCGGGCTCATTGTCGTTGACACTGTATCGTTGGTGGATGGAAACGATGGACGTAGCGAAGGGCACCGGAAGGAAGGCTCTAAATTACCGTATGTGGTCTGTGCGCTTGTCGTCCCGAATGGGTTGAGCAAGCGCGTCATCCCTCCCAAGTCTTTGTCCTTATTATATATGATCCCCTCGATTCCTTCCACATTCAAGGCCTGTGTGTACCACTAGTGGCATCTATGCAATGACCGTCGCAAGGCGCCAGTACACCCGGCCTGAACGTGCTATGGTAAAAGGAGGGTGATGTTCTGATACAAACGGTACAACGGCAATGCGCCAACGTCGCAATGAAGAACCGCGCAGCGTTCGACGTGCGCGACAATCATCCGTGCAGCTCGCCATAGAAGAAATGGCGCAGTCCCTCTGGGCGTGTCCGTGCCATCGAGGAGCAGTAACTTCCATCAATTCCGTCCGACTCTCGTCGCCGCGTTGTACGCGTGCGCCAGCTTAATTAGAATCAGGAAGGCAACCGGGGCAGACGGCCTTGGCAAAGTCCAGAGCTCGTCAAGCTTCACGTACGGCACAGTCATCCAACGCTAAGCCTTCTTATCGTGCTCTTGGCTTTGTCTTGGGAAACGAAGTTGTTTCCTGTGTACGGGGGCCTCGGAGCATCCCCACTCCCAATGGCAAATGAACACCACCGCCAAGCTTCTGACTTATTAGTCTTCGCATGTAACTCCTACCACATTGAGAAGGTCGTTATCCTTCGCGTGCTCCGTCGCAATCCAGGAACCGGGCTGAACACGAGATGCTAAGCAACTATAAAATATGGCCAAGTCCTTGCCTACATGGAAGCTCCATCTTGAGCTCTTTGATCTCCAGCTTCAGGACCAGGCCATCAGCACCAATTCAGAGCCATGAAGGTCGCAGTAGCTACTCTCGCTGCCGTTGGCGCGACCGTCGTCAATTGCGCAGCCATTGAGCCTCGCGGCAACAAGCTTGTCACCTCGGTTAGTGCTGCATCAAGTTTACTAAGCTCTCGCTGACGGTCGACCACAGGAAGGTCTGCGCAAGCTGATCAAACTCAAGGCTCTGCAGGAGAAAGCGCACCTCTTCGAGCGCTTTGCATACGACTCACCCGACAAGAACCGCGTCATCGGTAGCGAGGGACACCAAGCGACCATTGACTACATCACAAAAACCATCAAGAAGTACTCAAAGTACTACGATGTGTATCAACAGCCCATGCCGTTGTCTATTGGCCTGTCCGCAAATTTGACTGTCAATGAGAAAGAGGTTACCGTAGATGCAGTGGGACTTGCTCCTGGTGGCAGTGCGTCGGGGCCTGTCGTTGCGATTCCCAACTTGGGATGCGAGGAGGCCGATTTTCCGGCTGATCTGAGTGGCTCAATTGCACTTATTTCCCGAGGCACTTGTGTTTCTGGCGAGAAAGTTGCCTTTGCTGCGTCCAAGGGCGCCATTGGTGTTTTAATCTACAACAACGTAGATGGAAACCTTGCCGGCTATTCGCTTCAGCGTTTCCCTGAGTCAGACGGTGAATACGTACCCACTGGAGGCATCACTCAAGCCGCCGGAGAAGGCTTTGTCTCGCTGCTTGCTTCTGGTGGCAGTGTCACTGCAGAGCTCACTACGAGCTCCAAAGACGTCATTACCTACAACATCATTGCTCAGACCAAAGGTGGTGACCAGGATAACGTAATTCACGTCTCGGGCCACTCTGATTCTGTTGCTCAAGGGCCTGGCATCAACGACAACGGCTCAGGCTCCATTTCGATCCTTGAGACCGCAATCCAGCTTACCCAGTTTTCTGTCAAGAACGCTGTGCGCTTTAGCTGGTGGTAAGCTCATCGATTTATCAAGGCATGATGCAATGCTAATTGTTACAGGACTGCCGAAGAAGCGGGCCTCCTCGGTGCGGAGTTTTACGTCAAGTCTCTCAACCAGACCGAGAAGGACAAGATTCGTCTACTCCTTGACTTTGACATGATGGCCTCGCCCAATTACGCTTACCAAATCTATGATGGCGATGGTTCAGCTTTCAACCTTACTGGCCCTGCCGGCTCTGCTGAGGCTGAGGCTGAGTTCGCGTACTATTTCGATAAGATCGCTAAGGTGAATCACACCGAGATCGAGTTTGATGGACGCTCTGATTACGGCCCATTCCTTGATGCCGGTATCGCTGCTGGTGGAATCGCCTGCGGAGCCGAGGGAATCAAGACCCAGGAGGAGTTCGAAATGTTCGGCGGCGCTGCAGGCGTTCCCTACGACGTTAACTACCATGAGGACGGGGATACCTACAACAACCTGAACTTCGACGCCTTCATCGTAATGGCAAAGGCCATTGCGCACTCTACGGCAACATACGCGCGCAGCTTTGACAGCCTTCCCCCCAAGAACACCACCGCTATCAAGGCGCGGAGTGACGCCAATCAATTCAAGTACAAGAAGAGCGCGAGGTATCTTAGCATGATTTAGAAGTATTGATGAAGAAATAATGAAGAATGAGATGAAGCGTCTGTGCCATCAATTGCTTTTTGTTTATTCGCGTGTGAACTCAAACCGCGGCAAACCCGCGATGTTGTACTATGTACAATGTGCCACCCTGGAATTGCGACTGCAGACATGGTCGCACTTCAACCGTTTCGAAAAGCGCGGAAATACACCCGGGTATAAGATGCGGGGAACGCGCGCTCGCCATTGCACCCCCAACCTCAAACCTCGTCTGTGCTCCTTCCTTGACCTCGACTCCTGCGTCAATTGCTCCCTGAGAATGGCTCAAACATCGCGTCTCCTCTCCCGTTCTTTCGGCCTCGCTTCGCGTCCCATGCGACAGCCTTTCCCGACGCGTTACTCCCATCCCCGCACCCTCGCCACAGTGACCCCCACACTCCCACGCGTCGACCATGCACAGTCTAGCGACAACCAGACAGTCGCAGCCATGGGCCGGACAGCGTCTGGAAAAGACCTGCAAATTAGGAAATATCCGACGTTTGAACGCAAAGAGGACGAGAGACTGTATAGGAAGCAACATCTTGCCGCAGCGTATCGCGTGTTTGCTGAGCGGGGATTTGACGAGGGTGTTGCGGGACATATCTCTGTGAGAGACCCGGTCTGGGAGGATCACTTCTGTAGGTTATCCAGTTTTTCTATTACCAGGATTCCTGGTTGGTCATGATTGGGATGAACGGAGCACATCTGGGCAATGGGCAGCAGTGGTATTTGGGATGTCAGCTGACCAGTACAACAGGGCTGAATCCCCTCTCTACCCATTTCTCCCAAATCCGCGTCTCGGACCTTATCCTCGTCAATGAGGAAGGCACCGTCGTGCAGGGCGACCAGCCTATCAACGCAGCCGCCTTCGCTATCCACAGCGCCATCCACAGGCGAAGACCAGATGTACATGCAGCGTGCGCAACATGCCCTTCCCAGTCTCCCTCTCAAATTGACGTTTAATGGGTGCGTAGATGTCACGCTCACTCCGTCTACGGCAAAGCATGGAGTGTCTTCGGCAAAGAACTGGACATGATCACGCAGGACAGCATTCGCTTCTACAAGAGCCATGGGGTCTATAAGCAATTCGGAGGCGTAGTGCTGGCTAGTGAAGAGGGTGAGAGGATTGCGGATGCGCTCGGTAACGTTAGAGGATCCTACTGTTGGAGCCAAGTAGCTGACGACTCCGGGCAGGCAACGGCAAAGCTGCCATCCTTCAAAACCACGGCATCTTGACCGTCGGCCAGACTGTCGACGAAGCAGCCTTCTGGTTTCTCTCGCTCGACAAGACGTGCCAGACACAGCTGCTCGTTGACGCGGCCGCGGCGGGAAACGGGCTCGAGAAGAAGATTATCGCGGATAAGGAAGCGTCGGAAACGTATGGGAATGTCGGGACGCCGGAGAAGGGGTGGTTGGCGTTCCAGGGGTACTATGATGAGATCCTAGTAAAGACGGGTGGAGATTTTCTGCGGTAGTGAGGGTATGTGAGAAAGTTCTGGGGGTGATAGGATTTGAGAGAGAATGTAGAGATATTGATGATTGGGATTCCGTGGCTAAGGTTCAGCAAGGTCTCTAGTACGAGGCCTACTTACTCTGAGCTTTCCTCAATTGAATCGCTTGCTCACTCCGGCTACAGACGCGTTGGCGGGCAGTCGGTCCCCGGCATATACTCGAATGCGTCTTTTCGACACCATCCATCGCCCTGCCCAGTCGCCGTTGAATTGATGTAGCAGGACGTCTCCACGGATAGATATTCCGCACTCTTCAATTTTAGCGGTTCGTGCCACTTTTTCGCCTTCATCTCTTCCTTGATCTTCTTCTCGACCTTATCCTTCACCTCGCCAGTAGCCCAGCCCTCTTGAGCGCAGACCCGCATGTCGTGTGGATAGTTCATGTCTTTCGCGTCAGCTGTTATAGGTCAATTCTATGTAGACAGAGAGCGTGGAAACACGGCGCGCACCCTTGATAAAGACAACGAGCCAACCGATGTAGTCGATGCGCACCATGGTTATGTCTGGAGCTTTGCATAGGTCCCAATCGCTCGCGTCGCCATTGAAGCCAGGCTTCCAGCATTGATTGTCCATGATGGTGTACATGGTCCAGGCTATAGCATCGATCTATGGACCGCCAATTAGCAGATGCTTTTGTCTACGACTTGGTAATTGCACATACCAGGATCTCGCGTGCTCCAGGCAGACCAAAGTAGCTCGAGCCAACCTTGATCGTGTAGCTACCGTCGCGACTTGTATCGCCGTTCTTGTTCTTGACCACGACGTACTCCTGAGTCACAACCTTTTCGGTGTTGCACGAGCGCATGGTCTGCACCCCAGACTGGCCCGATGGGCACAGGTCACCGACGGCTCCTTTGATGATATCGTAGAGAAAGTATCTCCCTTTTGTGCCGACATTCTGCCCATTGCTGCCGATACCAAGTACCATCATACGCTGAGAATCCCAGGGCGGCGGCGCGTCATCTCGGGCCTGCATCAAGTGCTGTGAGACATTGTGGAACTGCGAGGAGCTGAGCTGGTCGTGAGCTGTGTCGTGTCCGACTGCGGCAACAGCGTCTGCGCACGTGAGCAAAACTTCAACAGGAAGGAGCAGACAACAGACCAGCGAAAGGCTCACCAGCCATCGCGGCAACGAGCGCGCCGAGGGCACAAATGGTGAAGACGAGGTAGGTGTTGACGTTGAGCATCATGATAAGGCGCTGGTCTGTAAGAGCAGGTGCGGCGGGTTAGGAAAGGAGCGCCCTCATTTTTCTACTCTCACCTGCTAGACATTGACGCAGAGTCAAAGCTAAAGCCAATTGCTGCGAGACACCGAGTATAGTGTGTCTGTGCTCACCGTGTTGCGATTCACTCTTGTTGGTGATTGCTGTAACTCAACCCTTCGGGCTTTGTGGAATTTCGGCTACCTAGTATTGATACTTGTACTCCCACTGGTCGTCCTCGCCTCCGACTTCTGCCCTTTTCCGGCCCAGCTTCTGATTATGCCACCAGAGCAACGCCACATGAACTAAGCATAATACTGCACCTGCTACGGTAATGGTGAGTCCTGTCATGATGTTAGTCTAGTCCATGATAACAAAGCAACACCGCGAGGACTGCGGAGTCCATACGTACCAGTTCGGAAGCCGGTGGGATAGTACGGCGCCTCACGCTTGATGAAAACATTGCTTGCGACAAAATTGGCGCAGTTACCCAGGCCCAAGATCATAGCCGTACCAACGGCCACACTTGCCCTACCGCGCAGGTTGTTTGTCATCCATGACACAGTCATCGCCATCTGCAGGAAAGTGCCCGCGCTCATCGCAAAGAGCGAGAAGTATCGTACACCAGGGGATAGGTCCTTGGATTCGGAATAGACAATCTGGATTATCCACCCAATTGTGGCCATCATGATGCCAAAGAGCATAAAAGGAAACCGCAGGCCTGTTCGGCTGGAGAGGAATCCCGCACCTAGTTCAAACATGAACCCAGTCGCCCAGATGGGAATAGACATGACCTGCGCACGTTCAGCTTTCCAGCCGAGTTCAGTCAGAATGGTAGGCGTGAACGAAGTAATCGAGGCAGCCGTCATGTCGCAGCAGAAGAACATCGCAGTACTAGACGCATGAGTAAAAGCCTTTGGAAGGGCGCGCACAACTTACGGTAGCCAAATCTTGTAGTCGGTAAAAATAGGAAGCCATTTTACAGATCTCATCGAGAGCTTCTGATCTCCTTTGTCGCGCCTCAATTTCTCCAGCAAGTGTGCCTTTTCAGCCCCGGAGAGAATGTCGGTCTTTTCCGGGAAGTTGGGCACGAACAGGAACACCAGGAACGAAATGGCTATTGTCCCTAGACCCTCGATGATGAATATCCAGCGCCAGCCTTCTTTTCCTTGAATCCCGTTCATGTGCCGGATGCCGTAGGCCAGCAGACCGCTCACCAACGGGCCAAGCACGCCGAAGGTAAAGAACATGGCAAACCGAATGGGTTGCTCTTTGCGTGTGTAGTACTCGCTGAGGAGAAGGGCTGCGCCTGCCGGAAGCGTGGCCTCGAGGATACCCATTAAGAAGCGACAAGCCAGTAGTCCACCGTAGCTATGAGTGAGGCCTTGACACATGGATATTATCCCGAGAATAAGCATACTGAAACCCAAGAAGAGATTGGGTTTCACACGCGGCAGGCCCATGATCATGTTGCTTGGGATCTCGACCAGCACGAACGGGATGAAGAAAATCCAGAGGCAGGTGTTGTAGCCGTTGCTGGGCATGTTGAGGCCTTTCTCCAAGCCCTCGATCCTAGCATTGGCAACTGTGCGGGTTAACGGCAGTGCTATGCGTTACCGCGGTGTCACTCACTGTTTGTACGATCCAAAAAGAGGATGGTATACGTGCAGCCCAACAAAGGTATCAAGCGCAAGTCGAGCTTCAAGACGTAGTTGGACGGCGGCGGTGCCAATTCACCTTCATCGCTGGCCGGCGTCGCCAGCGCTTCAGCGTGCATCTTTTCGTCCGCCATGGCGAGGTTGCACGACGACTCAGGCCTGATGAGGTCGCAACAACGGTACGTATCCTAGTTGGCGGGCCGTTGTTGACAGGCGCGGGAGGAGTGGGGTGGAAAGCGAAGAGACCCTCACGGAGGCGCTCCGCGGCGAATACAGATAATATAGTCTCGGCCTAGATGCCGAATGCTGCGGGCAAGGGCCAGGCCCTGCACGACTCCACAGAAGAGGTCGCCAAGGTGCGTGCGAGAAACCAATGTATGAAGCCGCAGGGGACGGTGGCGGTTGAGCTTCAAATCGGCGGTCCCTCACCATACAAATCGCGCAATACAAGCTCTCAGGCCGCTCCGCTCCCAGACATAATCGAGTGCCGCGCGAACACGCTCCGTGCCCAGGTGCGTCGCGCTCACGTGGCCGACGGTGTCGCTGCTGAAGTTGAAGGCATGTGGGCTACAGGGGCCTTCGAGCTATTCATCGCGGTTCGGTCGCTAGGTCGGAACGGGAGCAAGCGGGCACTCGGGCGAAACTTTTGCCCATGGCGTGAACGGCTGAAATGCCGCGCGGAACTTCGCAGCACGCTTCGCGGAGCGATGTTCCCCTGGCGCATCTAAACCGCCGTGCGGAATTGCCGTCCTGGCGCGTGTACCAGAGACGTCTAAAGAGACCTTGGACACGAGCCACGAGCGCGGATGGGTTCCGACGCCCAGCCACCTGGGTGCGAAGCGTTTGGCGCGGAACCAGACTCACGGTACGTGCGCCTCAATGGCCACAGGCGCATCCTTCACCACCATGTGACCATGTGGGCGTGCCCATCTCCAGACACAATGGACTCGAATTCAAACTCCCTTCGGCAGCTGTCGTGTGTTTTCTCTGCTTGGGCAATATAAACACCGGTCGCTTCAGGGCGTCTTGCCATTGCGGGTCATTCTCCAAGTCCTCTTCAGTCGCCATGTACTCCCTGAACCCACTCTAAAATTATGTCGTCATCGTGCGATAGTACTTTTTCACTTCGTCGCCCAGCCAGTTTGTCTCGCGCAAGCCCTCATAGCCGTACCTGTTCGGTGGCCACACCAGATCCATTTCATTGCGTCTGTGCAGATCCACATCACGAAGTTGTCATGGCTGGGTGTTGTGTAGATGGGTTGCTCGACGGGGAACATAAGGCGTCCACCGGGCTTGAGCGCTGAGTTGAATTGCGCAAGCAGCCGTCTGAACGCATCCGTGAAGAGGTAGTGGAACGCCAGACTCGAGTAAACCACATTGTAGGAGCACGGGCTTAAACCCAAGTCTTTGCTGCTGATGTCTTCAACCCAGAAACCGGTTAGCTTTGATGGATCTAAGGCATATCCTTCGCTTTATCGATCATTTTGTTGGAAACGTCGAGCGCATCGACATGCTGCGCGCCGTTTTCGACCGCCCAGCGTGCGAACCAGCGCAAGCCACAGCCAAGATAGACTACCCGTTCGTCCCCAACCGTACCTACCATCGCCTTCAGTGTAGGCCCTTCAGGTGCGCCATCGTGACGTTGCTGCTGGCGAGGGAGGTCGAGACAGGTCGCTAGGAATCTAGGATTGTCTTAGATCACCGTGTCTTTACTTATGTTCAATCGTTTGAAAACTACTGCGAGGTCAGTAAATGGCCACTTCGACCTCTTGGGGCATCAAAGATGCTGCCAGATAGGTGTCATGGCCGTTGGCCCCAGCAAAGGGGGCTTTGAAGGGAAGCCTGTGTCCTGTGAGCCAGGTGGCTTGTGCCCGGAAGGTGCGTACGAGCACCGTCAACGCGTTGCAAGCTTGGAGAAATGTATGAAGCCTACGATCTTTTATATCCAGCTTTTACGCATAATCTCGACTTTCAGAGCAGATTTACCCACTCCACAAATGCTGCAGCAACCGAAGATGAATAGCTGCCTAAGATCGAGTGAGGCACTACCAAAAATCTTGGCGTCATTTCACCCGAATTTCGCTTCACTGAACGCTTTCCCTGCGTCTTACTCCGCCCCTTCCCGCGCATTTCGGCCCCAGAGCCTGACAGCAGATCTGTGTTTCAACACACGCTACTGGCCGACCTTGCGAGGATGCAGCCTTATGGACGGTCGGACACGGTCAAGTTTGCGAAAACCGCCGTGTGGCGCCCAATGCGCGCCATGCAATTGGTCCCCCAGCTCGCTCGTGCGAGAGAGACTGCGCTCCTTTTTAGTAACGGCCTCGTTGCACAGGGTGCAGCGAAATATGTGTAGAGCTTCTCCAGCATATAAGAAACAAGCATCTCGTGCAATTTCTTGTCAGTAGGAAAGACTAGCCAACGCTCACTTACAGAGCCCTTTTCTAGAACAACCGAGACGGCCGAGTAATTCTACATCCCACTTGAAGTCACCTCATCCGACAGCACGCAAAACCATGACCGGAAGATTTTCCCGCCTCCCTTCCGATGATGTCGACGAAGGGAGATATTACCAGAATCGACAGTCTCTCGACCTCACCGAATCCGTCTCCTACGATGAGTTCCGGCGACAATCCGATTCAGAATCAGTCAAATCGCTCATTCAGCGCGACGATCCCGAAGTACATCTCGAGAAAGAAAGGGAGAACAACTCGGCACCTCTCCGTGAATCACTCAAACAATACTCTACGCTGGTATGGTGGTTGCTGGCCATGTCCACAGCTATCTTGTATGCTGGGTATGACAGTTCTGTGCTTGGCTCCCTCAATTCCGTGCCTGCTTTCCAACGTGATTTTGGCGAGTGGTCGCATGTTCCCAAGAAAGATAATCCCGACAATTGGGAAGACGTCATTCCTGCGTTTTGGCTATCAATCTGGAGCGGTGTAGGGCCTCTGGGTGCAATGGCCGGGTCTGCTCTTGGAGGCTGGTTCCTGGACCGATGGGGAAGACGGTTCTGCTTGATGATAGGGAGCATCATCGGTGCTGGAGCAGTGGTGATACTTATGCTCTCCAACAAACCTGAAAACAAAGACACAAAGCGTATCATGATACTTGTGGGTAAAATCATTCAAGGGGTCGGACTAGGCATCATCAAGATCGAAACTTTCACTTATCTGTCAGAAATCGTCCCTGGTAAGCATTATATCACGCCTTACAGTCCTCAACTAAGTTTTCCTAGTCAGTCTGAAAGGAGCAGTAATGTCGCTAGTGCCCATCATGACACTGCTTGGACAATTGACAGGAGCCATCATCATCTTTGCCGTCTCCACGAGCGAAAAATCGTCCGCCTACCAGATCGCTCTGGCCTCCCAATGGGCTCTCGCTCTCCCGCCGCTCATCCTCGCCATCTTTCTCCCTGAGGCTCCCGCCTTCCTTCTCAAGACGAAAAAGGATCCTCAGGGTGCCTTGAAGTCGCTCACGCGGCTTCTAGGCCCCAAGAATAATCCCAGAGCTGCGCTCGCAAAGCTGCAAGCGACGCTCGACGAAGAAAACAAGATTTCGGCCAAAACCAGCTACATCGACTGCTTCAAAGCCGCCGACCGCCGCCGCACGCTCATCGTTATATTCGCTGGTAGCATGGAGTTCTTCTTTGGTCTGGCGCTGCTGGGCGACGTCAGCTACTTCCTCCAACAGCTCGGCATGCAAGCCAGCAAGTCACTTCTCTTTCTCATCGCGGGCATCGTCATCGGGCTTATCGCGAACATGGGGTCCACCTGGACTGTCACACATTTCGGCCGCCGCAAGCTGACCATTACATCGCTGAGCATCACCGCTGGGCTCTGGGCCGTCATGGGATTTTCTGGCATCAAGCAGTACGAGTTCACAGCCTGGCTGGCAGGAGGTCTGAGCACCGCGATCATCATCGTGTGCGGTCTCGGCTGCTGGCCCGCCTCGTACGCCATCATGGGCGAGACATCGTCGCTCAGCTTGCGCTCGCGGTCCCAGGCGCTCGGAAGTCTGTCACAGAGCACGACCACCATCCTCATGAACACTGTTCTGCCGTATCTATACAACCCTGACGCGCTGCATCTCGGTGCGAAGACGGGTTTCGTGATGACAGCAACAGCCGGCGCTGGTGCAGTGCTGACATACTTCTTTGTGCCCGAGCTAAAAGGCAGGAGCGCGCTGGAGATTGATCATTTCTTTGAGAAGAAGATCAGGAGCATTGGGTCGACTAATTGGCGCGACATGCATGTGGAGGAAGTACCACTGAAGCATGCGCAAGTCTAACGACAGTACGCGCTTCTTCCTAAATTTAGATATATTTTGGCTCTCATTGCAACCCCTTTAGACTCTGTGCATATACCTATTCTTTTTCTTCCCCCACTCGGAATCATCAAGGTCGCTTAAGTGCTCATGCTTGATCTTTGCACTCGCCAGCTGGAAGGCCTGCACGTGGTTAGCTCGCACATCTGCCTCTTCGTGTCAGCTCCTACTTACCATGCCACTCCTTCGGATCAAACTGATCGGGTGAAATGTAGCAATTCACGGTCCCTGGATTCACCATCTGCACCCACGTCGTGTTTCCCTTGACCTCTGACCCCTTCTTCCAGCACCCGACATCTATATATCCATATTCCTGCGTCGGATACTCCGTCTGGCAAGTCGCATTGGTCAGGTCTGTGCAGTTGCGACAGACGAACGCCGCGTTGTAAGTTCCCGGTGCCCCAATCTGCGTACCACATTTTCAGCTCCCTTCGAAAACAAAGGGTACAAAAAGCGACAAACCTGATGATGCGGCGCCTTCCCACACCACTCCAGCGCCTCCGTAAAATCCACATCCGCCCCCTCCTTTACACTATCCTCGTGCAGCCAGCAACCCTCCCCCCTCGCCTTCCCACCCTGATCCGCATTTCCGACGCCTGGATACGATAGGAACGCCGGCGGGCCAAATGATCCATTCGTGTTCACCCAGAGATACGTAAAGGAGCCCTCGTTGTCATTCAGCCGCCCTTTGTTATCTTGCATTGTGGATGTCGTCCAGCAGGATACATTGAGTTTGTTATTGGCGCCGAAGGAGTGCACTGAATATGGCATATTGTCGGCGTGTATGCGGCATGGGGCCTGCTGTTCGGTGGTGATGGTCAGGTAGGCGGGATATTTTGGGGCGCGGTGGAAGAGCGAGAGGAGGGATATGAGGGGTGCGAGGGGAGCCATTGCGCTTGTCGTTTGATTCTATGAATATCAATTGAAACCCGTGGTTTGAGCACGACGCGATATCCATGTTCCAGGGTCACGGCGGCGATATATAGCGCCGAAGGATTCCAGGTTGGAAAGGCGATAATGTATTCCACGTGGATCTGAGGCAGGGCGATCTATATCCATATTGCAATTTGATTGTATGCACGTCGTATGCATGGAGAATTGGGAAGGTCAGCGGTCTGGCGTGCGGCTATTTGTTCTCGTGCGTAAATAGCCGGTTGTGTTGCTGTGAGAAGAGATACAACCGACGTTTGCAATAGGAGCTTGCATAGCTTATGTTCGTACGTAGGGAGACGAGAAGCAAATACTATAGAGATGCATTAGACTCGTGTAGCGGTCAGAGGTTTGTTAGTCATGCGAAAGGCGGCTATCCATTGACACGGATTAGGAAGTGTGCTATTCGGCTTCCATATTTATGAGGACTCCTCGGTGGAGGCAAGGGCTCAAGAAGTTGAGATGACTTTGAGGTCTTGTTCTAGATCATAGCAAGCTAAGAGGCGGGCGTGGCCTGAACGTCCGTGTGTCTGAGCTCAGGAGGGCCGCGAGAACAGTTCGCGACAAATTACGAGGTCGACAACTTGAATCAAAGCCGATGTAGAAATAGTTGAGCGGCTTGAAATAACTAGGTTTGCATAGAACTTCAGTCGAGCGTGGTGTCATCTGGAGAAGATCGTGTGGCGCGGAAATGGCGCGGAAATGGCGCGAATCGGTGCACGCCAAATTTAGCTTCGCACTAAACCGCGCCGCAACCCAGACGCGTCCTGATCACATTCCCTCAGTCCTCCACGAAACTTACGCCAAGCTGGTAAAAGCCCATGTTCCATTCGAAAAACAGCCCGCTTACTCTGAGCCAGGCCTCAATCAGTGCTCGGCCACTGATCAGTGTAAACACCTTTCATTGATGTGGTCGAAGCTTCAAGTGGTTCTGATGCTACTGAAAGGTGAGCTTCGAGATTCCACGGATGGCTGAAAGTAGCCGCCTGCCAAGAAGCATACGAACGCCGGACTCGCTCGACATCCAAGCTTTGTGCATGGGACGAAGCAAGCACGTACAAGCCCTCGCTGCTTGAATGAAATCAATCCTCGGGGTGAGAATCCTACTATCGGCCTTAAATGTAAAACAGACAAGGCGCATGCGCAGCCCCAGGAAATCCGTTGCACCACTGTTCATGGCACTCCCGCTGCTCTCGCCTCCTTCCTCGACCGTATGCTAATTTGTACAGCACCTCAAATTCAACTCAGATAGGTTTTCCTCCATGTGCGCAGCCGGATGAACGGGTGCTCGATTTTGGCCCCCTCATCTCAAGAGCTTGTACGATTGTTGCCCAATATGGCTGCCTGGAATTGACACCCGTTCCTGCTGACAATGACATAAGACGGTACCTTGCATGCAATCCTACTGAGTGGTTTTCCACCAACAGTACACGGGCGGTGGTACCCGAAAGTCAAGGTCATGCCCTTTGTACATTCCTTGGCTAAGATTATTTGCCCTATAGAGGCAAGCCAATACTTCAGCCCTACGTTCCTGGCCTGGTACCTTACTAGAAAGAGGCGATTGGGTCAGATTGTAAGTGGCGCATTCGTTCACCGGTATTCGTCTCCACATCCTGGTCCATTTGTGCTGCTACCATTGGCGGAACCCCAAACCGAGCAGGATGGATACGAGCCGAGGGAAATCGGCACCAGCAGTCATTCTTCGTCTTGTTGGATGCGTGTAGTCGAAGAACTACATAAGACCACTAGCTTCATGCTGGCTCTGGCAAATTGTCTGTCAATCTGTACCTACTTCTTGGCCCCCACTGTTCATCATGGCTGCGGTTATACCCACTCCGACCTTTGCGCCTACGGGAGTGTACGTACCACCTCCTTCACACTCAGTCACCCACTTCACACCTGCGCCTTCGTGCTCTCCCGAAAGACTAAGGCTTGTATCCACCCAGCTATGCGACATTGTTACAACATCACAGACTCTGTTCGGCCAGCCATTGCCGCCCTGGGCTGAATGCGCACTGACGCTGGCTGGCGACCCGCATGGAATGTTCTACCAAAACCCTGACTGCTACCCATCAAACCTTTCTGCTGATGATGGCACCCACGTTTTCATCTCTGAATGTCCAGTTGGGTACACGACGGTGTGGGAAAGTCAGGGCAGGGATTACTTGTACGACACGTCGACGATCACCCAAGGAGGCACGACCACTACCTCGGTTGAGTACAGAGATATCGTAGCACATTCTGCTGTCTGCTGTCCTGATAATGCACTCGGAGGCTTCCACTACAACTGGGATTCGGAACCCGATTACATCGATTACATCCAAACTACCGATCCAGATGGCAATCCCAAGTCGGTCAGCCTCTACGTACCGCCACGATGCGTTGCAACCTCAGTTTGCGCTGTGCCCGCCACCGTTACCATGGATGTGGTTTTCAACGACTTTGTTTCCGATAAGAAGCGCCGCAGACAAGACGTTCTACCCCGTGACATCATCCCAGTCGGCGTCGTTACGCGCCCATGGGATGTAGAAAAGAACGTCGTCTTTGCTCACTCAGTCGATTTTAGCTACACTGTCTTCCATGGGACGTACACGTGCTTCGAGAACTGCTACGACTACGCCAGCTCCTCGTACCACAACACGGATCCAAATTCGCCTCCATCGTCAGTTGGACCAGATCGCCTCCAGACTACGACCAACATCAAGCCGGAACAAACCCAATGCTCAGCTTCGCCTACTGACTCAAGCCCGTCTGAGACCAGCCCTCCCGACTCGCCGCCAGCCGGAACAGGTGGCGCGGGGTACAGCACTCCCAGCACGGGCCATGGATACAACGCTACGCATATAGGTGGTGGCTACTCTGCTGCCCCTAGCCACCCAAGTGGCGGTTATGATACCAGCCCCGGTGAAACTGAGAGTAGCTACGAGGCCGGCCCCAGTGAAACTGAAATCCCACACTACTCGCCCGAGCCCACTATTATCGAGACCGTAGTCATCACAACTCATAGCGTTGGTGGAGGCGCTGGATGGAATGCCACCGCAACGGGTCCAGGCTATACGACGCCCGAGGGAACAGGAGAGCCTACATCTAGCACACCTGAAGAGAGTGAGACCAGTGCGCCGTCGCCGTCGGCGCCGCAGTTCCCGGGTGCGGCCACCAAGGAGGGAATTTCGTCGGTGTGGGCGTCATTGCTCGTTGCGATTGCTGCGTTTATGTAGAGATATGGTATCGGACGTTCCATTAGATGCAGTAATAATGAAGAATGACAATGCTATGAAGGACGTATGTCTACCATTGCTTTACGTATCCTCTATGCCTGCCTACGTCCATCGGTACTGTGAGTTGCATCTGGCGTAGTTCGTCCTCCGCTACATGATTGTGCCACTGGCCGCTTCAAGCTTTGCTTCACGAAGACGTGATTGCCGTATGAGCTTGTCTCGTTTGTTTGACTCTCTGCCGACACGTCAATAAGCCCAGTGTGTTGTAGTACCGCTTACTGCTACGAGATTTGACATCTATTATCGACTTACTCACCATGCCTACAACAGCCCAAAGGTGTTTCTGCTATAAGATCGTAGCATCCATTTGGGAGAGGCTGCTCCGTAGTGGTTTGCTGTTCTTGTCTTGAAGAAAATAAACCATTAGCTAAGCCTAGTCCCGTAGCCTAGTCCCGTACAAGTTCGATGAAAGAGTTATTCTTCCAGGAGGTTCAACCGGCGCGTTGTTCACGGCCCAACTTCCCACATCGTGTCACCCTAACGGTGAAATAAGCTAGTGTGAACAAAGCACCAATGCTGCCACCGTGCCTATTTGTTCAAGGAATACTGCATCTTGGGAAATCCGAATCAAACCACCAAACCGTACCACGAATAGATATTTCGCCTTCCCAAGCGCTTTCTCCATCTGCTCGACCTATATCAACCAGTTCACAAGTTTGAACAAAGTCAGACACTCAGTCGCCAGGAACACGATCATGATGACTTTCACGGCCTCTCTTGACAACAACCCCCTGCGCCAGCTGACCAAGAATGGCCGTCGCGCCCTTAGACTCGGTCCTACCTTCGATGTTGTGATCGACAAGAGGATGATTGCGAAGGAGATCCCCAAGCGTGCCGCAATGGCCATTTCCAAGGTCTTCAACGAGATGCTCACAAAGCACCAGCGCTACACGACCTTCATGCTGAATGACTACGAGGTCTCGAAGGACTGGGTCTTTATCATCATCGACTTCATCATTGGCAACGTGAAGGTCAACAACACGTTCGCCCTCCGCAACAAGGAGAAGACGTTCCCTCAAGAAGTGGCTCTCTACCGCCACGCCGTCCACCAGTTCGGGATGGAGCACCACGCTGGTGCCATGCGCGCGACTCTGTTGGGGTGCCTCAACAAGGATATTCACATGCCAACGAATGCGTCTCTCGATGAGCTTGTCACCCTTCCCGACACCGACCCACTATACAAGTGCGCGAGCACATCGGCGAGATGGAATGTGATGACTATTGGGATGCTTGCATCAACGAAAATCCTAGCTTCTACCTAGCCATGAAAGATTGGAAGAAGGAGCGTGAGGCGCGTAAGGCGAACCAGCGCGAGGTCCAGCGTCAAGCCGATTTTGAGCGCAACTTCCCCACGCTGAAGTAGGCTGCTTTAAACTGACTGATTGAGAGAACACCATGGAGTGTAGAGCCTCATGATGTGGGATATTCCATCCTAACCTCCATTTTTCGCTCAGTTCACGTTCTCAAACGTTGGTCATCGTTTCGGAGTACGATATTGGAGGAGAACTATTCAAGTTTTTCAATTGTGCATGGAGAATATTTCTTGGGAAGGTTCTCTATGCGTTCGATCCTAGAGGAGTTCTAGCAACTCGACTGAAAATTGAACTTGATTGATTCGGTTGTTAAGCATAAGTCCTCGGAGCATCATCTTAATCGGACGGAAAACTCTTTATATGACCTAGCCAGAAATTATAGCGATGTTTCAACCTGTGTCATTTCTGCCTAAATAATTGATTAGACACCCAGTGTATTGCCAGTAGTAGTGAATTCATTTTAGCCATCTGCCAGTATCCTCGGCTACTCATTCTGAATACAGTACTGTATTGTTCTGGTTCACATATTCTGGGATTGATACCTCTTGGTCACGGAGGCCTTGTTGGCATGGAAGTGAGGCCTGCGGTGACTGTGCTAGGGTGCAGCAGCCAAGCCTCCAGCTGAATCGCGATGGGAGGCAGCGATATTTGAACGCCACAATCTTGCATTTACAGACAGCCAGCATCAAGCCGTCAAACGCTTTCGTATCAACCCGGTGTCGCATGAGGTTGATGTATGTTTTAGTCTCATTAGCAGCGATCTTTCCATACCTTGGTGCCACCCCTGGAGTTCGGGTATCAGCTACATATTTGATTCCAGGCTTTCGGCACAGTCCCGACAGCCATGAGCGAAATATGCATCAGTTCATCAGTGCTGACGAATGAAAGTCGATTCAAATCAGTCCGAATTACTCAAAGTCAGCTACGGACCTCTTCGAGAAGCTGTACTATGTACACGAACGCTTCTACTAAACCGATCCCCTATCGGTGAAGGAAAGAATAGATTCACTGCAAAGTGCACTACGCATTGGTAGAACATATAAACTAGTCCAAGAAACCACACGTCTTGCTGCCGCGAACAAGGAGCATCATAAGCGTGAGGATATCTCTAGCAACATGGATTGGTTGGATTGATACGAATGAGACAGAGAACACGACAAAGTATACGAACATCTACATGAGGAGAGAATTCGACGGCATACGACGAGGATTCCGTTTTTACACATGAATTGTTATGTCAAGCCACGGCCATAACAAGAATTGACCAAAATCACCTGGTGCGAAGAGAGTCCAGAATAGGTCTCCCTTAGGAAACAATGGCTGTGTTTTTACAACGCAATTTCAAGAAGGTCAACGAGGACATCGTCACCACCTTGGTCGACTTCATCGTCTTTAACTCACGTGTGCACAATGTTTTCAACTTCCGCACCCAAAAGACTTTCTCGGCTTGCATCGATCTATACCAGACCGTGCTCCTCTTCGGCATGGAGCCCTACACCAAGGGCCTTCGCAAGGCTAATCTGGACGAGAATTACAACCAGGAAATCACCCCGTACTCCGTGCTCGACAAGCTTGTACAGCTTCCAACCACTAACCCCTGCTACGTGGCTCTAGTCCACAAGTTCGAGGGCTTGATGTTCATCGGTGAGCTTGACAGTGACAAGGATTGGGCGACCTGGCTTGGAGAGCACCCTACCTTTGTTGCTTGCATGGAGTCTTGGAAGACGGAGCGTGAGGCCCAGGCTACCATCAACAGGGAGACTTGCCATGCTGCTCGTTGGGAGAAGAGCTTCCCGGTTCTGGTCCAGGGTAGTCGTGTGTAGACGGCTCAAGCTAAACCGTTCTATCGCTGCTCGCTTTATGTATCTTTGAACGGGAGTGTGAGCTGCGGATATCTGTTTGAGCATTTCCATGTTCACTACAGACTCTAGCTCGAGATGCACTTCCAATATTTAAAGCACATTGCACGATGCGCGGGCCACACTAGCCGGATACAGTTCCCGACCTGTTGGTATGATTTTCTCATTTTGATCTGCCGACAAAAACAGGCCAGGTAGTTTAGAATTCAAAATTTCCCTCACATGATCATATACTCTTAAAGTGAAACTGTAGTGAAGCATCCTTACTACTTGTGATTGGAACGTTATTGAATGACGTCGAACAATTGGAAATTACAAACGTTTTGCTGACCCTCCCGAGAAATACTATGTCGAAGAAAACTAGGGAGCATCTCAATGAGGAATTCTGGGAGAAAGTCCAGCCTGAGCGCACATTACCAAACGATATTGAAGATCATCAGAGGAAGCTGCTTAATTCTGTAGCTGGCAATTCTGGCGGTCGTGTCTGTCATCGCAATCCTAAGATGTGCCTTCAGAAAAGAAATGCTTCTAGAATGACAGCCAGTAAAGATAGCAAAGCATGTGGTAGCGCAAATCCGGGGTGGCTCCAAACAAGAGGCGCGTTCTACAAGCGGTAAGTCCGGTCAATAGTTCTTGTATGGGTTCACAACCTACGCTTTACGACTGCCATATTTGGTCCACACGTAGAATGGAGTCGATAATACACTTTCGAAGATGTTCCGCAATGATATGCTGCTGAAATACTGTTGGTGATCTATGGAATATTTCAGCAATCGCTAACCCTTGCGATTTACATTGTGGCTGAAACAGCCATCTCATTAGCTTGGGGAAAGGCCAAAAATGAGGTTAGCGATGTCAATGTCAGCTAGACTCCAGACCTCGTGTTGGGAGTGTTAAGCTTAGCGCTCGTCTGTACCCGCTGTCAAAGTTTAGCGCTCCACAAAACAGCAAGGATCATCCTGTAAGATATCCCGTGCTTTCTCCATCTTCAGAATTAACTTTCTCCACACTCGCACGATAGGTCTCTTGGCAAGTACCGAAAGTTAATTTGTGTGACCGTCAAATGATCAATATTTGTGATGTGACCCTATCCAGACCGCTTCGCTAGCCATGTTATATTCATCCCTTCAAGCTGTCGCTGCCCCATCAACCCGGCATTGCATGATGCTGCGTAAGGTTTATTCCCGGAAATCCACTGGATATCGGAATCTTTGGGTGTTCGCTTAAGAGTGTGCACAATTCCCGACCTGTGAAGCCAAGGCCCGTGCATCTCCACATTGCTGGTATCGCCTGAACAGACACGTAATCGCTGGATTTAAGGTTTCTTCCTGCTGCACGTCAACCTTGACTAGCAGATCTCCCAACCCCATATGCACACTACTCCGATAATACGCCGTCGTGGCCCAAGCAGCAATTGGTGCTGTCCATGGAATATGTCTTGCGAAAGTTCGAAACAGCAGCTAGGACAGCAGTACTTCGACACGGCGAACGATGAGGACCTATCACCACCACCGAGTGGTCTGCGATCGACCGCAGCGAAGATGATGTCCCGTGGGAACCGTGTGGACCGAGTCAGGATACTTGTCGACACAAGTGTCTTCCCGTTCCGGAGACCGGGGCGATGATGGCCTTCCTTCGGGGAATTTTCCGCATATTTCGCATGGCTCTCTTTATAGTCCCCTTACACCCGGTGGATCCGACCTTTTCACCATTCGTTCTGGGAACAGGGTCCCTTCCTGTTGGTGCCATCATGGACCTGAGCCTTATCCCATCTCCCCCAACTGAAACCGCGAAGGCGTGGGCGCGGGCTCACGCCGGCGTGACTATCACGCTAAACATAGTCGCGTTTCTGATGTTCTGTGGAAGGGTGTATACGAGGTCATATCCTGTAATGAGGCTGAACGCTGACGACTATGCCATAGCAATAGCGTGGGTAAGAGCGCTTCACAGCTTGGGTAGGGGCGATACTTACTCACCGTTTGCCAGCTCCTCATCTTGGCCGAATCGGTCTTTCTCCTCCTCACCGTCCCTTTTGTTTTTGGTAGGGATCCGTCTACGATCACACTCCAAGACCTCGAAAACGCCGTCAAGTATGCGACCATTGCGCAACCGCTATGGGCCTGGGGCATGGCCGCTATCAAGACTTCGATCGCGCTCATGTTATTGCGCTTTGAGACGAACCGCAACCTCCGTCGCTTTCTTTGGGGCAACATAGCCGTCCAAGTCGTCTTGGCGTTCTACAACATGCTGAGCCAGCTCTTGCAATGCTCTCCTCTCGACAAACTCTGGGATCTCACCGGCACAGCACCTGGTAGATGTTGGAGCGCAGAAGCAGCCAAAATCAACCTTATCTGCCAGTCAGTCATTGTCGTCGCGACGGACATCATATTAGCACTCATGCCGATCAGCTTCCTGCGAAAAGTGCAACGCCCTCTGCGAGAGCGCATTATCATAGGAAGCTTGATGGGACTTGGTATGCTCGCCAGCATAGCGTCAATTGCCAAAATAGAAGCCTCACTTCGCCTGGAGCAGGTGGGCGATGCCACCTCGGTCGGAATCCAGGTTGGCATGTGGTCTGCCGTCGAGGAGCTGATCGCGTTTATCTGCGCATGTGTGCCTTGTTTGCGTTCGCCATTCCAACGTCTCTTGAAGTACGTTGGTGTCATGTCCACCCAGAAGCCATCGACTGGGCGAGGCTACTACAACATGGGAGCCCAGGCCAGATCTACCAAAACGACGAAGGGGTCAGGATCAAGGACTCTCGCGGACAACATCAAGACGAAGCGAAGCATAGCCCGGGATACAGATAGCGATGAGATCGTCTTGTCAAAGGACAACGGCAGGAATAGGGGGATATGGCGCACCACCGAGGTTCATGTCGAAGACGAGATAGGACTACCGTTATCGATCTACAAAGGCCCTCCAGATGCTCAGGAAAGCTGTGAAGATCACAGTCCGACTTCTGGTACCCATGCGAAGGGTAACTACAGTGTTTAGAGGTAGGTATCACAGATGATGACTCTTAAAACCTACGACAACACCACGATTTGATATCTTATCACGACAGCAATCTTATTCTTTAGCGAAGATACCACTAAGCATATTATTCGTAGCGTATTCAGTCCAATTCACTCAGTAGCAATCAGGTCAAACAATCTTTATCATACAAGTCTTGTCTAACCAGCCGGATTCTGGCAAGTAAAGGGCGTGATGCCAGAAGTCTGAAACTGAACTTTCATATTGATAGCCGCTGCCCAAATGCCCAGACCTGCCGTGGCCAGAGCAGCCAATCCGAAAAGGACATCGAAGGTATTCCAGATGGGCTTCTTCATGTACCCTCGAGTCCAACGCTTCACGCCAAAGTCCGCACGCTGAAGCTCACCTGTAGCGGGGTCGAACGTCTCCTCAGGTAGCATGGCGTCTTTTTGAACGTTGTAGGCGACTTTGAGAAGCGGTGGGAATGTCTGAAATCGTCAGCGAGATTGCGTCATCGAACACTACTAAAGGAGAGCTTACGTATTGAAACTGCATGATGCATAAGGCACCGACAAGAGCGACCAGATTAGCGATCTGTGGCACTGCAGCAGCTACGACAAATGCAAGCCCCCAGTATATTGGGACTGCGAATGGTTTGTTAGCATAGACTCAACTTAGCACGAGGTTGAGAACGCACCAATAATCACCCAAAGAATCTTGCCCATCTTCTTGTCCAGCGGTGGGAAGTTTAAAATGTCTTGTAATACAGAGGCATAGATGACTTTGATTCCGATGTTCCCGTAGAGCGCCATTGCTATAAGTGCAGAGACATAAGAAACAGCGTTTCCAAATGTTTGCCAGGAGTATGCGCTAGATGGGATGCCTTGGTAAGCCAGCGGGTAGGTGAACTGCCCTTGAGCACTGTACACAACCATTCCCATGGTGATGTAGACGGCGTAGATGAATGCTTCTGCGCAGATCAAGCTCTTCCAGAAGTCCATACTGAGTAAACAAACAGTTAGTGTATTTCCGACAAACCCAATGTGAAGACTTCACTCACGGCTTTCGCATCTCCGCCATCAGCTCATTGAAGAGAACCGCACCGCCATATGCGTAGACGCAATTCATAACGCCGCCCATGTAGTCGCTAAGCCCGAGGCCTTCGGGCCAATTGGCAGAAGTCACAATGGGGCCTTCCTTGACATTATTCGCGATCTCAGCAGCCTCGTAATTAGGAGGGTATTTGTGAACCACAATCATAGTCATGATCATCACGACGACGTTGAGCCAGACAGCGACGTTGGCGAGCCAGCCTAGTCGCTGGAGTGTACGGATCTGGCCCAGAAGGAGTCCGATGATAGCAGTTATGCCCTCTGCTGCCACAACTACACTTCTGTGAGCATCTCATCAAGCTACTGAGGAGTGCTTAGAGCACTTACAGCAGAGAACTCCGGCTCCGCTTTTCCCAGCTGCCATCTGTGCCAATCCCTGCCCATTGCTCTCTGTGATCAGAGCAACCATAAGGAAGAATTGAAACATCTGTAGAATGTTGAACAGATACCGAGCCCAATTACCATAGATGCGGAACGCGAGATCACCGTAATTACGAAGCGGGTAGCGAGTCGAGTCCAGTCCAATGAACATTTGCCAGAGCTGAAGGCTCGAATACAGGGCAAGGCCGCCAAAGACGGTGTAGAGCGCGAAGCCGGGACCGTAGCCCATACGGCTGATCGCCCATGGGACATTGTAGGGACCTAAAATGTCGGTCGTGATGAGGTAGAAAATTGAGCCTTGTCCACTGTAAGCGTCTGCTTCTCGAAACACTCACTGTGGCTCAAGCGCACTCACCCCATGTCGCCGTGCGCATGGCGCCTCGAGCGTTGTTCCATTCAGCGTCGGTAATCGCGGATGCACCATCAGGAACAGCATCAGGTGGCTTTTCGGAGCTTTTCTCGTTGGCACCTTCAGACGGAACAGAACTTGGCTGTTCGTTACTCTTTTTGTCTTTTCTTTTGAGAAGACCAGATAGCCACCCTCGTTCTGTTGGCGTGCTATTCTCAAGCTCTCGGGTGCTGTTGGCCCAGTAGTGGTACTCTTCGAACGTGATGTGTGCATCGTTGTAGAAGTTTGGACGAGGCATTATGGCATGTGCAACATCTACGGAATCACGAATGATCGCCGCATCCGTCTCAGTTAGGTGGCGAGGGTCGGCCACACCACCCAAAAGCGCACCGGATGCATGACCAGTCGCCATTGAAACTCGATCAGTATGAATTTGCTGCTGAACCAGCAGTCAGACGGGAAGTTGGTGAGATGGAGAGAAAGAGATGAGGTTCTAACACGGAAATGTCAGAAACCGCCGTGTGATGTAAATGCTTGTAGCATCCTTGATCTGCGTACAGGTACCACAGCTGCCAATTGTGGTTGGATGAACATGTTGTTTGTACTACAATACATCTGCCGATGGTGGATAAATACGGTTAGACAGTACGATCCGTACCGTCGCTTGCACGCGAGACCGATTATAATGACCGGGATTTAAATAAACTGACCCTGGTCCGCATATATACAACACCAAAGAGGAAGGTCCCATGGCTAGCAAGGAGTATCGGCCGTATTCATAAAGCAAACAAGCAGGCGCTAGACAGCCTTACATACGGCTTGACGTTCAAAGCCACCTTATCTGGATCATCATAAACTAACGTTCTCGTCCTGCGATACCGGATATAAGAGTGGCGATGAATGTTATCGCGGAGATAACATTACGTCTGCTCATATATTGTTGCTAGTGACAAGATTGTCTCAATTCTGCGGGCCCACGATATCAACCTGCACAAATCTCTTAGCATCAGACCGCGGAGTGACAATGGTGTAGTTACAAGTAGGACAGCTCGTCTTGGTGTTGTTAGTTTGCGGGTACCAATCATTTCCGTACGTCGCATTTAGCGTAATAGCACCGACCACGTTGCCACTTTCCAGTCGAATCCAAGTGTCGGCTTCGAAAGCGCCGAGTTGAGACTTAGAGATAGAAATTTGTCGTGCACCGCGCTCCCAGCTACCGTAGCCGCCGTAACCCGAGTGCTGTCCGAAGCAAAGATTGACGCCATTGCCTGCGACTGTCATGTTCGGTAGCTGAGAATCCCATTTGTAGCACCAGGTGTCGCCATGGTCATGTCCTGAGAAAACCCCTATAATTCCGGGGATTGTTGAGATAGCGTGCATGAAGGGCACATCCTGGCCGCCGTATTCGCAAGATCCGTCATTAGTCTCGCTGTCAGGACACCATCCTTGTGCCTGTGGCGCCAACGGCACATCATCGTTGATGCCTGGTTCGTAGTGAGGATGCACGCCCGTTTGCTGGAAGGCGAGGGATGCGTAGGTAGGAATGTGCACAAACACAAGAGACGGGAGTGTCTTCTGATACTTGTTCACCAGCTCTGCATTGGTCTGTTGGAACCAATCCACGACTTTGGTGTCGACCCAGTTCTGGAGGCCAATCTGATTGCCATCAGCATCTCGCTCCTGAAAGCGAGCACCGCCTCGGCTGTCGAAAAACCATAGTATCATGTCTGGCGCGCAGTCTTTGACCACCGTACAATTCTCCCCATATACAGGAAGATAGTAGTTCGAAGTTCCGATGTCCAGCTCCGACCCAGCCACCATCTTCTGCGTCAGGGAATTCGGCCAGCGCTGTTCATGGGCTAGGAGCGCGTCCGAGGAAAGATTATACTGGTGGTCATGATTTCCGTAAGCGGAAGCCCAGGGCAAGTTTCTCTGTATCAGTGGGCCGACAATCTGTTCAATGTAAATTGTTGCATTCTCAAGGAACGCGTTGTCACCAGTGATAAGGTCGCCATTAAGGACCACTAAGTCGGGACCTTCTTTGTCAAGAACTTCGTTGATGACTTTGATAGTGTTAATATCTTGCTGCGGTCCCCACGAGTCCCAGGCGTTCTCTCCTGTATGCAGGTCTTCGAAGATGCTGAGCTGGAATGTACCGTCGGCGCCGAAATGAAGAGCAGTAGCGGTCGAGCTGTTGGTGGACCTCTTAGCAGCTGGCCATGCTAAGGTGGGTGAAATAATCGCCATCAATGTGCTGATAGACAAGAAGGTCGACATCGCGATAACGATATCTAGGTAAAGCGAAAAGTAACAGCTCACTTCGCGAAATCCAGTTGCTCGGGCGAGGGCGCAAGCCCAAGAAATACTTGCGACATGCCTTAGGCGTGCCGAACCACTTCCACTAAGACATAATTCAAGAGCAGCTGCCGCATATGGATAAATGGTTGGTGGTTGCAATTTCGATTCACCCCATGTTGTTAAGGTGGAAGAGATGAAAAGACGGGAGGTGAGGCGTGCCCAAACATCATGCATCTATTGGTTCGTTTAATTGAGTAGCACTGCAGGGGTGTGTCCACGCGTTCACGTGCTTCAAACACGCAATATCGCGTGGCGTTCCAACGTACAACGTCGCTTTGTTCGTAAAAGGGCTGATCTGAAGATGCTGGAGATTGAACTAGCGGGCGAAGAACTTCGCGACCTTGGAAGCCCTCCAGAGACAGGCTGCGCCCGACGGGAAGTTCACACAGCTTGAGCTAGAGCTCAATGACTCTCTGTCCGCTTCCCGTGCTGGTTCTCTGACGCCTGCGCCGGAGCATCGCAGACCCAGGTAAACCTTTGAGAGACTGAAGGGCGTCCAGGTGGATGCGAAGGCGGTTGGTACCGGACGAATCTGGAAGAGCTAGGTGTCGGCGACAGTCTTTCGGATGAATGGCGTTCGATGGCTCCCTGGTCACTTTGAGTTCGACTTCGTGAAGGATTAAATTTACCATGAGCAACAAGACGCTGATTCTAGAAACAGTATCTATTTGGCCCTAAATACGCTCTTACCAATGGTTCACTAAAAGAGTCTGTCATCGTGGAAATATTGTCGGATAAAAATGCTAGGGTCGTGACGAACGGGCTTATGGACGTCACTTCCTTCGTTCCAAACAACCGGAACTGCTCGGAGGCAAGGCGGATACCCCAGGATATCGAGATCGGTAACAACAATCTGCAATGTTACGATCCACTTGGATAGTGTGAACGGCCTTGAACTACAGATTGTTTAGCCAACTTCACTTCAGTTGTTGTTGGTTGAAGTCATGCATGTCACATCAGTTTCAATGGACACCGCACGATTGACGGTACTGCATAATCAATAAATGACTGTATGTGCACCCTCTTGTCCTGACGATTCACCACTGCAGTGTAGGCTGCATCTGTGGACCCAAGCTACTCTACAAGTGCGCCAGGATGGACCCAACAGACTTGACTGTGTACTCTGAAATATGCCTGCAAACCGACTGCAATCAAACAAGCTTTATGTGTGGCTTGAGAATGTGGAACATCCTTGCACAACCTCTATGGGTCTACCAGTTCTTTTGTGGGGGGCCGATGATGACAGGCTCTTGCTGTTCGGCGGCTAGTAGTTACGCTCGCCCAGGAAAGAAGAGGACAAAAAAGAACGTACGGGAATGAAATGTCCATTCTATCCACTACCGCATGCGCAACTGGCTTCGCTTGAGCATTGAGCGGCAACATCGTTATCATTGTTGAGGTCTTCGCGGAAACAAGCGATTGGTGCCTCTCCAGTTGTCCCACAATGACAAGCGTCGTTGCCTCCCTCACAACTGCACTGCAACTGCGCGAGTGTTACAGAGGCAAAGAAAGCCATGGAGATTACGATGAGACACATCCTTGTGGAAGTTAATGTTCGGTAGAGAGAGTGGGGAAACAAACAAATCATGCACTGCGGACTAGAGGTTTTGTACGATCGTAGTGACCTATGGCTGGGGCGATCAGAAGCCATCAAGAGGTCAATGCGTCCGACACTGGCCCAAATCTCACTCCTCAAGTGAATCAATCGGGAATTCTTACGCAACACGTTTGGAATGGAGGACGTTTATGGCTTATTCAGGTAGAATGTGAAGTCTATAAGCGCAGAATCGATAGATACTGACTGGAATCCTGGCGCTAGCATCGTGTCTGCCCCGCGGGAATGCTCGATTTGCTTAGCGGATAGGTCAGGGCGAAGGATTCTTAATGAACAATCGTTCCCCACACTGACGTATCGGCCGATGGAGAAACTCCCAATCTGAGGGGTTACAACAGCCATTGTGTGCGTGCTTCGTCAGAATCTCTTGGAAGGACGGTGAAAAAGTCTCGCCCAGCTGCCACAAAAGCTTGTTGTGATTTCAACCGTCTCAGCCCCGCTTGTCTTACTGGACCTGCAAGTCGTACGGTACGAGACATGGGTCCGCTTTCGCCCTTTCCTTTCCTTTTCGACTACAGATGACAGATTGGATCGCATCCGAGTGGTAGGGTTCCGTCAAGACGATGCTGCTGTAAGCGCACACGACAGCCACAGAGCCTTCTTCGTCTCACATGATTTTGGTCCGCTAGTTGATCCTCTACCGCGTTTTCCGATAGCCCAACTAGCCAACCTCTTGTCCGCTCCGTTTGGCGGTGCCTGTGAGAGGACCACTTTCCAAGACCATTGATTCATACGAATCTCTAAAGCTATCAAGTTACCTGTCTCTGCACCCCCCCGGAGACGTTGTTATGCTGCAACTATGTCCACTGCTATACCTAGGTATTTTCACCGCCATATGATGACGACTCTGCGCGATAGGTAGCGATTTACGAGAAGGTACAACATTTGCTATGTGGCGACCTTTGCCTTTCGCATCAAGACCGGCGTGCGGTTGTTTGGGAAGGCAAGCACTGGACCATCACTGACGGCCTCATACCACTGCAATAATGAGCCTAGTGGAGGATTACAAGTCAGCTGTAGCACTTCCATCTGATGTTCAGGTGTCACATACTGAACAAATAGGCTGCCGAGCCCCACATGCTGGATAGATCGCTTTGATACTCGCACCAAGTGTGCTTTTCTGACCCCAGGCCGAAGCATGCGCACAATCTAGGCAAAGTCATTTCATATCGTGAAAGTAGCGCGAGCAACCTACAAGAAGCCCACGGATCCAATCGCAGCCCATCCGCCAATCCACCATCTAACAGTCCATGGTAGGGGTTTATACCACACGTCTTGCGATTCGAGGGTAAACATAATCGCCGCGGTCAAGAAACACACACTCGCAACAACTTGAGGAACCCAGAAAGCGGCTATCTTCTGCCACCACGCGAGACTAGAGAGCACGCCGGGCAGCACCACAATGCCAGTGACGCCATATAGAGTTGCGCCTAGAAGCTGGATGCTACAAGCGATGTAGCCCAACTCACGAACATGATATGTACTGAGAGCATGCCATGTCGGCCACCAACGCCAGGACATGTACTCGTTGAAACTTTCTTGGTCAGCAGGTCCATGATCAACTGCTTGACGACGAGATGGTGCAGGCTGAATCGGATGGATCTGCGCTTCTGGGTCATGGCTCGTTGCTGTCTGCCACATGGCCTCTACATCCTGCTCGCCGCCAACATCTGCTCGACTCTTCTCACCAACTATGTCATTTGCATGTGCATCGTCGGTATCGTGGTGATGGTGATGTGGAATGATATGACCGAAGAATGTATGGAGTTTGGCATCGAGAAGCTTTTTCTTGTCCTCCTCGCTGCCTTCTACCCAGAAGCGCTTCATGGCCACACCAGCGAAGCAACCGTCGTTTATTGCTTCAAGATAAGCCATCACAGCACCGGTTTGGTAACATATCACAGCTCCTAGGAAGAACAATATCGGTCCGCCGTATTTGTCCTCTCCCTTGGGCCAGTGCTTGTTCGGTGAAGCAAGGGGACCGAACGCGAAGGCGCCATCAATGATGAACATTGCAGAACCAACGGCATAAGCAAAACTGGATGAATCAGCACCGACCTTGACGATCTTCGGTCGGGAGACTTACCCAGACCAAAAGGCCATGTCCCAATACGGGAATGTGGAAACCATAATCCATATATTCTGCACAACGCCGAGACATTTAGCGAGGAACGTATGCCTCCGGATTCGCTCCGAGTGCTTCTTATGAAGGTACGTTCTTTTCTTTACAAATTTATGCGCCTCTCCTTCTTCTATCGACTGCGTAGGAATCAGCCCGAGCGACGGGCTGTGCGCAAGCATGTCATTCTTGGCTTGCGAATTTGATCTCTTGTCGCCGTTGTGGGCGCCCAAGAAGTTAGTGTCCCCATCCACCCTGTTGGCTATTCTGACATTGTTCGCTGTTGATTCCGGAGGAACACCAGCACCCTCAGAAAGTGCATGCTTTGGATGAGGATGCTCTTGGTGATGCTCTCCATCGAAGTCTGGTACCTGAAAGACAATGTGATCGTGCCCTACGTCATTCGGCCCAGCATCACTCTCCATCCTAGCTCTGGATTCCTCGTCCTCGAAGTCTGGCATCCCGAACGCGTTTCCGGATGTCATGCCTATTTGTTTCTGTATGATCAGCGGAAGGAGGTGAGGCTGAGTAACCGGCTAGATTCAGTGAAAAAAGGATCCCGCCCCTTGAATCTTTGGGCCTCATAGTGCCCAAGAAAATCCTGGGTAAGCTTTAGCTCCCGCAAACAAGCTTCGGGTGAGACTTGGCAGCCGCCAGTGACCCGCTGACATCCGTCATTGGCTTGCAGTATATCGCCTTGTCCATTTGGACTAGCGCGCAAGTGCGACCCCATGTTTAGGGAAGTATGACGCATCACGTCGATTTTAGTTTCGATTTCTTGAACGATGCCGAAATGAGGGACGTGCCTGTGCGTACCCCAAGTACGGTTCCATTTGGTACAACTCCCTCACCGTCAGCGCGCACAAATTCGGCACCATAGAGGACCATGTCCCTTCAAAGAGACCAACAGTTAGCTGGTAGACTAGTCAAGCAGCACATCTGGTACGCGGCACGGTCCTGGGGCGCGCCGATGCGGGATGCTCCACCCGTACCCGATCAGAGATCGCTGCTCACTGTGCAGTTTGACTAGGTTTCCTGAGAACTTTCGCGACGCGACTCGCGATAGCAGACAAGGACAGATGCAAAATCCTTCGTGGATCCTCTGTAACTGACGAGTTACCTCCCAGCCTGAAGCCCAATGGGCGCCACCGAAGTTGGGGGACGACATGAACCACAACCTCTGTGGATTCTAGAAAAACCTGTCGTTTCTTCGGGATTAGCCCTTCTTCGTCGAGGACGGGAAGACGTGAAGCCGCTCATGAGTATGCCAAAAGGCAGCATGCACCCGGGGCAGAATGGAACACAAGCAGGAAAAATGTTCCAGGAACATCCGGAGTACAAAAGACTCCAAGATATCGACGAGGGTGGCAACCCGATTGCCGGTGGCATAGGAATCTGCGCGGGCGACTGTGCACTCGTTGGCTCTCTCTCTGTTGTATACTAAGCAGGACGATATGCAGTCATGATCGGAGTTCATGGTGTCGCCAACCTTTCACTCGGACTGTTAATGCCATTTACATTAGTATGGCTAAGGAGTCCCTTTTATCTCGTCAGCCTATGTCTGCAGTGATTTGACGAGGTCAGCACCCCTTAACCTAGGTTAAATAGGGATAAGAAAAGCTTCGTCAGTACTGATATGTAACGGCGTCTGATCCTCTACTTGCAGAAGTGCTGAACGTTGGCCCGCTGTTTCTCATCGTTATTTAGTATCTTCCCTGAGTCAAAAACAGATGGAACCAGGCCAATCGCAACTAGAGATATGTTACGCATACGAGGCGTCTCACAAGCAGCAAGTTCTGACGAATTACAGACTTGAATGCAATACTATCGCAATCCGCAAAATCCATCAGAAGGTTGGCTTATTCACTTTTAATCCAGTGTATAGCTAGAGACTACTCGGTCATACATGTGCAAACAGAACGTTACCTGTTGCATGAGGTGACTTTGTGCTGGGCTTGATAGGGCGAAGATGTTGCTTGACTGGACTCTTGGCATGCATCACACTCTTCTGCAATGTGAATGTTCTAGCACAGAGTTCGACTGGAGTCATCTGATCTATTAGTGCCACACTTTGCATGCCCTAAATTTCTCTGGAACGTGCCAGAAGCCATTGACAGTGGCTATGTGTAGGTGCTTCGAGTTTCCAGAACTTTAGCATTGCTTCGCTCATATGTACGATGTTCCTCGACTTCCTTGTGACATGGAGGATATTCCATTCGAAAATTATGGTATAATACATAATGTGCGTAGTTTTATGAGTTACATCGATTGAAACTATCATCTATCAGCTGAAGTGTCGCTGCGAGGTGTTCCTCATTGCCTCTCTATATACGCAGTCTAAATTTATCCGCCGGACAAGTTCGGAAGCCTCCCACGAACAGCTTGTACGGAATTGGCCGTATGTTTTTGTATGATCGCTGCTGCGAGGCAACGCATAATACAGGCGGGCAGCTTGATGATAGCTTCAACGGTGTCTCATCCCTTGTACACCCAGTAAGACAAACAATGTTAAACTCTTCGACGGATCAAAAAAGGGGAAGCAAGACACTGGCAGAAGTCGTAGTTCTTGTTTTGCCACTTATACTGCTGCCGCAAGCTGTGTGATCAGCAGTAAGGCGTGTTGATTGAAAACCCTCTGTGTCGGCCAAGCGACGCGGTACGCTCTAGTGCTTTATTCACCATCACCTCCCTTTGACTCCGGCCAACAACTACGTCATACATAGCACTCTTGCCATATTCGAAAAAAGTTGTCCGTGCGGAATATTTGTTCGACGATCGAACCGCCCGCAATAAAAGCCCGCCGACAGCGCTCCACATAACACAGCACCCACCCGCGACCTTGACTGCAACCGTCTACCAGACAGCCTTCCAATCGCACCAAAGAACAAATCTCTTCTGCTCAACAGCAAAAGCCATCTTCTGCTTAACAGCACGCTTGATTCTCGCGCAATTGCACACTCATGCTCTTACCTCAGTCTCGCAACTTCAACATCCGCAACCACCAAACCATAACTTCGTACATGTCACCCAAGAGGTCTGTCCGCACGAATCGCGCCCAGTCCGCTGAGCCGCGCTTCATGACGCCCACCATCGCCTCGAATGCGCGCGCCCGTCGTGCCACTTCCGCTGAGCCCACCGTTCCGACCAACCCAGCTTCAGCCCGCGCCACGCGTGCCAACTCTCCTACCAGTTCATCCAAGGCCTCTAATTACACCTCAACCTCCCCCAAGCCCATCAAGCGCACCGCCAAAGCGCCCACCAAACTCCAAGCTCTTTCGACTCGCTTGGGCCTGACCCTGAGCAAGATACCATCCTCCAGCAAGCCCGTTCCGGCAAAGCCCAGCCAAAAGGTTCTCAACGATACCACCGCCGCGCCCGCTTTCGAGGGCAACCGTAAGCTTCAGCGCACGGGCTATGGCGATGCGCGCGCCGCCCGCGAAGACCAGATAGGTGCCGCGATGGCAACCACCGCACGGGCGAAGGGTCTGATCGACGACGAGACTGCGAAGTTCTGGGGTACTCCGTGGCACCAAAAGGGACACATGGAGCTGAATTGGACCCAGAAGATCATCGACAAGCACAACGCCGAGAACGGCATTGTACCGGAAACTGTGATGAGCCTCAAGGAGGCGGAGGCCATCAAGAAGAAGAAAGATCAGGATTTGGAGGACTGGGCTAAGGCTTACATGACCGGCCAAATCGACGAGAACGGAAACCGGATCACGCCGGGCACGAAAAAGCCCGTCTTCAAGTCGCAGCTCCAGGAGCAGGACGAGCGTAGGGCAGCGCGGAAGATGGAGGCGAAGAAGGAACCGCTGAACAAGGTGCAAGAGGGTCGTATCGCGAAGAAGACTGCAACAAAGCAGACCTCCGATTTGCCCACCATCGCTGATGCTTCGTCGTACGCGGATTTTTTAGGCCAGAAGCCAGCTGCGACGCCGGCTGTGAAGAAGGCTGCAAGGAAGATCACCAGAAAGCCGGCTTCGGCCACGACCGATAACCACCCTCATGCAATGGAAACCCAATATGACGCTCCTATCAGCCCCCTGCCCGGTCGCCCTTCGTATGCCCAGTACAAATATCAAGACCTAAATGCGCTCTGTCGCGACCGCAACATCAAGTCTGGTGGTGGCGAACAGGCCTTGCGATACCGCCTGATCCGAGACGACACCTTGGTCCTAAACGGAGAATCGCATCTCCGCGACGCAAAGAACTATTCTTGTCGCAAAGAACATGATCATGTGGCTCCAGTCGTGGCAAACGCGCCTATCGCTGATCGCGCACAACATCAGCAGCAGAAGAAGAAGACCGCAAAGCGCGCCCGGGATGACAACGAAGACGACGAACGGCCCAAGCCCAAGGGCAAGAAGGTGAGGACCAGCTAAGCTCCCGCATCTCATATCTGGCATCTTCAGCACAGCGGCTTTATGCCACCGCTCGCGAACTCGTTGTCCACCGTTTGTCGTACATCGTCCCACCTCTTAATAGCGTCTTCCTCGGCATCAAAAGCATACAACCACCTGTTCCTAATTTTCACACTCTCGGGATCAATCACCTTGTCCTCTTCAACACCCTTCAACGCACTATGCCACCGATCCCTCAGATCCTCTCCATTCGTCTGACTCGCTCTCGTCCTCGGAAATCTTAGCTTCTCGTACGCTCTTGTGGCGATTTTCACTTCGTCTTTACTCCGTATTTTATTCAAGCACACCGCCAAACACCCTGCGCTCTCGACCGCCTGACTCGCCCCTTGCGCACTCGTCGGCAAATGCGCATGGCAGCTATCCCCCAGCAGCGCAATTCGATGATTCTCCGGACTCACCCAGCTCCCCAGCGGCTCTCGATAGCATATCTTCCAGTCAAGACACCGATCCGTCGCTTCCACTATCCCGCGAATCTCCGGATCAAGCGTCTGCGCTAACCTCCGCACCTCTTCCATATCACCCTCCTGGAACCAGCTCTCCGGTACGTCCCCCTCGTCTTTGTGTGTAAGAATCCAGTTGAACTCCTCGCCACCCCGCAGCGTATTCTGCACGAGGTGGAGATCGGGCCCGATCCAGAAATTCACACAATCCCCATCTTTCAAGTACTTGTTCAGCCTCTCATCCCTCCTCTGGCCCTCGCTCGGTCGGAAAAAGGCCCGAAAACACGCATACCCGGACGACACAGGCTCGTCCAGACTCCCCAGCACCAGCGGCCGCGCAAGACTCTTTATCCCGTCGGCCGCAACCACGACATCCGCCCTCATCACCTCGCCCGACTTAAGCACCACACCCGCCTGCGCCTCGCCATCCTCGAACCCAACAACCTCGCTCCCCATCCTGATGTCGATTCCCCTCTCCCTCACCCACCCGAGAAACACGTCATGGTAATCTCCGCGATGCCCAATATACCCCGCCATATCCATCAGTGGTTGTTTCGCAAGCTCCTTCCCATCGCCCCAGCGCCGGATTGTCATGTCCGGCGCCTGGTTCCCGATGCGTTTGATCTGCTCGACGTCGCAGCCCCATTTGGCGAGGAGATCGAAGGCGTTTTGGCCGAGGCCGAGCGAGTCGCCTAGCCGGGAGAAGGAGCGCACTTTATCGAGGACGCAGAGGACCGTGTGCCCGTGGTGGTGCAGGGCGAGGGCGGCGGCGCAGCCGCCGAGGCCGGCACCTATGACGATTGCTGGGGCTGTTAGCATCCATCTTATTTGCGAGGTTGAAGGCTTTGTTTTGTTCGTTTTGGTACTTACCCGTTAAAGGCGGGTTATGGGGCGTTGGAAGGCGTTGGTATGTCATTGAGCCCATCTGTTTACTTTTTAGTTCGGTTTCGTTCGGTGTTCGGTTTTGGTTGTTTTGCGACTGATGTGTTTGATACCCTTTTCCTACGGTTATTTTGGGAGTCAAGGCAGATGGGAGTCAGTACGCTATCAGGACGGAGTAGGCTAGCTGGACGAGCAGCACGGTGCCTATAAGATCAACATAGCGGAATGCTTGCCTGGCCGTGGACATCTAGATCCAGGACGTCGTGGGGCATATGGGTGTACAATGTGGGGTCGGATCGCGGGGTAAGAAGGAGCGATTCGGTAGTTTAGACCCCACGATAATTCAAGATGATAACATTATTTTCGCGAAGTGAAAGGGAAAAAGTTATGAGATTTAACCTCAGTATATGGCGACTAAAGCTTGGCCTTCGTCGCCCTAGAAGGTGCTATCGTGCCACCTCCAATGGCCTTGTGAATGCGATCATCGCCCGCAAGCAACTCCCACCCTTTCCCTCTGTACTTCTTGGGCCAAATGCCATTCCTGCCCGGAGCGAGTATGCCATTGGGGTCCAGCGCATCCTTTATGGTCTCATTGAACCGCATCAGCGCGTTGTCATTCCAGTTGTACGTCCTTGCAACCTGATCTGCATATAGCAGGTGCGTTCTGTATTCGCCATACCCCTCTCTCGCCGTCTCGGCGATTAGCTCAGTCATCAAAGCATTGACACGGCGCTTCTCTTCGTCAGATGAGCGGTCGTAGATGATGTTGGTGATATAGTGCATTTCACGACCGGCGATGCAGAGCGTGGGGAAGAGGTCGATTCCGTACTTCGCATGTAGGCGAACGTTGATGTCGTGCACAATCTGGGCGTCCCTTCCTCGAGTAGGCGTGATAGGAGAGAAGAACAGGTGCGCGCTGTTGGGTTTCCAATTCAACCACTCGAGCTCACGGAGGACAGGAACGCCAGAGCAGACAAGCGCGCGGTCATTGAGATAGTGGTCTGGTGGGACATCTAATGGCAGGAAGAACTTGAAACCGTTGATCGCAGAGAAAGCGGACTTAATCACGTCGAGCTGGGTCTTGATGGCGGTCTCGTCGCCGTACTGTGTTCCATAGAAGACCCAGGCGCAGTCTCCGCAGGGCATTTGCGAGGCGTGCTTGCGGATAACGTCACGCGGCACAGGCCCAGGCCCGGAGTACCAATGAGACTTGGGATGGCCAGTCACGTTTAGCTCTTGCACTACATGTCGGAGCTGCGGTATGTTGCCTAGAATGCCTTTCTGTGCCAGAGGCCGTATGATCTCAACAATATCCGGAAAGTCTTCATCGCGAGGAAAGGTTAGCATGTAAGACTGGTGGCCTGTCTCATGCATGAGGTGGAATCCCATTTGACACACGATCCCAAAGTTGCTCTGGGAGAAGATGCCGTCCGAGTATGGGCCATATGCAGCGGGGAAAGACTGCCACGTTGGATTGTCCGCGCCGTCTTTGCCCGGCAAGGCGCCCATGCCTGTTCGAAGTAGCTCGCCGGTCGGGAGAACAACCTCCATACCGCAATGCGCGCCGAAGTGGTCGCCCATGGGTGTGTATCCGACGCCGCGGTCGATAGCGTTACCAAGCACACTGCCACCACCGAGATCTGGACAGTCAATCCAGAATGGCAAGTTCCTCCTCTGAATCTCGTCGTAAAGCGCGAAGTAAGAAACGCCGGGTTCAACCACGCAGGATGCATTCTCAGCATCTATATTGATGATCTTGTTCATCCGCTTGCCCAAGTCCACAACGACCGATCCAGGCACCCGTGGAGCCGTTCCTCCATAACCTACATTCCTCCCCATAGATATTGGATATATCGGTATGCCATGTTCGTTCGCCCATTTCACAACAGCTTGCACATCGGCGGTCGAAGCAGGGTACGCGGTAGCGCTCGATACGAGATCTTCTTGGTCGACGAGGTGGAACGCATCGTGTGTGTTTGGATGCTCCAGATACCAGCCATCTACCAGAGGCTTGTCGTTCAAGACAACGTTGTCCTCCCCCAGGGCTTTCCGCAGCGCCTTGATGGCTTCGTCGAAGGCTTCGCCGGTTGTGTCGGGTGGCAGTCGCACGCCGTGGCGACGAGGAACGCTTTCGGGGACTGTTTTATTCGAGTACAGCTTGTCTTTCGCATTTTGCGCAATCTTTACGAGTCGTGGGGAGATACCGCTGTATCTTGCGTCTAGGCTGGGAGGTGGACTTTGGCTCTTCATCGCGACTACTTCACCGCGGCGCGTTTCTGACACAGGCACACCTCCACTGCAGGAAGATGGAGCAACGTGACCCCGTCCATGTTGGGGTTATGTATAGCTTATAGTCTCGTTGGGGTCGTTATTCCCGCGGCGCTGCAGCTTGTCGTGCTGATGCATATGTGGGGAAGATGATCTTCGAGACATGGGATGCTCAAATGTGGAGAATCCCCGCACGGCGCTATGATTGGCTGCTGAGCTACGTTCCTCCAAGCTCAACTTAACGTTACCGCAAACACATCTTCTATACGTTCATCCTCATCTGGCTCGTGATGAAGACTCGGTCTGGGCTGCTCATCTGTGCAGTCCCTTAACTCGCGCCACATCTTCGCGAGGGAAGGAATGCCTCATATCCAGAGGATGAGTACTAATACCACGGCTTCCATGATTGAGCAATGGGCCACTCGACGGAAGCACGGAGACCTGAAACTTCACTTGATTGTCTATTTGACCCCTCTGCTGCAATATCTTGGAAGAGCTGAGTTTCTGGACTTTTTTCCTGACTCTGACCCTTGACGCCTGCCAGCGCCAGCCAGTGGACTGGGATCCTCTTCTAACCTTGCAACGTCACCTGTGCTTGATCAATGCGTTCTAGTCGGTGCGGAGGCGGGAGAGCTATGTAGGAGGTTGAAGAGCTCGTCGATTCTTGCGTGGATTACTCACCTGAACCCATCGCACCTGCCTCGCCCAGAACTGCTCCAGTCAAGGTCCACAAACAATCCGCCACGCAGCCCCACTTCTGCATTAATAAACTCCCCCAAAGCTCAGCATATCGATTGGCTCGTGATCCAGCGGTCTTCGACACGCAACATGGCCCGCTTCAAGGGCCTCCCGCCCGAGCTGCACTGAAAAGTAGCGGAGCACCTTGCGGATGGTGAAATTATGTGGGCGATTTGTTATAACGATAAAGTGCGACCTTTTCTAAACGCTAGCATCCGAGTAAAGACCTCCTTAAATCTCTCGCAGTGGTGTGCCGCGAGCTGGCCCCAATCGCTCAGGATGTGCTGTTTCGCAGTTCCATTCTCAAGACTCGCCCACTGAACGCCAAAAGCTGTCGATCAGTCGGCGGTCGATCCCGGCCAGAGAGTAGATGATAAAAGCGAAGAAGTCACTAGTTCTCTCTGCGCTCCAAGAGATGCGGTCTCAATCGATAACTACATGGCCAATCCGGCGATGTCGGATCGGGGTGCTTTGAATTTTCTGAAGTACCTCGGCCAAGCGAACAAAAATGTCATACGGGACCCCGAAATATGGTGGTACGACCGTAGAAAACAACTGGAGTGGGCTCTGAAAACCGACCGGAGCTTGTGTAGAGAATACGGTCACTGGACTTGGATCTTCAAAACAATTGGGTCTGTGAGTGCCCAGCTTGCCAGGAGCTCGAAGTATTGGGAGGACGACTAGAAAAGCAGCTTTACCTATATCAACGTATGGCAGTGCTACTTACCAAACCTTCTCATTTGGAAAACTTGACGTAAGACCCCCCTCCATGAAAGCTGGTTCGGCACGTCACGGTCGGAAATGGCAAACTTCCCTCGAATAAGCTCCCTGAATACAAACTTCCTACCTCCATGGCTAATTCTGATAATGCCTACTCTCCGGAAATTCCACATCAAGACTACGTCTCTTGATCACCTCATCCAGTATGGTCTCTGTAGGGATAATGATCCTTATATCTGGACGCGCAACTGGTGGGAACCAAATCAGGAGGCCCAAGACGATGCGAAGTATCTGTTCAATATGAATATGCTATAAGAAGGTCCATGACGCACGGGTAAACTTCCACAAATCACAAGTCTTGCCGTGTACTTCGAGGCGGCTATCTTGACACAATCCTACGATCAAGTCATCAAGAACCAAATCTAGAATACGCCGGAACAGCGCTTGGTTTTTCCCAATGCACTCGAATCACTTCAGCTTCGACCTGGTTATATCGGTGAGAATAAGTCCGACGAGCTGAAGTCATTTGCAGATGAGTCCCTTGGATTGCTTTGCTACGGCGTCTTTTGTAGGTTCTTTTGTTAAACAGAACTTACGAACCGTCATCATCGACACATGCGACCTGAATTGTGCGAATTGTTCGGACCCACCATCCCATCAATACTGCACGGCTGACAGGGTGCTTCCTCTTGACTATCAAGATGAGGAAGAGGGATTCGACCAACCTTAGACCTTGGACAGACCTTCACAGTTGCGTCGTGTTGTGGTCCCGCAAGAAGCGCTCTTCTAGCACCACAAAATTTTCAAGGAGAGGCCGATTTCATCATTTCGACCAGTGCCCCTTCCTCAGACGGTTGAGAGTGTCGAGATCATCGACTCTAATCGGGCTCTCAACCATTGGGCGAAGTATGTTCTGGATCATCCAGAAGAGTACCCGAACTTGGAACAAGTTCTCCTTTGGTGCGATGCAAAAAAGATACTCTTGGTGCCCGAGGTTCGTTACGCACCGGCAGAGGATGAACTCAATTAAGAGATCCTCAAAGATGAGTCTACGAGCGGAGCCGAGATACGCGAATTCCACAACAGTTTCTGGGTGTTGCAAGACGTGCCGGATGATGTGTGGACGGAGCTTGAGAAGCCTGGTATCTCCCTGGTAAACCACACGGAGCGCAATCAAGGATGGCGTTATGTCGCTTGAGGTGCATCCGTTGTGTGTGTTTGATGCGGCAGTTGAATCATGTAGAAGCTTACGGATAAGGTGCTTTTATGGATTTGGAAGAGCATGTGGTAGCGGTAGTATGGCAGGATCGTCAAAGGTCTACAAGAGATTGGAATACTTTGCGGGCCTGCCCAAAAAGCTACTGGTGGTTCATATTCAGCGATATGGCTATTGACTGATGCGTTTTGGGTATACGAAAAAAAAAATTGAGCATGGACATCTACGGACGAAGAGAAGCTGGCGGGATGTGGACCAAGCGTGCATGTGGCATACAGTAGTTTACGACTGTTTTGCGAGTCCTTGAACAATACAATCTAGTCACAAAACAGCAAAACGCCTGCGATGATGGACACGATGTCGCTACAGCATGTATATAGCCCTGCCCAGGTTCCAAAGATAGCACATTCCACTCGCTCATCCCAGCATAACGTCTATGTACTCCGTACCGTACGCCCGCTTACCCTTTCACCGTCAGGCTTAACCAACCAGCGACATCCATCCCGTGATCCCTACTCCGTATTGGACTCCCACTTACCCCATCTACCGCCAGGCCCAACCAGCGACCCCTCCCACCCACGGCCGGTGCCGTCATCGTCATCCTCGCTCGCTCGTTCCGTCGCGACAACACGACCCAACAGCGAGGCTGAGGTGAGGCTGCCTCAGCCGCGAGGCCACGCGATCCGCACGTGGATTTCCACGGCGGCGCTGGTTTCAGGCTCCGTCCGTGCGCACTGCTGTGCTGTTGCCGTATCGGTCTACGTCGTGCGCACTGCGTGGGGCCCCTGGCGCTCTGCGATCGGATCTCGCTGGGACTGGGGCCTGCGATGAGTATTGTCACGCCTGGATTCTCCTATTTGGGGTACCAGCGACGCTCGGCGTCGGCGAAACATCGAGGCCCGGGGGTAATTGTTGGCGAGGGATTGGGGGGATTGAGGAATGTGTCGCGTTGGTGCGAGGGATTCAGGGTCGCTGTGTCCGCTTTTCGGTTGTGGACGACGGCGCGGCGGGCTTGTGGCGGTTCTGCGCATTGGGGGCCGGATCTACGGGGTATAGACAGACGGGTCTTGCGCTGGCGGCACCTAAGGCGCGTATTGCGTGTGCCGTGCATGAGCTTTGCTGTTGGGGGCCGAATCGGGGCTGGCTAGCCGCGCCGCTGGCCGTGTTGCATCTGGAGTATTGGTTCTTGAAACATGGTCTAGGTCGCTGTTTCCTGAATCGGTGACTTACCGCTGTGCGTCATGCTGGCGAGAGATGATATAGACAAAGATGATGCCAGCGGTGAAAGGGCCCAAGCGTAGGAGCACAGTAGCGTGTTTGATGCGACTTCGCGCAGCTGCTTCGTACGGACGTCGTGCTGTGGCTTGTGGGCATCGAGCTGTCCGCGAATGGCAAGTACTGAGGACGCTGGGTATAGCTGGCGTCTCGTGTGTGCTTGCTTCCTCAAGCATAGCGTACTAGAGTTCGTACGCTACGGTACGGAATCGGGCCAGGATGTGGCGATGCGGCTCAGCTGGAGCCATTTAGTGATTTATTGATCAGCCATTGCCAATATTTGCAAGCCCCAAATAAAGATGCTCGTGCAGCCATGAACAAAGGGTAGCTTTTCGCCATACCTTCTAGGGGCAGAGCAGGTCATTGCAACTGAAACGGCGCGGATCTGAGATGTCATCCTTAGGAATCGTGGTGGCCCCGCGCTAGAAACGTACGGGCGCGGTGTTGCCGGGAGGCATAGATCCAACAAGAACTTCGGCCTCCAATGATGGAGCAGCATCAGTCTAAGCGCACAAAAACCGGCTGGGCTCCGATTGAACGAGGAAGCGACTACATCCCGAGGCTGTCGAAGTGGAAGAGGACGAGTTGTCGCATGTCGTTCCTCTTCTCAGCTAGTAACGCGAATTAGGTATCATAGCGCGCTCCACGGACCATTTAGGCCTCTTCTTTCTCTCAGCGCATCCTATTCGGCCGACACAATGGACGCATTCCGTCCTGGCAGCACTTGCCAAAGCATGAGCACCATCTAGTCTCAGTACGGCGCGTTGGACTCACGATATCAAGACGAAAGCACCGACGCGGACTGAGCTATGGGCCCCAACGCTCGCACAGCCACACCGTTCCGCGCCGCTTTCGCAACCCGTAAGACATGGCTGCCACTCCTTCAGCTTTCGCATAAAGCCGCCGATACTATTGCCCTAGATTGGCGTTTGGGGTCCTAGTCTTGCATATTGTGCCAGCCGTTTCTTTCTTACCTACTACCATCGCTATAGCATATATACCGTCACTCGCTTCCTTGTTGGAAAGTCATCCATTATGGCACCTTCATCGCCGTATTGGGGCACAGTCATGGACATGGACTCGCCAACGAACGTTCGGTATGGAAACCGATTAATGCCTGTGATGGTGGATGAGGTAGCGGCGGAGACACCAGACCGTGTTTGCTTTTCGATTCCGCGTTCGACAGATCTGAAAGCTGGCTTTCATGATATCACATTTCAGACTGTAAGCTTATGGCCTCTCTGATCCAATGAGTACTGAGTCTGTCCTCGTTAGTTTGCCAATGCTATCAACAAGACTGCCAGTTTCATCGAAAGGGAGATTGGCAGAAGTTCTATGTTCGAGACTGTCATGTATATGGGCATTCAAGACGTGAGGTATTTCATTGTTTTATTCGCGTTGTGAGTGCCCCTGTGACCAACGAGTCTTTATGCTCGAGTGCTTTCGCTTCTCTTATGCTGACTTCACCGCAGAATGAAGACAGGCCACAAAGTGAGTATCGCCAGCAATACGAGGCGCATCCAGCAGCAGTCACACTTCATAGCTCGCACTAGTGTCTGACTCCTGCTTAGGTATTATTTAGCTCTCATCGCAATAGCGTAGCGGGCCACACCGACTTGGTTAAACAGACTGATTGCGGGATCATCATGTATACGAATGGCCTTTCATGTGCAGGTATTATTGAGGCGTCAAGAATGGTGAGCCACGTTGAAAATTAGCCAAAAACGGAGGAAATGCTCATCCACATCTGCAGGAGACATTGTGCATGCCAGAGCTCGACTATTTGTTCGACGACTCAGTACACACCGACCCGTATCCGTATACCAAGACCTTCGAGCAAGCGAAACATCACCCGTGCATGGTCACTCATACTACCAACTCAACAGGAATGCCGAAACCAGTGATTTGGACACACTGGTTGCTGGCAACGACAGATGCGCAACGCCTTGTTCCAGACTTCGATGGACGACCAACAGTGTGGAATAAGGTGTTTGACAGCTCTGAGAGGTGCTATTCTGGAGTACCAATATGTGACAGCGCTGGAATCGTTACGGCTCTGGTGGAAGTACTACTCAATGGCTGCACAGTGGTATTGGGGCCGCCCAACAATCCTACCGCAAACACATTCGAACAGGTCGTTACGTATGGACGCGTAGATGCTGCAAGCCTGCTACCTAGGACTCTCGAGGAAATCGCTAGCTCTCAGACTGGGTTAGCATTACTCAGTCGGTTGAAGTATGTTGCCTATGCTGCAGGTAAGTGAATAACAAACTTTCTCACTCTATTTCGTCACTGACAACACCCTCGCAGGCTCTTTATCTCCTCGTGCAGGTGAAATTTTGTCGAGGTACACTCACCTCTACTCACTCATGGTCAGCACAGAAACTGGCTCAATAATCCAACACGCAACCGATCGGGAAGACTGGCAATACATGTGCATAAACCCCAAATACAATGGCATCGAATGGCGCCCAAGAGGAAGCCTTTATGAGCTGGTCTTCAAGAAAAGCAACGATCTCGCAGACGTCCAAGGGATCTTCAAGACATCCTTGCGATCCCAAGAATGCTCGATGGGGGATCTGTACTCGAAACATCCTACGAAACCACACCACTGGAAACACGAAGGCCGCACAGATGATAGGCTGCCTGCGTGACGACGGTATCATTTTCATGCAGCTGGAGAAGCCTTTTGCCAGGGATCCGTGTAGCGGGAAGCTATCGTTGCACTCCGCTAGCGGGAGGTCGATGAGTTGTATGCGCGTGTATGAAGCGGCGGGGCGACTGTTTGATTTTATGCGACCGGACCTAACGACACGAGACATGTTTGACCTAATAGCTAATGCCACATTTGCATACCGAGGTGTTCTGGCGAACGAATAGAATAAATGCTTTGTTTTCTGGGTAGTGGCTATGTGTTACGCAGCTGCTTTTGTCGGCCGACGGATTACAAATGAAAGGTGGAGATTTCCGGTCACTTATCCGTAGGATGTTAGCGTTGGTTGGATTGGGACACCTGCGCATTGCCTCTCGAAAAGAATAATTTATACTTCATCGTATACCCCCCTACGTTCGTATTTCATGTTCCTGCCGGGGCGACACATGCTTCACGTTATGGTCAGGCGGCGTCCATAATGTTATGGTTCAACGGCGAAGGAAGCGCTTGTGATCGCTTAACTACCACCGTGGGCGTATGCACGTCATACTGCTAACCCGAAACATCACAGCTTTGTAATATACCCTCGATCTAATGGAACGATGATTGGAGATGCGAACACATGGAGGAATCTGTGGATGTTAGGCTGATAAGATGTGGGACATGAACTTGGTAGATTGTTACAGCCGTGAGCCCATGCTTGGCTCAGTTATGTATAAAAGGGCATACACCATACCCTCCTTCAACTTGACCATCCCGATCTCACACACCAATACCTCCACTACTTTCCTATCAGACGTTCCGCCTAATTCAGGCCAACGATCATGACATCTTTCCACGCCCTCGCCATTCCCCCGCTGATCCGTGGCATGCACAACATCAGCGCAATACTTAAGAGAGCCCAAGCTTCAGATCTCGACGCCGCCACCATTCTCACCTCCCGCATCCATCCCACAATGCGTCCATTCACCTTCCAGATCAAGTCACTCACCGATACCGTCGCTCGCATTCCAAACCAGATCAACCCCTCCCTGCCTCCCTCACCTCTCCCAGATCTCGAAGAGAACCCCACCTTCGACATTCTGCTCTCGCGCATCGCAGCTGCCATCTCCTACATCGAGTCTATTGCGCCGGAGGACCTGAACGGAAGGGAGGATGCGGACGTGAAACTGCGAGTCGATCGCAAGAGCTGGGCTGGGGATGTTGTGTATGTGGAGTACCAGGCCCTCGAATTCGTGCAGATACACGCGCATCCAAATTTCTGGTTCCACGTTACCACGGCGTACGATCTGTTGAGGGCTGCTGGCCTGGACATTGGGAAGCCTGACTTTTTGAACGCGGCGGGTTTGAAGACGTGGGAGTCTCGGGATGAGTGATGCGCATTATCATAATGTACCCTTCATCCACACTTGAAAGACAAGCAAAAGGAGGTATGAGGCCTGGAAATAGGAACTTGGGATATCATTACATATTATGCACCGACCCCGCCATTCTAAAAGCCTAACGTTATGTCATTAAGTCATTACTGCACCCTCCGTCTCGCCTATTTCACTGTGATGGCAGCTATGAGTGCTTCCATTGCGCTCGAGTGCGTGCTTGCATTCGCCGGATTGATGAATGGTCCCGCCCAGTCGATACTCAACATGTTTCCATCGTCTCTATTGTTCATCCAAACACTGTTCGCGTTGGTTTGGATAAACTTCACGTACGCGTCATCAGGGGCCGCCTCGTGCAGCAGTTGCAGGTTTCGAACAAAGATGCCCTTGAACTGGGAGCCGTCGGCGCCACAGTAAGGACCGCATTTATCGTGGAGAATTCCACTGCTATCGGAGAGCTCAGCAATAGCAGCTTTGGCGATCTTGGCTGCGAGAGCGAGATAAGACTTGTCCGGGGAGGCACGGTTTAGTTCGACAAGCCCGCCGAGAATGACGCCCTGGTTGTAAGACCATGTTGTCTAGACGCAATTAGTGAAAGCTTGAAGCGCTCGAGTTCAGCCCTTACCATATTGTTGTTCTTGCAATCGCTGGTCAGGCCGTCGTTTATCGTACCACGCGAGTTTATCATACCGCTGGCAGTAAACCAGTTAAGCTCTTTCTTCGCCCACGCTACGTAGCTCGCCTTATCATCTGCGCGATTCGCGAGGTGCGCAGCAGTCGACAAGAACAGTTCGTTTGGAATCGCGTTGACGTAATCCTTCTGCCAGCTCCAGTAGATGCCTCCATTCCCACAATTGGTACCCCACGTTGTTGCGACAGCTGCAAAGATGCTTTCGGCTAGTGTGAGGTATTCCTTGTCTTGTGTTACATCGTAGGCAGCGATCCAGCCCAGCGCCCACCAAAGGTCATCGTCGTAGAAACCATCGAGCCAGTCATTCACGTCCGCGGCCGATGTTTTCGCTCTTTCTCCGGTTTTGTAGATTGGCAGCTGCATTACATCGATGTAAGCACCAGTGGGTTTATTCCAGCCTTCTGGGTACACCGTGACTAGTTCGTCCTCGTTGTCCATTATCTTGTTGTATCCCGATCCCACCCCAGTAGAATTGAATATTACTAATGTTTCGTTGATATCTCCCCTCTTCTTGTTGCGGTTTCCTTCCACGCCTGGTTGTGGGTTTTGAGGTGGTGCCTGCACTAGCGTATTCGCAAATAGTCGAGATGCTCTATTTGAGTCAGCGAAGGCAGTAATATGTTTGTGACCATCGTACAAGCTCTGTAGTTGTGGGCTGTCATCGACCTTTGCAAGGTTCTGCGATGATGTTAGCGTGATGTGCAGCGCGATTAGACGGTTGGTCCTTACTGCTACAATAGTGAGAACGTTCGCAGAGTTCCACCATCCAGTTGTACTCCACAGGCCGGTGCCAGCATTATAGAAGATTTGAAGTGCAGAAAGAGCGAACTCGGCGCGTGTCGTTGGGTCGGATATGTCGCTTTCGCCGAATGCATTAGACGCGAAAGATGCGGAGAGCATGAGCGTGTGTATGAACGAGGAAGGATACATGGTGCGCGTTTAGAACGATAGCATTAAGCAATACGAAACGATAAAGGATGATATGAGCGCACCGAAACAGGCAAAAAAAAATACCAAGACGAGAATCCCGCGACCACAGGCTTCTGTAGCGTCGAAAAGGCAGCTCCGACCGTGTTTATACACGGAACACAACATTCGGCGTCCCACGCTCTTTCCTCGTCTCGACAGATACAACCTTCTTGAAGAGCTGACTCGCCCTCACCCCTCTCATTTAAAGATGCGCCAAACAAACGGGAGTCGGCAAATAACTGGGGTTGTAGACATAACACATGCAATGCTAGACAAGAGAAGCAAGAAAGGCTCACTGTTGCGCTAAATTTAGCGGAGTTTGCAGTTTCAAGCTGTGACCGCCAGGTCCCTGGCTGTCGATGTCTGAGGTTTTAAGGAGAACCTGACTAGGCGCAAAGGCCTGGACAGCGATAACTGGGAGTAGGAGCGCGCGTCTACACATGTTTCCTGTTTCGCGTGGATTGCGGCTGTAGTACCACGACGCTGAAGCAATGTCTGAGGCTGTCAAGTCCGCGTGCCGGAGCGGCAGGTTAACACCGGAAACAAAATACAAATGAAGATCTATATCGTGGAGCCACGTGAGTCGTCGGAGGCGTTTGACGTTGAGCCCTGATGCATCTGTCGGGCGTCGTTGCGTGCTGTGAGGTGCAAAGAGGCGCAGCATCTAGTTGACGCTTGCATTAGCCTCTTTGGAGCTTAGCTGCCTCACGTGCAGCCAATTCATTCTCGGCAGATTGCGATATTGATGTATCATAGGAGCGCTCCTGCTGCGTGATAGTCGAACTGCCCGAACTCGATTTTCCCAGACAGAAAGTGGATCTTACACGCGTGCCGCTGACCGCTCGTGAAACTTCTCAGCGCTGAGGCATCCTATGGACATGTTTCAGTCGTCGGGTACAAAAAACGCTTGATTGGCGATCAGTGGACCAGCATTCATCCACGTATATGATGCAATCGGGCACAACTCTTTGCTTCCTGGACGTTGAAACCATTTACGAGCCCCTCGACGCGCGACTATGTAGGTTGCGATTGTTGTTGACGAACGTGACGCACTTCCAACTCACTGCGTTGTGAATGGAGAGCATTTACCGACAACACAAACCCGATAGCCTTGTCGATAAGGCATTGCAAATCAAGGGTGAAAAGTGAAACACCGGCACTGCGCGTGGGGGCGTCACGTGATCAACATCTGCGCTGGAAGTTTGGCCCGCTAGTTGCTCGACCCCTTTCGCTGTATTTGTTGTGTACAGAAGATGGTGATACCTGTATCGCAGATTTACTGCAACATCGAAATAGGTTCATCCTCAGAAGAGCGCGCGTGCCTCGACTCCGGAGGACTGTCATCTGCAGTAGGAACTTGCCCAAATAGTGTATGTAGGCCAATGTAGGCCATTGAGGAATTGCCATTCGAAGCTGGTGAGATCTGTTCAGGCAATCAGGATCTCGTATCCTAACTCTTCGATGTCGGAGATCCAGCAGCCACTGGTGGCGCCATGTTTGTCCTTGCAACTCCAAATCACTTCCAAGGTCTTCTTTGCTGTGTGGACATAACCCCAGTAGAGCAGATTATAGAATTCATCCAGTTTGTCCATAATCCACTTGCGACGAGCGAGGCCTTCGCATTCAGCGCCAGCAAGGAACAAGGGCCAGCTGATCGATTTGTAAAGCGTATCACCAGGTTTAAAGAACGAGACGTGCTGAAGAATTTCGTCGGCTAATCCAGTGAGACTTACGAGTGCGAAGCCGCTGTCCGGATCAATAAGCGGGTTCGTGTATGGCAAAGCGCGGGCGAGGTATATGCAAACGGCAGCACGATGCGCGGCGGCTATGTGCATGCGATGATCAAGGTCTTCGAGGGGAGTCGCGGGTTCGAAACCGTATGCCCATGACTGTCCAAATCAGCATGGAACGTCCAGAATGAATGTAGAACTATACGTACTGCTGGGTCAAAGTCAAGAGCGGCTTTCAACAGATTACCTAGTTGGTCCTGGACGTGCACTGCGATTTCGTCCTCAGTGCGCTCGCGTGTGTCTTCCAACTTGAAGGATTCCACCATTATGCGCAGTAATGGACCCGGCATCGAGAGATAGTTGTTCGTCTCAGCATATTCCAGAATAGGCCCCAGATCGATGGATTCAGGGATTAACAGCCTTGCAGTAGAGAAAGTAAAGGTAGCGCCAATCACAAAGAACACAAGGAAGTCTGATAGTACAGTAAGGCGTAGCTTGCTCATGGGATTTTGCAAATATGGAGGCTTGTCAAGGCGCTCAATTATCTGTCGAGCACCCTCGACATGAACCCTCCATTTGTCTCGACCGGATTCGATTAGATCATAGTTGATGAACATGAGTATGGTAGCTAATATGACATCCGCATTAGCTGGGGTGAGCGATGCGACTGATTTTGCCATAAGCGAAAGCGCTTGCTGCTTTGCGAGCAGAGCATCCGCGTAGGACGTCTTCATTGGTCCCCCGAATCGGCTCACGGATTGGTAATATTGTACCAGACATGGTCTCTTGTCTGGCTGGTATGTTGAAGGAGTGATAGGATCCCGTGATATGTTAAAGACATGATGAGCGGAGCCCGCCAGGATGATGTGGAGCAGCGCAGGTGAGGCGATGGTTGCGGGGACGAGATCGCGAAATGGATTGTGCCCAGGTCCACCGTCGTATATGACTAAGTCCATGCATATTTGTGTGACATAATGATAGAGGTAATACCGCGAATTTGGGCTCAGATCTTGGTAAAGAGGGTCGACCAGGGCGGTGTGGACCGCTGCCTCGGGCTCTCGTCTAGGCACTTCTTCAACATCAATGTTATCCTCTGGCTGCTCCTTCGAGTCAATTGGAATCAAAGGGTTTGGATTTCCTGCCGTGATTGCATGTTTTGCGGACGCGCTTCCTTTTCTGGACCTGGGCTGCTGCTCTTCATAAGTCTTTCCCATCATCTTGCCGCGGCTGGCCACCCCTTGATTCCACACGAACAGCTTGCCGTAGCCAAGACATTCGGAATTGGAGGACAGACATTTGTGACAGACCGGTAGCGACCGATCGCATTTCCAGCGGCGCTTCCTGCAGTTGTGGCACGCTTTTGTAGGGAGTGTGATGTCGGGGCGTAGCATTAGTGAGGATCATGCGGGGTATGTCGAGGTTTCTCTCAAAGCGGTTATCCGCTAGTATCGTCTGCGGATGGCAGAGCAGAATATACCGAAAACGTGGACTCAATGACCGATACGCATAGGCATGACTAGAATATCGGAAGGGCAGACGCGAAAACTCGGCCTTGGCTGTTCGGCAGACATGCGGATCTCATGATGCGAACGCAGGCAATATTGACCAGTCATATCGCCTTAAGCTAATTACATCATCAACGCTCCTTGCCATTTTAGCGCAAGCCTTTCATCGCGCCTTTCGTGGCAGCTATGCGCTAAGCCCAAAAAGGCAGCCAAGCCTCATCGGTTGGTGTGTGGTCCACATCTAACGGATTTGTTGTGGACGTCACAAGAACACCCTATGGCTGAGAAATTCCTGAGATTTCTCAGCTATCGAGTGCTCACCGGGGTTTACGGAGCCCGAAGCTCTACATAGTACTTCGTAAGAGCAACTTTGACGCAGGCGAAGTAACAATGAAGATCAAGTTTTGCTGTTTGATTTTCGTCATAATAATTCATTGGCTCTACTTTCCAGCTTGAATCTTCAAAATCAGTCGCTCGATACTGGCCTCCAACATGGCATCTCTAGACGAGGTAGAGACAGCCCGGTCAGCACCACCCTCAAGAGGCGCATATACATCTGCGGAACTCGAAAGATTAGGACGAGAAAGACCGCCGGCATTCAAGACGATATGGGTTGAGCTGGGATTCTGCTTCTCCCTATTGGGGTCTATGTTTGTTGTCGAATACTTCGTTTCAGGATTCAACGTCCTACTCCCAGCACTTTCCGAATCCCTTCACATCCCCTCACAGGCAGAGACATGGCCAGCAAGTGTGTTTTCACTAGTCACAGGCGCTTTCCTACTTCCAGCAGGACGTCTCGCGGATATCTTCGGTGGTTACACTGTGTTCACGGTTGGCATGGCTTGGTTCGTGGTTTGGTCTTTGATTGCAGGTTTCAGCCAGAACTACATTATGCTCATCTTCTGTCGAGCACTGCAAGGATTTGGACCAGCAGCATTCATGCCTTCTGGAATAATGCTTCTTGGCAGTATAGTAAGTCTGGATCCCTTCTTTTGGTGCGCTGGTCTAAACAACCTACAGTACCGCCCTGGTCCCCGAAAGAATCTCGTTTTCAGCCTTTATGGAGCATTTGCCCCAGTCGGGTTCTTTGCGGGGATCTTCTTCGCCGGTCTTGCCGCCCAAAGCTTGTCCTGGCAATGGTACTTCTACATTGGCACTATCATGCTCGGCATTGTCGCCCTAGCCTCCGTCCTCTGCATACCGCGCCACACCATTGAAGCTCACAAAATACCTCCTAAGATGGATTGGTGGGGAACCTGCACCATTGTACCTGGCCTTGTCCTTCTCGTATACGCAATTACCGACGGATCACATGCACCAAACGGGTGGGCAACACCGTACATTCCGGTCACATTTGTGCTAGGTTGGATCTTTGTGGGGATTTTCGTGTATCTTGAGGGCTGGGTTGTTGAACAGCCTCTGTTACCAGGAGATTTGTTCCACGTCAAAGGCATGAAGGCGCTCACAGTAGCGCTCTTCCTACAATATGGTGTCTTCGGCATCTTTTTGTTTTATGCGAGCTTTTAGTAAGTCACCAACCCTTCGCCAATGCTGTTGCTAACATCCACGCAGCATTGAAGAAGTACTCCAAGCCAGTCCATTATTGACCAGTGCTTGGTTCGCCCCCATGTGTATCGGTGGTCTCATCCTTGTAACCGTCGGTGGCTTTGTCCTACACTTGCTGCCCGGCAGAATGTAAGTCATCTACATCACCACTGCAAATAGCAGTGCTAATATGTCACAAGTCTACTTCTAGTCAGTGGCTTATCCTTCGTCATCTCCGTCATGCTCTTCGCCATCCTTCCGGACAATCCAAACTACTGGCAATACATCTTCCCGGCAATGATATGCGCTACGCTTGGTATCGACATCACATACAATGTCTCAAACATCTTTATCACGACTTCTTTGCCAAAGGCTCGCCAAGGCCTCGCAGGCGCCTTCATAAATTCCATCCTCTTCGTTGGCATATCTTTCTTCTTGGGCTTTGCGGACCTGGCAGTGACGATGACCGCAGATCGGGGAAAGAAAGAGAGCTACAAAGTTGCTTTCCAAATGTCGATTGCTCTTGCAGGTGCAGGGCTCTTGATTATGTTTGTAGGAGTGAAAATTGGGAAAGCAAAGAGCGAGTTGACTGTCGATGAGAAAGAGGAGTTGGGGAGAGAGTTGACGAGGAGGAATACTGGCGATGATCCCAGCGCGGTGCCATAATTCACGAGCTTGGCTATCTGGAAGGCCTTGTGTGCTCAATCAAATTTTGATAATGATTGAATCACGATTTCACTACATCATTTCGGTTCAACAACCAGGATCGGTCTATACTCATTTTTTACAGCACTAAATTGCTGCTCATACCTATCAGGTTTCTCCATTGATATAGATAGATGAGTGCATATTACAGAATTTCTAATTGTTGGACTGCACAACGATATATAACGTCATATTTTTAGTCTTTTCGTTCACATTCAAATACTTACGACCAAGCAAGCGACTTCGCTATGTTTCGATCACGGACACTCCCTAAAACTGCGTCAAGACACAATCCTACCCAATGATTCAAAGCAACATACTAACGTATTGATCTAATTACCAGTTCCCCATTCGTGGGATTGCTTTACCACTTCCCACAGTAGTCAAGGGCCAACGAGAAAACGTCAGATAGTCTAGAGGTTTACGTGAAAACCACCACAACAGGTGGAATGATGCCCTACAATATGCGACCAAATTTATTCCAAGACTCTTTTTCTGAGACAATGACTCTAAAATAGAGTTGTTGAATTAAATTAGCAGTTTCCTGTAAGTTTGTCAGGTGTCTGGGGTGTTATATTGCGGCACGTCGTCGCACTTACATTTACTTCTCATCATCCTACACCATTAGTTGTAACTGGAAAGTGTCGCTTCTCTACTTCTGAGCTCCCTTGCCTTTATTATACTCCAAAAATCCATCTAAACCTTGTCTTTCTCAGATAATACGTACACTCAAGAGCTTGAAAAAGCGTTCAACGGGAACACTAGTCTTTGTGCACGGTGCCTGTTAGGGGATCATGGCACAGCTGATTTTACGACTGCTTTCGAGAGGTGCTGGGGGAAATAGTGTTTCCTCCGGCGCAGATAGCAAAGATTTCAAGAAGGCGGACGGTCTCACCGAGAAGGTGTAAGGCTACGCCAATGTCGAAGCTCAAACATCTAGAAATAGAGAAGCAAGATGGAAGACTGGCGAAAGCTCAAGGAGTTGCGTGATAGCGCCCTGATCCGAATCTAAAGTATAAACTCAATGAGCCGAGAGCCTCTTCAGATACTTGAAGGAAAAGGCCAGGGTTCGTCAAGCAGGCCAGCCCAGTGTAAACACCCCAGTACAATTTCGAATCTACCAATGAATCGACTACAAACGCTTCCACGAGGGTCTCGCATTAAAAACATCCAAGGGAAAGAAAGCCGCAACAGAAGGACCTACCAAGGAAAGTCTACTGCTTAGCACAATCGAGAAGAAGAACTGGGAGCAGAAGTTGCAAAACGAACGAGACGAGGGAAAGAATTATGCACAAGATAGGATCTTTAAGATAGATAATCCGATTTGTAATGCTAAATCATGCGGTCCAAGTATAGTTCTAGCCAGTTACATTCGTATCAACAACATTCCGGATGAGCTGCACATTTACTCTCCCCGATTCTGGCGTCCAAGTTCAAAGTCGAATAGTACAACATCCGAATGCAACAAAAAGAAGATCGGAGAGATAGCCAACGCTCTGCTGCACAGAAGTCAGCTAGAAACACAGTGGGATTCCGGTAGATACTGGCGCAACGTACAAATGCTGAAGTCAACATGGACCAGTTCCCTGGAGATTACGAACGCCTCCTGTGTCAACATGGGGAAGACGATAGGCCTCGATACCTCTTACGAACTGCAGATAGTGGACGACACGATCTGTATCTGTGCCGGGTTATTAACCATATGCCCTCATCAGCCCATGCCAGTCTCGCCGCCCCCCACACATACTTCAGAGATGATGAACAGTGCCTTGGGGCTTCCTGCCCACAACGCCCGCATGATTGAGGACGAGAGGCTTAATGTTCTAGATATCAAACCGCCTACTAAGACATTATCGAGGCAGGCACGTGGATTAAAGTGTTTTCTTTCCATGTTACGTTCTTAGATGTATACCCGCGTTTCGAAATGCACAATAACCTTCTCGTGATTCTTCTCGAAACTCGTAAATTTCTAGCACTTGTCTTCTCTCGTCCCGCAGAGAGTGGCGCGAAAAGCGTACCGGTCCATCTAGAGAAATCCTCACGGGAGCTCAAAGACAGACGGTTTTTGAATGCCAAGTCTATCAATGGGTTACATTCTTGGAGTCTCGGGGAGATGTTCACAGCACCTAGTCCTGCGAGGATTTAGCAGGATCTGGACTTGTGTGGAACGTTCAAAAGTCGGTTCAGAAAAGTTCTTCACGATTTGAACATTCAAACAACTTTGACAAGCGCTTCATCAAACGTTCAGCAGAAAAAGTCTTTAACATGGCCTGCCCGGTGTAGGTCTAACGACACACCGGTGCTCGTTCTAGAATCCCGAGAATACAGACCCCAAAAGAGTACGCTGAGCTCAAGCGGGAGGGTGATATCAAGCACGAAAGGCACACTTTGTGTGTTCGAAGTAGAAAATATCGCCAAATTCCAAGAGGGCTAGCAGTTGGGATAACAACTTCAAGGCCCTCGTGGGTAACCTTGCCCTGAAGATCAACGTTTCCATCTCACGTTCCGAACCTTCGCTTTACTCCTCAATCTCACACACCACAGCTGGCGTGTCCACCACCCGCATCGACTCCCCCGACATGTCAGCTAACCGATTACGCGCGCCACACGAACATCTCGCTCTGCGAACCAATTGCATGTATCTTGTCTTTCGCAACCCACAAGAAAGGCACAAGCTCTGGGTGGGAGCACAGCGTCGAGAAACCGACGTCACATTCGCCCATCCTATGTGTGGCGTTTTGGAGCCGTCTTTCAGGATCTATCGCTCGAAATTGAGACTTTACTGTTATACAAGTGTAAAACACTACGCAACCGTGCCAACGGAACAGAAACCACTTCCCACCATCGCTCTCCTCTACATCTCACAGCATACTCCCCATCCCCACTACGCACGACATCACACCAACCAACCTTCCCATCGAGAAAAAAGCAATCATACTCCAACTAAACACCAATCTATCCTACCATACACCTCCCCTCCGCCGTCCCACCACACCCCCATGAATCTGCGGCCACACTCCTACCCCCTCCCTAATCCCAAACACACCCCCGCCGCCTCGATCTCCGCAACAACTTTGTCCTCATAAGCCTGCGTCCCATCCCCGACCACGCGCTCCCTCAGCGCGCCCATCCTGCCTACCCAACCCTCAATATCTTCCTTCACACTCTCCCGATCCCACTCCAGACTCGCCACATCACCCGGCTGCACGCCCTCCCTGACCCCACTAGCCTTAACCGCGTCGATGATACTGCTTATGAGTGCGAGGCTGTGCATCTCGCTCGCGAGATTCAGCGTGATCTTGCCGACATACCGGGAGTTGAGCGCGTTGGAGCTGCGGGCCAGCTGCTCGGGGAACGCGTTGAGGAAGCTCGATATCTCGGCCGCGAGGGGTGCACCCACAGAGAGCAGGAGGTTCAGACACAGCGGGAGGATGCCCTTTGTCCAGATTGAGTGCATGCGGACGGGGTTATCAAAGGGGCCCATGCCACCGGGGCGGCGAAAGTAGTTCATGAGGTTTGCGTTGTTGAGCTGGGAGAGGATGCCTTCGACGGCCATCGACTCGGCGAGGCCGCGCACCGACGAGAGGGAGAGGATGAAGAGGAGGGAGAGCTCTCCATAGATTGGGTCCGAGGTCGTGCCTGCGCCGTTGGTGTGGGTGTCGAGGGTCAGGCGGTCGGACCAGGAGAAGAGAGAGGAGGCGTAGCGGACGGTGTTGCTGTTGGCGAAGAGGAGGGTGATTTGAGAGTGAGATGTTGCCATCTCGGGGATTGCGGTGATGCGCTGAACGAGGGCGGTGAGAAGGGCGAAGTCCGAGGGAGAGACGGAGGACGGGTCGTTGTGGAGCTGTGTTGCGAGGCTGCGGAATCCCTTGGCGACAGTGTCGGAGAGAATTTCTAGGAGCTCGAGGGAGATGTTTATGGGCGCTTCATTCTTATTCTTGGGCTGCACGATAGTACCACGGAAACTTGAGCGCAAGGTCGCTTCTTTGGGGTCGACCTTGTCGGACGGGTCGACAAGATAGAAATGCAGCGTGAGATACAGAATCCTGAGGAGCGTGCGGTAGTAGTCCACCTCCTCACTGGAGAAGACGACATCAAAATCGGCAGTAGCCGCACGAACGGCTTTCCAGACCGGTCCCAGCAGCAAGCGTGCCTCTTCAGATTTCAAGCGGTTTTCCACAAGCCTTTTGAGCAACGCGAAGGCGAGGTCAGCCCGTAGGATCATAAGCTGTCCAAATAGAGCTTCGGGGAGACTAGAGTCCGCGTTTGCCTTCATGCATTGATTCGTCACCTCGATGAGACACGTGGTGATGCGCGGGTCTTTCGTGGCAAAGTGGCCTAGCTCTAGAGCAAGCAGTCTCCAGCTGTGTAGAAGCTTGACGTGAGAGTCGACGAGGCTGAGATTTCTGTTGGCTCGCTCGACCTCTGCTTTGAATCCTTGACCGAGCCTAGGTCCTAACCACTTGCCGTCAAAATCGAGTAATGAAGAAGCGATATCGGTATCATAGAAGAAGCCAGGTCCGTAAGACGAGGGTTGCATCGTTGTGCGTTTGAAGTTGGCGAGCTTGACCCCAGGAAACTTCTCTTCGATGTTCTTCTGAAGATTGGCATGTAGGGCTACTTTATACGGGGGCAGCTTCAAAGCCTCGTTCTGGTAGTAAGCCAGCGCGCCAAATATATCCTTGACCGATGCATTGTCGCCAGACTGTCGAGCGCTATGCAGGTGCATGGCCAATATTTCGGCGGCCAGTGAAGCAAATTTATTCTCCAAAGAGCGAAGTTCGATGGCTTCTTCTGCTTTCGGTGGAGGCTGATTTGATATCCATTTAAGGAACGCGATGAGCTGCTGGATAAATTCCTTCCGTTCCCGAAGATCTCCCATCGCCCATGACCAGTGATTCTGCGCCGAGGTAATGAATTCCAGCATCGCCGTCCACAGACTCCAAGGTGGGTTTTGACGGTTTAGGTCCAGATGTGACAATGCATCAAAGGCTCGCGAAAGGAGGGACTTACTCGCGGGTGCTTGAGAATCAGTCTTCAACTTGCTCTTGACAATCTCTCGTGGCGTGCTGCCAGTGAGCAGATACAACGCGAACCATCGTTGTTTGCATGTGACTACAGCGGTGAGCAGGCTCCAAACGCTTTTCTGGATGTCGGTTATCTTCAGCGGTTCGTCTAGCTGGGATAACACAAGCATGAAGTTCTTCGCGGTCTTTGGGCCAAGGTGGCCAAGGAGCGAAGGAGGCTCACGATGCTCTTCTTTACGCGGCGTTCCCTTGATCTCTTGTGATGGGTCTTCCACAACGCGAACCGCACCACGAACTAAGATCTCGAGTAACGTGACAACTGGGGACTTCCACACCTCACTTGTAACATAAAGTCGTGCTAGGAGCGGTGTAGCTTTGAATAGTTGCTGTTCAAGATGTGTCCAAGGCCTCTCGAGCAGTATCGCGACACGTACAAGAGTCTCTGAAAACACGAGTGTTGACTGAGTTTGACGTTTGGACAAAGCTGCTCCGCTCGTCAAGGTTGTGTTTTGAAGTAAATCCGTTCCGGATAGTAAAGAGGACAGTATGGGATTTGTTGGTAGGTCGTTCCTAGATCTCGCGAGATACAACTCTGTGATATAGCTGGCAGTCGGTGCAATGATGTTGGTCAATTTCTCGCCGAGGTCGGGCACATCATCGACGCTGTAGGCCATCTTCAGGATGAATGAGAATGCTTCACATATTCCAATGTTGATATGCAATCGGTCTTCGTGAGAGTTGTACTTCCAGCCCAGTGACGTTTCGTAGATGCTCGCAAGCATTTTGCCAAAGGTGAGAAGTGTGCTGCTCATAGACTTTTCCGATGTACCGCTTTCGGGAGCGGCTGAAGCGTTGAAGCGTGTCAAAACTCTGTTCGAGCTCGAGGACTTGCGGGAGACGGAGCGGCCCACAGAATCGACAAGCAACGCTTGGAAGATCCTGATACAACCGATGAGGAACTGATAGCTACCGAGGACCATTTCGGTGCCGATCAAGATGCTGGCTAGGCTGCCGCCAGTTCCATCACTTTGTAGCAGCCGGCTCCTTGCCAGCCATGGCCAGACTCTATTGGGAGCGACTGCAATCAATGCTTGGATAAAGTGCGTGCATGCCACCAACAGTTGGAGTGAGACTTCACTGGAAGGCTCTTGGTACTGCCGAAGCAATTGCTCCTCGAATATAGTCAGCACAATGCTGACAGTATCCGGACTATGCTCTGAGCCAATGCTCAGGGCTGTCAACACGTCAACAGAACAACTGTTTCCGTCGCCTCGGGCCCTAGAAGCTTGTAGTGACGAGTGCATGATGTCGGCGAACAGTTCAATAATCTTAGCAGCCTCGGCAGTGGATGCAGTTCCTTGCGTTGCGTATACGACCTTGGTGCTTCCTACGGGGTACGTTGAGAGCAGGTGGTAGAAGTACTCCAGAGCGGAGTGAGGATAGCGCCACCGCGTAATATAGGGTTGGTCAGTGTCGTCGAGAATAACACCCGGCGTATCTGCATCGATGATCATGGACGCCTCGACTTGCGGCGCAGAGTTGGGAGCAAGTAAACGCCGTTGGGTCGAGAAGCTTGAGGTGCTGGATTTGGTAAACTGCGGGAGATCTACTGCCAGTGCGACACGATTTTCATTGGCATCCTCGTGTTCGAGGCGGTAGTCAACAAAGCCAACCGGCATTCGTTGTGTCGCTGAACCCATTTGAATCAGGTCATCGTAGGCGGACGCGTCTCCATTTTGTTTCGGGCCCTCCCCTCGGATCAACGCGCTTGAAAAGAGAAGCAAAGGTTCCACTTGGTAGGGGTAGTATATCTGAGCCGATTGAAGCAATTTCCGTCGAAGCTCAGGGTCTTCCCGAACGAATGTCACCACGGGATCATCGGTGTGACGAGGCGCATCGTACGCAGACCAGTTGTGCGCTGACCTTTCGCCTACTAGGATCAGATGAACACAATCAACAAGGCCTTCGTGGCTAAAGTCTATCGCATCGGTGTACAAAGCTGCGCGGATGACCTGCACATACAGCAACCGAAATTTGTCGCGGGAGACTCGATCGATGCCAGATCCAAGTGCAGTCATGCCAGTACCGAGGAGGCCGGCCATGATGCCGAGTACACCTTGCAAAATGCATTCTTCGGCCAGTTCGGCGAATACTGACTTCTCACTTGTATCGAATCTCTTTATGTGGAGTGCCGCTTCTTCAAGCTGGGAAGGGGCTGGGAGAGACATGCGTGAGCCTGGAGCAGCCGATTCCAATTGACGCTCCCGTTCCTCTTCGATCTGGTGGCCATGCAATGCAAGTCGCCACAGGATAGAGGACCAAGCAAACACTGCGGCAAGCACCGGGGTAGGCCCTAACAAGACTGAATACCGAAAGGTCTGTGTAAGTACCTCAAGCACACCACCGTCGAGGATATAAGAGGCTGCGCCCCACTGATCGTATCTGTCGTAGTCAAAGTCATCGAAGATTTGTTGAGGTTTCAAGATCGCGACGGATATCTTTGAAATGAGCACTTGAATCAGGGAAATCAAGGGCCCCTGGCCTTCGAGCTTCTGAAGAGAGATTAATACCAAGATTGACAGCTTCGGCATGGTGAACCTACCTCGGGAAAATCTTTGTAAAAGTCCCGGCGAGCTATCGTGATAAACCAACGCTCTACACTGGAGCCGAAGAGCACGTCTTTCGCTTTGGCGTCGGCGTGAAACAAGGTCAGGTGTAGAATGTGGGCAATTTGAGTGGTGTGGCTCAGGATCCATTGCGCAGCAACATTCTCCGCTATCGATTCCGGAACGTCCCAAGCGCAACCGTCGTCGAGTGCTTCTACCCTCTGTTCGAAAGCCGTGATGCACCGGTCCAAAGCAGGCGCGTCGGAAGCTGCATCCTCTTTTGCGTTCTGTCTGTCGGCAAGAGCTTGTCCAAGCTGCTCGAAGCGGTCATCGCATACGCGGTAATCGGAGGGATAACGGGAATTGTTGGTGCGCAAATCTCGGGCAGTTCCCCACGCCAAGAGCATCTGGCTTACCCTCAGGATTGCCGTGCAGGTGGAGAAGTAGATGCCAATGAGCCTCAGTTTGCGCTGGTCAGGCGAGTTGAACTGCGAGTTTGTCTGCTCGTCCAGGGTCGCCGGGGCCCTCAGGATGGACATGTTGGGGACAAAGGTCGAGGCGCCCAGGTTGGTCAAGCCGGCAGCCTCCTTGACGCTCAGCACCTCCTCTTCTGTCAGGCCGCTCAGCAGCTGCACGGTGGGCCTGGTCTGCCATTCCTGCACAGCGAGGCGCAGGGCGGCGTACTCTGAGATCTGCGCTTCTTTGGACAGCCACAGACTATCCTCCTTGATCTCGTCCAAGTTGTAGTGGTCACTGTGGGCCGGCGTGACGCTGATCGGGGCGGTCGCAGACTCGAACCTGGCCTTTTCCTGGGGCGAGGGCTTGGGGAACGGGGCCCATGGGCTGCTGAGGATGGCGACGTTCTCGTCGGCGGTCAGGAAGGCGCGCAGCGGCTGGCTCTTGGCGGCGGTATCGGGGTCGCAGAGGGCGCTGTAGGCGATCTCCCAGGTGCTGGGCCAGTCAGTCGTGTCTGGGGAGAGCTGTGCGGTGGGTACACATACATGAGCTGCTGCTCGCCGTGGAAGCACTTGGCGAGGTCCAGGGCGGCCTGCGGGATGGGGGCCATGGCGGCGCGGGGATGCGCGTGTCGACTCAGCGCTCAGCCGGAGTCCATCCAGGTCGCAGGTGCAGGCGTGGGCGGTGTCTGGCGTGGGCGCATCGGCGTGGGCGCCAAAGTTCGAGCAAGCTCAAGCTTTCTGAGCGCGTCGACGCACGGACCCCAACCGCAGGGCCGCGATTTTTGGGGATTGTCGGCGGGACAGGAACAAAGCCCCGGCGGTCCATTATTGCGGTACATTGAGCGCCAGCGCTGCGTGACTCACTCGGCCGCACCCAGACTGGCCTTGCTGGACCTTCGTGCTGCTCCGACTCCAGACATCCAGCCCTCCAATTCCAAGTCGCATCCGCTCGACTGCCCGCCATGCCCTCCGCGCTGCCACTCATCGACCATTCGCCCCACCATCCCGAGGCCTCGCCGCCAATTCCCACCGCAAGCAACGTCATCCTGGTCGACAACTACGACTCGTTTACTTGGAATGTCTACCAGTATCTCGTGTTCGAAGGCGCGACCGTGACGGTGCTCCGCAACGACGAAGTCACCCTCGACGAGCTCATCGCGAAGAACCCCACCCAGCTGGTCATCAGTCCCGGCCCCGGCCACCCGGAGAAGGACGCTGGTGTCAGCAATGCCGCCATCGGCCACTTTGCAGGAAAGATTCCTGTCATGGGGGTCTGCATGGGAGAGTGAGTCACGTTGTGCCCGCGCGAGCTCCCGCGACTGACGGCCCCAGGCAATGCATCATCCACAGTCTCGGCGGCAAAGTCGACGTGACCGGCGAGATCCTCCACGGCAAAACCTCTCCGCTCGTGCACGACGGAAAGGGCCTATTCGCAAACGTCTCCCAGAACATTCCCGTCACGCGATACCACTCCCTGGCAGGCACGCACCAGACTGTGCCTCAATGCCTCGAAGTCACCTCCTGGATTGAGAGCCCGGAGGGTGGCCGCGGCGTCATAATGGGCGTCCGGCACAAGGAATATGTGCTCGAGGGTGTGCAGTTCCACCCCGAGAGCATCCTCACCGAAGAGGGCCGACAAATGTTCCGAAACTTCCTGCGCATGCAAGGTGGCACCTGGGCCGAGAATGAGAAATTGACAAAGCAGGCACATGCGAAAGCAATCGGCTCTGCACCCAACGGAGCTTCAGCCAATGGGGCTCCGAAAGACAAGCAGACCTCCATCTTGGAGAAGATTTACGATCACAGACGAGCTGCCGTGGCCGAGCAAAAGAAGATCCCTTCACAACGACCGAGCGACCTACAAGCCGCGTATGATCTTAATCTAGCTCCCCCCCAGCTTAACTTCCCGGAGAGACTGCGCAAATCGCCTTACCGCCTTTCGCTCATGGCTGAGATCAAGCGCGCGTCTCCTTCCAAGGGCATAATCTCGCTATCTACATGCGCTCCTGCACAGGCCCGGACATATGCCAAAGCCGGCGCGAGCACCATTTCTGTCTTGACTGAGCCCGAGTGGTTCAAGGGCAGCATCGATGACCTCAAGGCCGTGCGCCAAAGCCTCGAAGGCATGCCCAACAGGCCAGCCGTCTTGCGGAAAGAGTTCATCTTCGACGAGTATCAGATTCTCGAAGCCCGACTTGCCGGTGCGGATACAGTTCTGCTCATTGTCAAAATGCTGGACGAAGCCCTTTTGAAACGACTCTACAACTACTCTCGCTCGCTGGGGATGGAGCCCCTGGTAGAGGTCAACAACGTCGAGGAGATGAAGATTGCAGTCAATCTCGGCTCCAAGGTCATCGGAGTGAACAACCGCAACCTCGTCAATTTCGAAGTTGACATGGACACCACCAGCCGCCTTATGAACCTGGTTCCCAAGGAAACCATTGTGTGCGCTTTGAGTGGCATTACCGGGCCCCAGGATGTCGAACCGTATGCGCAAAACGGGGTTGGCGCTGTGTTGGTCGGTGAGGCCTTGATGCGAGCGTCTGATACCGCCGAGTTCATTGCACACCTACTTGGTGGCAGCACTCCTTCAAAGTCAGCGGTAGCGTCATCACCCCTGGTCAAGATCTGCGGTACTCGGAGCGTGGAGGCAGCCAAGGCAGCCATCGAGGCCGGTGCTGACCTGATAGGGATGATCTTGGCTGAAGGAACCAAGCGAACCGTTTCAACAGAAACGGCGCTGGCAATCTCTGAGACTGTCCACCAAACCAAGAAACCACACGCTGCCAAGGCCGCCGCAACTATACCCCAATCAGCATCCGATTTCTTCGAGCACGCAACCTCAACCCACATCTCCTACCCCGGACGGGCACTGATAGTGGGTGTGTTCCGTAACCAGCCTCTAGAATACATCCTCGAGCAGCAGCAGCTGTTGAATCTGGACATAGTCCAGCTCCACGGACAGGAGCCTATTGAGTGGGCAAGGCTCATACCCGTGCCCGTCATCAAAGCCTTCGGCCCGAAGGACGTTGGCATCGGCCTAAGAGGATACCATGCGCTTCCACTCCTCGATGCGGGATCGGGAGGCTCCGGGCAACAGCTCGATCTGAGCGAGGTCAAGGAGGCTCTTTCCAAAGATGACAGCATCAAGATCATCTTCGCTGGGGGCCTCAATCCCGACAACGTGCAGAAGGCTCTCGCAGGCCTGGGAGAATACAGATCGCGAGTTCAAGCTGTCGATGTGAGTAGCGGGGTCGAAGCGGACGGTCAGCAGAGCCTGGAGCGGATACAAGCGTTTGTCAAGGCAGCGAAGAGTTCATAGGTAGACGGTGCAACGAGTACACCCAGTCCTTGCGTCGGCCAAAATGATACAATTTGCTAGCAATATGTCCAAACATTCCTGATCAGAACTGGCCATCGTCCCACCCCTGCAGCCCTGTGAGATCGAAGCTAGTGCGGTTGGGGTAACATTTGAACGCGTTCTACAAACGATGCAGGGATACACATAGGATTTGGAAAGCTATATGGAGGCCATTGAGTCTGATTACAGCCATAATTTCAGCGCAGGTCAGTCAATTTTTGTTGCTACATGGAATTGCAAGTACTGTCGTCAGAAGAGGCAAGAGCGTGCACGCCTCACCTCTATTCAACTGTCGCTCAATCACCACTAGACCCATCTTCCACGTACACCACTTGCAGCTTGATCACTCTAGAAGCCGGTTTACGCAGACATGAAGTTTCGCTACTCACTTATGCACTAACCTTTGTCCGGTCACTGAGGGTCACGCAACGAGACACCATACCGTATCCGCAGCCTCTCCGGAACGCCACCTGAGATAAAGACGCGATCGCGATCGCATGCTCCTGCCGTGATCGACAAGCCTCTTCCGCCGCATCGCGGCGTAAATGGCTGGTAGTTGGTGGAGAGTATACTTGACGTCATAGGCATGTTTGGCTCGGAGACATGATGAGCTCACCGACGTTAGGGTAGCGGCGGAGCTATAAGCGTGGGAAATCGCAGACTGGAACAGAATTCACAATTGCAAATCTACTTTCACATATACTTTTCAAGAAAGTGGGAAATTCATTTATACAACGCTTTGCACATACGAGAAGCTACAACACACATCACACCAACCATGTCGCACTCCACGGGAACCAAGGCAAGTCATACACACCTCTGCCCCCTCCTGATCACAAATCCAAAGCACAAATCCAAAGCTAACACTTCCCAGGTCACCGACCCCAACGCCACTATCAATGAATCCACAGGCCTCGTAACCTCCGACTCCCTCGCCGCCGAGTCTCTGAACTCCTCCGGCTCCTTCGCCGCCAACAACCCACACGCGGCAGCCTCAAAGCAGCCCTCTGCCTCCACCACGTCCAACACAACTGACACCTCCGGCGCCACACGCCTCCCGCCTGCCCCCGACGCCGAAGCCCGCGATGCCCAGGCCGGCTGGGCAGAGACCTCCCAGCTCAACGCAGCGCAGGGCCTCGGCGGCAAGTCGAGCCTGAGCGGCAGCGCGGAGTCGTTCAGTCCAGCTAGGGGCGGATATGCGGGTGCGGGAGACCAGGCGCGGGGCGCGGGCGAGTTTACGCCGCATGGCACCAACATCACCGAGGACCCGGGGATGACTGGGCAGACGAAGTTTGGCGCCGTGGGCACGAAGCTAGATCCCAGCCGGAGAGCGGAGCAGGAGTTTGCGAAGAGAGACGCCATGTCCGGCGCCCCCGGCGGGAGTGGGAAGGATCTGAGCAGCCAGACCGGGGAGAGCAAGTTCAGTGGGCTGGCGAGGGACGAGAGTGCGTAAGAAGAGAGACTGAGGGATGTGCGTTGTACGTAATGATCAGGGAAGCCCAGCATTTGGATCAGAAATAACGACGATAATGAACGAACCATGTTTGTCTTAAGACATGAACGCCCACGTGTTTGAGAGGGAACCAATGTTCTGCCAGCGAAGGACCACGGAATGAGTGGAATGGAGTTCTAGATCCATGGCCAGACTCACTCTGTGGTTTGCACAGATGTGCTGGGTGTGGAAGCTCATGCACTTTATTGCGCGCCGAGAGGGGCGCCCGACATGGGAAAGAAGAGGGCACTTCCTCCTACAGACGATGGGGAGACGCTGCGTCGACAGCCCGTTTCCCGCCTGCACGTCACACCCAGGGACAAGTGCTCCCCGATTTCAAGCCCTTCCGGGTCTAGAGACTTGAAATATTCAGCAAGCGCATAAGCACAGAATCAGCACATGGGAGATAGGTTGTCTGTTGGGAATCGTTCATCATTCATATCAGCGTACGTGATGTGGGAAAGCTACTCGCAATCCTCCACTTCCGTGTCGTGCCATGTCCATGTCCATGTCCGTCCAAGCCTTCAGTCCGCATACATAGTCATACAGTCAGGTAACACAAACATCGCCGCAAATCTCCTCAGCCAGTGAGGTAGATGGCTACTTGGACGCGCTGGGCGTGCCGTAGTCCTTGCCGGTGGTCTGCGCGAGCCCGGCCTTGTCCTTCGCATCGCGGGTCACGGCGTCGTTGGGGATGCCGTCGAGCCCGTCCTTCGCCTGGCGTCCGGTGCTGCCCACGGCATCCGTGGTCGCGGGGGATCGCAGCGTCTCGCCGCCGAGGCCCGAGTGCGAGAGGTCCGACGCCTGGCCGCCCGAGCCGACGTTGACGGTGCGTGCGTCGGCGGAGTTGAAGTCGGAGGCCACGGGGGGGTCCGAGGGGAGGGGGAGGTTCGCCTTGCGCTCGTCGATGAGGTCGGCCTTGGATTGGGAGGTGGACATTGTGAGAGTGGTGTGTTTGGACTGGGTTGGGTTAGTTGCTGGGTTGTTGAGGGGGGTAGAGCGTATTGCTTCGAGAGCGCAGCTCGGGCGAGGGTCAAAACTCACGTTGTGTTTATGGAAGATTTGTTGATTGTGAATTTGATGAAGGCTCGTATCGTGCAATGCTCAGAGATTGTGCTACGTGAACAAAAAAAGTCTCTGTTGCAAGATCCCCTCTCTTATATGGTAGCTCAAGAGCTCTGCGCGCATGGTGGGGCTGTGACGTCAAACTGTTCTCATGGGAATCTGCTCGACCCCCATCGAAGATTCCCCTCTTGCACGCTCCACACGGCGGCTCGTTCGCGTTTGCGTCATGTCGACCCGAAAAATTCCATGTTGAGGGTGAAAGGTGGATGTTTGGGGCGTTTTGGGAAGGTTAGCGCATGCATCTTCGGCCTTGTCGGCATGGGCTAGCCGAGCCGGGGGGCGTGCGAAGCGCACGTGCGGTGCATTCACTCTCGCTTGCGCAGGCTTATGTGATTGATATAAACGTATAATCTTACTTTGGGGGTCACTTGCCTATTGATTGCACGCGAGATCTGTGTACGAGGGAGTGTGGATCGCCGCAGGGCTGACTGCACGTCCGTCTTGGTGTCTTAGTAAACGTTCTTGGCTATCATACGATGGGGCCAAAGATTCTGGCCGTTGTTGTTGCTGTTGTTATCGACAAGCTGGGTTACCTCATGTCCGGGATGTGGAGATTGGGCGTCGTATTTGCCTGCTTGGTGCTCATGTCGACCTCGGGAGGCCGCTTAGAAGGTGACCATTTGATCCTTTCGTAGCTGCAGTCGACCATGACTCAACATAGACTGGAAGCGGACTTTGCAGATGTACGAACGGTCTTTTGGTCAATCGGTAGAGTATGAGTCGACAGGAAGTCTAGCATGTCATCTTCGGTCCGACAAACACCCTTATTGTCGAGCTGAACGGAAGATCGCAACTATAACGTGGGGGAACTCCGCCACTACTGAACGATGGAAATGTAGAAAGTGCTTCTCGAAGGGTGGAAGTGATAATTGATAGAGGTCTATGGAGGTGAAACACAAATCATCTGAGTGAAGATCTACTATCCATGCTGAGTAAATGTATCCAACAACTGATACTAAGAAAAGAATACAAGTCACCCTACGATGGGGTGCTATGCGCAACTGCGCAAGTGTAAAGACCCGTCATCAATTCTGCCTTGCCCTTACACGAGGCTTTGTGATGCTAGATCCCGCTACAGCGGACCCAAGGAGGCTTTCTCACGTCTCAGAGATCGCGACTGGCCAGGGCCGCTTTTTGGACCGGTGCTATGGATGGACTCCCCCGTCTAGCTGGTACGTGGCGCTGCTAGGGCACCGAGGCCCAGTTGTCTGGAGCATGTAAGTCCGGGTGGCTTTCAAGGATGACACAGACGACGTACTGGAGAACCAGTTGCGAAAGCTCATTGGTACAATTTCCGGAAACAGAGAATTTAGATAGGCCGGAGACGCAAATTGGTATCGGTTTTCGGAGGTCTCGATAAGCGTTGCGAGCTTCCGTTGCTTGGAGGTGTCGCCGGCTATTTGGGCCATAGTCATTTGGTATTGCAAGTTTGCAGGGTTCTGCCACTCGACGGGATAGAATTGGCGGCCTGCGGAATGTAAGCAGTTTATCGGGATTGAAAAAAGAAAATTGTAGGTTGGAGTGGACATGGCCTCGGTCTAAGTTTCCCATGCCAAGCCGATGTACAGTTCTCTTGCTTCTGGTGGCGCATGAGAAAAGTGAACTCACCTCTACATGATTGTATGGTCTCAATAAGACTCTGCACTGTCATCCTCTCTCCACACATGGTCATCTCTTGAGGCCAGGAGGTCATGTCTAGGGACCTCACAACGAAGCGCGCGACGTCATAAACAGACGTCAGGCACACCACTGACAAGTTCTGACTGGAGTCGTACACAGGTGCAACAGCTGTCATGTTCCTCGGATCGGCAACGTAGTCCCCTTCATTTCCGTACCCAGTGTTTACGCCGATGCGGAGAGATACCATTCCGTTGACGGAGAATCGTTCGTAGAAAACCCCACAGACGAACACGGTTGACTGTATGTAGCCCCGGTAGTGCTGTAATAATGCTAATGCAGCAGCTCTCCCGCGGTCAAGGAGACCATTCTGTGTCCTGACACTGGGTTGTCCCTCGAACTCTGCTGGCACGAATCGACGTACGCGACATGCCACTGCAGCTTCGATGAGACGCAATTGAGCATTGCCTGTGACGGTGGATATGATCGTGTCGACGCCCAGCAACGAATGCTGAATAGAGGACGGGTCATTGTAGTCCACGACCTGACATTGATATCCTTGAGACTGAAGACCTGGCTGTGACTTTTGGGGTTTCAGCTCAAAAATCGGAATGGCGAGTCGATGGAGATATGAATCTAACTTACACTTCTTGATAGAATGACGAGCTGGTGGCTCGTTGACTCATGGATCTGCCGAGCCAGGATCAGGGCTAATCCGCAAGTGCCGGCTACGGCTACCCGCATGATTGACATTCTTGATAAATTCAAGTAAAGGCTGGAACCTATTGAAGCTTGCGCCAGCTGGCTGGCAAGGAGAGATGGTGCTCGTAAGACGGCTCAGGAGTTGACTTAGAAGTTGATATTCACGAGATCTTTCAGATAACGTAGAGTGTCGAGCATACCAGCGTCTTATAGTCCCTGAAGATGTTACATCATGATCAGCTTCTTTCAAGATGCATATGCTTTGTGCGCACTGGCGCATTCTCGTAAGTAACGCAAGAAGGGTCGGTGTACTTGGCCCACCGTCAGACTCTCGAAATGAGAGGTAGTGGGCGTAGCATGGTCCATGTAGGCAACTTGGAATGATCTCCTAAGAGGTTGGCCGGAAGATCGAGAGATTGGACGCATTCGAGCGAAACACTCCGAAGGATGAACAAGGGCTGTTGGGCCGCCCCAATGAAGCAACTGTAACCGTTGTTGCAGGCAAGATGGAGGCCCAACCAAGGAGGAAATGGGGCGGTTTGCGCGGAAAGCAGTGGTCGCGATGCACGTAAAAGGGTGGGGGGAAGGTCTGCAAAGTTCGGTCGCTAGTATGGCTCGGCTTGCTAGGTCTTTAGAAACCCTGCAGTTGCCTACACTGACGCCTCTTCTCATGGATACTATCTCATCTCCGTCCGTAGTCGTAGTGTCGTGCACTCGCTTGTGATGCATTTGCCTCTTTCCCCCTAGCTTGCGCCTGTCACTTAGTAGCAAAAGCCCAAGACCGATCCAGTCGAGTGGGCAACAATGTTTATTATAACTAAAGTGATGCCTGGAGCTGGCTACAAATCTACTAGGTATCGTGATACCATGGTCGCACCAAGCGTATCACCTCCGGCCAGTGATGTTTTCTTGAGGGTGAATCATGCTACGGGACTTGTAGCACTGATGTCTCCGTTGTGGCCGGACAAGGGACGTACCCAATTAGAAGGCTATACACCCTAGCAGAAGATGGCCTACTCGGCCGCGTGGGAAACGGGACAGGGCCAGCATATTTAGGTTTATATTTCAGTCTTAGCATAGCAAGCATACCACATGGCTAGTGGCTCATCTCACACCGCACGTTGACTAGATGCTGGTGTTTGGAGCCTCGACATGCAGGGCCCCAGACGTTAGTGAGCAGGTCAGTGGCGAATCTCAACTGGGGGCATGGTATGTTTGGGATAGAGCACCCAGGGCTGGAACGCACCTCCGAAAATACCTCTTTTCGGTCCATTGAAAAGGAAATTGCTGGAAAGGTGGCCGAATGAGGGAATGGGGGCCAATATCCGGTGAAAGGCCCAAGGGTTCAGTGCGCGTTCTTGAGCTTCAACAAGACTCATACAACTATTGGTCGTTCGAATCGCTGAGATCGAGGAGGAAAAGGAAAATCAACCTAGGCGATGCTGGTTGGGGCACCTTACGGATCTCCCCGTATTGTGACTTTGATACTGCCGACTGGATTATAGGATCTTAGTCATACCTAGCGCCGCTTAGAGGGCCGATCATGGTTCCAGCTAGGTCACTCGAGAGGTGGCGAGGATTGTTTAGTCAAAACCAGAATATGTGAAAGCAAGTCCAGCTCTTCGCGTGTCATACTTCTGCCTTGACCTAATCACCTGGAACTGAACCGGTGACAGTGGAGCAGGTGCATGGAAGACTCATAGACTGAACCACTGTAGGTGCCTTCATATGCACATGACTAGATGACAGTGGAGAAGGGTGTTTCCAACGCTCACTTGCGAGTTCTTCTTCAATGCGCAGGAAATTCGCAGCCGCTGCTCAAGGGTTGAATGCTGTTGGCCAAGGGCGCGCACTAGTGTAGTAGCTGCCTAGGACCGGTTGCCTGCTTGCGAGGGGAGAGAAACCGAAAATGTAGAAGACGCAGATAAGATCCGATCCTCAACGGGCGAGAAGGCGCACAGGATGCGCGGAAAAGGACGGATGGGACTACCGAAGCCATGCTCTCACATCTGTGGGCGCTTTGGCCTGTACCTGCTGGTAGCAAGTTGAGACCGAGCGCGCTTGCCCTGAAAGAGCTAGTCTTTCGAGCACGTGCGCACGCGTCGCGCGCCTTCATGATGTGATGTGCTACCCGCTAGAAACTGCTTTGGCTGCAGGACATGTATGAGAGTTTTCTTGTGCTTGTGCTGGGGTAAATCACCACACCCAAGTTTATACCATATTGGCGTACGCTGAGACTTGGTGAAAACGTCAATATGAATGCCGGATCCATGATACGATGGTATGCGGAGCATGGTTTACGCGCCTGGTAGGGTACACAGTGTTGAAGGGATTCATAAATTGCACAATTCGTTCACAGTGCGCGGTAAGAGACGCTCGAATGGGGTAAGCGTACCGCTATCCCAAGGAAGGTGCGATGCAAGACATCCGAAGCTCGTGCACGCGCATGTGGAGCTCCTGCCTACGTGAACCGTGGACTGACGCGCCTGCCACACAACATTCCCTGCCACAACTCGAATTCATTTGTCGTCGTGCTCTCGTTCTTTCTCACATTGTCCTGGCTGAACTTGACATTTTCCTCGAGTTGCTCATTTCTACGCGACGGCCAACATTGGTCGAACCCAGCAAGATGAAAGGTTCATCACCGTTTCCTTCCTCGTCGCCCACCTCGAGCAGGCACGATGGAGAGATCGCTTTTCTGAACCATTCGCCCAACACCGTTGCCAATTCCTTGCCCCCAGACGTAGACAACAAGCCTCTTGCTCGTCAGAAGCGCAGAAGAACGAGGCAAGTTTTCATTCTTAGTTTCAATGTTGGCTTTCGTCTGATGCTGGACGCGCCTTCCCGACGCGGTGACGAGAGGCGCGGTGGTCCGAGCTTACTAACCCCACCCCGTCGCGTTCTCACACGTAGCTAACAACGCATACAGCAAGGAAGACGAAGAGGTGTTGAAGGCCGAATATCAGAAAAATCCTAAGCCGGACAAAGCTGCACGTATCGAGATCGTGAGCAAGGTCGCATTGGGCGAGAAAGAAGTGCAGGTTGGTGTTCCCCGTGTCACGAGTTATCCCAGGATGGATTGAGCGAATGAACTAATGCCAACACTGCCTATTAGATCTGGTTTCAGAACAAGAGGCAGAACGATCGCCGCCGTGCGCGACCCGTTGACCATCCTTCCACGCCGCCATTAATGTCTTCGTCTTCTACCATGTCAGACCCGCCCGTGCCAGAAGAAATGAATGCGCACGACGACGCGATCCCGGAGCCTGAGCACGCCCGCGATGCAACCCCGCACGACGGCGAAATTGCGGAGCCTCCCGCTGATGTCGCTGAACCCGCCCAACCCGCCGATTCCGAGGAGTCCTTCGAGGAAACGCGCCAAAATCGGAAAGTAGAGGACGCGACGGTCTTTGCAGAGCTCGTTGAGTCTAGTCATGCTGGGTCTGGACACGACCGAGCAATATCAGAAGAAGCAGTAGCAGAAAGCCCAGAGCCTGCGAAGACCGAGTCGCAGGCTACAGCGGACTCGACCGTCGTTCCTTCCACCGATCCTCACACAATCGATACCGCACCGACTGAACTCAGCAGCTCGCAGCAGAATGCATCCTCACAGGGCGGTTCCCAGTCGCGCACCAACTGGATCTCAAACCGCCGCAGCGCGTCCTTCATGCGCTCTGCTGACGACTATGCGCCGGAGACGATAACGTTCCCTCATTTCGCACCGCCTACCACTACAAACGCGCCCATGACCGCGACTACGCCCTCCACTACCACAACGCGAACGATGAAGCGCGCGCATTCTTTTGTGCGCATATCGACGAATGAAGACGGCACGGCGCGCGTCGTCACCGACCTTGACAAGACACCTTCTCCCCCGCATGCTAGGACGAGCAACGCACAGTTCGCGCGTGCAGCAGCAGGCCTCCGAAGGAGCTATAGTGCGGCAGGCTTGAACGAGCGACTGGCTGCTGTCGCCCGGGGTGAGGAGCGCAGTCCCAAAATACCACGGACATCCACAATAGGCCGCAGTCGGGACTCGCGCGCATGGGAGTTCTGGTGCGATCCGGACACGCGATACAACACTAGCCTGACAACGCGTGCGGAACAAGAAGGCAGCGGCAGCGCGGCCGATGCTATCGGGCTCCTTCGAGCAAACAGGCGGATACTACAGCAGAACCAGGCGCGCCAGAACTCACCAGTCATACCACGGCATCACTCTGTAAAGGTGTCACCCAAATACGGTGTCAAAAAGGCACGCAGCCCCATGCAGCGCGCTGCCACCATCAACGGCCGTCTCCAGTCCAAGGGCAGCAGCAGCAGCGACTCCGACGAGCTACCACAGACCGAATCCGACAAGGAGAACTGGATTCCGGACGTGCCGAAGTCGCAGCAGCGGTCACGGAAGATCCAAGAGTCTCCTGCTGTACAGCGCACGCGCCAGATCCTCGGCGAGAATAGCGAGGTCATGTCGCAGAGCAACAGCCTGGGCGCCATGCTCGACAAGTCGACGCCAAAGAAAGGCGGGCGCAAGTTCTCTGATCCCGAGCAAGACGACGAACTGAAGGCCTTCATGGGTGGCAGCACAAGTGCTAGGACCGCTGTGAGCTCCGCTGAAGAGGCGGGTTGCGTCGAAGGGCTGCTGAAGCTGAGCCAGGGACAGTGGAGATGAGAGTCGCCCACAGTATCGGAGACGGTCCGCCCTGGTACACAAGTTGTGTTACCCTAGGATTTGCTCTGGGAAGATGATTCTGACGAGCCAACGTGCATTCAGTTCTGTCTCGCTGTTATGGCACCTGCTGTTGATGGGGGCTGGCTTTCTCCCCTCCGCCTTCGATGTTTCACGACAACTATTCTTTTGTTTCTCTTCGTCTGTATGCATTTCGAGCGGGAAGGATGGGTTGGCGTTATTTTGGGGACAACATGTTGACGTTATTGCTGGAACAACATGTGGGTTTTAGACAGGTGTTTGATCTTGGGCCGGCAATAAGCGGCGGATATTATTGTAGGAAGGTCTTAACGATGGCAAGGATCTATTTCAATGAACTCAATTCTTAGATCCTCATGTACTTTCCAAAGCGGAGACCCAGTCAGACGTGCATTGCGTATCGTAATCATGGCGATACGCAATGACCGTCTCAGATGCTAAGTCACGGTCGTTCCAGGTAGCCTTCTGCCCTCTGCCCAAGCCCTACTCCTCGCCGCTCAGTAGTCAAACCGCTTGTCGAACCTCTTCTGCGGCTCATAATACTGCGGCTTGATCGCCGTCTGCGCCATGCGGCCGGCCTTCTTCGCCCTGGTCCTCTCCAGCGCCGCCCTCTTCTCTTCCATCTTCGTCGTCTCCTCTTCTCTGCGCCTCGCCTCCTCCGCCTCCCTCACAAGCGCAATCCCAATCGCGCCCCCCTCCCCAAGCGGCTCATCCAGCGCCGGCAACCCCCACGCATTCCGCGTGTACCCCTCGAGCTGCACATCCGCCTGCCCCTCCAGCGGCGCGAACGCGGGGGGCTCGAAGCCTGTGGGCAGACCCTCCGCGGGACGACGCCACACAAAGGGCTCGATGCAGAAGGCTTGTGCGCGGAGGCGCTGGAGGGAGGGGTCGGAGAGGCGCTCGAGCCAGGAGAGGAGGGTGAGGTCGCGGAAGGCGTGGCGGAGGGCGCGGAAGGCGGTGGGGAAGTCCGAGTTTGGCGGGGCGATGGCGGTGCGGTAGGGGGCGGATGGGGATGGTAGGGGCGGTGTGATGAGGGCGTGGAGGTGTGCCGCTGTGGGGTGCATGGCCTGGACTGGCTGAGTGGACGGTGGCGAGGGCGTTGCGGGTGCTTGAGCGTTGGTCTGGGGCGTGGATGCTGCTGCTGCTGGTTTGACTCCACCAGGTGGGATGTACCGAGCGACTGTGCAGTAGACGTGCGGCACGGTGTGCGACTCGTACATGCGCAGGTCGTAGCGAGCGAAGTTGTTGAGGTAGGGGTTCGAGCGCAGGAGGATGAGCTTGTATTCGAAGCCCTTCGCATCGAGGTAGATGTGGTAGAGGTCTTCGAGCTTGGGATTAGCGGTTTTGGTCTCAACAGGCTGAACAGCAGTATCAGGCGTTGTAGAAGGCCTAGGCAAGTGTGAAGCCGCAGAAGAAGAGGGAGGCGTGTATCTGAGGCCGGGCGGGAAGGGGGAGGGCTTTGGTGTGTTGTCTGTAGCAGATGCGTCCTCAACTTCCTCATTGGAGGTGACACCATCTTCAGGCTTATGTTGCTGTCTGGCTGGAGATTCTAGAGCAGCTACAGTTGATTCTGATGCCAAGCGCGCTTTGGCCGGTGGCATGTGATGCTCTGAGCCTTCCTTGGTTGCAGGTGTGAGCTCGCGGTTCGGTAGTGTATTCGCAGCCTGAGCTTTCTTCGCGTTCTCTTCGGCCTCTCTCGCCTCCCTCTTCCTTCTAAGATCGTCGAGAGCACTGGAAAAGAAGCCACTGGAACGCTTGCGAGACGTACCAGAACCAACATCCTGTTTCGCGAGCTCGCATCCTGTGTTGAACTTCATTGCTGTGCGATGTTAGTATAAGCAACGGCAGGAAAACAGATCGTCAACCGGAGCTTACAATCTGCTTGCGGACCCAGTCTCTTCAGAAGCTTCTGTTGCTTGCGCTCAGCTCGAACTTGTCCCCAGATGTACTTGCGCTCGGCGACCTTCCGGCCTTTCTGCAGGGAGTCCTCGAGCCAGTCGTAGTTGACGACGAATATCCGGAGTGCCTTCGCCTTTTGCACTGGTTCATGTTAGTTTTTACTTCGACCAGCCTTCACAGGTCACCTGAGCGGAGAGCTAGCTTCGACGCAGCAATGTTATCCATATGTGCAATCTCTAGTGGCTTTCCAGCACCGAGTAGTGTGACATACCTGCTTTGGCATCTTTCTTGTAAGCATCTTTGGAACTGATCAAGTGCGTAGTTCCTTGGACAACCTCTGGAGCCCAACGTCCTTTGTTGTTCACGACCCACTTCTTCAGCTGCTCGTTGCTTATATGCTTGCCGGAATGATCCTTGATATCGCCGACCGACGCGATGACAACGCCCTTGAGTACCGCCATTGCGAGTCGTATCGCGCTTGTATTGCTGATTGTATTCCCGTGCTGGCGATGGCAACCAATCGTTTCGTATAGTCTGGTGGTCGAATGAAGGGCGCGAACAGCTGGAAGTTTTGTGGGGCGGGGCCTCTTTGTATAGTGATAGAGCTGCTGTTATGATCCAGACGTCCCCGGCTCTTACTTTTAGAAAGGTCTTAGTGAGAGTAAAACCTGAGGTCGCCAGTAAGCTGCGCCGCAGTCAATCGGGGAAAGTAAGAGAACAAAGCCAACATGAAGTGGCACCTGTCTGTATACAACATACAAAGCGCGTTTGCCATACAAAATCTGTAAACAGATGGTTAGTGAGGATGCAACATCGAAGAGGCCCAGTGGTATGAAAGCAACCAGAGATGGTGTCCTCAAGGCACTGCTAGAAGAACGCCTGTTCGGTTTCATAATTGAATCGTTGGAAGGCCAAAGATAGAAGTGAGAGGATAACAAGCTATAATTCTGTAAACCCAGGGGAGAACCGCATCGTCCGGTATACACTCAGCCGAAGCCGTAAAAACTGCCAGAAAATTGTTTGCTTCGGGCTGATTACCCAACCGCCAGACTACCTTCTCTTGCAGTCTTGCGACACAGGTGGGGCGTAGTTCCGCAACTCTTGAAGGCTCGCTCTGTCTCGGTGTGATCGACGTAGACGTTGGCGAAACAGGAGCAGTTATATTTACGAAGTTGTTTCGAGAAGGCGCTCATGCTAGGAAGGCAATCCGGTAACACGTGATGCTTGGAGGACGGCGGTAATGGTATAGTGAATGGTCTTCTGGATATGTGTACTAATGAATTAGTTGTTCTTCACTGCTTGCCAATCAAAGCTTGGTTGAGCGAGAACTCAACCATTCCATTGTGAGAACCATTGCCGTTGGTTGCTCATGCTCGTCACTTTTCGATCAGAATCTGTCCCTGCAACATGGCCAAGCTTGAATTATCTCTCTCCGCCCACTCCTCCCACGCCTTCGCCATCTCTTCAAAGTCCTCATCTTCGCCGAGTTCAAACTTCATGGCTTTCGCTCGTAACCCACCGCCCCTAAGCTGCTCGCACAAACCCTGCGCTAAAGCATAACACACGTTAGCAGCACACTCTCTGCCGCACGAACGCAACGTTCCAATGCAAAACAACGAAAGACTTACCACAGAACCTCCTCTCATTCAAAGTACAGTACGACGACGTCCCAAAACTAACCTCCACCCTTCTCCTCTCCGCCCCTGCCTTCAGCGCCCAAGCAAGCAGCTGTCTCCCCGCCTCTGGCGTCCCCCCGCCCGCACGCATAACCCCTGTCATAAGTTCATGGAACCTTCCTAACGCAGGATCGCCTAAGGTACGGATACAAAGTTAGCGTGAGGTACGACAGCATGCTACAGGTCTCATCTAAGCGACCAGCCTTTGCTTCCACAAGGTGACCCATCCACTTTGTACGCGTTGGTTCACTCACCCGGCCACACCACCTCAGATCCATAATCGCCCTCTCTCGCCGCGACAACACCCCCCTTCTTCGCCACCCTCAGCATCTCCCTGAGCGCCTCCCACGGCTGCCCAAGATGAATCAGCACCTGGTGGCAAAACACGACATCGAAGCTCTCGTCGGCAAACGGCAGCGTGAATACACTGCCCTCCACGAAGTCAATGTTGGTTACACCGGCCGCGGCGGCGTTTTGGCGCGCACGCGGGAGGATGGCGGTGTTGAGATCGAGGCCGGTGACGTGCCCGTTGGGAAGGAGCTGCGCGAAGCTGGTAGAGATGGTGCCGGGGCCGCAGCCGGCGTCGAGGAGGTTGAGGTGGGGGTTTGATTCGGCGAGGGAGTGGAGTTTGGGAAGGAGGTGGGGGGCGCTGGTTGTGGCTGTGCGGGATTCGTGGAGGGTGGAGGGCTGCATTGCTGAAGTAGAATGAGCGAGTAAGAATTGTGGTGGACAAAACAGTGAGCGTTTCTCTTCTGGCTGGTTTTGGAATTCAGAGGGCGAGAGTGCAGAAGAAATCGATCTTGGGTCTCGTTATATTGCAGCCCATCTCGGTGTTTCGGTGTTAGCCTAGGATATGCAAGTAGGACTTGACCCGGTAGTGCCTTGAGCTGAACATTGTGGCAGAGGAGAGGAGATCGACATCGGGTTCTTTCTTTCGGGTTTGTCGTGGCTGGTGCGGATCACGATGAGAGGCTGTGGGTGACTGTGGTCCGAATACTTCGCTTCACGAGTAGACCACAGTGGCTGGCAGTGAAAACTGAACTTTGTGGCTATGAGATCTCAGGATAGACGATCAAATAGTAAATTTGCAACCGTATTGTCTGTATAGTAAGTTCCTACGGGATAAGGTGTGCTGAAGTCCGGTTTTCTATGTCAGCCACTGTGAACCACGTGCAGGAAGAAGAGACCAGCCCAATTTACTAATCCGCATATGGCTTAGAGGAGCGGGGGGATACGACTTAGCTTTCACTCTTTGAACACAAGTTGCAATGCTGAAAACTCCACACCATGTCTACAGCCACATTGTGCTTACAGTGCCGCAAGATATTCAGCGGCCCTCGAATACCCGAAACACCTGACCCTGAGGAAGAACTAGAGCGATGGACGCATCATCTAACAGGAGCAAGCATGCAGCAGGCAGCAGAAGAAGGCTGTCTGATTTGCAGGCCAGCGTGGAGCGACATGGTTGAGAAATTCGGAATAGATGATCTTCTCACCGAACCACAGAGAACTCCAGCGTTAGGGTCAGGGACAAAGGGAACCCAGGATGACTTCACACACTACACGCTTTGCAACGACTTCTCACAATACAGAAAGGGCTTCGACCAGGATCAATTGGAAGTGGGAGGCGGCGTTGAGCTTGGCATTGGTAGAACTCCCGTCGACACGTATCACGATTCGTATGTAGTCCACCTGTTCCCACTCGAAGGTCAGTACAGAAACCACATCGTTGAGAGTAGAACAAGAAGTAACCTGCAACAGATCTTCGAGTATCATCCTTGCCTCGCACTCAAGCATCGCCTGAAACTAAAGATACGATCCTCTTGATGCAAAAATGGGTCGATGAGTGTGTCGCTCTTCATCCCGAATGCCAGCAACCCTCAGTATGGAATTATCCTACACGCATTGTAGATGTCGGCACAGAGCATGATGAGACAGTCAGACTCTCCATCACAGCAAAAGAACGCCTTGAAGGCGCCTATGCAACCCTCAGTCATTGCTGGGGAGCTGCTGTACCTTTTCGACTGCTGGAGTCCAATCTAGACGAGCTCACGACGCATATTGATGTTCGCGTTCTTCCACAAACGTTTCAAGATGCTGTCTTGACAGTTCGGGCACTAGGCATACGCTACATATGGATCGACTCTTTGTGCATCATTCAGGATTCAGCCGAGGACTGGCAGGCCGAAGCGGCACAGATGGCGCAAGTCTATGGCAATGCTTTCTGCTGTCTCGCTGCAACCTGGGCGTCTGATGGCACACAAGGTCTGTATCCAGACCGCCACCCGAGACTTGATCAAGTCGTCACGTCATGGGAAGACGCACCGAACTTCACGTACATCATTCTCCCGGAGTATTTCACCGGGGATGCCATAACTCGAGCGCCTCTCAACGACCGCGCGTGGGTTTACCAAGAGCGCACTCTGTCGAAGCGAATCATACACTTTGCCGAGGAACAGGTCTTCTGGGAATGTCGGCGGTCTTTTGCGTGCGAATGTCTTCCTTCTGGGCTTCCGACAATGTATCAGAGCCTTCAGTATTGGCAGAGCCGACCGTTGACTCTACTCGATTCTAAGTCCCGGGGTCACAGCGGGGGCGACATGAGTGCGTGGCATTCCCTCATCTTCTGGGAGGCCATGATACGCGAGTACACGGGCAAGCGACTCTCACATCCCACCGATCGCTTGATTGCCATCTCTGGGATTGCAAGGCTCCTGAACGCAACATTGGACGACGCGTACGTGGCTGGCATGTGGAAATGGCACCTTGAAGAGCAGCTTATCTGGTATGCCGCGTCTCCAGAGGAAGCTCGACCTAGCAACCGGGGGCCCTCATGGTCATGGGGCTCTCTCGATGGTAAAATCATCCCGAGCAATGTACGCAACCAAGATGGGGAAGTATGCCAGGTCAAGATCATTGCCCATGTGCGCGAGATTGAAGTTGAACCCGTATCCAACGACATCTACGGTCAAATTCGGAAGGGCATGCTGATGTTGGATGGCTGTGTCTATCCGGTTCGTCCTGGAAGCCTGCGCAAGTCGCCATACCAACTCCCGGGCTTGGAATTCTCTGAATGGCACAGCGAAGACCTCGAGTTCACGACTCCCTATGGTGATGTTAGGTGGGATACGCAACAGGATAAGCGGAGCTTCGATGAAGGTCTGCCCTTGTACTGGCTCCCCGTAACGCTTTCCGAATATGGCGCCGAAAAAGGACAATTCTATTTCCTAGGGCTATTGCTCAAGCGACAGCCAGGGGCAGTGACACATGTGTACAGTCGCGTCGGCTACTTCAGTTTGACGTCGGCTGGAATGGAAGCATTGGAAACCTTTTTATCGGACAGACACAGGGCTACGTGGATGCAAAAGCTGATCATACAATGACAAGCCCCTGCACTACTGTCATCGCCCCTATAGTAATTCCATGTTATCATTCCAGATGTGACGCACGAGTGTGAAAGGCTGCAGCACCGAATCACGCAGTGCGAGATTGTCGGAATGGACACAACGAATGGAGCCAACCTACTGTCGTCACCACTTTGTGCAGTTGCCACAGCCACCACGGATGCTCTGCGTGACAAGAGTTGCAACCGCACGGAGGGCTGCGGAAACGAGGGCCAGGCGCTCTTGTCGTCGCGCAGTTTGTTCTACGGTGATGCCTGTTCGGTAGCGCGTCGGACGCCGTCTCATCTTGCTTCAGCCTGGCGTCAGGCCGCCTTCGATCGATACGCGACATCCGCCATGGCTGCAATCGATAGGCATGCGTTCTTTGTGTGGAGGTGAAGACACGGAGATGCAGCGATCGGCTGGCCACCCGCCTCGCCGAGGTGTCGAGAAAAGCAATCGCGCCCAGACCAGACACGGCGAACCGTGGTTCCTCAGCTGTCAAAGCGACCCAGGAAGAGCATGTTCGCTACGTGGAGGGCTCGCGCATGGAAACGCGGCCAATGGTGGAGGGCTGCTAGGGCCGAGTCGTTTCCATGCCATCTCCATCCGATCTCCTGGCCTGTGACGGCGAGGGCCCACGGCGGAGGGCTCGGCTGGGCTCGGTAGGGCCAAGGCTACTGGGCGTGGTGGGGGGCGCGTGCTGTGCGCCAGGACAAGGCGCCACACGCGCGGCTTTCGGTCTCGACTGTCGTAAAGTCGCACGCCGACTCCTCTGCAATATACATACAAGACGTCTGCATGCGCAACCTGCGCCGCCGAGACAGCGCGCCGTTGTATCCCTCGACACGCTCCCCCGCCCTGCCCTCGCCGTGCATATAGAAGCGGCGCCCCCCTGTCGCGCCTGCTCCATCCTGCCGGCCGCGCCCTCGACGTCGTACGATTGTGGCCTGACTGTGCAAAGAGCGACCCATCACACGCCCGGAGCCCTCGCACCCACTGCCGCGCTGCATCTGCCCGTCCTTGCTGAGCGTCGCGCTCCCCCGAGTTTCCGAGCCTCGGCCGCTGCCGTCGTGCGCGGGCGCTGCTGCTGCTGTGCGCCGCGGAGCCACCCGGGCCTCTGCTGAGCACCTCGCTGCGGCTGCATGTGGCCTGATATTCGCAGACGCCTGCGCAGTGTCTGTTGGTAAGAGCCGCTCCTCCCTCTGGTGTTCACGCGGTGCTGCTGCATTGCTGTGTCTGCCTCTGCCCTGCCCCGCCCCGCCCTCCTCCGCTGTCCGCAACCATGGCGTCGCCCTACGACGATGAAGGCTTCGACGATGGCCTGGAGCTCGAGCGGATCGCCGTATGTGCCTGCGGGAAACCGTGTTGCGCCCAGCCGAGCAGTGCTAACCGCTCCCAACCACACAGGTCGGTCCGTACTGCGTCTTCGACTCGTTCCGGCCATCCTTGAGCCCCCAGCCGAGCGGCACCTCGCCGCCGCCCACGGCAAGCAAAGAAAAGATGGAAGACCCTCTCATGGCGAGCGCGTTCCAGTTCGAGGCTGCGGGAATCCGCCCTCCATGGCTCACCACGGCTCCCGACGACTTGCCGCTTGCCGCGCCGAGCGACTCGCTCGCGGCGCCCAGCTGGAATGACTTTATGACATGGGACCCCAACCTGTCTCAGGGGCCTGACTTGAAGCTTAGCGGCCCCGCCTGCCCTCTGAAGCCTGAACTCCAACGGCCTCCACTCTTCAACCGCAGACATAATTCACAGTTGCGCGACCCCTCCCTCCAGATCCAGGGCACCAACCCGCCCTCCACCCAGGCCATGTCGGCTCCGACGCACAGCGTGCCCTTCACCTTTGGCGAAAATTCCGAACTGCCACCCGCATTCGACTTTGACACGCAGAACCTAAGTTCGCCTCCCGTTGACGGCCAGCACCATGGCACCTTCTACCCGACTCAGATGGCCTGGCCCCACCAGATGGGCGACAACACTCTCTTCTCGCCTCCCCGCTTCGAACCTACTGCTCTTCCATCAGCTTCCGTCCCGCCGCTGTCGAATCCACCAAGCCTGCAGCATAGTCACAGCCCCAGCTCCATCCACAATGCCCGGACCAGTTCTTCGTCTGGCCATTCCACACCCGAGCCCGCATCCGACAACCCCAAAAAGCGCAAGTCGTCGACTGACGACGACTCCGCACCGTCTGGCAAGAAAGAGAAGCACCAGCCACCCAAGAAGACAGCACACAACATGATCGAGAAGAGATATCGAACAAATCTCAACGACAAGATTGCAGCGCTGCGCGACAGCGTTCCCAGTCTGAGAGTCATGTCGCGCGGCGCTGGCGCAAACGAGGAGGACGATGACCCCGAGGATCTCGAAGGGCTGACGCCGGCTCACAAACTCAATAAAGCCACTGTGCTGTCCAAGGCTACCGAGTACATTCGCCATCTCGAGAAGAGGAACAAGCGTTTACAGGACGAGGTCGCGACGCTGCAGGGCCGGATAGAAAGCTACGAAAAGATGGCAATATCCGGACCCATGACACTGCACGGCCCCATGGGTACTCCCGACGGTAACAGGTATCAACACGAGGACCCCTTCACGCCCTCACATAGCATGTCCATGTCCGGTCCACCTCAAGGAATGATCCCAGTGCCGGATCACATCGCACAGATGCGCCAAGGTCTCCCACCGCAACCGCACTATGCACACGCATATCCCCCTTACGCCGGTGGGTCGCGTCAAGGCCCACCTATGGTCAACAGCCGCCGGAACAACAGCATGGTGGGCAAGCTCATGGTTGGGTCCCTTGCCGGTCTTATGATCTTGGAAGGACTTGTTGAACGGGAGCAGTCGCAAGAGGAATCAGATGGACGTGGACTGTTCGCTGTGCCTTTCAACTTCGCCGCTATCCTCGCCCCTCGCGTGTCTTTGGGCGCCACCAGTGCACAACTCCCCTTGGCAAAGCTCTTGCTCATCTTCGGTGCTATTTTCTGGATCATAGCGCCCATGTTCGACTTTAGCGCGAAATCCAAGAAGAGGACGTCGAGTGCGATACATCTTGCTCGTGCGCCTTCGCTCGCATCGCCAGTGGAGGTACGACACAGAGCATGGCTTACAGCGATACAGACTGTGTGGGTTCCGAGACACAACTTCCTCCTCGAAGTGGCGGCTTTGAGCCTCAAGACTTTGAAACTCAGCACCCGCAAGCTCATCGGTTGGCCTCACTATGCATTCCTATCTGGCACTACTAAAGAGCAGGAAGCTGCAAGGATCAAGGCTTGGAGCATCGCACTGGATGCACAATTGACGGGTGGTGATGCTGAGATCAGCAAGAGCCGGTTGGTGCTGACGTTGATGGCCTCGGGCACGTTGCCGGACACGCCCGGGCGACTGATGCTCAAGTCTTTGCACCTACGCGTGCTCTTGTGGGAGCTTGCCAATGCCGGCCACGGCCTCTCTTGGATCATGGGCCACCTGAGTGCCAAGTTGGCCCGACGATACTGGAACATGGCTCGAAGCGAACACCGCATTGCAACCAACCTTGCTTCAAAGCCGGACAGCGACGCAGAACCACTGCCGGACCATCTGGCCGCTCTTTTGGAGAAAGAATGCGACGATGTTTTCAGCTTCCCAATCATTCAACGCGCGTACAATTTGGCCTGGAATCGTCCTGTCGCTGAACACACGAGTGCCGATCCGTGCATGGACGGGGTTGTCGGAGACTTTGCCATCTCGTCCCCATTGGATGCACTGGCAGCATGGTACTCCAGCTTGCTGCTAAGACAGACGCTGGCCGAGTCGCTCAACGACGGAAAGATTACGGAGTCGATCAGTGACGGACTCTCTTTGTCCGCTCGCACTGCTCCTCCCAACTCCCAAGCGCATCTGCGAGCACTCGTCGCCAAAGCCGTAGTAACCGAGCAGGACCGGGCAACCCACATCGCGACCGCTTTTGCTGCGCTGCCGACACCTCCATCGAATGCGTCGTCTTCCGGAACGAAATTGATCAACTTGGTGTCTGGCGCCCCAGCAGCAATCGACGTTCGGAAAGCACTCACTCTGGCGAAATGTCTCACGCTGGTCGACTCTTCCAATGAGGAGGCGCGCCGCCAAGCAATCTTCGTCGTCAACAACACCTACCTTACCGAGGTAACGACAACGCTCCTCAGCTTCGTTGCTGGCCATAAGATCCTCGAACGATTCATCCGAGACCCCGCGCTCCAGGCCGAGACGACCTACGGCCTTGAGCGTCTTGCTGGCTCACTTCGCATGTGGGTAGGACATGATACAGGCCGTCGAAGCGGTCTCGATAACAAGATTCGTGGGCGTATTGTGAAGCGCTGTCTAGACGCAAGCAAGATGCTCGTTGGTTTAACGGATCGAGAAGACTTTGACCCCGGATACTTCAGCTCCAGTGTCCAGGATGACGACATTTCGCCTTGATGCTTCTGTATTATTTTCCTTTTTGTCATTTTGCGGGCCAGTCATGCGATATCCCTTGGAGTTGGTCTTTCAGTGCATGTCGAGCATATTCGCAGCACATGTACGGCGTTGTCATCGGGTTTAAAAGCCATGTTATTTGGCAGAGAATATCTCACGAAAGATTTACGGCAGGAAATGCCACACTACCTACACACTTTTATTACACCTTATTCAATTTCCGAGAGGAGAACATACTTCAAGTACAGGGCTGGCGAATCACCATTGTTGTTTAGCCGCCAACGTTACCATGATACAATAGAATTGGTCTGTCGGTTTTTCTAAAGTCTAGCCGCGAATCCCCCACAGCTTGTACAACCTGTAGGACTTCATAGCCCATAGAATAGACTTAATCTATGTCTGATCAGCAACAATTTGAAATAACGTGAAATGACTGTTTGATGTGAAGATTCGATTTCTTAATCAGATAATCGGTAACTTATCGATACCGTAGGGCTGTGATGCCTCGGCTTCGGTCGGGAACGTATTTCCCCACACTCCAGCAACAACGCGATGCGCAACGTATATCATCGCCGCGTCCTGCTCGCAATAGAGATGATTCGGTGACGGCACACAGTCCCTGTTCAACCTCCACAATGGCACCTCCCAAAGCGATACTCTTCGACGTCGGCGGCGTAGTGGTACGTTGCCCTCTTCACCCCTTCACTATTCAAGACGGCCAACTCCGCGCTTGCACACAGCGCTGACCATGCCCTGCGCACACCCAGGTCCTCTCCCCCTTCCAAGCCATCCTCGACTACGAAATCGAGAATCGTATACCGATTGGGTACATCAACCACGCGATCCAGCGCGGCCCCCCGGACACGGGCGCTTGGCAGCTCATCGAGCGCGGGGCGTGCCCGCTCGACGACGCGTGGTTTGCTGCGTTCAAGGCGCAGCTCTCGCGGCCGGAGGTCTGGCGCGAGTACTGGGTGCGGTTCCACGCGCGGGGCGGCGGGCACGCGGATACGGGGCCCTCGGGCGTGGAGCTGGGCGCGCAGGTCCCGCCAGTGCCGGCCATCGCGGCCAAGACGCTGTTCTGGCGGATGATGCGGTACAGCCGGCGCCCGGACCCGTGGATGTATCCTGCGCTGAAGCGGCTGAGGGAGATTGGGGAGAGAGACGGCACGTGGATTGTCGGCGCGCTGAGCAACACGGTGCATTTCCCCACCGGCATCCTGGACGACGAGGGCGTCGTCTTCGACAAGTCCATTCTCTTCCCCGAGTCGCCAGACTTCCGCGGCGACAGCCCCAACTTGGCCGACTGGTTCCATATCTACCTCTCCAGTGCGCACATCGGGGTGCGCAAGCCTGACCCGGAGGCGTACGAGTTGAGCGTGCGGGAGCTGTCAAAGATCGCCGAGGCGAAGGGGCTGGGAAAGGTGGAGAAGGCGGATGTGCTGTTTTTGGATGACATTGGGGTCAATTTGAAGTTTGCGAGACAGGTGGGGTTGAGGACTATCAAGGTGGATTTGGGGGAGACGAGGGAGGCGGTGAGGAAGTTGGAGCGGGAGGTCGGGGTTGGGTTGATGGCGGAGAAGGGTCGGTTGTAGGGACGGGCATGTTGAGGTATGGTCGGGCCATCGTTGTCTTTGTGCACGGAGGTACAGCTGCTCACGGGAATCTGGGTATAGAAGATGATGGGGGAGATATGCTTAGGAAGGGCCGTTATGGGAACATTGGTTGTTTGGCACTTGGAAGAAATCACAGTGGCTAATAATCAAAAACGAGAGTCCGCCCGTGAACATCCACATTTACCTATCATGTAGTAAGTTTACCATCGCATGATGGAGCGAGCCAACGTAGAATGAGGTGCGCGCCTACGTTCCTATTTTCTATGTCGTCCACTGTGGATGTCCCTCGCCCGGCGACTGGGCAGCATGTAAAGCCCAATTGCCCCCTAGAAGGTACTCCCCTTCGTCAGCCTTCTCTTCCACCCCCTGCCCCTCGCATCTCCTCCACCGTCTCCCGCTCCCACCCGCACAATCCTCTCCTCCCGCTTCGGCACAATCAGCGCTCCTCCCCCTTCCCTCAACCTCCGCCGAATGTCGTCCTCCCCCAACGCCCCACCCTCCTCTCCAACCTCCTCCCTCATCGCAGCCGCAAAGTCGAGTATACTCCGCAGCAGCCCCGGCCGCCGCCCCGCCCTGTACATCCGCGACTGCGTCCGCACATCCATCCACATCCCCGCCATGATGCAACTCCACACGAAGTTGAAGATGGACACCATGAACAGGAAGATGTACGAGAAGCCCCACTGGTACGTCTCGCTGGGCTTGCACGAGCCGCGCGCGTGGATGAAGTCCGCGGGATAGTACGGGGCCTGGCGGGCGGCGGTGGTGCCGGGGGTGAGGGTGTAGTAGGGGTAGGGCAGGCCCGGGGAGGGCGTTGAAGCGGAGTAGGGCCCGCGGGGCAGGCCGAAGGTGATTTTGAGGGTGGGAGGGGAAAGGTGCGTGGTGGAGCTGTTGAAGACAAAGGTGCTGCTGGTGTTGCGCTGGACGGTGCGTGTGAGGAGGGAGTCTGGCGGGAGGATGGTGGACTCGAAGGCGGGGCGGCCGGGGAAGACGTCGAGGTAGTACCGTGAATCTGGGCGAGGGTCAGTTCGATGCGGGAAGATGGCTGGCTGGGGTTGTTCGTGGTACTGGGGGTCAGGTGCACGCGCTTCTCCGTCTTGTTGTCTAGCCTGGACTGCACTTCAACGTACACCACATCAACGACGGAAACGACGGTACTCACAGTTAGCCAGAGCTCGCGCAAGCTCGTCGTCGCCAGTCGCAGACACCAGCTCGCCCCCATAGAACCCTACTCTCTCACTATCACGCACGACATACTCCACGCGCCTCACATCCTTCCACGGCACCAAACTCCTCCCCTCGTCCATCACATACGGCTCATACGTCGTGATGTACCCCGTCATGGCCGCCATCAGCGTCGGAAACGCGAGCACATACAAGGTCGCAATCAGCATGCACAGCACGGCCAGCCACCTCCAAAACCGGCCCCACGTCCTCTCCCCAAACGCCAGCCACTCCTTCCCCAGCACGCCGAGCGTCCCCAGCGTCGTCGTCTGGAACGCCACGCTGGTCGCCATCTTGTAGCTCGTGCGGTGCTGCTCCATGTGGTACACCAGCCACTCGTTGAACACGACGTAGTTGACCCACGCCAGCAGCATCTGCCCGCCGCGCCCGACACAAAGGTCCCACGCGATGTCGATGACCTTGACCTGCGTGAAGGACATGGCGCCGAAGGACAGGTTCGGCGTGAAGAAGTACGAGCTGTCCATGATGCGCCAGGTGGCGCCGGCAGCTTCCTTCCACAGGCCGTTGGGGTAGCAGTCGCGGCCGGCGAGGTAGGATTGCGACGCTATCTCTGCGAGGGCTGAGAGGAGGACGATGGGCAGGAGGGCGAGGGGGAGACTGGACACCACGGTGAAGACGCGCCAGGGGAACTTGGACGGCGTCCATTTTTTGGAGATGGGGTTTGAAGGTGTGTTTGGGGTCCTGGGGGAGTGCGGGGATGGGTGGCGCGTGGGCAGCATTTCGTAGCTGGTGCTGGAGTGCGCGGGGGCGGATGGCGAGCTAGCCGTCGACTTCATGGTCGGCGCGCGATGCTGTTGACATGTTCGGCTCGGGGCGATGCGGCGACGGTCCCTGCGCCGGAAGATATAACAGAGTGAGGTCGATGCGGGTTGATGTCATACTTGTTGTTTCTTTGCTGAAACGGTGGTGGGAGTTTGGGGGCCGCCGAGTGAGGCGCAGGGCTCGGCGGGACGACTCTTCAACACAGTCCTGCATTTCAAAACACGTGCCGAATCACTTCCAGTTCGACTGTGGACCCCAACCGCAACGATAGTCGCCCTACACAGTGGCCGGAGCGAAAAATGGGAATGTAACAGCGCACTTTATCTTGTAGCAACTTACTTCGTTATACATTTATAAACTTTTCATATGATAAGCAAGCGTGAGGCTCACAGTGGGGTCTCAAGGATTCCTATTTTTGTTGTCGGCCACTGTGTTGCTTGTTTCTTTAATCCTCGGCTGAAGGCTTCCCAATTGACAGTAGGAAACCCATTGAAACGGTTTTACTAAGGACGCGTAGTGTGTAATGAACCCATCCCTTGCAAACTGAACGCAGGCTACCTTCGCTATTTACGGGCGCAATCACCGAGACTCGTAAAGGTACAGTCCTTGCTACGCTTTGTAGACATGGCCACACCCCCGGACCGCACCTCCGAAGTGTTATGCCCAGCTCCTTAACCTCGAAAGCTTCTGGGTATGTGCTCGCAAACGATATATATGCATAGTAAGACATCGAGCAAGAGCCTCGCAAGCATTCACCGCTCCCCACCGCCCTCCCTCCTCGCCCCTTGACCCCTCTGCTCCATTTCCTCCCTTCCCCTTCCCCTTCCCCTCCCCCTCATCCCAGCCGGCGCAGCCGCCCCACCCACTATCGCCATATCCACCATCCTCTCCGCCACCGAACTCGGCGCCACGTAACCCTGCCCCTATTCCTTCCTCCACCCATCCCTCCACCCATCCCTCACCATCTCCCTCCCTAACTCCCCCTCCACAATCTCCAACAGCCGCCTCAAAGCCTCCTTCCTAGTGCCACCCGTTTCCGGCCCCATCTCCAGCGCCTTCGCCCCGCCTTTCGACATGCTGTACACAGCGGCGACGTACGTTGGTGATGGGGAAGGCGGCTTTGGATGCCGGCCGACGAGGACGGCGGGGTGTTTGTGCGGGGCAGGGGAGAGTTGGTAGGACAGTGCTGTGGATGTATTCAGGAACAGTCGTGGAAAGAGGGGGGAGATGAGAGAAGACTTGCTCTCGATAATGTTGATGAGGTATTGTAGCTCTGCTTCGTCTTCGCCGCGGACGTTGGGCGTGGGATGAGCCGGGTTGCGATGCAGCATGTTGAGGTTTGAAGCGCGTTTTGGAGGTGGTGTTCGAACGAGTTTGATACGGGAGTAGGAGCTTGATTGAAGGTTGAAGGCGTAGGGCTCACGGCTGGATTTGCGTTATAGGATGGCGAGGGCCGTGCAGGGCGTACGTGACGTGGGTTGTGCGTCGCAAACGATCTTGGGGTTGGCGCTTAGATGTTAGCGGTAGCAAACAACAGGGCATGACAAGGCAGCGTGTGTAACAATAGATAGCTAGACTACATCCCCGAGCAGGCCGATCAGTAGAAGTTGTGGAGTGAGATAGAAACAGGAACATATGTACGCAGAAACAGTGAAGAGTCAGTGGACGAAGAGACCATAATGGTATTGGCTTGACTGATAAGTGCTCGCTAATGAGTCTGAGAAACACTAGTATATGCATGGCGAAGTCTATCCAATTCGACCGTTTCGTTACGAACTTTACGTGTAAAGCTCTTCGGTAAAAGCGTTGAGACCAACACCCTCCTTCGCGATATCCTCTTCCTTGAGGAACAAGAGCGGCATCTCTACTAGGGTTCCCTTGATCGTAGATAGAACCTCCTTCACTTCGCGTATACCTTGCTCGCCCTGGCTGAAGTTCTCTGCCACTACATGGCCGATCTTGTACAAGCTCGGCTTCTTGTTCTCCTTGTCACCCTGTTCCTGGGCAAAGAAGCGAGAATAGTACGCATCGTACTGGCTCCAGTTTCGAACCTCATCCGAGGGTACCGGGTGGAAGACCTTGCCGAAGGCATCGGTGTTCTTCTTTGCTCGCCAGTTCCAGAGGTTCTGGAAATCTTCGGAGAGCGGATCAACGACTTGGCGGTCTTCCTCTGAACCCCAGTCGTAGACATTCGGTACGCCAATCGGCTGGAAGTTTTCGTCGGGTCGCTCGAAGTTCTGTGGCCTAAGCAGGCCAAGGTGCTTGCGGAAGATCTGCCGACGCAAAGAGGCAGCAAATTTAGCGGCCCGCCATTCGCGGCCATCCATGTACGATTCAACGGTGTCGTTGTCACGAACGATGACGGCGATCTCGGAGTCGTGGTCGCCGAGCTGGGAGCGGTCGTTCAAGTTCGCAGATCCGCAAATTACGACCTGATCGTCTGCAATAAGGAGCTAACCGACGTTAGTTTGCCAACGGTAAAGTTGGGAGAGTACTAACCTTGCTATGAATGTACAGCTCCTCGGAGACGAAGGCATCAATCTCGTCCATATTACCACCCTCCCAAGGTACATTGCGGATATCCTCACCACCCAGCATATAGCACTGTGAGAATTCAGCTGTTAGCCTTACCCCCAGAAGCTTTCTAGGGCATTACTCACCTCACTGACAGAGTCCCATCGTCCATCGCCAAGGCCTTGACGGCCTCCAATCTGGGACGCGGCTTGCTGGTACTTGTTGTAGTCATCTCGCTTGTACTCGTCCGGCCTGTTACCTGGCCTGTTCTGATATTGAGAACCATAGCCTGAATCCTGGCCGTAGCCTCCCTGGCTTTGACCGTGACTTTGGTTCTGGCCGTAGTTTGAGGAACCGTCCATCTCATAGACTCCATACTCGGCTGTCGGAGGTGGACGATATGGCTGGTAACCACGCTCGCCCTCTCCCTCGAATCCACGCGTATCCTGAAAGTCGCCGCGGGTAGCCTCGTGAGCGGCATCGAAGCCTTCGCTAGCCTGTCCATAAGATACTCCACTCTGCTCTTCTGCGGTGCGCATAACGCCACTGGCGTTGATGCGATCATAGTTTCGCAGGTTGTAGAAGCGGATGTAATCCACGGGGTTAAATCCAGCCTTTTGGATTTCTTCGTAGATGGAGTGTCCGCCACGGTTGATGGAGTTGTACTGGAATTCCATGATAGCGCGCGTGCCGAGGGCATCGTCCCCCTTCAAGTCACCCGCGAACGCAGGCACGGATGGCATCATGACAAACATCTTATACCTAAAAACATGTTAGCGGGTGGAATTCGACAACAATCCCTTGTAAGATGACAGGTCTGCCCACTGTGGGAAACATTGGCAAAGAATGGCTTACCTTTCGCCGTTCCGAGCGGCTCGGATGATACGCTCAACAATTGCTGCTCCAATCTGGTTTCGAACTGGCTTCTGATCGTTGCCAGTTGCAGTGATGAAAAACTGGTTTTCAATGTACACAAAGTGCTTGCTGTTCTTGATAATCTCGCAGTAAGCATTCTGAATAGAATGCTCAGTCGAGATATTGTGACTCCATTTCGCGGAGCTCCGCGTGAGCTGGCAGTCTGCCCTTCCTCGCTGAGATCCATGCTCTGCGTGTGATTGATATTGTTGTTGCTGTCCTTCTCCGTGGTGTCCGTAACGGCCGAACTCTTGCTGGGCTCGATTGAATAGCTTGTCACGGAAACCGCCGCCTCGGCCTTCACCACGGCCGAACAAGCCACGTTCGCCTTCTTCGCCTTCGTCATCGCCACCGAATCCGCGCTCTCGTTCTGCTTCTTCGTCGAATCCTCGCTGTTGAGGTGGTGGAGGGTATGTACCGCCTTGTTGGGCGCCACTGCTGGTGTCTGGTAGCCTTGCATAACGCGTGTCTTTCTTGCTGTATTTCTCATCGTATATGAAGTTCCATCGCTGGCTGAAGTGCGTCCTCAAATCTTGCACAGCCGGGCCTGCGAACGAGAGCGACACATCGGACCAGCCCATGCGCGAGCTTTGCGTTCGATCGAGTTTGTTGTTTTCCCAATTAGGGACGTCCTGGAAGTCTAAAGGAAGGCTACGTTAGCTCTGGAGAATTTATCTGGAGATGAATCTGCTTACCCAAGATGCGAGCATTGTTGAAATCTTGTCCCGGGAAAACGATACGATCCAAGTTACCTGGGTGAGCATCGGCGATAGGATGCTGATTTGTATCCCATCGACCATAGCAGAGATCCAGTCCGCCCATAAACGCTATCTCACCGTCAATCAGACAAAGCTTTTCGTGATGCGCCCAGTATAATACAGTGCCGTCATGTGCGCCGTAGATCGCCTTCAGACTATCTCCGGGCATTTGTGCCAACTTAGCAGGACTAAAGGACATGTTCTGCAACGATTGAATGAAGGAGCCTCCAAGAACAGCTGCATCCGGCAAATGGTCTGGATGTCTAAAGACACCTATATTAGGGTGAAGGGCCTCCAAAGCATGCTTTGTATGAGCCGAAGAAACTGTGACAGGAGGTTTAATCAGCGGGTCCGTCTTTTCAATTTCTTCCAAAGATTTAAAGATGACATCGAGGCCAATTCTCGTAAGCCCTTTCGTGAAGGGGTCCGTGGACCTAGGGAGAAGAGAGTGTAGATAGTCGGGCAATGATGGATTTAGGTACTTACGAGTCAAGGCCTGAGTCACCTCCTTGTATACAATAATGTTGACTTTGACTCCACGCTGAGCGGCAGCTTGTAGCATGCGATCAATCCGATACTGTTGGTTCTTTGCTGGAGGACGTCGGAGGTACAGCTCTGGCGATAACCACCAGTCCAGAATCCAGATGGACTCTCGTGCGCGTTCGATAGCTAGAGATACGGCGTACATGTAACCTTGATCAAGTCAGGATAGCCAAGCGTGTGCTTTCGAAAGACATACCGCATCCATCAACGTACCTGACGGCGAAGATTAGCACGGTTGTCTCCTAACATGGGGGCTGGAAACTTACCACTTGATGTCGTTGCCCTGTCGCTCTGGCGCGAAGCTCAAGAAACGATGCTGGTTGTGGTATTCCTGGCCTGGCTGTACTTGGGAGTCTTGGTTGCTCTGTTGGCCATAGTTGCCCTGTGGAGGCCCGCCCTGTTGGTTTCCCACCGGGCGATCATCCTTGCCCGAAACCTTCTCCTTGATGTCCGATGCGACTTCGTGGATGGCGCTGTGCAGTTTATCGAAGAGACCGAGTCCACCAGCACCATGCGAACCTTGCTGTGTGTTCTACACCACGGTTAGCGAAAGCCAGAGCGATGTGGTTTGCGTGCAGCCACGGTAAGATGTAGCCCGTTGCCCAATTGACAGTCCGTCCTCAAGGCCAGTCGAGCGAGATTTGCTGTATCGAAAGTGCACTCACCTCCTTCTGGCCTCCGAATACGCGCCTGCCCATATCCCCAATGAAGCCACGGTCTCCCTCCTCGCCCTCCTGCAGCTGGCCATGGTGCTCCCCATACGCCAGGTCGTCGTCGCGGCGGTTGTAAGCCATGATTGCTGAAGCTCAGCTTCTGCAATGGCGATCCGAGAAGAAAGTGGATTTGAGTACTGGAGCTAAGGCGAGCTGAAGGAAGCTTGGGGTTGTCGGCGAAGATCCACCAAACCCCGCCTCGTCATCGTGCTTCAGCTTGGACAGGGGTTGTGATTCATGCAAACAGGAAATCTCACGTCGCAGACGAACGAAATTGTGCCAGGTTCTCGAGCCTATGGACGAGGGTTGAATCAGCCCCAGAGCCTGAGACAACGCAGGTATCGATCGCGATTTGTCGTGGCGGCACTTCGTGTACCGGTCGCTGTTGTTCTTCTTCGGGCCTGCCCCTCCAATTGCCCCGCTCCGCGCTGCCTCCACCACCGTGATGTCCACAACATTGTCTGGACGGCCTCGCGCGCCACGTCAATCTCGACCTTGCAGCATCAGATTCGAGCTGCAGACGCACATTGCGGGGCAAATTACCTTAGCATTCGCAGCGTTTCGGTTGGTCCTGGTTGTTTTGCTCGCTGGCAAGCCCACTGCCGACCTACATCTTGACACAAGAGACCAGCATCAGCGCCGCGGATACCAATCGAGCTACAATCACAAGGAAATCACAAGGGTCCAAGTCTAGGGCAGATAACGTGCCGCTGCGTATGCACAGGGGCTATTGATCGGTGACGTATGCGAAAACCAGCATGCACAGTATGACAGGCCCATTACAAAGGTTGCTGCTGGATATATTCGGATCTCATTCGGCCATCCCCGCTTCTACACACCACCCCTCTGCATCTACCACTCCTACAGCTATATAACTGCCGTCGCTGCATTAATCATCATGGCATCTATTCCTCGCCTTGCTCTCTCCACCCGATTCGCGCCTCGTGCCATTGCACCCATCACCTCAGCTTTCGTACGACCATCTGTAGCCTATACAGTTTCTCGACACTTCCAATCTACCAGAATGGCCAGCCACCCAATTGCGACGCTTGACGTACGTACTGAGAAATACCTCTCGTCAAAATCTATCACGCATTGTTCTACCACAAAGCTGTGCTTCTAAGCCTTTGTCTAAATCCTGTACGAGTCGTGGCTCGAGATTAAGCTCATCATGGCAGGCCTCGCTCATCCCCCGCCTTCCCGCATCATCTCCTACACTCTTCGAAGCCAAGAAGCAGAAGAACCTATCCTTCGAGGCGATTGCAAAGGAGTTGGGCCGCGATGAAGTCGCCATTGCCGCGCTTTTTTACGGCCAGGCCATGGCTTCGACCGAAGATATCAAGAAGCTCTCGCAGATCCTCGAAATTCCCCACGAGACGCTTGAGACACAGCTTGCCGGTTTCCCTGACCGCGGCAGGACAATGGAGATGCCGCCCAAGGAGCCATTGATCTACCGTCTCTTTGAGGTCATCCAGAACTACGGATATGCTTACAAAGCAGTGCTCAACGAAAAGTTTGGCGATGGAATCATGTCTGCTATCAGTTTCTCGACAAAGATTGAGAAGGAGACGGATGAGAAGGGCGAATGGGCTGTGATCACTCTAAGGGGCAAATGGTGAGTGACCTCTGTTGCTGAAGCGCAAACAAATGTGCCATCCGGTAGCGGAATTCGGCAGGCGCTAGGCCTCGAGAAAGATTCAATCGCTAATATTACAATAGGCTACCTTACTCCCGATTCTAGATCATTGCATTGCATTTAAGTATGACCATGTATATCAATAAATATCATTCCAAGACTTCCTGCCTCACTAGTACAGAAGTTTGAGCATGGCGTGTTACCTGGGCGAGCAACACATCGACCGCTTGCACTGAGACTTTTGTCCCGGTATCTTTGTCAATTGATGTATGATTACGACAGCCATCGCGCGCGCGACTGGGTGCTTTCCTTTTGTTTGCACTTCCTTCCCTCTTGGTGCGACACGCGCTTGCCCTACTTGCCTTGGGCTCACCCATTCCAGCTTCACTCACACCATCGAAGCGCATTATTGGAGCCTCTCACCATCTTAGAAACGCCCACCATCTTTCTTTTATCTCCATTGTTGATTGACACTCTCCTTCACCTAGGCCCTGCACCCCTAGACTCCAAAAGCCCGCTACTCTCCAGTCTCCTCTTCTTCAGCCCAGATCTACTCCCGACTGTCCATCGGCCTCCTTCAGCTCGAAGTGACCCTTGATCGACCCACAATCGCTTTGGGCTCCGGCGACACCGTTCGTCATGCCTGCCACACTCGAGCCGATCAAAGCCTTCAAGTGCACCTTCGCTGGGTGCGCGGCGAGCTTCGACATGGAGAAGCAGCTCATCAGCCATAAGAAGAACGATGACGAGCATGACTATTGCTCGAACTGCGATCTTGACTTCGAGTCCTACGAGGACCTGGCCCGCCACAAGGCCTTCACACCGGACAAACATGGCAAGGCCTGCCGCATCTGCGGCGAAGAATTCAAGAGTGAATCGGGTCTCAAGCGACACACTGAGTTGGTTTGTTATCAGAGACATAATGAAGACTGCCATAACCCATGCTGATCATGTTCGAAGTCCCACAAAGTGAAGCAGAAGTTACCCTGTATCGGATGTGGCGAGGCCTTCCCTGCTCCTGCGCTCCTAATCGAGCACCTCGAATTCGTGAGTTTAATCCGCCGTCACTGTCAGCCCCATCCTAACCGCTGGTTTTCAACTAGGGACACTGTGATGTGATCTCAGGCCAAGCCTTTATGGGTCACGTAGTTCACGGTCATTTGGTCGCCAAACTTCTCGCAGGCGGTGAAGCACATACGCGCTTTATGCAGAAGATTAGCCAGTACGACGCTTCCCTAGATCAGGAGGAAGAAGGCGGCGTTGGCATCGAGAACGTTCTTGAAGACGACCACGAAGACGCAAAAGCGGTCAACCACCCCGCCATCCAGCCTGAGTGCAGCAAAGATGAAGTTGCTCATGCCGAGTCGTGGCCTGCTCTGTCTGCCCAAGGTAGCACTGCTATCCGATCATCCACTGTGACTTCAGCCATGGGCCGTATGTCATTAGGAAGTCTCGACGCCGGCTCAGGTATTCATACGATGCAAAATCCAACGGCACCGACACAGAACTCCAGACAGTATGTCCTACCACCATCTTATGCTGTGATAATTGTGCCCGATTTGCCTTGAAGGTTCTCAAGGCGAAGCCTGCATCGTCGGCCTGATCCCCCATCTAAAAATTATACTGACGTTTCACAGTCAAGCAAAAGCATGGGGCGGACGTTCGGCCAAGGAGTTGTTCCCGCAAGCGAAGCCCACACCGGCCCCAGAGAAGGAGTTTAGTATTGAGGCCGTCGATGAGAAGATGGAGCACGACCACGGCGGCAACATATTCAACACCAGGTTCTGGGATCCGCTGGCGAAGGAGTGGGATCCCAAGAGGTTCTACAACGGCATGATTGAAAAGTACTTCTGCCCATTCATGTGCGAGTGAGTTTTATCAGCCCCCTTCATGATTGATCCGAAGCTAACAGGAAATCTCTAGACAGTGTTTCGTCGACACCGCAGAGCTACGCGACCACATCGTCGTAGACCACCGCTTGTCTCGGGCCAAATGCCCGTATTGCTTGAAGTACTTCGACAGTATCACTGCGCTCATGTGTCACTGCCAGTCGCGCGGCAGCAAGTGCCAAGTCAACAAGGCTGATGACTTTGGCAAGTTCCTCAACCGCCTTACTGGCGGTTTCCTCAGCGTGCAAGAGAAAATCCGTCCCGACTTCATCCAGAACGAGACGGTCATGGTCTATAATTCAGAGGCACGCGAGATGGAGAAGTACACCCCACCGACAGTCAAGTATCTGGAGTACACATCATCCAAGCCGATGGATTGGCGCAAACCTACCAAGGTCGCTGCACAGATTGGCGGTGGCAGTACGTCGGGTAGCTTCAACTACAAGAACCAGCAAGCCCGTTGGTAGGCGAGGATATGGAATCGGGATTTAAAGGTTAAGGCGTTCGGGCAAATGTGCGTTTTAAGAGACTGTTCCTCTTGAGTCTGATGGGAGCACCAAGTAGTGCCAATGCTCTCTTCCACCACATTGCAACATGCAGCTCCCCGTTGGAGATACAGCATGGGGCACATGTGAAGTAAGGTATCTTGATAAAAGTTTCATCTGTCATCTCAGATAGCAGCGTCAGTCTCAAGTGCGCTTCATACAGTCAGGCCAGGTGTTGTGATGACTTCCGTGCCCAAAAAGGAAATGCACGATGGCGCCCGAGCGCGGCGCTTTTCCAAGGGTCCGACCTGTTCCGCGCCTTTGGATGGCAGAAATCTCCGAGCAGAAGCTTGGAGATGTAAAAGTGCCGCACGCTAGCATGTTGGACAGAGAACCCATTTTGGGCGTGAGTGGACGCTGAATGGACGGAGTTCGCTGCACCGTTGGCTGCTTTGAGATGCCCGAGGCTGCCAAATCTCCGGCGCACGACGTCTAAGACTTTTTTTTTTTTTGTGCGTCTGGGAATGCAATAGCTAGGAGAGGGGAACGGATGCATGTAGAATATTCTTGCACGATGGAGTGAGGCTGGTGTCTTGTGGAGTTGAGAACGTCAGCCATGTTGCGTACGAAGGGTCCACTTGGATAGCCAGCGCAGCTCCGCCACGCCACTTGCGCGCCACGGGCGACGGCTTGCACACATGCAAGCACAGTGTGGCCCAACGCCCAAGAAAAAGCCAATGCTCCGGAAGGCACGCCTACTCCTCGGCAGCGTGCAAAGGCTCCGGCTCACGAGGTGTCCCGACCCAGAAGGGCCAAAAGGTGGTCGAGTGCCGTCACTCAGCAGCCTTTGCCCCAGGATTATTTAAAGCAACAGGGCAGATCGGTCCGTTTCAGATGGAGCATCGGGCAGGGGTGAACGGAGAGGCGGAGTGGTGATTGGGCACGTAGGACAGGGTCGGGCGGTGCGTTGCGTAGCGTCAGGGCAACGTAGGCGGTGCGGGAGTCCTGGCGTATGCATGCTCGTGCTCGTCCAGCCTCTGCGGTGTGTATGCTGCGCAGCTGAAGGCTTGGTGCATGCTATATAGGCGCATGTGTCCTTGCCCTCGTTTGCGGCTCTTCTCTCGCTCCTGCGTCTGTCCAGGTCACCTGTTCCGTTGCGCGTCGCATTGTCGTTGCGCAAGCATCTTGCACCGCAGCGGCCCGTGATCGTCACCTTGCCCAGTGCAAACGACAAAAGCCAACTCCGGCCAGCTTCTTTCCGAGCGCTCACCACACCCTCCGTCGCGCCTTCTCTATCCGCCGCTCATCCTCGCGCCTGTTATAGGCTCGTCAGCAGCCGACTCCGGCCCGCCTCTGCAGGCTTCTGTACGAAATACATCCGTGCTGCTGTTCGTCGAGCGCCATCTGCGCCGGGCCCCTCTGCCGCCATGGCTTCCAACGACTACTACTCGTCCTTTCCAGGAGGCAACAACCCAGCCTCGCGCCCACAGCCGCCCCAACACACGCCCTCAGCGCAGTCGCTGCAGTCGATATCGCCCGTGACATCACCGTTTGACGACGCGAATCGCTACGACAACAACCCTCGCCACGACTACTCCTCGACCGCCCACCTCACACACACCCAGACTGGCGTTTCCTCGGCATACAGCGACACCGCTTACCACGGCAACGACCAGGCGCATCCTTACAACAATCGCTACGACTCGCCGCCTGCAGCCGCCCAGCACGACCCCTTTGCCGACCAGAACGCCATCCCGCTGCAACAGCACGGCAAGATGGGCGCACATCCCGCTGCGGCAGGCGTGTATCAGATGGACCCTGAGGGAAGACCAAGGGAGAAGCGAAAGAAGAAGAAGGGGTGGTTCAGTGGGAGGGTCACCTGGGTCGTCTACATCCTCACCACCATACAAATCGGCGTGTTCATCGGGGAGATCATCAAGAATGGTACGTGCCAGATTTCTCCAACCCAAACAAGATATTTGGAGTATTGTATAGACTGCGAGGCGAGACAGCCTGCTAACACTCCCCAGGGGTCCTCACCGGCACTCCCATCCAGATCAAGCCCAACTTCAACATCATGATCGGCCCCTCGCCCTACGTCCTCATCAACATGGGCGCCCGCTACCAGCCCTGCATGCACTACGTCGAAGCCGTCCTCGACGGCAACATCTCTCTCTGGCCCTGCCCCAACACCACAACCTCCGACTCCACCTGCTCCCTCTCCGACCTCTGCGGCATGGGCGGCGTCCCGGACCAGCCCGTCGGCCTCAAATGGGAGGACCGCAAGACCAAGCCCGACCAGGAGCCCGATCAGTGGTGGCGCTTCATCACGCCCATCTTCCTGCACGCGGGGCTCATCCACATCGGCTTCAATATGCTGCTGCAGCTGACGCTCGGCCGCGACATGGAGAAGGAAATTGGGCCGCTGCGCTTCGCCTTGGTGTACTTTGCGTCGGGCATCTTCGGTTTCGTGCTGGGCGGCAACTACGCTGCTGAGGGCATATCCTCGGTCGGCGCGTCCGGCTCCCTCTTCGGCATCCTCGCTCTCGTCATGCTCGACTTGCTCTACAACTGGAGTACGCGCCGCTCCCCCGTAAAGGACCTCCTCTTCCTGCTCCTCGACATCGCAATCTCCTTCGTGCTGGGCTTGCTTCCTGGTCTCGACAACTTCAGCCACATCGGCGGCTTCCTGATGGGCTTTGTGCTCGGCATCTGCATCCTGCATTCCCCGCAGGCGCTCCGCCAGCGCATCGGCGTCGACGAGCCGCCGTACGCCCCGGCGAACCAGAATCCCGACTCCAGTTCCGCCCCGGGCTTGCAGAAATTCGTCAAGCAGCCGGTGGGTTTCTTCAAGGGGCGCAAGCCGTTCTGGTGGGCATGGTGGCTCGTCCGCGCGGCGCTGCTCGTGGTCGTGTTCGTCGGGTTTATCCTGCTGCTGAGGAACTTTTACGAGTGGCGGAATGGTTGTAGTTGGTGTCATCATTTGACGTGTTTGGTGAGTTTTGTTCTGCCTACTTCTTGAGATAGAAGGACAAGTGCTAACGTGACACAGCCCATCAAGACAGGAAACACAACCTGGTGCGACATTGGCAACATCAAGCCCACGACGGCTGCGGCCAGCCAGCCGACGGCTACCTCGGCGCCGGTGAGATTGTTGTTTTAGCGCCCTATCCTATTATATCCTACACAGACGTGCAGTGAGCGGTGGACACACCAAGTGCAGCGCAAAGTGCCCATCAGAGTAATGTTTTGTACCACCATACTATACCAGTCCTCGGACTTTTTTTCTTTTCTTTTGGAATTTGAAAGCAGGGCAGGCGGCGGAGATACCACTCAGCATGATTGCCCCGGCGCTGGGGAGGGCGTTTTATCATTCACTTGGATTGTAAGGACTAGATAGGACAAGACCAGCATTGGGAGGAAACTAGGATAATGAATGAACACGATGAGAAGACGGTCGAACAGACCTGCATCGCTTTGTCAGCTCTGCCTCGGGCGTAACCAGGGTGCGTACGTGCTTGGCTTGGAAGTGAAATGTGGCATTGGCATTGGCATTGCATCGTCCATCCATTCACACTGCTGTTCTATGCTATGTGATATATACCCGCGCCCACCTCAGGTCAACCTGCCTCACATCGGGCGCTGACTCACCCAACCGCACCGCCACGCGCGGATTCTTTTCTCCTGGGCCTAATCAGAGGCCCAGCGCCGCTCATGCTCGTTGTTGCTAGACTACGGTCTCGCACGCGCATACACGCGCAGCCCGCGCGCGCGTCACAAGCCCAACGGCTGGCACGTACGTCTGCGACACGCGGGCTGTATCAATGTGCAGAAGCTGCCCCGCAGACACCCGTCTACTCGTTCTCCTCGCCCTCGAGCAGCGTGTACTCGAGGATATCGCTCAGCGTCAGCACGCCCTTGAGCTTGTTGTCGTCGTCGATGACGATGAAGCGGTGCACGCGGCTGCGGCGGATTGTGTCGTAGATGGTGCTCAGCTGGTCCTGCATCGAGCACGTGTAGATGCCGGGGAAGTCCTGTTTTATGATGGGTTAGCTACGCGGAAAAAGTCGAGGCTGCGAGGGACTGGAGTGGGAGGGGGCAGAACGGACCTCTGAGCGTTTGAGCAGGGCGTCGCCGACGGTGAGGTTGAGGTCGTCGTAGATGCCGCCTTTGATGAGGGTGATGACGTCGACGGATTCGAAGACGTTGAGGACGGTGCCTGATGGGGTCAGTCTTTGCGTGTTTGCTCCATGTGGCGGGAGAGCTACCTTGCTTGTCGATGATGGGCACGCTCGAGATGCTCTTCTTCACCAGCATGTGTATGACGTCCATGACGGGCGTGTCCATGTACGCAGTCGCCAGGTTGTCGTACGTGCCGACCTTGACCAGCTCCTTCAGCGGCTTGCGCAGCTTCTGCGTCTCTTTGACATTGACGGCCACGAACTTGAGCAGGCGGTACTGCGTGATGACGCTGACGACTGTGGTGCGGCGCGTCTCGTCGTCGATGTCAACAATGGGGATGCGGCGGGCGCGGGCTTCGAGCATCTTGCGGCATGCCTCGTAGAGCGGGCGTTCAGGGTGGATGGAGACGGTTTCTATGGGCGTGACGCCGAGGGATTTCTCGATGTCTTGAGGGCTTAGTCGCTGTGGTGAGAGCGCATGTGGGGAGCTTACCACGCAGGCTGTTCAGACGGAACTGGTCGACTCTGGCGAGGGCGTCGGGGTTTTGCCAGTAGTACTGGATCACGTTGAGGTAGTCGGAGGTAGTGAGCAGGCCGGCGAAGGTCGACGTCTTGGAGTCCCACAGCGGGGCAGAAACGATGCCTGGTCCTGCCGTTAGCATGTCGTGCGCTCGCTGGATGCCTGCGGCGCAGCCCACCGTTCTGTATGAGGATGTTCAGGCTCTTCTTAACGAGCAGCGCCGTGTCTAACACGATCAAGCGGTAGCTGAGCGGCAGCACGTCGTAGCTGGTCCGCACCTTGAGAAAGGCGCGGATGGTCCTCTGTCTCGCAATTAGCCCAGGCCAGCACCAGCGTCGCCCGCGCGCGTACCAGGCCATCGAGCTGCTCCTTGTCCACGGCCGTCAGCGCCCGCGGCGGCAGGACGGGGCGCCCCTGCTCGAGGAAGTCGCGCGGCGTGACAAAAGTAGGCCGTTCGTGGGGTTGCAGCACGTCATTGGCGGCAGAGGGCGGGTTCGGAGGTGCGGACGTCGCTGAGTCGGCCGTGTCTGCACCAGACATCGTGACTCCGGAGCTCCCGTGGACGGAGCCGCATGGAGGAGAGGTGAGGCACGCGTGGAGAAGCTGCAAGGAACTGCGCGAGCCGAATAGCGGGTCGGGCAGAGTTGTGCGCTGGTAGTGTTGTTTGATGTCCCGCGCGGCTGCACTGTCGGGCCTTCGAGCTTCTTAGCGCGGGGCTCCTCAACCGTGCCTCTGGCATCGCGGGCCCTGGCCCCGAGGGGCTTCACAACCGGAGAACGCCGCGAGTCATGCCGCCGTGACCTCGCCGCTGGGCGCAGGACGGCAGCAGGCACCCAGGCGCGTCTGGCTTTTCTTTGGCTGCGCTTTGCATCCGAAATGGTAGATTTCCTGGCACGGAAGCCAGGCTACATGGTACAGCTAACGAGGTGCAGGGAATCGACGCATGGAAAGGAAACCGCACCGACACCGCAACGTGCAACCCAAAGCATGGCCGCTGCCTGCCACCCGCAATCGCGAACCACCTGCCTCTTCTCAACTTGGCAGGCTTCTCTATCATCGTAACGTACATGCCCCCGCAGTCTGAATCTTGCTATCATCCAGGGTTTTTCCGCGCAGCCTTCACCGCGTCCGCGTTCAGTTCCGGACCATTCTCCTCCTGTCCGGCTTCCTCCTCGTGAATTATCTCCTGTGCAACACGCTCAACCGGCACATCGGGCTCTCCTACTTCCTTCTTGGCTTGTGCCACAATGGCATCTGCTTCGCTGATGCCTGGCTTCGTGCCAGGCGTGTCTCTATCCACGCCAAGTTGAGCCTCGGTCTTGCGCTGCTTCAGGGCCTTGTTGTCGAAGCGAACCACCATGCATGACAGATTGTCCGTGGAGAACCGTGCAAGAGCGTGTTCTACCAAGGTTTTCGAGGCTACCTGCGGGTCGTGGATACCGCGGACAAGGTCGACAGCTTCTTGGTCGGAGCACACATCCCAGAGCTATTCATTGTTAGTTGTGATGCACTCCAAGCACACTAAAACTTACTCCATCACAAGCGAGGATCAAGAATTCGTCCTGATCAGCCTGGATCACCGTCTCTGTGGTGTAAGGGTGTCCAGTGACCAGATCCTTCATGTATGCATCTCCCAATGCTCGCGTGACCGCCAGAACTCCATTGACGCGGTTGTTGAGTATCAGACCACCAGCACTGGCAACACGGCGGCCTTCGTTATCGTCGCTGCCCTTGTGATCGTAAGACAACCGGAGAGCCCTTCCGTTGCGGCACAGCACTATTCTGGCGTCGCCTACATTTGCCGTGTAGAGGACTCTCTGGCGACTAGCATCGTTCCGCAACTTGGCTTCTATCAGATGTTCCTGGGCACCTTCTGCTGTCGAAGTGGATTCAGCCGTACTGGTCGACTCTGATTGCTTGTCACCCGCCTCGGCCACACCCTTTACAGCTGCAGCTGAGAACAAGGTGGAACCGGTAGACGAAGCCTGATTCGGCACACGGTCCTCCCATCTCAGCACTGCTATCACGGCAGTGCACCCGCTGTTCTTCAACGGCAGCTTCTCCAATTGCTGGTCCACGAGCGTGAACGTTTGGTCTAGAAGCTCCGGTATGGGCGTATTCGGATTTCTTCGAATAGTCTCTTCAAGTAGCAGGTGTAGTTTTTTGCCGCACCAGTCTGCGGCGAAGGTTCCGGCATGTCCGTCGAAGATGGCGAAATATCCATTGTCAGTCTCCACAACCTGTTGGTCTGTAGAGCTAGACCCATCCGAAAGCGAACCGCGGCTCTTCTCCGGGTTGTAGTTTGGGGCTGGCGTGCTAAGGAAGTTGTAAAGGTACGCATGCGTATCCTCCATGGTCCTCCTGCATTTCTTGTTCTTATCCTCCGTCACACCAACGCGGAAAGTGGAGTGCGGTCCTGGATGCGATTCGCCGGCTGAGTTGTTCAATGACCCTTGGGGCACACTCAGCGCAGGGTCGGCCTTTCCGAGCTTCTGCATAGGCGTCTGCACGGTCTTCTCCACGGCACCCGTGCCAGACGTAGGCGACGATCCAAGGTGGAGAGACTGTTTTGCACTCGAAAACATGTCTCGTGCACGCGACGCGGTGCTACTCCTCCGCTTCTTTTCGGAGATGGTGCTGGGTTCGGTGGCTTTGCGCTCTACAGGTTGCGCATTACTGTGGCGCTTCTCAGCGTCGGTGGAATTTGAAGCCCTGAGTGCGTCCGAGCCCGCAGAGATGTCTATTGTAGCTTCATCATCTTTGCCAGGTGATGTGCCAAACATTCTGTTTAACAGTCCTCCCGAGTTGGAGAAACTCCGACGCTTATTTCCAGCCAGTTTGAGGGGTTTGCGAAGACACTCGCTCGTTGCGCGGGGTAGGGCGACGGGTGCGGCTGCGACAAGCAGGCAACGAAGAGGAGCGACGCGTCGTGTGTAGTGACGACAGCTGCTGTACGTAGAACATATATTAGCATATCTGCGCAGAAGTGACTACAAGCGGGCAGTTTTATTGGGAGAGGGCGGGCACGTTTGGCCGCTTGCTGCGCGGAGCTGCTTACGTTGCCGGCCTGTCCGAGTCGCAAACGTACCGGAGGAAGGGACTTCGTGCGATGTAGCGTGCCCGAGGTAGGGGGGTTAGTAGTGATATGAGGGCAGGTAGGTCGGGCAGGGGAGGGTAGAGGGGAGCAAGTGGTAGGCGAAGTGGTGAAAGACGCAGTTCACTTAGGCGCTGGGCTAGAGCGAATGACGTCGGGAAACGGGTTCGTGGGAATCGACGTGCGTTCGCAATGAGGATAGGCAGAGGCGCAAAAAGACTGGGCAACACAACTTGGAGTGGGCCTGCAGCCTATTTAGGGCCGAGGTGCACGGCGTCCATAATAATGTTCACCCGTCCAGCGCACGCGGCTTGCTTCTCAAGTGCGGGGATGCAGCTGTAGCAGCCCTACTTCACCACCAGTTCCCCGCTTGATTGCACAAACATCCCGCCTGGACGTGGCTCAGCCACCGCGGCCCAAGCCGCGACCAGCCGGTTTGTCTCAGCGTGTCCTCACCTCGTTCACGCACAAAACTTGTTCAAATGAACACAGCCCTGTAACGCACCAGAGGAGAAGCTATTCTTGGATAAGGAATGCGCTTGTCCAGTGATCGACAAGATCTTGACCAAGTGCATGGGTTAAGTGGGGCAGATGCAAACACGGATAGGGATTTTTCAATGGTGCCGTGTGTTTGTGGTTGTACGCCCCCGAGCATGATATGTTTATCTGGGTTGCGTCTCCTATCCACTGCATAGGGTGACGATTTCACGTAGAATGCAACAAGCACCCCCCCACCCACCCCGCCCGGTCGTAAACTGTCCGTCATGCACTATGCCCACCCAAGAACTCCACATGACCAGCAAATGATAGCCCCTTCCATCCCGCAACGCCGTCGCATTGTAATTGAATCTGTAGCAGCTTCACCGTCTCAAGCTGTCCAGCCGAGCTTGCAGGTCATCATCACCGGGATCCGCTCCACCACCGACAGCCTGTGCTACGCGTTTGTCCGCTACTGCAGACTTCTGGATGTCGTTCGGAGTCTCTCCAAGCTGCAATGCCGTTAATATCAAGAACCAGTGCAGATATGGGTCACACTCACAGCCTGGCCGAGATCGATGCCCAGCTCGTCCATGACCTGGTTGACCACATCCTCACTCTCCTCCTCATCCTCTACGCCCATGGCATCGTCGACGGCATCGTCCATCATTTCTTGCCGCTGATCCATCATGTCATTCTCTTTCTCAAACTCCATGGCGATGCGCTGTAGTGCTGGGAGGTTCATCTGCCGGTTCATAGTTCCGAGTATTTCTGCACATGGTCAGCAAGTACCTTCGTAGCGAGAACACAGAAGTGCTTACTTGTGGCTCCCTTCATCGACTGCATCATTTGCTCGTTGCTGCGGACCGTCTACGGAGAGTTAGTGCCAATGTCTACTGTAGTATTCAGCCGACTCACCTGTATCCGCAAGGATATGGCCTGAAGCTGGGTGCGCATCTGGTAGAACTTCTGAATGTATCTAAACAGAGGTGTCAGTACCATGTCTGCCCAAACACCGCGTTGACGCACCTCCTGGTCCGCACAAGGTCCTTCGCCTGTATCTTGACTACATTCATTTGTCCGGCCTTTGCACTCTTCTTGATATCATTTTCCAGCTTCTTCGATTGGTTCTCGAGCTTCACGCGTTCGCGGTCGAGCTCTCGTTGCGTCTTCTCGAGGGCGCGCTGGTGCTTGCGCAGACGCTCGGCGGGCGTCATGCGCTTGCCAAAGGCCCATTCCACGATCTGTGCGGGCATTAGCAGCTTGTAATGCGCTTGTATAAAAGTACCTACGTTCATAGTGAGCGAAAGGGCAAGACTTCGGGGGTTGTATGGTGTGTTCAAGCGGCGGGCGTTGTGTTCAAGATGGTGCCTGTTACGTCGGCGGTCGGCCCTAGCTTCGGCAGCGACCTTGGTACTACAAGTCTACTGCACTTGGGCAACTAGTTTCAGTGCAACAAAACAATAGGTGATAGCGGATAGTGGGTCGACTGTTGGCTCGGGAGTGTTCGCATGGCCGGTTAATTTATCCGACGTAGTGAAAACAGTGGGTTGAAGTGCAGGGGCATGAATGCTTGCTTCACGTGCGCTTGGCGCGCCGAAGATTTGGCCTCCCGCTTTCCATGGCGTTACGACATTCCTCATCCTCACCAGACTTACACCCTCGACCCCGAATAACTCGATAATCGCGAAATGGTATCAGCCTTCTCAAGCCGCCACACCACGTAATTCCCATGAATCCTGATAAGCAACCCGAAAAAGCCTCGACCCCTGGGGAATCGTCATCCTCCGGTGGCGGTCGCGACAATGGCCCGCCTCCGGGCTACATGACGGTGGGTTCTGGGTCGACCCCCGAGGCGGCTGCGCGCCTGATCTCAATGCTCGATCAAGACTCGGGCTATGGTGGGAGCATGGCGGACGGAGAAGCTGGTCGCTGGCACGGAGGCATTGGCGAAGACAGACCGAGCGCACCACCCACACCCATCCCTGGCAGCAGCACCACATCCTCCGAGCAGGACAGGCAGCGCAGCCATGTGCTTCAGCTGCGCTACAACCAGAACAAAAACGCACTTGGCCGGGCTATACATGGGACTATCGACATACTGAAGGGCTTTCAAGAAGAAAACCTCAAATGGCCTGCGCATTACCCTACCATACCCGCCGAGTCAAAGCCGGCTGCCCACGTCCGGTCGCAATCCAGGCCTGGTCTAGCACACACTCAGTCTGCGATAGGCGACTTCCAGCCACCCCGATCTCCCGAGCGTCCGCGAGGTCCGCGCCGTGCGGGCACCTCTTTAGGGTCCGACTTTGAGGCAGAGTCCAGCGCTGCCGCGGAGAGAGAACAGAAGCCCGAGCCCCGCCTCATCACACCACAGCTTGCACACGATTTCTCTGTGCTGAAGCTTGAGCTCCGCATGGGCGGACGGACACAGACGGATCTTGTGCACTCGTTGGAGAAAGGATCGATTGCTTCCTTGCTCGACGGCCAAATACAGCAGAGTGTTCGACACCTGTACGCTATAAAAGAGAGGATTGAGGACACATCAAGTAAGGTCCTTGTCACTGGTGATCTCAACGCGGGAAAGTCAACCTTTTGCAACGCGTTACTCCGAAGGAAGGTCCTACCGGAAGACCAACAGCCATGTACCAGCATTTTCTGCGAGGTTTTGGATTTCCGGGAGAATGGCGGCGTTGAAGAAGTCCATGCCGTGCCTCAAGGCTCCATATATAATCGTCACGACGAAAGCACCTATACCGTGTTTGCGCTCTCTGACCTAGAGAAGATCGTCATAGACAACGAACGATTCTCACAGTGCAAGGTCTACGTTCAAGACATCCGCTCCGTGGACGAGTCATTGCTGAACAACGGCGTGGTCGACATTGCACTCATCGATGCGCCTGGTCTCAACTCGGACTCCGTCAAGACTACCGCGGTTTTTGCTCGCCAAGAAGAGATCGATGTAGTAGTATTTGTTGTTTCCGCCGCCAACCATTTCACCGAGTCGGCCAAGAACTTCATCTTCACTGCCGCGCGTGAGAAGGCCTACATTTTCATGGTCGTCAATGGATTCGACGTCATTCGTGACCAGCAGCGATGCAAAGAAATGATCCTTAAGCAGGTTCACGGCCTGAGTCCGGCAACATTCAAGGAATCTAGCGAACTAGTGCATTTCGTGTCCAGCAACGCTATTCCAATGGCTCACTCTCCCGGCGATGATGGTGACGACGACCCCTCGGACAAAGGGAAAGGGAAAGAGCCCGAGAAAGAGAGGGACTTTGGCGACCTGGAGACTTCGTTACGACGCTTCGTTCTCGAGAAGCGAGCCCGATCGAAGTTGGCGCCTGCGAAGACATATCTCTTGAATGTCCTTGGTGACGTTCACAACCTGGCCACTGTGAACCGGGACGTTGCCCAGTCAGAACTTGAGCGCGTAAAGAAGGAATTGGACGCGTTGGAGCCCGAGTTCGAAGAATCTAAAAAATCGCGAACAGAGGCTGGAGAGGCCGTAGATCGACTAGTTGAAGACACAACCTCAGAAGTTTACGGACATACTCGAGACACACTCAACGACTGCATAGCAAAGGTGGGAGAGCAAGATTTGGGCATCGAATATCCAGGCCTGCTGTCTGCCTATCAGTATGCGGAAGACATTCGCGACTCAATGTTGCATGAGATCACGGAAAGCGTACGTTTATGCGAAGAGAACGCTCGTACGCAAGCTGCTCAAGGCTACAATGGCATCAAGAATCTGGGTATACTGCACCTCGGTAACATGCATACCGATGTCATGTTCCGGCCAGACAGGATGTACAGGAAATCAGTCCATGCACTTGCTCGCCAGGTCGACATCGACATTGAGGTGTGGGACTTCTTCGACGTTGTCAGCTTGTGGGAGCGACAAGAGAAGGTTGCAGGAACAGGCATGGCTGTCACCGTAGCGGGCGTAGTAGGCGGCCGCTTGGTAGGCGGTGTTGGCTGGCTTGATGGAGCCTTGGGCGCAGCGAAGATCGTTGGCTCGAACAACCTTCGGAGACTAATCATCCCTGGTCTCATTGCGGGTGGTAAGTACAAATATCTATACATCCTAGCATCACTCCACGCGCTATCAGTAGCTAACTCACATTGCAGTCGCCATCGGAATCTCATACGTCTTGGCATCCGTGCCTAAGTCCCTGCCGCATCGCCTGAGTGCGAAGCTTTCGGCTCAGCTAGCAGCCATCGACTACACGCACTCCAATGCCCTTCGAATCAGTTCCGAGGTCCGCCGTGCGCTCAAAGGCCCTGCGAAGGACGTCCAAATCGGCCTCCAGCGCAACGTAGAAAAGCTCCAGCTCAAGAGGGAGCAAAACGACAAGCTCCGAGCCGAAGCTTCGGAGGCCAAGAAGTACTTCTCCAACCTCTTCCGCACTTCCAGCGAGCTTCGCCAGAACGTTCAGCGTATCGATTTGGAGGCTGCGCCACCAGCGGCTGTCAGCGCTTTGCTTTGATTAAAGAACAAACGTCCGATAGGCATAGTGAGCTGTAAGTTGTATGAACTAAAGATTCATGGTTTCTTGGTGTCCTGACGGGTTCGTGGTTGGCGCGAGGTCGTTCTGTGGGTGGCGTTTCGATGGCGGGCATGAAACGATGTAATTGGGAAGGACTCTTTTCTCTGTACAAATGTTTTTTTTAATCAATACCCCCTTGCTCTTTGTAGAAATGCCAATCGTTACAAAGTACTGTCTTACTTTAAGATGCTCTCATGCCGTTGCATGCATTGACAATGAACCTTCCAAACACGTATCCTAGGGGTGCTTGCGTAGAGTGAATGGTTTTATGGCTCGATGTCTGTGCTCGCTCTCCCACGGCCTCTGAGTAACGTCGTCCGTTGTAACATTGTCCGATCGTGTACTTATCTGCTGATACACCAGTGCCAAGCCAATGCACGTGGCTGCGGACCACCGAGGCGGGAGCGTCATCCGAGTGCCCCAGCTTAGGCACCGCCTCTACATAGCAGAGCTGCAGCCCCTCGATGGCTTTCGCAACCTCGCAACCACCCTGATGGAAGTCCGCCGGGACCCGCGCCAGTTCCTGTTCTTCATCATTCTCATCCTCCTCATAAACTCGCCCGAGCCGCAGAACCCTGGCTTCAACACGCGATCGCGCTACGACGAGGTCATCGAACGCGAGTGGGAACAGCTCGACATCCTGAACAGCACCAGATGGGGCGATTTTGACGCAAAGGAAAATAAGTGGCTGAACATCACGGGGCTGAGGGAGCAGGATGCGTTCACGTGGGATGTGCTGGGAGACGTTAAGAGCAGGGCACGCGAGAGGATGAAGGGGGTGCTGGGGGAGAGGGCGCAGGGCTGGTTAGACGGGAAGCATGACGATGCACGCAAAGAGACGGTGTACAGGAACATATCGGGATTCGTACAGGGTGAATGGGTCCGGAGCCCGTTGAGTCGGACGCGGCCTGCGCTCGACCTGTTGAATGCAACCGGCCACATACACGAGTTTGCGCAGCTTGGTGACTTCGACAGGAATCTCACAGGATCACATGGCATGGTGAGGTTGCATCTTACAGAGGTGGACGGTCGACAGCGGACAGATGAGAACCGGACCATGAGTGAGCTCAAGGCAAAGGTGGTCATCGGGGATGCCGAGAGTTGGGGCGATAACTGGTGGGAATTCAACCTCAACGGGGTACACTTCCCAGAGTTTGGAGGCGCTGTGCTGACCACAACGAGCGAACGGTAAGCTTGCGTTGTCGCGTTTACCGGTATTGTCTCCCGCTGACCATCTTAGATTCTCCGGTATTTTCGCGCTGCCTCACTTACAACTCTCCCCACACCTCTACTTGAGTTCCCAAGAACTTCTTAATCAGACTATACACCAGACGATACAGAACCAGCTGGACCGACCGTTTCCCGTTTGGAACCCCTGGTCATCTGCCGTAGAAGGCGCTGCCGAGGGGGTCATGGCTACGACCCATTGCGAATTCATACTCTTCCTCCAAGAAGCCCATGTACAGCTGCTCGATCGACATGGCCAGTCCGCTAAGCAGCCCGACCTCGACTGGCTTGAGCATGAGATTAGATTTCCCACTGGAGCAAATGTTCCTCTACATTCCCAGATGAGCATGGACATGGTCGGCTTCTCTCCTGATTGCGGCTTCGTCATTGAGTCTAAAGGTCCTCCGGACTTCCCACCTTCTGAAGCCATGCATCTAGTTGGTTTGAAGACTGAAGAGTTTAATGATGATGCCAAACGAAGCATCCTTGCTTTCGCTGTCACCCTGGCCTTCCAGCTGATGTTCATTATTAGACAAGCGAAGGAAGCCGCAACACCGTCCACTCGGAACCGGATCAGCTTCTATACCATCGCCATGATGGCTTTGGGAGACGGCTTCATGTTCCTTGCCCTCGTGTTTCTGCACTTGTTCCTGGGTACATCGCAATTGCAACTGTTCACAATTGCGTTCCTAGCGTTGTTTTCGGTTGTGTTGGAGCTCCGTTTCTTGATGGACATCTGGACGGTTCAGGTCACTGAGCAGATGCGTCAAGACCGCCAACAAGCATCCACAACACCGCCCAGTCCTCAGCCTCCATCAACACCAAATCCTGCGCCAGCCCCGCTTCGCGCACCACCTCCACCACAAAGCGATACCCTCCCCGCCCCTGCCACAGTCACTCAACCACAATCGACCCCAACTCCTGCACCCCCACCACCACCTATTATCATCGCCCCAGATCAAGACGACCCAGCGGACAACGAGCCACTCCTACCGACCACCAATATCCCCGCCGCAACCACTCCCGCCGAAACCTCGCCCCGAGCCGAACTCGGCGCCCTCTACAGCCGCTACTGCTTCCTCCTTATTGTCACGTTCTTCATCACCCTCCAATTCACCACCATGCGCTCCACCGCGCGCGCCTTCTACTTCAACACCCTCTCCTTCCTCTACCTCTCGTTCTGGCTGCCCCAGATCTACCGCAACATCATGCGCAACTGCCGCAAGGCGCTGCGCTGGGACTTTGTGTTGGGCCAGTCCGCCGTGCGCCTCGTTCCCATCGCATATTTCTATGCTGTCGAGAGTAACGTGCTGTTCAGCCGGACCGATCTGCAGGGCCTCGCGGTGCTGGCCGGCTGGGTATGGGTCCAGATTGTCGTCCTGGCTGCGCAGGAGGTGCTGGGGAGTCGCTTCTTCGTGAGAGAGGGGTGGGCGCCCCCGGCGTACGACTACCACCCTGTGCTCCGCGAGGACGAGGAGGGTGCGACTATGCCGATTGGCTCGTCTTCCTCTCCCTCCCCCATCTCCGCGTCTGAAGATCTTCAGCCCGGCGAGTCCCGCGGCAAGGGCAAGAAGGTCTTCGACTGCAGCATCTGCGCGACCGACCTCGAGGTCCCCGTGATCCCGGCGGGCGGCGGCGGCCCGGATGTGCAGGGCTTGGGCGGCCTGACGCTGCAGAGGCGTGCGTACATGGTTACGCCGTGCCGGCACATTTTTCACTCAGCGTGTCTGGAGGGGTGGATGCGGTATCGGCTTCAGTGCCCGAATTGCAGGGAGGTGCTGCCGCCGCTGTAGATAGATCTAGCGTAAGAGTGATGCATTTATGGAAGACAGTATCCATGACTTGGGGATCGTGCGTACGTGATGTGTTTGGTGTTCATCGTGGATAGTGCGGAAATGAACAGAGATATTTTTCGGGATACAAAGACGTGCCGTTACAAGGGGAGAGTTCGCAGTGAATTTTTTTTTTCCAAGCGGTCTCCACAACACAACCTCAAAATAATTCATCACCAGCACACAAAACACGGGTGAACAAGTGACATCTCCCGGATTAATACTACTGCTTTCATTGATTCATACAGTCATGAGCATGTTCACAACAAGAAAGCTTCACACAAAAGAACTCCCCCGCAGCCAAATAAAAGCACACCAGAGAGCAGCAGCGAACGCCTAGCAAAAAAAGCCCCCATATACACCGAGCTGCGACACGATAAACGCCCAAGATATAGCCGGCCGGGTGGCTGCACCGAACAGACGGTCAGACGGACGAAGAGGAGCGACGAGACAGGAGGACTTCGTGACAGCAGAAATGCGAGACCAGTGAACGCCAATTCGTGTGATGTTATGCCACGCCAGGACACCGTAGATGCATATGCACAAGCACGCGCATGTCATACTTTTCGAATGCGAAGAAGAAGTGGAGGATCGACGCGACTACGCGGGTTTCGCGCTGAGCGTGCGCGTCACGGAGCTCCCTACGCTGCCTACGCGGCCGCTGGTTTTCCGGACGCCATTTTTATTCTCGGCGCTGCGCCGTGACGGGCTGGCGCGCACTTTGCTGACACTGATGGCGCCGTGGCCGGCTCCGCTCTTTTCTCGTGACGGCGTCTTGGGGTGCGAGCCTGCGGGTGCGGTGTTCTCGGCATCGCTCTCCCCATATGATGTTGTCCATGTTGAAGTCATGGTCGTCTTGGTTGTCGTCATGCTGACTGCTCGTCGGTCGCGTTCTTTTGCGACGGGCGATCGCGATGCTGTCCTTCGTGCGATTTGGCGGAGGTGGAAGTCTTCATCGGATTCACCTTCAAATTGACTGATTTGAGTGATCCGCTCAGACCTGGTGAACGGCTCATTCTCATGGTTCCGAATTGGTGACCTGCCGGTACCACCACCGTACAACTTGCTGGTCTTTCGTGGTTGACCAGGTGTAGGCGCGGGAAGGTTGTCTTCTTGAACGCCTATTGAGTGACCGGCATTGCTGCGCTCGTTCGATTCGATCTCTCCAAGAGCAGCACGCTTCGAGGAGCCGTTGGGAGGAGTGAAGGTTTGACCGTTGCTAGCTAGTCGTTGCTTGTGCGGTGACCTCGTTGGCGTCGCAGGTATCTTCTCCGCATACCTCGCCTTCATTGTGTCCTCGTACCACCATTCCCGGAATGTGTTCTGGTTGAGGTGTAGCCAATGCTGCTGAGGACCAACAACCATTCCCGGCCGCATGAAACGCATGTAAGCAATGATCTCGTTAGCCGTGAACCCATGCCTGTAGATCAGGTATGCGCCGATCAGGCAGCCCGTACGCCCAAGACCAGCTTTGCAGTGGACAGCGATGCCCTTCTTCTTCACCGTGATCATTTCGTGCGCAAGGTCAATGAATTGCCGGACCAATGAGAGCGGAGGACATGTCCCGTCGTCGAAGATCATGTTCAGATGCTGAATGCCCAACTTGGTGAAATAGGTTGACGAGTAGAGCTCCGAGTTTAGGCGCACCACGAGGCCGATGTTCCTTGCGCAGAAGTGCGACAAAACATTCTTGAACGGCGTAGGTAGTCCGGATCGCTGAACTTCGGCAATGGTGGATGGCAGGGTAGAATACATGGGTGATGTTGTGGGGATCTCGTGCGTTGGCTGCACATTGGGCGATGCGAACGCCAAAAAATTGGGCGTCACCCAGTTGAAGTCACCCATGTCAACTCGTTCGTACTTTTCATATCTGGATTCATTAGCGACATGTTTGGTGAACAATCAGTATAACATACTCTTCGAGGCTGAAGTCCTTGAGCCCGCAAAGTCCTTCCTCCTTTGCTTTCCAGACACCGTAGATGATGTCTTGGATGTTCAGCACATAGTCAGCCTGGCTGTAGCCTGCGTCGCGGAACGGCATGCAGGGCGGGTCCATCTGTGCAATGGGCGCCAGAGCCAGATGAGGTGGCCATGACTGGATCAGGACCATGTAGCAGGCCAGAATGCACGCCGCGTTCGCGCGACCTGTCTTTTGTCAACATGATTCCAAGCATACATAGCGGTGTACGTACTCCTTGAGTCGGCGCTGCTCCAGAAGATGACCGCGCGGTCCTCGTTGGCAGGGTCTCCCAGCACTTCGTGCAGCTGAACCGCAAAGCGGTACAGGTGGCCAATGTGTAGTGGGCCGAAGTCAGCGTGGAACGCGTTGTACAGGAGACTCTTGTCGATGGTGAAGTACACGGGAGGGTTGACGTGCTTGGTCGCAGCGGTGGGACCAGATTGCGCCTTGGCTGAACGCTTGGATGGCGACTGGCTGGAACGCTCCAAGTACTTGAAGGGCGTGTCGGCGTTGGGAGGGTTGGTGAAGGAGGCCAGGTACAGCCGGTCTATATAACAGTGAGAACGAGAAGCGCAATCGAGGCGCTTTGGAGACGGACCTTGGATGTACTCGATGACCTGGCCGTAGGCCGTTCCAGCGCCAGAGCGAGGCATCTTGGCCGATCGCTGCTGCGCAGACATTGCGCTGAGTGACGCGACCGCTCAAAGATATACTGCTTCGCGACAGATGCGCTGCGTCAGGGTGCCGGTCGTGTGGACTGTCGGTATACCAACAGCACGGTCCGTTGAGCTGCGCGGGGGCTGGTGCAGGAGGGGCTTGCGCAGGTGGTCGGGCGGGCGTTGCGCTGGCTATCGGCGACAGAGGCCGGTGGAGGAATAATGTAAAGATGCAAAGTGTGTGGTGAGCCAGCGAAGGAAGAGGAGCCGTACAAATGTCGGTTTAGATGTTGTTATGCTCGGAGCGACGTCAACAAACCAAAGCGGCTAGCGCCCACTCTAGTAGGTTTCACACGCCCACTGGCGACCGCCACGCACTACAGGCCCCCTTCGCATTCATCTGGGCCGCCTTGAGGTGAAGAACCCCTGCTCGTTATTTGTTTGTTTGCTCGTGCTCGTGCTCTTGCTTTGGCGACCGCGCGCGTTGTCATGGCTGGGTCCGAACTCCCTCGCTGACCCATTGCAGTTCGCTTTGAGCGCGGCGTGACGACATAGACGCCCCAACCGACGTGCGCACTCGGTTTCCTGCATAAGTCTGCCGTGCTAGGATCTTCGACGCCTCGATAGACCCAGCCTACTGGCCGGGCTACTGCTCATATCCGAGCTTGGGAAGCGTGCTGAGTGCAGTCAACGTCCGTCGCTGAGGGAGCGGCCGTCGCACCCTCAACTAAAGCCCAGAACGACTCGACGTCCTCAGCATGATAAGACGAGGAAGAACCGAAGGATGGCTGAGAGAGCCTATCCAAGGTCTGCATACCTGGGCCAGTTTCCATGGCGTCAAGTTTGATGGCATCAAAGTCGGCCCTTTACCAGGCTTCGAGGATCGCGGCTCTACAGTGATAGCTGCACGGGAACTCATCGGCGAAAAAGCTGAGCCTCTGATGACCATCCCTAAGGAACTCATTCTCTCAAAGCAGAACATCGAGCTGATGGCAAAATCTGATCAACATCTCCACGAGCTTCTCCACGCTCTTGATGACTTCGGACGAACCACTCGAGGAGCAGTTCTGACGTTTCTACTGTTCCAAGCGACCATTTGTTGCCCAGGCGTCAAGGATGTTGGCGTTCACACGCCGCTCACCGAGTACATCAAGTACCTCCCAGATGAACTACTTCCCACTTTTTGGAGTGAAGAGGAGCTCGAGCTTCTTGACGGGACTACGCTTCGCTCTGCTGTCCGGGCTAAAATGAACAGCTTGTTGCGCGAATTCGAGGCATTTCGCGCCGCGACGGAAAATATACATTGGTGTGCTAAACTTTGGTGGGACGAGGACGATGGCATGGTTCGTGAACCCCCAAAGCTATACGGCATCTAGCCAGCCACGTCCTTGCACTGACCTCTCCAGCTTACATTTGACGATTGGTTGCGCGTTGATGCCATGTACCGATCTCGAGCGCTCGAATTTCCCGGCGTGGGAGATGCTATGGTGCCTTGCATTGATATGGCTAACCATGCTTCTGGTGATGCTACCGCCGCTTTGTATGAAACCGACGACGATGGGAACGCAATTCTGATATTGCGACACGGTAAAGACATATTAGAAGGCGGTGAGATAACTATCACGTGAGTGACTCCTAGTTTGACTACCTCGTGCGCGACACGTCCACAGCAGATACACGATGTATTCACTATCCAAGACGAAGCAGACACTCCCCAGTACAGTCGGCTGAGCTAACCAGAACAGATATGGTGATGACAAAGGCGCTTGCGAAAATATCTTCTCCTATGGTTTTCTTGAAGATTCAATGGCATCTGCCCGGATAATGTTCCTCAATCTCGACATACCAGATGATGACCCACTTCGCCCTGCCAAAATTTATGTCTGCAATACAGCCCCTGGATTCCGCCTCGTAGACAAGAATGACAGCATAGAATGGGAGAGCGACTTTGTCTGGCTAGTAGTCGTTAATGAAGAAGACGGTACGTAAACAGGATGCCCGTCATACTATGACGACCAACCCTCGTTTACACTAGATCGTCCTAATATAACGGTCACTTTCGCTGACTTGGTCATTTCTATAGGACTCGATTTTAAAGTGAGACAGACAGTGGACGGAGGCCGAGAGATACAAGCCTTCTGGAAAGAGAGCGAGTTAAACGACACATCGAAGATACGTACATTTCTGGAACAGGATCCTCTATGGGAAGTATTCCAGCTGCGAGCGGTCGTATTAATGCAGGGTCGTGTAGATGCGCAGCTCGCAACATTGGAAACACTGGGCAGCCCGACGCAGGAGGGGTTGATTAGGGAGAGTGAGTCAATCACGGCCGTGCCACTTACAGCCATGTCATACTGATCCTACAGGACCATGGCGCCTTGCCACGCAACTACGCAAACTAGAGCGGAAAATGCTAGAAAGCACAAGAACAATTTTGGATAAGCAGGTACGAACATGCCCATGCTTGTGGCACCTCGTCATCGCTCCTACGCTCTTTTCTCTACTCGTACTCCTGGTCCTAGCGCTGGAATCTTACTGACGCACGGTGCACAGAGATCAGCTCTTCTGGACACAGAAACCATACAGCGATACTTGGGACTCATTGATGACGAGGATAAGGACGAAGAACAGGTAGAAGAAGACTTCACTTGAGTCGGAAGGCCTCCCCACATTCATATACGATCCTATGCATGCTCCCTATGATAGGCCACGTCAAAACCAGGTGGCAGATGGGTTCCATGGTACTGTTAATATAAAGCCACGCCTCTCACTCCCGCTTTCCAATCCCGCCACCTCACGGCGTGCCATGTCAGGCAGGTACCGTCCGTCAGCCATCGCGATTCTGGAAAAAGCACTGTGGAGGGCCGCCACACCGCGGCCTGCTCTGATTAGCAGACATCGCGGTTCGCTTGATTGAAGTCGGGTTGTATCCACTCCTGCCGCACGAATCTTAATGTACCAAATAGTGGCGAAAGCCGCATCCATCGAATCAAAAAGTATCGCAAAGCAACTTCGCTATGACTGCACGTGAATTTGACCTAGGCTGGACTCTTACTTCGTGGATGCAGCCGGACAAAGTGACGGCGCGGTGTGCCGTAATCCCGGCATAAGTCGCTCTGAGCTACATGCGCCTTGGACTTTACTAGCCAGGACATCTACAGGAGCAATCAACGAGGAAGAGTTTTCATGTCGTCCTCTATTAATGTCGATAGACCAAAGCAGCATCTACAGCACTTCGCAGCAACGACAGACGACGACTCGATGTTGCAGGCCAGGTTTTCAAGCCCCCTGCCACGCGATATCGTGCCCTGACCAGGGATGCGAGTGGGCAGCAGCGCACTATCACGGCGCATGCCTCCTGCTGCGCCGAGATTGATCAGAGGTGCCGGTCCACAGCTTCTCGAAGCACGGTAGAATCGTGCCGACCCAAGACCCAAGCAATGATGTGCATCCGCGGCTATCGAGCATGCATTCTTGATGAAAGCAGCTGTGGCACGTAGAGTATGTTTACGAAGATGGGGTCATCTGGACAAGCAGCAGCCATGGGGCGATCTCGTGGGGACCCTGGCTGGTTGCCGCCTTGTTGCGATCCTTCACGGATGAATTGCGTGCGTCCACATGCAGAAATTTACGAAGAAACATCAACACGCACACCCAATCTCGACGAGCCTGCTGGGCCGGAGCTTTTTCGCAAGCACCACGGTCTTCGAACCTGTGGGCACGATTCACGTGGGGTTGTGACTTCGTCGTCGTGTACTAGTTGCTGGGCTGGGTCATCGTCTCGGCGAAAACGCCATGCGTGCATTTGGTACACCCAGCAATAGCTTCTCTACTATAACGACAAGCGACCTTGAAACTCGGTGGCTTGCCCGATATGCGAGCGTCAGAGACAGGATGCGTGTTGGCGGACAGGGGACTCTGCCGCAATTCTATTCACAACGCGAGACCGGATAGCTGTTCAATGGCTGACGGACGACGCCCCCGTGTCGAGACATGCAGCTCTCCCGACCCCTCGCTGATCATTCGCAAGTGGTTAGCGACGAGGCAGGCCACGAAAAAGGAGCGGAGCCAGGACGCGATGCGGCGTGAAATTGGGTCGACCAGGAGGACCCTGGGCCGGTGGTCCATGAGCTGCAAATCCTCGAGCGAGCGTTCCCCGCATCGCCGCGAGAGGCCCCAGGAAACGCTAAGCTAGCGGCCCTGGAAGCGTGCGAACACGGCGAGGACGCACTGACGGCGCCCCTCTGGCCATACATGAGCAGCCGCAGCCCTCCCTCCGCGCACCACTCGTGCCGCTTGGTCCTCTTGCTTATACGCACCCGCGCCGCCCACGTACTTGACACCTGCCGCCCCCTCTGCCACATCGCAGTCACAACATCATCGACAGTTGCCCCGAGGCACTGCGCATGGGAACAACCGACACTTCCGTCGCACGACTCTTTCGCCACTCGATGCGCTGAACCGACGATTCCGCACCTCCAAGACGAGACACAAGAACACCGCCAACATGCCCGGGATCCTGCCCATGAAGGTGATCAAGGTTGGTACCAACAACCAGGCGCGCATAGCCCAGGCCTGCGATCGATGCCGCTCCAAGAAAATCCGGTGCGATGGCGTGCGGCCGCAGTGCACGCAGTGTGTGAACGTAGGCTTTGAGTGCAAGACCAGCGACAAGCTCAGCCGTCGAGCGTTTCCTCGCGGCTATACAGAGTCGCTTGAGGAGCGCGTGCGCGCCCTGGAGGCCGAGGTGCGCGAGCTCAAGGATCTGCTGGACGAGAAGGACGAGAAGATCGACATGCTTTCACGGATACATTCGCATTCGTCTCCGACACATTCGGTGCCGAGACCGTCCACGACTCCGATTTCAGAGATCCGCGAAGATCCGCAAGAGAAAGAAGACACATTCAAGATACAACAGTCGCCTCTGCTACTTGATGACGAAAACCGAGACACATACTGCGTGGGAAGCTCGAGCGGGAGGGCGCTCGTTGGTATGCCAGCTTGCTGCACGCATTTATTCGCCCCTAACAGATTGCAGAATCCTTCAAGCAGCGCGCGCAGGAATCTGGGAGGTCGTGCTCAGATGTCAACTCCAATGCGTTCTTTGGTACTGGGTCGAAGCCGTCGGTATCGCACTCACCGAAGCGACCCATCTCGTTCAGGGCCCCACCGCGCCTTGTATCCGACCAGATGATCAACATCTTCTTCCAAGAATGGGCACCCTTATTCCCAGTGCTACATCGGCCAACCTTCCTTTCTCTGTACGAGCAGTACGTCGCCAGTCCTGATGCTATGACCGACAAGAAGTCAATTGCAAAACTCAACCTCGTTTTTGGTATCGCTGCGCTTTCTAGCGATGTGAGCACCCCACACACGCGCGTCTGTTAACCACGCTAACCCCTGCCAGCCCCGTGATGGCCAGGATGTTGAGTCTTTCGAAGCGCAGTGGCGAGCCGCATTAGAAAGCTTCGTGATGGACAACGACATGGCTACGTTGCAATGTTTGGTACTCGCCCAAATACACTGCTTGCTCAAAGCGGATTACTCTCGGCTGCTCAAATACAAGGGGCTTGCCGTTGGCTTGTCACAACGCCTCGGTTTGCACCAATCGCAGAAGAGGTTCGCGCTCGGAGCATTAACCAGCGAGACACGCAAGAAGGTCTTCTGGTCGCTCTACACTGTAGACTGGTAAGCCTGGGATTCAGTTTCGGTGTAAACAAATGCTAATTGATGGTAGTTTCTCCGCCGCCCATCTTGGTCTTCCTAAGCTCCTGAGTGAAGAGGACGTACACTGCGAATATCCAGTAGATGCCGACGATGAGTATGTTACCGAGAAGGGCTTTCTCCCGACCCTTCCAGGAGAGTCCACCAAACTCTCAAGTGCGTTGGCACTGTTCCGGCTGTCGCGCATCCTCTCCAAGGTGCTAGCAGATCTATATCCTGCTGCAGCGATACACGAGATATCTTTCCGTGCCATCTCCTCGCTTTCCGATGACCTTGAAGAGTGGACGACCAATCTCGCGCCGCATCTCAAGCTCACTTTCCAGCAAGACAAGCCTAGCACAAACGTGACCAGCAGCAGGTCACCTATCCTGGTAGGTCTTGCTTGTGCCCAACCTATATTGGATAGACGTAGCTAACAAGATCCTAGTCCTTGGCGTACAATCACATTCGGTCGCTTATCTATCGTCCAGTAGTCGTTGCCAACCTGGGCGATAGGGGCTCTTCGGCAATGGTCGCGGTCGGCGATGCGTCCAAGCATATCGTACAGATCGTTCAGCTGCTTGATGAACGCAAGTTGAGCTTCTCTTTCTGTCTCAACAAAAATGAGGTTCTGGTTCAGGCAGGCTTCGGGCTCCTGTACCAGACGCTTGACCTCGACCGCGATGGGAAGCTCATCAAAGACTGCAATCGGTTGAGCTGCACTGTTATGGACATGCTTGACAACGGTACCGCTGCTGGCGCCCACGAGTTTAGGCGTGTGGGATGCTCGATGATTGCCATTCCTCGTGTCGTCGATTCTATGCCTACCCCGATCCTGTCCCGTCACAACTCAGAAGGTACTATGGCCGCTCCTATGGAACGCTTCCGTGCCACGCAAAAAACGCTCAAGGCAATTGCCGCACGCTTTTCTCCGGGTCAATTGAAAGCCAACCTGCAGAGCGCCGCCAGCGAACCACGCCGCGCCACACTGCCCACGATCTCACCGTCTGTAGGCGCCCACGCGAGCCAATCTTCTACCAGTCTCTCCTCCATCCGTTCTGAACCTTACCACCAGGCGGAACAGACACTCAGCCCGCTCTCCCACCGTGCCTCGTTCTCTCACGCCAAACGCCGCCCTAGCCACCTCTACCAAAGTCAGAACCGCAACATTGACTTCCTTTCTTTCGGCCCGGATCCGCTTGCAAGCTACCACATGCCTCACCACACCATCAATAAAGCAGACGTCTCGCCCTCGGACTGGGAGCGGCTTCTATCCTCCCTCGACAATGGCCAAACCAACATCTACGATTCAATCTACGGCGGCCCCCCAGCCGACGCTCTACTCGACAGCATGCCGCTCTCCGCAGGCGCCGAATCGACCCGCACATGGTCCCCCAACATGTGGAACATGGCCTACAACGAACAGGCCCCGCCACCGCAGAGCGTGCTCAGCTTCAGCGACGAGAGCCTGACCAGTGGAGAGGAATTCGCAAACTCGGTCGGCGACTACGGCTCCACGCCTGGTAGCGACAACTTCAAAAACTACCAGGGCATCGTGATTCCGAATCTCAACGCGCAGGACTCGCTTGCGCTTAGTGGGCTCGACGGAAACTTTGGCTTGTAATCTTCGTACCTTTTCTAATGACGGTCGGGCTGGGAAAACGGCTACTACCTAGGTTATGACGGGGTTGGACATTGGATTCGGATTTGGACTTGAATGGCTGTTGTCTTCTTGGTTTCTTGTGTTTGGTCAGGGATGGAATAGGATGGCTACGCGTTGGGTTTGCGGTTTTCTTGCTTCACTTCTTGAGATACCTGCGCCGCACACGTATGACCCTGTGCGCTGCCTTTGCTCTAACTTTACTCTCAATTCTCGCTTCCAATGTTGCTGCTTCTTTGAGACAGACGCCAGTCACTCCAGTCTTTACCACACCACGCACGGTACGGTACACAAGTAGCTCCCACTGTAACCACGCACACACATACATGATGATTCCAATTCCAATTTCAAATCATCACAACCTACATGCCTCGTTATTCCCGCAGCCACCCAAGCACCAAACAAACAAAACCTGCCGACATTTCCCCCCCGCGCAACGAAGGTATCTGTAACGCCGCCCCGACCGATCCAGACCGCCCTCTAGCCCTCCACACGCCCCCAACACTCGGCGTGGCAGTGCACACCACACCCGGCCCGCGCCTCGCCACTCGTGCATTGCAATAGTTATATCAGCGCGACCCCGCGCGCGCAGCGTCAAGCAGGCACCGCAGATCGACACGCCAACGCAAAGCCCTTGGGAGTCTCCAGGCCACGACGCGAGCATGACGCCCTCGATCTCCCGCGCTGCCACGGCTGACGGACGGCCGTTCGACGTGGTGCGCGACCACGCGGGGCTCGCTGCGCGCGCGAATAGGGCGCTCGCGGGGTGCGGGATGGGGCGGTACGTGGACTCTTTTCCTTTGTTTTGTCTTGTCTTGTTCCTTGCCCGCATTACATGTGCTGCTGTTACGATGCGATGGGATGTGGGCGGTGCTGATGTGCGAACAGGGTGCGCGACACGCCCCAAGCGGCAGCGGGCATTACAGCAGCGCGCTGGATACCTGGCTGCGGGCCTGCCGCGAGAGGCAGTGTGCGGTGCTGCGCCGGCGTCTGAGCGCGGTGCTGGCGTACTGGTCTCGTCTGCTGGCGTGCTCATCGACAAGGCCACGCCACGCCAACGGCTTTCCTATCCTGTCCTATCCTTTCCTATCCCCCTTGGACGCGCACCCACGCGCCGGAAGAAAATACCGACACGCCTGACCTGGTCGTCGGTGAGCTGGGCGCCGTTTGCCCTCCGCTCTAGGACGCACCACTGACGAGCAGCGAGCGCGCCGCTGAGCGCAGTCGGACGCGCGGATGGCGTAGGCCCAGATCCGCTGGGCGCTCGCCGAGCTGCGCCAGCAAGCTTGGGGCTGGGGCGGGATGGCGCGCGCACGTGGGCCCTTGCCGCTTCGGGGTCGCGGGGTGGTGGTGGGGTAGGGCTAGTGCGTGGGTCCGCCAGGTTTGGCGAGTGGGAAGATGATGGGGTAAGGTGGATACGGGGATAGCAGGAGTTTGCACGAGGGCTGGGCGGATGAAGGGAGGCGTCGACGTGGTGGAGACAAGGGTTGCATCTGTTGCAGCGGTGTGCGACGGGACGGCTTGGGATGTGCGGATGGGGGCCAATTCCGGACGACCAGCTTTGCAGAGGTTAGAAAATAGCGTCTAGCGCGCATGAGCAAGTACAAGAACGAACGGCGACTTGGAAAATGCTAGCATCATGATTTGCCAACGATTGTAGATACATGACGTGATGTTGTACGTCCAGCTCGATCTCGACGTCAGATGCACCCCTCAACACCACGCAGCGAGCCCCTCACGAAAAAACTGGAGCACACACACGTGTGGATCTGGGGACCCCGCAAAGGCCCAAATCGCCGACATAGTTTCGCGTATCTCGTGGCCAAGGGGTGGAGCCTGCTCCTGGGGCGCTGAAGGGGACACCTCAGACCACCATCGTTCGACGTGTATGCGTGATGCAAACCCTCGTGCAAGCATCCATGACATGGCTGACCCACGACGGCGCTAGATGCGCTATCGCGGGAACGCACTAGCACGGAACGAGAGAAACTTTTGTCGGGGGAAACCGGGGAATGGAGGGCGGGTGGAGGGAGCTGAGCAACACCACGGGCGCTCGTGTGATGCCTTCAGTATCCGTCAAGGTCGACCTCGACCGTCACTGTGTTGTTTACTTCCCAGGAGCGTTCCCTGTCCGGCAAGATGGAAGACGCACGCGCGAATGGCGTAGGCGGCTCGGTCTAACGTCAAGTGACCGTCGAGGCAGGTGTCGCGACAGCGTAGCGCCCAAGTGAGCACGCGCAAACCCTGCGTCTCCACCTGCCGCCGTTTGCGGACTCACCGCAAGAACTGGTCGTTGAGGTAGTTGACGAATATCTCCTTTATCCGCGACTTGGAGAAGCTGTGCTGGCGGTTCAGCGTGATGAACTGGCGGCGGATGCGCTGCAGCTGGGGGAGCGTCATGGGGTTTGCGGGGAGTTCAATGGGTTTGTCAACGTCCTGGACAAGTACCTCGCCGCCGCCTTCGCCTGGATGGTCCTTTTGGTAAGTCATGATCTGGGCCAGGATGTCCGAGGTGGTCTTGTCGAGTTCGTAGAGGTAGTTTTGCTCTGTGGCTGGTTTCTGGGGTTGTCAACATTGAGGTGTCAGCCGAAGAGTAGGATACACACCAGTACAGTTGCCTGGTTCGGTCGTACAACTTTCCCTTTGCCGTCGCTGCCGACCAGAGCGTCCCATATCTGCTCGAAGGGGGGTGTGGCATCCTCTTCGACTACGGTGAATAGCGGGCTGTCCCACCTCGCCATGCCGTTGGGCTCCTCATACCGGAAGATCAGATTCTCAAAGTCGTCTTGGGCGTACCCTCCATCTTGATCTTTGTCTGCAAGCAGCTTGTTGTTGATTTCGCGACATTTGTCGGCGGTCAATCCTACGTGCACCTCTTGAACTTTCAGCAAAATCACTAACGGGCCGACAGGGATGACTGACGACGCAGCTGGTAGTCTGAACGGCCTTGGCCTCGCAGTTGAGTTGATAGCGAAAACCTTTGATGTAGTTTAGGCCGTCGGCGATGACGATGTCGTCACGGGAGAGCACCCTCTTTACGGCAGAATACTCCTCCGCGCGGGCGTCCTTTTCAGCCTTAGCCGTGTGATATACCCCACGGGACACGCCAAGAGACTGGTCGTTGATGAGGTGGACCTTGAGCTTGCTGGATCGCGCATCGGCGCTCTCGCTGGCGATCCTGGCCTCGAAGAAATCCTTCAGCTGCTGGGCGCGTGTGGTCTTGCCCGCCGAGGGATACCCCGAGATGACCAGGAGCTGCGCAGGTATCAGCGTACCACGTCTAGCTGGATGCGTGCAGGACTCACGGGCATGATGTTGCGGGACGATATCTCGCGGCGGCAAATGCTCAAGTGTCGGTGTCTGATTATTTTGGGCTGGTCGCCTCGAGACGACGCCGCAGACGGAAAGACTCCCGGAAAATAATGGCCCGTTCCAAACCGCGTTCTGGGGCGTGATAGGCGTGATTGGGACGTGTGGAGCAGAGCAGTGACGAGATTTCACGGGCAGTGGTCGGTGGGCGGCCGAGCAATAATTCATGCGCTTGCCAGCCTCGGTACAAGATACACCCGCTATCTGCCTCAGCGCCGCCGCCTCCTCCACTCTCGTCTGGCCATCTGTCCTGCTGCATATTGCTCGCTCAGCCGCTCTCTATTGCGCCGTGCCCGCAGTTGATTGCCAATCTACGAGGCCGCTCGCTACCGCTTCTGCCCTCGCCCCGACACTGATCGGCTCGCTGTGTCGATACAGCGTCGCCGCGATAAGTACTCGGCGGACCGCGTACCGCTCCAGCGACAACCAAGTCTGCACGCACAGGCGCCCCCTCGACGACGCCGCCCGTTGCTGCTGCCTCGCTCCTGCCCTCACAACGCGCTGCTCACACGCAATGTCGTCGACCGCACCCCGCCCCGCCCCGCCGCCGAGGCCCGTCTACGCGCCCCTCCAGTCCTCTGCCAACAGCTCCGAGACCTCGTCGGCCTTCCAGAGCTACAGCAGCAGCGCACGCCTCTCCGCCCCGACGCCCGCCTCGGCAGCCCCTGTGAATTCGCCCACATCGCCGCCTCAACCCCCGCAGAACTTCTTCGGCTCGTTGAACGGCCAGCCCCAGTCGCAGCAGGCCCCGCCAGAGATGCCGCCCATGCAGCGCTATCGCAGCTTCGAGTACCAGCCGAATAGGGACGGTGCCGGCAGGACGGCCGGGGAGACGCAGAACTTCCTCAACCAGGCCGCACTTCTGGCCGAGGCGGCAAAGCGGGCACAGATGGCCTGCGTCATGCGCGACCTCGACAGCATGGAGCTGTAAACCGGACGCAACCCCTTTGCCATTGCCACACGTACCTAGGCATCCCTCGGCAACTCTTCTGCAGCATTGACGCTGAAAACCGATGGCGGGCAAAACTCGGCCTTCACGTTCTGTATCGGTGGGTCCGGTCCGACCATCCCATGCAGACGCCTCATTCTCCGCCCATCTGCGAAAACGCACCGGCTGCCTCGCCGAAACTATGGCACCTTTGGCCCAAACCGTGTTCCGTGGGCCTGTCGCGGCTTTATCACTTTACTTCCAAACTTCATGTGCATACATTTTCTCAGCCCCTTTTCACCACCTGCCGCATGGACAGCCACCCTCTTTGCGGCATTTCATAGCGTCGGCGTTCACACCGTGTCTTGATAGCGCTTTATAATCGGAGTTTCACCGAATCGGATCATGGGTATACTGTTTGTTTTCTTATCGAGAGAGGGTAGGAGCTGCGGGCAACAAAGCAGAGACTACGGGCTAGGACGATTGTTTTAGGAGGATGAGCGGCACGTATGGATAGCGAGTATCGTTCGGAGCGTACGTTATCGAGGGAGTAGATAGATAGGAATACCACCGCGCGTTCGCACGCCCCCATATTTTGTGCTGCCATGTGCTCGTTCCGCATACTCTTTTCTACCTACAATTCAACCCCACACCTACACAATCTCAATATCCTGCGAAGGCGTCATCCATTACTCGTAGGCTACTCACACAGCCTATAGGCCCCCATTCCCCTCGCCTTATCCTCACTCCACCACCTCTCCACATTCCACTCAGCACACGGGGGCTAGACCAACCACACCCGCTCCGTCAAGCAATTCGCACACCCAATAATTCGCCAGTGCATCAAGTTCCCAACACGGAAGCAGCCAACTTTCCCAGAAACCCGGACACGCACGTGAAATCCCCAGCGCGGCTTCACGTGTCAAGCACGCTCCAACATCAACCTTGACACCGCCGGATGAGGAAGCTACGTGGGCAGCACCACTCTCCTTCGCACACTCTCGCAAGCCGCGGCAAGCTGTCGTGCGTTCCAGCAGTGTGCCAGCACACATCGATTTCGCAAATATAGCGCAGACGCATGGGCCTTGGCCTGCAGTCCCCTCTCACGAGAGGCTAAGCATGTGCAGCTACCCCGAGATGCCTCGTGGTCTGCTACGAGGCGGCAGACTGTGGCATGCAGATGTGCGACGCTGCTATGCGTTGCGTGAGGACGAGGATGAGAAGGCTGCTGAACGAGGCGCGCTGGTACCGGTGAGGAAGTAATACAGCACATCTACACATCTTGCCGGGCGTGGGAAAGCTCCCAGAGCCGGGTCCGCGCCGGGCGTTGCTTTGGGACTGGGTTTCCCTTCTGGACGCACGCGTCGTGGCGCTGCCATGCGGTGGTGTGTGCATGTGCTCCCCCTGGCGGAGAGAGTCTGCATGACCGAGCGAGAAGAGTGCGTGTGTAGGCTCTCCTGTGATGCATGTGCATACTGTACTAAGCAACCGCCCGCTTTTTTCGCTATGCTGGTAGGCAGACCACATCTAAGAGCCGAGAGAAGCCAGTGGAGTAATGGTAAGGGGTCGCGGGATTGAGCGCTGTCCTTTTGCGGGTGGGGTGGTGAGACACGCAGGGGTACAATGGTCTGCACTGCCTCATTGTGGAGGGAGAACGGAGGGTGCAAAGGATGATGAGCAAGAAGAGGAATAGATGCTGTGTGTGTAGGTCTCCATAGTATTGGGACACAAGCTTCCGGTGAAGGGGTGGGGCATGGGTTCATCGAGCGGAGTGGGCGAGATCGGGGGAATCTATAGAATGTGAGGCGACAGTAGCGCTGGGATGTCCGTAAAGATCCAGTGCGCAATGTATAGACGGGCCTCTACGTGGATGTGGTCTCGATGATCCATGTTCCATGGAGAGCAAGCGGGATTTTAACAAGTGCAGATCATCTGCAAAGGGCAGTTGAATATTGAGAGGTAGAATAGATGAGATGACAGCAAGACTTTGATACGAAAGGACGCAACGAACCGTACACATTATTGCAGAGAGAAAAGAAACGAATAAAATAAGCCGCACAGAAGACCACCTGTTGAAGGATCTTTCTCAGCGTCTTGGCCGTAACCGCGAAATTTCCCGAGCAGTCAACCCCCAGCTCGACTACCAACGATGCTTTTCAGATAGGGAAGAGTCAGAAAATGCCCACGCCACTGCCGTCCGAAAGTCCCTCCTTCCGCCGGCGAACGGCGTCCTCCGCTCCATTTGTCAGCTTCGCTACAGTGCCGCAGTGCATGTGTCAGACCGCTCTCTTCCTCTGGGGGAGGTACAATTTGCGTAACCATATAATGGTCTGCTTTCTCCATGTACCGAGTTGCCGAGTTTTGCTGATGCCATCAACTTGGAGATGCGGACAGGGGTCATGCATTGTAGCTCGACCACGTCGTTGAGAAGCCCGGCAACGTTGCGAGCCTGAGCGCCTTTGTTGCAAGTGTATCGTGTGCAGGGTAGAAGGACCGAAGATGATGAAAAGTGCTCAAGGACTATTCCCGGACCGAGGCGCTGGTTTCCGAGGGATGCTGTGGGAACAAGCGGGGATCTCACCGGTGTCGTGTCGACCCCTGCATCGATGCTGCACCTCAAGCCCCTCCACAAGGCGACTCGATAGACTGCGGGACCGTGGTTCGCAAACCACTGTCCGCCTTCTATGCGGCTCTGCTAGCTGCGCCATCGCCCAGAGCTCCGGCCAGAAATTCACTGGCAGCTGCGTTCCCTGCATCTGCCTGAAGCTCCAGGTACCCAGCGCCATTCCGACTCGTACTGAGCGTCTCCACCATGCTCTCGTGACCGGTCCTCCGCACCATGCTTGGGCGGCAAGGGACCTCGATTGAAACTAATCATGACAACGATGCCCAATGCGTTGTCATCGCTAGGGCTGTAGGACCGGCCTGGGCGAATCATGTACACGAGGCTGCGTTCATCGAGGGTGCCCGTGATAGAGCGGTTGTAGGCCGGGCCTCCAGGCAGAGGTGGATTGAGGATGTGGTGCAATCTCTTGGAGCAAGGGCATCTCGAGGCTGACGGTGGCCACATTCTGGTTGGGGAATGGCGGTAGGCCACGTCGTTGAGCAGGGCGGGGAGAGTGAGCAGCTGAGGTGTGGTCGTTGAGAGGTCCGCCCAATCCAGAGGCGCTACACGGCGGGATCCGATACGTAGCCTCAGACACGATGTGGAGAGGTCGGTGCAGCAGCGGTCGTCTTCGACCATGTCCATGAAGGAGGCGCAGGAGTAGTTGTAGGCTCTGAGTTTGGTTCTGGCGAGAATGAAGGGTCGCCCAGCGTTGCTTCCGTGAAGTACCTCAGGGTGGAAGTTCCAATTGAAACGGGATTCTGGAGGTGCATAGTTGGGGTTGTTTGTTGAATCCAGAGTTTGAATATAGGCATCGCCCCAGGGCAGTTCAGGTCCAGTCGAGGCTTCAAGTAAGGGTGATCCTCCTGTTGAGCTAGAGGGAGAATCGAATCCTGAAACGAATTCTGAGATGTAATATGTGCGTACCTGTCGACTCAGGTTCTTCTGGTATTCTCGTCGAGCTTCGACAATCATGAGATCGTTCGTGCTCTCATCAATTTGTAGGCTCAGATCTGTCCACGAGTCGTGAATGACACCCTCATCATGTTGTCGCCTCCATAGCTTCTTGTTAGATTCTAGGAACTCTGCTTTGGGATTGTCGACCGGGAGCCGCATGCAATGGTAGAAGGATGTCCAGTCGATCTCTTCCGCCTCGAAGGTTGACTGGTTTGACACTGCGTAGAAATACCCTTCATGGATCTCAAAAGCTATCGTTGGGCCAAGATCAGTCCCAAAGAATCCGTGGAGCTGAATTGGTGTGCATGGTAGGCTGTTTTCGTCGTTGAGGGAGACGCCTTGGACTTCCCACTCGTAGTGACCTTGCGATCCTACAGAAGTGTAAGTTCCGTAGTAAAGAAAACGTGACGTATGACGGGCGAAGACCCTATCGCTCGCTTCCAGCCGTATCCTTTTGATTAATCTCGCTTGGTCTGATACTCCAGGCTTAGTCGTAATTGCATAGAGGCGGCCGTTATTATGTCTGCCCCTGCCCTCCACGTAGATGGTAACGATATCATCATTGTAGTACAACAAAGACAGCTTAACATCGCTAGAAGACGATGAACTCTCAGAATATTCAACGATAATAAGCGAAAGATCGATGGTGGTTGCTGGCCCATGGGCGTGTGCGTCGGACACTCGAATAGTGTTGCCCTCGAGGATGCATAATATGCCTTTTCGGTAACAAAAGTCGTTGGCTCGCCCGATAACGCGTGCTGAAAATGGATGTGCTTTTGAAAAGGCATGTCTCCGGTCCTGTATATGGCTAAATGCATCGCAATACGAGATGCGCTGTTCTTGAGCCAATCGTGCTTCCTTTGTATATTTAAATTCGGCCTGTACGATGTAAACTTGTATGATCCAAGATTTAAATAGGCCCTTTCACACCTCAATTGCCTTCCTACAGATGCCATTCTCCTGGAGCAGGCTTCGAAGCTGTCGGCAACTGTGTGCAAGGCTGACAATGTCATCAAATCCCAGATGAGACGTAATGTAAAACAGCACGTCAAATGGAAGCCTGTCCAGTTTGAGGAACATTAATTCGGGATGCAAAGCTGGTAGTTAAGAATGCTCATGAGACACTGTGAGAGAAGGTGCAATAGGCAAGCAAGCGGAACCCAGAATAACGTAAGCTGTGAGGTACGATGTAATTGAAAGTCGACGAATAGGAAAAAAAGTAAGCAAGGCAAAGCTGCAGCATGTCCACTGGTAGAGTGAGGGGTAAGGCTGAATGAGAAGTTTGCTGGTAAGGCCGACTGGGAGCAACATCGTGACGGCTACTTATCTGGCAGACTTAGTTGAGCCGCAAAACTTTAGGTATGGGGCCCAAGCCTTGTACGTCGTTACAATCGTTCCTCGGCTCGTAGACTGCCAGCCCGTGTTTCGCATCGTTAGTGACCTAGGGCGGGTGACACAAGGCTACGGACTATGAGAAGCTAGGGTATGTCGCCGGAAACAGCTCCTGAGGTTGTGGAAGGACCGATGAATATCGAATACGGCTCTATCGGTCCAATTATTGATTCGGGACCACGAGATCACGCGAAGGATGGTTGCTAAGATGGACTAAGAAAAGAGGCACAGCAGACCTTGTTGTTGCCAGACGTGTTCAAGTGAGCGTTGGAGGCTGAAAATGAAGACCGATATGTGATTGGGCGAGATGCGCAACGCTTGCGCAGCCCTGGAGCCAGCCATGTCACGCGCAGAATGTTAGCCTTCTCGGCCCCACTCCGCGCCTTGCCAAGAATTGAGGCTCTGCGAACCATCCCACTGAGACCTCTGACATGATCGAATCTCAAGTTCAGCCTTTTAACGCTAGGATAATACAGTAGTGGAATGCTTTCATCCATTAGATCTTCAGTCAATATTGATCTTCGGCTTGGGACACTCAGATTGAGCATGGGTATGCATCAGCCTTGTGCTTATAGACATGCTGATCCGGGAGTCGTTCTGCAGCCTCGCTGTGCCTCGTCACGTATCCCACCTATGAAGTATCTTTATTGGGGGTGCTTCTAGCCCCTAAAGATAGAGGTACATATGCACTTGTGTGGCTCTACTGCCGTTTCCGGGAGAGCTCTCTGCTCTTCTCTCAGGGCGACGACCGTTTCAAGCATTATACTTCCGATTCCCACCGTGGAACCTGTATAGCTCCATATTTACTCGAGCATTGGCGAATAGCGGAAGGTGGGGAAACAGTTCCGCTGCAGCACAATCTCGAAGCCTGCATGTACATGCAGTACGATAGTCGAGTCTTGTAATCCTCTCGTATACGTGCGTAACGTGGGGCGGAGTGCAGACGGAAGACACCGCAGCATCAAAAGTGATACGAGATATGTGCTGTGATCCCGGAGGCGGTACGCGGGTATACATGATTCGATCGTGGGTACCGATTTACGTACGGTCGCCATGCCTTAGGCACACAGACGCATGCCAACTAAGCCCTCCATTTCAATTAGTCTTCTGGACCAGCCCGTTCTCGATCTTCTTGGTCCCAGCCAATATACGGCCATCCTTCCGGAAGCGTCGCAAACGGTGGGAGCGTGTATCGATCCCCGCAGCTTCCCTGCTCTTCGCACTGGAGGCTGCACAGCCCAAATACTTTACAATAGCAGACTTGCACCGGAGGACAATGGACCGGGTCTTTACCGAATATTACTGGAGGACTCGTTAGCAGGTGATCAAGCCAAATGCGTCATCACTGATGAACAACGTTGAACGCCTCTACCACTAAGAGCAGATGACACGCCACCTCGTCCTTCAGCCTGATGAGTGAGCCAGCCGTGTGGACGTGGCATAGTGTCTTCTTATAGCATTCTTGAGCTTTGCAGGTACGGGGCTACCGCCCAGCGTTGTGCGTACCAGTATTGCAAGACGGGAATACGTACTGTGCCAGCTATACTCCATGATCCTACCCGAAATGCTGTCTTCCAGGTCCGTCTCTACCAGCCACTTCCTGTACCGCTGGTAGTCGCTTTTCTTCCTCTCTCTTATCTTCTCTTTCGTGGCTGCAAACTGCGCACAGCAGCTCACGCCCACGTACTGGGGTACGTCTACTCCGGGAAAGAGCACCTGGAAAGCTTTTTTGTAGTCACCACCAGCGTGGACTTGAGCCCTACGCTCCCCTTCTTCTGCGAACGGTTTGATTTCGTCCGGGCAACCTAGAGACCAGGCGCAACGGATGTTGACGTAACCTTCCTGCTCTAGGTAGGGCATCTGGAAGTGTCGCAGCATAGGAACTCCATCGTAATCGGGGTCATCGTTGTGCCACTGGTAGCGATTCGGGTGCAAGAAGAGGACGTTATCGGGCAGTCGGTCGTACTTGTCTATGATATAGCTACAGCTGTCAGCGTTTTTTTGATGCGCACGATGCCTTGCAGGATTCGGGCCCGCCCAGGAGCCGAGAGGATCAGCCCCCCACGCTCCCACCTCAGCTGCCGCATGTAGTCGCTTAATAACACCAATACGAGACTACCACACACCTCAAGTACACCATGCTTTCTCTGCCTTTGTTCTTGGGAATCTTCATCATCGTCTCCCCGTCCTCCACGCTGTAGATGTTCTTCTCCCATTGCGGGAAGTAGTCGTCGAGCCACGTCGCGTTTTCGAATGCCGTTTTCGCGACGACTATGGCAGTGCGTCGAATGCTTTCTCCAGCACCCTTTTGGAACGCACTTGCCGTATCGCTGCTTTTTGGTTCTGCGATGGCGGCACCGGGCGGAGGTGGGCTTTTTATTCCAGTGTGGGACCGGTCGTGTGTCGAGAGCTGTCGTTCTGCCCTGAGATGTAACACTAGCGCTACGACAAGCCAGCTCAGTAGAGCAAGGGCTGCGGTTCTTCCCGGGAGACGCCTGTGGAAGGACATGATTCACATTGGGACAACGTTGAGTTTTGAAAAAGTAAAGATCATTTGGAGGCAGACGCGCAATTGCATTCCCGCATCAATGTGAACTGACGCTCGTGGTTCACTAGCACCGTGCGGACACCAAACGGCCAGACCAATGACGCGTACCGGTGGAGCAGCAGGCACGCCCTTGCGCTTTCCTTTCCTTCCGCAGTCTACAAGACAACCGGCGCGTTACGAATCCGCTCCCGCGCAGCGGGAAACGGGCTTGTGCGGTGCATTGTTCCACGTAGATGCCGTTTTACACATCACGGTCACAGTCGGCTTGAAACAGCTTCAGAGCTGTCGCATAGGTCTGAGCACTAGCGGCATGGTGATCCATGGTATTCAGTCCATGTGCTCATGTATATGTTGCCAGAGTGCAAGGGATGCATTCTTCTAGGCAAACTGCGACCAATCCATCATCGTGCTGCCTCAATCGAGCGCCACAATCTCATGCCACATCTCATGTACCACTGTCACTGTGCACGCGACCTGCACCCAAATCTTCATAATGACGCCATTAATACACCAGCTACGAGAGATTGTCTTCTTCGTGAGTGAGAAGTCGCTTCGTCGCAGGGCCATTATCGATACGCAGCGGTTCCTCAAGGTCGTCGTCTTCGAAAATTTCAAGCTTTCGCTTCGCAGCAGTGCCATCATTGGCACTAATCGTCTTCGGCGGCGGTATCATAGAGGGGGCTGCTGGTGCAGGTGGAGGGGGCAGCCCTACAGGCAGCGGCGGATACACACCATCCTCGCGGAGGGTCCATCCTTCGTCTTTCAGCTTGTTCCATCGATGGCCAACCGTGGACCGAACTAGTTCGCCCGTCGTCCTCGCGTCCTCGTAACTGTCGTGGCCCGACGCGCCACCTTGCTGTATGTTTATGTCGAGCCACTGCTTGGCCAGCGTTTTGAGGCTATGGCGATACGGAAGGCCTGACTTTGTCGGGTAGAGAATGACGGTATCGACGATGGTAGGATGTATCAAACGGATAACGTTCAAGTCGTTCTCTAAGGCATGGCCGAGAATAGGCGTGGTGGGCGATACATGATCGAGGAAAAGCTTACGCGCCGCATATGGGGACTCGACAATGCGCAAGTCAGTACGCTTAGGTTTTGGGTTTGCCGGGTCGTACGGTTTCGCGTTGAGAAATTGATCCATGGTCACTCCTGACCACTGAGTGTTGAGGTCGAGAACGAGCCCAAGTGGCCGCACCAAAACGTCGATGAGCGGTCTGTGGCTAGGCCACGAAATGACAGTAAGTCGGAGGACTTCGAAGCCTTGTGTTGTATAGCCCATCTCGCAGTCGAAACAAACTGCAGTTTGAGGCTCGACTTCATCGTTCTCTGGAGTCTCGATAAAGGGCATGACAAGAGACATGCGCTTCACATCAGTAAACTTGTACACGTGCGTGTCACTTTCGGTACAGCCTTCTGAACCTACAGCCTCGTTGCAGCAGGAATATTTGGCAGGCTCTAGGTCTTTTCCCCTTTCCCTCTTCGGCCAAGACTTCCTACCCCAGTGATAGCGACACTTGCCGCCGGTAGTCAGGGCGCCATCTTTCTCTCTCCGCTCGGGAAAAGCCTGGAAGCGGGTGCCACATCGATCACACACTTCCCAAAAGTCTGTTATGGCCTGTGTCTGTCTGCAATCTTCGACTTCATCATCGGTAGGCTTCTTTGTAATAAAGCCGTGGGCTTCAAGAGTGGCTTGTGGAGCAATCAACGTCGATAGAAAGCTGACCTCTTCCTTCAGTGTCATGCCAGTTTCAACTTTCTTGGGTATTTCCTTCTTGGACACGGCCCCACGTTCTTTCGCAACTGCCTCTCTCCGGCTCTTGACCCATTCCTCTTGGGTCATTTTCTTGTAAGCATGTATGCGACGCTTTATGATATTATCGTAAAGGAGTCCATGTTCGATGGCAATCTGTGCCTCTTCATCCACGGCAAGCTTCCTCAATTGATTCGCAGACAAGTGGAGAGCTTTGGTCGAAGGGCTCTTTGCTGCAAGTAGTTTGGTGTTGAAAGGAGCCATGCAATCATGTAACATCTTGAGCCGAACCAATCTGGCTGCCAAAGGCATCGGTTCATTTCTTAGTTTCCGCGGGAACAGACTCACCTCCTGCTCAGGTTGTGGCTTCGCGTCTGTACTAGTTTTGGTCGGTGGGGGTGAGACTGGCTTCGTTGCCGTTCGGGGAAGTGCGTGGTCGGATTTGACATCAACCGCAGACTGAGCAGAACCAGGAGTAGTAGCAGCTCCCTGGTTTTCAGGTGCAGAGGCTGATTTTGAGACTGGCTTGCAAGTACGAAGTCCTGTGAAGACGGGCGGGTCGATTACATGGTTCGCTACCACCTCGGCTTTCGCATCGCCATCAAGTCTCACACGTTTAGCAGGCGGAGAGCTGTTTGAAGACGCCTCCCTGCGAGTGATCTCAGTGCTGCTTGTAGGTGCGATTGGCTGGCTGTGAGCAAACAGACAATGTGGAAGCTCGCAGCTAGTCCCTGAAGGGCAGGGCTGGCCCTTAAAAATGCTGAATGCGGATGGCCACATGCTGGATCAAGAGTGCATATCATCTGCTTCTATGAGCGAGGCAGCTAGTGGATCTTGCGTGGGCCGCACCCAGTGATGGTCTCGCTTGCGATATGGCGGGAAACGGGCCAAGACAACCTATTTACGGCCCAGTGTAAATACGGGTGCGGCGCGATGGTGCTTCTGATTGCAAAAGTAAAGTAAGGGCGAACAAGGTAAACGAGAAGCGCGAGTCTGTCATCAATCGAACACTACCAACTTGAAGAATTACTCGTGTGGTGAGTATCAGTCGAAGTGCAAACGCGGGAGAGAGGCTTGATAGCGTGTGAGTATGCGTGTTTGTGCGATCAGCGTAGCCAGTTCAGCAATAGCACAGCAGTCGCCGTTCAGATGGCCGGAGGCAGGTGAAAGTGAAGGTGTTGTAACAGCCCTGCGGCAAAGGTGCTGATTGGCCCGTGCCCGGTCCCACGCCAAGCCCAAGGGTCGCGCCTGCCGGACGATTGTGCGGCGCCGATCTCCAGTTGTCGAGATGACGTACATGCATTCAGTCGTGCTGCAGAGTGAAGAGCGGCTGAGCGATCGCATTCGCATACAGGAGGCTGTCGTAGGAGGTCGGGCCAACGGTAAGTCCGACTTCTCCTTCTGACACTTGCCTTGTGCCGCCAAGCGCGGATTTAACGTCTCATCAGGATTGAATGCCCACTTGTCCGATAACAGAGCGGACGGACAGGTCACGGAGCTGAGGTATATCATTGCTTGCTGCGCCCGCGTTCCTAGTCTTGTTCGCAAACACTTCTCATCCCTCGCGTTCTCGCATATACACACTTGAATAATCATGGCCGGCAAGGCAGACCATCTTTGTGTGCTTGTTCATGGGTAAGTACATGCGCTCGTCACTTTTCTCGCCCCGACGCCAAGCCTGCACACGTCGCTCAGCAGCTGGAATGCTGACTATCCAATGTCAGGCTTTGGGGAAACCCACAGCACCTTGACTTCCTGCGGACTTCTCTCCGCGACAAATTTACCGAGGAGAAAATCCATGTGCTCGTCACGAAACGCAACGCGGGGAGCTTCACATACGACGGCATAGACACGGGAGGCGAACGCGTCGCGCACGAAATCGAAGAACGACTGGACGAGCTGGCACAGAGTGGACATGCCATTCGGAAGATCAGCGTTATTGGATACTCGCTGGGTGGACTTATCGCACGCTACGCTATTGGCCTGTTGTACTCGAAGGGGCTGTTCGAGACGGTAACGCCCGTGAACTTCACAACGTTTGCCACACCACATCTCGGAGTAAGGACACCCAAACGCGGATATTTCAGCAATGCGTTCAACGTCTTGGGTGCGCGCACCCTTTCCACCAGCGGGAGGCAAATGTTCTTGATCGACAGTTTCAGAGACACCGGGCGGCCTCTCCTTTCCGTGTTGGCCGATACGGACAGTATCTTCATCCAAGGGCTTGCGCAGTTCAAAAACCGCAGCTTATACGCAAATACCATAAACGACAAGACCGTGGCCTACTTTACCGCTGGCATATCTCAGACGGATCCCTTCGAACGGATAGACGAGTTCAAAGTCAACTACTTGGATGGATACGAGGACGTGGTTGTCGATCCGCAGCATCCCGTAGACGCGAAAGAGCCAGAAGAGCTTCCCGTCTTCCGCCAACGTCTCTCTATTGGCACGCGTGCGTTCTTCCGCAAGATACCCACTATCGCCTTCTTTATAATATTCGTTCCGATTGGCACAACCTTATTACTCAGCAATGCTGCGATCCAATCCGTTCGAAGTCGCCAACGTCTACGACTCCATGAGACTGGAATGGCTGGCATCGACGTCAAAGGCTATCGCATTCCTTTGATGATAACTTCAGCGCGTCAAGAAATGGAAGACATGTATGAAAACATGAACAACAGACAAGGTCAGGATTATCTTGGTGCCGGAGAAGAAGAGCTAGCATCACCTACACAGCAGAGGGCGTTTTCTTTCTCGAGACAAGCGGATTCCGCGAACTCTAAAGCAGATTTGACTGCCACCGAGAAGTCCGAACCGCAACTCGAGTTCCCCACGTTGGCACTTACGGAGCATCAATTCAAGATGATCGAGCACCTGGACAATGTTGGGTTCAAAAAGTATCCCATTCATATTAAGAACGTTGGACACACCCATGCGGCCATAATCCGACGGATGGATGTACCTAGATTCGATGAGGGTCACATTGTCGCCAGGCATTGGCTCGACAACTTCGAAGTTTGATCTCACCATAGTCGTCCGTCCTTCTTTGTATCTCCGTTTGGTCCTAGCGAAGTTTCCACGGTGTTTGAACAGACAGCATGGTGCATAGTCAGGAGTTGTTGGTTTTGACATGAGCTAGATAATGTCTTCAGTAGAGTAAAGATGCTTTTCCATTTATTAAGGGATACCCAAGTTGGTCATTGAATAGCGTAGATTCGCATACATAGTAATAATTTAATTGAACCATTCATACTTTAGGCTCGGACCCAACTGGAGATTGACGCTTTCAGCTTCAAACTATATATCTTGTACACCACCACAGCCATATATCGGCCGTCGCAGGGGCGCAACCACCAAGTCCCCGACCTCGGGTTTCCAAGCCGTGTCGCATGCTTGGCCTTATAGGTGGCTATGGCGTCTAGAGCTTCACGAGACAATCGGAGGTCCCGCGTAGGCCAATATGAGGGATTGCGCGCGGCTCTTTAAGCTTGCGTAATAGCACCTGTGGACGGCTGGGATTTTGCGGAAACCTTGGTGAGTAGAGGGGATGTGGAAGAGGCGATAGCGAAGTATAATGTGTTAATTATGGGCCGTGCGACACAGGGCATAAGAGTGGGCCAATTTAATAGCATTGTGATACATAGTAAGGATTGAATACTATGGATCTGGTATGTGCTGTTGGGTCGTTTCGTTGAAGAGTTTGCTGACAGCTTGCAGGATGGGACTGCTGAGATTCGTCACGTGGCTCTTCTTCAAGAAGGTAGAATTGGGTAGGTGGAAAGCGAGAGCACGAGATGGGGCCATGTTTTCTCCAGGTCAAGCATCTCGATGACCTGAAGGCGAATTCACCGTCGGAATCAAGATGACAATGAGTATATGGTACTTTATGACCAATTATTTACGGTAATTGGCCTTGTTCTTTCGGTTTTTGCCTGTTACTATCAAGTCACAATTAGTTTGCAATACAAACTCCCACGTCACCATCTTGCCTTTGAATCTTCCCCCAAGTGATTGGATAAGGCCTGGTGCATGAATGAATTTTGCTTGCTCCCTGGCACATGGAGGTGTACAACCTTTGCGATATCCACGTGCAGACAGATACTCAAACCAAATGTAGCAAAGGACTCTTCTCCACGTGTATATGTTCCACTGTGTGCCGACCATCTTCCTCGATCCCACTCTCTGTGCCTTCTCTTCTATAAGACTCCCTATTCTTTGTTTCAACCACCACCCTCGAAGCAATGGACTCAACTGCGAACCAGTCACTGGAACACGAGAGCCAGCATCAGGAGGGCCGGCAGCAAGGGAACGAACACGCTATTCCAATCGCTTTTAGCAGCACCTCACACCGACGTGCAGCATCCCTCCCTTTCCCTACAGCATCCACAGCCGCTGACGAAGACCGCATCTACAGATATCTTATAACCTTCCATCTCAAATCAAATGGAAGCACCATCTCCAAGCACGGCCCGATTATCGTCAACGACGTGCCATGCATTATCGTAAAACGCTTTGAGGAACCAGGTCGGACTTTTAGAGACATTGCGAACAAAATCACTGCATGCACCGGCTGGAAAAACCAGGAGACTATAATTGAAGAAGATCGGGTGTATAACTCCACATGGGTCATACAGTTCATGTGCCCCACCGTCATGGACGGACGCGGGCGTATGTATCTTATGGGGGAGTTGAGGATGTCGGTGGTGGGCGAATATACGAGGAAGGAGGCACTAGAGAAGTTGTGGGTAGAAGTCGAACAGGATGGTAGCGTTGAGAGAGGTGAAGAGGGAGAAAGCACTGGAGGAGCCGTGGGTAGGAGACCGAGACTCGACGACGGTATTGAGGATTCGGTGGTTTGCGAAGATCACCACGGAAGAGGCGCTGGCGAATACGTGGGTGCGGGCTGAGCAGTAGAACCAATCTGAGTGATCGAAACGAACTGAGGGGTGGAACTGGAGTTGATTCCGTCCCGAGGGTGAATGCCTAATGTAGTGTTATGAGAGTTTAGGGAAGAATCACGCTTTATAGACATGGATTAGACCAGATGAAATGGATCATATAGTTGAGAAAATGGTATTTACGTTCGACATAAACAGTGTGAGGGCAGTTCAGTCCACTTTCGTGGCGCACCTATTATCATTGTACCCATCATACAGGCACAACTCCTACAAGAACAAACGTCAAGCAAGCTCTTTGCTCACCATGATATGGTAGCATCCACTGATTGTCATGTCTAGACAAGTGGCCAAATCAAACGGCTCTCCTAAGACTTGATAAATACTATAGTCTGCCGATCATGTCCATTTCACCAGACCCTTTGAGATACTCTTTCTCAGCCATTACAACCAAAGTGATGGCCTCCCATCCCACCCAGTCACCCGAAGCTGAGTCTTCCACTAGCATCCCTTCAAACCCCCATCAACGTGACCCCTCCCCACACTCTCCACAACTTCCACGGCCGTCGAAGGAAAATCGTCCAAAGCCAGATTCATCATCACCTTCCACACCACATCCGATCCCGGCACTGTCCCTGGCCACCCACATATTACTTTTGATCCCAAGCTCGGCCGCGTACTACACCATTCAGACACACGCCGACACGGGCCTTTAGAGCCATTGCGAGCAACATAGCTAGACACATAAGCTGGCAGGTGGATGTGTCCGTGCGCTCAGTTGACGCTACGGATGATCCGACTTGGGATATTCTATTTAAGTATCACTCTGCGAGGTAGGGAGCTGGTCTGGGGGCACTTATGCTATGGGGGAGGTAAAGATACGGATTTTGGATGACTTGTTGCGAAGGGGGGCCTACCACGAGGCTGTTTGACGGCTGAGTTTTCGCTGTCTGTGTCTGATCTGCCCTCAGACGATCACGGCTAGCAATTATCTAACACTGTAAATTAAGAGGACATGATCTGCCACGTTAGTCTAGCATGACAATACAAGGACGCAGGCAAGACGTGAATTCTAGAGGCGTGGTTGGGAGGTGCATGGCATCTTCGCGCTGAGCAAGCGTTATTCATGGTTCATATAAACAGTGTGAATGTAGTGATTGCCACTTTTGTAGCGCTCCTATTAGCCTAATATCCTTCCTGAGCTTGCTGAAATTAAGCCATCTAGCAGTTGAGATTGATAGCTGCAATACACGTTAGCTCGGGATCACCTCTCATTTCCGCTGGGACGCCAGGAACTTACCATTAGCATACAGCGCGTACGTATCCGCGTTGTTCAACGCATCCGCATTCGACAGCGCCGAAGCAGCCGCGAATCCATATCCCAGATCATCCGTTCCAGGGCTATACACGCTATCAGCATGCGTTTCCTCGTGCAGCACAGTAGTAGCCTGGTCCTGTCCGTGGCACGTGGTAGCAACAGCCGGAAGCGCACTGAAGAAGATGTCGCAGTACGTGATGAAGTTCTGGGTAGGCACAGTGTACGCGAGGACATTCGACGCACAGCCGTTGTACGGGTCGTTGCAGTTAGTAGAAGTAGTGCTGCTTGTGCTGCCGCAGTCGTTCGCGACAGCCGTCAAGCGCCCAGAGACTTCGCTCTTAGTGCTGGTCGAGGCTGACTTGAAGTAAGTGTCGAGCTTGGTGCCCGCGTTCGCGGCGGACGCGGCCGCGGAGGCTTGCTTTTGGCAGTTTGACAGGGCGGTCTGGACGGCGCTGAGCTTGGTGCCGGTGCAGCTGGACCCGACGGTGGTGCGCTTGGTGATCGCTTTGGCGACAGTGGCGGCGACGGCGCCGTCAACGCTCATGGTGAGCTTGTTGGACGAGTAGCCGAGATTCCCGGCGAGCTCGGTGGAGTTGGCTTCGGCATAGGGGAGGAGACCCTTGGCGAAGACGTCGAAGTCGCCGCCATCGTTCAGGGTGTGGAGGGCGGCGGTCTCGACGGTGACTTCTTTCGTCTCGCCGGCCCCGAGGGTGAGGAAGTCATCGGAGCTGAGACCGCTGGTGAGAAGACGGATCTTGATACCCTCGAAAGGAACTTTGGTGCCTGAAACACTGTAAGCAGAGCTCACATGCCGTCCCTGAGAGAACGCAATGCAGGTCATGAGGCCCTGGACGACCGATGGCAGAGAGGCTTGCATAGGCTATGTCGCTCATGCGTGCATGTCTGCCTCAAGCTCCAACTAGAAACTCAACCTAGAGTGTACGGGTAAACTTACTACCACTGTTTGAGTAGACGCTCACTTTCTCGACCGGGTTGACCTCATCCAAGAAAGTACCCTTGCTCAGCAAGTTGAGCGTCTTGTTTCCATTATTCGTGACGGCCACCTTGACCTCAGTGTTACCTGACTTGGACAGAACAATGCTCAAAGGCGACTCGCGCTTGTTGAGATTAACAGAGACAGCGGTGACAGAGGCTACCAGAGCCGCAAGCGTGAACTGAGTGAAGCCTTTCATGATGGAAAACAACAGAAGCGAAGATATAAAAACGAATGTAAAGGAACGAAGGTACTGAAATGAAGCTGCTGAACGAGAGGCTGATCTATTACTGCACGAGGAGGAAGCAGGGCTTTATACATGAACTGCGTCTGTGCCTCCAACAGGAACCGACCGACCACATGGTGGCCCGTTTCTGGGATTACCGAGCTATGCAACATTGCTAATCTGGACTCTGCGGCAGCAGGCTAGCATGAACCCTGGTGTTTCCAAGTGAGCGCTTGTAGGCTGTGGGGCGTTTCATGCGGCTTGTTTCCGAGCAGATGATATAAGCCGCCGAATATGACATTCACAGTAGCATTTTGTACAGCGCAATTGCTTCCCCGCAACAGCTGTGCTGCGTCGAGAACCCGACGATAATAGCGAAAGTAAATTGCAGGTGCTGGATTTCCCTTGGCACGATGTGATGTGAGGGCTTACCGCACGCTAATGGGCTCAGGCGTGCTGTTTCCAGCCGGTGTTTCACAGGGATCTGACTTCTTGTCGACCTTCGTGGCTTTCGTCAGTTCGGCATCAAGAGAAAACGACATTCATGCTCGCAAGAATTCGTGTATTGCACTTTGCAAGAATTTGCCTGAGTTCGGCCCTCTCGACGGCTGAAGCCAGAAACGTGGGCAGAAGATATTGCGACGAGCATCGACGATGATGGGTCGCTTCGATCGTGTTCCACTGTGATATTGCTCTTCAACAACTTCTTTGCTAACCAGGAGACTCGGTGTGATGATCGGCAAGCGTCTAGAACGCAAGACCAGATGAAATTGTGCTTGATGCGATGTTGAATGCGGAGACTTTCCTCGGGAGGAGCGCGGGGATCCAACTCCATCGAGGCAAGCCACGGACGCCGCTTAGATGGCAGTGACAAGTGTGGGGGCAGCCCAGCGGGCCGCGCATTCGTCTCGCCCTTCCGCCACGATGTGTCTGCTTGACGAGGCGGCGCGTTTCGTTTGCGACGTTGCGTTCACGACGAAAGCCTCCTGCTCATTTCAGCGTTAATCTACGCTAGCGCCACAGTCGACGTAGCCGTTCGAGGTCTCACCCCCTTCCCCGCCCGCACGCGAGCTTAACGTGACTTGCCGCCTGCACATTGGCCACGCCTTATATGAAGTCTTTCGCAGCCTGGCGGTCCATGACAATGAGGCAAAAAGCATCCCTGCGGCCTGCGGACATGTGTCCTTGCCAGGCCGCTGTCATTAGTAGCTCGTGCATGGGCTTTCACGTCACCGTCTACAACGACACCACACATAGCTAACCGCCAGCAAACTGATATCCACTCTCACGCCCATCGCCCAAGTCTCGATCGCCAGTCCGACCCTCCTGCCTCTCGCAGCCTAGCGATCTCCACGCCAACGGCACATCTCTGATACCGCGCCGCGCCAAAAGCTTGATCGCAACCAACACCAGACGTCTCACGAACCCACTCCGTCTCAATGAACGGTCGAACAGCCCTCATCGCCGTCTCCGCCGTCACCCTTCTCGGTGCCCTCTACTACTTCAACACCTCCTCTCCCACACTGACCATGTCCCCCTCCACAGCTACAGAAGGCGTCCCGGGCCTCGAATTCAAGCTATCTCAAATCTCCCGGTCACCCCCCTCCCTCCTTGTCACCCTCAAAAACAACAACCCCACCACCCCCTTTACCCTCCTGAAATGGAACACGCCACTCGACCCGCAAGCTGCCAACCTCGGGCTCTTCACGCTCGTCGATGAAGAAGGGAAAGAGATTCCGACTGAGGGGCTTAAAGTGAATCGGTTGATGCCGCCGAGTGCGGAGGATCTGGTAACTGTGGCGCCCGGGACCGAGGAAGCGCACGAGGTCGTCATGGATAAGCCGTGGTTGCCGGAGAGGAAGCCGGCGAAGTACAAGGTCTCTGTCAAGGGAGCCTTTTCGGGGGTTTGGGATAAGTATGGGGGTGACATCGGGACGGGGCAGTTGGAGGCGTATGTGGATTCGCCGTTCCACGGGAGGGCGTTTGAGAGTAATGTGGTTGAGATGAGGGTGGAGTAGCCTGTGAATTTCCTAGCGCTGTGGGGGATGAAGAAGCTTGTTATTCGCTCGCGTGGTACGCGTTGTCTGACTGGGAGAGGTGGCGAGAGCGCAGGGAGGAGATGAGACGGCGATGCGGATTCACATGTGCAATGTCATTGACATTTACCGGGCCGCTGCAGACGATCGTGATAGCGCATGACCTACAACCAAGTCGATTCCCGCACCTGCTTCGCGCCATTCTCAGTATCCTCATGCGCCTCCCTCCATCTCTGCTCCTCAAGCAGCCCCACACCTCGCACAAACGAGCTGCTCGCCCAGAACCCCCCAGTAAAGTCCAGATCATACCAGTAATTCACCGCGCAGCACAAGCCCTCCGCATTGCAGCTCTGGCTCACCTTGTGATACCACAGCGCAGGCAGATACAGCATGTCGCCCTCCTCCAGCGTCACCCTCAGCGGCTGCGAATACCGCGAGAACGGCGTCGCATGCTCCTCAGGTTGATCCGGGTCCCACGTCGCAAACGGGACGTAAGCTTCCTCCTCTCCCTCCCCTGCGCCGTCAATATTCGCTACCATATCCTCCTTCTGAAGGACATCTGACTCTGGCGACCCACCACACGCATACGTCGCCGCCAGCACCGCCCTCTCATTCACACACGGCGCCTCGACCGGTGGAAGCAGCACAAAGTGCTTCTGCCCTAGCACCTGCACGTACACGTTCTCGTAGTTGTCCTTGTGCAGCGCCGTCGTGCTGCCGCTGTTGCCGAGCCAGAAGTTGATGGCGTCGGCGTCGTTCTCGAGCGCGATGCGCGCCCACGATATGCTCGCCGGAACGTCCGCGAACAGCGTCGCGTACTCGCCTCGCAGATTGTCGTTTTGCGTTTGCAGGTAGTACGTCGCGTTATGCTTACTCCACGCAGGATCTAGTTCTTGGTTCTGGATGTGGGATTGCGCGGTGGAGAAGGGGATGGCCGTCTCGAAGGGCTTGACGAAGAGGGCGTGCGTGGGCGAGAGGTGCAGGATGGAATCTGCATTTCCATGCGGCGTGATTGCGACGTTGACGGGAATGGAGCCCATGATGCTCGAGAGATAAGCGGCGTTCCACTTCTTGTGAGATGCCCAGGAAGTTGCGCCTTTCCGGACGACAAAGGGACGATTGCGGGCGACGTAGCGCAAGAATTCGAGGGGGGAGGGTTCTTCGTGGAGTTCATCGATGGTGGTGGGGTTTAGGTCGTGATAGGTGGCGATGAGGTCTACTATACTGTAAGAAAAGCGATCATGGCAGTTTGCGCTCGATGAGAATGAGGAACATGACGTGTGTGAAGAAATAGAAAGCACCTCTTACAGCATCGTGCACAGTTCCATCGCCTTCAAGGCCTGTTGGCGCAGGTCTGCGGTCTTTCTTCAGCTAGAGTAAAGGATACGACTCGTTGGAATCTTATGTACCTGGGAACGGCCTGCTCCGGACTTTTCAGCCCAACCACCCTGGGCTCTGTCATTATTGTATTGCAGTGCTGATGCGGGGAGGTCTCGCGAAGTGCGACCGTCACGGACTTAAGAAACTTGGCGCTCCGAGCTCAAGCTTGAAGCTCTCCAACAACCTACCTCTCACGCGATACCGCAACAACACCACCCACACACCACACAATGCCGCCCCCACGAATACGACCGTCCTCGCTCTTCTTCAGCGCCAAATCACCGCGCGCCCACACCGCCTCCTTCCGTCAACACCTCCGCCCGCAACGCACCCAGACCCTCTCCACGCTCCTCTCCCGCCTGCGCCTCCAGCTCCAGCCCTCCGGCAACTACACCCCCGCCCTAGCTACCTTCCGCATCGCCAAAACCACCGCCAAAATCTTCCTCGCCATACACCTCGTCTTCACCTACATCGGCATGGTCGGCCCCACGCACGGCATCTCCATGGTGCCCACGATCCCGCACTCCTACCGCTCGACCCCCATGATCCTGGTCTCGCACCTGCACCGCCGCGGCCGCAACATTGCCGTGGGCGACGTCGTCACCTTCGACACGCCCGGGCACAAGGACACCAGAGGCTGCAAGCGCGTCGTCGGGATGCCCGGCGATTTCGTCGCTGTGCTGTCAGGAGGCAAGGGAAACGGGGATCTGGGGAAGCGGGACGATGAGGGGGATTGGGCGAACGTGAAGGAGGAGGTTGTCAGGGTGCCCGAGGGGCACGTGTGGCTTGCGGGGGATAATCTGGATTGGAGTAGGGATAGTAGAGTGTTTGGGGCGGTGCCGCTAAATGTGGTGAAGGGGAAAGTGCTCGCGGTGGTGTGGCCGTTGGATGCGGCGAAATGGTTGGGTGGGGAGGAGGGGTTGAGGGATGTGAGCGAGGGCGCGCATGAGCCGCTTGTGACGAGGTGAGGGGTGAGGAAAAAAGACGAAATGATCGCAAGGACGCGTTGTATTATACAGTGTTGCGGTGTACTTGTAGGATCAGGGCGATGGGAGAATGCACAAAGAGCCAATGCGCTGGAGAAGGAGCGATGGAAACGAAGCGTGCCCGTTTGTGAGCACCGAAGGGTGTGTAGGATATTGAGGACTGTCTTAGTCGGGCACTACTAACTATTTGAGTATCACTAGGAGACATAGCATGGGGCTCAATTTAGAGACAGTAGCAATTGGCACTATGGGTATCTCGTCTAAAACATAGGAAAACCAACACATTCTCTAATCCAGCATCCGAACAACCTTCTCACAAGAGCCGAACATCCAACGGCACCTTGACATGCGGCTTGTGCACTTTGTGAGAGCGATCCCCAACCTTGACCTTCACGCCCGTAGCCCCCCTAACGCTGTGCCACACGCTGTCACCGACCTTGATGGGCAGCTTCCTACCCTTCAGCCGCTGATCAATCAGCCACATGCCTACTACAAACTCATCTCGCTTCAGCCTCCCAGCTCCCCTACTATCCACCAGATCCCACACCTCTTCGAGAACGTGTTCGGGCAGGCGACTCCGGCTCCAAATCTCCTTTGCGACAATGTTGAGCACGTCTTGGGATGGGTCATCCTCCGAGGTAGGTTGGGGGGAGCGCGACGACGCGCGGGAGCCTGAAGACGACGCGGCAATGAAGAGGCCTTTGTTGGCTGCCCAGACGCCCTCGTAGCGTTTGCGTTCGCGTTCGGTGATTTGGTCGCGCCAGCGCTTGCGGGTCCCCTCGTGGTGTTTGTTCGGATGCTTGCGACCCATTCCCATGATTCGCGTGCCTTTGCGTTTGTACTTCTCGCTTTCTTCATCGTCTGACGACGAAGGATCTTTTCGCATCGTAGTACGCAGCTTGCCGGTAGGTTGGGGCTTAGGTTTCGGCGGCGATGGAGAGCGACCGAAAGGCGAATGGCTGAAATGATGGTGCTTCCGTACAGGCAATGGCGGGGTTGCAGCCAGATACGGGCTCCCGAGATGGCTGGACGAGGGCCGAGCTGGTGAGACGTTTCGAGAGGAAGCCAATGCGGCTCCCATGATGGCACTGGAGAGGCTTTCCCCGGTCATGTGCTTCGTTATGGATCTTGCCGACTCACGTTGGTAGTTCGAATGGTAAAAGGTGCCGGTTGGTGTGGATGTTCCTGATACTGAAGCTCTCCTAGGAGGGGTGAGCTGTGCAGGCGGAGGAAAGGGAGAAGTAGGCTTGGATGCACGGGCGCGAGTGGGTGAGGGGTTTGACAAGGGCGTAGCAGTACTCGGTCTAGACGCAACCTGTTTTACTTCCCCCTTGGGCTTCGCCGAGCGTCGTGGTGGTGGTATGGTTGGCTTGGGTTTTGGCTTCTCTTCCTGAGTTGAACGAGCAGATACAAAGGACGAAGGAGACGACGGAGTCTCGTTGTGACTCAGAGACGAAGACAGTCTTCTGTAATTGCGTGAGGCAGATCGTGTCATGTCCTCCGACTTTGGGCGGCTATGTGAAGCAGTCTTCGGTGGTGGCTTAGGGTGAGGGTTCGCTGTTTTGACGGCCAGTTTCTCCGAGGTCTCCCGCATCACAGGAGGTGGACCGAAGGTGTCTTTCCGGATGTTCCTGAAGCTGGTATTCTCAGCAGCCCCATCTGCGGAATGCGGCGGGTCAGACAGTGGCTTCGGCTTCGGTTTCACAGGAGGAGGTGTCTTTGTCCGCTGTCTCTCCAGAGGCTCGCCGGCCTTCGGTTCGAGTGGAATCTTGAAAGCGCGCTGTGGCTTGGGTGAGCGGACGGGAGTCGGAGACGTGCGTGAGACTGGCCGGCTTTGCTCAAACATGTTCACCAGCGCGCTGGTCGGGGGGATCGGGGTGTCGTCGGTGGGCCTGTCCAGGCCTGCGTGCTGTGCTCGCGCAATGGCAACCGGGTCCGTCTTGGCCGCGTCCCTGGTCAGCTTGGGCACGTTCTGCTGCCTCGAATCCAGCCGCGCCAGCACATTGCCTACGCTGCCGGGGGGAGGCAGCACATCCCGCTCGTTGACGTCCCGCTCGGTCATGATTGGCGTCGGCGCTCGCTGCGAGATGGGTTTCATGGGGCTGTATCGCGCGGCAGCCAGCCTCGCGGCAATGTTGGAGGGTGATGGTATCCGCTCGAAGCTGTCGTCGGGCACAGCTAGAGTGCTGGAGCTACTGGATTTGCCTGCCCACGCGATCAGTCAGGGCCAGCAAGCGGACGGCCACGGCATACTCAGCGATGGCCTGGGCGAGGCATAGGGCCTGGCAGAACTCCTCGCGCTCCCGCCCGTCCAGTCCCTCGTCACGGGCGTCGCAGTGCCCGATGGCGTCGTGTTCCGCGGCGTTCCACCCGTGCCTGCTTTGGTAGCTGCGAGGAGCGCACCATTGCCCCCGCCCGTGTATGTGTTGGCCAGCGGCTTGGGCTTGACCGGCGGCTTCGAGAAAGCTGACGACGCGCCGCGCAGGGCTGCATCCCGCACATTATACTGGGTGTCGCCGGTGCCTTGCGGGACAAGAGCAGTGCTGCGGGCGCTGGCTGAGCTCATCGAGTGCCCATTGGATGCAGACAAACAGCAGATGCAACGGAGCTAATAGCTTCGTGTCTTGCTCCCCGCATGTGCGTGGCAGCAGCTCCAGGAAGTAATCAACGCGGATTTGAACGAGAGACTGGGGCGAGGAAAGGCGTTGGAGACAATGCACAGCCAGCGCCCAGCATTATGCCTGACGCGTCAGGCCAACTCGGTCCTCCGAGCAATCAGCGGCACGTGATGACGTGAGCTTAGGCGCGTGGTTGCCTGCGGCGCGGCGCAACATCAACAAATATTGCCAGCGACAGGCATTTCTCCTTCTACCCATGTGCACTCACCATGGCAGAAGATATGCCCATGCCGGACGCCGACGCCGTCAAGGAGCAGACGCTCATGTATGGCGGAGAAGAGGATCTGGATGCCAAGTACCCCAATCGGCCCAGCAACATCCACAAGACCCTGCCGTTTCACACACTTTTCAATGAGCTGTTTGATCCGCTGTTGGACACTGTAAAGAAGAACAGGCCCGCAGGCCCGCGTAGGAGGGTCGGCCCTTCCGGACATTCAAATTTGTCACCGCACGAGGCGAGGCGCAACATCATCGAGAGGTACATGGCGCAATGGCGCAAAGAAGTCGGAAATGATTTCTACCCGGCGATGCGACTCATGATCCCAGAGAAAGACCGGGATCGAGCAATGTACGGATTGAAGGAAAAGGCCATTGCAAAGATATTGATCCAGGTCACCAAGATCAACAAAGACTCCGATGATGCCAAGCAAATGATCAACTGGAAGCTGCCTGGTCAATTGCACAAAGCGTCGGCTTCCACCGCGGGAGATTTTGCGGGGCGTTGCTATGAGGTCCTGTCGAAGCGGCCTCTGCGATCGGAAGTCGGCACAATGAGCATCGCAGAAGTGAACAACGCCTTAGATCGACTATCACAAGTGGGAGGAGAGAAAGAGCAGATCAAGATCTTTGAACGGTTCTACCGGCGTATGAACCCGGAAGAGATGACCTGGCTGATCCGGATCATCCTACGGCAAATGAAGATTGGGGCAACTGAGAAGACAATTCTGGACATATGGCATCCAGATGCAGTAGCTCTCTTCAACATCTCATCCAATCTCCGACGAGTATGCTGGGAATTATTCGATCCGGAGGTGCGACTAGATGGCGAAGATACCGGCATTACCCTCATGCAGTGCTTCCAGCCGCAGCTCGCTGCTTTCCAGCCCAAGGTTGGCTCCTTCGACAAAATCGTCGCGAAACTCAAACCGACACCAGAAGATGATTCATTCTGGATAGAGGAGAAGCTCGATGGCGAGAGAATGCAGCTACACATGATGGAAGATCCCTCAGCACCAGGCGGGAGAGTCTTCGGCTTCTGGTCTCGAAAAGCCAAAGACTACGCCTACCTCTACGGGAAGCACTTCACTGGCGACGAAGCCGGAGCCCTGACTCGCTTCATCAAGGACGCGTTCCACAAAAATATCCGAAACATCATCTTAGACGGCGAGATGATCACCTGGGACATGGAAACCGATCATATCGTTGGCTTCGGCACGCTCAAAACCGCGGCCATATCCGAGAAAGAGAACACCACAGGCTCCAACACTGGTCAACGTCCACTTTTCAGAGTTTTCGATTGCTTGTATCTCAACGACACGTTGCTTACGCCTTATACTCTTCGAGACAGAAGAGCGGCGCTTCAAAGTGCAGTCAAAGGCGTACCCCGCCGCATCGAGATCCACCCATACATTGAAGCACACTCTCCCAATCAGGTCGAACCCGAACTCCGTCGAGTGGTCGAAAACGCATCCGAAGGCCTTGTTCTCAAGAATCCACGATCCATGTACAAGCTCAACGAGCGAAACGACGATTGGGTCAAAGTGAAGCCAGAGTACATGTCCGAGTTCGGAGAGATGATAGACTGTGTTGTTATCGGTGGGTACTTTGGATCCGGGCACCGTGGCGGTGCGCACTCTTCCTTCCTGTGCGGTCTGCTCGTCAACAAAAGGGCGAAAGAAGGTGACCCTGACTATGAGAAATGTATCTCTTTCTTCAAAGTTGGTGGTGGCATGAGTAGGGAAGACTACGCCTCCATCCGCGGACGCACAGAGGGTAAATGGAAAGACTGGGACCAGCGCCGGCCTCCTTCCATCATTGAGCTAGGTGGCCACGCAGAGAACCGCCAGCACGAGCGCCCCGATCAATGGATCCACCCTTCCGACTCGGTCGTCCTGGAATGCAAAGCCGCGAGTGTTGAGTCAACCGACAGGTTCCGCCTCGGCCAAACACTGCGCTTCCCACGATTCAAGGCCCTTCGCACCGACAAATCCTGGGACCAAGGCCTCAGTATTGACGAGTTCTGGGAGGTAAAAAACACAGCCGAAACCGAACACGCCGACAAGGAGAAAGAATTCAAAATCGAGCAGAGCCGACGTAAGAAAGCCCGCACCACGAAGAAGCAGCTCGTCGTAGCAGGCAACGACACCCTGCACACACCCTACGCAGGCCCAGCGTCAAAACTCTTCGACGGCCTGCAGATCTATATCATGACAGACCAGGTCCACCCTACCAAGAAATCCAAGGCCGAGCTCGAAGCCCTTGTCAAAGCGCACGGCGCCAAACTCGTCCAGCGCGACACCTCGGACAAAAACCTCGTCGTCGTCGCCGACAAGCGCCTCGTCAAAGTATCCTCCTTGGAAAAACGCGGCCTGACTAACATCGTAAAACCCATCTGGATCCACGACTGCATCCGCCAGAACGAAATCGACGTGGGCGCTCTCCCGTACTTGCTGCCCTACGAGGCGAACAGACACATGTTCTATCTGCTCGATGCGGAGCAGCTGGCGGTAGAAGCGAATATTGACGAAAATGGCGATCCGTATGCGAGGGACATAATGGATGTCGAGGAGATGCGTGGGATTCTAGCGGGCATGCCGAGGAAATCTGAAAAAGGGTTCGATGGCCAAGAGTTCGTGAGGCAGATGGAGGACCATGCGCATTCGATGGCGCATCTCAAGAACTACATGTTTGCTACTATGAAAGTCGCGTTCGCAGACTCCTGTGAAGACGCAGAGTGGAATTTCAGAGCGGTTCTTGCGAGGAATTATATCAGGTTTGCGAGTGGGAGTGTCGCGCAAAGTGAACAGGAAGATGGGATCACGCATGTGGTTGTCCCGGATGGGGGTTATGTGAGTAAGGGAAGGGGGAGGATAACGGGCCTCGCGAGGCAGGTGGGTGTGGAGTGGGTGGAGAAATGCTGGGAGGAGGGGACGAGGGTGGATGAGGAGAGGTTTCAGTGGGGTTGAGGGTTTCTTGGTTGCGCTGATGAGAGCAGTCACGACGTCATGATATAACGTTACCAATTCAATTACGAGTGTCCCAGGAACGAGGTTGTCTTTTTCCAAATATGGAAAATACAAGTCAGAACTCGGAAGACAAGTGCCATAGAGGCGTGTGTGCAAGACGTTGATCCTTGGAATGAGACCAGGCGGAAGAAGAATCGTACAGGTGTCTTCACGAGTATCTCGTTCCCACAATCCGAAAATAAAACACATGCTCCATACTTCCTATCTGCACCTGGAAGGCTGAGGACGAGATTTGGTCCAAGGCGTCCATACTTCTTGGGCGGGCAAGGGTGAAGGAGACAACGGCTGTGGCAGGGTACACTCTGCTGGTCGCGACATGGTAATTCATAGGGGCGAACCGCATTGCAAGGTGAAACCGCAGGTGGCATGAACACAAAGATTCATTGTGATAGAACGTGGGGCTGTTCAGCTGAACAATGTAGTCGTAAAGCATACTGAACATCACCATGGCTAGGCTGTGGGTTCAGGGTATGTCCTGGGAACGCCATAAGGTTTCGCTGGGTGATTTGGAATCGAAAATGGAAGATTCAGGTTGTTATAGAACATGCATGACAGTGAAAGGCTATAAGTTGTTGTTCATGTTCAAGTCGAAGAGTTTGGTCATTTTCGTGGGTGGAGATGCCAACTTTTATATCAAAGAGGGGTCAAACCGAGTCATCGCTACACCGCTCAAAATAACATGGAACACAGTCAGCAGGCGTGTTGTCTAACCTGTGGTAATACATGGACCTATATCTGTGGCGCTGGATACTGGATCCTCACTGAGACATACCATGGCTTAATTAGAAAAGATTTCTCAGGCCTCAAACCACGCTTACGAGATCTAGAATTTGTGCTGACTTCAGTCAGTTATTTATGAGTCGAACGTTTTCGTCGTTTTTGATAGCTCACCAAGTTTAACCAATAATTATGGGGATTATTGGAAGGGCTAGTTCACCAAAGCGATACTCCTCTTGCCACAGTTGGCCGTCAGGGCGTTGTAGCACCACGGTAGGTTGCGCCCCATCTCCAGCCGTGTCCTCCGATATCATAACACCACGCAGCCTTCGCCGCGACGATGCGACTTTGTTTGTGTTGCGTTCCGACTCTTGGAATTGTTTGAGTAGATACCCAATGGATGGCGTTTGCACTTGACTGTTTAAGACGCAAGATCAATATCATTAGCTCAGCTTGATCAGAGCCTCATAATCTCTATCCTTTCAAACATTTCTAATATGTCTGTGGCCGTTCTAGCGTGCTGGAGGTGCTCGTGTTCGAGAAGAGAGATCTAGGATTGAAGTAAGACCTCCGGTAGATTGGCACACACACACATAGAAAAAATAAGATAAGATAAAATGATGTGTCAGCTGGGAAAAGGCCGTCCCTATCATGCATTTCCATATTTACAGATACCGAACCTAAACAACACTCAGCGCCTTCCCAAGCCAAGCCCACCCATAAATCATAACATCGTAACCATTCCCCCAGCCCCACCCAATTAGATATAAAATGACCCCAGGTTCGACTTCAAAAATGTCGCCGTATCGCTCCTAAAATCATCCTTGAGCAGCGTGTTCGAGTTCGCCCCGAATCCCTTCAACTGCTGCCCCGCACTCCACTGCGGCCAGTTATCCTGCCCGCTCCCCTCATTCGGATCCAGATTATACACAAAGCTCAGATAATACGCGCGAATCGATTTCGCCGCGTTGTTGGGTAGCACCCCGTAGAAGACCTGCAGCAAGTCGGAGCCGTGGAATGTGCCCAGGATCGGGGTCCCGTAATCGTAGCTTGAGAGGTACGACCACGAGGGTACGTCGGGGAAGACGCTCGACGTGGTCTCGAGGAACACGCGGCGTGTCAGGGTGAATGTGATGTCGCCGATGAGCGCGGAGATGCGCTTGAACTGGGGGTACCAGTTGTTGAGAAGAAGGGTGCGGAACGGGGAGCCATCCTCGAGGGTGTTTTGGTAGGTTGCGACGAGGCCCGAGAGGACCTTTGTGTCGGCGGTCGGGAAGAAGACCGTAGAGAGGTACTTGGTCACGTCTTGGGTTGTGGTGAGGTTGGGCGTGAAGAGGCCGAAGAGGGTGCCTTCGTCTTCTTGGTCGCCGACGATGAAGGGGACTTTGGCGTATTTGCCGGCTGCAACGAGGGCGTCGGGGGAGGCGGTCAGAGCGCTGCCGTCGGGACGCGGGAGGTATGAGAGAGAGACGGAGCTGTACGAGAGGATGCCGGGAACAGAGTTTGCAGCGTTCAGGAATGTAGTGTAGTCCTTTGAACGAAGGCAGGCGAGCGTGTCAGAGGAGGAGGAGCATCCTGCGTTCTTGACAACAAGATCGTACACAGCCTGGGGCTTAGCGTCATCGACTGGTTTTGCTGGTACGATGGAGCCGGAATTCATGATGCCGGCGCGGAAAAGCGGTTTGCCCTTGTAAGTGTTGTCGCCATCATACATAAGCATCTGGTCAGCTACTGAGATGGCGCCCGCAGATTCTCCCCAAATAGTAACCTTGTCCGGGTCGCCTCCAAAGGCAGCAATGTTGTCTGCTACCCACTTGAGGCCAAGTCGTTGGTCTAGAAGGCCTAGGTTCGCGGAGCCATCTTTCAGGATCTCCTTCCCAGGCAGGAAACCGAAGCCGCCGACGCGGTAGTTGACTGCAACGAAAACGATGGGCTTGCCCTCGCTGAGTGAGCTGGCGATGAGCGATGTTCCATCGTACATTTGCGTAGAGCCGAGTTCAAAGCCGCCACCAAAAATCCAGAAGAGTACGGGAAGTTTCGAAGAGCTGGTAGTGCCGGCAGGTCTTTGAACATTGATGGTTAGACAATCTTCGCCAGCATTGGTCACCGTCTGGAAGAGCGGTGTGTTGAGAATCGTCCCAAGCACGTTTGTGGGGAAGTTGCTCTGGTCAAGGCTGAAGAAGAACTGAGGGCATGCCTTGGGGGTTTGCGAGCCATCGACTTTTCCGACTGAGGATGTGAGCGGCTGTGGTGGCTTCAGGCGAAGGTTCCCTGTAGGTGGTTGCGCGAAAGGTATTCCATTAAAGGTCTCAACGCCCAAGAACGACTTGCCAACAACGGTGGCTCCTGCTGAAGGTGCGATAACCGTGGGAGACGCTCTCTTCTCTAACGGTACCGCTGCTGGAGCCGCAATCACTAGCGGCAATAGTGAGAAAAGAACTGCTGCCTTCATGATGGACTCGTGAAAGACAATGAAAGACAAGGAGAGATCGACCTTGTACCTTCTCCACAACGGTCAAGTTCGGCATGTGCGGTACGGCTCTTTTAAGTCTTCCTTCCACGTACGTTCACAAGCTTCAACGAGACCGGAAATATTTCTGCCCGTACTTGAGGCCTCGGTCAATGCACTGGGCTGGCGCCCTCCGCGAACTAGTGCAAGAAATTATGCCCGATGCCCCGTACCTGCAGGTATATGGTGGCTTGTAGATCGAGTTTGCGGAGGGACCGGTAAGCACGGGCAAGCAGTTGTACTTTCAACGCTACATTTCGTATACATACAAACCAATCATGTTCAGTGTTGGCGAAAAGGCGCCAGGGGTAATACCTACATCCATCGTAGTGGCGGAAGCCGGCGCCAGCGGCAGCGCCTTGTTTGTTTTGCTGCGTGTGGTCATGAGGTTGTTGGCTGGTATTCCGGGCGAATCAGATGACACCCCCCTACATCTTTCGGTGTGCCAACGCGTCCACGACTTGGCCATAGCTCACCGTGGTTAGCTTTCCAATGCTATACCCTGCGCCCATTCGTACAGTTGACATCTCTACGATGCCGGTAATGCGACGGCCAGTTGCATACAATGCGCGAGAACTGCAATGTGCAGCTGCAATGTTGCTGCGCATCTCATCGCAGCATCGAGGTACAAGTTGGTGAAGTCGTATAGACGAAAATTGTGGGCCAGCGGGTTGTGTTTGTGGGGCAATCCTGACTGATGGGTACAGTACTTAGTGACAGTACCCCAGGTTTGCACGGATGAATTGCCGCATTCATGCTTGCGGCAGCGAATTTGCGGGGTAGTGATGTACTACACCTCTCACGGCTGGCGCTCACCCTTCAGCGCCTTCTGAGGTGTTTTCGGGCTTCAAAGCGCCATACGATCGCCCGATGTGCCTCGGTTGCTTGCATGATCGCTGCAGGCTGAAAAGTGCAATAATTTCATGTGGGAGAGCAACAAAGAGACGAAAAGACACGACGGAAAAGGGTTATGTACACGAGCTATAACGGGTAGCAGATGCAAGTACGAAATCGAGCTTCTGGCCCGCATCAAGGAACGGGCGAGGTAATGCGACTCTAAGAGCTGTGGCATTTGCGCGCGAGATCAGGCCAAAATGACTGGCGTGCCTTGACCGCAAGTCTTAGTCCGAGATCGCAAGGCAGAGCCTCTGAATGCCGTGCCGTTGTGGGTACTGGGCCATGTGACCCGTGCGATACTGCAATCTTCCTTACATCGCATGTCGAGTATCGCGGTACACGTGGATAGGAGAGCTTTGCGGCACCTGGTGTGGGCGCCTTGAGATCCGACATTTTACCCGATCTAGTTCATGCTCCGAGATTTCGGCGAAACTGGGAAGGTGCTTTTTGACCGCACATCAATTGGCACCTGGAGAAACCGTGGAGACGTGCTGCGCGTGTACTAGTCTACGGGCATGGGGACAAGTGCGGCCTCTGGACCGAGTCTGAATGTGGAGTAAGCTCACCGTCCAAATCCAATGTTTGACATCTGGCCGATATTGACAACGGAGTGTGTACGCAGCCACGCACGAGCCACTGAAGTGGGTGTTGTATTGCTGGAAATTTCCGGTGGCGGCATGAATATGGAGATCGCAATAGATTGTGCATATTGCTCATTTGGTATGCGGACCCAGTGATCCCGGTGGCTTCTGTCAGCCACAGTTCTAAAAACAATCTTGGTGCAAATCTCCCGGAAGATGGGTGGGTTCTTTTGCTGCGATTCCTGATGTTGGGTTGGGCTACCGATCTATGAGCGACTCTGGGTAATGATGGTAGCGCAGAGCAACAAGAAAGACTGGTTCGGTGTCAACATTGTTTTCGAAGCTGGACGTTTCCTGATGGTAGCCTTGGCTCAGAGCGATGGACTGGACAAGATGTGCAAAGGACACAGCAGTGGTATGTAGTCACTGAAGTTGAAGCTGTGATGCGCTGGGATGCGCTTACATAAGGGGTAGCCACGTGCACACTTGTACCGTAATGCTTGGGTAATGACGTAGCTCGCGCAACGTCATCTGTGGCTCTCTTCAAGCATAGCGATAGCGGGAATGATAACAACTACACCATCTTGATTGCAGTGTAGTACGCAGTGTTCCAGATCTCATCAGCTAGAACTAGTGCCTTGCATCCCGCGCGCAGTGCGCATTGCTTGAACCAGGCGCCGTGATCATGTACAAACACAACCCCGCGGTGACGCGCATTTTCGCAATTCAAGCACTGCGACTTGCTGCACGAGGGGGCTGTGCGAGCTCTTGAACCCTGAATTCGCCAAATACGTCATACAATCCCAGGCACGCCAGAGCTTCATAACATAGTCCTCGCGCTTTGTTGGCCTCCACTCCCAGCCCTTAGCAAACTCACTATTACACCCGACTCCACCACATCCACAAACTCCACATCACCGAGCAGCAACCATGGAGACCATTAGCAATGTCGTCAACACTGTGTCCGCCACAGCCACCAAGGCCATCTGGGGCGAGCCGCAAACCAACGAGACGGCGGGCAACGAGCCTGTCTCTGGCGTTCAGGGCAAGGGCACCGCAGCTGAGCCCTTCGACGGGGGCAACTCCGGTACGCCTTTGTGATTGCGCGTCAATTACTTGTTTGCAGCTCGCATACAAAGTATAACGGAGAATGCGTCGCTGACTTGGCTGTGATATGTAGAAGACCCGGCCGTTTCCACGACCCAGAACGAGACTGCCGGCAAGGAGCCTGTTAGCGGCCTAGAGGGCAAGGGCACAGCTACGGAGCCATTCGACCTGGGCAACTCAGGTACGTAGCTCTCGACTGTCATGGCATCCTGAGTCGCCTTGCTGATCCTTTTCGTGCACAGCGGACGCAACCAACACTGCCACCCTCCCAATTCGTGAGAAGTCAACGACTACCGAGACCGCCGACACACTTACACTCGCCGTGCGACCTGACGAGACTAACACCGCCGGACTTGCTGGCACTACCAACCTCGCCGATACGCTCGCTAAGACGCACCTTACTGACTCCAAGACCGATGGCAACAGCATCGACAAGGACGTCGTTCCTGCCGGCAAGAACGAGCCCGCGCTTGCAGGCTTCGCGGAGAACCGCACTATCGACCCCGAGGATAAGTCGCAGCAACCCGCCGAAGTCTCCAACGCCACGACGGGCGACACGCTCACCTCGACCAAGTCTACCGCCGACACCAGCGCCGGCGTGGCCGGCACCCACAACCTCTCCGATACCCTCGCAAAGACCAACCCGCCGACCGTCTCCTCCGTCACCTCACCCAAGGGCACTCCCGCCGTCGGCAGCGAGGGCCCCGACATGCTCGGCACGACCAAGGGCACTGGCGAGCACAGCGCCACCGGCACCGCTGGTATCGTCCCCACCGGCGTCACAGAATCAAGTCGTACGTCAGCCTCTGCGTCGCGGTCCCGCGGCGACTCGCTCCGCGCTGTACTAGAACGTGCTGATATGGTGACAGGCATAATGGAGACGAAGAGCGAGCAGAAGGACAAGAAGGAGGCCAGTCCGTCCGGCGAGAAGGAGAAGGTCAGCAAGATGGAGAAGCTAAAGGAGAAGCTGCATATTGGCCACAAGCACTAGATGGGAGGTATACAAGAGTTCGGGATTTGTGACTGCATGAGCTGGCCATGTGAGCCTATGTATACGATTTGATGGCGGCTGGATGGATGTATGTTTGTGATACCTTGTGCCCTCCTTAGCCAAGAGGGTCTTTTAATTCCCCCATTAATGTAACTGAATTCTCGATGAACCTTTCTTTTCTTGCGATTTCGAGGTTCGCATCTGCCTCTCGATCCAGACTTCACCATCTCTCAAGTACTCATGGAGAGGGCATACCCGACAATGGATGCAGCATGCGTATATACAAAGCATTGGCCGCTGTGATATGGTATCTAGATCGCTCGCTCTTGTCTACAAAGTGTGCGTATGCATATGCGTGTGTGCCGTGAAATCCCCCATGTCTCACTTCTGAAGCTCCTAGCCTTCACTACTGAGTCGTGTCTATTGATGGTAGGTCATTGTTGTGTAAGCATATGCTTAAACTTCTCAATCTGCGCTTCGATTAGCCTCGCTCAACACACAGATAGATACCCGTCAAACTCACCTTGGTACTCAAATACTTCTCCACCTCCTCACTCTTGATCCCCTTCTCCCCGCCCGTCTTCCACGCAATCGGCACCATCGCCACACGCTCCCTCACCACAACCTCCCTCCCCGGCCCCTCCACCGCCCTCACCTTATCCGGATTATTTGTCAGCAGCCTTATCCCCTCTTCACCCCCTAGCCCCAGATCCACAAGCATGCTCGTCGCGAGCCCGTAGCTCCGCGCGTCCGCCGGGTGCCGCAGCATGATGTTCGCCTCGTACGTGTCGTTGCCTAGGTCCTGTAGGTTGTACGCCTTGAGCTTCTCGCCGAGCCCAATGCCCCGGCCCTCCTGCCGCAGGTAGATGATGACGCCGCCCGAGGGCGACATTTGCGGCGACGACATCAGGCGCGCCGCCTCGTCGAGCTGCTCCCCGCAGTCGCAGCGCGCCGACCACACCGTCTCCCCCGTGTAGCACTCCGAGTGGATGCGCACGAGCGGCAGCTCGGTCCGGCTGTTTGTCTCAGCGGCGTCGCCCGCATCTGACAACGCAGATGACGTCGCCGTGCTACCCCCAGAACTCTGCGGCGCCGCCTTCGGCATCGCGCCCTCCGCACGCTTGATCGCCTCCACCCGACTGTGCGTCCGCCCCGGATACAGCCGCCCCACGTACGCGCCTCGCGTCATGCGCTCGAGCTCCGTCTCGCCCTCGCGCTCGCGGTCCAGGCTCCGGCTGCGGATCTGGTTCCCAAACACAATCGCTAGGTGCTCCTTGGTATCCACGTTGTTGCGATACACATGCAGCCACATCTCGTGGCCCGTCGTCGTGGGTATGCGCGCGCGCACCTCGCACTCGACGACGGGGAGCTGCTCGAGGAGCTCGGGGCGTGGCGAGTCGGTGCCGGAGGGGAGGACCGGGACGGAGCGCGGCGGGCGCGGGCGCGGGTCTGAAGGCGTGGACACGCCGGGCGTCGCGGGGGGCGTGAAGGCGGGGCTTATGAGGGACGGGGGCGGAGGCTGCGAGGGCCGTCGCGCCTTGGGGGGCGTGCTTGCGGCATCGGAGTGGGAGGTGGTGGTGCTGGCAAGGACGTAGTCTTCTGCTTCGAGGTGGTGCGGGTGCTCCGGTCGCGGCGAGTGGAGCGGCGGAAAGGCTGGTGATGAGTGCGCTGGGAGGTCTGGCATCGCTGGCTATGCTATGTACAGACGGAGGGAGGAATTGGGCGGCGGAGGAAGTGCCGAAGAAAAGTGCGAGCCACGATGATGTGACGCTGTGCGGCTATACCGACTCACCGAGGCGAATCGGCGGGGTCGCAGACGGGTTCCGACGACGGGATCGAGTCGGAACCTGGCCGCCCGGCTGCCTGCTTAATAACTCCCCACCACTAACATAATCACCACATAATCAAAGTATTTGCGAGAGACCACCGAATCAGTACTCGGTGCTGTTACTTTGGTCATATTCTTGTGCCTTCCTCGTCCATTGACTACATAGTTCAAGTGAATTCTCGGAGATGTTACCCGCCCATAGCAACCAGAGGCGGGTATCGCACATTGCGCTCAGATACTGAATGCATCCTCTGCGCCGACATCCAACTCTTGTTTCGCCCAACCGGTACGTCACACCACGCCATTGGTAACAACGGTGTACAGCATCCTCTAGTCGACTCGTCGTTCTCTCCCCCACACCTCATCCGCATTCTTCTTGCCCTTGGTCTCCGGCACGAACCAGCTAATGAATACGAAGAAGGCTGCCGAAAGCGCTGCAAAGATGATGTACACCTTGCCGTGAAGTTTCGCACTCGCCAATGGGAAGAATTGCGCAACGAGGAATGTGGCGATCCAGTTTGCCGCCAGCGCAATGCTCTGCGTTGCGCCAACCGCCTCTGGGCCGACAAGTTCAGCGGAGAGGATGAAGGGCACGGGCCCGAGACCGAGCGCAAAACTGGACACAAAAAGCAAAACGGCCACTGCCGACAGGACGGGTATGGCCTTCATAATACCTATAGCAAGAAGGAGAGACGATATGCCCATGCCGGCGAGGGACTGGAGCAGACACGCTTTGCGGCCTAACTTGTCTGGTAGGGGCGCGCAGCCGGTAGTTACGACAATGTTGACGGCAGATACTGCCAAGTTGAGGAGGGCCGAGTTGGACGCCAGCAGGTCTGCCAGTAGCGACACACCGTACATGACGATACTGTTGATACCGCTGAGCTGCTGGGCGAGCATGATCATGATGACGGCAAATGCAGCTTTCTGATAATCGGAGTGGCGAAGCACTTGTGCAATGCTGAGAGCTTCTTCCTTGCCGGACCGCGTCTTCGGCGTGGAGGGCTCCTCGTCGTTTCGTAGCAGTGATTGCTCTTCGTCTGAACGCCGTTAGCATTGGAATATTAGTATAACTCCACACATTGAACATACCTGTGGCTTCCGAAGCCCCATCAACGCCCCAGCTGTTGAACTCATCGTCGATGTCTGTACCCTCACCGCGAATGCTGCGCAATACCTTCTTCGCTTGCGATGAGTGGCCCTGCTCGGCAAGGTACTTAGGGCTCTCCACTGACAAGAGCAGACCCAAGCTCTGTAGCACGCCAATAATGCCGCCAGCCGCCAGAATGACCCTCCAGTATGAATCATGGCTGAGGAAGTAGCCAAGCAGCTGCGTCAGGAGGATGCCCACGTTGCACATGATCTGCGTAAACGCGCCAAAGAAGCCCTTCTGCGCGGGCGGTGCGATCTCTGAGATGTAAATGGGCACCACGACCACGGAGGCGCCAGCGCCCACGCCTGAGAGTAACCTCCCCACAGCCATGACCCCAATGTTCGGCGAAAGGGCCTCAAAAACAGGTCCGATAATGAAGAAGACCGAGGTCAGCTGCATCGTGCGCCGTCGTCCGTATCTTCCTGCCAACGGGCCAGCAGAGAGCGCGCCGAGCAGCCCTCCGAGCGTGTACATGGAGCCCACGACGCCCCATTCCAGATCCTCCATCTTTATGCATTGTGGAAGGTTGGCCGCGGCGGTCGTGATTGAGCTCTTCTTGCAGCGTATGACATCTTCAGGTGCATTGAGCTCGGACTGGGTGTGTCAGTTGTTTATGTTCTGAGTGGAATGATAGGGTCCGTACTAGGTGGAAGCCAAACAGCAGTGGGCCGAGCGTGGCAACGAAGAGGACGTAGACGAAGTAGGGCGTAAGGTCACTGAACCAGGCGCGGGGATTCATGGCGCTCTGTCAACCCTCGAGGAGAGGTGAGAGGTACAGAAGCTGGCGGCGAGACGTGTCAGCCCACTTGTGGCGTCGCGATGGGCATGCACCCAACTATGACATATGCGCGGATATACCACGTACCTTGGGGACTCAGCCGCATATGTACACACTTTCACTGCGCCGTCATGTAGCAGCACGGATGGAGCTCAGCGTGGGCGCGTGGTGAAGCGTGGTTGGCGTGGGGAAGCGGCGACCCTGCTGTGGTTGGCCATCCCTTCCCACACGAGATGTGCGGCTCTGCGGGGAGAGCGTCCAACCACCGAATCGCTGCGCCAACCAGGCTGAGCGTCGCAACATGCCTCTGCATCTGCCTCTGCATCTGCATCTGCATCGCTGACCGCCGTGCATCGTGCTCCACCCATCACCACGGGCAGCTGCCACCTGAGCTGCCAGCTCCACATCCCTCGCCGCAACCGCGGCCTGCGCGCCGCATCTGCCGACTGTGGACCGGAGACCCTTCTAAACGAGCAGCACGCAATGACCTAAGATGAATCAGCCCTCCACCAGTAATCCTCCTTCAGGAGACCCGCCGTCCGCCAGCGCCCGACCACAGCTCCGGAACAGTGTCGTGGCCGCCTTCAACGGTGCGTGGCTCTCGATTCATCTCACCCACTTATCGAGCGAGATAGGAGTGCGTAGCGCCACCGCCCAAGCCCCATAATAATTCTGTACTTCCGTTTCGCGTTTCTTTTGTTCCCAGGGGCTCTGCGGAGCGAGCGCCTGCTGATCACCCTTCGCTTGATCGTTTGCCTGCGTTCCGAACCCGGAACCTGGCCATTTCCTACATCTGACCTGCATTCTTCCATGCCTGTGTTCATGTCCGTCATCTCAATAGTCCTTCCTACCCCCTAAAACATCCCTCACAATCTCCCTCATCGTCATGAAGAAGTACTGAACCACTGTCGGACAGATCCGGCCGACTCAAGAGACGCAATGTTTACCGGTTACAACACCAAGAAGCGCGTCAACGAGCGATACAAAATCATCGGATTTATCTCGAGTGGTACCTATGGCAGGGTTTACAAGGCCGAGAGTCGCAATGCGAACCCACCTAACTCGAAGCTCTTTGCTATCAAGAAGTTCAAGCCAGACAAAGAAGGAGAGCTGCAGTATTCCGGGATTAGTCAGTCCGCGATAAGAGAGATGGCGTTGTGCACTGAGCTTGCACACCCCAACGTTGTCCACACCGTCGAGATTATCCTCGAAGAGAAGTGTATTTTTATTGTCTTCGAGTACGCGGAGCACGACCTGTTGCAAATCATCCATCATCACAATACGGGTGGTCAAGGCGGACGACAAGCTATCCCTGCCAGGACGATCAAGAGCATCTTGTGGCAATTATTACAGGTAAGCAACGCGATGTTAGAGTTCACCACTAAATCTAATATGAACAGGGACTGGTGTATCTGCACAGGAACTGGGTCATGCACCGCGACCTGAAGCCCGCCAACATAATGGTCACCTCGGCTGGTAAGGTAAAAATTGGAGACTTGGGATTAGCGCGCCTTTTCTACAAGCCCCTGCAGTCTCTTTTCTCTGGAGACAAAGTCGTCGTCACGATATGGTATCGTGCTCCAGAACTCCTTCTGGGTAGTCGCCACTACACACCTGCAGTTGATCTTTGGGCTGTGGGTTGTATCTTTGCCGAACTGTTATCTTTGCGGCCGATCTTCAAGGGCGAAGAAGCCAAGATGGATGGGAAAAAGACGGTACCTTTCCAACGCAACCAGATGCAAAAAATCGTTGAGATTGTGGGAATGCCGTCAAAGGAGCGCTGGCCACTTCTTACCTCGATGCCCGAATTTCCACAACTGTCTTCCCTAGCAGCCGGCAACGCACGTTTTCATCGACCCCAAGGTTTAGAGAACTGGTATCAGGGTTGTCTCAAGAACAATCTGTATCCCCCTGGGTCTGGGCCGGACACCCCAGGCCCTGAAGGTTTTGATCTCTTGCAACAGTTGCTGGAATATGACCCGCAGAAAAGGCTGACTGCAGAAAATGCGCTGCAGCATCCTTACTTCACGAGCCATGGCAACCCAAGTGAGAACTGTTTCGAGGAAAGCAAGATCAAATACCCAGTGCGGAGAGTCAGTCAAGAGGATAATGACATCAGGACAGGGAGCCTGCCAGGCACGAAGAGGAGTGGGCTACCGGATGATTCGCTGATTGGGAGGCCCGCCAAGAGGCTGAAGGAAGGCTAAAGAACGTGCACGATACCAGAGCGCTCGACGTACCGTTTGAGCGCGCTATGCCCAAGCAATGCCACGCACCTCTCACAGCAGGTCACAGCCATCCATTGGCCAGAGCCACGTGATGGCTAAGTTAACGACCCAAGCGCCACTTACTCCTTGTACAATGAAACAACATCACTTTCACCGTCGGCCACCGGCTTCTATCCGAACACGCTTCTTATTGGCAGTCACACAACCTAGATGAGGCGACGTTGCCCCAGGTGTCAGTTCCGCAACGATGTGCGCTATTTTCGAGTCCACACCAAGGATTCGACACGGGTCTGTGCATATGTGGTCGCAACGCAGTCATCAGGAGCAACACGATTTTAGCGAGCCGATCCAGACCATGACCAGTCGTAATAACAACGAACGTGCGTCGCAGGTTTGGGAACGTTTGGCGCGAGGTTCAAAGATGGTTGCACAAGGGGCTTGTTATATGGGACATTGATAGAGTGGAGATGCAGCAGAGATGGCACACAGTGGCATGTGCATACACGGCAGCTGTACGTGTATCCAGACACCATGCGTGGGTGTAACAGTCGATGCTTCGACAGCTGGGGTACACTATCGAATCTCTCCAAATACCCTTACCGCGATTTATCATACATCACACCTTTTTGCAGTGCTCCACCAGCTACATTTGCCTACCCCATTTGTCTCCCGAACTATTTTTCTCATCTCTTTTGCACGGTAGTGCCAACTCGTCCGCATAAGTCATTGGGCCTCACTGCGTACTAAAGCAGGTTCCATGGACAGGCGACAAAGATTGCACGCGGCTGGACTATCAGTGGATCTGTGTCGTGGTCCGCACCTGTTTGTGCACCGAGTATTGGGCATCTATGGCTATATCAACGCAAAGCACCTCCCAATTTCCTAATTCGATTGGTTTGCTGATCGGCTAGTAACGCCGGTGCCTGGTCACGATGGCGAAACGTTTGCGATACCTCGTCTCCAATCCTGGCTCAACGTCATGATAGACGCGTCGAGCCCCTACATACGAATCTTACACCTGATCCGAGCTGACACCGACGACGCAGTTGGCAGCTATGTCCATCATCGCCGCATGGAATTCCAAGTGCGGCGTTCAGGTGAACCACGTCGAAAATCGAACGAGGTGGTAAACCCCGGATCATGACGCTTTAAACCGGTTTGATAACAATGACATTATAGACTGAGGACCCACTGGTTCCCATATGCGACGTACACAAGCATACACGGCCGCTTAGTGTTTGCGCGACGGCAGGTGAAGCAAGAAAGGTGCAACCGCAGCAACCACGCCACCGCCCGAACGCACCTGCTTCATATCAACCGCTCACACTTTACCCCGCATTTCGGCTGGCTCGCTCTCTTCTACTTATTCTTCACTTCAATCCTCGCCCTCGACACCTAGTCGCTCATTTATCTCCCACCGTGCACGACATTGCGTCTGCCGATCTACTGTACTCACCTGGATCCTCGGCTCCCTTTCCGTATCCCTTTCGAGTCCCCAATCTTCGGTAGCTGCCCGCTATCCAGTCACTCGCTATGAAGCTTTTCGCCCTCGTAACCGCTCTGGCAGCTGCCGCGCTGGCAGCCCCGAATCACGCCCTCGCCGCTCGCGATGCCCGCGATAGCAGCGAGATTCCCGGTATCGAAGACCAGAAGTTCATTAGTACTGTGCTTAATGCTCACTGGTACTGGCGCCGCATCCACTGCGCCCAAGATCTCCAATGGAACGTGACCCTTGCAGCAATGGCCCAGAAAGACATCCGTACTTGTACGAAGGATGTGGAACATATGATAAGTGGCGACGTCTCCATATCAGCCGTTGGACGCTGACACTCATAGCACCGAGCCGGTAGCAACCTCAGCGGCCAAGGACCCTCACCGAAGAAGTACGACGAGTGGGTTGAGTGGGCACGCGTCATGGTCCACGGGTGGCACGAGGAAGAGACGTTCTGGGACTATTCGGCACGCATGGCCAAGGGCAAGCACCAGGTCTACCACTTCACTCAGCTGGTCTGGCGAGACTCGAGCCAACTTGGCTGCGCTCTCACCGACTGCTCCGATGTTGAGGGTGCGCGCTTCCCAGGCCGAATCTACTGCTGTACGTGCTGCATGCTTGAAGGGTGTTCTAACTGACCTATACAGACTACGACCCCATCGGCAACAATATCGCAGGAAACTTCATGCAAGAGAACGTGTGGCCGCCGGTCTGTGCCGACCCTAGCAAGGCGGAGCTTGAGGCTCGCTTCGGCTTCTGAGACATGGGAATATGCGCTGGTTGAGGAAAATTGACAGAAGGCTCATATCGAGTTACAGCCGCGACGAACCATGATCGGTTCATACTCGACCCATCTTCGACTGCCTGCCGGCTCCCCTAGGTTGTTACTTGGAAGCCTGGCTCAGGAAAGTCGCTGTCGTGGGTTCTCTGCAAGGACGATGCTGTGGCATTATCTTCGAAGCCTGCACATGATGCGATTGCTCCCTCTGATTCGGAAAACGATCGGGTTTTATCGCTTTGAACATAGTTGGGAATAGCTTGCAATACCAGTCTTCCTAAAGAGGATCATCTGTGCCCACTCGGATATGGTGGTCTTCACGGACTCAAATTCCACACACTTCATTCCATCACCCTCCGAATATCCCAGGTTCATGTTTCTATCCACCTTTCACTCGTCGTGCACCTTTTCACGATTCCTTTTCCACCTGCTCCAGCACCTTCCCGTACTCCCCCACCTCCTTTGCCCCCACAAGCGTGAAATCCCGCCGTCGCCCCTCCACCACAACATACGGCACGCTATCCACCCCATTCCCCACTTGCTCCCTCATCGCGCTCTTAACCTCCGCCAACCCCTTCTTCTCATCCCCTACCACCTTCTCCACCTCTCCATCGCTAAGCCCTGCGGCTGCACATGCGCTTCGCAGGGTAGACTCGGAAGAGGGATGCAGGCCGTTGATGAAGTAGGATTCGTAGAGACTGGTAAGCAAAGAGAGAGCGCTGTCTGCGCCGTGGGTTTCTTGAACGGTGTGTAGGATGCGGTGCGCTGGGAGTGTGTTGGCCATTGTGCCGTGTGGTGTCCACTCGATGCCCTCGGTCTTAAACAGTTGCTTCATGTAGTCGATGTACTTCTTCATCGTCTCGTCATTGCCGTTATACTTTTCTTTGAGATACCTAGAAGGAGGTTAGGGAAGGAGCGGAAAGGAGAGATGGGGGAGGAGGAGGACGTGCCAAGCGTATTTGTCCTCGCCTTCGGTGCCGAAGTCGGGGTATAGTTGGTAGGGTACGAATTGTAAGGTGAATGTTACTTTATCGGAGGAGAAGGTGGAAAGGGCGCGGCGGAGGCGGAGGAGGGCGAGGTATGTCCTGTCTGGTTGTCAGGTTCTAGCTTGGCAATAAAGGTCGCGGCAGGGGGAAAGCATGGTGTTGGACATGGGCAGATGATAGGAGAGTCCGGAGGCGTGTCTCAGATGCATAGTTGGCGTTAGTAGTGGAGGAAGGGATATGTACGAGTTGCATACACGCCGGGATGAACTTACCACGGGCAGATGGTGTCAAGGGTGAATGATATGGTGGATGCGTAAGGCATTGTGAAGTTCGTGATGCGAGCGTGCTTTACGGCTGTGTGACTTTATCGGCGAAAAGCTCGTAGTGGATTGCCTTCTCGAATCACGAAGCGGATTGAATTCCGAACCAGTCGCAGTCGTGTCTGAATAGCTGTGGTGTTGTAGCCCGAATGGTGTGGTAGTGCAAACGGTGGCAAATCCGCGCGGTGATTAGTTGCAAGTCTAGAGATTTCTCTCAACATCCGTCGTATGCACAGGAAGTCAAAAATATTGAATTAGAATAGAGATGTTGTAGTACAGTGATATGGCGAATGCAGGTACGATAGAGTTCCGGACCCCGCCGCGGGGTTACGGGCGCTAGCGTAGTGACCCTTTAGTCCGCCACGGTCTATTAACGTTCTTTCATCAACATCCGAGTATCGAAATTGCAATCATGATGCGTGCACATTTCTTTTGTCATAGCATCTTGCGATGGCCGTTTCTCGGCAAGAATATAATTTGCTGTGACTCCGAATCCGTTCTGCTGTTCGTATTTTCGCGTTTGATATGGACGTGGAAACCTCCCTGCGCGCACATACCGTTGAGGATGAGCCGTGGTCCTGGCATTGATGACTTAAATGCCCCTTAGGGTCTGGGGGTGTAGATCCTGAGTTGGAGACGATGAGCATTGCGAGAGACTCTGGACCGTTCATTTGGTCGGTATCTGCTCCATACTGGGAAAATGCGAATTCTCACTTGTGTGAATTTGGAGTCGATCATGAGCAAGCGGGAGACGCCCACGAGTGCCCGGGAAGCGTCCGCGAGGTGAGGGGGTAACAAACCACAAAAATGACCCAGACCAAGCCTTGACGAACTATTACAAGACATTATGGGCTTGTGCACGCTGCTTCCTCTCAATGCGCATGTAAAGTAAGCAAATCCCAAGTGAGGAGAAGTCGTGTGAAGCACACCACGGTCACGTATACTGACACGACTTGCGGAAGAACTTGGGCGGGGAAGAGATCAATGAATTGATGAGCTGGCTGTGCTAAGCAGTGATATAGGCTAGTTCTCGATGGAGAAGTGCTAAGCATCTCCGTCCTGGTTTTATCTTGACCTCAGAGCTTCCATCCGACAACAATCGACACTTCCTTGCAAACTGGACACATCAGCTCTGAATTTGGGGCTAAGGTCGTTCCACTTACGGTCATTTATTTGCCTCCAGACTCGCAAAGCTTGCAGCCTCCAGTGCAGGGGTCGCACAGGCAGTAGCAAACACCACGCTCAAGGAGACCGTCGACGGGCTTCTCGATAGCAGTGGTCCCGGGAACCGGGTTGGCGAGGACGGTCAAAGCCATAGTGGCGAGGACGACGAGAGTGGCCTTGAGCTGCATCTTGAAGAAGTGAAGTGTAGTGAGTGCTTCTGTAGTGTAGCGAAAGAGTTGTTCAGTGCAGTAGGGTGAAGATGTGTCCTAGGGGGATTCACGACTCGCCTTTATACCTTTGAGACGTTGCCAAGCTACCCTAGATTGGTCGTGAAATGATACCTCTCGTTGTTCGGTTAGATACGGGGCACGCTGCGTAACTGGGGTACTCGCGCGAGTGCAGGGCAGAATGGTACGAAGGATTAAGATGTCCACGCTGCGAATGCTGACCTTCCTTCAAGTGGAAGGCGCTCTTCAGTGGCTATCATGCAATCCTCACGAAGCGTGTGCAGGTGGCCAAATCTCGGAAGAGGAGAGCGAGTATCAATGAGCAGTCTGCTGCCTGAGTTCACGTGGTGATGCACCACCCGTGGACATCCAGGTGTTCGGAACGAGATCATTCCCATTTTCTGGTCGAACCGACCTTGTCGCAAGCATCATGCACATAATGGATCCCAAGAGCTTGGGTATGCTTACCTTTCGCACAAGCAACAACAAGAATAATGGCGTTATAGATAGAGGCTGCTAGCGTCATAGGTAGGTGGACCGGTTAATTGGGCGCTCGGTGTTGTAAGATCGACATGACTCGCGCGAGAGGACATATCGTAAGGAGAAGGTGCTGCAAAGCTCACCAACAAGACTAGCGCAGATATGTAGCAGTGGTGGGGAAAGATGCAGGTGAAGGAAGATAGACGTGTGTTCCAGGCTGCCATCTGTCGCAAGGAATCTGATAAACTTAAGCGGGGGTTGGCTTGCAACGACCGATAGTAATAGGATGCTTATTGGATGAAATAGCAGAATGGCAGCACTATCATGCGTTGGCCTGTTTCGTTTCGAGACTCTTGGATTCAATCCGCACATCTTGGCTTTGGCTTGATTGTTTCTGCATTGACGGCCCCATACTCTTATCTTGACTGGTGCTAACGTTGAATACCAAGTACATTGGCTTAGTGTTAGACTGCGGTTGGTAGACTCGCCCGAGAGACACATCAGCACGGGCGAGAGCTTTCTCATCTTGCTCACTCTTCCCTCGTTATCTTTTGATTTATCGTAAGCAATGTAGGGTACTGTCTCATTGAGATCAAAACATAGGTGGTTGTTTGCATGTCCGATGTGGTTTTCTGTTTTCTGGGACAACGTAAGATACCAGCATTTTCTTGGGAAGGGACAGACAGTAGTCGCCGTGATGATGACAGCGAGGGGCCATCAAATTGGAGTAATCGGGCTATTTGTGGACCAACGGGTAGTGATGTTGTATAACACCCAGCTGTACCAGGGGCCGGGTGCATGATTCGGAGTGGACATACTTACGTGTAAGCCCCAGTTCCACCCATTCTCACTACAGAGTCCTGAAGTAGTCACTTCTGTAGTGATCCAGTGGTGAAACCTTCCCACGCTGTCCTCAAACTGAGCTTACAGCTGACCGATGAAGGCGTTTTTGAGCCTTTCAATCTCTCGATAAAGCGTTGTTCGACGACTTTGGACGTTGCTTCATCCCATTTACCACTGAGATCGACGGTGCTAAGATTGAGACTACCTAATTGGCGACTTGTTTCGGCAAAGTAACGCATGATCCATAAGGGGCTGAGGCAATTTCGCAAGGGTAGATGGGCCAGGGTGCGTAGTCCTAAACATCGCAGGCTCGCCCTAATATTTTTCCTTGCACGGAGGAGGCTTGTGCGGAGGAATTCAAGCTTCGCAAGCGACTCCATGTGGCAGTGTCTTCATAACCACTGGTCCATGAAGAAAGTTGACAGAAGATATGCTTCCGTTCGAGCTGAGCGTGCTTGCAGTGATTTACGGCCTAGTGATGCTATTGTACGATGCAGCTTGATTAGTATCCGAGGCTAAGCGGAAGATCGCGTCTTTCGGTGTGCCCAGGTTGCTCTTCCCGCGCATGTTGATATTACAGAATACGTCACGTGGCTTCTTATATCCAACCTACATCGTGAATGCTCCTCTCAGGTAGACTCTTCCGAGGTCCGAGGTTGGTTGGACTCCAGTCCGAGGGACTCCTACGGCAGGCAAGGCTGTTGTCGTCAAATTCGGTATGGCGATGATAATTCGCACGACTTCAGCGTATGTTTCCGGGTCTAATGAAGATTTGGGACAGACTCTGAGGTCCGTACAAATCTCGAGCTCGACCAAACGGGCGACGAGTATGGCTTTCTACTGGGACTCGCGGGTTTCTCCGCAGCCGACGAGCAGGCTACGAGTATGATCGTGGATGCTTTTGAGCTGGGTCTCACGCACTGAGAATACCGACAGATTCTTTGAAACGGCCTTTCCATCCTCATTTGCTTGAAGAGAGAGAGAGACAGCGAAAGACACGCTGAGACGAGATTCAGTTCCACTCCTTGGTCACCAATCTCAGCCTAGAGGTGGGGTTTCCCAGTCACACTAAGGAATTGCAGTCAGTAAACATATGTCATGGCACAAGCTCTTGACACGAGCGGCCTCTGAAATCATCAAATATAGTACACTGTGCGAACCTTTGACGTAGCAAAGCACCAAAACCACGCAAGGTACTGCCCGCAGCTATTTCGTTTCACCTTCCACTATTGCTGTCAAGATGTTGTAAGGATTCCGAGTCACATCCGCTCTTACAGACAACGAGTTGTCTCTGTCATGTAAACCGTTCGCGTATTTCTGGGCTTGTTCACGGGAGCTGCTTTACATTGGAATACAGTCGGCGCAAAGTTCTCGCTTGATGATAGGACGCGTAACGCGTTCGGCTACTTATTGCATGCAAGGTCCCTATACGAATCAGTACAAGGATGTCCAAAACCCGCGGCCGGTGCACGGCCTCGACTATGCATTAAACAGTAAAAGTGGCTTGAAACCTCCTATTCTTAGTATGCTATGTCATCAAAACCTACTGAAAATGCAGCGCTCGGCATTACGGAACCCGTCCACCTGATCATGCCTCTTATAGTACGTTCACGCGGATCGACTGCTGCCTAAGGAAATATTGGAGATCCTCCTCGCCGCACGGTGCCCGACAGGTCGACACGAACTCAAGATCTGTAGAAGAAGACTTCCGTGTGGGTCATTGAATATCCAGAACGGGGTAGTCAACGCAGCAACCAGCCAATGATGGCGATGCAGGTAATACGCGTTCTCACCACCACTTTAGAGTCACACCTCATTTTGTCATGGAACCGTGGGAAAAGGTTCCATGAAATGTGAAGATATCATGTTCCAATCTCGAGAACCATATTTCCCCTTCTAGCTCTTTGATGTGTTCGAAACTGCACACTGTGCTTGCGTGACTATCCCCTAGCTTTTCCCGTCTTGACTCGTAAAGCCACATCGCGATATCAAGTGCTTCCTCAAACTTCATTTGCTCGTGCAATATGGAGGATAAGTGCTGCAACGTGACGAAAGTTCTAGAATCACCTCTGCCATATTTCGTTTCTTCCAACGCAAGGCTTTCACGAACTACGGCTTCTGCCTTTTCATACTCGCCCTGCCGATGAAGAATAGCCGCGATGTTACGCAGTGTTTTCAAGGTGTCAGGATGCGCTTCCGCTAGTGTCGACTTTTGGACCGAGGATATGTCGAGTAACCATACTACAGCTTCGTTCGAAAGCCCTTGACACTCTTTCGTAAGCGCGATGTTCCCTTTGCATTTCAACACCTCGGGATGATCCTGATTGAAAAAGCGCTGAATACCCTCAAGTGCGCGTTGGAACAAGTCCAAGGCCTCGGAATATTGCTTCTGAATCAGGTATGAGACGCCCAGATTGCTCATACTGATCTGTACATCCAGACTGTGGGCACCGAGAAGCATTTTCCGTCCGCGCAAGGCCATTTCGAATATTGCGCGAGCGTTGTCATGCTTGTTTTGACTTTGCAACGAGAGAGCAAGGTTGTTCATCGTTAGAAAAGTTTCAGGGTGCCGTCGGCCGAATAGATGCTGCTTAATGTTCAAAGCTTGACGATGATATCTTTCCGCGTCCTCAAACAGACCTTGGCCCTGGTGAGCCAAGCCAAGATTGTTCAAGCTGTGCACTGTATTCACATCACACGAGCCTACCTCCCACGGTTGGTATTGTACTGCTTCTCGTATAGTTCTTGCAGCCAGCTCAAATAGACCTTGGTGATAGTACACCGCGCCTGACTTACTACGTAGATTCCTCACCAGGTCAGGAGCATGGCCGGTCGATGCGGTCGCCCATGCGATCGTTTGCGCGATAAAGTGAATGGCATAGCTGAGATCACCAAGTATGATCAAACGCTCGCATAGTGATAAAGCCATTTTGATCCAGCGCTGCACGCATGAGGCATGAAGTTCATCCACCTTAGTTACTTCGAAAGCCGTACACAGAACCGAAGCTTGGTGCAGGTCACGGTCAGGTAGAGCTTCGCCGCACGCGAACGTTGTTGTAGACACTGCTCGCATAGCAAGGTCTATCACCTTCTCTCGATTGTGGTACTGCGCGAGTCTAGCTTTCGCCTCTTGCCGTACAAATCGATTCAGTCGCAGGGAAACATCAGCGGTCTCTGACTCGAATAGATAGTAAGCCCTCAGCAGTGCTAGCGCATCTTGATTCTCTCTCGTCTTCACGAGATCCGACAGAAGCATTGTAATACCGGCCGTTTCGTGAAAGCAGGCTAAGCATAGCAATAACGGTATCGAAGTCGCGTTTTGGGATGTTAGAGCTTCCATGGAAATAGTTGATCGGCCAGAAGATTCTTCGTAACTCCCAATCTGATGAGCCGTATATTGACTGAAGTCAGGGCCCGGAAAAGAGGAGCTGGGCGGAGGAAGGAGCGTAGGGGAGTTTCCCAACCGTATGCAGACGCCGGCATCAATGACTGCAAAGGGATGGCACTTCAGGGCACGTGCCAAGCACGTCGCTTTTTCCATATCATCGAAAACCGGGAGCGTGTAGGACAAAAGAAGATGTGTTGCATCTGATAGGGCCAGGCATGAGATCTCCTCAACATTTTTTGGGTGCACAAGTCGCAAGGCGAAGCGAAGATTCCGAGTAGTGATAACTGTGCGGAATTTCCCACTGCCCTCGACCAGAATTTTCAAAGCTTCTGGTAGAACAGTAGTGACGTCCACGCTATCCAGGACGACGATACACCTGGAGGGTACTTTGCAGACACGTGTTCTCAAGGCAGCCAAAGCCTCGGATACTGTACCGGGGTAGGCTATCGTCTTGTCGTCCTGAGACAGCACTCGGCAACTTGCGAGCAAACTAGGCCCAGTCGTTCCATCAACCCAAAACACAGATGTCTGTGGGTCTTCAGCTAGAAGGCTGTGTAGGAGCTCGATTGCGACCGCTGTCTTTCTACCATTCAATCAGTCTGCAACGTCTGAGTCAAGAAACTCGTAGACCTACCCAGTTCCACCTAGTCCTGTCAGAACGACTGATGTGCCATTCGGATTGTTCAATTTGGTGGTCAATCTCTGCAGAAGCGCGTTATGCCCAACAAAGTGAGGATTGCGTTGAGGTAAACCTATCGTGATACCAACGCTCGGCCGAGCCGTTACTGGAGGGCCAGGCTGGAAACTATGAGCGTTTCACATTCCAACGAAAGTATGACAAGATCGATGCCTGTCGACGAGGAGAGCAATACCAAATCAGAGCGTGCAGACCGTGGGATTATATCGCTCGGTACCGAGTAATGCATGTGATGTTGTTCGGCCAGCAAAAGGCTGCTATTCATCAATAAGACATTTGGGTGAGGATGAAGGCCATACAGAATTTGAGCTTGCAAGGCACTTTCTAAGTGTCCAATGGAACCCAAAGCTTTGTTTATATCCCTTTCCTTTCTGATGATATGAACCCGTTTCTTGACTCTGACCATCTTCCCATCTTCCGTAGCCACTGCAAGATCTTGAAGAAGCGAAGCGACATGACGGACATCGCCGACCAGCCTCGCGATGATCTCAGGCTGTACACGTGGCACAAGAGCTGGTTGATTCTGAAGTGTCTCGGCAAGGCTGGCTAGTAACGACGCTCGATCGTTCCACTCGCGTAGTAAAGTTGGCGCATGCCGTAACCGCCGGCGCGTCTCTGGTATACTATTGGCTAATTCGAAGCCATACTTCGCAAGCTGGGTGAGTGCAGCGATGGCACCGACAAACTCCATTCTGACCTTGGGAGGGAAGAGATGATATTTATTGAGGATGGGCTGCGATTTTATGGCTACCCCGCTAAGGCTGACATGATACTGCACCACTGCGCAGGTGGACTTGCAGACGATACGAGGCTGATTGAATGCCAAGAAGATCAGATCGACTGTGACCGGTTGCGCGCGCATCAACCTGTCGAGGCCTTATTGGCTCTGATTTACACTCTGTTGGAATGTGGCGGTGCTATAACTCGCTGGTGCCGACGTCTACTTGAGTATGGAATTCTATAGTAGATCCAATGTTGGTACGTATGAGTTTGGCAGAGAAAAGATTGCTGGGAAGACTGATCTTGTGCTTGCACGTCCGTTGTTCAAACTGTGCCGAATTTGAAAGACTCTTTGAAGTACTCGTCCATCCGATGAATGGACTCCGGAACAATACGTCCAATATTACGGACTTTCATGTTGTCTTCGACGGTGTACACCTTGGCGAAGTTTATGCGCGACATAGGATCCACAGGCCCAATCGACTCATTCTCGACTTTTAGAAAGATGGGGGATTTGGTGAGCGGTTCCAGTGAATGTTTTGGGGGCTCGTCGCCGTGGGCAACCACTGCAGCGTGGTCTCTAGCAATCACGCCAGGTTTACGGGTGCCCTGGCCTCCATACGTGTTGATAGGCAAACACGTGCAATGCCCATGCTGCGGTCGTATCACGACAAATGTCTGGATGTTGACAGAAACCCGTGGGCCAGTCTGGTCCCTGACAGCGTCTCCAGCGGGCTCAGGCCATGGAGTCATAAAAACTCTCCCCTTCTTGAAGAACGCCTTAGGATTGTGGACAATTTCAAATTCTGTTTAAGAATTAGACGAATTCTCTTTGGAACAACGCTAGCGCACCTGTGTCAGGAATATTAAGACCTCGATGATCTTCTCCTACCGCGCTGCTAACGTCGTGTGCAGAAATAGGAGTTATATACGGTGTGGAGTACGTATAAGATGTTTGCGAGTTTGCATAGGTTGATTGATTTTGAGAGATCGGATACCGCGAGGTCGAATATTGAGGGGTTGTATACGATGTGTTCGACCCGTTGTCTTGGAAGGAGTTCTCTTCTCTGTAGTATCGCAATATCAGAGACAGGTGTGCTGGTTCCACGTCGCCTATATCTTTCACCTTGACATTCATTTCAATTGGATAAGACTTCGCATAGTGTATACGACTGGCAGGGTGCATCTGAACTGAAACGTCCGCAGGTACTACTGCAATTGGCTCTTTGCATAAGCCACCCTCCATCTCCCCTGCGAATGTTGTTGGGGCGGTGCCTGAGAGGTAAACGACACTGTGCTCTGATGGAACGCAGCCATGCTTCAGGGTACCCCGTCTTGAGTATGTGGATATCGGACTGTGATGATTAGTATGCTGGACGTTTCAAATGATCAGCTAATACCGTACCAAGCGTATACATATCCCCTTCGGACTTCGACTATCACAAAGCGTCTGATCTGTGAAAATGCGCGTTCACCATATTTAACAACTGTAATGTTGTCGCTGATAGGGGCGAGTTCATTTGCGCTCGCAGCCTGGATATGAAGCATGGAAAATACCTAATACAGTTCATCGCAACCCAACGTGCCATTGCGGGGACCTTACTTTGCCGACCCTGAAGAAATTATATGCCTCACTGCCGGTACGCATGCGATAGCCTAAAAATCAGATTTCTACAAGAAGGAAAATGACAGGGGGTCGAAGGACTTACTGGAGTCGAGTCCTTCGGTCCAGCCATTCTCTGGATCTCCGCGTATGAAGTTTGGCTGCTGTTCACGAATATCTGCGGGTGCGCTTGCGGGTTCGGTTAGGACGCTATCATTCCTCCCCTTCAAGCTCTGGTCCTCATAGGTTCCGCCAATACTACTCGCGACTGGCGTTTCCTCTTTCTGGAAGTGGTAACAATAGTTGCCGGAAGCTGAAAAGATGTTAGTTTTGCGCTTTGCCTCTGACTGAACAGGCGAGGAGATCGCACCGTCGATCGTCACATAGTAATAGTCTTGACGATTTACATCCCAGGCCCATTGCGATGGTGAGCTTTGGGACATCATGTATTGCTCCTCAAGTTCAGGATCGGGTGAGTCCAAAGAATAAGTTTACTGAGGATCAGCCCGACGAGCAGACTGACACCCCATTGTGGATTAGTATAATTCTTGGCGCTTGCCCCGCCAAAACCCTCCAGGCTGCCGCCTCTCACTCTTCGTTTCGCCAGCTGCTTCACATTCCCACAACGTCATCGCTGCAACACCAACACCAAAACCCATCGGGCGGCCTTGCCATCGCTAGCCCAGACGTCAGAGACGGCATCTTTGACCAACTACGACAGTCGCGGTCACGATCCCAGGCCCGCACAACCACCGGCGGCGCCTAGCTTCCCTAGCAAAGCACTGGCATAGACCCTGTGGACCCTGTTGGCTGCAGGCGTAATGACTCCCAGAAGCACCGTTATCGACTGTTCGTACGATAATCTGCGAAGTGAACTGACTCTGGACAATCCGAACGGCTGCGTCTACCACCCCGATCATGACCCCGGACCTGCACATCTACCTGCAAAGCTCCGCGTTAATGTACTTACTACTCCCTGATCGCCGTGTTAAATGGTCCCGGGGATGACTAATTTATGAAGCAGATATCGTCGGAGATGATGCGTCTACATAGCTGGAAACGCCGTGATCATAATCATAACGTCAATGGACGCGGTCCCGATCTTCAACCTACAAATACTCTACCAGAGCCTCACATCTCGGTCGAACGCTCGTCGGGAAACGTGTTGGCCTCGGAGGTAATGACCTCTTTGATCAATATGCGCAATCGTTCTGGGGGTGACTCGCGTGTGGAACCGACCGCCATGCGCAACGACAGAAGCTGCCCACGCCTACGTCTTAACGTGGTGAAGGTTGCTAAGAACCTTATTGGTATGGCCTCTTCCCGTGTCAACAACGCATATAAAGGTCACGAACTCGGTTGCAACACCCCTGTGTCCGACGTAGGCGGTACAGGGACTATACGAAAGAAAGCCGCTCGTCTCTATCCATCACTGAACGACGTATTTCTTGTTCGTTTATATGACAGAGCTTTCAGTCCTAAGCTCAAATGTTTTCCAGTCACACTGCTTGACGTTATCAATACGAATGCTGCTGCTTCTCTCACGGGAGCTCAGCTATGGCCGAAGACCTACCATACCGTTTCTCGCTCGAAGGTCGTTTTCTTTATATATACCATACGTTTTCCTTTTGTCTTGGAGGGGAAGGGCTTCTCACGTTGTCCTCCTCCACCACCGGAGACGGAACCATACACGACAGGGCAGACACAGTAGTTGCCATGGCTTGACTCGATTCTCACGGTCGTTCACGTCATCGTATCTACCGTCTTACTTCTTTTGAAGGTCTGTCCTTGAGTGCTGCCTTCCAAAACTCCATTCGCCAGAATCGCGCGTCTTTCTTTTGTTGAACCCGAATACGTTACCCTCCTTTTGCGTTTGGCTTCCATGTATCTAGTTAGTATCAAGACGGTCGTTACCTCATCTGGACTCCCACAGGCACAGACCGCCATTTGCTCTTACGTTGGTCGACTCCATCAGGTTACTGTCGCAAATCGAAGAATGGCTTTCTCGGCCTGATCAACTCTACAACAGCAGATTTACGGCGAAGATCCACCGGGTGAGCTGAAGTACGAAATTACCATCCAGAGTCGTGGCAATCTCAATGAACCCACTGCCTTCGCTCTCCTAGTCCTCACAAGCATTATGGGAAAGTCTACATCATGCCATGTATAAACATAAATGCGGCCAAATTTTCGCCTCGTAGTGCGGTAAGACTGCGACAATGCCCTGGGCAAGAGTTCCTCTGCAAACATAATTTTGATTTACAATGCTCTCACCACAATTCTACGTGTCCCCATTCCTTTCCGCTATACCAGTTGTGGTTGCTGGGCGGCCGAGACATTTGCGGGAAGACTAGCGCTAATGCTAGCGCGATATCCTCAATTGGTGCGCTACGGCCCTAACGTTGGCGTAATCTTCGAAAATCTTCTCATGCACAGCGCCCACTTCAAGCCCCATCACGAACACGCCTATTATAACAGCAATCATGCCCATTTCCAAGAAAGCTAGGGTATGTGATGTGTCGCTCGAGCCTCTGCGCAGGCGAAGGACGTCCCGCTTACGCGCCCTCGTGTAGGTCCAGCGCGAGCACAAGGCAGCCGAGAAGGCTGGCACCCGCGCACCGGTCAAGGCGAACGGCCTTCCGGTCAAGGCTCCCAAGCCGACTTCCATTGTATGATTGTATCTAATCCCCAACGTCCTCATGCGTCGTGCTCTCGAGCCACCAAAGCAAAGGGCGGCATGACACTGCTGACATTTCGGTCCGGCGGTTAGTGCCAGAATTGCCGCAAGGAAATGGTCTCCACAAACAAGACGCAGTTGATGGATCATGCGTTGACCCACGACCAAAAGTCGTGGACAAAGGAGAAATGCTTCCCTAACGACTTCTCTTGAACGCGTGCAGCAGGGCAGAAAAATAAAAATCTGTATGCGACGCACTCCTGCCACAACAACCGTGAGCAGCCTGTGGGATTGGAATACGTAGCGCTGTAGGGATCCCAGCCTCCACGTTGATTTCCAATTACGTGGCCCGACATAAGGCTGACTCCATGACCCGTTCACGCTGCGGTGAATCTCAATCTCAATAGTCTCAATACAGTCCATGGTCCATTGTGCGATTCCTAGTCTACCTTGCTTAATGCGAAGAAATCAACCATTGATTATTGTTAAAGTGCGGACACACGTTAATCGAACGGATATGAGATGATGTTGATTATCTGCCAAAACAGTGAGACAACCTATATGTTATCAATCTTACCGCCACAAGGGTTGGGGCGCGCATCTAAAGGCTCTCTCGCTTGACGATGTACATACTTGGCACTGCTGCAGTAAGCCTCCTCTTGCCAACCACGCCCTGATCCTAACCTGACGTGACAGCCCAAGCCTCCACGAACTCCTGTGCCCTCGGTCGCTCGTTCGACCACTTGTTTCTGACAGTCTCCCATTGCTGGGGCGTTGGATTCGGCACGCCCGGCTCGATAGCTGGCAGGGCCACTTCGAGATTCGGAAAAGAAGGGGGGCTGGCTGCTTCAGACGCCACGCTTGTCAGATTGAGACGCATTGAGCGGTTCCAGATTGTCACTAGAGATTTCTAGCGGCCGCGGCAAGTGGATCATGCCGGTTAATAGCTGTGTGCAGATGTCGCTGCCAGTGAGCAAGTCGGAGGTGTTACACTTGGGGTCTGTAGGGTCTTGTTTCGGGTCGTCTTGTTTTACATTAGCCTCACAATTCATAGGATATGTTCACAGCTACATTTGTCCCAGAGCGCCCGCGGTAGGCCTAACATGATTGTCTAGCACTTCCATGCAATCGGGTCGTACTTTGAGTTTGGCTGTCTGTCCTTCTGCACTGGTTCTTCCGAAACACCTTGACGACGAGGGTGGACTTTCCTGGGTCACCCGACAACATCGGCTTTACGTAGAGATCCCTCTAGTTGTTCACAGTGGGCGCCTAGCGATCGACCCGCGCGTTGCTGACGGAAGCGCGAGGAGAAAGCGAAGGAAAGATTACCACTCCTGACGTTTCACGGCTGGGTCGTTGCGGGCGTCTGGTCTGATGATAGCTTCGAGTGGAAATGCCTATGCTCTTCACCCGGGCAAATGAAGCGGTCGTACGATACCTGGCTAGTCTCTGCCAGGTCTTTGTATCTCACTTTGTTCTCATCATCTGTCTCTTCAATCAAGTAAAAACGGGTACTGTTTCGAATAGACTGACATTCAAGTTGCTAGTGTGAGGTCTCGACATGCCAACCATGCGTGTAGAATGAGAAGAGACTCCCATTCTGAATTCAAATTTGGCGTGATTTAGGACAGAGGTAGCTGGTAAAAGTGTACATACTGAGAGAATACGCACAAGGGTTGTTGTATTTGCTTCTGCACGAGACGAAGATGTTTCAGGGGTATAGTGCTCCATCCACTTGGAAGCTCCTAAAGCTGTCTGTATGATAGCGGACTTTGATCAAAGTCATCCCATTTGATGGTTCTCCAGCTGAAACGATTGATGAGCCCATTATTCACTTGACAAGGCGAACCTCGGTCGAGGTGGCAGAGTGTTCGGTAACAAGTCTTCCCGAAGCATCGACAGGCCTTCCTTCCGTCGCACTGCCATCGTTGTGGAACAACGGGACGCCGCAGCTGTCTTTACGCCGCGGGTTGCGTGGAGATCTGACGCAACAAAATAGAGACCGGGCACGCCAATCGCTAGCGGATTACTTCTAGTAGCTGTTACGGGGAGGTGATAGACTCTGCTACCAGACCGGCGAAAGGAGAGTCACTGAGCAGGTCGCGCCCAAGCATTTTCTGGTGGAGTTAAACGGATAGAGCTTACCGGTACCCCATATTACCCGCGGCTGCTGTCCACGCAACACAGGCCAGTAAGTTGCCAGCGGTCGCCATGATCTGAATAGTGCATGAGCCAGCTGCATGCATGCATGTTACAGGCCGTCGAACAGCGATGAGGCGTGCGCAGTGGTAGAGGTGATGCCCTGGTAGTGGCTGCGGCCTAGGCTCGGTTAGTTATACAGGCGTGCTCCTGTGGCTGGCTGCACGGTCAGTGACGAGGCCCTAGCCACTAGCTCCATGTCACCTCTAGCTCTCTTAGCCGAGCCCAATAGCACGTACATGACACTTGCGAGATTCAGCGACAAACACTTGCTGTTGCTGGCTGGCTGGAGCGTCTAGACCATATGACTAACGTACACCCGCCCACTGTGCCCATGTTGCGTGCCAAGCCAGAATTGCGTATTCCCCAGCCCAGGTTTGCTGTCAGGCACATGTTCATCAGCGTGTCTTCGAATGCGCACAGTTACTGAGACACAATGTCCCTGCCTTCGCCGACAAACACTGAGTCACCACGCCACCTGGTGCTCCGCGCTCTCGCACAGGGCCAGTCGGACAAGAAGGCAACAGGGAGATTCAAAACTCTAGCACCAGGAGACCAGCAGTCGTTTTCCTTCTTCCGACCGTCGCTGGAAGGCGGCGACTACACCATATCCACGTCTCAGATCATCTCCCATGGCGAGAGCAACCTGCCCCGTGAGGAAGATCGACAGGACTTCACTATGACGCCGCAATTCAAGCTCCCCGACGGTGCCATCAAGTCCATGTATCCGCCTGCTGGACTTGGCGCACCTGTAGAAACGCTACCGCATTTAGTCTTCAGCGATCCATACCTTCCATGGAAACGACATGTTTCGGACCTGGTTCTGACATCCGACGTCTATCGCGTTCCCTGGCTGGCACTCTTGGTTTTCACTGCCGACGAGCTTCTTCTGCCGGGCGAGCATCTTAAAGGTGCCCAGAGTATCCTTCGATACATTAATCATGTCCCTTCTGTAGTACCTGAGCAGGACACGAGTCTTGCGATGTCCATACCTCTCGAGAGTATTAAAGAGCTTGCCAACTGCCAGACGTCAATCAAGGCCGGCAGCACGAGCGATGCCGAAGCAGCCAGCGTCAGCACCATCTTCCTGAAGCCAAGCCTCTTTACTGAGCTCTTCGGAAACAACACCAACACGAATGTAGAACAGAAGCGCCCAGACTTGTCACGTTACGGCTACCTCTCCCACATCCGCCGCGTCGACAAAGAAGCTTTTTACAGCATCGTTCTCTCCCATCGTGTTGGGCCATTCAGTGAGACTGGCCCAGTGCCTGTCATCGTACATCTTGTCTCGCTAGAGGGGATCGAAGATTTGACGCTTCCACTTGCAGCGGAGACACAGTATGTTGCCATTGCCTCGTTGCACAGCTGGTCCTACACCTGTATGCCACCCCAGTCGTTCGACGTTGAAAGCGCCCTGCGCCATCTCGGTGAAACCAGTACCTGGCTGCGTGCTACTGCCTCGGCTCCAGTGTCGGATCCAGATAACCAGCACGTCATTGACCGCATGAGTGATGGGTACACCCTCACAAAATATCGCGTTCAGACGGGCGAGACAACGGCGGCCAAATTCCGCGGCGCATTGACACCCAAGTACATACCCCATCCTTCCTCAACAATATGGAATATGCTCTCAGACTCTGGCATGGATCTTCAAATTCTGGATGAAAAGCTCGGACTGGTGGATATCACCTACTATTCCGCTTGGCAGTTAGGCAAAAAGATGGCGATTGCCGACCGAGCGTTCAGCACCGCTCTGACGAAGCTACGCGCAACAATCCATGTCTTAGCTATGGCGCAGGCCAAAGTGAACATTAATCGAGAAGGTGTAGCCGCTTCCACATCTCGCGTGGTGGGAACGCCGGCCAAGGTGCAGGACGACGCGATCCTGGGAAACAGGACGGGGGACCTAGTCTATCGCTGGATCAGCAACAAGCAGGAGCCAGTTGACCTAACTTTGGGCAACAAGGCGCTGGAGGACAAGTATGCTCGCAACGCACAGAAGGCTGCACAGGAACTGGCCCAGAGCGCCGACGGTGACGAAGAGACGATATACAACGAACTTAACAAGCCCAGGAACACGGATTGGGCGCAGGTGCTGACATGGATCCTGGACAAAATGTTCCTGTCCGACATCCCGTCCCAGTATCTTGTCGTGGACCCGAACCACCTCCCGCTGGAGAGCCTGCGTTTCTTCCACATCGATGCCAACTGGATCGACGCCTTCATCGACGGCGCACTCAGTGTCGGCAGTCATGTGGAGTCGCGCTTTGACAAAGTCCGCGCGTCCATCAAGAGGCTTCTGAATCGCTACGTTACGACGCCTCTCCCGACAGGTCATCTGCCGCCTGTACCGAGCTTCGGCTTCCTCATGCGCTCCGAAATAGTCAGTCGCTTCCCGGACCTGCGTGTGACGGCTGAATTCGATACCCCCCGCATCGATCCGACCCTGCCTTCAACCCTCCGGCAGGTGGTCTTGTCAGACGGCGTACTGCTCTGCCTGCTCGACGTGTCACCCTTCAGCACTGGGTCGAGCCACCTAACGGGGCTGAAGTTCACTCAGCCGCCGCACCAGCAGTCGTTCGCCATCGGCCAACGCCTAACCTTGAACGAGCTAAGCACGTCATATGGAAGGATCTATACGACCTATGACGACGCAAACAGAGGCCAGCCGCTCTGCGAACCGAATCTAGAAGTTCTCAGGCGAAACGCCTCGACCGACGCCACGGACCCGCCCGTATTCAGATGGGGCCCAAACAACAGTGCGCGGACGGTACAGTTCCCCGCCTGGTCAGACCGTCTACTGGAGCTGCTGCAAGACAGCATGCCCAAGGACGAAGGGATCACGTGTGCGGGAACAACCGTGAACTCAGCTATCGTTGGCATCCAACTGACTATGCCCATCAACGAGTCCCACATCCTCACAAATCCAAGTCTACAACCTGTGCAACTTCCTGGTTCCAGCGAGCCGCGGACCTTCTGGGTGCCTGACATACCAGATTGGACCGATGAGCCCGAAAAGACCGACGATAACGGGGGCGAAGAGGTGCCTCTGCTCCCTATCGTAGCTCCGCTTGATCCCCCCGACTCTCAAAGCCGGTTGACAGAGTTGGCTCCAGCGACCGGTCCCTCGCCAGATCAGGTGTGTGCCATGATGCACACGCCAGAGATGGCCAAATTTGTGGCCGCATTGACGGGTACGCCAGATCTCGGGCCCACAACCGGCCCATCAGACAATCCCAGCTACACCCTGCAGATTTCCTCCAATGGCAGCGGCGCCGTCGAGCATGACAGGTCCGTGTGCACAGTGCCCATGGGCGAGCGCCAGGACTTGGTCTTCTCAGTCACATTGGCCAATCCCGATCTAGAAGGCGAATTTTTCATCGATGAGATCCACGTGATAATACCCATGGGTGCACCTAGCGGTGAGGGCAAACATGCGTGTTTGATGCAGCAGTATGATGGGCCGGGCCCGTCGATGCTCAGCAACCTGCGCTTCAATGTGCTTGCCTCAGTCGAAGAGAATGGGGCGAACATGCTATTTCGGCTGGTTCCTCGCACTTCGGGAACCGGGGGGGTGCACTTTAAGCTTGCGAGCGAGATCAGCTTTTTGCTGCACCGGGCCGACATCAATACATTCGCTGAACCCGAGAGGACGGCGCTGGTGACGCTAGTCGAGCGCTACAAGCTGAATGAAACGGTCCGCGTGCATGAGTTTACAAAGGTGCATAGGGTGACTATGATACGCTAGAGCTGTGGGTGGATTTATGTAGGTCATATGGCAGGAGAGTTGGATGTATATTCACATTCGTCCTTGCCCGACTGTTCTCGTATTCGGATGATACATTTCTGGCAAATAATCCATTGATCCCATCGGGCCCACTGACAATCCTTATTGACCATATCCCGGTATTTCCGTTACATTTTCAACAGCCTTTTTGAATTCTTATAAAGCTCTGGCCCCACTTGAAGGATGGTGGAATTTACAAAGCGGGGGTCATTCCTACATACTCCTCATGTTTCAACATCTAAAGAGGCCAATATCGATCCAAGACAGAAAGAGTCTTTGATTCACTAGAGTTTCGGCGCTCAGTCCCTAGCAAGGTGCAACGAGGAAGACAGGATTTGTAAATTCCACATTGGCTAAGCTTACGTAGTGAAAAGATCCACGAACACTTTGGCAAGTTTGTTGGATCTCACCATAGTGATCCTCCCTATACGATAGTGAAACCCGAGAATGTGGGGAAGCGGACCACATAGCTTGGCAATATGAAAGGGGCTTGAACATGTAGTGTAGGTCCGGGTCTCAAATCCACAACAATGGCATTGATATCATCTCCAGTGTTGTTTTCGAATTTATTCCTGGATTAAAGAACCTATATTTACAACGACTATACACGCATTTATCCAGATGATACCGCTCCCAGCGCGAGTCGAACAGCGAAGCCAGAACATCGGCGAGACGTTTCCTCAAGCCTGTCGAGAGATCCGAGCTGAAACCTACATGAGTTTGGGCCTCTGAACGGAGTTAACGCGCCTGTTGCGCGACTGAAAACGAATATCCTAACATGACTCTGCATACTTACGTATCAGTCGCGTCAATTGAGGTCGGCTACTAAACAAAAGCCTCAGAAGCCCAGCACAAACATGTTCAGATGTGCCATTTATGGCATGTCTCACGACGAGCTGGAAGCCTCTGTGACCTTTAGATGCGGCAACTATGTTCTAGGCCCAAGAGAAAATTAGGTATGGCGGCAACGTCTATAGGTGAGCCAGCATCCAAAGCGAGCTAGCAGCATGGATCGACCGCGACAAATCCAAATGCCTCTAAGATAACTCTGACATGCTATATCACATAAATACTAAAAGTTAAAAGTATGAAGTATACGCTGCCCTCAAATAACCCTTAAATTACTAATGTCCCTGACGCTGTTAACACTAGGGTTGCACAAAGTACGAGAAGGTAGGTGAAATCAAGATTTAGACCGGTTCCTCTAGAGGACGATTACTCCAGGTTCCCAAATATATTGCTTCAGTATCCTAAATCGTCAAATAGACCGATTGTTTTCTTCTTCTAGACTAATTGGAAATAGTTAAGGAGGTTGCAAGGGGTACACTCCTTGAATCCTTGGGGGGTCGTAATTTCTGTCCCGGCAACCAACCGAAGACATTCTCTTACTGCAAGAGTAGGTGAGAAGGTATCATACACTTACCGGCAACTGATCTACAGCAACACGGCCAAAGTAAGTTTTGTGTCTTTCCCCACTCTCCTCCCTGCATAACACATCATTTCGCGCACCGCCTCTAATCTCGTCATATGACCCTCCAGATAACCCAAAGTACTTCCTCTTCGTGTGCTTAGGTAAGATCGAGGATTTCAAAAGACTCGGCACAAACCAGCGGGCCGGTGGAAAAATCACCTTTGAGGCGTTTTCTATGGCCGGAAGGACAGCAAGAGCAAGAATTGCTTCTTGGGATTCCACGAAAGCGATAGCAACATCTACCAGGTAAGTTTGGCTGCCGATCCCGTATAGGCGTCTGGATGGACAACCAAGGCTGACGCATCGTACGCACAGGGCCGCTTCGTGAAGTGATCGTGGCAGAAGTACGGGACCATGGTGACTGGCTTCGTTGACGGCTACAAGGACTATGGAAATGCCAGGAAATTGATTCGTCTCTTGACCAAGTGCGCGGGAGACCCATTGAGGAAGTTCAAGGTCGCCGCTTAGCGGTGCTGCGCCCAGGGTTATACCAAGATGCGATGATGGATCTTCTGTAGTGTAGGATGAGCAGTATTGCGAAGCACTTCACGAATTCGAGACGATCCTATGACATGGTAGACGTTCTTCTTTCCATTTAATTGACGTATCATGGTCATGAGAAACACCCACGTAATGTGTTTTCCCAGCTGATATGCAAGAAGAAGATCAACAACACATCTACTTTATCGAGCCCAGCAGCTGAAGATACACTCGTGCCCTATGCCACCCAAATTATTATGACAAGAGAACAGAATATGATTCTAATCCTCGCAAGTCTAATAACAGAACATACGACTCCCAGTGACAACTACCTACTTGGTATAGTCCTCTAGTGTATATGGAGCTAGGACAATCATGCTGCTGTTTTGGCCTAAACCCAGCAGCTGAAAACAACACTCCGACGACTGACGTCCTTGGTGAAATGCGACCTCACAAAATAAGACCCTTCGTGGAAGCTCGTTTCAAGCAGTGTCAAGTTGATTTGATGAACCGCGCAATTGCCTGCTTAATACGGCCTTGCCGGGAAGCAGTTAAATAGGTCACTGAAGCCCCTAGATAGATCTTAGCCTGATCTATTATGTACTGAGTAGATGAAGCCCTTTCAAATCTATATATTTAGGCCTGAGCTATACTTGAGTCTGCTTTAGCGTACATGGAATGCATGGAGGCAATGGCGTTTCTCTACGGAATTGCCATGGACCTTCTGGGAGTTTAGATTGCATGTAGCTCATCCCAAAAGAATTTTATTCTATCTGCTCTGGGATGAGAGAAGTCAGCATTAGCGGGACCAAACCCAAATTACGAATCTGCTTGAACTCCGCACACGGTTCAAATATCAGCACACCCTAGTCTCTGTACCACAATGTGTATAGAGTTGTGCTAAGACAGAGCGAGGTTTGGGCCATCGTCTTAACGGGGCAATTTGGTGATTGTTAATTACTTAGGTTCACGCTTGGAATTTGGAAGCGGTGTCACTAGCATAGTAGTATAAATTAAATTTCTATCATATATAATTTAAGCTAACTAGCACGTCTTTGGTCGGTTGATAAACAACTATCAGACGCCGATCTCTAATCCAGAGGCACGACCGATCAGCGTAGAGAAAAAATTTGACTTGAAATAGGGAGTAGAGTGGCCTGCCGACATTCTTAGTCCTTTTCCATGGCTGTCCCACTGGCACGTCCGCTGTGCTGAGGCCCACCGACAAGTCCTCCCTTGATGGCACCGACAAAGCCGCCAAGCCTCGCAGAAGGCCCTGCAGGGAACCAGTAGACACACTTCGTGTAGTCGACCTCGAACCTCCACCGCTCTCCCGTAGTCGGAGCTACCATCTCCAGCAAATAGCCGGTGTGTCTGGACTTAGGTAAAGGCGTTGCAGAGTTCGTTTCAGAAGACAGGCGAACCATTCCGTTGTTTTGCAGGCTGAATGAGCCGTAGTTTTTGGTTGTCGAAACTTGTTGGGTCCGGGTTCGGAAGAGCACGTTCATTTCCTCCATGAGAACGCCGCTGAAGTAAGTTTGGCCATCGACTTTCGATTCGAAAGTCCAGACCATGAGCGTATACGGGCCGATCTTGGCCCTAAACATGTCCCAGCGTGCACTAACTTGAGCCCAGGCGAACGAATTCCAATTACGTTCTCGTCCGCCGATGCCCTTGAGGACGAAGGGCGTGCCGCGAATGGTGAGGTTAGCTGCCGCGACTCCAACGGGCACGTTCTCCACCCAGTACAGATAGGGCGCAAAAAGGTTGTCTCCATGTGGGTGGGGGTAGATGAGCCCGTTTGGGTACACAGCTGGAGACCGCGCATGCAACGTGAACGTGCCTTGAACCGTGGCCGATTGAACTTTGACAACAGTGCGAGAATAGTCTTCAGAGGTCTCGAACGTCCAATTCATGCCAGATGTCCCGTTGTACCACGTGCCCTTGATCAGGCCCCTGCAAATATTGATCGTAGAATAGTCTGCAAACGTGGACTCCATAAACCTGGTACCATTGGGCCACACCACGGCAAAGAACATCCGTTGGGCCAAGGTATGCCCAGCGACTGTGCCTCGACTAAAGGTGAAGCCCATTCCAGATTCTCCATCGGTAGAAGCGCCCTCGAATGACCAGTCTTCGCCGTTTGTAAGGTTGAAGCCCTGGGTCATGGGTGCGTCAAAATGGATCCAGGGGTTATCGTTCATGGAGACACTCCCATTAACGTAAGTGCCAGCGACCTGGGTATTGGTAGAGCAACGATGTGTATGAAGGGTTAACCCAGTTACACCCGCAGCCAACAAAATGGCGATGAGAAAGATTGATGGCATGCTGAGTGCGCGATGCTATACCGCTTGATGGTCGAGGCGATGCTAGTGTGGAAGGAAAGGTAAATAGTAACCGAGAGCTTGAGAACTAGGAAATAAAGAAATCATGGGAACTTATGTAAAAAAAAAAAGTCAACGCCCTCGACCAAGACTTTGCCAAATTGTCAATCTCCGATCCAAAAAAACTGTTTTTCATCTTGGTCGCCCAGAGGCCGCGTTGCCCTCATGCTCGTTCTAGAAATACACGAACGCCATGTTGAAGAGTCAGCGGAGATATATTTCCAAGCACAGATGTTGATAAGAACATCGTCTTTGGGAAATGTACGAGTGGTTTCATCTAACCTAGTCTGGTTAGGTCGAGAGGGGTCGGAGGATGCGCGTCCCTGTACCAGACTTCGTAAGTTACCTCTTCGAGGCAAAGGCCCATATCACTGGCAGCATCCGCCGTTGTCCGAGACTGAGGCTGGAGCCGCAATTTTCGGCCGTAAACTGCCGCTTACATACCTACCGGTTTCACCAGTTCGGTCGCGGTTCATTGTCATGACCCTCGCCTCCCTCTATCCCTTCCGTTGTGCTGCCCGCACTACACTCCACGACGTCCAACATGAGATTCAGTAAAGTAGAGCTAGATCTGGCTAGCCGCGCCCGCCTCAAACCTGCCATAAGAACTCGACGATCGAAGGGCAAGTCTCGGTTGGGTTGTGTAACATGCAAGGCGCGGAAAGTGAAGGTATGCCGTTATTAATGTCCCAGACCTGGCCGCGCCAATGTACTAAAGACCCTCACTGATTGTTTAGTGTGACGAGTCGCGCCCAACATGCTCCCAGTGCAAGGCTCGTTCTTCTGGTTGCACCTATCCCACCAATGCCGTACCAAGCTGGAACGATCAAGTCATCACGTTCACCCTGCCATTTACCTTCATTGCTGAGACCGAGGTTGCAGAAGGCGAATGCCAGAACAATGTGATACACACCTTAAAGGATCATGGAGAGGCACCTCTCGCCATAACTGATGCTCTCGTCATATTAGGACATCAGATAGTACCTGGGATGGCCGAGTGTGCTCGGCTTTACGATGCCCAAGACGTCTTCCTCATGATGCATTTCAAATCAACCACCAGCATTGATCTGCTCGGGGATCCCAAACTCTGGGCACAACATGCATTACAGCTCGCATTCCAGGTATGATCAATGACGACCTGCATTAGAGTTGAGTCACGTACTGAAACCCGCCTTAGCACAACTTTCTCATGCATGCCGTACTCGCCCTTGCCGCCCGCCATCTCCAGGACGCACCTCAATTGTCTGGGGGACATCCACCTTACGACTACAAGATCCGCGAAGCACATCACCTCCAGAAGACGCTTTCAACCTTCAGCCATGCGTTCAACAACCGCATCCATCCAAACCAAGACGCTGTGCTAGCCACATCTTTTCTCCTTTTCTTCCATATGTCCTCGATTATCGATGTCAACCCGTCCACGACACATCCCTGTGAGGACACGTCCTTCACCTTCCTGCGTGGCATTCAGGCAGTCGTTGCTGATGGGTCTCATGTCGCTCACAGTGGTCGTTACAAGTCACTCGTTGCACCCCCTGCTCATTCACCAGTCATCATTCCACGAACCAAGGCAAGCCCCGGGCCTGTTGCGCTCTTCGCTCACCTTATCCACAACCTACCCCCTCTGTCTCCATTTCTACAGAAAAGAGAGACTTATATCGAGCGCTTCGAGTCTCTCATGCCACATCTGTCTGCGTCTACAGCGCAAGATCTCGACGATGAACCTCTTGAAGAACTACTGTTGTCCCTTCTGAGATGGCAGGCTTTGTGTCCTTCCTTGTTCATTGATATGATCAAAGCGCATGATTGCATCGCTTTGGTGATCTTGGCACATTTCTATGCGGCAATTGGATTCATAGTGTCTCAGGTTAAAAACAGGTGGTGGTGGTTCCAGAGGAAACCTCATCGTATGGTGGAAAATATTGCAGAACACGTTGGTCCTGCTTGGGATATATGGTTACAATGGCCACGCGCAGTCGTGCAAGGATATCAGGGAAACACCACCATGTAGATGAAGCTCATTTTTAAAGAGGCACAAGTTAATCGCAATACGCGAGTTAGAATTATTTTTTGCCATGGAAGACGAAGAAATGCTGTATATATAGGAAGGATAATAACTTTACTAGAATTTTAGTCTAATAGTGCTAGGATCCGCTCGCGCATGGCGCGGGCTTATTAGACCACCGATCTGCGCCGGTCGCCAACTACGTCACGTGACAAGTCACGAGTCCCACGGATCTCAGGACCGCACGGGATTCTGGGACGCATGGGACTCTGGGACGTGTGGGACTTATGAGTATATAGAAACTTGAGTATAAACCTTCATACTCGTGTTCAACCTGTTTATCAATCTATCGTTTGGACTACACTTAGGCCATATTATTGACTTGTTACACTTCGCAAGTTACTGCCGTATCAATAAGACCCTTCCCTCCCCTCAGTTGCCTTGCCCGAGAGCCAACCCTAACCCTTTATGAATAACTACCCTTCTGGATTTAACACAGATTCCGATGTGCACTGATGTGATAGGGCGTGGTTAAGCCAGTACTCGGAGTTAGCCGCATCCGCTGACATATACCTGACTGGACAAGACTGAACCATAATTCTGCCCAGTAGCGCGCCGAATGGGATACATTGCCTTTATTATAGCTGCCATCTCTATTATGCCATTGCCGTCCTCATACCCTTATTATTGCCGATCCCGACGATATTATCTCTGGAATAATACAGGTTCAGTATTGAACCAGCCGCTTATTGGGTGTCTTAAGACGCTCTGCCACAACCCATCAAAGCCACCACAGCCTTGAGATGCTCACCTCTTGGCGTCTCCTGTGCACCAAGTGTTTTGTGATGCTCAGACATTTCTCTCCATTACACTTAGAATCATCAAGTGGGCACCCGTCTCGCCTTGCGTGGACTACTGACTTGCCTACCAACACATTGTTTCTACAGAGCCAGCGTCGCCCAGAGTAAGCAAGTTGTCCTAAGTCCAACCCATAGATTTCCATCACGGTAGAAAGCTAGAGTTATGGCAAGAGAACACAGACACAGATCAGGGTCAAAATTTGCTAAAATTCGGTTATATTCTCGCCATTTTGGCCGGGTCATTGCACATGGCCGGATCCTTGTTATCTCTCTTGCAGCTTCCACTGCAGATACCATTCAGTTACATCATACACTGAGCATTACAGGAGTCGTTGCATTCCAGATCACAGCGCTCCTGTTAACATGGTTAGGGTAACCTTGTGATCGTAAGCCTATTCTCTATCGCCTGGTACTCGCCTTGCAAAAAGGATTGGTAGGGTAGCATAGCGAAGGAGTATAGTAGTAAGAGAGAGGTGATAAGGGCTTGGCAGATTCAGTGCGATGAGTTCTTTTAGCTACCTAGTACCTCGCTTAGCTACCACTATACCTACACAGATGCGACCTCCCCTCCCCCTAAACTACCCCTTTTCCACGCTGATGGCACCGCAACCACTCCTTCACTAGCTTAGGGAAAGGTATCATTAGAATTGTGTGCGCTGGCTCTATCGCTAGGTACCTGAATCATAGAATTTATTATAGGTGACCTGGCCTAACCTTAACCTGGGGACGGGCTTTCATGATGTAGCCAACTTCAAGAACAGCCCACACAAGCTCCATGACTTCTATAGAGCCGATCCAACCCGACCCGGACCTCCACAAAGGCTGGATCACTGGATTCAATGCTGGAAGGCGGATAGGGACGCTGATGACCATCCAGATGACAACAAGCCGATGAATGGGTTGGTTGGGCGATATGGAAAACTTCGCTAAGGAGAAGGATTCGAAGTTGGATGCTGGTGGAATGTTTTACTTAGATCGTGATAATAAGGCACACGTAACGTCCATCCCTACGAAAAGAAAAGCTTTGTGCGAAGGAATCTACAAATCAGATCGTCACGGTCGAAGTAGAGTCCGTAGTCCTTGTTAGCTAATTGGTCGATTCTGGTTCGCCATGTACTTCACCTCATAGGGGTGGACGTTAGGTAGGAATCTTTTCGCAGATTCGGATAGTCTTGGAGTAGGGTTTAACGTTGAGCGCAGGCATGGAAATCGAGTTAGAGCCTTGGTATTGCTACTAGTTAATACACGGATACTAACGTTAATTTGACCCATTGGGTCTTGGCCAAGCTTTGATTTAGAAACGCTCTCTGATGTGCTGGTATGCTTGCCGTCTACCATTCTTGGCAACTTTTAATGCCTATACAAGTCTAATTACATCTGCCAAACTTCACAAGGCGGCCCTTGCGTCAACGCGTTCAGGTTCTCAGATATGGGACTGGTTCTATTCTTAGCCTACTGGTTCCCAGATCTGGTACCTCCTCCTTTTTACTCTAGTCTAAGGCCCCAGGTCCGGGACTGCTTCTATTCTTAGGCTAGAATCTGTATTTGCTACCGCAACTGCCCCAGCCTCTTTTTCAGGTCTGTTTGTCGCACCTCCACTCTAGGTTGTGACTGAGATCACCCCAGTATATGCTACAGCCTCACGAAGGTTTGGCTTCCGGGTGTGCGACTCTAGCTCGTCACGACCCCTGCTACACGGGAGCGGAAATCTTAACTCTATTGAGCTAGCTCCGTGTAGATACAATCACTCCCTATTACTAACCCCAGGTAGAATTACATAAGAAATAACGTGTGCAACTGTGGCTGGTCATTCTGTGGCGTTATACACACCACCCAACCACTGGCTTACATGAAGGTCACTGTGCGTACCTCTCCACCTCTCTATCAACTAACTTAACTTATCTTTTATATATTCGCCACGTCACAAGGTCATGTCCGGAGCGGGTCGGCCATCCTGCCTGCTAGCGGTGGCAAAGAACAATCTGCACCAGACTGAACACTTGCCCAGCTGGTCTAGATCGGATGAGAGCATCACATGGCCAAAGTACTGCTACAACTGCCCTAGTACCTCACTTGTTTCGCCCCTCTAAGGCTGCTACTACATCTAAAATCAAATGACTCACTAACTATCCCTACGCCACATCATGCCCCAAAGTGCACATACTGTGCCCAGAGCAGCGGCCGCTTCCGGTACTCTTTGCTTTCTCGAATCTGCATAACCGCTTTGTGTAATGCTAATGCAACCGTCCTATCATTATTTTCTCTCGCGGCCACATATTGACTAAGTTCAGAATAGAACGATCTCGCAACTGCTACACACACGCTGTCGTCAGATGGCCACAGACACCCAATCACATGTCGAAAGCCAGCGACCTGGAATCCGCTAACAACATGGAGCACTTCATCTAAGAGCCCTTCTGCTTGGTTCTGTGCGGTCGAGCAAGCTGATAGATATGCAATCTCTGCTCGCGAAAGATGGGCTTGAGACACCTCACGAACGCTTAGTCTATCCTGACCTAGCTCTTTAGTAGTTTTTTCGGTTGTCTGCAGTATCAAACCACTCTCGGAAGGATCGCTAGCATTAGATACCCCGTGGCAGGCGAAGTGGGCGATGCTGCACTCTTGGAGTCGAGCCATAGTGCTCGCGACGTCCGGGTACTCTAGACTTTCTATAGACGCAGAGTATTCTAGAGCTGCTCTAACCTCGTGTGTCTCCTCTCTTGTAGCTGGAAGGTCGCGTGCACCAGGAGTCTTGGGCATAGTTATGGTAAGTACTTTCCAAGGATCGTAGCAAGATGGGCCAATGGATTTGGCACGCTGTTGAGCATACTGCAGGGCTTTGATTGTTGGTGTGTAGGAGGAAATGGCTCGATAATACGCGCATTCAGTCGGTCCAGCAGACGCGTCCCCTGCAGAATGGAAAGGGAAGGAGGTAGCGAGACCCGCTCCAATCCACCAAACCCTAGGTAGGTCATCCACAGAAGACTGCACGAAGTAGTGAAGCTCGTCTAATATTGGCTTCACGCATCCGTGCCATAGCCATGATAGGAACTGAAGATATGCTTTGTTTTTGCGACCGCGGTCATTCGATGAGGTCGTAGAAAGGTTCTGATCAGACCAAACCTTGGCTTCGTGCGCGCTTAAGCCTGGGAGGCAGAGGACCTTGAACGCGTTGGCCGTTACAATAATGGCATCGCTCCTGAGGTCCGTGCTGTTCACGACGACGATGCTGCCATCTATGCAACAGCTCTGCATCTGCTTGGTAGTGAGTCCTTTGTGAAATTGACTTAACCCAGGAAGTTGTTGGATATCTTTTATACACTGCTCAAGCTTTACGATTGCTTCTCTTCGCCTGGTTGAAACAGTCCTCTGCGCACGATCATCTGCACCATCTTTAACAGGCTTGTTCACTTCAAATCGAAGACTTTCGTACTCAGCACACAGGTTAGGATAAGCGACCCGTAGTCTCGAGGTGTTGCTTCGGTCATCCATAAGAAGACCAAGGATCACCCCACGTCCTTGCTCTAGGAGCTCTAAGGCTGCTTCTGGTCCTTTTCCTGTTTGAACAGCGAGAGAACAGGCCGTCTTTGCCAACCCTGAGAAGTGAGAGACGACATACTGCTGATCCTCATGGCTTAAGGACCTATTATGAACATAGGGAAGCAGGTGTATTGCTTCCACTGCAAGAGTGTAAGCGGTCTCGAAAGCCTCTTGACTTTGAAGCAGGCGCAGAGCAAGGGTGGACGCGCGTATACGCACAAATGGAGCGGCGTTGTTGCATTCCCAGGCGTTTTGGGATATCCTGACGGCCTCCTCGAGGTCCTTCATGTTTCCAGTGCGCTTATATCGACTTTCGAGATTGTTTCCTAGGTTTAATAGCACAGGGGCGAGATTTGCATGGTTTTCAGGTGTGATGTCGACCGCTTGTTGCACTAGCTGAATTGCCTCTTCAAGGTCCTCCATCTTTGCTGTATGCTTATATCGACTACCAAGTCTTCCTCCCAAGTAGTGTAGCGCCGCTGCGAGATCTGGATGTTCTTTAGGGGTGGCATCGACCGCCTGCCGCGCCACCTGAATTGACTCTTCGAGGTCTTCCATCCTTCGGGTGCCCTCGTACTGTTTACCGAGGTCCCACCCTAGGCCCCTTAGCATAAATGCGTAATTCACATGTGTTTTAGGCGTCATGTTGACTGCCTGACGCCCTAGTTGAATTGCCTCTTTAAGGTCCTCCATATTACCTGTGCGCGTATATTGACTGCTGAGTTTGCTTCCTAGGTTGACTAACATGCCTGCCAGATATGGATAGTCGTCAGGCGTGATGTCAACCGCTTGACGCGCCAGTTGAATTGCCTCGAATAGGTCCTCCATTCTTTTTGTGTGCTCATATCGGCTTTCGAGATTGTTTCCCAGGTTGTTTAGCCACTTTGAGCGATCAGCATGGTCGGCAGACGTGATGTTAACCGCCTGCCGTGACAGTTGAATCGCCTCGTCAAGGTCATCTATCCTTCCTGTCCGCACATATCGACTACTGAGCATATCTTCCAAAGTGTTCAATATATTTGCGATTTTTGGATGGCCATTAGGCGTCGCTTCAACTGCCTGGCGCACTAGTTGAATTGCCTCATCAAGGTTCTCTGTGTTCCCTGTGCGTTCATGTCGGCGTTTGAGTTTGCTTCCTAGGTTGACTAACATGCCTGCCATTTTTGGATGGCCATTAGGCGTCGCTTCAACTGCCTGGCGCACTAGTTGAATTGCCTCATCAAGGTTCTCTGTGTTCCCTGTGCGTTCATGTCGGCGTTTGAGTTTGCTTCCTAGGTTCGCTAGTATCCCTGCAAGATTTGGATGGCCATTAGGCGTCGCTTCAACTGCCTGCCGTGCTAGTTGAATCGCCTCTTCTAGGTCGTCCATGTTCCCTTTGCGTTCATATCGGCTTTCAAGTTTGTTTCCCAGGCTCATTAGAATACCTGCAAAATTCGGATGGTCTTTAGGCGCGACACTGACTGCCTGTCGCACCAGCTGAACTGCCTCTTCTAGGTCGTCCATATTCCCTTTGCGTTTATATCGGCTTTCGAGTATGTTTCCCAAATTGGTCAGCCTTCCTGCCAGATATAGATGGTTACTTGGCGTGATGCTGACTGCCTGTCGCACCAGCT